AAAAGAAAAAGTACAGATTTTTTTTTTTACTTGAGAAAAAAGACAGAGATTATTTCTGTGTAAAATTCATTTTTTTTCATTTGGAGAAAACGTGTTTTTCGCTATATTAATAATATTTTACTTCATCGAAATAAAAATGTTGACCAAATAAATATTATTGATTTTATTTTTTATAAAACTTAAAAGTAGTTTCCATGTCAGTTGTTTTGGGTGGACGGAATTGCAGAAGATATATATTATGAGGTTAGCTTTATTTGTATGAAATTCCCGAAAAGCCCTCATCGTGTTGTATAATTTACGTGACGTAGCACGCCTTTGGGCAAAGTACTTTTGCTTTTAATGACAAAATTAACCTTTTAATAATCAATAGATTGACGTAAATATCTTTTTCATTTTAACGTATCTGTATATTCTTTCCTTTTTTCTAATTTGTCTTGTTCGGTGTAAATCTTATCAGATTCATATTTCCTTTTTCATTTTATCAAAATCATATTTATTTGTATCTTTCAAATTGTGTATAAAAATCATATCGTTTGTTTTCCTATAATTTCATTAGTTTTATTATTACAAAAAGAGAAACAAAAATCCATGTGACTTAAATTCGCGAGTTTAAAGTCTTTTTAGGCTACTTTTGGAAAACAATTGAGGTTTTCTAAAGATTCATACAAATTATTAAAGTCCTTAAAGCAAAAATATGTGCTTCTTTTTACTAATACAATAAATAAAAGATTATTACTAGTAATAGTTTTAGTATATAATTTCATGATTTAGTGGTGTGACTCCATCAAATATACTTAAGTTTGATGAGTGTACCGTATAAATATATTTTATCAAATGAAGTCCTATTATTTTGAGTTTATTGGGTGTTAAATATGTTTAATCGAGGTACAATCAATTAATAGTGACTAAAATTTTAAATAGTCTCTTCCCGAAACAATCTAATCCATCTTGACAAGTCGTTTGATGTTAGGCCCAACATTAAATCTCAAGTCCATAAGACCAAGGCCTTGCATAAATGAGTCAATGAGCGGCATGATTTTTGGAGGTTGGTTCTAAAAAAGTTTCAAGTTATGAAGAGAAGACACCAAGAAATATCAAGAGCTTTTAATTAGTCAATTCTATTCACATGACAATTGACAAGTACAATTCTAAGAGCTGACCCCTACAAGACTACAAACAAAGAAAGCTGTCAGACATGAACTAGCTAGCGGTCAACGAGAAATTCTCAATTTGCGGTCGTCAAGATCTTTTGAGCATGTAAGGGTTTTAACAAAACCCTCAAATTTATTTTTTTTTTATTTTTTTTTCAAATTTATATATTGTATTCACTAGATAAATTATATTTGTTAACATACAAGCATGAATTATTTTTGGAATATTGAATGCAGTCATTATATTATTGAGTATTCTTGAATCAGTTTATAGTTTATACACTTCATGTGTTGCTGAGAATACTATTCATATGAATATAATAATATGCTTGGATGTAATGTTGCTGACATTACCAAAATGTCGATGCCAGAGCTCTTAATTGTTGAGACAATTCAAAAAATATGTTTAGACCTCGCACTGCTACCCATAATCAGAGCCGGACCAATGAAATCCGGGGCCCATTTAAATTAAAAAGAGAGTATTTTTGTCTTAAAAACAGAGTTTTGCCAAAAGATTTAACGTAAACCAATTTAAACAAAACTATTGTTTTCAAAACAAAGTACAATAATATTCTGAAAAAAAAAAAGAAACAGCTTAATATTTATTAATATTTTGGACTACACAATCATTTACGATCTCATTCTATTCAAAAATTAATATATATGTATATATACCTAAAATAAAATTTATGTGGGGCCCCTAAAAAATGGGGGTCCCATTGCAATGCCTCATGTTAATGTGTCTTGGTCCGGCTCTGCCCATAATACTATTCATATGTGTTGAAATTTTATTATGTTGGTAAACATAAATGGAATGAGACGTATATGTGTTGACTTCTCATCCGATTTTTGTTTTGGATTATAAAATTCTCATCCAAATTTGATCCTGTAACAATCGAGGAAGAATTTGCGCAAGAAAAAGAATCATCAAGAATGGTCAACACATAACGTGAAGTTCAGACAAGGATGAGGAAGCAAAAGTCAGCGCAAAGACGAATAAGAAAGGTAACTGGGCCATGCGGAAAAAAAGGTAACTGGGCCATAAAGACAATAAGCCCACATTTATTTAGATATGGTTTTCCACGGAAATTTGAAAGCGACAAAATGGCAAAACTACATTAGAGGTTTGATCCAAAAAAAAAAAATAGTACATTAGAGATTTAATTAACAAAAAAACTAAGACCATTCATTTTTCGTTTTATTTTTAGCCACTTAGTTTCTTATAGGATGATGGTCGATCTTTACGACCACCAAATTTGTTTTTTTTTTTAACTATAGAAAATATTTCAATACAATTTTACATATTTTTAAGGTAAATGACTAAATATTATGGGAGGAACCATATTTTATTTTTCTTGATTTGAACCACCATTACCAAGTAAATCAAACGAGCTACATGTTCATAAAACTTTGTCCCAATTTTCTAATATAACCTTTGTAGCTAGCTAGCAGTCAGTAGTGCTAGCGCTATATGTCATCTGGGAAGTACACAGCATCAAGTCAAGCGTGAGGTTGAGTTTCAAGCAAGCTTGAGTTTTACTAGCTAGTGCAATTAACACAAATTTCAGAAGGAACTAATTAATTAATTAAAATCTAGGTACTAAGAGAAAGATAAACCTTGTATATATAATCTCTTTATACTCCCACTGGCCACTGGATGTTGAGTTTACTAACAATCACTAGTACCTAAAATCAAGTCTGTTTAATTTTAATATAGTTGCAATAAAATTGCATAAATTATAAAAATTAATTGAATGATGATTTAAAAGTTCAAAACTTCGAAATGAAATTGGAGCTAGTATTGTTGGCCATTAGAATGGGTATGGTGGAAGATACTAAGAAAGAAAAAAATGTGGGCAAAGCAATCTAATAGTAAATTTGGACGGAGGATGCAGAATGGCCGAGGACACGACAAGTCTATTCTAATGAAAGCTTTGCTTTTGTCATCATATGTACATATAAATACAAATTTCAAATTTTGACTCGCACGTTTTCTCAAGTTTCACATATATGGCTATATATGATACGTGAGTAAGAGAAGTGCATTTGTTTCTTTGCATGGCAAATCCCCATGCATCTATACGACTATACATACATATATGCAGTGGATTGATTAGTACAAGTGCATGCCAACTTAAGATTGCAATAGAGAAGGTACGGTTCATCGGATCATGAGTATTTATCTCGATTCTAATTCCCCTCGTGGTCCATACCTTAATCTTACATCACTATTATATCCCTATAAATTATATAGCATCACACCATTCTATACGTATACATCTCTATGCATCTAAATAGTAAATATACTGCTTAAACAATTGGAAACTTTATTTGTCCATATCCCCTACTAACTTACCAATAGAAATTCAGTCTTTAGTCGATGTATGAGCGTTTTTGTTAAAGCCAAAGAAAGAACATAGAAGGGTAGTGTACCCATTGACACACTGAAAGTGAAAGGTGAGGAACATACAATTAATATAAAACCGCAACTACTTGAATAATTGGTCTGTTATGGAGCTATTCTTATTTGCTTATATAATTTGTTTTCCATTGATATTTATAAATATATTTTGTGAATTAATGTGACAATAATGATATAATGTGATTTTAGTTAGTACTATTAAAGTAGATAGAGAATTAATTAAACCAAGTATGTTGTAAATTAACGTATAGTTTAGAACGATTAAACTAAAAGATGAAGTCAAATGTTATATAGAGAGTATTAAGCCGAAGAAACAGCAGCGAGGGAAGAGAGCGGTGACATACTTAACATGCAAAGAGAAATGTCAAATCCATCATGAAAATTGACAGTGCGCCTGCAAAATGGTCAGTAGGACAAAGCCCCTAACCATAAAAATAAAATAAAAATATGAGAATCTAATAATAAAATAAAAGAGTGACGTAAGTGTCTGAGCATAGTTAACGTAAGTGTGCATGGATGCGTGTCATAACGTTTCTCGAATTCAATGCCCTCAAATAGCATTGAATTTTTTTTTTTAGTAAAGGATTTGACTCATAATATTTTCTTTTAAAATGTAAAATTAGTAGGTCTTATATGTAATTGTGTGGTCAATACAAAGATATAAAAACTAAATATAACTTATCAAGCAGAGAGGTTGAAGAAAAAAAAGCTTTTTATCAAATAGAATTGTGTTTTTTTTTTGTATGAATTAAGAATTGTGTTTTTGGCATAGATAGTTCCTACTATTTTTGTAGCAACTTGTTTGCGCAAAGTCATTATTTGAATAAAAAGATATTTTAAAGCCAGCGTATACATGTAAAAGAACAGAGTCACTACTGCTATGATCCATTAATTCAGATGTGAATACAATGACAATTGCTTAGGTCACCCGAGTGAATGAAGTTGTATTTTGGGTAAAAAATTACTAAAATGAAACCCTAAAAGAGAGTTATATCACTTGTTAGAAATGTGTGCGCGCGCGTGTGTGTATGAGTCTCTCATGGCGGCAGAGAGAGGGAGAGAGCGATGGATCAATTAGGTAGAAAGTGATCGTCCATGCGGTGATAGCAGAAGAGTGTCAGCTCTATCATCGATTCTCAATTCAGTGACAAATCAGTGCCACAGCTTCCTCCCTCTTCCTTACGTCTGCATATACATATAATACCTTCTTACGTATCCATTTGTCTCTCTTACCTTCACATTTTAATACAATTGTATAATTCGAATCACTGACTAGCTATTGCTATAAAAAATATATATATTCACACTGTACCATTAAAAGGCTAAATCTTTTATTTGAATAATCATTGATGCTAATTAACTAATCTTTTATGATGGTTATTAATAAGAGAGCTAGTAGCTTTGTCAATCTTCTAATTCGGCTATAGAAAATATATACAAGTTTATTTCTTCGATTTACAACATGCAAAATTAGGTGGTAACTTGAAAAAAAAAATATGTGAAAAACGCAAATTAGGATTTAGAGGTAAAGACAAAACGAGAACTGCACATATTCCTGGTGGACCCCTTGATTTCGTCTCTCCACTGGTCACCAATTTCGCCAGCGATCTTAACGGCGTCAGACGCCGTTCCAAGGAGTCCTCTCCTCGTAAACCCAACTGTGTACAATCCTTTCCCTCCTCTCCAGCCGTTAGGAAACGGCGTTTTCGGCATCCCATCGTCCGTGAAAAAATCACTTCCCTAATAAAAGAAAAAGTTGATGCTAATTTTGTTTTTAATTAATTTTAGATATGAGTGGGAATTATAGATGTGAAGCATATATTAATACAACATACCTGAAGCCAAGTAGGCACGTTGCTTTTGTAACCAGTGGCAAATATGATAGAGTCAAAGTCCTTTTCTTGACCATCCATAAACTTTGCTCCATTCTTTGTGATTTCCTTTACACCTTCCATTATCTTCATTTTTTTAACAATAAGAAAAGACAAGACACAAATATTAGGTATATACATGTGTGTATGACGCTATCAATTCATGTATTTAGATTTAGTATTTGTTTAAGCTCTTGACAATAAAAACTGATGAATATTAAGAAACAGAAGAAAGTAGGAAAGGATTAACTCGGAAACATGGTTTATGGAATCATGACGGCGACGAGCAAAAGAAAATTGGTTTACGGAAGCATAAATAGAAAATGCTACAAACAAAAATTAACTTTTTCTGTCACCATGAACAAGAAAACATTCTTTAAGACCAAAAAAAAATCAACAAAGTAACATTTAAAAACAAGTTCTTTTGTAGTTACCAGTTTCCACATTAACACGGTTTTTTTAGAAAGTTGGCTAATACAAGATGATTCCGTGGGCTATACTATACTAGAGATATAATTTATAAATAAATTACTAAAAGTGCCCGCTCTAGGCTACGCAAAATTGTCACTAAATTAGAAAAGAAAACAAATTAATAGAAAGAGATATAGTTCAAAACTTAATTACTCACCTGAATCATGCCAGATCTGATGAGAGACATAGCTCCGACATCGAGGACCGGACTTTTTCCGGTGATATTTTTTAGCTCAAGCGGACCCGTTTTTGGTCGGCGAAGACCCAACCGGTCGGTATTTCCAAACGAAAGATTGGCCATCAATAACAAGAACTTGTCAACGAGCCTTAAGGGTAAGCATTTGAGAAGTGTCATCCCAACTCCAAATGTTGATAGCCCAAGTATCTCCCTTGGCAACACATGAACCTACGTGAAATGGTGGTAACATGTCATTGATATTGAAAATAAACGATAGAGAAATTTCAAAAGTGTAATAAAAAAAGATGTTTTTATTTACGGTGTTTCGGACAACAAGATGAGGAGATGCGTTATGTCGGACGAGGTCTAAGCTAATTTCCATGCCGGAATTTCCACAACCGACGACCAAAACTTTCTGCCGCCGGAACTCTTCGCCGCTTTTGTATTCGCTCGCGTGAACGATTTTCCCGCCGGAAAACTTCTTTATCCCTGGAATGTCGGGTAAGTATGGATCTGCGTTCTCACCGGTGGCGACGATAAGCCATTTGGAGAGATACTCTGTGTTATCATGAGTCTTTACTCTCCAGAAACCGGAGGAAGAATCGAAAGCTGCGTTTTGGACGTTCTTGTTGAACCTTGGGACGATGCGGAAGTGGGAAGCGTAGAACTCAAGGTAGGCCAGGAATTCGTTTTTGGAAGGGTATTTTGGGAAATATTCAGGGAAATCCAAGAGGGGTAACCGGCAAAAGTGTTTTGGGAGATGGAGTTTGAGTCGGTCGTAGGTTTTAGATTTCCAAAGAGATGCTATTGAATCCGACCGTTCTAAGATCAAAGAAGGGACTCCACGGCTCGAGAGACATGCTGAAGTGGCAAGACCGGAAGGGCCAGCTCCGATGATGATGGGACCGTGTACGAGGATGACATGCTTGGTCTGGTCGGTTTTGTTGTGTGGATGAGCCTCCATTTTTGATGGATGATGGAAAATGTTTTTTAAGAGTGGAGAGACTAAAGAGTGAGATATGTTTTACTTTTGGAGAAAATGTTCTTTGTGTGTGACGGAAAGAATTGGAATTTATAGAAGGGGTTTTCATTTGTGGTTTGGGTTTGTGGGACCTTCTAAGATTCTCTATGAAGTTTTTCTTTACAAACATAGTACATCTGTTTTTTTTTTTTTTTGTTATATTTAGACGGTAAAACTAAAATTTATATTCTTATTTTCTTAGACTATCTCCAATTCTATATCTACATTTTTTATAAACTCTATTTTAAAACAAAAAATCCCTTTTACTCTACTTTTTTTATATATTTGGATATTTCTATTTTCAATTTACATTAGATCTCTATTTTAGAAATTGGAAATAAAATATAGTTGGAGTAAAACTTAACTCTAAAATAGAGTTATTTTATTTTGAAAAACAAATACAAAAATATGTTGGAGATACTTTTAGACATTATGTATAGTGACGGCATATTAGCGGAATAATCAAAAAAGAGCTAGATTGATAACCTATATAATGGTTTACCATTTCATAATCGTACATCGCACTGTGATTTAAACAAAAAAAAATGTACTAAGTAACTAATGAAACACTAAACTACCAAAATGTTGTCATTCATATCAATTAGAAATTTTCTTTTTATATAGAAACTAGAATATGGTATGGTATAATTCGATAAAGATTTGTGTCCTAATATCTCTTACAAAGATTGGAAGTATCAACATTTCTAATATCTGAAACATTCATGTTTACCCAAAAAAAATGAATCCTGTTGGAAGAAAAAACGATGAATGCTGATTTCAAATTATGTCACAAAAAAAGTTTTTCAGAATACCATGAATAATAGTAAAATACGATTATGAGAGTTCATCAAAGTAAAATCTTAAATAAAAGTATAGTTATCTCAAGTTCGTATGATTGATCTAGGAAGCCTAGATATAGTATTTTTTAAATTATTATGTAAAACTTGGAAAATGTAAAAAAATCAAGAGATTGAATGGATAAGAGAAAGAGTGGTGAAAGAGGCATTGGAATAGTAAAATGGCAGTCCAAAAAGACAGGGTAATAAATGGAAAACGTGAAGGTTAAGTAAATTATTCGCTCTTCTTCCCATTTGATTTTGGGGAACGAATCGTCAAAACATAAAAAAAGAAAACAAGAGAATCAACCGATTAATTGCCTGGATATTTTGAAAATTATCACTATCTGGTAGTGTTCTGAGTTGGATTTTGTGCTTTTGTTAGCAAACATTCATTTAGTTTTCATTGTCAAAATTTTCTTATACAACAAAACGAAAGAAAAAAAAGTAGCCGAAATTTATTTAAACAAAAGTAGATTAGTGGTAAAGTTACTCAAAAAATCAATTCATAACAAATTTCAGACGTTTCCAACTCAAAAATAATTGTTACTAAATGAATTGTGTTACATCCTCATATATTCGTTATATATGTGTTATTTTAATCCAAACACTACAAGAAACACGCCGGTTAACGTCGGTATATTGAAGTCAATTAGTAAACCGACGTTAAACTTTCAATTAGAGAAGTATTTTGCGTGACTTAAGAAACCGACTTAATCATTTGCGTCACTTATTAATACTTCGATTTTTTTTCATTTATCTAGAAACTAATTGTTTCCAGTAACAAAACTTTCCGATCGCTTATGATCTCTTCCATTTACGAGCTTCTCTATCTAAGCTTATCGTCGTTGTGGTGGAGTTCTGATTCTTTGATTTCAATATCCATTTGGATTCAAGCTCAGAGGCGGAGAAGCAGATCCAAAATCGATGATCTCTGTAACCAGATCGAGACGAAACAAGAGCATCGAAGCTCGTCGAAACCATCAAATCAGGTATTGATTCTAACTTGGAAACATGATCGGAGATATTCGCCGTTAGGTTATCGGACATTGACTTATGATAATGGAGAATCATGATAGTTTGCTGCGGAAAATTGAAATGTCAGTGCTTGAAATCATCGGTCCTTTTAAGAGAGAATTGGTTGCTCGATTCCAATGTCAGTGATTGAGTTTCGAAGTAGATGCTCTCAATTTGTATAGAGGAACTTCCCATAGATGAATTCACGAATTGACCTGAGTTTAAGAGATGATTTGTTCGATCTGCACAGACAATGTGGATCTAGAGTAAGGAGTTGATTCTAGCCAAGACTGATTCGAGTCTTTGTGTTCTACTACCTCAATAAGTTGAGAGTATAATCTTTGAGGATCTTGAAGAAGCATATGGACTTGTTCCAATGAATCATTGAATCGATTACAATCACAATCTGGTCTTGTTTTGATTGATTTATCATCTGGTTTTGGTAGTGATATGTTTTGTTTGCTCATTAAGAAAAGCAACGACACATTTTACACTTCACAGAGGTAGATGAATTGGCAGTACTTGGGACAAACTACAATAGGTATGAATAACAACAAATTGCATAATGTTTGATAATGATACTGAGATATGAGTTTAAGACTGTTTTTAAGTCTGATAAGTCTGATACTGAGATATGAGTTTAATCCAGGGACAATGAAAACAAGTGTGTGTAAGTAAGTCAAAGAAAAAAAAAGAGCTTGGAAACGAAACAATATACATAGAGAGATACATAGAGAGGATAGGATAAGGTGTTACTTATCTCTGACTTCTTTCTGCAAAAAGTTTCAAAATTTGAGTCATTTTTTGTTTTTGTGTTTTGATTTTTGGAAACAGATCCATTGTCAGAGATGGAGGCTCTTTCCATCAACGCACCAACTCAGGATTCTACTTTGCCCTCCGGAGTAAAGTAAGTTTCTTCTCCTATCTCCCCTGCAATTTTATTGCCTAGGATTCAAGAAAGAATGAAACCAACGTTGGTGTTATATTAGTTGATCTCTTGGCTAGTAGTTTCTTCCAAAAGTTTTAGATAAGAACTTAGGGATAAAGGCACGACCTTAAGTTTGCATTCTCACTTGTCAGGTAGAAACCTTAGGAAAACTAAAGAAAGATACTTTATTTGTGAATCTTCCAGTTTATATTTGCAATTGTTAGCTTACAAAATTAGATCTTTTATTGATTCAGAATAAGCGAGGAGGTCGAAAAAAGATACAATGTACAATAGTTAGAAGAGTTGGCGAGCAATGCATACATGATGATGAGCTGAGGGATCTTCTGGCTAAGAAGGCTGCAATACATGATGATGAGCTGAAGGATCTTCTGGCTAAGAAGGTAATGGCTATGTTAGTCATTGTATAGTTTAGGATCATCCATAGCTATTAGTCCTCTTGTTTATTGGGATCCGTTTGAAGAACTTCAAATTGATTATGAGAAACCAGTATTATTGCTTGATGAATTTCTTTTGGTTAGTTATGGAATGCAAATGTGTAGATAAAAAAACACTGAGAATCTATTGTCATTTTATCATTTGGTTATTGATTATGGTTACTATGTTTTTTTTTCAGGTCAGATGTGCTTCTCATTCTCTGGAGCCGTTGGGTGAGAAGAAGACAATTTCTTATTTTTATACATCAAACAAATTTCTTGTAATTTTCATTCATTTTCTAAACATTAAAAAGATAATGTGTTCTTTTATTATTTTGTGACAATTATGTCTTGTCCTTAATATATAATATATGATTTTTTACTATTGAGTCTATTGTCGTTTAAATTTTTTAACTAAAATTTGTTTTATTCAATAAAAAAAAAACTGTATTGTGGAAAAAAAAAATAATAAAGAAAACTGTAATTGGTAAATGCACATTACGTCGGTTTTAAATCATTGTACAACTGACGCTAAAAGTCAACAAAACTAACGTTAGACTTTTGACGTTAAAGTTAACATCAGTTTTACAAATGAAGCAAAAAAATTTCACGTCATCACTTGTTAAGTCATTTTCAAAACCGACGTTATATTATTAGAGTCACTTTAATACCGACGTTAAAGCATTTTAAAACTGACGTCAAAACCCTTCTTTTTTGTAGTGAAAATATTTTAAAAAAATTTGATTTTTTGAGATGATGACTTTTACCAGCCCATAGATAATCTTACATAATGTGTAATATGGTGCTTCACCTTTGTGATTCACATTGTTAATGGGAAGTGATATGGCAGTTTGATATCCACACAATATATAATAGAGAGTTTGCTTGTACGGTTGTACCCAATCTCTTCTAATAACACTCTATAACAGATAACTTTTTTTAGTTAATTAGTAAAAAACATTTATACAAAATCAACAGGAGGCACAACCAATATCTTTTGTATCCTTTATATATATTTTCTTTTGAATATGAGTCCTCTGAAGCAGAAACGTATAAGTATAGTTTACAAGGAAATATGGGTTAAAATTTATATCATTTTGATGTAATTAAATGATTTTAATATACAAATATATATATCAAACTACAATTTGATTACGAAGTGTATGAACGTGCGCCGAAATTAGCTATAAAGGTTTGTACAAGAAAGCAAGCATAATTCATTCACATCATCACATGCATCCTAAAGAAGCTTTATAGCCTTAATTACAAGAACTATTTCAATAAGATACTAAATATATAGCGTGATCATATTTTGTAAGATGATAAACTGGATAAGTTTTAGAAGTATGGATTCTTCCGCATAAACTGATGACTCGTGTGATACATTTGGCCACTGTAGAATACTTGAATAGCATTATTTCTTGAATTGATTAATTGAAATATTTTCATAATACGAAATTAAATCGGAAGCTTTTACGGTCATCTAATTTGACCTTAGAAAAATTAGAGAACATCAATGTATGATTAGCAAAAAAAATTCATACAATACTATAATATATTTAAAAAAACTGTTGCAAAATGATGTGTATTATATATGTAAAATTTGTCTAAAATCTTTTGGTTTATCCGAATTTGTTAGAAAATTATAAAATCATATTTATATTATGATAGACAAAATTTGACAAAGTGGAGTATATGTTAACATTTGAAAATTTTAAGTGTTGCATTTAAAAAAAAAACATAGTGTGGAAGTGTAAAACATGTAACACTGTTTGAATATATGAATCTAACACTTCGCATCCAAACTTTCTAAGGGAATCTAGGGGTCGTCGGGTCTGAGACTAAATGGAATGATTAAAGAAGAGCTATTATTGACTAATTGAGGACTTGTTAAATTAATTAGTTATGGGAAAACAAAGCTTGTTGGTAGGTTGTAATGATGAAAGATATTTAAGGGTATAAAAAATAATTGAAAGTACAATTATAATCATTGATAAGAATTTTCCAATTTTCCCCCGACTTCCGTTGATAAGGAGTGCCATACTGCCATGCATGTGGTTCTAACCTAAATATATAGATTCATCTTGCAAATGTTAACTTATTCCAATTTCATTGTGAGATAGTATTAAATTAAGGATGGAACACGAACACTCAAAACTTGAAATGTAAAATGTCTTTTAGCAAGAAAAAAAATATAACTTAATTAAAATGTAAATTCTCGTTTGATTGTCTTTTCTGTACTTATGCTTATATATAGGGTTGTCTATGTAATGGTATGGACTTATTTTTTTTTCTTTTATTGTTTTAGCTAATTCTTTATTTCAGAAACTGTTGCATCAACTTCAGAAAACAAAACAATTTTTGACACAACCAATTTAAACCTTTGCATAAAATGATTATTTTGGCTAAGATGATGTATTTTCAATTGACTAAGGTGAATAAAATAGCTTTGACAAAAAAAAAAGGTGAATAAAATAGGTTTGGTTAAGATTTTAGATTAATAATGAGCAACACGGTGGATAGGTTTCTCGGCTTCTGACTTTTCCTCTTTTATTTCTCAACTTTTTAGTATTTTTATATGATGCACCTAATTAGCTGCGCATGCATGCTTTAAGATTTAAGTATTTGATACTGGAGAAAACCAATTTTAACTATTTCACACACCTTTTAGAGACATCGCCAAAAGTGTAGGTTATAAAAATTAGTAATTAAAATGAAAATTCAATCACGATGCTACAAAAGAAAAAATAACCATAATTTTTAGCTTTTCCGTACTATAACAAAGCTAATTAAGGTGCACTCATCATTATTCATGCTCCAAATACTTAAGATTCTGAAAATTTATGTCAAAAAAATATTCAGAAAATTTGATGGCTTATTCAGTTTGTGATAAAGAACTGATAAAGAGTACTTAACTATATAGAGTAGTTTGATTTTTCTATTTTTTACAGCTCTATTTTACTTAATCTTTTAGACGAAAACACATATTATGCGTTTTTGCGTTTTCTAATGTGATTATACAAATTTTTTACATAATCGTATTAAAATACTTTATTCCGCTATTGTGGATTACCAATCAGAGCCTTAGAAAACAACCCCTGTTTTTGCCATACTAGTAAAATACAAGTTTCGATTTCAATTGAGTATGCATACATCGTCGTACGTGTATCTACATATTGTACTCCCTCTGTTCCTAGAAGATTGATGTTCTAGAGTTTTCACATATATTAAGAAGCAATCATTGTTTAATTATTTGTCAATTACTTTTTTATACTAAATATTTTTTAATAACTTTGAACCAATAGTATTAGAAAACAGTTAATCATTACGTCTTGAAGTTTACGATATATTAATTTTAATTAATAAAAAATAAAACAAAAACCTAAAAAATCAAACTTTGTGGAACAAACTAAAACTCTACAACATCAAATATCTAGGAACAGAGGGAGTATTAGTTAATGTTCCGACCGAACTCATTTGTTAAGATTTGAATTTCTTTTTTAATTTTAACTAGAAGATACGAACTTTATACTGCACATTTATCTAAGAGAAATTGTTAAAAATACCATTTTTTCAATACCACTTTTCAAAAATGCCCCCTTTGAGAGTCCATTTTTAAGTTTGCCCTCTTTTAATTTTTAATGACCATTTTACCCTTATTTAAAACAAAATTAGGTCCACAAAATACAAAATATTTTTTGGCGGGAAAAGTGATCCCGCAATTTTCCCGCCAAAACACTTGGAAAAACCTTTAAAATACCTTGTAAAATTTTCCCGTAAAAAATTTTCCCGCCAAAATTTTTTTTTTGCGGGAAAAGTGATTCCGCAATTTTTTTGGCGGGAAAAATTTACAAGGTATTTTAAAGGTTTTACAGAGTTTTTACAAATGTTTTGTAAGGTTTTACAATGTATTTTAAAAGGTTTTACAAGGTACTTATAAGGTTTTATAAGGTATTTATAACTTTTAAAACCTTATAAAAAACTTGTAAAACCTTATAACTTGTAAAACCTTATAAAATAGCTTGTAAAATCTTATAATATCTTATAAATACCTTATAAATACGTTGTAAAACCTTTTAAAATACATTGTAAAACCTTATAAATACCCTGTAAAAAACCTTGAAAATACCTTGTAAATTTTTCTCGCCAAAAATTTTCCCGCAAAAAATTTAACGCCAAAAAAATTGCGGAATCACTTTTCCCGCAAAAAATATTTTTGGCGGGAAAATATTTTACGGGAAAATTTTACAAGGTATTTTAAAGGTTTTACAAGTTTTTACAAGTGTTTTGGCGGGAAAAATTGCGGGATCACTTTTCCCGCCAAAAAATATTTTGTATTTTGTGGACCTAATTTTGTTATATTTCCTTATATATTTGTGATATCTTTTATTAAAAGAAGGGTAATTTAGTCATTTTGTACATAAAAAAGGGTGTTTTTAAAAATGGACAGCCAAAGGGGGCATTTTTGAAAAGGGGTATTGAAAAAATGGCATTTTTGTGAGTCTCCCTTTATCTAATCGCTTTCATAAGCCTTTTTTTAAAAAAATGGTAAGATTCTTTTTTTTCGCCGTCTCATTTTATTAAGATAAAACAGAAAAACAAACAGGCCGAGGCCCAACAAGGTGAAAGCCTAATCCAAGAAGCGAAACCCAAACATGAGGAAGAGAGAGATTGAGAGGAGACATCACAGAGCCACGTGGGACACATAAGGAAAGTGGGAACACGTGGACAGCCGACGTCGTCGCCGGTTACCGAATGCCACCGGAAGGAACTCCAAACCATCGGAAATCGCTGGAAAAGTCGCCAATTCTTTATGCTTCAATGAAATCCGACGGAGTCCAATAAGCCATTTTGTTAATGGTAAGAGTTTGTAAATAGGAAATTAGTAAAACTAGGAATAATAATGCGATCAACACAAGAACTTTTTAATCGAATTATTTTTACTTACAACATAGCCAGATTAACTCTTGGTGCATATTTATGAGTTACTCTGTTCTTAGAGTTTATGAAATTCACGAGTCGTCAAATTAAGCTATTACGAAGAAATTGTCACTAAAAGCATATAGTCGCAATTTGGTCACAGACATAATTTCCTCGAAAACTGGGCACATTGTTGCGACGGAACTTTTTTCGTCGGAAAAAAGTAGCAAAATCTATTTTTTAATCGCCGATAAGATGTTTTCGTCTTCTCAGAACCTCCGTGAGTTGAAGGAAAATGATTCGCGGCGGAAGAAACAACATTACTTCCGCTCCGGCGTTTTCGAAAGACGCAAAGAAGCTTCTTTTATGCACAGCCAACACCGTCTCTGTTTACAGCGTCGCCACTGGCTTAAAGGTGGTTTATCTCTCGAGTATCATTCCTTATAGGGTTTCTCTTTGCTCTCACTCTTCTCATTTTTGTATGCGTGTTGTGTTTTTAAGATTACATCACTCCAGGATCATACAGCACCTGTCACGACTGTGTTTGTTGATCCGTCGCACGACGAAACCTACAGTTACTGTTGGACTTCGTCGCTTGATGGGAAAATTCGGATTTGGGAGTTCTCGGAGCCAAAGCTTTTGAAGACATTTGATACCCACCTTCCAATTCACTCTCTGGTCTGTTAAAGTTCCATACTTTGCCGCCTATAAACAAAAATTTGATAGCCCCTTTTCTTAAGTGTATATATCTGTTGGGATTTTGTAGGTGATGATTCCATCTCACGTGTCACATATTAGGACATAATGTCCCACATCGGAAGTTGGAAGGGATTCTAAGTAATATATAAGGGATATGGGCCACTCCACTCATTGCCAATTGGTTTTGAGTTGGAAGCCCATAGAACTTAACATGGTATCAGAGCACGATCCACACATGTCCAACCCGATCCGACCCAAAGATGGTCCAATCATCGACAAGGCCCAAAATTGATGCCGTCGATCTAAGCCCGAATATTCCGAGATTAATGGCCAAAGAGCCATCATCTCGAGGGGGCGTATTAGGACATAATGTCCCACATCGGAAGTTGGAAGGGATTCTAAGTAATATATAAGGGATATGGGCCACTCCACTCATTGCCAATTGGTTTTGAGTTGGAAGCCCATAGAACTTAACATCACATTCCGTGATTGCTTATGTTTCGGTTGAGGACTATTCAAGTGTGTCCAAAGATTTGTTTGGACAAATCCGGAGATATGATCTCACTGAAGAGCCTCTTCCTAGTGGAGACATTTTGAAAGAGGTCAGATTTGTGGATTAACCATTTTTCGATTAGCCTCATGTTTGTTTATAAAGGTCCAATCATTTTTGTTTATGAGCAGATGGAAGAACCAAAACCTATTGTCTTAAGTCCCTCTGGAGAGTTTTTCGGCGTCTGTCATAGTTGCAATATACATATATGGAATGCCTCTCTTGGGGCATCAGAGCATCTCAAGCCAAAGGAGACGACATTACATCACACAGAGTTGATTACTGTTTTTGCTTTCCATCCCAATCAGAGAATACTGGCAGCCGGTGATGTAAAAGGGAGAGTGTTAATTTGGAAGGATATTGGTAATGGAGAACTTACTTCAGTGAAAAGTGAAGATGATCCTGAATCTTGCACTGGTTTCAACTGGCACTCCGCTGAAGTAACCGTCCTTAATTTCTCTTCAGATGGAGCACTGTTGTATTCTGGTGAGAATGAGTTAATAGTGACTGTATCTCTGTGTGTGGATAATGAATTATTGTTTCAGAACTTATAGATATTGAGTTTTATGCTATATTTCCTTTGCTTGTGACTCTTTTAGGGGTAAAGGAAGGTGTTTTTGTTGTATGGGAGCTAGATACAAGGAAAAAGCAACTTTTGCCAAAGATTGGATCTCCGTTGTTGTATTTCATCTCCTCTTCAGATCCAACTCTTTCTTCTGTAAGTCAGAGTTTTTCCGCTTACAATCTAGGTGTCCGTAATATACAACCTGCAGAAAGCAAAGGAAATGTTTCATTAACTCTACTAAGATCAAGAAGTTTCAGGTGATTTGTGCAGATAATCAGATTCATCTTTTAAAAATGCCTTCCATGGAGATACTGAGAACGATATCTGGAATCAAGGTTCGTTGAAATTTTTTCTTTGTTATGTTGGTTTAAGAATGCTCCTATTGGATTACGTTTCTATTGGAGTTAACTTCACATGCATATTGTGTTCTTACTATGTAATAGCCTCGGAGATCAGAGCGTCACGGGTTTATATGCTACGTTAAAACGAGGGATATATGCCTCACCAGAACTGTGTCCATTGATCGTTCTTCCGGTATAGCTGCTTTCTGCACAGCGAATCATCGTGTTCAACTCTACAACCTTTTAAGTGACCATGAAATTTCAGAGGTTAGCATCCTAAAAGGCTTATTGAGTTTTGTATCTGATAGTTGTATGGTTTTACTATTTAACAAACCTAACATATGCAGGTTCAAATTTGCGAGAGAAATCATCATCCAGACGGTGATGAAGTCCGGGTTAGTACATTTTGTTTCTTCTCTGTAAGATGACATAGCTGTTACTAGTAAAGGATCTGCTCTCTTTCTGTTTTGTAATAATTTGAAGAATTATGGAAAATAGGTTCTCGTGACTGCGGTTGCTCTCTCTCGGAATGGCTCAGTGATGACTACAGCTGATACCAGATTTGCTGCAAGCAATTTTAGTGAAGGCTTAGTTTCTCTCAAGTTTTGGGTGTTTGTACCGGACAGCAAAACTTTCAGCTTATCGACAGTCATAAATCAACCTCACAGGTTTTTTACTTTTATGTTTTTATAAACTTTCAGACTACTTGATTCTCATCGTGAGAGTTACTTTTTATCCGTCTGTATTTCTTACAGGGAAGCTGCTATCACAGCCATTGCCCTTAACCCCGCCCGTTCCATGGCTGTTAGTATATCTTCTGCTGGGGACTTCAAGGTAGATTTTTTTTTTACTGTATAGTGGATAATGGATCATTTCCTTGGAATATCGTTTGACCTTTGTGTTACTGATATGAGTTAATGTCTTTCAAGATTTGGGTTTGCAATAGCGACAAGAATCTGACACCTGAGGATTTAAACTGGATATGTCATGGAGATGGCTCTTATAAGTAAAAGATTAGGAACCTTTAACATCTCTCATCACTTAGTCGTTGTGATCTGAATTGAAACTGATGAAATATTTTTCAGGAGAACGCCAATAACAGCTGCTGTTTTTTCCGGGGATGGTTCTTGTCTGGCTATTGCGGCTAAAACAGTTATTACGATCTGGCACCCGTTAAAGAACGAACTCTTGTATGTAGTTGGAAAGGCAAATGCGGTAAGACTCTTATAACACACAAAAGCAATTCCATGTTTATTAACGACAGCCATTGTTGAAATCTTAAATGATATGCAAATGTTTCAGCCAATTATGGAACTCTCATTCACTGGAGGAGGCTTCCTTATTGCTGCATCCCATGGTTCCACACCGCACTTATCTGTCTGGGATTTGATGACGTTCTGCTTATCATGGTCATATAGATTATACATAGAAGGTTTACTATTTATCTTTTCTTTCTTTTTTTATCATGAAATCTTGATTTTTTGGTTGCTAAGTATATTTCCTTTTCCTGTTTATTTGCAGCCATTGCCACTGAAGTGGACTCACCATACTTTGCAGTTTTAACATGGCTTCCAGAATCTGATAGGTTGGTAAAATCTAACGAACAGATGTTCCGCGGGAAAGATGGTGCTATCCTCTTGTTTGATGGGTCAGGCCCTAAACCAGTAGCTATTTGGACTGTAATGAAGGTATATTCTTCCACCTCTAAGGATTTTATCAAAGTTCTCTCATTACCGTTAAAATTCTTGATCACAATGTCTATTGCAGGCCAGGGGAGGAACGCTTTCATTTGTGGAAGATGGTAAAAAGTCTCAGCCACTTCTCGCATATGTAAACAGGAGCCATGAATATGTTCTTTTTGATCCTTATGGCGATGAAAAACTCGAGACTAGCGCCATAGATTATGAAGTTTTTCTTGCAGCAATAAGCAAGAAGACGAAGAGATCTAGGAAGAAAGCATTGATGTCAGAGAAACCTTGGGAAACAAACTTTTGTGGATCAACGCTCAATTTCCCGCCTTTCCCGGACGTGTGCGCTGCTTTCTTCAGTTCCCGGATGCAGAAAAAGGTGTGTGAGAGAGCAGAGAGAGAACCTGAAAGACATAGCTCTTGAGAGACCAGAGAGACAACCTGAACGACATAGCTCTTGAGAGACCACATATTTTGGAACCCATTTGGATGACATCATTTTGTTGGAAGCCTTTTTGTTAGAGATACAATATGATTCCTTCAGCTACTAAAAGGGTTGTTTTGATATATGATTCCTTCAGCTACTAAAAGGGTTGTTTTGATATTAATTGGTCTTCATTCATCATGTAGAACTTGCTGATTTGAGGTGTATAATATAATTTTATTTGTTTTAACCAATTATCTCTTTAATACGTAAAAAGTAAGGTCAACTGTAACGTATGGGAAAAAAACAAGAAGCTAAAACAGAGTAATGGACGATAAAATATATTTAAAATTGTGACTCAAAACATAATTTATTAAAATTGAAAAACATAAATCGAAAGCAATTTGATTTTAATGATCGTAGTCCTCCAAGTTAGTCCGCAACCGATTGGCCATCCATATCCGCAAGGTTGAGTGGCTTGCAATAACTTCAGACAACAAAACAATTTTTTACACAACCAATTTAAACCGTTGCATAAAATGATAATTTTGGCCAAGATGATGTATTTTTTAATTGACTACTGAAGGTGAATATAATAGGTTTGGTTAAGGTTTTAGATTTATTATGAACACGGTAGATAGGTTTCTCGTCTTCTGACTTTTCCTCTTACTTCTCAACGACTCAACGTTTTAGCATTTTTATACGATGCACCTAAGCTGCGCATGCATGCTTAAAGATTTAACTTTTAAGCATTTGATACTGGAGAAAAACAATTTAACTATTTCATACACCTTAAAGCCATCGCCAAAAGGCTCGGTTATAAAAGAACTAGTAATTCAAATGAAAATTTCATCACGCAGCTACAAAAGAATAAGTAACCATAACTTATTTTGCTTTTCCGTAGTAGAACAAAGCTATAATTAAGGTGTATTAATCATTATTAATGTTCAAAATACTGAACTCTCTCTTTTTTTTTTTTTTGACAATCATCATGTTCAAAATACTTTAGATTCTGAAAATTTATGGAGTCTAAATGGTAACCTATACATCTGGCTGACATATATTCTTAAATTAATCAATTATTTAAAATTATCCAAAATCTTAACAGTAACTCTCATGAAAAATTAATGTATTTTGATGGAAACTCAAATTAATATATTTTAAAGTTTTATCAATCATAATTATTATATACTTGGTGATTTTTAACGAGAGTTAACTAATCTTTTTTTTATAATTATCACGCAAACTAATGAAAATTTTGATTTACAATATTAAAATATTCATAATTTACTAAAAACATAATAATAACAACATTGAAAAGCTTTTAAAATTAATATTTAACTAAATGATGTGACTAATTTAGTAAATGATATGACATTATTCCGTAACCTTTTCCCAACAATTTTCAAGTCAAGTGTCACCATTTAGACCCGTAAATGAAAAAAAAATTAAGAAAGGTTTGATGGGTATTTTTCTTCTTCTTAAAATTGATTTGATGCATCCGCAAGTGGGACGAAGGCATAAGAAAAGAGGCCCTTTTAGGCCCAATAACTGTTTTGTTTTCTTATTTAGATTTCGAATAACTGACACTACAAAAAACGTTATCTTTTATATTTCGAATCCTTGTTATTATTCTTCTCAGTTCTCACTCACGTTGAACCGTACCTTCATATCCATTTTTTTAAAAACAAAAATATATTGGTTTATCCTATTTATCTATACATTGATTTCAACAATATTTTCATATGACAATAATTTATCCCATGCGATGCAGCACAAATTTTGATCTTGGAGACCAAAAAATAAGTACGAATATTTTAGTCTTTTTTTCCTATGCATGATGATGCAATGGAAAGTCGGAAACAAGCCATTGCGTATATTTTTAAAGTAAGAATATTTTTCAATCACCAACTACTGTAGATAACAATAATTCAACGGTATATAAAAAAAGAAGAAGTTACCATCAAAAATTTTAACTACATGACAATAGTAGAAGAAAAATGTTGCCTTCAGAAAACAAAAGAATAAGAAAATCGAAAATTTGACAAACCAAACAAAGAAAAGAAATGAACGAAAGGAAAACAGAAGAGAAACTTTTTTGGTAAAAAAGGAAAGGGTATTCTCTGTACTGTATACGATGGCCATGTGATCAAGATCAAAAATTAGAAACTTCTTTTTGATATTTTCTTGTGGTCCACCCAAAAACGTGATTAAGATATTTATGGATGGCATATATATAATTTAGATTAATATAATATTGATGAAAAAATATCTCTACCCTAAATGTGCTACGTACGATAATATATATTAACACACACGTATACGGTATATATATGTGTGTGTTTGAGTCTTGAATCTTGATGTATTTTATTCCCCTATATCATATATGTCTAATACATGACATATATATAGTAATTTAAAAACAGATTTTAAACATAACGTAAAACTAGAATAATACATTTACATTTAAGTGTGCTGTGTGCATATAATCGTGAAGTGTGGGATCTGGGTCTGCAGTTACACGTCACAACAAACTGACAAGGTTGAATTGAGTCAACGTATGATTGACTTTAGTGGTGATTCGTTGCTCTCTTTTCACAGCTATGCTCAATTAATATTTAATATTCAAGATCTCTGTACAAGAATTATATATGATACACAATAATCATTTCAAATAATTCTCACAATAGTAATGATTTTAGTTATAGACTTATAGTATGTACATATCATAACTATGCTTCATATTTTCCAAAAATCTAGAATGTGATATCAGAAAATTCTAGATACTGATTTTAACACTATAATAAAATTATCTACTAAGAATTCAATATATTGTCGACAACCAATGTAGCATAGATTTTGGTCTCGGAGTTATGATAGTGTTCTTCCCTATATGCATGCATGGTCTTCAGATAATATATACATTCAAAAAATCCGATTAGGCAATATGTAGTTATATACCCAAGCCAATGCACAGATTTGCGCTCTTGAATGGAAGTTGAAATACAAATTTGTCATCTTATGGAGGTTGGAGCTCTAGCACTTTCGTGGAAATAGCGAATAAGGATGTCATTGTCACTTTCTTTTCTCAGCTGGGTGATCAGGATAGCATTTTTAATTAAATGAAAATATGATAATTATCCTTCAACAGTTAGTCACGTGGTTGCTCCTTTTTTGTTACTAATTATGAACACTTGATGTGCTTGTTTATTATCCATGCATATCGTAATTTATATGTACCGAATTATTTAATGTGAAAATTAGAATATAGAAAGGGATAATCAGAAAGATGAAAGAATAAGGAAATGAAAGAAAAAAAAGAGATACGAAAAAGGTAAAAAGCTTTGATTGTATGGTATTTCATGTATTTGTATGTATCTCCTCCGTTTTCTCTTAAATATATAGACTTCATTTGTCTCAAACTTGTCTACATTTGTTAAAAAAAAAAAAAAAAGAAGAAGAAGAATCTTGCCTCTGGTCCACTTCCTCAAAACTCAAGGTTTAGTTCTTAACTAGGGTTTTCATCTAGTCCTAAAAATTGTCTTTAATGTCTTCGTGAAATCCAGATCACTAACGAGAATTTCATAGTAATTGTAGCCGCGAGTCTATCTTCATGCTACCGAAATTCTATTCATTTTGTTGCTCAAGGTTTAATTAACGTTTGGCTTTGCTTTTGCAGAAAAAAATGGATGACAGGGAACTATGGCTTGGAGATTTCAGAACTTGGGTCCGCAACAGCGGTGGTTTTCTCCTAGTTATGGGGTTGGTACCACTTTTTTGCAGTTCGGCAAGCCTTTATGTGATGTTCGTTCGAGACGCCAATAAATTACCAACGTGGTTGAATATACTGCTCTATGTCATATACATTGGTGTCATCATCTACGGAATCGTCTATTCCGTTTACGTTTACAATGGTTACAGAAACGTGTTAGTTGATCACTTGGTGCCTCGAGAATACCCGAACTGTGCTTGCATCGTCAGGGGTTTCGGCAAAGCTTTGGTTTTAGGGTTCTTCGTTCTGGCTGATTCCACTCTCGAGAAGAAAAACAAGGTTTGGGTTATCGTGTTCTGCCTTTCCTCTGTGCTCCATGTCATACATATGATGGTGGTGTTTGGATTTAGAGAAGAATTTGACGTAGCCGGTGGCTTGATCCAAGCCTTCTTCGTCATGTTTTGTGACATCAGCAAGCCAAAAGGGAAGAAGTACAATCCTCTGGTCCTGGTTACGACAGCTATTACTCTGGTCCTGGTTACGATAGTCTTGAACTGTTACAAGACTCTGCTCCTTGAAGGTGTTGCCGTCAGAAGGGAGGAGCTGCCAGTGGTAGTTGAAGGTAATATTAATTAAGAAACAGAAATTAACTTATTAGCAACGTATTAATTGTAAAAAAAACAAATAGCGACATACAGTATATTCTAGTAGTAGATATTTATCTGATTTGCAACGGTTATCAGTTGTGATCCCTTAAGTAAAGGCATTAATATCAGGTTGTAATAGCATCTTTCCTTAATTTTCGGTTATTTTGTTTTCAAATTCTATTAGAAAGTTGGTTTATTTCTGGTTATCTTTGGTTATTGCATTCTGGTTTGGTTTCATTGTGTATGTATATAAGCTTCACGAGTAATAGAAATCAAAATCTTATCCATTCAATCTTCTTCTTCGTCTTCTTTGGGCTCTCTCACAACTAACATGTTTCCCCCAATTTCTCGTTCTAATTCCGGCTATCTTATACTGATTACTTTTTATGGGTTTCCCGAGAAAAATTCTGTCGAATTCAATAGAAAATTGTCACCATGTCGTGCTGTTTCTCCCCGGATTTTGACGTTACCGAGCTCCGGGAGCTCCCTAGGGTCCAATCCAATCTTCACCGACGAAATGCACCACCGGTATCACCGAGCCGGAAGATTGGCTTCAAATCTCTCTCTCTCTCTCTCTCTCTCTCTCGCCCTACGAGATCCACTCATCTAAGTAATTTCGCCTCTGGAAACTCCAATTCCCGGATCAGCTCTCTCCGATTGTACGAGCATTTTGCTCAGATTGTTAACCCAACAATTTCGAAACTTGTCTGTTTCAGTATGAGAGTACCGATTTCTTGAGCTTTAAGAATCTGAGCACGAGGGGGAATTGTGTCCGGTACGGATTGGTCAGTTTGGAGATGAGACTGGGAAAGGGAAGAAGGAGAATCGGAAGGAGGTGGAGGAGGAACGCCGTTGATCTGACCAGTGATAAAGGCTAAACGATCAGATCCTCTTTCTAGGATCTTCCGCCTCCTGGCTTCTCTATTGTTCGACGACATTGCCTCACCGGAATTTTTCTTGTCTTCTGAGCGAAGAAAGGAGGAAAACCAATTCTCGATGGGGAAATATCGTCAGGTCAGCTCAGCTCGGTCCTTTTTAAATCACTTATTTTCTTCATCAAACGCAAATCGTCGTCAGTAAAGAGTTTGTCGCGTTTAGAGTAAGGGGCTTCTTAACGGGCCAATTACTTCAAAAACCTAAATTGATTGGATATGACCAATGTCACGTTCGGGTTAGTAGCAGTTACCATCTTAACTCTGCTTTTCTGTGTTCAGTTCAATGTGGTAAGTTAGTTCCTGAGATGTGAAATATGTGCAGCTGTGGACAGGTACAAAGTGGTTCTTCCCTTGACATTGCTGCACCAAATGGTCTAATTTTGGCAAGGGAAGGACTGGTTGCTGATTCCTTTTCCATGTGTTTCGGGAAGGATCAGTTTTAATCTCAAGATACACTTATGCGCTAAATTTCAAATTTTCAGTCCTTTGCGAAAATTCGATATCCAAAGAATGCGCCTTTTGAACCATGGTGAACTTCATTGCAGCCCAAAATACAACATCACGGTGACACAAGTATGTGAGGGAACAACTCTAATAGATGCTGAATTCAAAGCTCTCTTTGTCATTGGTTAATAATTTACTTATTTGGTGGATCCGATGTATATGATACGACAGTCCCTGAGTATGTAAGGATCTACACACCCTCATATTTTATGTATGTTCCTCGTGGTGCTCAGTTTTGATAACTCTATGATTCACATTGTGTTCTTCAGTTCCTTCTCAGGCTCAAGATAAGAGCCATTCACCGGATCCAAGATTGCTATGACATGAGGTTTCTATCCGTTAATATCTACGCTCAAATTTTTTTCCCTCGGCCTCTCTGCGCAACTCAAATCTAAACATATTTTTTTGCAAAAGGCGGTGATTATTAGCACTGAGGCGAATGCAAGTTTGATACCGAGTTTAAGCCTCACAACAGCCACTTTACCATCAATGATCCAGCCTACAAACTTGATCTCCACCGAGGTCATTCATCTCTTTACTTATTTCTCAATCGTTCCTTGTCTTCCTCAGCCGTACCTTATATTTTCAGTAGCTCTGCATTTTCATAGAGTGACTGAGTGAACTTTTTATATCGTCTGGCCATTGTCAAAATCTCTGAACTCGACATAATCAGACTAATGAACAGTTTCACTTTCTATCGATCCTTGAACATCCGGTAATAATGACCGCACATTGTTTCCTCTACTGAAACAGAAAAGTACATGACTGTATCACTATTCAACAGAGAGGAACTCATCTTAGTGCGGAAACAGTTCGGCTGTAAGTTCCTTTTATTTGCTAGATCACTTAAAACCCGTTGTGTTCTGACTTATGATATGGGAACATCTCTTAACGCAGGCTATGATATCGAAGTGACAAAGACAACTCTTGCTGGAGCAAACAAAACAGAGGCGGTAGCTCCCGCAGTGGCAGCCGGAATCGGGACTCAGAAAAATTCCTCAGAACCACACAAAGTTAACCTATCCATCTCCACAAGTACCTCTACCTCAAACCAAAGATTTCTAACAGTAAAGCTCTAGTCTTTCAGATTTGTGTTCATATTACTTTTTCCACTTTTGTAAATTTGTAGTTTTCTTCTTCAAGCCCCATTCAAAACATAAAAGCCAATTTCTTTTTTTTATTCGTATCATAACGAGATTGGCTTCTTCAGGAAATATATGCTCTTCCACTCTTACTTACCATTTTCATCTCTAGTTTTGACGTTTCTTATTCTCTTATGTGATACCATAGTCAAACCAAATAATGGTTATTGGAGTAGGACGCTGAATATTCATCAGGAAACTTATCAACTAAATTGTCGAGGGTTTGAACTTCAACAAGTCGAGGGTTTGAGCTTGAATCGAGATTGAAAGACTCTTTGTCTCAGATGTAGGGTTTCGTCGATTGTTCACTAGACACTAGCCGTTCAAACATGTTATTGATTTTATTTAAATAGTGACTCACACATCGAAAATGGATTAGTAGATTTAAATTGGTTTATCAAATCAACAATATAGTTTCTAGAGGGGTATTTGCAAAAAAAATGACGTGGTACCAAAACCGTAAACAAATATTTATTTTTAATTGTATTGGGCCTCGAAAGCCACTTTCTGGTCTTGGGCCAAGATTTACTTTCTTTAGTTTTTTGTTTCTCTATTTTCCTGCAACCAATTGTTGGGCCTAAGTCTATTCTGTTATATCCATAAAAAATAAGAAAAAGTCAAATAAACATGAAAACCCTTTCACAATTTTTTTTTAATAAATAACATATATCATGTAAAATTACGTATTATCAGATAAAATAATAGGTTATCTAATAATTAAAACACACCAAAATTGTATATTATTTAAGAAAATATGTAATTAATGACCCAAATTTACTCCTTTTGAGTTTTTTTTTTTCTGGAAGTATTAAGAGAACGTTTTTATTTTAAAATAGATGATGTTTTAAATTTTTAATATAAAATTAATTATTTTTATTATTAGTTTTAAGGATCTATATTTAGATAATTTATAATTGGTTGAATCATGTTTAGCTAGATAGTAAATGATGTTTTTGTCTAAAATGTAAAAAACAAAATTCATTAATATGTGTGCAAAAACATTATTTCCAAAGAGTATATGAATTTGAGCTCAACTCCATTACACTGGATCTCTTTGATCATCGGTTGAATGTTTTCGATCAAGATGTTTGTACAGGCCTCTCGTATAAATCAGAAGAGAAGGATGAATTAAATAAGGGTATAATCTGAATAGTACAAGAACCTCATTAGAAGTTTCCTAGCCACTCCGAAGTGACAAGTGACATCTCCATAATATTTGTTCAAGAGTTGAATTAAGATGAAAGAAGAAAATTAATGAGAAGGAAGATGTATATTTTATATTTGCATTTTGTTTTGCTTACAAGTTAATTGAGTTTTGAGTCAAACTTTTGACATACACACTGACGCACGGCCGGGCTGGAGCATATGCCACATAAGCTAAAGATTAGGATCCAAAATTTTATGAACCATTGAAACTTATAAATTTTCGTTTTTGAAATTTGATTTTTCTAGGTTTTTTGATCTAAAATGTTATTAAAGTGATAAGATTTGTACCAAAATTTTTTTTATTTTGATGATTAATAATTCTCTTACCATTAAAGTTCTCTCTTTCGTTTATGAGTTTGTAACTTTCAAGAATGATAACAAAAAAATTCATGTTTGATTAGGGCCCTCGCTAACGTTGGACTGACTCTGCACTGATGTTAACGTTGGTTTACGTATTACCGACTGAGTTTGTGGTTACAAGTAATTGTTATAGATTCTTTTTTATTGAGAGAAACATGAGCAAATTTTAAGCAAAAATATAAGCATAATATGACCACATTATTATAGATTCCGAAAAAGTCATAAACTTAAGCAAAACTAACGTCTATGAATTACAATAGCAATCATATACTATTAGAAATGAACAAATTATAAAATGAAGAAAACTTATCATTCATATATTTCAATCTTCCACAAGTCATGTTAACATCTCACATAAATCACTACATAACAAAAATAATAAGAATTTATTTGGATATATATAAACAGAATCAAAAACCTATTCTATTTACAAACGTATTTTCCAAAGTTTTTAATCTTCAATAATAAAAATGACTTATTAGATATAAGCTAGAATTTGAGACCAAGTTTTATGTCAAGTTAAAAAAATTAGACTTTTTTTTTTTTTTTTGGTAAGTAAAAAAATTAGACTTTTACAAATGTATTTGTAAACTAAAAAACTTATTATATTCTATTTTTATGGGATAATTAAAATAGGGGTTTTAGAAGAAAAATGAAAATGACAAAAAAATAATCAAACAATACAAGAATAATAAGCAAAACATAAAAGTATATGGAAAAATAAACAAACAATGACAAAAATAGAAGTGACTTTCTTTGAGAGCAAAGAAAATAGAAGTGATTAATATCATATTTTTTTATGTCAGTTGTATTTAGGGTTTTTAGTAATAAAACCCCTCAACTAAAGATGAATCGTAAAAAAACTCCTCAACTATATCTAGTGAAAAAACCCCTCAACTTTAAATATGTTCATGAAAATTCCCCTTCGTCTCCATTGTCGTGAAAATTGGATGGACTACAGTTAAATTGAAACTGAAAAACGATATATATACACTTAAACAACATGAATTGAAACAAAAACAAAAAAATCTTCTTCTATCTGATTATAAATCCTCAAACTAAGCTCTAAAATTCTCAAAGTGAAAAATCTAAATTGATGAACCCTAATTTATCATAGTAAGATTCTTTGAAGATTGTGTGGTGTAGAAGTCGATTAGGAGATATTCTGAAAAACGTTACATTTTAATTTGAATTGTAGTTCGTCCAATTTTCACGACACTGTAGACAAAGGGAAATTTGCATGAACATATTTAAAGTTTAGGGGTTTTTCCACTAAATATATAATTGAGGGATTTTCTTACGATTTATTTTTAGTTGAAGGGTTTTATTACTAAAAATCCTTGTATTTAATATTATTAATTTCCATGTGTTTGTTTTAGATCAACTTAGAGTTCAGTTAGTTGTCTCAGTAATAACTAATAACAAACATAAATAGGTTTGCACTAACAGATTTTACCATTCGTCTTTAATTGAGAGGTTTTACTACTAAAAACCTTTTTTACTTTAGCTATTCAAAATTTATATGTAATAGTCAAACCAAAGTAGACAAAAAAAAAGATAATTTGGTTATTGTAGGACGCTGAATATTCAAAAGGAAATATGATAGAAAATTCAGAATCACGAATAGTTGGCTTTTATACATCCACATTTTAGTCCATTACATAGACAATCATCATAAACCGGATGGAACCACATGTTAGTCCAGGTTCCCATTACGACCCTATGGAGTGTTTGCACCTATATATTAAGAAATTAGTAAACTAATCTAGTTTTTTAGTTAATTTTAATTACGCATGTATCGACATCTGAACTTTTGTTTTCACTTTTCTGGACTCTACCCCTCCTGCTGTAATAAACAAGTACTCCCTCCTCCGACCGTCCTTCTGTTGGATTTTCAAAAGAAAAATTTCCCGTGAATTCACACAACTTTCGCCAGTATTCACGGATAGACACTGGAACGATTTGCCCTGCAGCATCAAGAATTCCTTGCAGTATCCTGCGTGAAAGAACTCATCAACTTAACAAGAACAACAAATAGATTTCGGTTTCGTTGAAGAAATCATGTAAAAGTGATTGGTTGCATGAACTCACTCGTGTACGCGTCCTAGGAAAGTCATCAATCTTGTGCTCTTCTTTAACATCGATGTCATAACAATTATAGATATCAGTGCTCCTCCACCAAGTAAATGATCCATGGAACTCTGGAAACAACATGTTCTTTTTTTTGTAAAAATATGACGGTTATAAGCAAAAATGTAAGGAGACTGGAAAATCAGAAAGGACCTGAAATATCAAAACAGCAGCTGAAGTCCAGACTGACCAAGATACAAAGTTTGATGTGCTAACGTCAATTGAGCCATCTTTATCCAAAACAAATCTCTTGACAGTGAAAAGTCCCAACCATAGTCCAGCAGAATGTAGATGCAACCATAGAACAAATGCCACCTGCAAAGCAAAAATGCGGATAAATTCTTTAAAATGAGCTTTTAACCTGATTCAAGACCTGCATCTACAACAGAGGTAAAGTACCGACACTATTAAAACATACGTACATGTCCAGGAATTCCTTCATCGAATTCCATCAATATAAGCATACTTTGAAACAAATCAGGTACGTAGCGAAAACAGATACCGCCCAAACCAACCTGATCAAAAATGAAGGAAAGTGTATTAATTGTTACTGTAGGATAAAAAGTGGTCGGAGGAGTAAGAGAAAGGACAAAAAACACAACCACCACAGATGAATATAGGAACAATGCTGAAGAACCCAGTCCAGTTGGTAGGCGCTTCAGTCCCTGAAAGAGGATAAGCAATACACCAAGGAATGAACCAACAGTCAACACACAAGTGTAGTAAAATGCTACTGATCTGCTCAGTGAATTAGCAGAACTCAGCAAAACGGTGCCAAGTATTAAGAATACTATGCGAATCATAAACCATTCTGCAAAAGCAGGAAACAGAATTAGGAAGTGAAACCAATGGACAAAACCGTTTAATAGTGTAATTAAATTAGACAGCCAAAATTCACCTTCTACGGTAGACACTTTCATAGTGACCTTGGATGAGCTAGATATTCTGACATCAAGGATTTTGTGGTCGAATAGTGACATTGTCTGAAACCATGAACCATTAGAGACTTTCTCCCATTGATCATCAGGGCACATCCCAATTCCAAGAGAAGGATCCCTTAAAAAGATATCAAGGAAACATTAATGATATTGGAAGAGCTATACGATCATCTATGATATTGGAACTTAGTGACTCTGTTTTGAACTCTGTAATAGAATCACCTGTGGAAGCAAACGTGTGTAGTACTTGTGTTTCCACCGGTTGACACGTGAACCATAAGCTTGAGTGAATGTGCATACTTGTCTACATGTTTAAACCTTGGAAATCCATGGACACGTATCCTCTCACAGAGAGTAATTAAGTCTTGCTTCAGTCTAGAAGAACCATTAACCTTAACCACTAAACTAGGAGTGACTAGAAGCTCTTTGGTTTCTCCCACAACTGTTCATAGCCATAAGTTTCAAGAAATCAACCACGACAACAGATGCAAAAACAAGAATTCAATTCACCCGAAACCGAACATGAGAAAAACTTACCCAACAGTTCCTCAGATGAAACGAGAGACGACAAAGCAAAGACAATTCCTATAACGCGGAGAAGAAGAAGATCACCCATCGATCAATCACTATGATTTCTAGGGTTTCAAGAAAATGGAAAGACTTCTGAGTGAAAGAAAAGCGAAATGGAATAAATAGAAGAAATAAAGTTGATCAACTCTCAGCATGACAAATGTCAACGGGACCAATAGATGCCCATTTCATTTATGGCCCATTTATATGTATATTAACTTCATTGGTTCATGTATTGGAGTCTAGTTCATTTGAAAAATCCATACCAAAATCTTATGTTATTAATTTATGAATCATTTTATCAAAAGCATGCTTCTGTCATTGGTTTTATGATTTCAAAATATTGTTTTAAGTCAACTGTTATTTAATAGCGAAAAAAAAAGTCAACTGTTATTTAATATTAAAGATTGACATTATGTTTTTATTGCACAGTAAATGGGTTTATAAAATAATTATAATTAGGCTCTTCAATCCCTTCTCCATCTTTATTTCTGTAATTGAACTAAACAATAGACTAGGAAGTCATGTATTCTTTGTCAAATATATAGGCTTTGTGGCCTTTGTAATTGTTATCTATCGTGTATCGTCTATTGTGATGGCAGATTAAGCGGAATAATCAGAGAGCTATATAATAACATAACAATTTGGTACTAACAAAAAAAAACATAATGATCTACCAAATCACATAGATGTCACACACCGGATTTGCGCTCTGATTTCTTAAAAAAGTTCAACAAATGAACCACTAAACTCAAAATTTTGGCTTCCATGCATGCATATTAAGATTATTTTTTTATTATTATTATAGAAACTACAATACGGTATGATAAATTCTATAATCATTTGTGTTCTAACATTTATTTAAGTATTAAAACTAAAAATATCTAAAATTTCATAATATCTGATGCAAATCCATGTTAACCAAAAAATAAGTTGATGCATCAAATTAAAGTCTTCTCGTAAGCGATGGTGATTGCTGTTGTAAAAAAAAAAGAGATGAATGCAAGAGGAGTTTTTCAGATCACCATGAATCAAGACTAATTCGACAAGACATCATACAATGCTCAATCTCGCATCTTGTTGATTCTTGACATAAGAACATTAAACAAAAGCTTATTGGTTTCAAGTGAAAACTCGGCAAACTATTCCAAGCTATTAACACCTGCAAAACAAAAATGAGGAAAATTTCTTTAAATGAGATTTATGAGGTCAAAAAAAAAAAAGATTTATGAGGTCACATCAGGTGCAAAGTATGGAGTAATTAAAGATTCGTTAAATTAGTTATGGGAAAACAATTAAAAGTGATGAAAGATATTTAAGGGTATAAGAAAATAATTAAAAGTACAATTATAATCATCGATAAGAATTTTCCGATTTTTCTCCGACTCGTTGGAAAGGTGCATAAGGAGTGCCATGCAAATGTGGTTCTACCCTAAATGTATAGATTCATCTTGCAAATGTGAGATATTATTAAATTAAGAATGGAACACGAACACTCAAAACTTGAAGTGTAAAATTGTCCTTTAACAAGAAAAAATAATAATAACTAAAAAATGTAAATCCTCGTTGGATTGTCTTTCCTGAACTTAAAAATGTGCTTTGAGTATGGACTCTGTTTTTTTTTTTTTTTTTGTTAATCACTGAGGTTTTAACGAATTCTTAATTTCAGAAACTGTTGCATTAACTATTTTTAGTTGACTACTTAAGGTGAACATAATATTAATGGGTTTGGTTAAGATTTTAGATTAATGATGATGGATATGTTTCGTCTTCGATCTGACTTTTCCTCTTATTTCTCAACTTTTTAGAATTTTTATATGATGCACCTAATTAGCTGCGCATGCATGCGTTTAAGATTTAAGTACTTGATACTGGAGAAAAACACTTTTAACTATTTCATAAACCTTTTAGAGTCATCGCCAAAAGGGTCGGTTATAAAAAACTAGTATTTTTTTTTTAAACTAGTAATTAAAATGAAATTTTAATCACAATGCTACAAAAGAAAAAATATCCATAACTTCTTTTGCTTTTCCGTACTATGACGAAGCTAATTAAGGTGCACTCATCATTATTCATGCTCAAAATAATTTAGATTTTGAAATTTTATGTAAGGAAAGATTCAAAAATCTGATGGCTTATTCAGTTTTTACTTCTTAAAAAAATTGAATTTGTGAAGAATACACCTACACAGTTTGTTTTTATAAAGAGTACCTAACAATAAAGAGTATATTTTTCTTTTCTTTTTTCCATTTTTGTTGCATTTAAGAGTATTTAATTCAAGATAACTGTATAATTATTATCTGATCGAAAATGTTTGTTTACTAGTCACTACCCGTTCAAACGAATAGTAGATTGGGGAATATGAAAGATCGATAAACATGTTTATTGATTTTATTAAAATAGTGACTTACACATGGAAAATGGGTAAATAGATGTAAATTTTTATGCAACTTTTAAATATATTTGATATTTTATGACCATTTTTATTCTGCAGTTTTTTATATTATTGATTGAATTTTCTTAAATTAAATATTAAATGATAGTTTTTTTTTCTATTTTTTTTCTTAAAGTATAAACTTTTAACTAAAACATTCTATAATATGAAACAAAGGGAGTAATATTATAATTTGATTATGTGGTCGGTTTATAAATACATAATAGTATATAAAAAATTAATAAAAAAGTATAGATTGGTGATTAAATAAAAAGGTAGCTACGAGATTTGCATATTATGTTTTTTTTTCCTTTAGAGATATAGTTAAACCTCTATAAATTAATAACCTCTCTAAATTAATAAATTCTTCCGGTCCCAAGTTGGGACCAGTGTAAAATATGACATAAATCGATAAATTAATAAGATAATAATTTTTTTGAAAATCTTATGTAAACATATGGTCCCATCTATACCATAAATTAATAATTGTATTAACTTATCAATATATACATATATACATTATATAAATTTATATATGTTATATATGAATTACTATGATATATATATAAAAAATTTGATGAAATTAATATGACTCTATTATTCGAAAAAAATTTGTGTTGTTTTTTAAACTTAATAATTGTTTATCTACTTGTAATTAGTTTTTAAAAGATATTGTTTAGAAATAAAAAAATTATTTTTAGATAGGGTTTTTTAAAGAAATTACAAAATTAGTAAAATCTCTCTATAAATTAATAATTATTAATTTATCGATAAATTAATACCTCTCTAAATTAATAAAATTTGTTGGTCCCAACATTATTAATTTATAGAGGTTTTACTGTATTTCAAATTTAATTTCACTGTTTTCTTAAATTTGATTTCACTTTTTTTACTGATCAAATGATTAGCATACACCCTCAAATTTAAGAAAAAGCCACTAAACCCTCAAATTTAAGAATTTTTTTGACGAATGTGGTTTAATATTACGAGGCCAAAACTAACGTTAATCGTTTTGGTTTCAATATTAGTACTCACGCGAATTCAGCAGCGCGTGATTGTCAATTCCTCAATATCTTCAGATCACAGGCCCTGAAAATTTTTCTTCCCGACAGAGAGAGAGAAGCAGATCGTATCATCATCACGAGACGACCATCACAATAACAGAGAAAGAGAGAGAGAGAGAGAGAGAGGATGTCTGGTGTGGTTGCTCTTGGTCATGCGAGCTCGTGGGGCGCAGCGCTGGTAAGGATCTCGCCGTATACTTTCTCCGCAATCGGAATCGCCATCTCGATCGGCGTCTCAGTCCTCGGTGCCGCCTGGTAAATTCAATCTTCTTCTTCTTCGTCCCCGTAGATTCAAGCATTGACCTTTTTGATTTGAGAGGCATCATGGTTTCACCAATCTTATTTTGCTTTCTCTTATTAAAGGGGAATTTACATTACGGGAAGTAGTTTGATCGGTGCGGCTATTGAAGCTCCTCGTATCACTTCGAAGAATCTCATCAGGTTTGTTAAAGGTTCAAGCTTTTTTAATTCTCGTTTTGTTCCTTTGGTTGATCAATTAGTGGCCATTTTAGGGAACTGTGTAGATTCGATGTCTTGTTCTGAATAGCAATGAGAATCCATCGCTGAGCAGCTTAAATCATATTCGTTCCTGAATGCCACATTTCTGCAAGATTAGATTATCACATAATGATAGAAGAATAAGGATGTAGAATTTGGAATCTCAAGGACTCGTCTGGTTGGTCGGGCTAGTAATTTTGGTGTGTGATGACACACCATGGATCGTGAAGGCTCTGGCTTTGGGGATTCAAGCAATGGATGCTATGATAAATAAGTGCTCTTTTGTCTTTCCACGTATTTCAGCAGAAGCATATATACCAATCGAGATAGCTAAATGTCAAATGAGGGGATATACATTTAAAGTCTGTGCTAACCTAATTTGTGGTGCCTTCGTGCTCTTGATTCTTGGACCGGAGTCACGTACCTAACCACTCAACAATGTCATTACCATTATACCTCATGGGTCTACTGGGTAGAATTAAAGAATGCTTAATAAGGAGTAGCTGTGTATGAAATTTGTTGTTACAGAGCTACAGACTTGGAGTTAGATGCTCTGCAACATCAATGTCAACAGTGTCATTACCACACACCATTTCTGAACCATATTGAGCATTTGGCTGTATAGAGCAGTACTTAGAAATGCTTAAGCAGGAGTAGTTGTTTTTGCATTCTAATTTGTTGTTAACAGAGCTTCAGGCTCAAGATTAGATGCAAAAGGTATGCAATGACGAAGCATTTCTTGTTCTTTTAAACTGTCCCAGTGTCATCTTTTGCGAAGCGGTAGCTATATATGGCGTTATTGTTGCAATCATACTGCAAACAAAGTTGGAGAGTGTCCCATCTTCAAAGATGTATGACGCTGAGTCTCTTAGAGCTGGATATGCAATCTTCGCATCTGGAATCATAGTTGGATTCGCCAACCTTGTATGCGGGTCTGTATCTTTCCTTTTCTCCTTCCTTACAGTTTTGGTTTTTTGGATTGCATTGTCAGATATGCAACGGAGGTCCACATTTCTCTTGCAGGTTATGTGTAGGAATCATTGGAAGCAGTTGTGCATTGTCTGATGCTCAAAACTCGACACTATTTGTAAAGATTCTTGTGATTGAGATCTTCGGGAGTGCTCTCGGGTTGTTTGGAGTTATTGTGGGAATCATTATGTCTGCACAAGCGACATGGCCAACGAAATAGATATATCCGGTCTGTATATGTTGTGGTCTACTTGCAAATCTGGAAAAAAAACATGGCTTCTTGATTATCTTCATTGTTATATGGATACTGATGTCTAGAAGAAAATCATGTGTGAAAACTGAGAACCACTTTTGGATCCTAATTTTTTGTATTTGTTTAAAACTTTGGAATAAGTCACTTTGGAGAACATCTTCATGTTTGTATTCATTCTCTTTGGTTTCTCTTATAAATCAAAGACAAGAGTTTGTATATGATTTGTTTTTGATTCAAAATTGAAATTGTCATTCTATCAATTTGTTTCCTCACTTATGATTATAAGATCTCCTGCAATTATGTTGTTCATACAAATGGTCTTGCCTCTTGCACACAACATACCCAACTAAACCAATTAAAAAATTCAATGTACAACAAATTGCATACTAAGCAGAACCGGTTTAACTTAAACCAAACATTGAACTGAACGATGTCGTTTCAAGTATGATATTTCGGTGGCTGTCCCGTTCCTGGAACCTGGAGCTTTTTGTTGTGTGTTGTGTCCCGTAAAACCCTAAACATTAGACACTTCATCGTCTCTCCTCCACCATATCCTTCAATCTCCGTCTTCCTTCTCCATCTCATCTCCATCTTTTTTGCGACCTCGTCTCGCAAGCTCACAAATTTTCTACCTTTCCGGTGAGTCTGTTTTCGTTTCCTCGCTTGTCTTTTTTCTGGGTTTTTAGTTTCCGGAAGATTTTTCTTTTAAAATCCGTTTTTGAATGCGAATTCCCTCTGCTGTGTCTAATATTTGGTAATTTGAGGTATGGTTTCGATTTTCGCCACTGCTGTCTCTGTCTCGGATTTTACACGACGTCGGTGTCTGATTTTCTTCAGTTTGCTGATAAGTTTTAGTCTTTTAATAAGTCAGAATAGAAACAACCTGCTCTGTGAGATTCTACTTTAGTTTGTTTTCTCTGTTTGTTTTCAAGTTCCACACATCTTTTGTTGTTCACTTTTGGGAAAGTTTGCGATAAAACAAGGATTTTTACATTTTTTTGACATATATATTTGAGTCGAGAATATTTTTTCAGATATCTAGCTGAGATAAATTACTGGTCTCTCTGTTTATTGCGTTCATGTGACATTCGGAGTTTTTGAGTGTAGGAGTAGAGAGAAAGAATGCAAGCTTGTTGTGGTGGTACTTCGATGGCTTCTCTTCAGCAACCTGGACGGGTTCAAGGATCTGTCTTTCCGCCACTAATGCCTATAGTGACCAAATTTTCTCAGCAATTGAAGTTCAATTTTTCAAAACCTTTCCGTTCTTCTTTTCTGGAAAGAAACTTGGTCTTTGAAAGGAGAGCATCTTCGGTCTCGCTATCTAATGTCGAGATGAGCAGTAAGAGAGTTTCATTTTCATTTCCTTTATTATGTTGATGATGTGAAAGACATTGTTACTTAATTCCATTCGTGGTTTTGATTTCTTTTACTTTATAATGACTGATATTTAGGCAAAGAAATCCCTTTTGCGGACTATGGTCTCGGTGAAGTTGATCCAGAGGTCCGAACCATCATCACAAAGGAGAAAGATAGACAATTCAGGAGCTTGGAGCTGATTGCTTCTGAGAACTTCACGTCTCGAGCAGTTATGGAGGCGGTTGGATCATGCCTTACCAACAAGTATTCTGAGGGACTGCCTGGTAAAAGGTAATGAAGTATGTAAGATTGATTTTTGTGGCGCACTTTTGTCTCATCTGCTAGATTTCATTGTTTTTCTGTTGTCCATGTCTCACAGATATTATGGTGGCAATGAGTACATCGATCAGTTGGAGACACTTTGCCAGAACCGGGCTTTAGCAGCCTTCCGCTTAGATTCTACGAAATGGGGGGTTAATGTTCAGCCGTTATCTGGTTCACCTGCAAACTTTGCTGTCTACACTGCGATACTTAGCCCTCATGATCGGATCATGGTTAAGATCTTTTGCACTTTTCACCTCATCTTTTCTTGTGTGCTTGAGATATTGAATATAATGGCTTGTTTTATATATTTAGGGTTTGGATTTACCTCACGGTGGTCATCTGTCGCATGGGTTCATGACTGCTAAAAGGCGTGTATCTGGAACTTCAATATACTTTGAGTCCATGCCTTATCGACTTGATGAATCAACAGGTGGTGCTTTTCTTATGAAAAGTGTCTCTGCAACTACTTTTGTATGAGGCTATTTCCTGATGTCTGAAAATATTTGAACAGGCATTGTTGACTACGATATGCTCGAGAAAACTGCTACACTCTTCAGACCAAAGCTTATTATCGCAGGAGCTAGTGCATACAGCCGAGATTTTGACTACCCTCGCATGAGGAAGGTAGAAACACAACCTGATCTTTGAAAATACCTTTCGTGTTTCTGTCTACTTTTGGCCTTCAATATAACCTGATATTTCATTTTCCTCACAATTTGTATGAATTTCTGAAGATCGCAGACTCAGTTGGTGCTTTTCTGATGATGGATATGGCTCATATCAGCGGGCTTGTGGCTGCTTCTGTGGTAGCTGACCCTTTTGAGTATTGTGATATTGTTACAACAACAACTCACAAGGTATGTCTGTTCTGAAATCTGAAACAGAATTTCCATTTGTATTTAGACAAAAAAGCGTTTCCAAATGAACCCATTGTCTGATAGTAATACACTTTTTCTTACTAGTCTTTGAGAGGTCCGAGAGGTGGCATGATCTTCTTCAGGAAGGATCCAATTAATGGGGTTGATCTTGAATCTGCCGTAAACAATGCTGTCTTCCCTGGTTTGCAGGTTGAGATATTCACCATTGCTTCTACCTCTCTTAGATAATTCTTCTTCCAACGTGATTAAAATTTGCCTGTGTTGTATATTTGTAGGGTGGCCCTCATAACCACACAATTGGAGGATTAGCAGTCTGCTTGAAACATGCACAATCACCGGAGTTCAAGGCTTATCAGAAAAGAGTACCCACCCTTTTACTTGATCATTAAGTTCTTCTGCACTGGGTAAAGTTTGTAAATTTTACTTCTAACGAAAATCTTTTGCTGCTTGGTTAGGTTGTGTCTAACTGTAAAGCTCTAGCTAACCGATTGGTTGAACTCGGGTTTAAGCTGGTTTCTGGTGGCAGCGATAACCACTTGGTTCTTGTCGATCTTAGACCCATGGTAAGTTTACAAACTGTATTGATGGCCCGAATCAATCGAGTTTTTTTCTCAAACCAGAGAATCACTTATCATAATGCGGTATCAATCTGACATTTTTGTTGTGGTTAGGGCATGGATGGTGCTCGGGTTGAGAAAATCTTAGACATGGCATCTATTACTCTTAACAAGAACTCTGTCCCTGGTGAGTTTCTTACCTTATTCTCGGTTTTCTTTTCCAATTTGAAAATTCCAATTCCGAGAAAGCACTTTTAAGTCTAAATGAAGTCGATAAGCAGAAGTTGTAGAACACAACTGTTAAAGAAATGCTTGATTGTTATATCAAAAATCAATCGATGTTTGTTTGATTTCCCTAAGAGTAGTGAAATTGAGAGAGTGTTGTTGTATGTGTAATGGTGAAACAGGGGATAAAAGTGCGTTGGTACCAGGAGGAATAAGGATAGGATCGCCTGCGATGACGACAAGAGGACTGTCAGAGAAAGACTTTGTAGCAGTCGCTGACTTCATCAAGGAAGGTGTGGAGATAACAATTGAAGCCAAGAAAGCTGCGCCGGGTTCAAAGCTTCAAGATTTCAACAAGTTCGTGACTTCTCCTGAATTTCCATTGATAGAGAGAGTGAAGAGTCTCAAGGAAAGAGTGGAATCCTTCACCTCTCGTTTTCCAATTCCTGGCGTTTAAGCTATATAAACACAGATATGCTCTTGTTGTACCTTATTTGTTCATCTTTTTATGTCTTTTAGGGTTTTTTACTTGCTTGTGTCCCAAGTTTGAAAGCCACATTTGAATCGAGAGAAAGTCAAAAACTATTTTCAAAATAATTTTATTCGTATCATTGTGGGATAATGATTCTTCTATAGTTCTATATCTCGAAAAAAATGAAAAATGTAACTTGAAATTTGTATAATCAAATTGATGTGAAAGATGTCAAAAACAAAAAAAAATTGATGTGAAAGGAAAAAAAAAAACAAATTTGAAAAATAGTATTTAGCGAAGAGAGCAAATATTTCGCGGGATGTGGCGAATATATCTCACACAATCTCTCTGTCTCTCTCTTTCTTTCATGCGTTTTTTGTTTAGCCCTTTCGATTTCATCTCTCTCCTCTGCCTCCTCTCAGGCGCAGACTCTCTCTCTCTCAAACAGAAAGAGAGAGATCCAAATTCAACGATAACAGATTTTATCTGCTTTTTTTTTTTCCTTCTCCCTCCCTCCCCACCGGAATATATCTAACCGGAATCGGATCTCTCACGTTGGTCGAGTTTTCTATTACGGCGGCGGCCATCGCTTTCTTCTTCTCCTCCAGGTGCGATCATAGCTTCTTCCTCCAGATTTTGGTCATTGATTCCAATTCGTCTTTGGATTTTGTTTTTTGTTTTGATCGATTTGTTTTATTAGACAACATTTGCCATACGTTTTTGCTATTGAAGGCTGAATCAACCTTTTGTAAATTGTTTGGTTGATTTGCAAACTCAAGTTTTTGGATAAAGCTTGGCTTTGGTTTAGAGAATCATTTGTTGATTTGAAGTTTTGTTGCATGCATGGATCCACACAGGCCTTCATTGGTATTGCTGATTCCCTGAAGGTCAGCCATGGAGGGAGTTAAATTCCCATTTGGTGGGATTATTAACGATTTCAACGGAAGAAGAAAGTGTTACAAACAAGACTGGCTTGCTGCCTTCAATTCTGGTGTTAGGTATCATCATGTCTTCATGCTTATTTCATCAACTTCGCATTTCAATGCAAACTTCTTATGCTATGTAACTATGGATTTCAGGATACTGGCTCCAACTCTGTATATTTTCATTGCCTCTGCACTACCTGTGATTGCTTTCGGTGAGCAGTTAAGCAGAGAGACAGGTGAGCGAGCTACCGCAAAAGTATATATATATATGAATTAGAGTTGTGTTTCTTCCTCTGATGGGTTCATTTCTCTCTCTCTTGCTTTAGATCGCAGTCTTGGCATAGCGGAATCATTAGCTTCCACAGCTATTTGTGGAATTATTCATTCAATTTTTGGTGGACAACCTCTCTTGATAGTAGGGGTTGCAGAACCCACAATCATTATGTATACATATCTTCACAGCTTCAGCAAAGGCAGGCCTGAATTGGGTCAGAAACTCTACTTAGCTTGGGCTGGATGGTATGTACATTTCTTATTTTCCTTTCTCTTGTTTTTGCTGATTCCTCTTTTCATTGACATTGAAACTCTTTGTTGTTTTTCTTTTTTAACAGGGTCTGTGTCTGGACAGCAATTTTGCTTATGCTTCTTGCTATGTTAAACGCATGCAACATCATCTCTAGGTTTACAAGAATTGCAGGAGAGCTCTTTGGAATGCTTATCACTGTTCTTTTTATCCAAGAGGCTGTTAAGGTTCTGATGGGTAATTCCATGGTTTAAGTCATACAAAAGTCTTTTAAACATTTTTTAACTTAAGAGGTGTTATATTTTCCTAATGCAGGGACTTATCGGCGAGTTTCTTGTCCCAAAATCTGACGATCCAAGTTTGGAAGTGTATCAGTTCCAGTGGCGGTATACCAATGGTCTCCTTGCCGTCATATTCTCATTCGGTCTTCTTTACACTGCTCTGAAAAGCAGGAGGGCAAGATCATGGAAATATGGCTTTAGTATGTGAAATTTTTGCCTTGGCTTTATAGATAGATACTTGACAAGATCATTGAACAATAACTAGCTTCTTTTTTGCAGGGTGGATAAGAGGTTTTATAGGGGATTATGGAACTCTCCTCATGCTTGTGTTGTGGAGTGCATTTTCATACACAGTCCCTAGAAACCTTCCTGAAGGAGTTCCAAGGAGGCTGGAGTTGCCACTTCCTTGGGCATCCGAGTCCTTGTATCACTGGACAGTTGTCAAGGTACTAATACTACCTACCTTGTGATTTGTGATATGACAGTTTACAACAGAGAAAGACCAATCATTGCTTTTGGTCTAACATTTCAGGATATGACAAAGGTCCCGCCTCTTTACATCCTTGCTGCATTTATACCAGCAATCATGATCGCTGGCCTATACTTCTTTGACCACTGTGTATCTGCACAAATGGCTCAGCAGAAGGAGTTTAATCTCAAAAATCCCTCGGCTTATCACTATGATATCTTTATCTTAGGAATCATGGTATGGTTATGATGATGGCTTGCAACTTCTGTATTCTTTAGCACTGCTTCATTTGTTTTAGTTTTAAATGAATGCATGAATCAAATACTAATTCATTTCTAAATTATTGTAGACATTAATCTGTGGCCTACTTGGACTCCCTCCTTCGAATGGGGTCATTCCACAATCCCCAATGCACACAAAGAGTCTTGCAGTTCTTAAGAAGCAGGTTAGAGAAAAAGCAGAACACTCTGATTGAATCCAGTTTTCCCTTAATTTTGACGTGGTTTGAAACCTGAAACGTTTGAGTATATCAATTGCAGCTAATGCGAAAGAAAATGGTCCAGAAAGCAAAAGAATGCATGAGGGAAAAAGCAAGCAACTCAGAGATCTATGGGAGGATGCAAGATGTGTTTATAGAGATGGAAACATCCCCTAAGGCACCTAACCATATCTGTCTCTTTAATTCACTCCCTCTCTTTTTTTTTGAGTTACCAAGAAGTTAATTTCTCATCAATCGTATCATATTGAAAATTGTCAGGCTACTTCAGTGGTGAAAGAGTTAGAAAACTTGAAAGAAGCAGTGATGAAAGCAGACGATGGAGGTGGAGAAACAAAGGGGAAGAAATTCGATCCAGAGGTACATATCGAAGACCATTTGCCGGTTAGAGTAAACGAGCAGAGAGTGAGCAATCTATTGCAATCAATCCTTGTTGGATTGTTGATACTAGTTGTACCAGTTCTCAGAATGATACCAACTTCAGTTCTATGGGGTTACTTCACTTACATGGCTGTTGATAGTCTCCCTGGGAATCAGTTCTGGGAAAGACTTCAGTTACTATTCATCACTCCTGGTCGTCGATTCAAGTACTGAAACTCTTCTTATTCATCACAACCTCTGTTAAAATTTTTATAAAATTTCTGATTTGTCTTTGTTTGTGTGTGTGAACAGAGTTCTTGAAGGTTTACATGCATCATTTGTGGAGATAGTACCATACAAGTCTATTGTTATGTTTACACTCTTCCAGCTTCTGTATTTTCTGATATGCTATGGAGTGACATGGATACCTGTAGGAGGAATATTGTTCCCATTGCCATTCTTCATCCTCATTGCGTTAAGACAATACATCCTCCCTAGGCTTTTTGATCCATCTCATCTCCAAGTTTTAGATTCTTCAGAGTATGAAGAGATGGTTGGTGCACCACAACGAAAATCCAGCTTCGGTTTCAATGGGGAATTAGGAGAGGCGCATAATATTCCACTGAGTGTTGTTGAGAACAGTGAAGACGAGTTTTATGATGCAGAGATTCTGGATGAGATTACTACAAGCAGAGGTGAACTCAAGCATAGAACTTTAAGTGTCAAAGAAGACAGATCCCAGATGGTAAAAATATATAACCATTCTTGAAATCGATCTTTCAAAAATGGACACTCCTAAGTCTTTTACATATTTTTTCACTTTATTCTCAGGTATATCCAGAAAACAGTGGACACTCCTAAGTCTTGTTTGAAAGAGAAAAAAAAAAACCTTGTGAAGATCTTTGCTTCGAAGAAACGGCAAATTAAAAGGGTAAGAAGAAGTAAGCAGAGAAAGGATGGGGGAAGAGAGGATACAAACAAGTACAAACTTGCTGATTGTTTCTTCTATGAAACATTTTTTGGTTTCCTCACTTTTTGTTATATTTTGATGAATCTGTTTGCTCTCTACAATTTTCTACTACACAACAACAACAACAATGAGAAAAGAAGAAGTATAGATCACTAGACAATTCTCTCATTTCTGCCTTTAGGGCTAAAAGAGGAAGCTTTTTGTTACTTCTTTTTGTTTGTTAGAAATAAAAGCAGGATGATTGAAACTCTAGTGCGAAAAGGAGATACTCAAATTTCACTGCCATATCGAGTCACTGGTTAAGAATCATTTATAATCCTTGGGGATATTTGATTTGCACGATTATGTTAGATGTTAGTCGTTCAAATAACAAACTGTCTTCTTCTGCAAGTAATCGTTTTCATGATCTTCCTCCCACAAAAACTGTTGACAGAGTATGTACTGTCGATTATAATGACTATAACTTATAAAATCCCTTAAAATCTATATATTGAATTTGCGATTTCTTCAAGAAACCTTGAGAAGAAGGAGAAAATCGCCATCTCTTACAATCCTGATGTCGTCGATTTCAGCTCCTTCTCTGCTCAGAATCTTTGTGGCTACGAATCCCAGCTTCTTCTCACCAATTTCAATTAACTCTTCAAGAGAATCCGGTAGCTTTACTACTTTACCGGAGGAGGAAGCCTCACCACTGATGGTCACTCTCGCCGGATAAACAACACTAACTCCTTCACTTATTGCAGTTCTGGTGGATACTCCTCCTTCATCACCTGAATCAATTGAAAGATTGAATTCATTACTTAACCATAATCTTTGTTAATAGTAAACGCAAACGCCAAAAACATATGGACGAAAAAACTTTGTTTGCATTTACACTTTAATGAAAAGCTGAAAGAATCGCAACTTAAGTCAAGGATGGAGAGAGCAAGAGGCGTTTTACCACTGTTAGCAGCTGACATGATACCAAACAGTGAGTTCTTGAAATTACTGAGCTTCCGTCTCTGAGAAACGGCTCGGGCCAGAGGCGGCATTGCTTCCCTTGAATGGTGGTGAGTCATTACAGGCTCGCTGGAATGCTTCATCAATGGTTTAATCTCTGGTGTGCCAGAAACAAATATCGATTTCCTCTCCACTGGTCTCTGATTATGAAACAAAACCTTGATATCTTCATGTCCTTGATGCTCAGCAAGAGTACGAGCCGTCCAACCATAAACATCTGGCTTGTCCATATCAGCTCCTTGCTCTAACAAGAATTGTACAATCTCCATGTTTCCTTCTGAGACTGCTCTGTGCAGAGCTGTGGTTCCGTTGACATCTGAGAGTGAGATATCTCCGCCGTATTTTAGAATGTCTTTGAGCGCATCTAAGTTGTTTTGTTCAACTGCTAAGCATGAGAAATATCCTACTGTGTCAAAACTTAGCGTTGCACCATTTTCTGATAAGAGTTTAGCAATTTCTTCATGTCTCCCAATGATTGCTTCCCATAATGGTAAATTACCTTCTGAATCTGCAAAATTAGATAAACAATTATATAACTAGACGATCACCAGATTATAAATGCAAAATGGACTCATAAAACCTTGTTATATTTTACCTCTAATGTTAGGATCTGCTCCATGCTCGAGAAGTAATACAACGCAATATTGGCTTCCTTTTGATGCTGCTATATGCTGAGATAAATAATACACACACACATAAAAAAATACATATAGAGTGAGGATTTTGATTTTTTTCTTGGAGTGAAAAATGATGCGATAGTTTGTTTGTACAGAGGCTTTCAGGGCTTACCAACGCCGTTCGACCGTTCTTATCGGTTTCGTTAGGGTTTGAGCCTCGTTTCAGCAACTGATGCAGCAGTAAATCGTCTCCTCTGGCTGCTGCAAAACATAAGCTGAGAGGTAAATCCATTTTCCCCTGAGCCAACATGGCTTCTGTCTCAGCCAAAATGCCTTTCATCACTGGATCTTCTGAGTCTTTCAGATGCTGCATTAGACAATAACATATCCCAGATGAGACAAAATACTAAACCCGCTAAAATGTTGTAGTCGCTATTTATAAGGAAATAGCTTTGGACTAACCTGAAGAAGATTATTCATGATTATTGCTCCATCACCAACGTTTGCCTGAACAAGATTTAAGAATGCTGTACGGTTCAGACGAAGCAATTGACTTAATCGCTTGGTTCGAACTGTGAACAACTGTGGCCTGTAACATAGAACCCCAACTTCACCAAAAACATGACCTGTCTGTGCTTCACCAACTACCTGCAATGAATACACAAATCACAACTTAAAAACCGTTACAAAATGGGAATAACAATGCGGATTTTACCTGATCCACTCCATTCACACGTGCAATGATGTCCTGTCATATAGTAGAAATGTCAACTAATATGAAAAAAACTAGGAGAAGTAGAATTGTTTAGCTGCTGTAACCAAAACAACTTACAACAGCTCCTGTGACCATTATGTAAAAGTCTGACGGTGCTTCATTCCTCAAAATCACATCTTCTTTGGGAGGAAAATACTCGGCCTTCATCTCAGAGACCTACATAATATCAGAACTCAGAAGGTTAACTGTGTGTTTTCATCAAGAGTGAATATCTTTGCCAATGACAAACATACCAATTGGAAAAGAAGATCATTGGATATTCCATGGAATAAGTAGGTCTTGTCAACAACTTCGTAGAACAGATAATGCGATATGCTGGAACGAATAGCCTTGGGGAGGGAATCAATAATTTCTTTCTGCTGTAGGCCTTCTGAATCGGTTCTGTACCTCAAAGACAAATGAGCTACCATCTGTTCTTGCAAGCCCACTGGAAGATTGTTCCTCTGAGCAAACGCTGATGCAGCTTGGATGGTATCTCTCTGAAATAACGAAAATGAACAAGATAAATCAAAACAAAATAAAACGACACTAGCAGGAGGATAAGACAATAGTTAGTTGAACTTACAAAGTTTATGGTGCGACTGGTCACATGAACCACCAAATTGGTCATATTACCAATTATATAAGCTAGCAATCCAAGATTAAAGATCATGTAGAAGAGAATGAAGGCCCTCTCTTCTGCATTATTACCATGTATATCACCATAACCCGTTGTTGAGAAGGTTGTTATGGACCAATACATTGCTGTAACATACCGGATAAGCAAAGATTTCTGTTTCCAGTTTGCCTCCGCAAGTGCCATAAATGTCATTGAAGGGTCTGGATAATGTGCAGCAATAGAATAGCAGAAGCAGGCGCCACAATGAACCACAAAGAGAGCAACCTACATTACGACCATTAATGTCTTAAACTGACTGCAAAATAAATATAATTGCTCAATGTATCGTGTACAGCTAGTTACTAACGAGGAGGAGCTTTGTGCATCGAATCCAGAAGTAGTTGTATTTCCGATCTTTCTCCAATCTGAAAATTTCAATACAGAGTAACTAAGAAAGACAATTACAAAGAAGAGAAGAGCTTCATGATCCGTCTAATCAGTATCATAGAGCTTTTCAAGAAACCGCATTCCCAAAATTTGTAGACATATATAATAATGGATAATGATACACATTAAAATCTCACCTGGCAAAACATTTACTGACCCTGCGCAGACGCCATAAACGCAACATACTGAAAATTCCATAACCTTGAATAGTGTTATGCAATAAGCTGGCAAAAAGTTCATAAGGAACTGTAGATACCACATCAAAAATCAGCCATGTCGAGGTATATCTCCAAGCTATTCTCTTGGGATCATCGACTAGAAGATAAGTTGCCTTGTCCAAGAAGGCAACAAAGAATGTCAGAACAATATCGACAGCGAAGAACCCATTCACCACGTTATCAAGAATACTGAGAGGTGCTCTTGGTGTTTGAAGGAACCCAAACTCAAAAGGCGAAGCCCACGCTGTGTAAAGCACCAAAATCACAAGAAACCAATCCCAAGCTCTGAAAAAATTTCAACATTATGCCACTCATCATCAGTGATACTATCATAGACATAATTACATACAATGTAACTGATGGACTTGGTGATAATGTAACTACTAATGTACGAGGATAAAGAGAGAAAGAACACAAAAAACTCTTTTCAGAATTTACACTAAAGTACTTTAATGCATAAGCAAACCCTACACAGATTCAATTGAATAGCTAAATTAAGAGATCACGGAATTAGTGTCTCTTCAACACAGGCATTACATCGAACAGTTTAGAGTCATCGAAATTTCGAAACAGTTTCACAGTTTTGAAGAGAATCGATATCATTTTAACTTCAATGTAGTAGATACTATAAATCTCTCCAGATATCTCAGAAGAAGAGACGCTAAAACAGTTCCACAAGACATGCATCAACGATTCATGAATAACAAAATCTCAATTTATATAGAAGAAACAAAACAGAGAATCAGTTAGCGAAAAAATCATCGTACCTGTAGCGAGGATCGAAGGGAGAGACGATGAAGCAGCGGAGCTTAATGTGACGGCTAGAGCGAGCGGTGGCTCCGACTCCAAGCGGCGGAAGAAGACCTTTGCTAAAGCTGTAATGACTCATTGTCCCTTCTCTCGATATATGCTCCGCCGCCACATCCTCCGCCTCCCTAATCACTCCACCGTCGTGCTTCTCCGGCCAAAACCACACCATCTTCTTCTTCTTCTCCACACCCATACCGATCGATGATTTTGAAAGTGAAAAAAAAGCCGTTCACGTTCCGTTGTCGAAGTAATGGTGGTGCGTGTGATTTATTATGGTTGAGAGAAGAAGCGTGTACACATGGGTTGGTCTCCTCCCGAGAATTCGTTCGTTTGCTCTCTCTAAACTTGGTGTGACCTTTCTGGTTTTATGTATTTTTACGCTTTTGTCCTTTCTGCAACTAATTTCCCTCCTTATAAAATGTTATCAATTCAATTCTCCTAGATTTCTTACTAAAAAAAAATAAAGATTCGTTTGACGAAAACTCTTAACGCATCGAGTAAAAAAAATATCTATAGGGGTAATATAGTATATTTGACGCTTCATTATATTTTGGTCAACATTTAATTGTAAAGTTCAATATTAAGAAATTTCCCTAAATTATTAGGGTTGTTTCCAAAATACCATAAAACTGTTGATTTTCAAAACTATCTCGAAATTTTGGTTTAAGAAGGGTTACTAATTTTTGTGAACAAATCATTAAGGAAATAATCCTTAAAAAAAACAAAGAATCTCTTGTAAAGATTCCTTACTAAACCTAAAATAAATGTTATTATTGCAATTCAACATTTTGGTGGTAGATATATTCGTATTCAAAAAAGTAAATATAATAGGAAAAATAAAAGTAAATGTAATAAGATTAAAAAAAAGGAAGATAAATATAAAAAGGAAATTTTCTTTTGTAAGTATGTATGTCTTTAACATATAAGACGTATTCGAATTTCGGAAAGTTATGAATATAATTGTCGACCAATTCTATTGACAGTCAAGTGTGAAAGATGAATTTCTTCTTCCAAGAATTACTAGAATAGCTCAGTCAAACAATTTTTGGCTAGTATAACATTTTTGGATATCGGAATCTACAAATAATAATATTTACAATCACGATCCTATAAGCTTTTCATTTATTACATATACACGATGTTTGTTCTGTGTCTTGCATAAATTTGAGATGTAACTTTCATAATACCTCTTGAGTTTTGAAAAACACTTCATATTTTTTGTCCTTGATCTAATAGTATAAAATAGAACAATACGTTATAAAAGTTTTGAACTTTTAAAATTAAAGATGAATTTGAAGTACTTGATGAGTAGTTAAAGATCTGACTAAAAATATTTTTGTAGGTAGCCGTTAAGTCTATTGCATGTCGAAACGTGTAACAAAAGAAAGAGATGAGAGCAAGAAAGAAACGCTTCTACTTAATTGGCATTTTCTCTAGATATTGATGCAAGGCCAAACGCTTCACCCAACGGCTATAAATCTCTTGTCTACTTTCACCATAAATACACATACAAGCAAGCGCCCAAAACACACAAAATTAACGAGTTAAGCTATAAGAGAGTTGAGAGTTGGGGTTAATTAAAGTTTTGGCTCGGATATCTATGGTTATGATCAAAATGTTTGATGTTTACTTGATGATTGTAATGTTGATGGGTTTGGGGTTTACTATAGGGTTATCAAATGGGCACAAGTTTGATGTTGGTGGGAGAGATGGTTGGGTCCTTACTCCTTCCGAGGATTACTCTCACTGGTCTCACCGAAACCGGTTTCAAGTCAACGACACTCTTTGTAAGTCTCTCTCTTCTCTTCTATTTGGACACAGTTAATGTGTTATTGTGTCACTGATGCATGATTATATCAATTGTTGATTTTGCAAGATTTTAAGTACGTGAAGGGAAAAGATTCAGTGTTGGATGTGAGTGAAGAAGAGTACAAGACATGCAACACGACTCACCCTTTGGCTTCCCTCTCTGGCGGTGACTCTCTCTTCCTACTTAGCCGCTCAGGCCCCTTCTTCTTCGTCAGCGGCAACTCCGGAAACTGTCTCAAAGGTCAAAAGCTAGCCGTAACGGTCATGTCTACGGGACACCACAGCCACACTCCTCGTCATCCCTCTCCTTCCCCGTCTCCCTCAGCATCTCCGGTCCATCAGGCTTTGTCATCGCCAGCGCCCACTCCGGTCCATCAGGCTTTTTCATCGCCAGCGCCTACTCCGGGAGTGGATCCCTCCGATTCAGAAGTTCTTGCTCCGGCTCCAGGGCCCGTGGCAGCAGTTCGCAATTTGGCCGGTTCCGTTGGTCCGGGGGTGGTTTCCCTAGGCTTGGTTCTTGTGATTATGATAAGTTCCATGGTTTAGGGTTTATGGATTGTCTCTGGTCATATAATTTGTGAGAGTATCAGCTTCTCCACAATTGAGTTTTAATATTAATGTATTTTTTATTATGTTTGTCAATCCTTGTTTGTGTTCAGTTATGAACTTATGATCATGGTAATGAGTACTTGTAGTATTCACATAGCTCATGCAAAACTTCATCTAATTAAATCTTGGGACGATAATGATATTCGTTGAAAAGCATGTACTTTTCTATATTCTCCATTTATGATCTGGCCCATTTCAATAAATTTTACTTTTGTATATGTGAAAAATGAATTAATTTCTAGTGAACGATTTAGATATAACCAAATTTTTGTACAAAAAAAATACATTGATCAATCAACTCTAAAATAACGAGTCGCAAAATAATGTACCGTGTAAACGACGTTGTCGTTCCAATAATAATTGTGGACAGGGCAATATCCCATATATAGCTCTGTTTTTGAAGTAATTCGTGACTAGATTCTTACTGCTCTGCCGAAATAAGGTGATACTTGCACCTCTACTCAATTTTATATATTACGCTACATAGTAACAGATTAATTTCTTTCATAAACTTTGTGTAGAACTTCATAGGTGTCAAGGATCACCCTGATCAAATTTAGGCTAAAATTTAATATTGAGCCAAACAGAAATACGTGTACTAATATGATGATTGTTGGCGTTTGCATTGATCCATTACATGAATATCTGGCCTACCAGTTGATCTTTTTTTATGTGAATTTGTCACGTTTTGTTCACTTGCCAAATAGAAAAGGGTTAAGTGATTCTTGCAAAACCGCGTTTGTTGACTTAAAACAATGATTACATGGGGAATTCATCCATATTTTATATCTAACCAAGGAAAGAAATTAATTTTCTTAATTAAAATACCACTTTGTATACTATAATGGTCCCAGAAATTGCCCTGTTTTGGACACATCACAAAATTAGCTGAGACAATTTCACGCAAAATCTCAAAGCGAAACTCATTTCACTTTATTTCCCCCTAAACTTATCGTATTCGTAGGTCTATATAGTATATATATATATATATATATATGTCTCACACAACCGCTACGGCGGTCGGACGGCCCATTCCAGCACCAAAAAGACCATTATTCAACATAGAAACCCTCTGCTTTGCCACCGGAAACATGTCCTCCTCAGTTTCGGACACCTGCGACACCGATTTTCTCTCAGACGTTCCAAGCCATTTGGCCTGCATGTACTTGTGTTTTCTCCAAGGACCCATGTGCATCTTCTTGTCTTTCATACACTTCTTCGCAGCGGTGCACAATATTTTTATCAAAGATTTTAGCCTCTCCGTTTTCCCGACGTACACTTCCGGTAACATTCCGATGAGTCGCTTGTACTCGTCACTGCCTCTCGCCATCTCAAACTCCGCCCTAAAACATAGTTCGATCACCACCCGGATCTCGCCTTTCTTTGAAACCGATTTGTCCACGACCTCCAAATATTCATGCTCACCTAATGTTTGATAAATAAACGTCATGGTTAGTTCAAACTATTATAGTTAATGACAACTTGTTTTAGGGGCGAAAACGTTCAGGATATATTTATTTATTTAGAATATCTAGATAATTCCGTTGACGTGATTTCTTAATTAGTGATGTAATTAATAAAGATACGTGAAAGTTTCAAAACATGTCTAAATTCATACGGAATCTTCTAAACAATACTAATCCGAAAATCACAAATCACCTTCCATAATTAGGAAATGAGAATACTGAGAATTTAAAGATTTGAGTAAAACGGGGTTGATTCGTTACCTGCAGGGATCTCATTAGAGCTTCTCCACTTGGATTTGGAAATGGCGCAATCATAGCCAGCTTCTCGGAGGCGGCGAGATACTTCGCCGCGTAGACAGCTACGACAACCGTCGGTAACGGGTCTCCGGCAGACACATACCAAACCCTTTGATCTAACTACTTTCAACGCTTCCTTGGTTGCTTGTCTTATCTTTGTCTCAATTGAACTTGTCCTATACAGTGTCGCCTACACATTTCAAGATTTGGGCCAAAAACAAAATTAATAAATAAGACCCCACAAAAAAAACAAAGAGAATAATAGTATCTTTATGAGTTTATAAATTATTAAAATAAGAATTTACCTGGAGAAGTTGTTCTTGTTCTTGCCAAAATTTTCTGTTTTCTTCTGAATTACAAACGGTGTTCTCGTTGTCAACTTCGGATTCGTCGCCGGCGGCGAAGTTATAATCCTCCGGTGAGTGGTTTCCTTCGTCAAGAAAGCCAAAAAGAACATCGTCGGAGCTAGCCATGCCGTCGAGAAATTTCATGATGTCGTCGGAATTTTGCCGATCCATTTCTTGAAAGAGGAGAGAGACAGAGAGAGATGTGGAAAAATGTTGTTTGTTTTTTCCTCTCTTAATTCGTTTTGGTTGGGATGAAGAAAAATAGGAATAAGTGGAAGGGATATATATAGTCAGAAAAATTGAAGGCTAAGTAAAAGACCCGGATAAGTGTTTAGGGACCCGCCTAAGAGGTGGGAGAAAAACAGATACATGGCGCCGCGAAAGAGTGCTTCGTTGCTCTGTTTTGAGTTTGGAAGAAGATGACGTGTCACTATATGATTGGGATCTGATGGCTTAAGACAGCTAGATCTTACGTCAGCTTGGCCCAACTTCGGACCACAGATTCGGATATACTCGATGCTATCTAATTAATTTTTCTTTTAATAATTAGTATGTACTATAATCCATTTTTAACAATTAGATTTATCTATATACTATTTTCTTAATTCTTAATTTGAAATAAGATTATCTGAAAACTAGATAAAGCGTGTAGAGTTAGATTAACGAGACAATTAGAGCCACTATTAAACTTTTTTTTGACCATTTTTAGAAAAAAAAACTTTCATTCTCTTGTTGTTTAGTGGTATGGTTGCTCTCAAGATTTCCTTTATACTTAGAGCAACCATACCACTAAACATACTACTTTATTTCATTTAACAGAGAAAATAAAGTAGCTTTTTTTCTTTCATTGTCATTATCTTAAGGCAAGTCTTTTGGAGCTTTTATTTTTATTTTCGTTTTATTTATCACAAATCAATGGTAACAAATTTTGTTTATCATGGTATAAATAATTTCTGTATAATTTTTTTTTTTTTTTTTACTGTTAAATAGGTTGCATATATATCATGAAAAAGTGTAAAAATGATTAAAGGGATTAAATCATGAAAAGCACTTGCGACTCGCTAGAATCGTCCGGATCTTGGAGACTAGGACCCACGTGCCAATAATTAGACGTGGACAAAGACATCTACGTGGAAGATAGCCATACACGTGTCTTTTTTGTCCTAAACGCCTTATCCCGACTCGTACTTACTTGGGGCCTCCTTGTCCTGCCACCAAAATAAATATTACTAGAGGAAATTAGCTCAAGGTTAGAACTTCTGAACTTATATTTAGGAAAACATGCCGGAAAATAAAATGATCCTTATTTCAATCGATTCGATTCGATCCGATTGTATTTTGGAAACTGTTCTAATATAAATTTCATGGTATCAGTTTATCGGTTCCTTAAAAAGAATATACCAGTTCTCAGATCCAAAAAACAAAATGGTACGGTACGTACATACTTTTAATTTGGTAAGAAGGATTGGCAAATGTGGTTACTAAACTAGATCACATTTGCGATATATATTCAGATCATGTCTATCAAACCACAGACACATGCATGGTATAATATACCACTTTACAGTTCTCAATATATGTTTTTTCTGAATCGTCCACATGAAAAGTTGACCGGATCATATCTCAAAAAAAAGTTGATAAAAAAAAATGGGGGGAAATGATTCGGTTGAGTAGGATATTCCGCATTTTTTATACGAATGATTTTGCGAGGCTGGGAATATTCTGAAGTAAGGGTCACATGGTGGCAGCATGTGGACCAGATCATAGGTGAACACTAAACAGTTATACGTTGTTGTTGTTAGCACACTGACAGAAATAAATTGTAAAATCGGCAAATAACGTAATCATGCATGCATATTGTTGTTGTTTAGTAGATACGTTGGTACAACTTTCTCAATATTCCCGAATAGTGATTAGGTCATTCTAAGGAAACTTGAAACTTTTGGACAAGTTTTCGTATGTGTGTATATATAATTATACATATGATTTGCTTTTTCCAGTATAAGATATGTTAAAACACTTTTCAGTTCGATTTTATAACCCTTTTTGCGCCTTTAATTATTGTGTATGTTTTTAAAAACTTTTAGGCTACCTGCTGAGTCATATTCAACTTACTCCAATGGGTTTGGATAAATCTCATGCTAATCGGTATATTTCTCTAATTCAAATATCTAATCAATTGAGAAGTTTATATACAGTATTTATTACTATAGATATCATTGTTCCGTCACAGTCATCAATTATATTATTAGAGAGGGCTAGAGCCCTGGCTAGAAAAGCATCCGAAGAGTCAAAAGAAAGAAAGGTTAATGGAAAGATCAAATCTTATTTGTTTTTAGGTTTTTTGATAAAAGACACATGCGCGCAGTTGAAACTGAATACATAAACGTTGATTTATTAAAGCTTCTGAAAATGATCGTTTCTGATTACGGATATATACGTTAGAACACTTGGCACAAGATACTACAATTTCTTGTGTTGATCAATTGTGAATTTGACAAGAAAACTAATATGGTAATTGCTAAAAAACATACTATATATGGTTAGGACTTAGGTCTATTATCACGAAGGTTCTAAAATTATTTCAATTGTTATATACGACACGTCTATTAATTCTGTGTTTCTCTAACGATTTGCTACAAGATTGTATGTATTACTTAAATATATTATATATGAATATACACCCTTTAAACCATTGGTTGCGTAATTGTCTGACTATAATTTTTTTTTTTTGATAAAATTTTTCTTCAAGAAACATCACTTGATGAGGAACGGCAAATCATCGATAAAGGAGAAAGCTGAGTTCAGTACAAGGCACACGGTAGTCGGCAGAAGCCAAAGTGCAATCGATACATGACAAGAAAACATATAAAATACAGTAGAGAAAATGTGAACCAGGACAAGAATATTCTGTCTTAATTAGAAGCTTTGGGGATAGCAAAGTAAAATTATAAACAAACACCATTAATTTTCGTCTAGTAATAACAGAGTAGTCTCATACTTAGGGTTCCTTGTTTTTAAGTAGATTAGTAATCACTGTCCATAAATTTACCCCATTCTATAGGGATCACAAATTCACAAAACTTTCCCACACTGTTTTGATAACATATCATACAGTGTGGGATAAGAAGGAATCAATTTGGAATACTTTTTTCACAAATTCGTTTGTCTCCCAGCATTTAGACTGATGGGATATTCCCATCCTATAAATAAGAATCTAAAACATTGTATCCTAAATATCTGTAGACACCTTAATGTGTTTTAATTTTGTAAAGAAACAATAATCAAATCAAAGTCCACAATCAATCTAATGTCCAACCAAAACAAACAATTAAAGTGCTGCTAAAGTTCCATTTCTTAATGATCTACAAGTGTTGTTTATTTAATAAATTAAGGCAATTTGCATTCATCATACAAATTAAATACATTGTTCAGTGTAATATTTATATGGACCTCACTATCAAACACTTATGAATTGGAAATTTGTGTAAAAGTGTAAGAATAAAATCTTAAATAAATATAACCACTTTGCCCAAAATAAATAAAAAATATAACCACTATCTATTTATATCAATATGACAACAATTTGTGACGGTACAAACTTTAAACTAAACTATAATTTTCCTTAAGAAAAAAAAAAACAGAAACGGCCAAAAAGGGCCAATTAAGAAGAAGGCAAATGTGAGATTAATTAATTACTGAATAATTTACTGCCATTGAGGCCAAAACCATGTGCTATGAAAGCTGTTTATCATAATTAGCGAATTATAACTTAATGTGTAAAAAAAGACCAAATTTTATAGAATTTTGAAAAAATTCAGTCCAATAAAGAATCATCACTCCAAAGGTTCTAACTCATATAAGAATTTGCTTGAATAATTCTGCGATACCATAATTTTATGTGATCCAATAAAAATGTAATTAAATTAACTTGTGTTTAATTAGCAGAGAGAGTATTATGCGCTAAGCTAAAACTGGTTTACACAGTTCAAAACATCAATATTGAGACAAGCCCATATAGTCACTTAGCTTATACATGCGCACCTGCATTTACCACTCAACCAGACGTCCAGACCAGATGAAATTATATATTGTTGTCTCTAGAAACAAACAAAAAAAAGGTTTTAAAATTCAAGTTGTGCGTTCTTATCGGTACAATTATTTGGAAAACAAAAATTATGAACTCATGAAGGTAAATGGGACTAAACTTTAGGCCTACTTCCTAATTTACGATAATGGATGATGTAAGCTGGTAATTAAAAATATATTTATGTCATCTGCTTCGTATTTTCCCTGTACGACGACGACGACGACTTCGTGGTTAAAAAACAGCAATTAGGATAGGGGTCATGATCTAAAATCCCACCAAACTAAATATATCAAACTAAATCAAGTACCTTCCTGCATGATTATCTCTTCAACCTAACTTCAATTAAAGTTTGTTTAGAAATTGACAAGAAACTGTTTAAAATGCTTTGTTAAGAAAGTGGGAACATAAGATTTGAGGATATTTTTGTTAAATTCACAACATTTTAACCTTAAATTACACTTGCAACTTGAGACGATACTTAATCACTTTTTAAGTTAATTATATCACAAGCAGACAAAAACATGCCTTTCAACTCTCAAGTATTGGTGTTAGCCGGAATCCAATTCGTCTAGAGTAAAGAATAAAGATACAATTATACTTGTTTAACTTATCATTTCTCATTCCAAATATTAAATTAAACCCCCTTTTTCACAACTGGTATATCAATTTTATGATTAATCTAGTTACCATTTATACAACTAGCTTTGCCAAAAAATATCTAAAATTAAAATTTGCACCAGCCGGGAATCGAACCCGGGTCTGTACCGTGGCAGGGTACTATTCTACCACTAGACCACTGGTGCTTCTTTGAGAGACTAATAACAAGATACTTTATAGACTATAATAGACTACTTGTAAATAGCGCAGCATATTAATTATTAAATGACCCTACAGCTGGGCGACTTAAGGCCCAAATATTACTACGTGACCCATATATGTCGTAAATACGTGAAGCTTAGATTTGGGCCTATTAGATGGGCCACTTAAGGCCCAAAGAAATACGTGAAGCTTATGTGATTAATTCCTCTCTCAGGTCAGGAGTTGAAACAGCAGCTTTGTTGGTTTCTATCTTTCATTGGCACAAAGAGAGAAAAGCTGAAATTGAGAGAGACAAACAAAAATGGCATCGCTTCTGAAATCGTTCATCGATCCAAAGAAGAACTTCCTCGCTCGTATGCATATGAAAGCCATCTCTACTCGCCTTCGCAGATACGGTCAGATCTCACTCTCTCGATCGATAACCCTAATTTTCTGAATCCGAATTTGTTGTTGTCAATGTTCATGAGTGAATCTGAATCTGCTTTGTTTTTTTGGTTTGAATGATTGATTTAGGTCTGAGGTACGATGATCTGTACGATCAGTATTATAGTATGGACATCAAAGAGGCTATGAACAGATTGCCCAGGGAGGTCGTTGATGCTCGTAACCAGCGTCTCAAGCGTGCCATGGACCTCTCCATGAAGCACGAGTATCTCCCCAAGGATCTTCAGGTATTTTTCTTCATTCTCGATTAAATCGAATGTTGTTAGAAGCTATTTAGGATATGGATAGGTTAACCCAGGCAATTGAGCTCAAATATTGATTGAATGTTAGATTCTTTTTTTATTCTACAAACCTTGCAATGAATTTTAGATTCAGTTTCGTCTTCTGGTAGAAAAATGAAGAAATTTAAGTTCTTGAAGATTTCAAATTGAAATTGAAACTAGTTCATCCGAAGATATTACCCTACTTTGGTGTTCTTGTGATAGTGGAGCTTAGATGTATATGAACTAGTTTATGCATAGTCTATGCTTGCCTCTTGTGTTACTGTGTTTACTCTGCTCTTACTTGAGCTTATTGGAATTTTGGATTGATGAAAGGTTGTTTCCTTCTTACGCTATCAAAAATTGCAACTGTTAGGCAATCTTTTGGGGTTTTGTAACTTTCTTATTTGATGTTGTTATTTCATATACAGGCGGTGCAGACCCCATTCCGTGGCTATCTTCAGGATATGCTGGCTCTTGTAAGTCTCCTTTTGATGAAATAATCTATAAATCATTATCTGCCTCTAGGGTAGGAAGAAGAATCAAACTGCAATTCAGTGTCATAAAAGCATTCTATTCATTCTTGCAGTAAAATTTCTTTTTCTTTGGCCTGTCTGCTTTCCTGCATTGACATGCTCGCCTATATCAGTTTGTTGCATACTGCCTGAAACAATAATTAAAACTTTGAGATGCATATCTTTTCCTTCGTTGTTTGAAGCAAAATGTTTTTCAGATGATCTATTTCCCTATTTCATGAAGTGTTGCATCATAAAGAAACTGTTTGCAATGTTTGAAAAGTTCTGAGTGTAACTTTTAAGTAAGGATAGACCAAATCGTCGTCATCATCTCTGTCTTTGTTGTGCTTTGCAGGTTGAGAGGGAAAGCAAGGAGCGAGAGGCCTTGGGAGCTCTACCACTATACCAACGCACACTCCCATAAGCATTCTTGTTCCCCCTTTTCTTGTGGTCAACGCTGCTTCTCTGCATAAATCTCCAGATGGATTACATTGTTATTTTGGTACTCACTTTCTGAACAGAGCTATTTGAAAAAAGCTTAAATCTGTGATAGTTTTCCTAAATGGATATGTTGCTAGTTACACTTTTTCGCTTTTGCTGGCTTGAATAAAATTGACGACACAACTCAAGTCTGTCTCAATGATTATCATTTTTGAGGTTTGCTTTTATGTTTTATTCTTTTGATTGGTTTCTCAGAAGCGTTTTAAGTCTGATGCATTGAAATGTAGAAGTGCCATGACTCCATAATCTTGGGAATTTGGTCGAGCCATGTTGATGTATACGCCTTTGCATTGACATTTTCATGTGAGAAATTAATGGGAGAGAGTTATGACTTTATTAGGCACCGATAAAACCAGTCGTTGAACGGTCCAAGTCTATGGTATGGGGTGTGTTTTATTTTTGTCTCTTTGTTCACTCAATTAAAAAGATGGGAATAAATCATCCGTAGAATTTTGACACGCATACTATATGATCGGCCTCTGGCAACCAAAAAAATTCTTACGTTGATCAAACATAATCGACGAATACACTCAAAATCTACTTGTGGAGGAGATAAACCGCAAGTGTAAGAAGATGGAAAGAGATCCTTTGCACATTTTGGGAAATGAAACTTTGGATTTCAAAAACAATCTTATGAGTTATCGGACAGGATGTAAATCATTCATTTAAAAGATGGGAGAGACCCATGTTAGTTATGTATATAAATCATTTAATCAAAAATAGGGATCCAGAAAAGAGCATTTGCATGTGAGTGTGTAGACTGAAACACAAGTCTTTAATAGAATCAGGCCAGATCTATTCTTTAGTTACCCATCTCCCTCTCTGTCCCCTCTCTCATCCATTTCTTTTGCTCACTTTCGTTTACCCAACGAAAATGTTAGAAATATAGATTTGAATTTAGAGATGGGACTATGGGAGAGTAACAAGAATAAGTTGAGACTCGACAAAATTCAAGTCTATTCCCTAAAATGATGTTTTTGGTTCGAATTCTAGGCTAGTTTTGAGGGCTTTACAACCATCGTATGAAATTATGAACATTGTGGCAACCAAATGGGGAATCAATCGATATACTACGAAAGCAAGAAGATGTGTTGTAGACAAAACATGCGACTGGATCTTAAATGGTCCATGGAAGTGAAAATTAAGGTTGTGCACAAGGTGGATACTTATTATTGAGAGACAGATGTGACACATACAAAAGGGTCAGTCTTAGTTATATATTGTAGGTTTAAAAGATTGGTGTATCTTTGGATATTTTCCATGAATTATTTTTAGGCACTTCTAATTAATTTGTTTAAACTTGGATGTTTCTTTTAAGAAACAAACAAATGATTTACTTCGCTGTACTTACCTAAGGAGGGTGGACCATTAAAGTCGGTTGGTTGCATGTGATTCATTGACACAGACTGAATCGTCATTTGTCTGGTTTGATCTTAATCTTCGTAAATCAAAATGTGTGTGAGAAAACAGAGAAACACACATTTCTTTTCGACATGGATAAAAGATTCAGCGTGAGAAGACAGGTACATTAAGTGTCTTCCACGATCACGAGGTAGTCAAGTTTTCAGAAATTTTAAATTGAAATATGAATCTTTCTGACGGCTGTCTTGTCCTTTTCTTCTATGTCTTCTCCGTTATTCCGCTCCCATGCAAACAATTTCTTATCATCACTCTTTTTCTATCAACATTCTCTCTACTCTTTTCTGAGTAAACTATTTACAGAGTACAGACTTTTTTCGTTATCAAAAAAATGATTTTCTCATACAAGTGAATTAATTCTTAATAACAGATGTGACATTGTAATTATAACAATTGGCTCTAAAATTTGATAGGTAGTTAAATAATTGTAGTACAATACGTAGTTGATGTTTTAAAACATATATAAAAATAATCTAAAACAACAATGATGTGTAAGACATTGCCGTTGCCCGTTGGCACCACAAGTCAAAATTGTGATTTCATCTGTCACATTAAATAGTTTGGCTAGAGATTTGAATTCTACTAAGCTAAATATTAGTAGTGTTGCAAATCAAGAAAGACGATATACAGTCAAATGTCGTTTAGTACGAGTTGGTCCACTTTCCCATGCATGCATGCATGTCTAAATCTTTTTATAGTAATTAGATATATATATATATATATATATATATATATATATATATATATATATATATATATATATATTTATCATTTGATGTGGATCCACGATTAACATCAAGACAAAGTTTCATGGCTATGTGGCCCCGGTTTTATGGCCGAAAATCATAAATTTAGGTTTTAACCATTCTAGATATATACTAGTAGTGGGGTGACATGCATGGGAGAATTGACCACTAGGCCATTAACTATAGACACAAATTTTAGACCTGGATGCGCGCGGCTTAATGAACATGTTAGCTACAGTTTTTATCCCAAAAAAAAAAAACATATTAGCAACAAATGCATGTTATAGATAAATATTCATTATTTGATTCACAATTTAAACAATGCATGTGTATGTATTTATAAACACACGCAATATGTTTTTAATTCAATAATTTGTGCAATAAAAGCACCGCTAAGAGAGTCGGTGGCATTTGCAGTGATCCATCAATTCTGACGCTGCAGAGACAAAATTCGATTATTCTTTAAATCTTAAATATCATTTCGCTCTACATTAATTATATACGTTCATGGATCAGATTTACGATTGACGACGAGCGAAGGATAACAATCATTCACAAAGTATTTTATTGTCTATGTTTTAGTTCTCATTCTCTCCTTTTTTATACAATTTGTCATAATTCATACAATTTATCACAATCTTCTATATACAAATTAACATATTAATTTTGACACTCGAGAAAAATTCTGTGATTAATACATGCATTTATTGCACATTATGCTACAAGTCCGACCACATTTATATCTGAGACTGTAAGTATACTGTAATGTAAAAGCCAATTATATTTTTTCGTTTACATTAAATAGTAATGGTTGCTTAGTTATTTTATTGTATTTTTTTAAAATACCCAATATGCTTTAGATAGTTTGTGATTATGTTGATCATGTTCATCTGTGGTTTAAGAATATCGATGATTATTGACCCGACAAAGGTGCAGACTAAATCTAAGAAAGCACATGATATATAAAAAAGTTGGAAAAACTACTTAAAATTTAGATCGGAGTCGGACCATTATTTGTTTGAATTATTGAAGTAAACAAAGAGTCCGCATGGTTTTATACTTTACACTTGACATTGTTGGGGCATGTGTGATGCGTTTAACGATTCTAACAGTATATGAAATTTTTTTTTTTGGTCTTGTGATTTTTATAAATATCTGTATTTTTTTCGTAAGAGTATTGTAAGAGCTATTTTTCGTAATTTTAAATATTGATTCTATCAGCACTTTTTCATATTATCATACCGCTTTGAATAAACCGCCAAAACAATTTGCTTGATTGGTCTTTTTTACAACGATAAAGTTCCAAATGTGACTGAAGTTACCGATCAAACCCATGAAAAAACTTGGGCCCATATACCTTGCTATGGATTTGGCACACAGATCATGGTTGATTCAGAATTGTTTCCTTATAATAATATTTATATTATTCGTTATGTGTATTGTGATAGGATAACTCGGAACATATGCAACTTTAACTTGTGGCGATGCGAGAACCAACGTGAAAAAGGCATGTGAGAGACCACATTGTCCCACAGCTTTTGTCCTCTTCACACCCGCAATTTTATTAACATTAATCACATATTCTCGTTTTCCAAAATCGCAGTTAAATCTATATACATGTCATAGTTGTTCCTCTTTAATCTATTTTTGGGTTATCTAACAAAAAAAGAAAGACATCTCGTAGTGAAAATACGAATATCAGTGCTTTGTGATGCAACGATTATGACATTAGGTATCTTGTACTCAAAGTTAATTGAATACCGCTTAAGAAAATGAGTATATGATGGAATTACGATAATGTGCGCTACTCAACACTAGAATTACCATGGAATTAATCTTGGCCATTTGCGAATTTATTCAACCAAACCAAAAATCGACAGTGTTATATAGTCAAACCTTCTAAGAAAAAGTGACCGGCCCATTTCCGAGGAACGAGGATTAAAAAAACACGACCAATGTTGTTCCGGCACAAGTCTCTAATGGCAAAGCCGTAGTTTAAACAAAGGTAAAGGGCCTTTTCTTTCACAACTTTGCATATAAGAGCTCTCTTCCTCCTCGTTCTCCTCCACTCCCACTAAACATTCCTTCTCTCGCTCACTCTTCTCCAATCTTTATTTTACATTTTGAAAGTTTAAATTTTATATAAACATTAATTTTGGGGTAGAAAATTCGAAAGAAATGAAAGAGATGGGAGTGATAGTGCTTCTTCTACTTCACTCGTTCTTCTACGTTTCCTTGTGCTTCAATGATGGTAAGTCCCTCGTTCTTTATCATTTCTATACAAATCCCGCATTTTCGTATTTCTATACTACCCAAACCAAATAAAGAAACTATAGTAGTTATTAACTTCCAAAAAAAATTCTAGTAATTAAGATATTCGTTTTTCAAAAACTCGTATGTCCAAAATTTTGTTTGTCATCAAAATAATTCATTTATTGTACCACAAATCATGAAGAATGACCTACTAGCTTGACGAACATGTTGAACACTAGGCCGAGACAGATCTGAAAATGCACATGATGTTTTGTCAATGGTTTTCAATATAATAAATGTGACACTAAATCACCCTCACCTTCCCATCTGTAACATACTTTTTTAATCATTTTAATATTTCATACTTCAACTTTTTATTCAATTATTATACACTCACTTGTTTAATCATATACAGATCTAAAATAGCAAAACCATTATTCATTAAACATTCTCATGTTAAACAAGAGTAATAATTTGTTTAGCTAGAATCATTGTCAATCTTATGTAACAAAATGCAATCGAAGTTAAGGTATATAATAAGCTAAATAGAATTACAAAGATCAAATTGTCTACAAATCATTATTGTATATTAACCAAATTTCACAACAAATCTCCTAACTAATTTTTTTTTTTTGGATCTTGATTAATACTAACTAAACAAAACAGGACTACTACCAAACGGTGACTTCGAACTAGGTCCACGACATTCGGACATGAAAGGAACACAAGTAATCAACATAACAGCAATCCCAAATTGGGAACTCTCAGGCTTCGTCGAGTACATTCCCTCAGGACACAAACAAGGCGACATGATCCTTGTCGTGCCTAAAGGTGCTTTTGCAGTACGCCTAGGCAACGAAGCCTCAATCAAACAAAAAATCAGCGTTAAAAAGGGGTCTTACTATTCGATCACGTTCAGTGCTGCTCGAACATGCGCACAAGACGAGCGGTTAAACGTTTCTGTGGCTCCTCACCATGCAGTGATGCCTATCCAAACAGTGTATAGTAGCTCTGGTTGGGATTTGTATTCATGGGCTTTTAAAGCACCAAGTGACTATGCAGATATAGTGATACATAATCCAGGTGTTGAGGAAGATCCTGCTTGTGGACCTCTCATTGATGGTGTTGCTATGAGAGCCCTTTTCCCTCCTCGTCCCACCAATAGTATGTGTTCTTTTACAGAATTATTACTAATTTGGGGGTGTCGTTTGAATGAAAAATATTCTTGTGGGGCAAATATGGAAATATCTAAAACATGTGGGGTTTGTTTTTGCAGAGAACATTCTAAAGAACGGAGGATTCGAAGAAGGTCCTTGGGTTTTACCAAACATATCATCTGGAGTTTTGATTCCACCAAACTCCATCGACGACCACTCTCCTTTACCTGGTTGGATGGTCGAATCTCTTAAAGCCGTCAAATACATTGATTCCGATCATTTCTCTGTTCCTCAAGGCCGTCGCGCCGTCGAACTCGTCGCCGGTAAAGAGAGTGCTGTCGCACAAGTTGTCCGCACTATCCCGGGAAAAACCTACGTCCTCTCCTTCGCCGTCGGAGATGCTAGCAACGCTTGCGCTGGATCTATGATCGTCGAGGCTTTCGCCGGAAAAGACACGATCAAGGTCCCGTACGAATCGAAAGGGAAAGGAGGATTCAAGCGATCGTCACTGAGATTCGTTGCTGTCTCTGGTCGGACTAGAGTTATGTTCTACAGTACGTTTTACGCGATGAGAAACGATGATTTCTCGAGCTTGTGTGGGCCGGTGATCGACGACGTTAAGCTTCTCAGTGCTCGGAGGCCGTGAGCTTGCGGCGGCGAGTTATTCCCGGGAAAATGAATGATGACACTGTCACTGTGGGTTTCTCGCGTCTCGTTAGAAATTGGGCTTCTCGGCCCACTGGCCCACTGTTTTTATGTCATTAATCAAAATATCGAATCGTGAATTTTCATGATGTGATTTGAGAATGTCTCTTCTCTACTGAGTGGAGAAAAATAAAAAATCCTGCAAAATTATACTTAAAAGAAAACCAAAAAACCATGTTTCCATTGTAACACCCATATATGTTTAGATGTTACCAATACTCTCTACAAGAGCAAACACCATCTTTCATATGGTGATACCTCTTTGCATCTCGCGAAATCAACTCTCTCCCAACTATCTTTGACATCAACTTCAATGCGTTATGGCAATCAACGCATACACGTATATTTTTCACCACTCGTATTGTTGAACGCGCAGGAGTGTCAAGAAATGTTGTGATGAAAGCGAATCTCTCGTTATGATTAAAAAGGTTTTCGTCTTTGCTCTCTTTGTCCACGTCGTGCAATGCAAGTTTAGATTCAGGTACATAACCAATTTCTATCATATGCTCCTTTAAACTCTTCAATGCCATATAGAACTCTCTGTTTTCTGGACGAGAAATATCTCCAGCTGCCATATGTCGAGATCCATACTTTGGCCCTTTGGCCATTCTCTGTAATTTCTCTTTTACTAGGTCCGATGATTTGACCGGTACAAGACCCGCCCTTGACTCTTTGTTTAGTCTACTTGCATCAAGCTGCTCTACCATATCTTGACACCGGTCGCCAAGAATGAAATCCCCATGAACCCGTGATAGATTCATCAGTGTTTCCCACAAATCAACATTTGGTTCCATCGATTCAACAAATCTCAAGGCTTCATCTAAATAACCAGGTTCCGCCAACATTTTAACCAGGCTCACGTAATGTTCCACAGAAGGGATAATTCCATAGTCTTTGATCATCGACTCAAAGTGCAACAGCCCCTCGTTCATGTCACCAAGAACACCACAGGCAAAGAAAATCTCTTTAAATATTCCACCATCAGGTCTGTTTCCTTCTTCTTTAAACCGAGAGAACATATCAATGGCGTCTTCCCCTTGCCCATTCTTTGCAAAACACCTTATAACACAACACCAAGTCTCCAAGTTTCTCTCAGGCATGCTATTGAACACGGTTAATGCATCTTCCACAGACCCACAACCAGAGTACATTTCGATTATCGAGTTGTAAGCGCTGATATCCAAAGTCCCAACCGAAGAAGTAATAAACTCATGAACAACTTTGGCTTCTTGTAAAGCTTGTGCATCTCCACAAAGCTGTGCTATCCACAAAAGTCTGAGTAAATCCACAAAATAACCCTCATTTCTCCATGATTTAATAATTTCAACAGCTTCTTTCACCTTCCCTTCTCTACAAATCGCATCCAATTCGTCCAACGAGCTATGACCACTATGATCTTGCTGACCAGCATTCTCTTGTAGAACTCCATTGCCAGTACCATATGAGGAACAAGCATCACTAGTTTGCCAATTTTGATGTCTCTGATTACAAATCTCACTACTTTCCCCACAACTCTGATTCTGATTGTATCCGTTTTGATAAAACCTATTCGGATTCTGCCCAGAAACAGGGTTTAAGCTCTGGTCATATGAATTCTGCTGAAACCCACCAAGCAATTGTTCTCCACTGTTGAACCCATTTACATAACCAATGTGATGTGAAGAATTATCAATCGGATTTCTATTATTAGGAGTTTCAAAACCCAATCTCTGAGCAGCTGTGCTTAGATTTCTCAACAGTGGATATAGACATCTCAGAGAATCATAAGAAACAAAACAAGAGTAGCGTAGCTTACGGGTAGAGCCGATAAGCGAACTTCTCGTCATCATTGGCGGGGAGAGAGGTTGCTGATTGTCGCCGGGGGACAAAACCGGTTAACCGGAAGCAGAATCGATCCGGTTAGAGCAGAAAAAGACCAACTTTATAAATCTGTGAAGGAAACCAAACCATAAACAGTCAAATAGGTTAACTTGCAGAGAAAGACGAAAAACCAAGTCACATCTCTTCTCGATTCAGAGAGTAAGCCGTCCTTACCGGGTATTAAGACGCATCTCAACACTCAGTTCCCCCGATTCATCACAAAAGCCAAAGCTTCTTCCTTTTTTTGTTTTTCAGTGAAGCGGGGAAACTCAGTCGCGTTTGGTCGGTTGATGAAACATAGTTTTCTTGATAACTCGGTAACTCGCATTATTACCGGCTAATTTTGTCGCTGTCATTTAATTAGGTTACTTCAATTAGTAATTTATACGGTTTGATTTTGATTACTTTCAAATCACCTTTATTACATTTGTTAAGAGTGAATTAAGTTGTAATATAAAACCTAGATATTATTAAGATATATACAGTTTGATTACCAAAGTGTGGAGATTATATCTATATAGAATGAAATTGCAGGTTCATGGCTCGCTTTCTTGTTAATGCCAGTTGTTGTTACCAGATTTGCGTCAGCTCAGTTTCAAATTTGATGCTAAGATGTCCTCTTGCAAGCAAACAACCAGAAAAAGATTAAAAAAAAAAACAAAGAGACAGCTCATGGCATGTAATAACAACATCCCCATTGATCACATAGAGTTTTTACTTTACAAGTTCTTGTATCGACCAATCAGTTTTCATGACCATTGAATTTGAAACATTAGGCAGAGAACAGTAAAACTGCAAACAAATCAATATTGTGAGAGGTTGCTGTAGCATGAGTAGTAACTACTTGCCAAAGAAAGTCTGGTTGCAGATATGAAACTCGGTTTTGATTCTATAAGCAAGCAAACTACTCAAGAATAACATGTTAAATTTTGGAGAACCACAACAGATCTTTCAAAATGATCCATACCTTTGCGAAAATTAATGGATTCGGCTTCCGAGTTTCATACTGCCATGTGAACAACCTAGCTTTGCTGGAGATTTTTGAAGAGTGAGCTTGGAGAATCTCCACAATGCACATGCGACAAACTAAGCAAGAAAGCAGGCATGTGTTCCCTTTCATCTCGATAATTTCCATAAAAGCAAGTCATGAGAATCAGAATACGGAATCAACATCAATTCACGAACACATTTTCTGGATGAGCACATCAAATACATTCTTCCAAAATGGACACACATTAACCCTATTCATGACATTTCACACTTACCTCTCAACAGGCCACAATGCTTATTTCCAGAAAGAATGAGCGTCAATAGACTATGCTAGTAATAGTAAAAATATGGTAGCATCTACGTCATGCACTTCTAATAAAGCAACCAGAGCAGACACAACACCACAAAGATAGCACTGCAACATACACCGAAAGAACTAAAAAATTTAAAGAGATATTACTCAGATCTTGATATGAATCATATGATATCAACAAAATTATCCAACCAGACTGTAAATATATCTAAGGAAACCTGCTCAAAGCACAGCTTTCAGTCCCTGTGGACAAAGCAGGCTCCAGGACACCTGAAAGAAGCCCCTGAAACAAGCTGCAATATCAAGATAGCAACAAAATAAAAATCACATAAAAGTCAGTTATGTTTTGTGGGAGAACAGCTATGGTATTGCACCATTCAGATGGCCAAGGGAGAAGTTGTAAACCCCAGCATCAGAGTTAGACCTCTAGAGGCAAAAGGTCTGCATGCCCGAACAAGGCAACACTGTTCCTGAAAAATGCAGGGGGAAATCAATATTGTCCAGTGGAATGACTAGGAAACTCACACTGTCATGCAACACATTTCATAGAGATACAGGTAGGACCACTCAATAGATCAGACATTCAGACTTCATATTGCACTGAAGCAAAATCCAAAAAGGAAAATACATAAGTGTGCCAAGTTAACACGAAACGAGGAACATAAAATCGAACTATATAATTGATATTACAGATTTTATGAACAGAATACAGCACATGTAACAGCCCTTCAAAATATGACATCTCAGATTATGGATACATGAATTTTGCTTCAACTTCCTCCAGGAATTACAATAATGGAAACTAAGGGAATTCTGACAAAGCAATAGAAAAGAACCTCGGAAATATTCATTCTAATCAGAGTTTTCATACATACTTGTATTCTGCTGTCTATACACTTATAAAATCCACTGGGAAAGAACAATATATGACAGTTGATTCCACATTGCAGGGAAGTATATCCAAGACATCAGACTTGACCATAAGAATCAAAAAAGAAAAAATTTGAATTCTGATTGATACTAACAAAATTGACTGCGGGTACCAGTAGATATCAAATTTCTTACCTCCATCAAATGTTCATCATCTGATATATTAAGAGAAAGACGAAGATCAGTTAATGATGCTTCTTGCTCCCAACTTAGGGGACCAGAAGAAAATAATTCCCCCAAAGTACTGCGGTAAGAATATAGTTCAGACCTACATGACCTTCTTGCTCCATCACCAGCTGATGAATGTTTCCTCCTTGGTTCTTCCCCGAGGCCACAAGAAGATTCAGCATCGCTGCTACATGAGTCTGCCTGTTGACTAGAGCCATCTAGCATACAAGGTGGCATGTTACTCTCATCATAACTAGTGGCACTACAACTACCAACTGAGCATGCATCGCTATCAGAACAATCATCAGCGACTAAGCTTCCTGCATGAACACTCTCACTAAACCCTTTTGATCTTACCCTGACCATTTGACAGTAACCAGTTTTGTGATTGTTAAAGGAAGCTTGCACGTGAGATTTACCACCCCTGTTTTCAGGTCGGCAAGCAATAGCATCTACCTTTTTCTGCTGTCCTTCTTTTTCCAATGATCGTATCTTCTTAGGGTTGTTTCCTGTGCATGACTCAGCACATTCAGACCAGTTGTAAGGTGACAGCCTCTTTAACATTCTAGCAGAGACATCACTAGGCTCGTGGAGAGGTATGTTGTTCCTCTGGGGCTGTAACTTCTGGTGTACGTCTGATCCAGTCAGTGTGGATGACTTCACAGAACCAGATATCTGAAAAAATGATTACAAGCCAGTTAGTCAACGTGTAAGCTCATTAGCACATTAGTTAAAGATTATTTACAGAAAAACAATATCGTAGCAAGACTATGCAGATTGCCACATCCAACCAGACCCAGAAATTCTTAAAAATGGAAAAAAGACATTAACAAGAGTATATTAGGTTTAAAAAGTGAGAGCATAACATAGGACTAAACGAAATTACCTTTCCAATTGCAACCCATTTCTCATCTTGCCACGACTTTCGGGCCCTGAGGTTAACTTTGTGAAATGTACGTTCTGCTGGAGTCCCAAGTAACCGAACCACATAGTAATTTCCAGATAACTCCTCTCGAACTGTGGCAGCTTTCCATGAAAAATTATCAAGAACTTCGACCAATTCACCAGTCTCCCATCTCTCAACATCCACTAGTGGAGGACAAGGCCTAATTATCTTCCTTGGAACTCTCTCCATAACTGCCTCCTCGTGTTCAAGTTGGAAAGAGTAAAATCTAACATTGTAGGTATGTCCATTACCCGAGACAATCTCAGCACATCGCCACGCACCATAAGGTGCCTCTTTGTTGCTAAACACCTCAACTCTGCTTCCTTTTCTGAATCTCATGATTGTTTACTCAGTCGACTAAATACCTGCAAAAGAAAAAATCCATATGTGAGCATAAGAAAAAGGCTAATATCTCAGACTAGCAAACAACCAAAGCAGAAGATCAAAAAAAGTTACAATAAATCAGATTTTAACCAAAGATTCCAAATAAACTCTGCTAAAAAACATATTGTTTGATGTAATAATCCAAAAACTAAGATCATAAGAAGCCGCAAAATTATTCGTAAACAGAAAGAAGAACCAACATAAATCGCGATCATTCACAGGAGATACAAACTAAGCAAGATTAATTCAAATTTACTTCCAAACAAATTCCTCGGACAGCAAAAAATAATTCGAATCAGGACAAACCAAAACAACTTCCAAACGATTGAAAAGGTATCGTAAAATCAATAAACAGCGAAGAATCTCGATCCAATTTATTTTTTCATAGAAATCCAAGGATAAAACACCAATATTGAAAAAATCAACCAAAAAAGAGAAAAAATTGAACAAGAGATCACCTTCTGGAATGTCTGAATGAGACTATGATCGCCGAAATTTTGAATTTCTCTCTTAATTTTTCAGAGATCGTGATCGAAAAATTGGAAGAAAAATTGGGGATTAGGGTTTCGGGTAATGGAAATATGGAAAACAACAAATTGGGCGTTAAGAAATTTATATATTTTGTTTAGTTTTTTTTTTTTTTTTTATTTTTTTTTTTTTAACATTTGGTGACGTGGGATTTAAGTTAAAACCTTTAAAACCAGAAATAGGAGACAACCATGATATTAATGACGGTTCGATTGTGTAAATTAAGAAGTTTCACTCGCTTTGCTTAGAGCGTGGACACGCGCGTTAATTGTGTGTTTTAAGTTTTTGATACGCCCCTTAATTTAAAAGCTTCCACAAATCATAAATTTTATTTACATTTTTCAATATGTACAATTATATAACACTCAAGTCTAAAATTTCTCCAATGAACAAAAGAGCAGATAGTTGTTCATCTTCAATATATAAAAAATACGTTAAGCTGGTTTAGTTTGAAGTTTCAACCACCATCTATTCAGAGTCTTCTATTCTAGAAAATATTATTTATACTTGGTAGAAGCAATGTGAGACTTTCATTTTGATAAAGTCATACTGATACATTTATTTGTTTAACAACGGAAAACAAAAGTATTTCATTAGAAAATGTAAATTGGAAGGGAAAGTGTAAACTGGCTAATCATGTGGGGTACGTAGGGTAACGTGTTAGGAAGAATAATCCGCAGTAGGAGGTTATCGGCGACGTAAACATTCTCCTCTTCTCTCTTTTTAAGTTGCTTAAGAATAATTTCAAAGTTACTTTAAAATCTTATTTGTTATACAATGATAAATGTAAAGTGACGTGAGTAAGAGTACAACACCAAACTCATACCTTAAAGCCATCATATTCTCTTTTCAGTTCGTTAAATAGAAAACAACAACAACAAAGGTTTCAAACTTGAAATGGCCAATAAACTATAAATTTGTAGTTAAAATCCAGTTTTTATTTGTTTTATTTTAGCCTTTGGATTGGGAATAATACCAACCAAATTCCAACCTAATAATTAGTTTAATAGTTTCAAAAGACTATTTTTAAAAGTATACTGTATATGTTTTCGCCCGATTGTTTTACACATTTTTTTCTTTTTATAATTATTTCAGCTAAACATGAGTTGTCCAAATTTTTTTTTACGGTTGACCTAGAAAAATACAATAAGATGTATCTATCATAGAGATGGCAAAAGTTAGACTCGTCTATTTTGACTTTTGAGTGTAGCATTGGATTTATCAATCGAACCGGTCAATAAGGTCAAAATCAGAGAACCATGCTTTACCGGTTTACCATGGTCCTTACATAACCAATGTGCACGTATGTAGGTGCAAAAATCGACTAATCAATCATCATACACTCAGTGAGTTCATGTAAATCTATAGCTAACATTTCTAATTTGATCTATTACAACAACTTTTTAGTTTTAGAACTTAAAAGCCCTAAACTGCAACCTTCCCCTCCAAATTCATCTCCAATCCAACAATTTCCACCATCCTATAAATCTCATCGGATTTCGGATGCGACTTATCCCCTGAAGAGAAACCTTGCATCGTTAAAGACCCTTCAGTGTCACCAACATCGATCCAACTGAATCCAGCTTCTTTACTTACATTTTTCTTCCTCATTGCTTTCCTAATCTCTGCAGCTTTATCCCACTGTTCTTTCTCTGCATAGATGTTATACATCTGAACGTAAGATCCTGACAATTCCGGTTTCATCTCCATTGCAAGCTCAGCCACTTTTGCTCCCATTTTCACATTCCCGTGCAGTCTACAAGACCCAAGCATGCTCTGCAGCATCGACTCTCCTGGTCCTCCAGGAACTTCACTCATAAGCTCTTCTGCTTCTTTTAATCTCCCAGCTCGGCCAAGCATATCAACCATACATGAGTAATGCTCATGAGACGGCTCAAGATTGTAGTCTTCGATCATCATGCTGAAAATCTCATGCCCTTTGTCTACCATACCTTTTCTATTACAAGCTGTTAACACAGAGAGAAAAGTGACTAGGTCTGGTGCTACGTTTTCTTTAATCATCTCGTGGAACAAGTTCATCACGGAATTGAAATCACCGTGGCTTGAATAGGCTGATATTATCGATGTCCAAACAAATTGGTTCCTTTGAGACATCTCGTTAAAGACTTTCTCAGATTCATTAATGTTCCCACGCTTGGCGTACATATCAAGAAGCGCGCTTGAAACAACAGGACAACTATTCAAACCCAATTTTAGTAAATGAGCATGGCAACGCTGACCGTGCTTTACAGATATATCCTCTGCAAAAGCTATTGCATTCAAGACACTTCCGAAAGTGTATTCATTTGGCATTGTTTCTGCTGTTGCTGATAAGAACATCTTGAGAGCTTCATGTGAGAATCCATTTTGTGCAAATCCAGATATCATAGCATTCCAGGAAATAATCTCCCGGAAAGTTATATCATCAAATGCCTTCTTGGCATCTTCCAGAGCCTCAAACTTGGCATACATTGTGATGAAACTGTTGCCTACAGATGGTTCTGAAACAAAACCGGTCTTCATGCATAACCCGTGAATTTTAAGCCCTTCTTTGATTTGCTCATTGCACTTCACAGCGTTGAGTAATCCGACAAATGTGACCTCGTTTGGGTAAACTCCATCTAACCGCATATTAAAAAAGATGGACACAGCATCATCTCTATTCGAGGAAATCATTGTTGTCCAAGAGACAACATTCCGCTCGCTCATTTGGTAAAACACTGATTTCACAGCTTCTAAAACCCCGCACTTCGAGTACCTTGACATCAAAATATTACCAACTTCTAAAAGTGATTCATAACCTCTTTTTATGCACAAACCATGGATTTGCCTGGCCAGCTTCAAGTCTGTTTCGTGACAACAAGTCGTAATCGCGCTAGTAAAAGACACGTGATCAAGCTCCACACCTTCTCGCATCATGTCCCTAAAGATAAGCACCGCTTCAAACCCAAAAGTGCCTTCTTGTGAAAGTCCTGACAATAAAGAGTTCCATGAGATCATATCCTTAAACGGCATTTCATCAAAAACTCTCCGAGCTCCTCTGAAACTTCCAGACCGCGAATACATTGTAATGAACGAATTTCCAACGACAAGATCAGACTCCAGTCCGGATTTCACCACAGTAGATTGCAACTGCAATCCTAAACGAAATCCTTCAGAGCCCACACAGAAGCTAAGAGCGGTGGAATAAGTGAATGCGTCAAAAACTACTCCAGCAGATTTCATCCTAACAACAAAATTCAGAGCAATTTGATTGTCATCAAACCCAGAGAGTATAGTGTTCCAAGAAACAACATCAGGGTCAACCAGATTCTCAAATATGCACAAAGCATTGTCAAAGCGACCGGCTTTACGGTACATACCCATTACAGCGTTTGAAACACAGACAAAGGAAGTAAACCCACAAGTTGTGGAAAACCCGTGGATTTGGCAGCCGCGTTTCAAGTCTCCACGACATGCTTTAAGCGCAAGACAAAGAGTAACTTCGTCCATATTACGACCAAAATAACCCAGCTGAAGATTTTCCTTGAAGATCGCAAGGGCTTGTGCCGGAGAGTTTCTCCGTAAGGATTCACTGATTGAATGGTTAATGGAAGTTGTCGCATTTCTTTGGGAACTTCCATCGAACAGCTTGTGAGCAATTCTATAAGGAGAGTAAAATCTTTGATAAAGGAACGATTTTGAGCGATTACAGTGTAGATAATTCAGAAGGGTCATGAGAAGCAAACTAGTCGGATTCTAATTTGACAACGAGTGAACTAATATCGGAGAAGAAGAGAGGTTTTAGCTTCTGAGGGAAATGGTGATGAACAGTATCAGAGAGAGACTTTCAGACCAAAAGAGAGTTTTGAGGGCAAACTTGTAAATAACGATTGAGTCAGAGGGCAATACGGAGAAGCTGGTGTTTGTTCTTTTTAAAGCTTCCTCTAGGTTTTTCTCCTGCTCAGTCATTTTTATCCTGTGGCTCTGCGTGCGTATTCTCAGGTATAACCCTAGCGATTGTCGACCTGAAACTTCTTCGTTGCTCTTCAGATTACTCCGATTTGCACTCTCTTGCTGGAATTTTGATGTTCCTTTTCTCTAATATGTATGCTGATTTCTTTAGAATTTGCACTCTTCACTGATTTGATGGCCTAAGAGTTTTTTTTTTTTTTTTTTTTTTTTGTCGTGAAACGTCAAGGTCTATACTAGGTCTGAGTAGTTGTGGGCATGAGATTCTGTAAAAATTGTAATTTTGGATGGGTTGCTTGACGATTTATCTCAGTGCACATTGTTCACATTGTTTATTTGATCTTGTACATTGTTGAGCTCATGAAAATCTCATTTCTGCAACGACATTGTCATAAATTGATGGGCCTAGAAGTTTTACAGTTTGGAAGGTCATTATTAATTTCTGACTGTAGGGTTGGTTTACCTGTTTGCGGCCACTGTGAAGTGTCCTGTAGTGTGGGTTTTAGTTCTTCAGTGCGCTAATAATTTATGTCTTCAGGATTATTTAATATTCTGAGTCTCCTTTGTGTTTCTGTGTATTCTCTGGTTTTTTCAGGTCATAACTTCGGATAGCTTGAGTTACACCAAAAACATGGCGAAAAAGAAGAATCCACAGGTTTTTATGGATGTATCCATTGATGGAGACCCAGCTGAGACTATGGTTTTTGAGGTACCATAGTGTTTGGCTATGTTAATGTCCACTTCCTTGTATTTTTCCTGATCAAGCAAAAGTGTTGAAAATGTAAACTTTGTTTCTTTAGCTTTTCCCTGAAGTCGCTCCCAAAACATCAGAGAATTTCCGTGCACTATGCACAGGTTTGTTTTTGGTCCGGCTAAGCTTGTTGCTTCCTTGCAGTTTATAAATTTGACTGTTGGCTTTCCTTGTCCTTTTTTTTTTTTTTTTTTTTTTTTGGTCAAAGGCTTTCCTTGTCCTTAACACTTATTTCCCCTTATAAAATCTATATAGGGGAGAAAGGCATTGGATCCAGAAGTGGAAAACCTTTGCATTACAAAGGATCCTTTTTCCATAGAATACTGCAAGGTTCCTCAGCACAGGTTTCTATCTGCATCTTTCAATTATTGATATGACTTTTCATTCTTATACTTTCGGTTTTTTTTCTCAACATTGGTTGGATGTTCGTCTTTTAGTCCGTTGCTGTTCTCTATGCTGTAGGATACAGGTCTGATCGCCACACCTGCTTTTCATGTGATATAGTTTTAAGGTTGTACTACTAGTTGTTTATGCTCAAACGTTAGGCCTTCTCATGCAAAGAGTACAGTTTATGTACAAACCTATTCACGGTTGCTACTAGTCTAACAACTTCTTTGACCTTTTTTCAGGCTGGTGACTTTGTGAATCGAGATGGTATGTACACTTATTGTTCAGCTCCTGACATATATCAAATACAGCCATCAGTTTCATTCATTGATTCCTGCCTTTTCTGATCTTCTATCTATGGCACACAATTTGCAGCTTATTAACTGTTCTTGAGAAACGAAATTTCATTCATGTAATCATAGTCATCTGAAAATACCATTAAACTGGGATTACCTATTGGGTTATGGAACTGCATTGATTAGATTCCTGTAGAGGTTCTTAATTTCATTAGATAGTGCCCAATAGGTCATGCAGTGAACATTAGCAAATTCATCATCCTCTGACAAACTTTGTATATTTCATCCACTTTCCAGGTACTGCTGGGGAAAGCATATATGCCGGAAAATTTCCAGGTCGGTTTACCACTGCGCTTTTTAACAGCAATCTCTTTACAATTACCTCAGCAAAATATGAGAGGCTAGATAGTCTATTTTGGGTGTGATCTCTCATTTCTGCATTGTTCATTTCTTAAAATAGTATTAACAAACAATATTTCATTTTGGAGGCATTGCTTTGTTGAATAAGTGCTGGTCTCTTTGTTAATAATATCACATCATTTACTTGTTCCTTTGAAATATGTTGCTGAGTAGCAAAATCAATTTTTGATGTTACCAGATGAGTCACCAAAACTAAGGCATGAAGAGCCTGGTCTTTTATCAATGTCTGTTGCTGACCGTGACAAGTTCGGATCACACTTTCATATTACCTTCAGGCCAAATCAGCAGCTTGATAGGTTTCCTCTCAATGTTACTTTGCTTATTTCAGTTATTGTGGATTTTCCTTTGGGCATTGTGTAATTTCTGACTGGTTTTTATTTTCATCAGAAATAATGTTGTTTTCGGAAAGCTAATTCAAGGGAAAGAGTTACTAAAAAAAATTGAACGTGTGGGGGATGAGGAAGGTAAACCTACTGTCACCGTGAAGATAATCCGTTGTGGAGAATATTCTGGAGGTGCGAATATGCTACTATTGCTTTCTACTACATAAGTCATGATTTCACAATCATAACCAATCCACGTCGTTGCATGATATGTCCATGCAGATAAGAAGAAAAGTGATGGTCGAAAAAATGCAAAGCACAAGAAGTATTCAAGAGAGAGAAGAAAGAAGAGGCGAAGACACTCTTCATCTGAGTCTGAGAGCTCTTCAGATTCTGAGGCAGATTCCTCAGAATCTGATAGTGAGTCAGATTCAGATTTGTCTTCACCTTCCGACCTTAGTTCCCCGAGCCATGAAAGGCAGAAGAAGAGAAAAAGAAGTTCAAAGAAAGACAAGCACAGGCGGTCTAAACGGAGAGATAAGCGCCATGAGAAAAAGCGGAGGATCCATGATAAGAGATCAAAACGCAAATCAAGAAGGTTGCAAGTCTTGTACTCTTCACTTGTTATAGCCATAGTTACCGTGTCAATGCGGGTTGCTTATTAGGAGAAACTGTAATTACTGGTCATGTTAACTTATGTTTCCGAAATTCATTATTTTCTATGGGTCTAAGCTAGATTAGTTTTGTCCCTCTAGGATGTAATAATTTGATAGGCATCCTAACAACTTTTTACTTAACTGTATGTGCTCCAGAGTTATTCACTTCTGTTCCGCAACTTTTCAGGTCCCCAGACAGTCTTACAGGTGAAGACAGTAATAGTGGAAGTGAAGCAAGTCTTAGTGATGACAATGTTGAAATTGGAGCAAAAAAGAGGAAACCCAGAGTCTCTCGTAGAACAGGTAATCTCTAAAACTCAGACTTTTGGCTTCTGTTTCCGCTGTTCTTTTTCTATTGTTCTGTCCGAAATTTAGGATAGTGGATGGGATAAAATACTTTGCATGCCATTTGATCATAACATATTTCAGTGTCAATTTGCTTTTTGTTGAAGCATTGTGTTGATGATACATCTTCATATTGCCGACATCTTTTTTTTTGCTAATTTCTATAGGCAGTTTATTAATGGTTCGTACACTCTTAATATCTGTTTTTGACAATATTCAATCAGGTAATTCTGCACCAGCGGTGGAAAAAGGAGCTGAACCACTTCACCAGGGCAAAAGGGAGGGACCAGATTTGCTTGAAAACAGAAGGCTGAGAAGTAATGGAATTTCAGATGCTGCGTCAGAACAAATTTCTGATAGGCAACCTGATATTGTTGATGATCATCCTAGTAAATCTAGGTCTAGTTTCTTTTCTCTCTACACCTCATGTATTTGGTTATTTTTCTCTTATTCAATATGGAATCTTATTCTAAAGTTAATGTGCAGGAGCCGGAGCTTGAGTCCTAAGAGGACAGTGAGTAAGAGTATGAGTGTTAGTCCCCGGAGGAGTCAGAGTAAGAGCCCGAGTTCAAGTCCTAGACGGAATGGGGGCAGAAGTCCTGCTAAAGGTAGCCGCCAAGTGAAGAACTTGACAAACAGTAGAAGAGAAAGCCCAGGGAGTGAGGAAAAGGGCAGGCATGTTAGAAGGAGCCCAACCAAAAGTGTTAGTAGAAGTCCAGTGCGGATGAAAAGGGAAAGAGATATTAGTAGAAGTCCAGTGCGGGAAAGAGATATTAGTAGAAGTCCTTCAAAGAGTTTAAGCAGAAGTCCATTGAGGAGCCCCAAAAGGGTCATCAGCAGAAGTCCAGTGAGAGGTAGGATTGCCAGAAGCCCTTGCAGGAGTCCTGTAAGATCTGCATCTCGTGGAAGCCTTGGGAGGGGCCCACTAAGAAGATCATCAAGAAGGTCATCTAGCAGAACTCCAGCTCGATCTTCTAGAAGAAGCCTGAGCCGGAGTCCCATTCGATTATCAAGAAGAAGCCTGAGCCGGAGTCCTATTCGATTATCTAGAAGAAGCCTGAGCCGTAGTCCCATTCAATTATCTAGAAGAAGCCTAAGCCGGAGTCCCATTCGATCACCTAGGAGATCATTGAGCAGGAGTCCAGTCCGATTATCTAGGAAGAGTGTGAGCAGGAGTCCGGTTCGTTCATCCAGGAGAAGTATCAGCAGGAGTCCAGTCCGATCATCTAGGAAGAGTGTGAGCAGGAGTCCTATTCGATTGTCCAGGAGAAGTAACAGCAGGAGTCCAGTAAGAGGAAGAAGAAGAATTAGCAGAAGTCCAGTTCCGGCGAGGAGAAGGAGTGCACGGCCTAGATCTCCTCCTTGTGATCGTAGAAGAAGTTTGTCAAGAAGTGCTTCTCCTGATGGGCGCATAAGGAGAGGGAGAGGATTTAGCCAGAGATTCTCATACGCCCGTAGATACAGAAATAGTCGATCTCCTTATCGCTTTAGTGATAGGAGCGACCATGACAGGTGGATAGTCCACACCTAATAGAACTCCCCCTTTCTGTTACACACTCTCGTACTGAACCTTCTTTTTATAACGTCTTATTTGTAGATTTCGAAGTCACAGAAGGTTCTCGCCAAGACGGTTTAGAAGCCCACTAAGAGGAAGAACACCTCCAAGGTACTTATCCTCTTTAGTACATCCGTTTCAAGTTATCCTTTGCATCTAACAGTCTCATGAATAGAGAACTAAAATTGGTGACCCAAAAGAAATTATACTTGATTTCACAACTCGAAAGTATTCTCAGGTATAGAAGAAGAAGCCGCTCTGTATCGCCTGGTCCCCGTTATCGCAACAGGCGGTACAGCCGCAGCCGCAGCCCTATCCGTAGCCGATCTCCACCATACAGAAAGAGAAGGTCGCCATCTGCTAGCTACAGCCTGAGTCCATCGAGATCAAGATCAAAATCATACTCAAAATCTCCCATTGGGACGGGGAAAGCAAGATCAGTGTCAAGATCACCATCCAAGGCAAGGTCTCCATCGAAGTCGGATTCGACATCCTCGGACAATAGCTCAGGTGGGAAAAAGGGATTAGTAGCGTATGATTAATGAATAATGACCCTTAAGTTAAGTGTTTGTTTGTTTTTACTGAGAAGAGATGGTAAAGAGAGTAAGTTGTTTACTTTTGTAAAACTTATGCATTGTCTTCTGCGTATGTTTGATGATGCTCCAACATTGTTATAACTTTCTGTTGATGTCTGCCGACATTTTTTCAATTTGCCGACATATGTTAACTTCCATAGTTCCATTCCATTATTCGTTCGTTGAGGAGTTGGTTTTGGTCCAATAATTAAACTTTCATAAATTAACATAAATTTAAGTATAATTAAAATCTGACGTTTGGCATCAAATTGTAGAACAACGACATCTTTTTTTTTCCTTCTAATTAATTTGAAAAATCAGTAGAAACTACGATTTCGTTTCCTATATATCACCATCACTAGACCACCGTCATGATTCATCACCGCTATATTACTTATTTATAAAACGTTAAATGATTTCTTAATAAAAATTAATTTTTAAAAAAGTTTATTGACCATTTTTAATCATTTGATTCATTTTCATGTAAAACTGAATTCATGATTATTCTTAAAATAATAACTACAATAACCAAAACTCAGAAATGTAACTCAAAAAATAGTAATATCTGTATACTGAATTAAACTTGTAACTATTACAACAACTTACAACAAATAAAGATTAAAAAGAACTAGCATCCATTTATAAATTCTTTGCAAATTCGCCCGTAACTTCTTAAGCTAACAATAAGAACCTAATCACACTAGTTATTGGCGTCCACCGACAGGTGATAGCAAATAAAAAAGAACAGGCTGTTACCAGAGCCAACAACAACGTGGTTTCTTCTATTTTTTAAATATAATCAAACAATCATAATTTGTCCTACCTCTTTTCTTGCAATAAGATTTTGCCACGTCACATACTAAGAAGCTGGCGCGTCTAGTGGGGAAACCAAAACGGCTCACTTTAAAAACAGAGTGTTAACATGAGCCGAGTCAATCCAAGCCGAGCCGAGCTAAACGGTGGGAGAAGAAGAGGCTACCGTCACTATCTCTCCGGTGAAGTATATCATCTACTTGTCATTTAACAAATTAAGAAATAAAAAAAGAAAACACACACCACACTGCGATATAATAGGCAAAAGCAGATTTGAAGAAGAAGCTTTGAGAGATCAAAGAGAGAGAGAGAGAGAGAGAGAGAGAGAGTGTGAACATCTTTTTCAGTAGATTTGGGGTTTTGGAGATGCCGTATTGAATCGGCTACGAATTTCCCAATTTTGAACTTGTGAATCTCTCTCTTTCTCTGTGTGTCGGTGGCTGCGATGGAGGCCAGTGCCGGCTTGGTTGCTGGATCCTACCGGAGAAACGAGCTTGTTCGGATCCGACATGAATCTGATGGCGGGGTCTGTTCATCTTCCCTTTCTCCGGTTTTTTTTTTGTTTTGTTTTTCGTTCTTACAATTTTTGATATTTAGATCTCATCTATATTTATCTGTTTCTAAATCTTGTCTCTTTTGGATCCATAATTGGATCATGTAAACTCAGATTACACTTCCTTTGAGTGTGTAGTTAGTTAGTGTCAGTTGATCAAGTGTCTGAAATTGGAAACTTTTCTGCTCCAATACTTCAATTGTTTTGATCTATCAATTATTGCCGCATCTATCAAAAATAAAATCTCTTATGGAAAGTGTCGGTGGATCAGTTCGTTAGCTTTCCTTAGCTAAATCTTTGACTGTCAAAGCTTATAACTTTACTTATTGAGATTTAGCGCCACTAAATCTCGTTAGTTCCTGCATGGGACACATTGCCATGACTGTGACTCGCCTTAATTGAGATCGGCATTGATTGTTTTGATTTAGATCCTTGCTGATCTGTTCCTGTAGTTTATAATACTCAATGACTAACAATGATGCAATGTTGGTCAAACTGCAGACCAAACCTTTGAAGAATATGAATGGCCAGATATGTCAGATCTGTGGTGATGATGTTGGACTCGCTGAGACTGGAGATGTATTTGTCGCTTGTAATGAATGTGCCTTCCCTGTGTGTCGGCCTTGCTATGAGTACGAGAGAAAAGATGGAACTCAGTGCTGCCCACAATGCAAGACTAGATTCAGACGACACAGGGGTCAGTAGTCTTTTTTTTTGTTGGCAATTGCTATGTATGGATTTTCTGTGTTGTTTCATTGCTGAAGTGTTGAACAATTTTCGAATTTTACAGGGAGTCCTCGTGTTGAAGGAGATGAAGATGAGGATGATGTTGATGATATCGAGAATGAGTTCAATTACGCCCAGGGAGCTAACAAGGCGAGACACCAACGCCATGGTGAAGAGTTTTCTTCGTCCTCTAGACATGAATCTCAACCAATTCCTCTTCTCACCCACGGCCATACGGTAGGACCTACATTTTCTCTTTGGACTCTAGACTGGTTTGTATTACTCCAGAAATCCCTAGATTGGACATCTTTTACTTACTTTTCAAATTAATGTTAAATGTGAACAAATCTTAACAGCAAAGTTTTCTGATAGTACATGGTCTTCCCTTGACCTTTTGCTGTACACAGGTTTCTGGGGAGATTCGCACGCCTGATACACAATCCGTGAGAACTACATCAGGTCCTTTGGGTCCTTCTGACAGGAATGCTATTTCATCTCCATATATTGACCCACGGCAACCTGGTATTGATATATTTTTTCTTTGTGCACGTGGCCTTCACTAGATGTCATTTCTGTTCATTTTACAATACATATTTTTGTGTACCGTAACTGATAGCTCCCGCTAAAAATTGCAGTCCCTGTAAGAATCGTGGACCCGTCAAAAGACTTGAACTCTTATGGGCTTGGAAATGTTGACTGGAAAGAAAGAGTTGAAGGCTGGAAGCTGAAGCAGGAGAAGAATATGTTACAGATGACTGGTAAATACCATGAAGGGAAAGGAGGAGAAATTGAAGGGACTGGTTCCAATGGCGAAGAACTCCAAATGTAAGTTGAAGTACTAGACCAATATCTTTATTGTCCAACTCAAATAGCTCTTGGCCGTGATGCTAATAACCACTCTTGGTTTTTGATTATGTATTGATAGACATTCTTATAATCTTATTCAAATTTGAGTTTTTTGTTAGTTTGTTTCCTTCCACTCAATTATTGGTTCTCGTACTTACAGGGCTGATGATACGCGTCTTCCTATGAGTCGCGTGGTGCCTATCCCATCTTCTCGCCTAACCCCTTACCGGGTTGTGATTATTCTCCGTCTTATCATCTTGTGTTTCTTCTTGCAATATCGTACAACTCACCCTGTGAAAAATGCATATCCTTTGTGGTTGACCTCGGTTATCTGTGAGATCTGGTTTGCATTTTCTTGGCTTCTTGATCAGTTTCCCAAATGGTACCCCATTAACAGGGAGACTTATCTTGACCGTCTCGCTATAAGGTTGGTCTTTAAGTTTATACACCCCCTACTCTCATCTCTCTTTTTGTATTAAGTTGATATATTCTACCACGGTTTTCGATAGTTGCCTTTTTCCCCTGTAAATTTAATTTCAATTTAGACAATGGTGCATATCTACCTCTGGATTTTGATTATATATCGTAAGAAGATTGTGATTGTAAATCTTGAAATTTAGTAGGAAACCATGTGTGAATTACTTAAAATGTGAAGCTTAGCTAGTATACTGATTATATTTGATGGTTTGATTTTGGTTTCTAAATGTAGATATGATCGAGATGGTGAACCATCACAGCTCGTTCCTGTTGATGTGTTTGTTAGTACAGTGGATCCATTGAAAGAGCCTCCCCTTGTTACAGCAAACACAGTTCTCTCGATTCTTGCTGTGGACTACCCAGTAGATAAAGTAGCCTGTTATGTTTCAGATGATGGTTCAGCTATGCTGACCTTTGAATCCCTTTCTGAAACCGCTGAGTTCGCCAAGAAATGGGTACCGTTTTGCAAGAAATTCAACATTGAACCTAGGGCCCCTGAATTCTATTTTGCCCAGAAGATAGATTACTTGAAGGACAAGATCCAACCTTCTTTTGTTAAAGAGCGACGAGCTATGAAGGTCATTTGAAAAGTTCACCTGCTTCTCATCCATACGACAAATTAGAGATTGACTCACTTTTTCTTTGGTTTGTATTGACAGAGAGAGTATGAAGAGTTTAAAGTGAGGATAAATGCTCTTGTTGCCAAAGCACAGAAAATCCCTGAAGAAGGCTGGACAATGCAGGATGGTACTCCCTGGCCTGGTAACAACACTAGAGATCATCCTGGAATGATACAGGTACAGTGAGGCAATCCCTTGATTGTGACAGAGAGAGTAACGAAAAGGAAACAATTTGACATCGTTTTGTTTCAATTTCAGGTGTTCTTAGGCCATAGTGGGGGTCTGGATACCGATGGAAATGAGCTGCCTAGACTCATCTATGTTTCTCGTGAAAAGCGTCCTGGATTTCAACATCACAAAAAGGCTGGAGCTATGAATGCATTGGTTTGTTAACTTTCAAAATCTTATTACCTAAGAAACGATCTCCTTGTGTAGCAGTTGCTTCACATTCTTCTTTCTAGTAAATGTGTTCTCTCCTAATTTAGCATCTCTTTACATTGACAGATCCGTGTTTCTGCTGTTCTTACCAATGGAGCATATCTTTTGAACGTGGATTGTGATCATTACTTTAATAACAGTAAGGCTATTAAAGAAGCTATGTGTTTCATGATGGACCCTGCTATTGGAAAGAAGTGCTGCTATGTCCAGTTCCCACAACGTTTTGACGGTATTGATTTGCACGATCGATATGCCAACAGGAATATAGTCTTTTTCGATGTGAGTTTCACTTCCCCATTCACACACACACTGTCTTTTGTTTCTCTTTTGTTCATATTTTTGTTGGATTTACTCATTCTATGGGCTGACTTGGATATTTGTTCTCTTGGGCAGATTAACATGAAGGGCTTGGATGGTATCCAGGGTCCAGTATATGTGGGTACTGGTTGTTGTTTTAATAGGCAGGCTCTATATGGGTATGATCCTGTTTTGACGGAGGAAGATCTTGAACCAAATATTATTGTGAAGAGCTGTTGCGGGTCAAGAAAGAAAGGAAAGAGTAGCAAGAAGTATAACTATGAAAAGAGAAGAGGCATCAACAGAAGTGACTCCAATGCTCCACTTTTCAATATGGAGGACATCGATGAGGGTTTTGAAGGTTTGATTGAGCTTATAGTGTAATAACATCACTCCTTTATGTAATGGTTTATGTGATGGTAAAATCTTACAATCCTTTTTTTATGCAGGTTATGATGATGAGAGGTCCATTCTAATGTCCCAGAAGAGTGTAGAGAAGCGTTTTGGTCAGTCACCTGTATTTATTGCGGCAACCTTCATGGAACAAGGCGGCATTCCACCAACAACCAATCCCGCTACTCTTCTGAAGGAGGCTATTCATGTTATAAGCTGTGGTTACGAGGATAAGACTGAATGGGGCAAAGAGGTCAGTTTTTTAATGCAGCTACAGACTCTTATGTTCTCTTTCTTACTTGTTTGATGACATCTTATATGGCACTTTTGTTAGATTGGTTGGATCTATGGTTCCGTGACGGAAGATATTCTTACTGGGTTCAAGATGCATGCCCGGGGTTGGATATCGATCTACTGCAATCCTCCACGCCCTGCATTCAAGGGATCTGCACCAATCAATCTTTCTGATCGTTTGAACCAAGTTCTTCGATGGGCATTGGGATCTATCGAGATTCTTCTTAGCAGACATTGTCCTATCTGGTATGGGTACCATGGAAGGTTGAGACTTTTGGAGAGGATTGCTTATATCAACACCATCGTCTACCCTATTACATCTATCCCTCTTATTGCGTATTGTATCCTTCCCGCTTTTTGCCTCATCACCGACAGATTCATCATACCCGAGGTTCGTAAAACTGACCACACTTCTATTTACTATTGAATCCCATTTTGTAAATGCATTATTTTTTTCAATCTTCATCATCTCGTTTTTAAAATCTATAACAACATTGTTGCAGATAAGCAACTACGCGAGTATTTGGTTCATTCTACTCTTCATCTCAATTGCTGTGACTGGAATCCTAGAGCTGAGATGGAGCGGTGTGAGCATTGAGGATTGGTGGAGGAACGAGCAGTTCTGGGTCATTGGTGGCACATCCGCCCATCTTTTTGCAGTCTTCCAAGGTCTACTTAAGGTTCTTGCTGGTATCGACACCAACTTCACCGTTACATCCAAAGCCTCAGACGAAGATGGGGATTTTGCAGAGCTCTACATCTTCAAATGGACAGCTCTTCTCATTCCACCAACCACCGTCCTACTTGTGAACCTCATAGGCATTGTGGCTGGTGTCTCTTATGCTGTAAACAGCGGGTACCAATCGTGGGGTCCTCTCTTTGGGAAGCTCTTCTTCGCCTTATGGGTTATTGCCCATCTCTACCCTTTCTTGAAAGGTCTGTTGGGAAGACAAAACCGAACACCAACCATCGTCATTGTCTGGTCTGTTCTTCTGGCCTCCATCTTCTCGTTGCTTTGGGTCAGGATCAATCCCTTCGTCGATGCCAATCCCAATGCCAACAACTTCAATGGCAAAGGAGGTGTCTTTTAGACCCTATTTATACACTTGTGTGTGCATATATCAAAAACACGCAATGGGACATTCCAAATCCTCTAAACCCCTCAAACCCCGGTGAACTGGGCAGTTATGGTGATTCCATGTCCAAGATTAGCTTTCTTCGAGTAGCCAGAGAGCTGAAATTGTTCGTAACACTGTTGTAATGATTTTCCAGTGGGGAAGAAGATGTGGACCCAAATGATACATAGTCTACAAAAAGGATTTGTTATTCTTTTTTATATTTATTTTATTTAAAGCTTGTTAGACTCACACTTATCACTTATGTAATGTTGGAGCTTTGTTGTTGTCCTAAAGGTATCGGAGTTCTTTTTTTGTCTAAAATTTGGAGTTTATATGCCAAGCTTGTCACTTTACTACAAAAGTTTTATCGCAAGAGTTGATAAGTTAGATAAATATAGATTATATAAAAAAACCTCAGCTAATAATTTAAGTAGTGTGACGTTTGGTTTCTTTCTATCTTCAGCAATTGCCACAAATGTCACCATTGCTGAAATTCTCAAGAGCAATGGACTCGCAGTCGAGAAGAGGTAGTTTATAGTTTTCTTCACATGTTTCTATTAATGTCAGTCTTTGATCACCAAAACGTTAAGTGCTTAAACTTTCTACATTGGTCCAATGGTCAGGCATTATGACTTCAATGGTGGACTTGATTCTGGAGATTGGAAGACCTGTTCAGAAACCAAAGCCAAAGGCATTTGCAAATGTAAACACACTTAGTTTGCCGTGGAGACTATACAGTCGACAACAATTATACCTCAGATATTGTCCTCTTTTTACTGTATGATTTTTTTGCTGCTTCACAAGAAGAAGCTACTAATACCGAAAACTAGAGCAAAAGTAGTTCTTGAGGGCTCTGTTTTGTGTTTCGCTTCAGGTTTTCATGTATTCAGGATCATCAATGGATATGATGGTGTGAGTGTTGATGTCTTCGGGTGAATTTGTCCTCTTGTTTTGTCTCACCCATTAGTACAAATAGAATGACATTTGTTTTTGCTTTAACAAAATCTTTGTCATTATGGGACTTAATCAGTAAAGTTACATGTATGAAGAGATATTGTGTAAAGTCTTATTTGAATCAGAATCAGATCAATCAGAAATCCAGCATAAAGTTCAAAAAAAAGGTAGAATGAATCTTTTAATCCCCTCAACACTAATTTGTGAAATCTCAAGTGGCGTAAAAAGTCAGAACTATGAACCCAATTAGTATCCACAATGTGTTTCTTTGATTAACCCTTAAAATTGCCTTGAGTCCATACAATTCCAAAATCAGGCTTCTTGGTTGTTCTCGATGAGTATCTTCTTGCAAGCCTCATAACACATGAAGGAGATTCCAGCAGCCGGAACCAACTTCAAGCAACTCGGTCCAAGCCCTTTGTACCAACCGAGAATACCTTCACGCTCAAGTATGGTCACCAGAGCATGCAACATGTTCTTGTACACAACTCTCCCGCTAACCGCTCCCACTTGCATATGCTTCCGGGCCACTTCAAGAGGGAAAGTCGCGGTGCTTGATAGTGCACCCGCTAAAGAACCTATCAAAAGAGTCTCAATGTTACCAATCTTCTCCTGCTTTGAAAAACTCCGGTATGCTTTTCTCAAAGAATCGTATGCAAAGTAATTTGTAGCTGCGTATGGAACAACTCCAATAAGGCTAGGAGCAAGACCCCTGTAGAGTTCTGTGGGTCCTTCCTCGCGAATAATTTTGAGAAACGCATCGAAAATCCCTTTGTAAACACCTCTCTGCAATAAGTTTGGAAGACCCATTACTGAGCAATAACTGTGTAGACCTGCTATTACTTGTTTTAAGACCACAAATCCTACAGCTACAAGGGAGTGATATCACCTATTACAGTGTAATGGATCAACTGGCTTATTTTTAGAAGGGTTGAGGAGCAAACCTGAATTGTAAGGCGAGTCTTGACTAGTTCAAGAGGGTATGTCAATAGGGTCTGGCTAACTCCAGCACAGGCACCAGCGAGTAATGAAGCTGGAATTGGGATTTTCGATTCCTCTCCATGTTGTGGTGACAATTTCTTGTTTACTGTCTCGAATACAAAAAGCTGTACATACAAGCATTGGAAACAAAGAAAGTTGAGTTTTTTAAACAGAGCACCAAAGTCTCATCATTTTGGCATAAGAAAATTTCAACCAACACAAGACTTTTCACAGATAAAACCCAACCAGATATTAGTACAACAGTCAGAAACTTCCTGAATCTGTATATTTCATTTCTAAACATAGAGACATGTTGGCTCGGATTATCATTGTGGTACCTCGACAGCTCGAGCAGGTGCGACACGAATGACATTGACCAAATTACCCCTGAAGAGACCAGTCCAACCTTCATGCTTCATGATATCACCAAAAACTTCAGTGCTGGAGTTTCCTCCACTTCCTACCATTAGATGCGTCCTGATTGTCTCCAACGGCGCAACAGCCGTTCTTGACACTGCTCCAGCTACAGCTCCGCTTAATAGCCGCCGCAATGAAGGATTAGCAATCTTTACCTTCAGTTTGAGCCCATCTTTCTTCTTCTTCCTCTTCTCGCCATTAACTTCGTCTCCCTCCTCCTCTTTTCCCGGCATATACTTAGTGTAGAGATCATTGAGCTGGGCAGAGAAGCTGTTGTTGCCTCTTTGGGAAGGATCCGGAGACGAGAGGGATGCGAATGGAGTAGTTTGATTAACGCTGGCGAATAACCCACCAATTGGGTGGTAATTAGAGCTGTTTAGGCTCGAATCGAATCCTAAATCGGAAACGGAGAAAAACCCATTCCTCGAATCGTCGAACAACTGGATTCCGGTTCTCCCCATGCCCACCCAGTCAGAAGCTTCTGATAAAGATCTTGTTTTTGCGGCTACAGCTAACAGAGACTGATGATCACGATTTACGGCCACTCATCTTCGTTTGAAAGTGCCCTAAAAAAGGAAGATACTTTGTAGAAAGAAAGGGAATTTCCGAAGATGGGTATGACGAGAATCGTGTGTAGAGAACGAAAGAGTGAGAGAGAGAATCTGTTACGTCTCTCTCAGTGGGTCAATGGGTCGTCTCTTTCGTTGAGCTTTTAGGGTTTTAACCAGTCTGCTAGTTTTTTGCCCTTTTTGGGTGGGTGGGTGGGTAGGTGAGTCAGTGGACTGCGCGCTTAGATTTTTTATTTCCATTCAGATAAAAAATAAAGTTTCACTGTATTTTATTGTTATGAACTTATGATATTAATATTTCTAAAATTGGGAAATGCACACCCACGAAGTAATTGCCGACAAAAAAATGTAGTAGAGCCGTATAAGAAGTGTCTCGGTTTTGCAGTTTTCACATGTGAACAAACCTTTAACCTAAACTCAATCCAGCTAAATTCAAAAATAAATAATTCGATTGCAACTGTAATGTACAATTTCAAATTATTTAAAAATACTATTCCCTATGCCACAATTGTAACAATGCAAAACATGGGAAGTTTTTCGGCGAGTTCGTGGACTGGACAAATATTCTTTGACGAAAATGGGGTTGGGCTTAAAAGCCCACTTCAGATCTTGCTCATCACAAAACTCAACACGATTGTTGTTCGAATATATATGTATGTCGGAGTCGGAGGCAACTCAAACAGTTGCTGACATGAAGAGCATGTTTTAGATTTTAATTGATGGGAAAAGGTTTCTAATCCGAAAGCCAAAGATTGAGCTTTAAATTTGATATTTTAGATATGGTGAAAAGTGAACAACCTATATAGTATTGAGTTTGTGGATACAAGTACATAATCATTTTCAACTCAAATTTCAAGTATGAGCTCTATGATATGTTTGTAAGTGTAAACATGTTAGTGTGCACACACAAAAAAAAAACAAAAAACATGTTTGTTTAATGACACAAACGGTTCAGTTTTATGTATGACACCACCAAGCATTTAACATCTTTATCTTGATAATAACTACGAACCAAACAGGATCTCAATGGCATTATAAAGTAAACCGAAATAGATTTATAAGAAACAAAGAAAACTCCATAGAACACAAGATTCGTGTGGGTACATTGTAAAGCATCACAAGACATAACAACTTCTAAAATCCTTGTACCATCAAATCCACTATGTAAATATAATAAGCCATAACTTAAAAGTAATGGATAGCAACTAAAACTTAAAACCAGAGATTGACTAGACGAAGACGATCATACCTAAGCAAAGCAGTGAACCGACGATGATGCGCAAAATCCTGCTGAAGATTTCCCTCCAAAGCTGCCAAAATCATCCTAACCCTTCAAATCTTATTCCTCTGAATTCCACACATCCATCAGATTCACAACCCTTTTCCTATGATCACCATTCATCAATCAATCAGTCTTCGGTTTCATCCCGTTTCGCAGCAGCTTCACTTTCCCTCTCTTCCAAAAGCTTCCCAGCAGCTTCTTCATCAGATTGCTGAACCTTCTTCTGAGCATCTTTAGCCTTCAAAGCCTGCAACTTGCAGTGATTGTAATAGGCAACACCCAAGAACGCAAGCCCGTAACCGAAGAGATTAAGCGGAGTAACCGTATCTTTAATCACAGACCAAGAGAAGGCAATCAAAAGCCAATCCTTAACCACACCAGCAACATTCATTGTTAAAGCCGAGGTTTTTCCAACGAGAAGGAACACAGCGAGGTTCAAAGCAAATGCACATACGGAATTAGTCCCGAAAATCACGAAATCGAAGTGGAAACTCGATGATTCCTTAAGAATCGGGAGTTCAACAAAGATCCAAGGGAAAAACAGGAACACCAAACAACAAGGAGCAACGTAGTACAAGGAAGTGATTGGATTAAGATTGATTCCTTTAGAAGTGAGCAAGATCTGAATCAAAACCAACCTCGTTGCCTCAAAAGCTACGGCACCAAGCTGAAGCATCACTCCCCAGGTATCGAATTTAGCCTCACCGTAAGCAGCAATCGCGACACCGAAAGAGATCGAGAGCATGTTAGTCATCGTCTCCGATTTGAAAGATTCTTTCTTAAGAAGGACTCCGATTGAGTAAACAGCGACAGGCATTAGGGCTTTAAGCATCTGAATGAAGGAGACGGAGAGGTAAATGTAAGCGGAATTGGAGAGCCAGAGAGAGAGCGAGTACAAAGCACCGATCGGGACTACAGATCTGATGTAAGTCTCTCGTGACATTGAAACAGGCTCAACGATTTTGAAGACTTTGATGAGGATGACGGCGAGGGAAGAGCAAAAAGCCATGTGGATCATGGTGAGTGTGATCGGAAAAGGCCAATTGTACATCTTCTTGTCGAGGATGTATTTGTTGTAGACGATGACGGTGAAGCTGAGGAAGATCCAGATCGCGACGTAGGTGTAGGAGAGGAGGATCTTCTTGATGACTCCATCGCTAAGCGCACCGCCTTTTCCCATCGTGGCGGAGGAGGAGAACGGAGGAGGAGAACGGAGGAGGAGGACGGTGGTGCGCAGGATAGTGTCGTGTGAGGGATGCAGGATAAAAGGCGCAGCAGTGTGTTGTGTTTTTAGAGAGACTTTGGTCAGTCTAATGTAGCGAGAGGGTTGGCGTGACTGTGCGCTATGCCTCTGCTACGTGGCCTAAAGTTTTTTTTTTTATATTGATTATGGGCTTAGCTATAGGCCCGCTAACTTTTTTTTTTTTTTTTTTTTCTCACTTGCCTTAATATGTTAAATTACTGCCTTTTATTGTATAAAATGTTTACCTTTTTCTAGTTTATAATTAAAACATTCTTTTTTCGTCGGGTAACTTTACATTTCTTTTTTGGTCGCCCGTCGGTAACATTATTTAAAGGACATAATTCATTTGTTTTTTTTTTTGTTTTTTTTGGTAGGGAGACATTTTTCATTTGTTACTCTATTATAAATGATTATTCATCATTTAGGAAATTAGGATTGAAGAATTTTAATTCTTTGCAGTAAATGGAAACACAATAAATATCCGATAAGTTTGTCTCTGTTAATTAGCATAATTTGAAAATCACATTATATTGACTATTTAGTACAAAAATATCAAATAAATCATTGGTCAACCACTTGACTAATTTTGATAGGTTGGTGCAGTTTGTGAATATTAATTCAATATGAATTAAATTACTTGTTTAGATTAGCTATTTATTTTAATCTTATTAGTAGTCAATGGTGTATTGGTGTTGTAAATATATATTAAAAACTTACCTTTAACAATCCCTTCTTTTTTTGGGCAATACCTTTAACAATCCTTAATTCCTTACTAGTCAACATTACATGTAAAAGTTATTACTAGAGTGAAAATTTATCTTTTTCCTTAATAATCATATAGGTTTTTTTTTGTTCGAACATTTGGCCTAATTATTCACGTTAAGTTTCCTAGTCTCGCCTCACATTAATTGCATAACTCTAGACGGTTAGGTTTAAACATTTGACATTAAATACATATCTATTGACTGTTTAGGTTTAGTGATGGAAACAGATAATGAAGAATTTTGCCAACTTTGTCAGAAAAAAAAACAAGAAATTGAGAGTAACAACGAAACTTATTCTTTACAATAATATTTTCATTGTGAGCGTAGACCGTGTGAGTCACATACTCACATACAATTATTTTCAGGACAATTGGCTCACTTCTAACCTAGACGTTCGGTAATCAATGTCTCTGTGCTGAAACCGTTATTGATAACTCATAACCTCCTAATCTAGTCATTAATTAGGAGATTAATAAATACATTTTACGTATACAATATACATAGCATACTAATTATATAACACCGCAACACCCTTACAATGAAGGCAATATGAATCACAACCTGCTGCGACTCGATCATCTTTGGTTATAAAAATACGTAAAAGATAATTTTGTATGCTTCTTAGCGTGTGTTGCTGCTAACATCACGAAACAAGATGACTATTGAAATAAGTTAAAACTTCCTCCGAATCCTTTTTATTTTAATAAATTAATAGTGACATAATTCATCACAATATAGCTATAATAAATCTGGTAGATACGACCCAAACTTCATAAGAAGGCATTAAAATTTGTATAGAAAGGAAAGGACAGTGGAGGTTGAGTAGTCGGTGCTGGAGGCTGAGTATGCGGTGTCGGGGATATAGCATATGGTGCGGAAGGTTGAGGATGCGATGACGCAGGTTGAGAATCTTCATTACGAAAATCACAGTCGATGTGAATGGAGACAACGCGACTAATTACATGCGCAAATTTGCAGTACGAGGTGAGTGGCGTTCTCGGAGATGAAGAAACGATATTGATGTGGTCCATCACGATGTTATCACAACCTGTTGTCGGGTCACAATCTAGTTTTATTGCAGTAGCATCGGCAGATGTCCCTTTGAAAGATTTAAACGTCACGTCGCTCACTTTCACAGCAGTAGCCTGAAAGAACACTACATATGTTTGTTATTTGCTTCCTATACTCAAATCTAAAAAATACGTGAAATTTAGCATCTCCTTAAATTTTCAAAATACCAAGGTTGAAGCATATTTCAGCTTTAGTTACATTCAATTATGTATCTTCTTTTATGAGTATGATATTTTGAAATAAAAATAATATCACTTCATATATATAATTTTTTTTTGTGGTCAAACATATTCATATATTAAAATATGACTGTAAATTTAAAAAATATTACCTCTGATGATTGATGATATTGTTGATCGATGATGATGGGGAAGTTGGCATTTATCAGAGTAATATCTTCGTACAAAATATTTTTGACAAACCCTCGTCCTCCCTGAAAAATTATGTAACGTCCAAATACATGATATATGTTTTTATATTATGGTATGTTTAATTAACAAACACACAGAAAACAACTTACAGGCCAAGTCTTGATTCTTGCACCATTTTGTGTTCCACTGAAGGTGCAATGTCTGACATTCACATTTTGTACTTCCTCAGATGCCCCTCCTTGCCCCAAACTTCCGATACTGTTTTGTCACACATTGATCAAGAATTGATAGTAAAAGCATATATATTTAAAAATATTATATGTGCGAACCTTATGCCATGACCAGGACCACATGTCACATAAGTTATGTTAATATCGAATGAAGCACCTTTGATTGCAACACAGTCATCACCTAATAGGTAGAAAACCATACATATCACAAAAGAAAATATTGTAATCTTTCTCGTGATCAATCTGTATATGGCATAGTCTAATTTTCGTTTAACTAAGAAAAATGGTAATACCGGTTTTGATTGTCGAGCTCAAAACTTGGATATTCTGTGAATGAGAGATATCAATGCCATCAGTATTTGGACTATTTTCAGGGGCATTTAGATGAAGATTTGATAAAGTTGCGTTGGTGCAATCAAACATCGATATGTGATTCCTTGGACTATTGATCTGAGTTAATCCATTATACAAAATGTTATGGCAATCAAAAAATCTTACTGCCTGCACAATTAGCAAAAAATAAATCGTAAATTAATATTAGCAATATATTTGCGTGTATATATATAGATATGTTCTTAAAATCTTCAAAGAAAAGAAATGTTCTAATAATGCATACTTTAAAATCATGTTGTTCAACGCACCTCTGGTCGAGAGGAGAAACCAACAGAAGACCACCAGTTTTCTCCATGGGTATTGAGGACACCGGATCCAGTGAGAACGAGACCTGTCACCTTCTCAAAACATAACCAACACTCACTTGTTCCCCAGTCTTTTGCCATCTTCGGGGCTTCAATTGTTCCATCAATCTTGTCCAAGGAAAAATAACATGGTATATGAGAGGTTTGCAAAATGATGAAATTTCTTGAAACTTTGCGGAAATGATGATTTTCTGCCACATTCTAACTAGCTAATAAATTAATCATTCCCCAGTACCAAAAAAGTTTACCGATCGAGTCAGGAGATTCGATTTCGCTTTGATGAATTTTGGTTCGTTTTGATTTTTAATTATGATTTTTAATTATGATTTCGCTTTGATGTATTGTACACGAAACTAATAACATCTTATATTTTTATTTGTACCAATCATTTGGTTTGGTGTCGTCATCGATTTAATCATGAATGTGAACATATAATTAAGCAAAGAGGTTACATGCAAATAAATGACATGATCCACAACATCCTTTGTATGAAATACCTGAATCTGAATATTAGGAGATATGCAAGGACCTTGCAACAATTGTGGTTGTATGGTATATGTTTCATGGGCATGTATTACAAACGAGGCTGCTCTACCTTTCCCTTTGCCTCCACATAACGCTCTCCATGCGTTTTGAAATGCCTATTTCGAAAATATTATTAAGCAATGATTCAATTTTAATTGGAAAATATAATATATTTATTGATCATCCAGATAAAAATAAATAAACTTGTATAGATAGTTACCTGAGAATGATCAACATTTGTAGAGTTAGAATCAGATATAAAATCTTTCATGGTTAGAATCATCCGACCATTTCCGTACTGTAAATGGTATGATGCAATTAGAAGCACTGAGAGGAGTATCTCAAAACCCTGGTAAAAATAAAAGTAGTGATCATATATATATTTGAACAAAATTCCTGAAACAATGGGATAAAAATAATCAACTAAAATGCGAATTTTATCTTCTCACCATTTTTATATTAATCAATGAAAATATAGAGTATGTTATTTTTCTTAGTAAATGTAGTGTTAATAGTGTGTGTTGTAAGATGTATATATATACGTAGAGTTGATAAATATATACATTTGATTACTTGCAAATTTTCGAAAACAAATTAATTTGACTCTTTTTTTCTTTGTTAAAGAAGTAAATGAATTTGAATAAAATTTAACAGTTACTATATATTTATGCCTTTATGGTAATGGGTTTACAATTTTTCTTAATATTTAGCTAGTAGTCAACGCATTGTATATACCATTTATTGGTCAATGTCTTAAAAACCTATCCACCAGGATTTTTAAATTTTTGAATTGATATCCTAAAATATATTTTAGTAGTTTAATTACTTGTGGGTTGTGGCTTAGCTTATATATAAAAATAATATACATTTTCGATAAAAGGGTATTCTATTGAAAATGCACAAATTGAAAAGTACATAGCTATGACTGTTACGTCATACAATGAAAGATAAAATGAGAAAGTAGAGATTACAACAGTTTTGTTAAGATCACTAGAAAATGGGAAATAGAGAAAACTCTCTTCGACCTTTTAAAATGGAGAACCGTGGCTTACATAAAAATTGAAAAAGATAGATATTCCGTAAAATCTATGTATATATTTGAAAATTCCAAAATAACAGTAAAAGTATAAATTAAATTACTAAAAGTATCACATGATATTATGTTTTATTTCATTTTTAAACTAAAACGGTGAGTTTCTCTGAAAGAAAATCGCATGAGTCAAGCTTCTCATATCTTGAAGACTATGACCCGAAAATAAGTCCATAGTACTAGCACGATTCATTTGCAGTACGACATGGATATATATGCCTTGATAATCTTTGTCATGAAGACTGAGAATTTTTTCCTTTTTCTTTAACAAAAAAAAAACAGAAACTAAGAAAACTTGTTGTCTTCTAATGAATGTGTGAAAGGAAAAAAAAAAAAAAAAAAAAAAGAATGTGTGAAAGGGAATGGCCTCAGTTGTTTCACATGCAAGTCTATTTTTTTTGCTTACATGTTTTTATGAGAGAAAAGTTCAAACTGAACCTTTTTGAAATATTCGTACATGTTTTATAAAAATTCCATAAGCTATTTTGCATAATAGAAATGCATGCAAACATCAAATGAACAAAGAAGAAAAACCTCAAAATGTTTGTGAATGTATAAACTTTTAGTGTATTAACTATCTGTTTTACAGATTTCTTCGTTAATTCTCTAGTGACTATCTCATCACACAGTTTTGATATAGTAAATGCAATAGAAACTTCACAATAAATATTTAAATAAGATACGAAAGAAAAGACAACATCGGAGGTTGAGCATTCGGTGCTAGAGGTTGAGCATTCGGTGCTGGAGGTTTAGCATAGTATACCGGAGGTTTAGCTGGTGCCAGAGGTTTTGGAAACATGGTTGGAGGTTTTGTCGGCCGCGTTGGAGGTTCAACATGTCGTGGAGGTTTAGCTGGTACTAAAGGTTCTTCATCGAAACCACATTTGATATGCATGGAGACAAAATGACTAACTACATCCGCAAATTGACAATATGCGGTTAGGAGCGTATTCGTAGATGAGGAAGTGATGTTGATGTGTTCCATCACGATATCATGACAACCCGTTACTTCATCACAATCTAGTTTTATCGCAATATCATTTGCACATGTCCCTTTAAAGTATCTAAATGTCACATTGCTCACTTTCACAGCAGTTGTTGCCTGTAGAATTTTAAACAGTTGTGTTAATTTATTTAAAAATCTGAACTTTACAATTATATTTAAAAAACAGATGTCTAATTTCATATGCATAAAAGTTTCAAAATACTAAAGACAATATGTATATAAAGTTTTACCTCTCTTGTACAATTGTGGCCACCATTACAGTAATGTTGATCGATGATGATAGGGTAATTGACATCTGTTAATGTTATATTCTCGTATAATATATTTTTGGCGACCCCTTGTCCTCCCTAAGAAATTATATATAAATTAGTAAAAATAGACGTAGGTAATTTTGCCAAAAAAAAGACGAATGTATATAAGTTTAATTTTTCAAAAACTCTTACAGTCCAAGTCTTTATTCTTGCTCCATTTTGTGTTCCATTGAAGCTGCAGTGTCTTATTTTCACGTTCTCGACCGTATCGTTTTCCCCACCTCTCCCCAAACTTCCAATACTTTAGGATTTTTCCAAGACGAAATACACAATTAATATTTAATTATTTTTTCAAAACAAAACCTCACAATGAAATTTGAAAGATATCGTCGTAAGATGTATAAAAAATATATTAGTACAAAATCACATATATTATATATATATATATATATATATATATATATATATATATATTTATAATCCTAGATGAATTTGTAATAAACCAATCTAACTTCTGCAACACAAAATAATAATTAGAAATATTTGTATAATTCTATCAAAAACCAAACGAAAAATCTAAATTTGGAAACCCTTCAAGATGTATATGATGTGCGAACCTGATGCCATGACCTGGACCACATGCTACATGAGTTATGTTGATATCATACGAACCACCATTAATCGCAACACAATCATCACCTAATAATAAATAAATCATAACACAAAAATGGAATTATGTAATTTCTCATGATTAATCCATGTATACGCATTTTCATTAATATTTAAATTAAACAAAACTGAGCATAACATACCGGTTTGGATAGATGAGTTAAAAATCCGGATATTGTTTGAAAGAACAATATCGATGCCATCAGTATTTGGACTATCTTTAGGTGCGATTAGATGAAAATTTGATAAAGTTACGTTGGTGCAATTTAAAATAGAAATGTGATTTTTTGGGCTATTCATTTGAGTTAGTCCATTATATATAATATTACTGCTTCCATTAAATCCTATTGTCTGCACAAACAAAATAAATTGTAAATTGTAAATATATACTTTGTTTGTTAGTCTATTATATATTTTAATCCTTAAACAAAGAAAATACATACTCGTGGTCGGTGGGAGTGTTCAATAGAGGACCACCAAGCTTCACCATGGGGATGGAGGACACCAGATCCATTGAGGACGAGACCTGTCACGTTTTCGAAACATAACCAAGATTTACTTTCGTCGTTTCCCCACTCCTTTACCATCTTTGGTGCTTCAAGTTTTCCATCAATCTTGCAAAACCAAATATAATCACACATATATGTATGTTTGCAAAACAATGAGATTTCTATAAAGGATGATCATTCTGTGACAATAATATAGCTAAAAATTTATGATGATAAATACCTGAATATGAAGATTACGAGATGCACAAGGACCTTGAAACAATTGGGGTTGTATGATATATGTTTCGTTGGCATGTATTACAAGAGATGTTGTCTTGCCTTTCCCATTTGCTTCACATAATGCTTTCCATGCCCTTTTAAACGCCTATTAGAAAATCTGATTGTTTAATGAAACTTATTTTATTAAAAATATGATTAGATCTAATAATATATACATCAATTACCTGAGAATGATCGGCAGTTGTATTTTTATCATCAGATAGAAAATCCTTAATACTTAAATTAAGCTGACCATCTCCGTGTTGCAAATAGCACGATGCAATTAGAATTACCGAGAAGAGTAATTCCAAGCCCTAGTAATAATAGTACATGGTTATTATATTTTTGGAAAAACAAAGTTGAAAAAACAATTTTAATCTTTGTTACGTAGTTAGAGAGAGATAAGATATTCTCACCATTTGAACCATAATAAAAGAAATCCAATTGTTTTGAAAGAAAATGTACAAAATTAAGTAATATTGTGTGTTGTGAGTTGTATGGATATGATGTTGTGTTGAGTGTCCTTACATACTTTTGAGTTTCGATTATAACTTGCCAAAGTTTTGCAATATTCAACTCTACATATTTCTTTCTTTCTTTGTTTTGCATTAATTCAACTTAGTAAGTATGCATTCAACGTTCAACCAAATCCAAATTATCTATTTATTGTCACATTAATATCTTCCAGTTTCAAATTCTAGCTAGACTAATTGATTTCCTCTATTAACAAAGAGAAAAGGTAATATTATTATTATATATGTTATGATTTAATTTCAAGTGACATACATACAAAATATTATCGTTATCATTACATGACATGATGACTTGATTACTTCTACCCATTCACGTGAAAATAAACACATAATTGAAGATAAAATTTCAAAAATTTAGTAGCCCTCTTGAAATGGGCTAATTAAATTATTGATTCCCAATTATTTTTTCCAATATTTAACATTCAGTTACATGCACAACTATATATTATCAGTATAATTTGTTCTTATATATAAACATTTCAAGAAAGAGTGCCCTAGATATTTTATGGAAGAGGAGACAATATATGAGGTTGATGATCCTTATTTGTATTACAGTCGACATCAATGTTGACAAATGAACTACACACATCGGCGAATTTACAATATGCAGTGAGATTTTTACCCGGGGTTGGAGATGTGATGTTGATGTGTTCCATCGTGATGTTTTGGCAATTTTCTGTTTCGTCACAGTCGAGCTTTATCGCAATTTCACTTGAGCTAGTCCCTTCAAAGTACCTAAATGTTATGTTGTTCACTTTCACTGCATTTTCCTATCAATTTCATAACATATCATTAGCTTGCATTCAGTAAGAATTGAATCCTTTAAATTACAATGCAGTATGATACATTAGTTAGTACATTAAAATATTCATATGCATATGGTGAAGTTTTGGTTTACAGGACGAATTGCAAATGATTTACTATTTATTTATAAGGATCATAACATACAAATATAATTATATATTTATATATAATAGATTCCTAATAAATACTGTAGATTTTCATATTCAAATAAAAATAATAATTAAAGTTTGAAAATTACCTTTAGGTAATTACGCTTGTCAAAATAATGTTGATTGATGATGATGGGGTATCCAGCATCCATCAATGTAATATTTTCAAACAAAATATTTTTGGCCAACCCTTTTCCTCCCTATGAAATTATGTAAATTAATTCCACCATATTTAAACAGAAATAAATTATTTTGCTAGAAAAAAAAAGATGGAGAAATAAAAACTTACACGCCAAGTCTTGATTCTTGCTCCATTTTGAGTTCCAGTAAAACTACAGCTTCTTACGTTCACGTTTTCGACTATGTCATCTGTCTCATTATCTTTCCCCAAACTCCCAATACTGCATTTTGTTTTAAGTTTAAGACATAATAAACAATTTAATTTTAGTAGAAAATCATATAAAATAATTTTATACAACAAAAATATAATAGTTTAGTTTGAAACAGTAACTTGTGGTATAAATATAAAAATTGATTCATTTTTTTTTTTTTTTTTTGCTAAGTAAAATTGATTCATGCACCTATACAAAAACATTGATGATTTCAAATTTCTTTGGATTTTTATATTCTGCAAACCTGATACCGTGACCCGGACCACATGCCACACCAGTAATGTTGATATCTGAAGAACCACCCCTTCCACCAATAATTGCAACACAATCATCACCTAACATGTAAGAAACACATCCATAAAGAAATTTAGCACATTTTCCAAAATTTAATCTATCTAAACACAGTATATTAAATTCAAACAAAAGGAAGAACGAAGATTACCAGTTTGAATAGAGGAGTCTAAGATTTGGATTTTGTGTGAAAGACAAATATTGATACCATCAGTGTTTGGACTGTCTTCGGGTGCGCTTATATCAAGATTTGATAAAGTTGCATTGGTGCAACCATAAATTGAAATGTGATTTTTTGCACTATTTATTTGAGTTAGTCCATTATATATAACGTCAGTGCAGGAGTCAAAACTAATTGTCTGTAGATGCAAAAACGTTATAAGTTATTGATTATATATTCATAATAATAAACATCTAAGATAATACATTTATTTTAAGAAAAATTAGCACTTGTTTACTTTAGTATAACCCTGATATATTGTCACTTGAAAAGTTATTTATAAAAGTTAGCACTTGTTCATACACGAATAAATTCATTTGTATAATTTGTGTGGTTTCATATATATAGAAAAGTAAAAGATATACTAAAAGGATTGTGTTGGGACTGACTTACCGTTGGTCGTTTAGAGTGATTAACAGATTTCCACCAAGCTTCCCCATGAGGATTAAGAACTCCTGAGCCGTTGATGACGAGACCTTCTACATCCCTGAAACCTAACCAACTCTTTTTTTCTGTGTTTTTCCAATATATCGGCTTCCTTGGCCCTTCGAGTTTTCCATCAATCTTATCAAAAAGAAAAAGAATCATACACGCATGTGAATTATGTATGTACCATGTGCACCAAGTGTTTGGCTCGATATATATAGTGATCTATCTATTCATTAAAATAAAATATTTCTTATAATTAACCTTGTTAAAATAAACATGTGTTGAAGCAAAGAGCTTTTTTTTTTTGCAAGATCTTTATATACATCACTTTACATCTTCAAAAATACCTGAATATGAATGCTAGAAGCTACGCATGGACCTCGAAAAAATAATGGTTGTAAAGTGTACGATTCGTTCTTTCGTATCACTAAAGCTGACCCGTTGGGTGTTTCATCTTCGCATAATCCTTTCCATGCTTCTTGAAACGCCTGTAAAAAATGATATAGTTTTTATATTCTTATTGGAAACTATTACTTTTATTTTGATAATCTAACTGCATATCAGTTTAAAGAAAAGGATTACTTTAGAATAATCAATGATGGTGTGATTAGTATCAACTATAAAATCCTTGATGCTTAGAATTCTCTGGCCTTCTCCGTATTCCAAATAGTAGGATATAATTATAATCACTGAGAACAATGTTTTAAAATTCTTCATAGTTAAAAAAAAAATAGAACATGTACAGAGGAAATCAGTTGAAGAGGAATGTATTGTCTCACAATTTTAATCTTGATTTGAAGATCTATTTATATTGTTGAGTTGGAAGTTGAGAGTAGTACAATACTTTTGATTACTTGTCAATATTTCGAAATTCTAAGATGAAACAGATGCCACCTTCCCAACACAATCTTAATCCTATCATTTAAATGACTAATAAAACTAAATTTCATCTTGATAATATACACGGATAAGTATTGAGAAATTAAAATTATGTGAAAATATTAGCTTTAGAATACACAGTCATTTTTGATTTAAATAATGATCTGGAAACTCTAAACAGATTATTGAAATAAATCTTTTAAATTTTCTTTAATGCTTTCTCTTTCAGCTGTAAGAGTGATTTATTTGCATTCAATTGCTAGGATAATTCAATTAAACTAAGTATTTTTTTTAATTTAAAGTTTAATTAACTATAGTTAAATTAGAAAACTAAGCTTTAATTTCACATTAAAAATATATATAAAACATCTATATTTGCATAACAAACAAACAAATCTTAAACATCTAAGTATATTGTTTACTGTTTAGATGAGAATAAACTTTTTACTAGCATATTAATCAGCATAATAATACCAATGTAAAATAATATAGATTTGTATTTGAAAAAAAATAAAAAATGGAAAGTAATATTTTTTTCGTCTACTAGACTAAATCATTGATTCTGACAAAAAAAATGACTCATTAATTTTATTAATTGAAAAAAAAAAATATGGCCCAAGAGGCCCTAGGTGGCTGCTGCTGCTAAAAGATCCTCCCATGTGACTAATTTTTCTCTGGGTTTGTTTTTCTCAATCCCCATTTGTTTTTCTTTGGCATCAATCTTCTGCCACCCACTAAACTCTACCTTCTTCACTTTTCTCTTCTCCAGCAATTGCATCAGTCCCTTGCTTCCTGCTTTTGAGCTATTACAAACACCTTCTTCAATGTCTTCGCTTATGCTACCAACCTGCAACAAACACATTTTAATCTCCCAGTTTAAGAGCATCAGTTCTATTTTTAGGGTGGACAAGCATGTTGCTTACCGTTTCTTCGGCACAGTAAAGGTTTGTGGCAATTATACCTACTGGTCCTCTTTTGAGCCACCCACATACGTATAAGCCGGGTTCAGTCAGTGATATGTCTCCTGACGTGTGACTAACCACTCGACCCCTTACATTCGGGACAACGCCTTGAAACAAACAATTGGGGCGGACACAAAAAATGAGAAGAACTTCATATTTTTTTTCTCATTGACACTAATCACACAACACTTTCATATTATACTCACCTTTCTTGTGATCAAAAGGTAAACCATTGATTGGAACTGACTTGTAACCTATGGCCTTCAGCACTATACTGCAAAATTGAACATGCTTTCATTTGATTTGTTATAATTCTTGATATAGCAATTACAACAGATATGCACTAAAGACCTTTCATTAGAGAGCACATTACCTGCAGTTAATATCCTCGAACTCTCCTGTACCAACTGCAATTTGCTTTCCGCTTCCAACACCTTTACAAAAGATATGGATGAAATGTTAGCAAAATCCACTATTGTATTCTAAGAAATCACCATTCCATTTTTAGTGTCTCAAGCTAAGCAATCTAAAGAAGAACCACAATACCATGCCTCAAGTGCACTTACTTTCAAGAATGGTTTTCTCCAAGTTTACACCGGAAACATGTCCCCTTCTTTCATCTGACTCCAAGAACCGGTCAGGTTGGCGGAAGAAAACAAAGTGCAGCTCTCGTTGATCAGGGTCTGCTTCTGATGTTCTTGCTGCTGCTGCAGCCTTGGACAGTAATTCATAGATCCTCTTTCTGGCTCTACTATTTTTCATTTCTTCCTTCGAGAAAAAAGAAGTGTGTCAGGAAATAGTTTGTGGAGGTATAAACAATTTCACTAAAATGCAAATAACAAGGTTTCTTCTTACTTTAATTGGAAATCAGTAACACAAGTACCTCATCAGCAGGAGTTACACTCAAGTCAGTCTCCTTTATTCGAATCTGCAAGTTCTTAATCCCTGCATTATAAAAAGATATCCGTTTATATTCATATCAATGGGAAAATAGCAAACAGAAATTACCAACAAAGTATTAAAGATAATGCAGGTAATGAAAAGATAGGAAGATCATACAAAACAGAGACAATACGGTGTGTTATTATCTCACACCTGAGAAGGTCAAGACAAGCAAATTAAGGCAAAGGAGTAAATTTTTTGCTATTCAACATCTTATGTAGTATCACGTATCAACTAATGCAGCAAAATATTCACCAAAGCAGTCCATATGCAGCAGATCAAACAGAGTAGACAAGTTAAAATTAAAGATAGAGGTGTCCAGCAAGTACTTTAACTAAATGTAAGAAAAACAATAGAACCCAAGGTCTGTTCCTATCCTGAAATTATAGTTTTGCTGCTACTTAGAGAGACCAGTGAATCCCCTACCGATTTATCCAAGGAATGTTAAATGCCGATTGATAAAAAAACCAAAAGTCACTCAACCACACTTCCCCCTATATAGGGTGCAAGCTGAAAAATGGCAGCACACACCCAAACCCATCACACCAAACCACATTCTTATAAAACCCATACACAACTGCTTTTCTTATGTTATTTCGTATGTAAGATCTATCAAAAAAAAAAAAAAAATCAAAACATATATATGATTTATACCGAGAACTTCTCGAAGCTCTTTAGCAGTCAATGCTGCTTGAACTGGCCCCCGTCTTCCGATGAGATACACCTTCCTGAACACGTTACAACTTTGTATCAGGGACTATTGTTGGTTGTCAACTATACGAAGATGGAATGGAACAAGATTTAACTAGTTAAATGGTTAAATGGGACCTTATGGAACTTTCTTCCAGCGCAGATAAAGCATGTCTAGCAATATCAGTTGACGCCAACTCTGTTGTCGGTCTTAAGAGAATCCGAGCAACATCTAGAGCTACATTACCCTAAGATATGAAGGATTATATGTCAGAGAGGTTTTGAAAAATGCATTTACTAGAAAATTTTGGTATCATACTGTTATTGATATGTACATCCTGTTACAGGGTTAAGGGTAGCAAAACAAAACCAAATAGGCTCGACGCAAAGTAAATTTAAGAAAGTAAAATTATCTGATTCTTAGAATTTAAGGCGTCTTTAGCAAAATGAGGATCACAAACCATATATTAGAGTACCTGTCCAAGAATGACAGCTGTGTCGGACCTTTTCAAGTCAGGTTTCAAACTACTGTAGTCGGGATGCCCATTATACCACCAGACGAATTCTCTTGCAGAGTATATACCACTCAAACTCTACCAAAGTCAACTTTATACATCAGAATGAATACCCAACAAGTATAAGCAACCAAAATACACTAACTTTATGCCAAAACCTATTTAAACACCTAATTCCACCACACGAAACTTGCAATTGGCATACCTCACCTGGGATGCCAAGATCTTTGTCACTTTCAGCACCATATGCAAGTACAACCTGAACACACATAATAACTAGTATAACAAACGAATAGGTCCCTGCGTCGTTAGAGACACTTTAGAGCTAATAAGTTGCTAATCTAAATCATAAAAGAGCATACATAGTTAAGGTAAGTCATACCACATGATACAAATCCCGCAGCTCAGAGAGTAATAAATCTGATCCAAGCTTTACATTCCCATAAAAAGAGCAACGGTCGTGTTGCGCCACACGTGAGAACTGATTAATGGCAATCTGTAGAAAGCATTGTGGTTGACATTTTAAGCTCAATGGAGGACATCCTAGTCTCTCTATCTATAAACAAACAAGATTAAGCTAAACAGTGGTACCTTAGTTTCAGGATGATCAGGCGCAACACCAGACCGAACAAGTCCAAAAGGTGTAGGTAATCGATCGATTATATCTACATGTGCTCCTTCATGCGCCTTCAATACCTGATTACCAGCCATCAAATTACCAGTTAAGGTTCTTAATTGCACAAAATCAGCGATGACAAATCATTGCTGATTTAAACACACAAAATCTGGTTCACATACACACTGATCACTCTACACACAAGCAGAAATCTGATGATATTCCAACCAAAAAAAAAAGAGAGAGAGAGAGAAGAAGTGTACCTTGTCAGCAGTATAGAAACCAGCAGGTCCACTTCCAACGATGCAAACGTGCAGAGGACGGGAAGAAACTGAGGAGAAGCATCTAGACACCAAATATCTTGCTAGATATCTACTCATTTTCAGTAATTTCAAATTTTTATGCTTATCAAACACCTGGGCTTGTTTTGACAGTGTAGCAAACTATGAAAGTGCGTAGAGACGTCGAAATTGTGGTTCCTATGTCACAGCGATCAAACGAATTTGGGGTCTTTCACTTAATTACTCCTAACACGATGTACTTAGAGATTAACGCAAATCTGTTAATGAGCTAGTTGTCTACGATTTATTTTCGGGGGTTTATGAGAGAATGAATCGTAGGGATAGATTAGAAAAAAAGTGTAAGCTCTCAAATCGCACACTGTATAAGGAGGAAGATGAAGATGAGAAGATATCTCCTGGGGAATAATCGGGAGAAGAAGAATTTAGGGTTTATGAATGAATTTGGGGATTTCTGCTCACTGTGCAGTTCACGTTGACTTTTTGCGTTTAAAATGTTTCCCGTTGACTTTTTCCTTTGCTAGTGTTAAAATTGAGGTTTATCGATTTTTCCCTTATAACTTTCGTTTTTTTTTATTACTGTATTACTCCCTCCGTATTTTAATAATTGTCGTTTTAGAATTTTTATTTTTTTGAATTAGATGTCGTTTTCAAATTTCTACATCATAAAACATTAAAAAGTAAGAAATTTTGCATTGAAATTTGAAAACGACATCCAATTCAAAAAAATAAAATTTCTAAAACGACAATTATTAAAATACGGAGGGAGTATGATTCATGGACATTCAGATAAAAAGTTTAAAACTCAACATATTCGTAGTAATTATCGGCAATCAACTTGCACTTCAGGGTAATCTTGAAGTAAATTTAATTAGAGGTTGTACATGTTAGCTTGAAACTTAGTGCTGGTCATTGAAAAATCATGGTAATCATCAAATACATCACTAATCAGATCCTTGTTTTCAAACGGTTTCATAGGATGATCCAAAAACAAGGAGATGATCAACAACTCTTGGGGTCCATAACAATGTGTCACTCTCCCAATTTCAACTACTATAACAAACACAACATACATGGCAATATGGGACAAGTACTATATCAAGAAGTAAGATCATGTGTAACAGGATATTTAATTCTATGTTTCTAGGCATCATCTGTTCATATATTTACCTTCCTTTAAGCTCTGCAAATCTGGCAGCCAAATCGTCATAGTTTGGTAACTTGGGGTGAACGTGCTTAGCTTCACTCGAACGTTCTGGCTGAAACGAGGCCGCACGGGCAAATGTTTTTGCAGGTTCAGATGGCCCGGCCAAGTGTTCAGGGGGTAGAGAACGTGACCGAGCCGGTTGATAAATCATCATCTCTTCATCAGATTCACCTTTTTTAAGATGTGTACGTCTGCTTTTGGATTCTTGTTGCACATTGTCCTTTTCATAACTTGAAGGTTTTTTACTGTAATGCATCAGAAGTTTATCCATCATCTTCTCCTCACTGTCCTTCTCATCCTCATCAATTAAGACTTGAAGGCCTTTCCTTGCGTTTTCCCTTCTTCGGCTTCTTGTATGATCATCACCACCAGATTCTACAATGTGTTTTCTTCTGCTTGTTCGCCGTTTCAGAGATGAATTATCTATGTCATTCACTTCATGATGACCTGCTTCATTTCCTCTCTCTGCCCCATAAACATTCTTATCATTGTCTGGATGATTTCCTTCTTCACCATCAAAACGAGCCTTTGGATTATCTGAAGCTTCAGCTTTTTCATTCCTTGCTTTAGCACTAGATTTTTTAACATACGGAGGTGGAAGGGATTTGTAGAAGGGTGATTTCATTCTCTCTGTTTCTCGCTCCTCAACTTTCCTTGCTGAATTTGCATAATCATTTTCATATATACCACCCTTAACTTTACCACCAGATGGATCTTCTTCCGTGCTCTTTCCCACAAGAACTGCATTTTCTTTACTCTCCAGATCATTACGATGTCTCGAACCTGGATCGATAGATTCCGCTCTCTTTGACTTGCTACTTGGCTTCGGAGGTCTTGAGGTATTATCTTCCACTTTCTGATGTGCATGCTCTTCATTTTTCTCATGTTTGTACCCTTGAAAGAAACTCTCTTGTTTAAAGCCGATAACTAACTTGTCAGCTCTTTTGGTGCTGCTAGGCTTAAGTTTCTCTGAAGCAATAACCTCTGTTTTCTTATGCAGATCAACTACACCATTTTGATGTCCATTCCCTTGAACGTGGTTCTCATGCTTGACCTTCATTACGATAGTGTCACCTTCATTAAAAATAGGTTGATGTCTTTCTCTAGAAGGTTCTTGCTTAGATTGCATATAATACTCTTTCCTTTCTGAGGCAACAACCTCGTTTTTCTTATGCGCATCAACTACACCAGGCCAATGTCCATTGCCTTGACCGAGATTCTCACGGTTGACCTTCATCACTATAGTGTCACCTTCGTTGAAAATAGGTTGATGTTTTTCTCTAGCAGGTTCTTGCTTAGAATGCAAATAAAACTCTTTCCTTTCTGCCTTCTTGTCCTTGCTTTCGGATCTGGAGGCGTGACGAACATTATCTGACCTTTCTTTAGATGTTAGCCCATGATGATTTCCTCTGAGACCATTCTGATAACTTTCTTTATCAGATTGAAACAAAGGATCTCTTCTTTCTGATGCCTCAGCCATTTTTCTGTTCAAGATAACCCCATTTTCAGAACCTTCAAACTCTTCTTCTCTTTTTGGCAAGGCCATGTTTCTGTTGACAGGCTTGTACTTGTCGTAAGTGCTTTTTGGGGTCTCCTGTTCATGTCCAAGAGAAAAATCATAATTCAATCACTATCCAAATATTTCAGTTTAGTTGTCCCCTAAAACAAATGAGTCATTGTCATACCTTTACTGAAATACTATTATGTCTCACAATCCTCTTCTCAAAATCTTTAGAATCCCAACGAATAGAATACTCCGATGCAACATCTTCCATTAACTTCACTTTCTGCTCCAGAGAAAATGGCTTTGATGACATATTCTCAACAAGCTGTACAAGAAACAAGCAGGTGGTTAACTTAACCGTGTATGCTGTATAAGATTTCAAGATGAGATACACTAGAAAAACTCTTTACCTCTTGGTTGACAAACAATGCAAGTGAATCTGTGTATTTTTCATGAAACATTTGCCTCAGTTCACGCAGCTCAGGCAACTCGGAAAATCCCGAGGCTGCAAACATTAACGAGGATACAGCTTCACGACAATCTTCTGGACATTCCCTGGAAATAAAAAAAAACTCATATCAACTAATAAATCAAACCCTGTTTCCACCTAGAACAAAACACTTGAATCATCATTGAGAATGTTCCCTTAAGCCACAGAACACAATTCTCATCACTAAGGAAATAGGAACAGTATGGATAGAAAAATGCCAAAACATGAGGTAACTCTGACAATAGTTGTAGATATTCAGTCTTTTCACCTGATAGTCAATTTAAAACCTAACACATTGATGTGGCAGAGATGTGCAAAAAAACTTTTCATCTAGTCAGAGTAGGTTACAACAACTCATGAATAACACAAGCAAAAAACATAAACTAAGATTATCCTAATAATCTAGGAGAATGGCAAAAAAAAAAACATTTACACAAATAAAAAATAGGCTAACATGGAAATCTCTTATACAAGTATACAACAACATATCAATGGCATTGAATAGAAAACTTACGGCGTCTTTTGCATGGTAGAGAGCTGCTTGTAAACGAAATCACAGGTCTGCTCAACAAAGTCAAGACTCCACAGATACCTTAGTTCATCAAGAAGCCCTCCTGCCTAGATGTATCAAAACAATACAAAATCATCAAAAATTACTTTTCAAATCTTAAAGCAAAACAGGACAACAAAAAATTACCCTGCTAAAAGCATTGTGGTCATGACCGTTAATGACCAGATCAGCCAAATCTTTCTTCAGAAACTTGATCGTAGCAGTTCTCTTCCTCCGAAGAACATCGATCCGATTCTTAGTCAGTTTTATCAGTGGTTTTCTGGTCCAATCAAAAATCACACAATGAAAATCGATTTACCCAGAGATAACATTAACAAAGGTAGATTGAAGATAAGAGAGCAATATCTTAGCAAAAGAGATGGATGAAGAAGACAAACCCCTTGGGAGCAAATCCGCGGCCTAGGAGACCATCAAACATCTTCTGATCTCTTACGATTCCGCAACAACGACGAAGATGAAAATCAACGAATCAGTAGCTTGGTACACAAAAACCCAGATTCCGAGAATGATCAGCTCGTATTTCTTCTTCTCAGTTGTTTTCTCTCTCTTTATTTGTATTCAAAAAGCCGCATCTGAAGCTGTGGAGAACATGGTGGTGGTGGTCTCAGACTGCTTTCTCGAAAGAAACGACTTCGTTTTGTCACTTTTTAATGTTAACGTTATAAAGGGTAGTTTCGGAAATATATTAATGCGTCTTTAAGGAGTTGGGGAATCAAATCTAATACCATCTGGTTGTTAGTGGGAATTGGGTGGAAATGATCTGGTACGGGTGGCTCCACCTTAGCTCATTCCATGGATTCCGTAGACCTGCACCAATTAATGAGAAATTAACTCACCGACGGGTTTAAATCAAAAACTTTACTCTCTTTTTTCTTGTCAAAAGTGAAAACCGATGTTTTAACGACTTGATGCTGAAAGGGAAATAATTATACTTTACAGTTTGCACTAGAAGATCATGCATTCAATTGGCTCCTGGTTATGCTCATGGTAAAAAAAAAACTTTAAACCAACAAATAACCGAAATAAACCAAACTGAAATTGGGTTATTCGTTTGATTTCTAGTTGAAGGCCAAAGCTTATCGGTATACTAATTACTCAAAAGGAAAAAAATTCTTAAAGATTGATTAGAAGCTCCTTCTGATGAGATTACAGGTCTAGATCATGAAATTTCTTGGTTGCCAAAAGAGATTTAGAAACATAATACCGGATCTTAGAAATATAGTTATCTACTTATCTATGTGTTGCATGCTTTTTTTTCAATATATATCAGTAGTTCACATAGATTCATAAATATATAAGTCTCATTTTATAATGTGCCACAACTTATTTTGTTTAATTTCAACTACGTTAAGAAACAAACGAAAATATCATAGTATGCATGAAAAAAGAAAGGTTGTGTAAACATGTAACTAACCTGAAGAAGAGAGGAAATATAAAATCAACATAATAATGATTGAGGTCTATAAACTTTTGTTTGTTTGTTTGATTTTTTTCTTTATTTCTTTCAAGATTCTATTAAATCATGTGAATGTATATATGTGCTTCAGGCCAGAGACATACTTTGTACTAAATCAACTTAAAAATATGTAATTATGCCTTACTTGCTTGTAAGTTAATCTAACCTATGCATGGAATCTTTTTGTGATTAAGTGTGTTTGCTTCTCATACGATACGAGGCATATTACTATACTTCCATGCTAATCTTTTTTGAGTTTCCTCAATTCTCTCTCCCGATTTTGTCCTATGTATTAGCTAGCTATATGTTCTTGTTATTCATTCTTGATAAAAACACAAACACGATTTAGTAAGAAGCGTTGTTGCTCTTTCTTCCAATTCCTGGCAGCTTACTTCCGAGCTCTCCCGTTTTGGCTCATGGAATCTCTAAGATCAAAGTGCAAAAATCTCACCACTGTGAGCCACCGGGAAAACCAAATTGATTTCTTTTCACGTAGATCAAACATATATATTAATAGAACATAGCAAAAGATGTCTGAAATGTTAATCTTTATGTATATTTATGATCAGAGCATAAACTGTTTCGGATGCTGCAATAGAGAAAGACCTTTAGTTGTGGAAGTCGATGAGCCATCAAAGGGACTCAAAATCCAAGGAAAGGTAGTGAAGAAAGATGATGGTTCATCAGATGGTCTCTGGAGCACAAGTACATGTGATATGGACCACAATATCACGATTAGGTCCCAATCTTCAAACCCGCTTTTTGATCCCCAATGCAGCACAAGCAACTCTACCGAATTTGTAAACCATGGTAACTTTTCGAATGTTCTAAGGCCTATTGTTTTAGATGCCAAAAACTTATGTGTTTGCGTTCGTATTTTCATTTCCGTTTAGCATTTGGCATATACAATTACCAAATGAATTATACTAAAGGTGTACTTTATTTGAGAGAAAAAGTACACAGAACGCAAAAAAAAAAAATAGAAGTCTAGATTGGCTGCATACGTTATAAGAATTGCATGTGCTTATTTTATTTTTATTTTGTGCAAAGAGAATTGCATATGCTTATAAAACCACAAATATTAATACGAAAATGCATTTCATGTTCGCTTTACTCTTCATAATTAGGATTTTCCTTTTATGAAGCAAGTAGCATTTACTTATTCAGTTATTCTATACACCAAAAAAGATACTACTTATTCATTTCCTTGCATAAAAGGACTTATTTTGTGGAACCAAACGAGACAACAATGGCGTGAATGCTTAACCAGACAACAGTGTCGAGTTCCAGAACCTGCAATAAGGTGACAACCACAAAAAACTATGAATATTGAAACTATGTTTATACAGGATTGGTTTACTGAAATTCTTCAATGTTAAAATGAAACTTCTAATTCATACTTCATGATGATTTTTCAGCTGGAACTCGTCGTATACTCGTATGATAGCTTATTGAGCACAAACAAGCTTTTTCCTCAACCAATTCCTCTTAAGGTGATTTGATTAATTTGGTTAATTAGTCGTTTTCTGCTCATCATAACTCTTAATTTTAATTTTACAGCAGAAGACTCTTTGTCTCCCTTGGAACATTTTCATATGGGAATTTGACTCTAGTATATATATATCATTGTTGCTAAGAAAGTTTTCTTTAAATAGATGATGATGATATTGTTACAGGAGATGGTGCATTTCCTTGTTGATGTTTGGGAGGAAGAAGGCTTGTACATATGATCCATTAAAATATATTTTAGATATAAAGAACGCCAAAAAAAAAACACAGTTTAATTGCTTTTTTCAAGTTCCATATATTATTTATTGCCCTTTTATAAATTATGAAATTTGGTTAACCTCATGGTCAATTTCTTTATTTTTTATTCTGCGACATATATAGTACTGATGAAAAAAATCGATCATTTTGTATGGTGAACACTTATATATTAACTGGTTTTATCTTGAATAAAACTTTCATATAGTTATTCCGTTATTATTAGGTCATTGTAAAATCGTCATCAATTGCATATCAAAAAAAATCGTCATCAATTAGTTAAATTACTATCAAAGCTTGTCTGTAATTTCTCATCAATTCTATCGAAATTATTCGATATATCCATGTTTGGTCATGACTCATGACCGTGGAAATAAGTTCAAGAATGGAAAGTAACTTATTTGTGGGACAGAATCACAGAATCACAGAATCAAATTCTTTGATCCAGTTACTTACGTTTTTCGGTGGCCAATCAAATTGAAATATTTTCTTTAGGGGTATTGGATTATGGTGGTCCTGAAGACTATAACAATTGTTTTCCGATAAGATTTAATATATATAAATAAACGATCCCCCAAAACTGATATATCTAGTTAAGATAGTCGTAGAATTTACGGAAAAAGGCTACTTATATTTTTGGCCTGATAATGCAAATACTTTCAAAATGTTTTATTTTCTAACTAGCTTTTAGTTTTGTTCTCGTCTTGAAAGATCGCAAGTTAGAAATTAAATACTAGTGTTATTACGATAACGTTTTGAATGAACATGTAATGTTGCGGGGTGTAATTGTAAATGTCAAAACTTTGGGGTCAATTTGATATAACTAACTAATAGTGGGGGCTTGACAAGAACGGAAACTCCATGATATTTTTGCAGTCTAAATATCTTTTCATCTCTCTTGTCTCCCTCCACTGAAAATTTCCCCACAAGAACTAACAATGATAATGAGAAGCGCGTCATCACTGGACCTTAACCTACGCGCCACCCAGAAACCGTCGGCTCCACGGGTGGTAACGACGGCTCGAACCGTCTCTGCTTCTCCTCGTGTTGCTAAATCGATTACGAGAGCTTCTTCAGATGGAAATCTTTACAAGATTCAGTCGTCGGAGAGCAGAACGAAAACCATCAGCGTATACCACGAAGAAACGGCTTCTTTTAGGGTTTTGGAAGGATCTCGGCTCACCCATGGAGGTTCCAACGGTGGATTTGGTGGTAGAGGCGGAGATGGTGCCGGAGGTGGCGGTGGAGGTGGAGGTGGGAGCGTAGATGGTTATTATGAAGAGATGATCCAACGTTATCCCGGTGACACTCTTCTTCTCTCTAACTACGCTCGTTTCCTCAAAGAGGTTTGTTTTTGGTCTCTCCTCTGTTTTTCAAGATTGTGTGTTTAATACTTGCTAATTTGGGAAACTTTTATTTACTGTATTTCGATAAAGAAAAAATCACGTGATGCTACTATATAGAGACAAGTTAGTACCTATTATTGCTAATATAGAAGTCGACCTTCGTTCTTGATTTTAGGTTTATGATTGGTTGAATATACTAATTCATGTATTAACTTTTAGTGAACGTAAATTTATAGTCTTCATCCATTAACTGTTTTTGAAAAGAAGTTAATGTGTGTATAAAAAAAAACAGGAGATAATATTAAATCTAACATGTCTTAATTTGTGCAGGTGAAAGGTGATGGGAGAAAAGCAGAGGAGTACTGTGAGAGAGCGATGTTGTCTGAGAATGGAAGAGATGGAGAGTTACTGTCTATGTATGGAGATTTGATATGGACAAATCATGGAGACGGTGTTCGTGCTCACTCTTACTTTGATCAAGCTGTTCAATCTTCTCCTGATGATTGGTAAGTGTAACGATAATCTGCTTTAGAGCGTAGAACCCTAATGATCGATATCCGAAAACTATGACTTCACTTTGGATTTGGGCTTTCTTAAAATCTCTCCATGATTTAAGTTAATAACTTCAAACCATGTTTTGTAGAATATTAGATTATTTCATGTGAATGAACCTTGTGGATCAAAAAAAGAACCTTGTGGATCAAATGTTATTTCTTCTATATCCAACCTTTGAAGAAGTGATTGGTCAATTTGTATCAGAACAAGAGCCTCACGCGTCAAATATGAAAGAGACACCATTCAGGATTTTTTTCTCTATGCATCTGCAATTTATATGTAGTGTGGCACTAGATGATACAATACATCATCATTGATAGATTATGATTATAATTTTTGGGGTCCCATACATGATAAATGTAATACTTTGATGAATGGTATTTATTGCAGTCATGTTCTTGCGTCTTATGCTCGGTTTCTATGGGATGCTGAAGAAGAAGAAGAAGAAGAGGAAGAGGAAGAAAGTAAACATGAGAACGGTTTCTCTTTCTCTACCTATAACCCAACATCTGTATCAGTTGTGTCTTGACTCTTTGTGCTGATGTTAAACCGGTGTAATACAATAAAAACTCAAAAGTCCGGTTTAATGAGGAAAATATCTTCTGCATATTGAAGCAGATCGATGCTAATGTGTAGGAAAAGACGAACCTAGTATCAAAAGTCCATTATTGTTGCAAAATGTGAGATTCTAAAGAAGATAAAAGTGGTTTGTGTCCTTTTGAGCGAATCAATTATTGATCAATGGTTGCGAAAGATGTCACGCTCAACTGTCGTTGATACCATAAATCTCAAAATCCATCTCCTACAATATCTTGTTCACTAATTACTCTGATGGATAGCCACAAAATTTTGGTTAAGAAAAAAATCAATTATATAGCAAAAGAAATAGCACATAAGCCATAATAACAAAAATAAGAAAAAGAAAAGAAAGAATACACAGACAGAACGAACGCAGTATCTCCTGAATATTCACCTTTTAGGATTCAAAGCATCAAAAAGAAAAAAAAGAAAAAGAAGAAGATCTTGACATCAAAAAACACCTTAAAAGATTAAAAACATTACCATCAAACATAGGAATATATAAAAGCAGCAACCTTTAGAACCAAACCCACATGATTTCTTTCCACTCTTTTTACCCATCTCTTCTCATATAAGTTTTGGCTGAAGGTATATAAATATTATACGGTTTCTTTTTCTCTTGTCCTCCTTACTTAATGCAAGAGATATGATGAGTCTTGAGAGTAATGATTGTACCGCAGAGTTTTTAATGCTCAACAGCAACCGCTTCAGATACCTCAATGGACTTGTCGGCTCTGTCTTCATTCTTCCTTGGAGATACAGTCTCATGTGAATCTTCTGCATCAGCATTGGATGATACAGTCACTTGTGTTTCCTCTTCTATGGGATGTGAAGACTGGTTTACTGTTTCTGCATCTTTTTCAAGTTTCTTTTTCTCAGGTTTCACCTTTGCTGAGATTGTGGCAGCTTTGGCTGGGGTTGGTTTTCCATCAGGGAGAGCTGTTTTCTGAGATGGCAATCTTGGAAGTGACTTGCGCACAGGTTGCTTCTTAAGATCAACTGTTGGCATAATTCCCTTTGCAGTTGGGTTATCTTTAGAAGCTCTCTCATCTAGGCTTAGCCTACCAAGACGAGGGGTTTGAGTTTCTTCACAATCCGCTCCAGAAGCAGTCTTCTTTCGCCCGAGTTTTGGAGATTTGGGTCTCGTTGGTGGTATCTTCTTGGACATAAACAAAATTTTACATGAAATGTGAATATTAGTACTTTAACACTAAGTGAGATCATGTTTGAGCAGAAAGCAGAAGTACCTTCTTTAACTCTGTTTTAGGCGGCTGAGGTTCTTGATAAAAGCTAGGCATAGGTGTGGCTTTGAAGTTCAAACTCTTCCTTAGCATCCTAAGCTCAGCTTCTTGTGTTTCCTGCGGAAAAACCAAAATTTTTGTTTTAGAGGAGGCCGAGAATCTAAACACTGTGACAATAAACCTGGTGTAGGAGACAACCTTGGACTTGGCTTGCATGCTATTAATTTCCTCTTCTTTTGCATGAGTCTTCTCCTCAAGCTTAACATAGAACTGCACCAAATGAAAGCAGAAATATGATTATATGTAATTATGTTTATGGAAAGAGGACAAATCTAGTGAACCAGAATGCTAACCTCTCTTCTCTTTTCAGCCCGTTGGTCACATTTGAAACTGAATCCATAATTTGGAAGTGCACCAACTTTACGAGGTTTTCCATCGTCTTCTTTCGGACTACTAAGAAGCCATCAAGTCATATTATCAACATAAACGCTAAAAATGAGAGGCAAATGCAGAAAGGACCTAGCTTTCCACAAAAAAAGACGAGCTGGTAAATATAAAGGTGAAAGAAATACTTAGACGACTGAGTATCATCTTCAGATGTCTCATGGGTTTGTTTCTTTTGAGGCTTTGGTTTCACCTTGTCCCTGTATCAAAACGGGAAAGAAATTTCCAGTTTCAATGATTGATTAGACTAAAAGATAAATGAGAATACTTAGCACCAAGGTCTAGATGACATTTATTAACAAATGTTTTAGCAGTGAATCCATAGGAAGACTATATGGAAAGAAACTCTGATTTCTAAAATAAGGACTCAATACCCGTCAGCACTTTTAGCTGGTGCAGGGTCATGCTTCCCTTGCTGAAGGAAAAAGAAGATATCAAAAATAATCATCAGCCAGAAAGAAGATCACACAAATATGCATAAGCCAAAGCAAAGAAACCTAGAAGAAAATTGTGAGGGATGGTTACCTTTGTGACTTGAGCCTCTCGACCATTGAATGATTTGCTCTTAAGAGGCTTTGTTGTATGTGCAATAGGAGCAACAGAACCATTTGATGCTACCACTTTAGCATCTGCACTTTTGCCCTCTTTGTTCTTTTTGATGTGAACTGATGGAATATTCTTACCACCTGATAGTTTCTCGTGCTTTAGCTTCCGTTGAGCTTTTTCGCGTTTCATACACTTTGAATCATCTACAATTTCAACTTGTGTGCCCTACCAAAAAAAAAAGAGAAAACACAAATGTTAGTCACGACTGTTTTATCTTACAGGCAAGTGATTGACCATCCGTGAGTTACGAACCTCAGCTGCCTCCTTGACGTGTTCAATTGCATCGAAAGTGGAACTGTTTCCCGAATTCTCATTCTGACTTTCTGAAGTAGTATCCACGGTTTCGACAGAAACAACCCCATTTTCTTGAACACATACACTTTCCATTGTTAAAGCACCATTTGCAGGAGCAGAATCAGCCCCATCCGCAGCCATGATAGTCTCGGGGTCCATAGTAAACTACACAAATCAACAAATATAGAAGAGACAGAAAAGGAATAAGCAGAGAAGTTGATAAACTGAAATATAGATCCATGTTGTAAAGTATACCTAAAATAGCAATCACTTGAATCAAAGCTCTTTTCTATGGTTTATGAAGTGAACTATACATCAATCAGCATTGTCACAGACCAATATTGAAGCTACATTTTAAAAGTGTTAAACATAAAGGCACTTGTTTATCCAATTTATACATAAGCTACTCACAATAGTGTATATGGATCCGTAGATAATCCCTAAAAGGCAGGTTTTTTCAAATCATATTCTGCCTACACCACAGGATCAACGAGAGCAAATATCCACACACACACAGAGACCCAAAAACCCAGAAAGAAAAAAAAAACCAAACTTGTGATTCCTGAATCGATCTAAGTAAACAAATCGGAGAAACGCAAATCTAACCTGGAAGTAGAAGCAAATCTAATGCAGAGAAAACTAAATCTCGTGGTAGTGAGCTCACTAGTAAATCGGTAAGTGACAGTTCTAGTTTCGTTCGATCTACCGACACTCAAAACCATGAATTGAAAACAGACAAGTGAACAAGTTCCTCAGATTCATAAAAACATCCGCCATTTTTAGACAGCAACCAAACAAAGAAGAAAGGGAAAAGAAAAAAAAACAAGCAAACAAAATAAGAACACTTAGATGCACATTTTGCTCACCAAACGCAGTCTCAGAGCAAATCAAACATCCATTGAAGCAAAAATCGAAGAAGAAGAACAAGGACGAGGTTTCATAGAGTTGAGATTTCGATTTGTTCTTGGAGTGTTTTTTTTTTTTTTTTTTTTGGGTTTTGGTTTTGTGAAGGATGGATTCTCGGTCTACACAAATTTGATTCTCTGTGTGAATTGAAAAAAAAAAAAAGATAGAGAGAGAGAGAGAGATTTATTTTTCTTTGAGAAGGAAAAAAAGGAAAATGACAAATCGTTTTAGTAATAGTATTTATTACAGCGGCTATTCAAAATCTAAGTGCCACGTCATTATAGTAATTACGGTTATTCGGCGGTTTCTTTTTTTATTTAATCGTGGGATTGAGGGGGAGTTTTAATTAAAACTCTTAATTATTACTATTTTCCAGTATTAATCTTTTTAATCCATATTTGGACTTCTTTTTCTTCTTTTATATTACTACAATTCTACAGAGTGAATATTGCGTACTTTTTCAACTTCAAATGGATGTTAAAATTATGTTAACTCTTTCAGTCATCTTATGTAGTACAATCGTATTACAAGTTGAGTAAAATCCACTAACTAAAATTTAGATGGGACATTTCAAAAAACATATGAAGAGTTTAGGATTATAAAAAAGACATAAGTGGTTGGCAAAAAAAAGAAGAAACATAAGTGGGAACCAAGTCCAGATTAATATTTGCTATAAAAGGAAAACCCGGAATTAGGGGGGTTTGGGATATGGTTAGAGATTGCTTTTGATTTAAATACAAAAGAGAGAGAGAGAGAGAGACATGACCTTCTCATTTTCTTAATCAAACGGTATATAAACTTTTCGTTAGTTATACATAAATTATTGCAATCGCTTTATTAAGGTGAACCATATCATCCCCCACACTGTTATCATATACTTTACTCTTAAATGGGACCTTTATTCATCTTCTTAATTAACACCTTTAATCAGAACTATTAAAGCCAGCTCATGGAATCTATATTACTTTCATTTGTTGATATAAATAACCAAATTAATTTTAATACTATTAACAACATATTTTCAAAAAAGAGAGAGATAAATAATATTTTATATGTATAAGTCTAGTGGTTTGTTCTAATATTGGTATTATGTCAAATTTGGAATTGTGTGGTTTTTAATAGATATTTCTTCGGTATATATAATCAACAATGGTAAAGGTTCGTCTAATAAAAATTGAGTTTTTCTTAGAGGAATATAATGGTACAATTTAGTTAAATTATTATGACGTACCTTTTTCACCAATCAACAATATTTCAAAGTTGGAATATATATATAGTGAGTAATTAATAAGCAAGTACATCATTTCCCATTTTATGAATATAAAAAAACAAGTGTTGCATATTTAAATACATGCACCCACATGTACACACCCAAAAGCTTGTGGTAGGCCAAAAGAATTAAATCAAATGAAAGTTTATATTTTAAGAAATCAAATGAAAGTTAACTACACTTATTTCGTTGACTACAGAGAAAGCAATAGTTTATTAGTAATACTTAAAGTAACAATTAGAAAACTAATCATCGAACTTAGAAGGTGTTGCTCCAGATCTTTTTTCTCCCCAACGTATATATCCTGTATGATTTTGGTCATCGGCTTTCATGAGTGACACTTAAGTTTAACAATTATAAATTGTAGCACATCTACTAAGAAAAAATTATATCATGGAGTAGATTTGAAAAGAAAGATATCAGTGACTTCGATCAAAATTATGATGTTGATTGAGACACAACATATTTTAGCAATGCAAAAAAAACTTATCTAAGAATACCGAATAAACAGTATTGGCTTATACAATAAACAGTCACGTCTCGTCTAGATGTGAATATTGGAATCAAGAACAGAGTTCGAAAATGTCAAATAATCTATTGATATATGTTTCAGTTTGTAGGGTTTTGTTACCTTAAATTGTACAACACGTACGACTGTTTAGCTTAGTGAAAAAACGAATGTGTTTTTCTTATGCTATTTAACGTTGTTAATTTCAAAGTTTTTATTTGCATCATCCAAATAAGTTGGGTTAATACCTCAAATTTTCGTGAAATCTATTAGAAACAACTTCTATAGAAAAAGTTCTTGTAAGAATTTTATTTCGTGCTTATAATATCATAAAGTCATTTTTTCATCATCGACAACTCCTCACACATGCATAATTTTGGATTATGATATAATGGCGACACTATTGTAAGTCAATAAACTACTATCTTCGGTTGTGTGATAACCATTATACATGTGTGTGTATATGAACTTGTTAATAAGAAAATATATCCATATTTAATAGACCGTAAAATATTAGTAAATTATAAAGCATTAGACAAAACAAGTATCCTACCATGTTCCCAACTAGTTAAGTTTGATGCGTTTTCTGTTGAAATTTATAATAATTGAAATAACTACAATTTCCTTTACTAGAAAAGTGGTAACAACTAAAAAAAGTATGATTATCTTGATTAACACTGAGAGAGATAGAGTGATTAGAGAGTAAGCAAAGTGAGATTAGACACAAAAACCACTTTTATTAAGAGACAAGTTGGCCCAGCGATTAGGGTAAGATAGAGATACAAGTACAACAGTGACACCTTTCCTTTCTTGCTGCTTCTCAAAACTTTCTTGCTGCTTCTCAAATACTACACATAAGGATATGCATAAATATCAATTCTTAATTTTTCCTTCTTTTTTTTTTACTTTCGAATATTCTTGTAGTAATTTATGCATATCCTTATATGAGTATTTGGACGTGGTATGACAATAGTCACAACAACACCTTGAGACTTGGATGTTTTAAACTTTTTGAAGTATGGTTGCTATCTGTGGGCAGTTTTTAGCATAGATTTTGCTTTTATGTTGGTCGGTGTGAATCCTTGTTGGAAGATTCGCTTCACCATCCATATATCAAATTTTATCTTATCCAATTGAATGCTATTGTACTACTCTTTGATCACATTGTATTTTATATTATAAAAGATAATGACTAGTAGCCAAAAAATTTAGGTTGTTGTTATACAAAAAACACATGTTAATATCTCTTTTGACATAGAAACGGCATATTCCTATAAAAATTAAAAACGACATCTACCTACGACGATTCGTACATTACCTATTCTTTCGTTCGTGTCTAATTACTAAATGAACAAAATATATAAATAGTAAAATTTACTTGAACTACCTTCTTAATAATTGCTTAAACGACATATAGGCTTTTCTATATCTTTTAAAGTAAATTTCTGAGTATATTTGATGCTTAGTTTTGTAGTAGTTGGCAGAGAAACTTTTTACTTACTAGCAATTAAGTATTACTACCCAAATTATTCAGGCATGTTTGAAACACTTATGAGCTAACAAAAGATAAAACTAGACATCATAACTTATTCCATTTGGCCCCAGAATTAACTAGTTTGATATAAGCATTGTTGAAGTCTTCGAAGAACTTGTCTTGGTCTTCTGCATATCGTTTCACCCACCTGTGAATCATCAACCCACAAATCTATATCAGTTATATAGTTTTCCAGATCGCTCAAACGACAAGATTAGTGTTCAACAGTTTCCACTTTTATCCATGAGCCTATAGTCCAAGTGTTCAGCACATTACTCTACTCTACTTTAACTGGTAGTTAAGAGAAAATTAGATATGAAATGATAAGGTAAGAACTTTCTGAAACCTTAAGCACTCATCATCCTCCACTAAGGCATGATCCGAAGGAAGCCCGACCATGCTGGTCATTTTGGCTGCATCATAAGAAGAAAATTATGCAAATATATAATCTCAGTCTTACAGTCAATCTTCAGAACGTGCTAGATGATGAAACATTGGGAGCAATGGTTGGAAACTGAAACTGTATGCGTAAAAGAACATAAGAATCATGTCATGAGACTTACAAGTTGATGTCCATGGTTTTTGAAGAAGGATTTTGTAGTATGCATTGTCAAACACTGTCGGATCTCCAAAGCCTTTACTACCTAGCGTATGTGCCCCAGACAAAGCAACAAGCTCCTGGGTCCTGCATTGGCACATAAACCCAGTGATGTCAAATTACAAAATGTTGATATAATAAAAACATGCTGAAACAATTCTCAGCTAAGGACTCACGAAAATCCTTTTCTTTTGAAGCATTCTTTCAAACCCGAGGCACTCAGGGTTTCTGGAGGTAGCTTGCCTTCTGGATCAGGTTGCCTGTGAACATGAAACAATCAACCTGTTGGAAGTATAGAAACAGTGACCAGAGATCTATCGAATCAGGACAAAAACCGTTTATGTTGTGCTTACGCTGAATCAAGTCTTCCCAAAACTACTGGAATTGTTGGGCCGCCACATATTGAAACTGCTTCAGACCCAGCGACAGAGATCATATCCGCCCAAGACACTGAGATCACATAGAATGAGAACACTGGCACCAAGGCGCATAACAGAACACGTTTCAAATAACAATTACCTGGTTGTATCTCATCAACCTTAATCTTTGCTTTCGCTAGAACCTAACAAAGAATTCATCTACTAAGAAGATTAATCCTTTGAAAGTAACATATTTGACAAATCCGAGAAACAAGTGCCAATAGACACAAAAAAAGGCAGTTAAAACAGACGAGAAAACTACATATTTATTTGCTCATGCTAACAGAAAAAAAGAAAAGAGAGAGGGGTTAAGTACCTTTAAGGATTTCTTCAAACCTGTGTTTTCAGGTCTCTCGAGTTCATAAGCAATAGACCCGTTGATGCCACCTGCAATTAAATTCATAATCAAGAAGAGTTAAGACAATGGTGGATTGCAGAATCTCTTACTTCATATTATCTGTTGACAAACACCACAAGCTATAGACAAAAAAATCCAGAAACCACAGTTTCCATTCTATTTTAATACAACAAACAATGTGAAATCATGTCTGTTACCAGAATGATCGTCCAGTTCAAAGGTTCCAGCATCATGAAACACTAAACGAAGCACACCAGCAGCTTTACCCTTTGTCACCACTTTCCTTATTTCGTTTTGCATCACCGGATAAATCCTGAAAATCCACCAATCAATTTGGATAACTATAACTTGAAGAAAATAGTAATCCAACTAAACAAAACCAAATTCAGCTTCAATTATACAAAATCAAGGATTTGTTCAAACTCACTCAGCTGCGTTCCCGTTTGGCGGAAGCAAATGAGACAGAAGCTGCACCGTCGACAACAAGGCTACCATTTTTCTTCTACTGGATACGAAAACATTACTCGAACCTATAAATTATAAAGCAACAGAACAATCTCAGCCCGAATTCAATAAACCAGGGAACAGATGCATATGGCGAATGACGGAAACGAAAAGCGATACTAGACTCCGGTCTTACCAGGATCATCGGAGATACAACGAATACGCCAGGCTCTTAACGATCTGACAACATGTTTCCCGGTCGCCGGAGAGAGCAATCGCGTTTTCGCGGGAGATTCGAATTTGCATTTGAATTTGAAAGAAGAAGACGAGTCGCACCCAAAAAGACAAGTCTTCAAAAGAGAAGCAGTCGTCGTCGTCATCTTTAACGGTGGGACGAGAGTCTCCGAGACCCAGATGAAATTTATGTACCGGGAGTTTCTATTGTCTACCCACTAGCGTACAGTACACAAAAACATTCTAGCCAATAACATAAAAAAAAAAAATCTAGCCAATAGGAATGTAGAATAGAGAGAAATAAGAACACGACACGCATTCCGAATGAAAAACGACAAGGAGTACTGTGACAGTTAAGAAAAACGACGGGTAATCTATGTAATAAATCTCGGAACATTACAAAACTGAGAGATGATGACTATTCTTTTAAGTTTAAACACAAGAAGAATATACAACAAAACATGGTGAGCCAAAAAACCTACTATAAGATACTAAAAATTGGCTAAAAGTATTGCTATCTCGGACCGGAGAGTCTCACGGCCGAGAGATAATTCTCACTGTTACAATCTGATGGTCCAGATGACGTAGTAGCACCGCCGTCCTCGCTGATGGACTTAAAGAAGCTTGAGTAAAGTCTCGATCCCATAGTGGAAGAACTTGGTGGCTGAACCACCGGAAAAACACCTTCAAGCATTTGAACAACTTTGCTCATCGAGGGTCTCGTTTGCATATCTTCTTGTATACACCAAAGCGCAGTTTTCATTGCCCTTTGAACCCTTTCGTCATTCACATCAACATTCTTCATCTTCCCATCGACAATATCCATAAGCTTCCCCTCTTCCATCTTCTTGAAAGCAAAGGAAGGAAAATGGCATTTCTCCGAAGTTTCTGATGGATCATAGTTCTTTCTTCCTCCTATTAACTCTAGCAACACCATTCCATAGCTGTAAACATCGCTCTTCTCTGAGATCGCATAGTTTGTAATCCATTCGGGAGCCAAGTAGCCTCTTGTCCCGCGCATTGTTGTGAAGACATGGCTTTGTTCGCGGGTCATGAGCTTCGCAAGTCCGAAATCGGATACCTTGGCATTGAAGTTATCGTCTAATAGGATGTTCTCGGGTTTAATATCGCAATGGACAATCCTTGAATCGCAATCTTCATGTAGATACGCTAAACCTTTGGCTGTTCCGAGTGCGATGTTAAATCTTGTGTCCCAATCTAGCAGAACATCGCCATCCTTTTTCCTAAATATCCATCTCTCCAACGAACCTTTGGATAAGAACTCGTACGCGAGAAGCCTATGAGCCCCTTCTGCACAGAATCCTCTGAGCCGCACCAAATGCAGATGATGAATGCTTCCGATTATACTAACCTCGGCTCTGAATTCTTTCTTTCCTTGACCGATTCCTTCAAGTTTCTTCACAGCCAAACGAGAACCATCTGGTAAAGTACCTTCATAGACCGATCCAAACCCTCCTTGACCTAACTTCACCGAGAAGTTATTCGTCGCTGACTGAAGATCTTTGTACGCGAACCGGATAGGCATCCCGGATAAATTCTCCAAGAAATTATCCTCTTCTGAACTCTCTTGAGGAGCCTCCAAGATCATTTTCTTTCTCTTATGAATCCGGAAGGCCACAAAGATCAAAACAGCGATGATAAAAATTGTCACCACGATAATAATCACTATATAAGGAAAATGTTTCCCATCATCTTCTCCGTTATCTCCACCTCCAGAACTAGTACTTGCGATCTTGATGTAAGACACAAACCCAGAGCCTCCATTGCCAGAGGTTTTAAAGCTTCCAACCCAATCAAACAAGAAGCAATTACCAGAACTGTTCTGGAAGAACAGACCAAGGCACGAGCAATTGTTGTTGCAGAACTCTTTACAGCTATCAAGATCGGTTTTCTTGGAGAAGGGAGGAGCAAACCCGAGAGCGAAATAATCTACACCGTCTCCAGCATTTACGAGCTGCAAAGGCAATGTTGCATTATCCTTGGTTTTCTTACAGGGAGAAGTGACCCCGGTTTTGCAATCAGACCGAGCCCGAGACAACCCGGACACACATCCACATACTTTAGAACCCGAGCAGACATAGTAAGGCCCGCAAGGCTCAGGTGTTCCGCACAGATCGCTCGGGATTTTAGTCGAAGAATCAGCAGCAGATGTCCCGCTTCCAAGATTAGAAAAAGAGATCACACCGTTGTTTCCCAAAACAGCGATCCAAGTTGTGTTATCATCTTTATTGTCTGAAAATACAAACTGCCATAACAAAACCTGTTTCTGATCAAAGAACCGCCATGAATTCCCAAGGAGAGACGATGAAGTCACTACGCCGCCATCTTTGTTGATGATCTTCTCTCTGGAATTTCCCATTGACCAATACACTTGAGGGGTCAAGCTGTTAACAGATAATACCATATCTCCTGATTTGATCTCAAGAGCATAAGTCATGTTGCTCGAAGAAGGACTGCTAGTGAGCTTCATGCCTTCTTTAAAAGCTTGATTTGTAATCAAAGTATCTGTCGGATGATCAAAACTCTCCCAGATCGAAGTTCCATCAACAGAAACAACAACGAGATTCCCAGAGTCACGCAGCTCCATTCTTGAAGCATTTTTGCCTGAATTATCCAATCTCCAAACCTCAGTTCCTCCGTCTTCTCTACGCAGCACCACATTTCCGTTGTCTTCGAACACAAGCTTGTCGGAATTGGAAACAGGGGAAGCTCTGTTCGCCGACCAGATCAGTTTGGTGCTGCTCTTGTGGATGATGCTGAGTGTGAACAGAGTAACGGAATCTTGTGTAGTTACGAAACCGAAGCCGAAGTCTGAGTTATTGGATTCGAGGAAGATACCGTCGTTGTTGATGTAATTCATCTGAGATCCTCCAAAACCTGGAATGATTTTCCCGATGGACGCTACACCGGCAAGTAGAGGATCCGGTAAGAAAACCAGACACGTTACGAAGACGATGAAGACGCCTCTCATGGTCTTCAAAGATGGTGAAATTCGGCTAAACCCCAGAATTTTACACAACTGGACAAGAACTAGACCCTTTTGAAAAGACCTAAACTTTATGTATGTGGATGAGGTCAATGGATCTGAGAAAAGAGAAATTTGCAAAAAGACAAATCTCAGAGACCTGACAGGTGAATCTGTAAATAGAAACTGATTGTTCCTAGAGAAGAGGATTCCGTGACGGAGAAAAAGCAAACAGAGAAACAAGAACTCGCCTTTGCGTTGTTACAAAGCTCAAAACTGTCCAGCGATTTCAGACCGTAATTCAGACGGAAGGATGAGAAAGGAGCGAGATCGATTAAAACCCAGAAACAGAAATGAGGAGGATAGAAGAAGTGGGATTATTTCAGGGATTAGAAACACTATGATTTGTTTTGCCTCTCTGTTTATTGTTTAACATTCAATGATGTTTGATTTTGGTCTATTTTGATGGAGAAAGACGACAAGAGGGGTTGAAAGAGAGAGAGAGAGAGAGAGAGAGAAGTAGAGAGAGATGCGAGAGTGTCTTAAATCTCTCTGAGCCGTTTCCTTCAAATCCGTTTCCTTTTTATCTTTCCCTCTTGTGACCGTCACACAAAATTTGGACAGATCCGACCACTTGAGTCTTTTCTCTTTTCAACCAAACATGTTCTTAAATTTTCCAAACCCTTTTGACTTTTGACTTTTCAAAGAAAAAAAAGACGAAGACGACCGATCTAATTCATAAATATTGCGGCCCTAAATATTGCATAAAAGGTTGAGATCATACAAATATGTGCAAAATTTATTAAGGCAAACAAATTAATTTAATGACGAATCTTTTTTCTTGTGTTATTAAATTTATGTAATGGTTGAAAACTAAACAATGCAAAAATTGTTTGTCGTGTTAGTTGTTGTGGATGATGAAATCGGAATTTGCATCCAAAATGAACGATTGATTTATTATTACTAGATAACAACTAGTCATTAGTTGAATCTAAACTTGGGTTGAGAGATAGTGGATTTATTTTCCACCTGAAAATATAATTTATATAGATGATAATAAATGAAACATGTGGAAAAGGAAAACTATTACTCTGTTATCTAGTCTGCTTTAAATGAAGGGCCCATTAAACGAATACCAATTGGAGCATCCAACTCCTTTTCTTAATTTTGTGTTTATCTTATCATGTAATTTAGAGAACTCTTATTTCTTTCTTCCTTTTGAATTCTGGTGGAATTCAAAGATGGATCAGCAAACGTGAAAATTTCTTGGTTTCGTATTAGTGTTGTGTCTAGTTTGACGGTTGATGATTCAATACAGAGCCACTTCCTCTGTTTCTTCTACCTTTGCCGTAAGAAAAGGAAAATAGTTCCTACCTTTAATTTTTGTCAACATAATAATACCTAACCTTACTTTTCCCCGTTAATTGAAAAAAAAAACAAAAGAAATCAATTACAAATACTATAAAGATTAGGGCACTTGAAAATAGAGATTAAGGAGAAAATAAATTAACAACAAAAGAGGAACGTGGGGAAGTGTGAAAAAATGAAGTGTTTGATTGTTAAGGTATTTTGGGAAGACGGAGTACGGATGCCAGCTGGCACTTTGACGTATAACCCCGTGTACTTTCTTTCTTTCATTTCACGGGATAATAAAATGCTGAAATTCCTAATATACCCCTGGTTGATGGAATGGACCAAATTACTCCTTTTTCACGACCGACGTGTGGGTTTGGTTTGACTTTATCGTGTAAATCTTCTTAGGACTTAGGAGAGATCAAACCTTTTTCAACGGCTAACGTTATTCAATACAAATGTACTATTTACGCATTTCTGTCTTTATGTCACAAAATACTACTAGGATACGATTGATATCTTAGGTACATAACTACATATGATATATGAATCTATAAATCACAAGCTAATTTCTTATAAGATCTCTCTAGTTTTCGATATAACGTCCTTCCATGCTCATCTTCCATTCTTCAATAAATTTCTTTAATCTGTAAAATCATTACTAACTATATAAACTACTCTTTTACCAAAAAAAAAAAAACTATATAAACTAGGTACCTTTTATGATCTTCTTTCAGCTATTCCCTCCAACTATATCATGGTTTAGTGGACACTTTAAAACTTTACAATGAACTATTTTTTTAAGAAATTGTATCTAACTATATATCCTTGTTATGTCGAATTTCTTTTGTTAACTTTTAGACGACATAATTACGTAATCGTTGTGTTTCAACCTCCCCACCATTTATTAACATATCATCTGAAATTTTTGACATGTAATCAACCTTCTAGCATTATGAGAGTGGAGACATATTCAACACTTGCATCCAGATATACTCCAAGGGGGCAATATAAGTATACATTATTTTGAGGGGTATGCTTATATAAATTTAATTTTAAATAATTGACATTGATTGTTCAAATGTAAAATGTAGTTGGGGGTTAACTTGATTTTAATGACCCGCAATCATCTACGCCCATTCAAATCCTCAATTATAAATTATTCAGGAATTAGTTGGCGAATCCCAAGTGTATTCCAGATTTTAATAACAAAAAACTGAAAGCATTAAATAGTAAAAATACCATAAATCAATAAAAATAATTATAAATAAAAAATACTAAACAGCAACGCAATAGTAACGGATCAGACTGATTCGTCGTGGCCTAAACAGTGACAGCGCAAGAGGTCTCACTACGTACGTCCCTAAACCTTAAATGCAACTTCCTCAAACATGTATTTTCCATTATTTATAAGTACATATGTATATTAAATTTGCACATTTATTTGTATCACTGAATATGTATATTATATATATAACATTATATGCCATATACATACGTTCTCACCTTGTTCTAGTAGCTTTTTCTTTATAATATTATAAGTCATTTTACTTATATCGTCTTATAAGCTCTATGATTTTGAATGTTTTTTTTGTCTCAATGATTTTCAGTATATATTTGGAGTCATTTTTCTTCTTTTTTAATATATTTTATTTTATTTTGTTGATTACATCTTGATTATATATATATTCATTGTAGAACTTATTTGAATTATATATATTTACAAACATTATCTATTACTTACTTAGAAGGAGTCTGTATTAATTAATTACCGTGTTGGCTTGGCTACCAAAACATCTGACCACGTAAATCTATTTTGAAACATTGTACAGTTTTAGGTTTTCACGTAATCATCAATAAGATGCTCTTTTTTTTTTGTCTAAACAAAATATGCTAAAGTAGAGTTGTTTCAAAATGAAAAGTTCAATTCTCCAAAAAAAAAAAACAGAAGTTCATTTCTCAAGCATAAAAATTGATGTAAACGTTTGTATAAGATAATTCAATAGTATGAAATAAGCGAGACTTTGCTATATTACGGATCTGTGAAATAACTACAAAAATGTGAACTCTGATGACTACTTTATCAAAGGAAGTTTAATTTTGTTTTGTCTCCATTTCAAATATTAAAGAGAGTATAAGTTCAGTTCCCACACTGTCTATTCCTTTCCACACAAAAAAAAAAAAAAAAAAAAAACCAGCCAGAAAGAAAGAGCTGGTCTAAAGACAAAGCAGTTGATGGAAAATATTGGAGAATAATTTTATAAGAAGCATTGCTTACTTTTTAAAATAACATCTGGTCATCTGGATATGATTCCCAATATTTAACTACTATTTGCACTAATCACGCATTTACTTGTCAAAATGAGTCGAGTTTTACATAAAAGGGATACAACATTTTTTTTTGCTAAATGGGTAAATATCATTAAAATGAAAAGTAGGCATTAAAATGAAAAGGGATACAACATGTTTAACATAAAAATACAAACTGTTATAGAATTAACATCTACTATTTTATATTGAGAACTCGATCGTTATAATTAAATTAAAGCACGGAATACTAAACCACAGGAATCTCTTATGTTGACGAAAAAAAATTAACAACGTTGTTATTTCATGATACGTTTAGATATGTATAATTAAGGATAACATGTATCATAATACAACGTGATTTTATGAATGCATACACATTATCACGTATGTAGGCATGTGTGTTTACAAGAATCAGCAAATCTTATCTTTTTTTTTTTTTTTTTTTTGGGCAAAGCAAATCTTATCTTAACATATCATTTAACAAAATAAAAATCTTATCTTAACATATCGCGGTATATATAGTTCGTCATGTCTCTTCCACTACAATCATACGAATGATCTCTTCTGATATCATCATGAACGTGGAAGCCGTCAACGTATGACTAAGATTTCTCTTTACATTTTTTATTAGTTATTACATAAATTCATCAATAATGGTTCGTTTATGTCCAAGAAATATAATAATTGTTAGTGTTATATAGTATTAAATTATAGAATCCATGAGAACGGTCCTTTCGTGTCAAACCAATACGTAGAGAGTCAATCGGTTAGTGATTTAATAATTGGAACTACTTGGATCAACTTTTAGGTAAAGACATAAATAATAATATTTTGTTTCTTGTACATATATAATAATGGACAAGGTTGGGCAATGAGAAAGAAAAGCTTTACTCACAATCCAATGAGAAATTACTTCTGTGACAAAATTACTAAACTACAAAAAGTTAGCCTTTTTTTAATCTTACTTTGCCAATCAATTTTCAACAATGGACTGCTTGGAAAAATGCTGATAGTGTTTCGTTCCCCACAGGTTGATGAGATTCGTATTAGGTGAAAATTGAAAATTGACGAGGTCTTCCAGGTTGTCAAGGAATTAGTTTAATTATGCTTCTGAAATTGAAATAGGTCCAATGGTTTTATAACACAATGAAATATCTTCCCTTATTTTTTAACTAATAATATGTACCAAAGATTTGGTTGTTGAGATAGTTTTTGCATCTAAGATTTTTCTTCTTTGATTCAAGTTCGAGTCTAAATGTAATACAGCTGGACGGTATGAAATCATACAATAATCTACAATTATATAGTTAATTAATGTACTTTGAATCTCATGTGCATTATGATGATTAACGTCCAAATCTTTCATAAATCTTTCACAAAGTTGTTACAACTTACTACAAGTGTGTCGGAAGAAAGAAAAACTATCATCATATTCGTTTACCGGGTGTTCTTCAGCCCACTTGAAAATAAATGGGCCTAAATTGAGTTGGCTCATAAAAGCCCATATCAGAAGAGCCTGCCAGAGTCATCATCGGTCGCCAAAGGGATCAGAAAGGGATCAGATGGAGTCTCTAACTAACTTTCGATGGAAAATCCAATGTAGGGCATTTAATATGCTTGTTGTGAAATCAGAGATGTGGAATGGGTATTTCTCGAACTGTGCAATATTGTAAAATAGTACATTCTTGAAGTCCGATGATTCGAGATTGATGCAGGAAGAAGAAAATGACTTCATCTCCTGTTTTGTTACTTCGTCTATCTATTTACATGTTCACAAACACCTAAACCTAGAGGCTAGAGAGGATACTAAAAGACCTAACTGAAGCACACATTCTTCTAACACAAGACTCACTAATCAAAACTCAATCTTGTCCTTCTTTTCAGCTGTTGTTGTTGTTGCTCATCTTACTTCGTTTATGAGTAGGAGGTGGAGGTCCAAGAGGACCTAAGCGCAGAGATAGATCACATTCACCCCCACCAAAGGTAATGCCATTCGTAGCATCAGAGAGACTTGCAGGTCTACTGTTTTTGGACTTGCACGAGTCAGAGATTGGCCGGAATGAATAGCATAAAGGGTAGGCCGAGTACTTGGAGACAGGGCACTTCTCTTGTGCTACTGCAAGATTCTTTGGAGCAAAGTTGTTGTTAGGTTTCATGAATACTTGAGACAAAATGTTGTCAAAGTTAGTTGAGTCGTGGCTAAGATAACATCTTGGGTTTATGTTCCGTTGGCTCCTTGAAGCTCTCCTTGGTGTGCACCCCAAATGTAAAGCAGCTACAGAAGAATAAACAAGACTTGCTCATTGATCTGATGAGCCAATAATTTCCAAGAACTGGAATATACATATTGTATAGTATACCTTCTATACAAGGCTGAAGAAATTCCCCTGTTTCGGTGGTCTCATCAAGTCGTATGATGGTGTTGATGGCGTCGTTTGTACGGTCTAAAAGGGTCTTCATGTCCATATACTCAGCCTAACATTAAACCCACAAGAAGTATTGAAAAAGATTCATCTTCCAAATGAACACATTAGCTACAAATCTAAATTTTCACCACCAACTCCACAAACAGTGACAGTAAATATTCCAATGTTTAGTACAATCTACCAGAGACTATCAATCTCACTGTTCAAAGAGGGCAATTAAAGCAAAACATGAAAATCGAAATACTACTTAGAAACAAAAACCAAATAGAGAAATTAAAATGTTAGAAGAAAAACCTCAGAATTGGCTTTGGAATACATGATTTCTTCAGCTCTCAAGACAACAACAGGGAGCTTCTCTTGCCATTCTGTGTTCTTCTTGGTGGATTGGCTGTGAATCTCACAAACAATCCTACAAATAGTTCAAAGAACAAATTGAGCTAAAGAAACACATGCACACACACCTATACAAACACATAAAGATATACAAAGTGAGTGAGAGAGAGAGAAGATGATGATGACCTGAAAATCTCTTGGATGAGCAAACCCCTCATGGGTTGGTGTCTGTCACTATGCCAAGCTCTTCTGATACAGTCGTACGGTCTTGGCCCTGGCCTCGGCATATCTTCCACCACTTCCTTTTCTATCAGAGAGAGAAAAAAGACAAAGTGAGATTGTTGTTCTTCACTAGTTTTCACTTCTCAATAATTTGAGTGTGGGGGAGAAAGATAGTCCTGTCAATTGGTCCGGTCCGGTTCGGTTTAGTCCGCCTAAACTTTTTATGGTCCGGCCTACTCTCTATAGGGTTGCAGTCCAATAATTTACTAAAATATAATAAAACTATAGCATTCACCAAATTATGCAACTGTTGGAATGATTTTGCACTGTCAAATTTAAATAAGACACGTGGATAACTTGCGTCAAATCATCCATTTGAGTGATCTCAAAATTGCATGTCTTGTGACTTGTAAGGGAAAAAAAGAAGAGAGAACGACTCTGATCTTCAAAGCATATGATTTTACAATACAAAGTAAAAAAAATAAAGGAAACAAAAAGAAATCTTGAGAATTGCTTTCGTACCACTTCTAATCTTTTTTTTTTTTTTTGACAGCTAACTTCTAATCTTTTGCCATAATTTTCTCTGAAACATTCACGATGACGACAAAATTAAAAATTTATGATTGAGAAACTAAAATAAAAAATCTCGTTGCTGACAAGTGACAACGAACGAAGTAAAGGTCTGAAAACATTACCGAAGACCCATTATCCTAAATCTGAACTCAAACTCAAAATGAAAACCACCTAAGGTGCCTCGTCGTTATTGAAAGGCCCAAAAAGTCAGATTTTAAAGGCCCAAATCTAATGCATGTCGACCACGTGGACCACCGTAGAGTGAAACTCGTATCCAACAAAGCTGTTGCCTTCGAGACTGAAACGTTTCCTAAAACAGATCGACTACGAAAATTCACGCAGCCACGTGATGTCATTGGAAGCTACCAATCCAACGGTTTTCATCAATCCACGTGTAAGACTAAGGACCCCCCCCCCCCTGCCCATAAATCGAATATTTATGACTCCTTTTAAAATTGGCTTTAACACACTAATCAACGAATAAATTCTTCTACATACACAATCACATTATGTGTGGCCTATGATTTAGTCAGATTTATGACAAACTGATAAAGTACAAGAAATGAATAACCAAAAAGAATTCAACTCATACACTCTTTTTGGATAAATAGTACAGTGATCAAATTAGTAGAATTAGTGGCCTAATTTTTTTATGAACGTTATGTATATTAAATGACAACTCGAGAGCAGACAGATATTTTTCTATATAAAGATGTAAAATTCCAAATATGAAATGCCATTGAATTATATATTTCTATAATTAGTAGTACTCAAATTAAATATATTATTTCCTAATGTAAGATACAAGTTGCACCAAATCCCACTCTCTCACTCTAGAAACCAAATGTCGTTGATAATACTTTGTTTCTCTCTCTAAAAAGCAAAAGTAGTCACTGATTTTCTTCTAATCCTCCGGTGAGTGAGAGATGCTATCTCCGACGTTGTTTCCTCTCTTCTGCGCTTTATTTCTCTGTCTTCCGGTGGCCGTAATCTTCACAGTCCAGCGAGAACTCACCGGCGTTATCTCGCCGCCGGAGTTTGGTTTCCGCTCTCTTTCCGTCTTCTCTCTCTACTCTCGAAATGTTCCCGACGCTTCTTCTTCTCCGGTGGTTCGGATTCGCCAGCCGATTCCTAAAGAAGACGAGCCGCTTCTCCGACTAGCTTCTCGGGTCAACCCAAATCTACCTCCCGGTTCGACCCGGAAATTGGCTTTTATGTACTTAACGACGTCGCCTCTTCCGTTCGCGCCTCTTTGGGAGAAGTTCTTCAATGGAAGCTCCAAGAATCTCTACAATGTCTACGTTCACGCGGATCCGACCCGAGAATACGACCCACCGTTCTCCGGCGTGTTCTTGAACCGGGTCATTCACTCTTCTAAACCCTCGATGAGACACACTCCCACTCTAACCGCGGCGGCGCGTCGACTAGTAGCACACGCGCTTCTCGACGATCCATTAAATTACATGTTCGCCGTTATATCACCTTCATGCGTACCAATTCGCTCCTTTGACTTCACTTACAAGACACTTGTCTCGTCTCGCAAGAGCTTCATCGAGATACTTAAAGACGAGCCGTGGCAGTTCGATAGATGGACGGCGACTGGGAGTCACGCGATGCTTCCGGAAGTGAAGCTCGAGGAGTTTCGGATCGGGTCTCAGTTTTGGGTTTTGAAACGGAGACACGCGCGTGTGGTGGCGCGTGATCGGCGTATATGGGTGAAGTTTAACAAGACGTGCGTGCGGGAAGACTCGTGTTATCCGGAGGAAAGTTACTTTTCTACCCTTCTTAATATGCGGGATCCACGTGGATGTGTCCCCGCCACGCTTACTCACGTGGACTGGACTGTCAACGACGGTGGTCACCCGCGGATGTACGAGCCGGAGGAAGTCGTGCCTGAGCTGATCTTGCGGCTTAGAAAGACTAGGCCAAGATATGGTGAGGATGGAATCAATGGTTCGGAGTGGTCTGCGGTTGAGCGGATGGATCCGTTTCTGTTCGCTAGGAAGTTTTCACCGGAGGCTCTTGAGCCGTTGTTGGGTATGGCTCAAACCGTCTTGTTCAATGACTCGGCCGGTGGTGTGTGAATGTTTTCTCTAATGGCATCGTTGTAAATTCTCTTGTAGTTTCTTTCTTTTTTTTGGGGAGAAAATAATTGTAATTTAAATGAGTAGCTGGGATAAACAAAAACCCAAGTATACCATTATCGTGAGTAAAGTAAACTCGTCCAACTCGAATCTCATGATCCTCATATTAGCAAATGGAACCAAACCAAGCATCATTACCAAATAGCCACATTTAAACCTTAGAGCATGTGCAGTGGAGAGTTCTCACATAGATTCTCACCAATAAAAAATTAAAAAGTAATAAAAGTGGGAGAAAAAAACGAGAATCGATTATCATTTGAGAACATTTGAGAACTCTCTGAGAGACTACTTTTACACTTGTCAGCATATAATTGGTTTTCAGTTTTTATTATTATTTAAAATTAAAATAAATAACTAAACTAAATCATATGTATTAAAATAATATATTTGAGAGACTTTGAAAGTCTCTCTACATTGCACATGCTCTTACATTGGATACGAGAAGATAAATAAGCGAATCATTTGTTTCGAATGATATTTAATGGAACTGTTGACATACGTAGAGATATTTAATGGACTATGAAAGTGATGTGGGTAGGTTTTGAGTTTCGACTTTGCCCTGTGTTTATGTAAATATACACTGTAGACAGAGAGAAGAAACTAGGAGAATGAGATGGATAAATGTACAGTAGTAGGTTGTTTAATAACATAATAAAATTAATTATCTAAGTATCTAATATGGGGTCTAAGTTTTGCGGAAGATTGGGCTTAGATTCGTCAACACTCGAGTTTGGTTGTCGCGTAAAGACCACACACCCACAATCATCGTCTTCCTCGTGCTTTTCTTGTCCTTTTTTACTTTTTTCAAAGAAATATGTAAAATTTACAAAAAGTTGATACCTACAAGCTATTTTTTTTTTATTTTTTTTTTTTTGATAAACCCTATCGGCTATCCGGTCGACCCCGGTAGGAACACACCGAGGTGCTACATAGTGGACTGGTCCACCGTGTTAACGGCTAGGCCCTTCGGGCTACCACTCTGCCTATCCCGAGTTTGGAATGCCTTCCGACTAAGTGCCAGGGGGTAGTCAGACCGCCTGCATTTCTGACTACCAGGTAAACCAATTGGACCAAAGCCCAACTGACAGACTTCCCACAATAATGTTGATAACAACAGGAGGGAGGAATCGAACCAAGGAGAGGAGGGAGTTGCACCCAACCACCCTTGGGCCGCCAAACCACCAGCCCACCATCATGTGACAAATAAAGAATAACTTGCTATAATGAAAATTATATATCGGTGACTTTCTCTTTCGTTAACTTAGTGGTGTTTTTTGTTTCATGGTTTAGGGTTTAAGGATTACGATTATGCAGAGAAAACACTTAGGATTACCAAATCCATTTATTTCATTCATGAAAGTTATAGATGACTGCATCAAAACCAGAGTTTCAACAATTCACTAATCTAACCTTAGTTCAAGAGAAATGAATCGATTATCTGAGAGATGCTACGAATGAATGGTTCTTGTTCTTCATTGCCTTCCTCTGTTTTGTGGAAAAAGCGGCAATGAAGTTATCGCAAGTTGCGTTTACTAAACCATGATAGGGTTCTTTTTGCTTCTTTCTAATGAGCTTTCTTTAATTGTTAAGTTACGTAGAATTTCATTGTTACAAAACACTATCATTTTTGGTTAAATTTCCAAACTTGAAATACATACATCATCTCTACGGAAGTTTTATGAAAGGGGAATTCAAATACTGGTTTTCCTTCTATGTTGACAATTTTTTCATCAATCAATCTCTTATAGGTCCAGTTTCTCTATAATTTTTAGTAGATCATAGACGCATTTGTAAACCACTAAAATCTTGTATATTGTCATGTATCATCGTGATTATGTATCACTCTACATGGATTTTGTCCAATATGCAAGTTGATTTAGATGATGACATATCAATGACAGTGCTTAAAACACTAGATCATAAGTCTAAGTCATTTTTTTTTTTGTGTGTGAAGAGAATAGATATTAGCTGCAGATTTTTGGCAAAGCTAATTATATTGTTTTATCTATGCATGTTGTTATCAAATATTTGGAGTTTTCAGAAGAAAAAAAAGGATAAAAAGTTTTTGGGGACCAAGTGATATTATCATATTAACGAGATATGAGGAGGATGTTCCAAATTTCTACTGGCAAATGTCAATGACCTACGTTGAAGTGAACTATTCTAGATAGACAATTACTACCACTAAGTCTTTTCATTGTTGAATTTTGGTCCAACTCCAATATAAATCGCGTGAAAGGTATCCATTGTATAATGGTCTGTAAAGTCCAACAATGTTAGAAAATGTATCATATGCACACTGTTTCACAAATCAAATTTTATATTGAGAACTTTGATTACAGCATTCTAGCATATGAGATACAAATAAAAGCTTATTTATTAATCAGAAAGCGACAAATACGGTTGAACACCTGATAGTTATTTTTACCTATCGTTAGCTTCACCCAACTCCAACCAAACCAAACCAAACCAATCCAAGCTAAGTTGTACAAAGAATTACAAGAAAACAACAAATGTATAAATTCATTATTCATCAATACTCAAAAGAGGCAAAGTCTCACAGGTTCAATAATAGGACGCAAGATCAGGAAAAAAATACAAGAAGAAACCGGATTATAACACATCTACATTGGTCGAAAAATATATATGTAAATAAAAAACAAACAAAATGAATGAAATCAGTAAGGGTTATTGTAGTAATACCCCATCGGCGGCGGTCCCATCCCGTTAACCGGTGGCATCCCATACGGCATTGCGGTTTGGGCTGTATTCATCTTAGCCAAACTAGCTTGACCTCTCATTCCTTCTTGCTGATATTGCTGCCATAATTGCTGCTCCTGAGTCAATAAATATTGCTTTTTGTCCATCTCAGCCATTTGCACATATGAAGGAGGCGGAATGGTCAGGGAAGCAGCAAACGGGTCTTGGTTCACTTTCTGAACGGTTCCATCTGGTGCAGGGAGTGCTAGTATATGGCTGTTGACTTTACCCGGTAAAGGGAGTGCTACGCTGCTTGAACTTCCACCAGTTAACTCCGAGGTGCTCACGTGTTGTCTAACTGCTCCTTGATCGTACATTCCGTTGAGTAACAACGGATCTAAACCACCACCCATTGCGGCTTTCTGATGTTCTAGATTACTAGCTGTCTCAACCAATGCCAGTTCCCAATCCGCTTTCCCGAGCTCTGCTGCTGGATTCTGCCAAGCTGATGTCACGCCATTATCAGAAGAAAATGCTTCCCATTTTCCGTTATTAGCGGGAGGACCCGCAAAAAGTGCGAGAGCAAATTTGTTCCCTTGGTCATCACCAGTGACATTATCTTCTCTCAGGTTAACTAGATCATCTGTTACTTGTGGTTGCTGCGGTTTAGGCTCTGGTGCAGGTGGGGGTGGAGGAGTGTGATTCTCTGGAGGAGGAAGCGCTTTGATCTCATTCATATCCACTGGCTCTTCAACTGGAGGAGCAGGAGCAGGAGGAGCTTCAATCTCTTTCCTCTCGGGACTTTTGGCCGTCTTGGCTCTGTCTCTCACAAACTCTTCTAGTGTCTCCAACAGCTTGCTAGTAATCCTCTGAACCTCAGGGTACTCAGAAGATCTCGCCACGCCCGTGTCCTTACACCAATGGTAAAACGCAATGAGCTCATCGATCTGTTTAGCCGCACTAGCATAAGCATCAAAGGCCTTGACACAATCAGTATACTCCATATCGAAAAACTTGTCAAGCAGAACAGCCAAGACCTCGCATATGTCAGCGTAAAGCCTAAAACTCTCTTTCACAACCGGGTACATGGCAATCAAGATCATCCGACTGTTTTTGGCTAAACCGGTAGGTCGACAAGACAAAAACCGATCAAGCAGCCTCTGCAAATGACCCATCTTTCCAAAAATCCTCTCAGGTGTCATCTCTCTTAAAGGAGTAACCGATTTCTTCTCGTCTCTTCCTCCAATCTCATTCACATCTCCAAAAGACCGAGACCTCTTAGGCATACCAAAACCATTACCAGTCTCATAATCATAAGTTCTTGAAGGCGGGGACCTAAAATCATCCCTAGACCGACTATATCCATCATCCCCATTACTTTGATGACTACTACTACTACCACCACCACCATTTCTCCCTTTCCTCTCAAAAAGAGCCAATTCAAGCCTCTGATCCAAGTAACTAGCATATGTTCTAACAAAAGCAGAGTGATCCCAAGAGCTAGAATGAGCCTCATCACGAAAATCAGACATGTTAAGAATCCTCGTACCTCGTCGTGTAGCGTAGAGGATCTCTTCCTGAAACAGTGGATCTCCTTCATTAAGAAGACGGTGAACGAGCATAAGAGCCTTGAGAGCAACGATCCAGTCACGCGTCTTCTTAAGACGGCGTGAAACAGAGGTGACGCAGGCGTGAACGTAGCCACGGGAGAGTGAAGTTAAGCTAAGGATCTCGCGGATATACTTGTCGCTAGATTGATCATCGTCGTGGCTCGTAGCTTTCACAATCGCAACTTCCAGATCTGGAGCCATGTTGCTAGCTACCTTGGCTATGCCGATACTAGTCTGATCCTTAACAACTCCGATCGCTTTCCTCATGCTCAGCGCCATGATTCCACTACTACTTAGGGATTCGAATTCTTTCAAAAAACCCCAAACAAAAAAGAGAGAGTAATTTGGTTGAGAAATTAATGGAGAATCCAACGATATCTAAATTGAAATGTTCAATACCGATTCGCTAGATCTGCGGGAGAGAGAGAGATTGATTGGGAAGTGGTAGGTAGAAGAGAAAGTGAAGAAGTCGCCGGCGGGATCGGGATCTGAGATCTATGAAGAAGATCTATCTTTTCTCAATAAAAGAAGATGACTATTAGAGGAGGAGGCGGGTGTCAGATTCGCCGAACCAGTCAAAAATGAAGTGTCTAAAGACAGAGAGACACAATTTAACAAGAGAGTTAAGAGTCCAAAGGTGACGTGGAGTGATTAGAGCCGTCGATCTGAAGGAGATGCGAAGGTTTGGTTTGTGACCGGGATTGACGGGAGCCGCGTATGTCTGAACACTGAACGTATCGGTGAAGATGTCTTTTTTTTTTTTTTTTTATATCATTCAATTTTTTGTAAGAGTTATTTTATCTTTTTTTTACAGTTGTTTCATTCACACATAACTTTATAGTACTAGATGTGTTTCTCTAAATTTCTTAAAAATATATATTTTTCTTTATATATTTAGTTAATTTAAAGATGGTAAGCTTATGATATTATTTTAAGCAAAATGTTAAATATAATAACCATTTTAGTAATATACTTTTTGTATATTACATGGTTAGTATTTCAATCTAAATTACATATTTTAAGCTAAAATCAATAATATTGAGTTTTAATTTTGTTTCTTTTTAGCTTCTAAAATACTAATGCTTGTTTTTTTTTTTTGTCTATAAATTATGGTTTTGGATCATACTCACAATTTTAAATAGTACTCGGATCTGATTCAAACCAAAATGTTAATTAATAACTTAGAAAATTTCAAATCATATAAGATAACATACTTATGTAAAACCCGGAAATCAGTAATCTCATGGTTTCCGGCATTACGCAACCAACACATTCTTATGTTTTTCTGGTTTCTCAATCAAACAAGTCTATAACAAAAAAAAGTAAACAAGAAAAGTCGTTGTATGATATGGAATTTGAACAAGGAAATTTCTAACAGCTTAATTATCGATTTCCCTAATCTGATCCGCTAGCTAGACACTGACAATTCATGAATTTTTTAGGCTTTTGAATTTTCTTTAGCTTTTCGTCCATTTGTTAGCCATGATTCCTGATAATAACAGCTTATAATAGAACTAGAAGAATAGAGGAAAGAGATCGAGTGGAAATTTAATCTAATGATAAACATTTTAATTACAAAATAAATATAATAGTCCGATTTGAACTTTCTATCTTTAAAATAAACATCTTGTATATGCACACGGACGATCTCTAATTATTGATATCCGATGAACAGATTCCGCAAAGATCCTACAAAACCAAAACAAGAAGTTAATTATTAATATATCTGTCACCCATCTTCGAATGATATGTACATTTGAAAGAAAAATAGAGTATATTGAGTACGAAATAATTGGTTTTTCTTAAAGTTCTTAATATTGTAAAATTGAAGCAATAAATATATAGAGAAGTAAACTTACTTCCATGGAATATCCCCTGGTAGTAGCCAGTCACCGTCTTTCCCTTGGAAGGTGAATGTATAGTTTGTATCTTCTCTGTCACAATCTTCATCTGATTAACCAAAATTAGATTCAAAGTTATGTTCTGTTTTCAATTGTTTATGGTTTTCTTACATTAGCTTTTGATAAACGTAGTAATGAGTACTTACATTCGGTAAACATGGTGATCAAGGAGTTAGTGAGGGACTCGTAAGAGTTGAAAAGCTTGATATCCACCTTTCTTGCTATTGCTACACCATCCATCTTAACCTTAACATACATTGATGATCTTGATGATGTTGACGAAGATGATGATGATCCGACTGTAGCCGTTGTTGGATTAGATATGTTGTTGTTCATCACCGTGATCCTCCTACCAGGATGATGATGATATGGGTAATGATGGTGATTACGACTATGACGATGATGATAACTACCATACTTTATCATACATGTTTTTACTGGTGGCCATCCCACAACTTCGCTATTTTCCTCCTCATCACTAAATATCAAAATTAATTAAATGTTATAACCATTATCAAATTATGCCTCTCCATTGAGTTAAATACAATTGAGAAACTTAGAAGTCACTGATTTTGTTATATAATGCCAGATGTAACTAGTTTAACCTAATTATTGTCAAATACTTGTATAGTTAAGTTACTCACTCGTAAACAATAGAAGACTCGGATTCCAGAGGATCTTCGTCTTCCTCATTGGGCTGGCCATTCAAGGCAAACAAACGCGGTTTTGGCACATAAAATTCTTCTTCGACATTCCCCAACCCAAACGTCGCCTGAAAACGCAGTTTTTGGGTATCCAAACAAGACGCAGCACCCTCCATCACACAATGCTTGTTGAGGTCAAAGTCGAACCCTAGCTTTGAAGAGCTATGAGGTGAAAGAGAGAGACCAAGATCCAACTCCATTTCTAAGGCAGCTTCGTCTTTGATGCAAATAAAAGTTTATGTTCTTTTATTGTTGGCTTTGGAAAAGGTTGTGTAGGTTGGTGCTGATTGCTGAATTAGAGGATCATGAGTATTCTCTATTTATAGTCAAAGGAAAGAGGGGCAGAGGTCAAGGAGGGATATATGGCTTTATCATAAATATATACATACTATATATTATGTACATTTATGTAACCCACACAAATATAGATGTCGATAGATGTGTCTCTATGGTATCTTAACCAACACGATACTATTTATTCTAAACAAGTAATCAATCAAGTATTAGAATATTTGTAATTTATGTCGTTGAATCCTGAACTTTTAGTTCATATATCTTCTTGGACCATAATGTAGAACATATAGTTGACTAGGAAACAATATTATTTTCAAAAGTTTCAATAGTATTTAAAATTAAACTCAACATGATTGAAATAACGTTTTCACCAGATAACTTAGCAGAACTAACAAATAACAATGGCGAATACTTTTTACGAATATTCATCTTTATGAGCTAATGATGTACGAAATCATATAGTTTAGGATATAACATAAATAAGAGGTGATGCTAAACAAGTAAACAGTTTTGATTTTTCTGATTTTTTGAATATATGGAATTTATGGCTTTCACGTTAAGCGAATGATAGTGAGGAAGTTCCTAGTTCTCCAAAGGGAAAAAAGTCTTTTGGGAGAGAAGTAATGGCTTCCGACATTGATTAAGTTCGGGTCGGCCAATATCCCAACATTGATGCTAACACATTTTTACATTATTTTATCTAAAGTTTTACGCTTTTCTGATTTAAATACATTTTATAAATTTTATTTTTATATCCAAAATCTATATTATCTACACTATATATAACAAGTTGTCACTCACACACTATTAAATTTAGATTTTGATTATAACATAACATTAATAACAAACGATTATATCATAAATTCCGCTCATTATATAATATGATAATTATTTTACACCATGAATTTAGTGGTTTAAGAAATTAAAAACATGGCTGAAAATGTTATGAAAATTATTTATTGATCTCATAAAAAGAGTGTAAGAGTGGCTGGAATATATGGAAGGATCTACGACTGCTAACTTGTGCTAGATTGGCGTTTTTAATTCACACTTTTCGCAATATGCAATCAACATATTTTATTAAAAAAATGTAAAGCAAGTACTAAAAAATATGGTAAAGTGCATCTAAACTAAGAAATAAGAAGAGGCATATTTCGTCAAGGGACACATGATTCAACGAATTTAGACATCCAACATCAAACCAACATGAATATTAGTAATAGACAAGTTTGGTTAATGTTGGAACGGACAACGTCCCATATTTTTGTTTACATTCTATGTTTCTAATAGAAAATTTGGTTTCGCACGGAAAAAGTGGAATGTAAGAATCATTTTATCCAATACTATAATGTGATACTTAAATTGATAACTGTAAGTAATACTAGCAAACTCTGATTTTTTCAGCTTGTCATAACTTTTGTTAACCTTTTAAGAGACAACTATCATTTATAGCTTGATTCACTATACAAATATTGACTTCATCAGTTGCAATTTTTTGGGAGGAGTTTGATCATATTATGACTAAGGGCTAAGTAATGTTTTCCTATCCTGAGCTTGAGTACTTTGTTTGCTCTGTATGGGAAGGAACATGCTACTTTTTGAACACTAATTTTAACAACTGTTTTGTTTTTGTAACCAAAGATTGAGGATTCTTCATAGCTTATAGTTTATTTGGATTGAATACCATGACAACGTAAATTGATTGAGGCGACTATAGCTAGTACCTCCTCCCTTAATGATTTATTGGACTAGGATACAACAGGTTGAATTGCCGACTTATGAATTCAAAAACGAAATAAAGCAACAAAATCAATGAAGACTAGAAAAATACAATTAAGTAAAAGCTATAAAAATATTGCGTTGTTTCAATTTTTAATTGTCTTCTTTTACTCTTAACATTATATAATGATATTTTAGCTGTATGCATGACATTGACATATGTTTGTTTCCATTTAAGAATAAACACTGTTGGTACAAGGATATATGCTGTGGTTAACACAATATTAAAACTTAATCCACAACCTTTTTTAAGAAATAATTTCGTAAGATATGAATTTGGATTACGAAAGTGACTGTTGAGTAAGAAGTCTATATCATATATATTAATATGAAATTAGGTTTGTCTCCTCATGGTTTTTTAGATCAACCAAGGAGAAGAGAGTAGAGGGGGAAATATCAACGTGAATGTCACGTGAACGGAGTCGTGCGTGCGTGACTACTCGTGGCGTAATGTCGGGTCGACCACTGAAGTAATGGGCTTTAAAAGTTGAAGGACCATATCCATATGGCTCTTGTGGGAACCACTTTACACTTAGTCTTGCTCGTGGGATCGTTCTGTCTTTGCTATTATTTTATCATGACTAGTAGCAAAACTTACATGCCTACTTGCCCCATCAACATTTTTAGATCAAATTTTTGTAAGCAAGATTAAAAGTCAAATCGGACTAAGTCAATGATCTTCAAATTAGGTGTGTATGCTCTGAAACTTAGTATCTGCTTCATCCCGCGATCTCCCAATTATAGGAAAAGAAAATATGATACTAGTCACCTAATGTACCGACAACAAACCTAATCCACTAGACATTATTCAAGATCTAGAAACGAAAAGTCATGAGATATAAAGATGCACGTGGGAGGACAAGGGAAAGGACAGAAACTGTTTGGTTGGGAGACAAATAAGTGTTAGGAAAGGGGAAGTGAATAAGTCTCTCCTTTAAACTCAAAACACTGAGAAAAGAGTTTGAGTGTTTTTGTGACAGCTTTGGCTTAATGTCTTGTCTCCGTCAAGTTGTAAATAGCAAAGTCTTATCATGTTTTTCCTATGTCTCCTCAACTACTATTTTACCAATCGTACCACAAACCAGCCACATTCATTCATCATCCAAGCTTCTTGATTCAAATTGGCAACATTTTATCTCGTTATAGATGATAGTTTAGTGAGTTCTATAAATTTGTGATTTAAGTTGTTTCTCTTACAACAATTTATGTTGAACGTTTTATTGATAACTTGTGATGAACGTAGCTCAAAAACTAAAAAAAGGTAGCGCTATAATCAATATGATGAAGAAACAAACCCTAATTTCGCTGAAAGTGTTGTTGACTAAAACTTTCACTGCGATTTTAATTATAATTGGTCACTAATCAGTAATCACTATGAAAACATTAGATGACAATTAAGAACACGAGATTGATTCTTCCACAAATCCCGAATCTCTCAATTATACAAAAAGTGATATTTTTGTCCTGAACCAACTTATTCCAATGCCGTACATAAGCATGATGAGACAACTAAAAAAACTCCCTAAAAAAGCTACACCGATAAAGGCCTTAGCTCATAATCGAACGATCACGTTTAGCCCAAATTTGAAATGGGCTTAAAATAATGTGGGCCTTAACCCACAAATGGAAAAACACGTGACATTCCCTCTTTGATAATGATTGCAAAAAGCAGAGGTGTTTACTCCAACATTTCCCGTGTTTTCTACGGTCAGTATTATTCATTTCGGTGACGCATTTTTCTCCGGTGATTGGAGGAGAACCAAAGACTCAGAGAGACGGCGAACGACGACGAAGACGAAGAGCGTGGAGAGAGTCTACCTCTCTCGACGATGAATTCCATGAGGACTAATCCTGTCCTTCCGGTTTCCGATCCTCCTCTCGCCGGTGAAAATGATAGCGACGGTAAAGGTGTTGATGATCGGCTTTTCAAAGGATCCGCCATGACCAAACGTGGAGCTTACGCTGCTCTTTCTTACATGGCCTGTGCTGGTAATTTCCTCGATTTCACTTGGGTCATTGATTCGAATCACGTGAATTAGAGTAGGGTCCAGTTCTGGTGTTTTCTCGGATTCGATTCGCTGGATTCCGTAGTTCGTGGTTAGATTCAGTTTCGGGTTTTCGCTGATGTTGATGCAACCATATCGTGACGAAGATTGGGATTTTTTTTTTGCTTTGTTAATGTTCATTCAAATTTCTTCGTCCTACATTTGTACATCCTTATTGATCAGAATGCCTTCCAATTCTATATAATTCAGTGACCTCGCCTACACAATCGCGTTGTTGAGTAGTCTTGGAAAATCTCATTGTGTAGTTGTTGTTACTGAAATGTGGTAAATATGAATATGTTTTGTTGTAATCAATTTTGTAAAGAAGAAGATACACTTGAAATTGATTGTATGTTTAATCAGATGTGACAATTTTTTTTTTTTTGGATGTTGATTCACAGTTATGCTTGTGCTGTTCAATAAAGCAGCTCTATCTTCCTATGATTTCCCGTGTGTGAACGTTATCACGCTATTCCAGGTTTAGTACATAGATTCTTTTTTCCAGTCTCAGTTATGTTCTATAAGACTCATATTTCCGTTGGCAAATATCTATATTAGCTTGACACTTTTGTTTTCCACAGATGGTTTCCTCTAGCTTGTTTCTATATGCCTTGAGGCGCAGGAAGATCATCTCCTTCACAGCTGCTGATTCTTTTTCTATTGATAATGCCTCAAATTTTGTGCCAGTGAAGACATTGTTTCACACCCTTCCTCTATCAATAGCCTATCTTATGTACATGGTAACCATTTTACTGAACATTCTTGGCAATTATTTTGCTGTTGTTTGGGTTTGCAAGTAGTAACTGATCACAAATTTGTTTGATGTATATCTCCTGAAAGCTAGCCTCTATGGCATCTGTTAGAGGGGTAAATGTTCCCATGTATACCACGCTTAGGCGTACTACAGTGGCATTTACTATGGTGATTGAGTACATGCTCACAGGTCAGAGATATACACGGTCTATCATTGGAAGGTAAAATCACAATCTTTTCCATACTGGAGTTTCTGTTCGTGCAATATTGATATCTTTTCACTATTGAAGTTAATAATTTCGTGAAGTATTCGGATTCTGCGTTTAATAGTATCTTTTAGGAAGAAATAACTCCTTGTGTTTGATCAGTATAGACAAGAATTAGGATTTAGGAGTATGCGAGAGATAATGGTAGCTCTACGTTTATTCTGTATGTTACATGCCCCAGAGGCTTATGTTATATTGTGCTTTAAGTCCCTCCATAAAAACGTACATGTTAGCACCTCTAAAACAAGAATACTGCTCCTTGATTCTTACATGTACACACTAAACTCTTGTAAGATTGATGTCAGTGTTGGCGTTATCCTGCTTGGCGCATTTTTTGCTGGAGCTAGGGACTTGTCATTTGACTCTTATGGATATGGTGTTGTTTTCTTAGCCAACATATCAACAGCAGTATATCTAGCAACCATTGCCCGTACTGGTACACTAGTCACCCGCTCTCTGAATAATTTGTTTTACTACATGTCCACCTGCCAGAGTAAAATCTCTCTTACCCAAGTCTAATGTCTGGTTCTCCAGGGAAATCAAGTGGCTTGAATAGCTTTGGCCTTATGTGGTCCAATGGTAATATAAACTAAACAGATAACAAAATTGACCCTAAACTCTCAAGACTTGCTTTGAATTTGTGAGATTTTCAATGATAGGAATTATATGCGGACCTATATTGATGATTTGGACATTTATTTGCGGCGACTTGGAGAAGACAATTAACTTTCCTCACCTCTTATCTCCTGGTTTCATGGTACCGTAAATCATTATTTACCTTATCTCTGTCCACTTTGCGTTTGTGATACTGATGATCTCTTTTTCTGTTATGTTCTCACCCAGGTTGTATTACTCTGCTCGTGCGTGCTGGCTTTTTTCTTAAACTACTGCATTTTCCTTAACACCACTCTCAACTCAGCTCTGACGCAAACAATTTGTGGCAATATGAAGGTTGGTTTTACTTTATTAGTATCTCCTGTACAAAAGAAAATGTGAAACTAATCTGCTAAGGAGACACTTTGAACATTATATCATCGTTGCAGGATCTATTCACGGTTGGACTTGGCTGGCTGCTCTTTGGAGGACTCCCATTCGACCTGGTAATTTTCTTCAACGTTCCAATTAGTCTATTGAACCCAAAATCGGCATCTACTTTTGCTACATCTCAGTGCCTTTTTTTTTTGGGTTCATTCACGCAGATGAATGTGATTGGACAGCTTCTTGGTTTCTTCGGGTCAGGTTTATATGCATATTATAAGATCATCGGGAGGTAACAACTCCAAAACAAAGAAGAGCCAACAAAAACATGAGTGGCCTAGTGATCATAAAGGCTCATTAGTTTAAGGAAAAGTTGTAGACCAGTAATGTTCAAGTGGAGATAGAGTGTTCAACTTTTGGTTTTGCAGGTGACTTTAGAGTAGTATTAATAATGCGAGGCCTAATTTTTTTGAACTTTTGTCTTGATCTTCTTCAGTTTTCAACAAGGCGAAACATACTTTGGGTTATGGAGAAACTGATTTTTTACATTGTAGAGAGACTTGGTTTTTTACTGAATCAAAGAGTAAAGCATTCAAAATGAGTATATAACGGTCAGATAATAATGAATGATAAGAGCCTAAGAGGACTTTCTTGTAGCTCAAAAATAAACGGTAAACGAGGATAAGAGTTTGGTTAAGATTGCAAAGTATTACAAAGAAAAAAGCAGATTCACACACCCAGTGGGACTCGAACCCACAATCGCTTGATTAGAAGTCAAGCGCCTTATCCATTAGGCCATGGGTGCTTGTTGTTGTTGTTACAACATTATGATATATATAATTATTTGTTTTCATGTTGCATATCTTCAAAAGCAAACCATTCTCGCCGGTAAAAAGGTGGCTGGAAAAAGCAGAGATCCCTTAACCATGATTCCCTTCAAAGTATCTTTCACCTTCCTCATCCTCTTCCCATGGTATCAATCTTCCACTCTGACCCAACTCAAGCTCTGATTTATCCTACTCCGTCGCCAAAAACTTGGAAGTAGATGTCTTAGCCCGGGAAAATCAAATTTTCTCAATAATCAATCTATGGACGTTCCACGCCGTTCTTTAGCGGCGTCTCTCTCGCCTCTCCGGCTAATCGATGGACTCCCGCGTCGGAGGAGTTTCAATTATAATCAGATGCCTGAAGAGCCCATCAAACTCACTGTTCTTAAGCTTGATGGATCTTCCTTTGGTACCTATACTCATCTGCTACTTGTTTTTACCAGTAAATTTTATATGTGAACTAAGTGTTGTGGCTCGAAAGAACTAAAAGTTGTTGCTTTACAACGAATTTTAGTTTTTTTTTGTCTGTGTTGATTTGTTTGATGTTGTCCAGAGAATTTTGACTGGTTTCTGAATTTGTGGTTTAGTAGGATTCCCTTTAAGCGTATTTTCGATTTGTAGGTATTCAAGTGTTGAAGACAGCGACAGTAGGGGAGCTCAAGATGGCAGTAGAAGCTGCGTTTTCTCACTTGCCCATCACAGGCCCTGGGAAGATCTCATGGTACTTATTCGAGTTATTCTTGTAAGGATTCCGAATTTGTTTCTATATAAACGATTCTTGATAATCTTATTTTTACCCTGTGATTATAAAGGCCGCATGTTTGGGGACAATTCTGCTTATCTTATGAAGATAAAAGACTGATTAACGAGTCTGAGTACCTCCTTGAATTTGGCATTAAAGACGGCGATCAGGTTAGCCGTTTACTCTTTCTTTTTCACTTGAATGCATCAATGAGTCTATGCTTATGATATTGTTTCAGGCTGAAACTTTCAGCTATGTGATTTGGTAGTGTAGAGAGCTTGTCTAACGATGCACCTGGGTAGCTAGATTCTCCAACCTGGATTATGTAGATTCTTATAGTCAAGTTTGGTTTCGACTACATTGTGCTTTGTTGTAATGCTCTAATGGGTTTTATCCGCCATCATTCAGCTTCGATTCATCCGCCATATCTCAAACTACTGCATGTTGATGGTAAAGCATAAGAGCAAGACACCCCGTATTTCTTCTTTCAAACAACTCAAACTGTAAGAATTTTTGGTGTTAAATGTTTTTAGCATTTCATTATTATCCGGAATCTCCATGGTAATACATGTTTTTGGACCAATCAGGTTCTCAACCACACCCGAAACCCGGAAAAAGAATGTGAGAGAAGTTCAAGAAGATGGTGTTGACTCCATCCCTCGGATCCAACCAAGCTTTCTAGCGACTGTATTGGGAGGTTGGCTCTCTTACAAGTCGACGCCAAGTCAACGAGGTACTAAACAAAGAAACGTGACTGCAAGTAGAGTATTTAACAAACTCATTGCAAGGTTTCGTTTCAAGTGTTATTCCGAGAAGGAGGATGTGTGGAACAGAAAAAAACTCATCTCCGAAACTTAAAAAAAAAACAAAAACTCTTCTTCCATGGAACTTTCTCATTTGATTCTTGTAGAGATTTTGATTTCCCAATCGACGTGTTCTATATACAAACTTTGATGTTGTGTCATTGTGTGTGTGTGCAAAACGAATAAGGCATTGATGATTGTGTGTGTTTGCGTTTGTAGTGTCTAATTTTCACAAATTACCTACCCACAGTCTTATTAACCTTACCTGGTACGGCGGTCGCGTTTGTGATTGTGGCCAAAACGCAACCATTTCGTTTTATTTCGTTATAATTGATTTTCCGCTTCTTTCATTTTAATCTCACGACCACAGCCTTTAGCTTATTTGTGTGGCGAAGAGAAGAGATAACATTTCTGAGCAAATCTCTTCTCTCTCTTCGTCTCCAAAGAGATTACAGAGATCAGTTTTGAACATTTCTCATCTCTCGAAGCTCTCAGTGTGTGTGGCCATGGCTGCTAATTCGATTATGGCTTCTTCCAAACCCCTAATCTCCCTCTCCTCCAACCAACAACCAAGCCGAGTCCAAATTCCCAAATTCGCCAAACTTCCCCAAATTCCTAAATCCCTCACTTCCTCCTCCGACCTCCGTAGCAAAGCACTATCACTCTCTTCCGCCACCGCCAAATCCTTAGCTCTAATTGCCGCCTTCGCTCCTCCGTCAATGGCGGAGGCGATGGAGAAAGCACAGCTCTTCGATTTCAATCTCACGCTTCCGATCATCGTTGTTGAGTTTCTCTTCTTGATGTTCGCGCTCGACAAAGTCTATTACTCTCCGCTTGGTAACTTCATGGACCAACGAGACGCTTCCATCAAAGAGAAGCTCGCGAGTGTTAAGGACACTTCGACTGAGGTAAAGGAGCTCGATGAGAAAGCCGCCGCCGTGATGAGAGCAGCTAGGGCTGAGATCGCCGCCGCGCTTAACAAGATGAAGAAGGAGACTCAGGTATAAAAAAACAACAATGCATATATTCATTCTCAGATTGAAGAAATTTGTAAATGGAGGATTTGATTGTGTGTTTTTTTGGCAGGTTGAGGTTGAGGAGAAGCTAGCGGAGGGAAGGAAGAAGGTGGAGGAGGAGCTAAAAGAAGCTTTGGCGAGCTTGGAAAAGCAGAAAGAAGAAACCATTAAAGCTTTGGATTCTCAGATTGCTGCTCTTAGTGAAGACATTGTCAAGAAGGTTCTTCCTTCTTAAATTATATAAAATTAAAATCATATTTTTGTTAACTTTGTAATTCTCTGTCTCTCTCTGTCAAAACTTATTTACAAGAAATTACTGTAAATCTCTTCTTCTTCGTCTTCTCTGTTTCTTGGATTGTTCGTCGTTCAAGAAGAACAATTTTTATTTTGTAAGTTTATAAATAATTAGCTCTCTTCTCCTATTTTAGTTGTTTAAATTACAAGTATGTATATTGAGGAATTAGTTGTAGCGGATATAAATCTTCATCCGAGGCTTATCGTCACTAGATTTATGTCTATTTGAATCGATTGAACAAAAAAGTAAGTGGCAGGAGACAGGAGTTGTTTGTGTAAGAGGTAGAGAGAAATTGAGTTTTCAGAGCCAAACACTTGTGCTCGGTCTGAACGGTTTCACAAAAAGTTGAGTGGACTCTTCCATAACGGGGTTCAGGTCCAATAACTAAGCCCAACCTTCAATTATACACTTTTTGGGTCAAAACACACTTGTTGTTAGATATGTTATGTAGTCAAACTTACAGCTTTATTGGAAAAACATGAACATGTTTACATCGTTGGTATAAAATATCTTAATATAAAAAGTAAAATTTGAAGTTTGATTTTGATTTTCTCGTCTAGTAGTAGTACTAACTAATGAAGAAAGAATAGAAAGTGAAATGGGCCTATCGAACAAAAAGCTAAATGGGCCTGTTGAACAAAAAGACATGGGCATGCTATTAGGTATTAAGTAACGCGGGTCGGTGTTTGATTAAAACAAATTACGGGGCCTCCACGCCTTGTTCTTCTTCCTTCTTCTTTCTCTCTCTCTCACGGTTCTCTTTCTCTTCTCTGTCTTTTTCAGCTTCTCAAGTTACTTGTTTCAGTTTCCGATGATCAATTCTTAGTTTTTTGCTTGTTTTCTTCGTTTCTCTTTCATCAGGCCTTTGGAGTTTTGTTTTATCATCTTCGCTCGTCATTACTGGTGTTAGCGTTCTTCAAAGGCTTCTTAATCCGTCGAAATTACTCGTTTCTCTCCCTCATTGTCGGTTACTTTCTTTACCCCTTCTTTTGCGCTTCGTAAGCTCTGATTTGTTTCTGGTTTCATTGCAACTTTAGTTCAATTTCAGTTTGATTTCTTCGCTTAGAAAGTTTGATCTGTGAGATCTGACTTCTCTTTATTGTTGGTCATATCCGACTATGAGGAAAACAGAGCATTGGCTGGTTTAACTTTTGACTCATGATTGATTCTATCTTGCAGTAATTGAGTTTTCATTGTGTTTGGTTACTGTTACTTGTTCTTCTACTTCTCCACGATACTGTCTCTGTCCCTTGTTTGTATCGCTAACTTATTTCCATAGTGGACACGTCTCTGGTTTCTGACTTTTCTCTTCAATTCCATATATTGCGTTTTACCATGATGTTTAGTTTTGGAATCTTATTTCGTTTTTTCTTGCTTTCTTTATCTGCTTGTAAGTATAGTTAACAAGAGAAAGGATGGTTTTTTTTTTTTGTTGCTTAAGTGAAAGGATTCTCTTATGTGATTAAGCTCTTGCTTAAATAGTTTGATTTTTTGTTGTTGCGTTTATGCGATATCTTAACTGGTGAAACTGTGTTTGTTGGTTCAGACAAAGATAAATGGCTTCAAAGATTATTGCTGGCAAGCCGGATGATTCTGAGTATGAAATCATTGAAGGTGAGTCTGAGAGCGCTTTAGCAGCGGGGACAAGCCCTTGGATGAATTCATCAACGTTGAAGCTTCGACATCGAATTGGAAGAGGTCCCTTCGGTGATGTTTGGCTGGCTACTCATCATCAGTCAACTGAGGACTATGATGAGCATCATGAAGTGGCCATCAAAATGCTTCATCCTATCAAGGAGGATCAAAGAAGGCTTGTGGTAGATAAGTTTGAAGATCTGTTCTCCAAGTGTCAAGGAGTAGAGAATGTCTGTCTGCTCCGAGGAGTCTCTAGTATCAGTGGAAAGGTGTGGAAAACAGACATGTGTGTCTCTCTAGTTTCACCATATTTTCAATTTCTGTTTAATAGCTGATTTGTATCCTGTAGATATGCATCATCATGAAATTCTACGAGGGCTCTGTTGGTGATAAGATGGCTCGGCTTAAAGGAGGAAAGCTTACACTGCCTGATGTATTGAGGTAATTTTGCATTACACTAGTAAGAAGGTCATTGTAGTAGCGTCTTCTTCATTGTAATATAGAATACTAATGTCTTTCTCATCTATGTGAACCTCACTTTACAGATACGGAGTTGATCTGGCTACAGGGATTCTGGAGTTGCACTCAAAAGGGTTTCTGATTCTCAATCTTAAGCCCTCTAACTTTCTTCTCAGTGATAACGACAAGGCCATCCTCGGGGATGTTGGGATCCCTTATCTCCTTCTTAGTATCCCTTTGCCAAGTTCTGATATGACAGTGAGACTTGGAACTCCAAACTATATGGCTCCAGAACAGTGGCAACCGGAAGTAAGAGGTCCCATGTCCTTTGAGACTGATTCTTGGGGATTTGGTTGCAGCATTGTGGAAATGCTTACTGGTGTACAACCTTGGTCTGGGAGATCCGCCGATGAAATATATGATCTGGTGGTGAGAAAGCAAGAAAAGCTTAATATCCCCAATACCATACCGCCTCCTCTCGAGAACCTACTTCAGGGTTGCTTTATGTATGATCTTCGAAGCCGACCTTCGATGACTGACATCTTACTCGTCTTAAAGAGGTAAATCATATCTTGACACCGTTCTATATTCAGTTTGAACATGATCGATCTAGAATTGTTTATATTATCATTATATATCCTCATAGTACCTCCGGAAAAATCAATAGTTTTTATAGTGTCGTTTCTGATGTTTTAATAGTTTCTGATGTTTTAATAGTTTCTTGGAATCCAATTTCTTTAATCTTAGTGTAAATTTTAATTGGCACTTTTGGCCACCTTTAATTGTGATATTAACTGGAACCGATTTGGCAGCTTGCAGAACTCGGAGGAGGAACAGGTCTGGAGAGGCATTGATAGTAGAGAAATCAGGAAGAGCTCGGGTGCTCTTGGTTATACAGAATGGTTTCTTTCAAAGGATCATCTGCAAGTGGGCGACACAGTGCGTTCAAGAAAGCCTGCCAATTCGTGTAAGCATGAGAACATGGATGTGCCAGAAGGAATTGTGGTTGGTTTAGAACGTGACACCACAGACCCAGATGGATTTGTGCTAGTTAAAGTCCATGGTGTACATGATCCGTTAAGGGTTCACGTATCTGTTCTTGAACGGGTAACTAACGGCCTAGCTTCTGGAGATTGGGTGCGTCTGAAGGTCAGGAAAGACAAGAGGCACTCTCCGGTTGGTGTTATCCATTCAATCGACCGTGAGGGAAATGTAGCTGTTGGGTTTATTGGGTTGCCAACTCTCTGGAAAGGGACATCATCACAGCTTCAGATGGCTAAAGCATACAGTGTGGGTCAATTTGTGAAACTGAAAGCCAATGTTGTCATCCCGAGATTCAAATGGATGCGTAAAAGTAGAGGTATTTGGGCAACTGGCAGGATCTCTCAGGTTCTACCAAATGGTTGCCTCGAGGTGGACTTCCCTGGAGTGTTACCTTTTGGAGAGGAACATGGAAGTTGTCTTGCAGATCCGGCTGAAGTAGAGATTGTGAATTTCAATACATGTCAAGGAGTTGTAAAAAAATATCAACATCTTGAGGATTTTCATTGGGCTGTGAGACCTTTGCTGATTGCTATGGGTCTATTGACAGCAATGAAGTTAGGGATCTTTGTCGGGAAGAAAATAGGAAGGTCAAAGGATGGGAAACAACGCGATGGCTCGAGTGGACAAGGTGACTGTCAGATTCCGAATGGTAAGGACTCTGGCAAATCTAAATGGCTTGTGTTCTTTTAGGGCTGCTATGAGACACAAGCCTTTGTCTGGTCCATATATTATACTGTTCTAGTCATGGTTTCATGTATATAATAACATTTTTATTTTTGCTCTTTAAAAGACTTTCACTACAAGTAATAATGAACATACCAAACAAAAAGAGGCAAGCTTGCAAGATTTTGATGTCGATGGCATTTCGTCAACTTAAAGCAAGAGGAGTTAAATACCTTGTCTTTGTTTATAATGTATGTTCTCTTCCCAGTTTTGGAAATAACAACTTTTTCCGAGCTGATCCATGATTTCTGAAAAGTCAAGATGTGACCAGTTAAGTGGATGTGTATAGGGAAAATTTCAAAAAAAAAACCAAAGTAATTTTTATTTGAACGTTTAATACCCAATTGTTTTGGATTAGAATAAAAATACTTCATTTAATAAAATATAGTCTAAAAATTCCTTATGTTTGACTTGTTGGTGGATTCAAACACGTGATTTAACGTCCGTTAACAGCCGTTACGGAATCAGTAACGGCGTTAAATTTTTTAATTCCGTGTGTTTAAACATATATATATAATCTATTTATGTAATAATTCATATATATTCGGCTAGTCTGGTGGTGCCATGTCGCTTTTGTCACCCTTGCAGTCCGGGTTCGAATCCCCACCTCCTCCACTTTCGCTTTTTTTTTTTTTTTTTTTTTTTTTCTCTCCTTCTTCTTCCTCTGAACGAAAAAAAAAAATCAGTGGTTGGTAATGGGGAGGATTCGAACCTTGGTTCTATGGATGACAATATACACTCCTTACCACCAGACTAGGATAATATATTAGTAAACATGGTACACATGCATTTATATATTTGTAAACACGGGAGTTGAAAAATTTAACGCCGGTTATTGATTCTGTAACGGCCATTAACGGACGTTAAATCACGGGTTTGAATCCACCAACAAGTCGAATATAATGAATTTTTAGACTATATCTTATTAATTGAAGTATTTTTATTCCAATCCAAAACAATTGGGTATTAAACGTCCAAATAAAAATTACTTTAGGTTTTTTTTGGGAATTTTCCCGATGTGTATATCAACATTAACAGTAGAAAGTAATTAGCAAACTGAATTTTCATCAAGCCTTGATTTATCTTCAGATAGAACCTAAAATAACAAAAAAAGTGGCTTAGATTTTTTAGAAACAACAACAAACTAAATACGCAAGAGCTTTTGTAAGGTGAAAATAAAGAGGAACAACTTACAACTGCTGAAATATCTGAAAATTTTAAACGAATATCGGTGAGGTTCAGAGTATAGAGCTGATGAGAGTTGATCCAGTCCTTCACCCTTGTCTGGTGATATTATGGACTGAATTGCAGCAAAATAAAAATTATAAAGAAAGAAAAAATAGTCGGGTAAATAAAATCAAATTAGTAAAATAGGATGAGTTAAATACCTTGTCTCTGTTTATAACTTAAAACAAGAGGAGAAAACCTATTATTGAACATACGACAGGTGACAACAGGAGCACATAGAACCCAAATTCAACATACAAGTAGGTAACAAGTGAGTTAGCAAAGATACAGCTAACCTTCATCAATCTTAAAAAGCATCAACTTGAGAACATAGGCCACAATGAAAATGAAGAGAGGACTAAGAAAATGATAAAAATAAGAAAATTATAACAAAGTGTTGTTGATTCTTTTCAGTACCTTGTGGTGGTGGCAGCCTATTTCTCGGACTCGTCCTTTGGCTTCTCTAACTACTTTCTTTGACTCTATTTTCTCGGACTCGTCATTTGGCTTCTCAACCACTTTGACTCCTCTTTCTCGAACTCGCCATTTGGTTCATTTGAAACTCTTCGATTATTTAATAAATTAAGAATTTGAACTGCACAATAAACATGCACAAATCGCTAAATATCTCTTCACGTATTGTAATTTGATGGGATTCAACATGTACACCATCAACACGGCTAGTAAATACATGAAGAAAGAAATTTGAAAAAAACTAATTTAATCGTTCATCTCAAAACTGATTTTATTTAGTAAAATGAAAATTCCGTATCTCAATTGTGAACTCTTGATTACAATTATTTTAAGAGTTGATTTGGTAATTCTTCTTATTGTAATACCATAACCTTTAGATACCACTTTATTTTCATAAGGAGTTGGTTTGATATACTGTATATGTTAAAAAAACTTTGTTGATGGATTGTTATTTTATTGGGTCTATTGGGCCAAGGTCACGGCCTGATGAAGTCTTTTTCAGTTTCTTAAATTTAATTCCAGCTAGTTGAATAACAGAAAAGGTAAATAAAATACTCTTTAGGCATTTGATTTCTAACCACGCGACTAGCCGACCAGGCGAAAGAATTGTCATACTAGAAAACCATTACCACGTATGTAATTAAGAGTCCATTATTTACAAATAGATCCCTTGGCCGCGTATTTGGACATGCCGACATGCATCTTGTTAACAAGGGTAAAAAGGACTTTGACTTTAATCGCGATCGCAACTCGCAAGCCAATGCGAGCCTCTATTTATTATTGATATCCTTAAAATACTACTAAATTAAAATAATATTTAATTATTATCCATTCCGTTCATCTTTTTGCTCTCTCCCTAGCTAGATTCTTCTTCTTCTTCCTTGGATTTGGGTTTGCTCGCCTTCTTCGCCAAACAAAAAACGCCACTTGTTAAATTTGATACATTGGATTAGGGTTTTGTTCCATCTTGGAGCTCCTCTGATGGCGAGTGTATAGTATATGCTTTCCGGATGGGTTTCTCTCAGGCCATTCGCCTGAATCTTGCTTCCTACTCCTCTCTCTCTCCCTGCCAGGTTTGTTTGCACCTTTCTCTATGATATCCCTCTATATTCATTTATCTATCGCTGCTGATTCACAACACTTTACTTCTCATAACTTTATGAAACTCTGATTTTCTTGATTTTTGCTGGCCTTGTTCTTCCCATCTGATTGTTCCTTCAAATGATTATATCCGTAAGCTTAAAAGATTGCAAATTTCAAGACTGTAGCAATAGCCAGAGCCAGAGCTTCACTTGCATCCAAGTTTTTTGTTTTTCTCTTACAATGAAGATCAAAGTTTTGATTTTTATGTGGGCGATATGATTTTCTTATATGCAGTATTGTTTGACAAGATTGAACCAGAAGCATAAGAGTCTTGTTGCATTCCCGAGCAGTACAAGGGGAAAGGGACATGCCTTACTGAGTGTTCAATCAGTCTTGCATAATACAAGATCCAACATCAATGACAATGGAACAGCTGAGTCTACAAATCTTCTTTTCGATAAATTATTCGCTCGGACACAGAGATTGGAGAGACAAACCAATCAACACTCGCTTTATCCTGACGATGATGATCTGCCCTATTCAAACCTTGGCGTGCTAGACTCTGACCTTGAGGCTGCACTAGTAGCCTTGTTGAAAAGGGAAGAGGACTTACAGGATGCTGAGAGGAAGCTTCTCTCTGAGAAAAATAAACTAAACCGGGCAAAGGAGGAGTTAGAAAAACGTGAGAAAACAATCTCTGAAGCTTCTTTGAAGCATGAAAGTCTTCAAGAGGAGCTGAAGCGGGCAAATGTGGAGTTAGCTTCTCAAGCTAGAGAGATAGAAGAATTAAAGCATAAGCTAAGGGAAAGAGACGAGGAACGTGCTGCTTTGCAATCTTCCTTGACTTTGAAAGAAGAAGAGATAGATAAAATGCGTCAAGAGATTGCAAACAGAAGCAAGGAGGTTTCTGTGGCTATCTCTGGATTTGAAAGCAAGTCAAGACTCTTAAGCAAAGCCAACGAAGTTGTCAAGAGACAAGAAGGTGAAATATATGCACTTCAGAGAGCCCTCAAGGAGAAGGAAGAAGAATTAGAGATTTCTAAGGCTACGAAGAAACTTGAACAAGAAAAGCTCAGAGAAACAGAAGCCAACTTGAAGAAGCAGACAGAAGAGTGGCTGATAGCCCAGGATGAAGTGAATAAGCTTAAGGAGGAAACCGTCAAACGCTTAGGAGAAGCCAATGAAACCATGGAGGACTTCATGAAAGTGAAAAACCTTCTGACTGATGTGAGATTCGAGCTTATTTCTTCTCAGGAAGCTTTGGTATTTTCCAGGGAGCAAATGGAAGAAAAAGAGCTACTATTAGAAAAACAATTGGAGGAACTCGAGGAACAGAGGAAAAGTGTGTTGTCATATATGCAAAGCTTGAGGGATGCTCACTCTGAAGTAGAAAGCGAGAGAGTAAAGCTCAGAGTTGTTGAGGCTAAGAATTTTGCGCTTGAGCGGGAAATATCGGTCCAAAAAAAACTGCTGGAGGATTTACGAGAGGAGTTGCAGAAAGAGAAACCATTGTTGGAGCAAGCTATGCATGATATATCCGTTATTCAAGATGAGCTTTACAAAAAAGCTAACGCGTTCCAGGTATCACAGAATCTACTTCAGGAGAAAGAGTCAAGTTTGGTGGAGGCCAAACTAGAGATTCAGCATCTGAAGTCCGAACAGGCTTCTCTACAACTATTACTGCAAGAAAAGGATGAAGAACTCTCAGAAGCTCGAAATAAATTGGAAGAAGTGAACCAGGAGGTAAAAGAGCTAAAGGCACTTATGATCAGTAGAGAAGATCAGCTTATGGAGGCAACTGAATTGCTGAAGGAGAAAGATGTCCACCTTCACAGAATAGAAAGTGAGCTGGGCAACTCCAAGCTGAAAGTCACTGAAGTTGAAATGGTGGTGGAAAGAATTGCAGAATTGACGAGCAGATTGCTTATGTCAACCACCGATGATCAAAATCAGAACGCAATGAGGATTAATAGTGAGGTAAGCTTTGACTCAATGCAGCAACCACTAGAGAAACCTCATGATGATTACGGAAAGGAGAACAAACGGCTGGTGATGGAGTTAAGCTTCACCAGAGAAAATCTACGGATGAAAGAAATGGAAGTTCTAGCGGTGCAGAGGGCGTTGACATTTAAAGACGAAGAGATCAACGTGGTCATGGGAAGATTAGAAGCCAAGGAGCGGGAACTCAAGAAATTGAAAGAAGAAACGATCAATGACAGTGAAGATTTGAAAGTGCTCTATGCCTTGGCACAAGAGAGAATAGGGGAGAAAACAATGGGTGAGCTGGCCATAGAGAAGCTTCAGCTTGAGGCAGCTCAACTTGAAGTTGAAGCTGCAACGAGTGCATTACAGAAGCTTGCAGACATGAGCACGGAACTTCTAACTCAAGCTGACATGAGCATTGAGGCCGACCCAACTTACATTGTAATGCCAGAGAAAGGGTATTCAGAAGGAAGTAATGAGTGTATTGGTGAGGTAAAAACAGAAGTTGTCAGGCTCTGGTCCTTGACAGAGAAACTCCTGGAGAATGCAGGAATCGTTGCTGGTACATCTACAGGCATGAAAGGTGTGACTTTATGAAGCTTTGATTAACTTTATAAGCCTGATATGATCTGTATGATTGTGGATATGTAGAATTACCGGAGGTTAAATATGTTGTCACTAAGTGTTCTCGATTTGTTCCGCACTACAAGGCTTGTAACTGTAAGGTTGTCTCATCAGTTCTTGAAAAGTTTACACATGTAACAAGAGATTGTACCCTCTTGGTTCTCCTTATGGAAATAAAACATTTGTGATCTCGAAGGAATTATGGTTATGGTAATTACAATGTTATAGGAAGGAAGGGAGTTGTCTAAGGTAGTTATTAATCTAGGCCTGACCAGCAATTTGCAAGGAACAATTGGTAAGACAAGTCTTTGGTTATATAAGCTGATATGTTGTAAGTTTGGTACTTGATAATAATATGATTATAGTTAGTATTTTGAAAAAGAATTAAATATTGGAAAATTACTCAAAGCCCCACCCATGCAAAGCGCGGGCCGGTCACCTAGCAAGACGATGACAATGATGATGATGATACGAAGGAACCTCGGACCCGTGTGGGCGAAGGTTAGCGAAAGACATGAATCATCTGAATGTTTTATGTTATTGTTCTTTCCAGTGATTGATTTATTTTTAATGGATGCTTACAGTTTGGCGGCGGAACGAGATCCTATAGTACTAGTAAGTCTGCCAGATCTAAAGATGGAGCTATCTCCACGTCTTCCTCATCAGGAGGAGCATTGCGGGAAAAGTTTTGGATAGTGGGTATACCAGTGGTTCAGCAGGTTATGCAGGATACAAAGCCTGTATGTCACGAAGATTTATTTGTTTTTTTCTTTCTCTTTAGCATTTTGTTGTTGTTGTTAAGAATTGGGGTTGTTTTTGTTCCAGCCGAGTATTTCTTTCCTATCGACAACGAACCGTTTAGGGAAAGCCTCGAGGTAAAATCCTTTTCGGATTACATTGAGCTCATTAAGATTTTACGAAATGAGTTTGATGAACTGTTTGCAATTTCCATGTTCTAGGAGGAGGAATCTGAGTTGCAAGCGTGGGTGAAACTGATAAAAGATTTGGAGGGTACTCACAAGGACCTGTTGGAGCTCAAACAAGAATTGTGTCCACTTTTGAAATATCTATTAATCTATTATATATGTGAATATGTCAGACACCGATTCAATATTCCAACAGGCAACATTGAACCAAGTCCTACCGAACCAAAAAAATTAAATCAGCGATCCAACATTATGAAATTGTGAATGATACACTAATTTAACATATCTATCACATTTCCTATGTGAACTTCCATTATTAAAAAGCTTTCTTTCGTCCATCGTTATTGCACACAAACTATATCCTTAAATTCCAGCGGAAAATATACTAATGTTAGCAACATCTTATAATTTTAAAATTCATAGAGAATTTAAGTGTAACGGATTGATCTAATAATCATTCGTAGTACTAGTTCTCACCAATAAAACAATCATTCGTAGTACTAGTAGCATAATTAAGATATCGACAAGTGAAGTTCGAGTTTGGTCATTATTGTGAAACACCAAACCTAATCCACTTACAAATTGATTAAAAATACAAATTTGTGTGGTAGTTAATTAGTTAATCAAATAACTTAAATAATAAATAATTATATATAAATACAAATCTTGTTTTGAGTTAGGTCCACTTCAGCCTGCTTTAGCGATTTTAGCTTTAATCGTATTAGCAAAAAGCTCCAACAGTTAACTTCTTTAACCTGAAAAGTCTTATCATCAGTTCGTGTCTTTTTTCTTTGGGTTTTGTTTGGGAAACTGAACATGTCTAAACTCTGCACTCTGCAGGAAGGGTTTTGTGGTGTTTGGGAGAATTAGGCAGTTGTTGGTGATCCGATTTTTCTGGGTTGGGTTTTTATTTATTTTTATTTAATTATATAAAAATGGCGGGTCAAGAGGACGAGCATGATCCAATTCTTGACGATAAAAAAGAAGCTGAAGCAAAATCTGAGGTTTCTGTTGGTGGTGGTGAGAGAGATATGGCTCCTTCTACTTCTGGTACTTCAATCCACAGATCGGGCTCTAGACCTCAGCTTGATCTAAGCAAAGCTGAAATTCAGGGGAATCTCGAGGAGAGAGATCCCACCATTTTGTTGCCTAATCAGTCTGATGATATCTCTCATTTGGCTCTTGATATTGGAGGTGACTCAATTTTTCACTTCTTTTTTCTTCTGTTTCACTGTAATTGACCATTGATCTAGTGCTTGTGGTTTTTCCAGTAGAATTGGTGGCTTCCGCTTCTTGGTTTTGGAAATTTCGATGTTTTTAAGTGCTGTATTTGAGAATTTAGAAACCGATTTTAAGTTTATTTGCAGGTTCTTTGATAAAGTTGTTGTATTTTTCACGACATGAGGACTACTCGAATGATGGTGATAAGCGGAAGAGGACGATCAAGGAGAGGTTGGGTATAACCAATGGCAACTTGAGAAGCTATCCTGTTCTTGGTGGCAGACTTCATTTTGTCAAGTTTGAGACTCACAAAATTAATGAGTGCTTGGATTTTATTCACTCCAAGCAGCTTCATCGCCGAGGTATTACTCTTCTCTTGTTCAATGTTGACTGATATGACTTTGTTGTGTATTCACTGTTATAAGATCAATTTCTGGTGATTGAACTGTTGAATTCGTCTTCTTCTCCATTTCTTTTCAACTAATTCTCATTTTTAAATCAATGAATAGATCCTTATCCTTGGAGTTCAAAAACCTTGCCTTTGGGGACTGGTGTTATCAAGGTAATAACATTTTGATGACTTGGTTGTTTTATCTTTTGAGGCTCCTTCTGGACATATTTAGCTCGCAATGTCATTTGAGATACCAGATAAAATTCAAAATGCTCATAAGTATTGATTTAAGGTGAAACGTTTATATGTTCATATCCATGTAATGTGATTTACTGATTTGGCTTTGATTAGTTGATTATCGCTTGTTTAAACATATGAGTCTGGCGTACGTATATCTTACAGGTCACAGGTGGCGGGGCCTATAAATTTGCAGACTTGTTCAAGGAACGGCTGGGCGTTAGTATTGAGAAAGAAGATGAAATGCATTGCCTTGTTTCTGGAGCAAATTTTTTGCTCAAAGTAAGACCTTTCTTTATGCAACATTCTTTTTACGTTGTCTGCATATGTAGTTGTACCTTTATTACTAGCACTTGCAAAGCAGAAATGTAAAGACAGGCTAACATTATTTGTGAGCGGCTGTGTGTTTTCCTATACATATAATTCTTTTCAGACTATTGAAGTTTTTCCATTAGTTTACTTTTTTTTCTTCTTGATCTGCATGTGTCCGTTTGGAATTTATTCTTAGTTTCATTTTTTATCTGCAGGCTATTCGACATGAAGCCTTTACACACATGGAGGGTGAGAAAGAATTTGTACAGATAGATCCAAATGAATTGTATCCCTATCTTCTCGTGAACGTTGGATCTGGTGTTAGCATAATCAAGGTATTTGTTTACGTTAGCTACTTTTTTCACAAACTGTGTGTGTTTGGCTCCTTGAACTTCTGCCTTGGGAGGTCCATGGACCTGTAGATTTCATGCAATGGCTTTTCAAAGTATAGGTTGATGGTGAAGGAAAGTTTGAACGTGTGAGTGGGACTAATGTTGGCGGTGGTACCTATTGGGGCTTAGGAAGACTTCTAACGAAGTGCAAGAGGTTACTATCATACACTGGATCTGATTTTTCACTACTTCTTTACATTCTTGTTTCCTATACTTATGATGTTTTCTTCTGTTTTAGTTTTGATGAATTGCTAGAACTCAGCCAAAAGGGAGATAATAGTGCCATTGACATGCTCGTTGGTGATATTTATGGTGGCATGGATTATTCCAAGGTATGAGTCTACTTTGCATCAGACTACATCTGATATCATTAGTTGTAGGATGTGACTGCCTTCCTTTTAAAACTCAGAATGCTTTTTACTACTGTTCTAGTAATTCTCATTAATCAATTATACAGATTGGTCTCTCTGCTTCAACAATAGCTTCTAGTTTTGGCAAGGCCATATCTGAAAATAAGGAACTGGATGATTACAGACCTGAAGATATTTCCTTGTCTCTGTTGCGAATGATTTCGTACAATATTGGGCAGGTATGAATTTGTGAGTCCAAAGATTTCAAGGAAGAGTTCTTAAGCAAAATAAGCCCATATCTTTCTCATTTTTATTCCTAATTACATGATGCCATTTGGAATATTTGATCAGTGAATGGGATAAGTGATTGAGAATGTTTTGAGTTTCTGATTTGTTTGTTGCTGTGTAGATATCATACTTGAATGCCCTTCGCTTTGGGTTGAAGCGAATATTTTTTGGAGGATTTTTTATAAGGGGTCACGCATATACCATGGACACAATTTCCTTTGCTGTACATTTCTGGTAACTTCACTTGATAACCTGGAGCTAGTTGTGATATGCGTACTCAACCTTCTTCAGTCAACTTATTTATGTATTGCTTGACCACACTAGGTCGAAAGGAGAGATGCAAGCTATGTTCTTGAGGCATGAAGGTTTTCTGGGTGCTCTGGGTGCGTTCATGAGCTATGAGAAGCACGGATTGGATGATTTAATGTCCCATCAGTTGGTTGAGAGGTTCCCAATGGGTGCACCATATACTGGAGGAAATATTCACGGACCACCGCTCGGTGATTTGAACGAGAAGGTAATAAACTTAGCTTACATTTTACCAAAGTCTCAGATTGTTCTATTTAATACTTTGAAACTGACAGCCAAAGATTCCATAATGACATGGTACTTCTCAATATATTAAAGTGCGGGAATATGATACCATTTATGCCGTGTGCAGGGTAAAGTGTGTGCTGCATACCATTATAGTATTCTTTAGGCAGTTGCATTGTAGAATATGCTGTTCTTGAAACTGGAATCTTTTGGAAAATGTTTGATCTTCCATGGACTTGCTGAATATTATGGCCGAAAGAGATGGTCGGATACTTTGAGACTGTTGAAGTGCACTATTACTTGTTCCTTGTTCCTTTCCATGGTTTGTGTGCTGACTGATTTTGATTGGATACTCGATCATTAATCTTGAAGATTAATCATAGTTTATGCTTGTATGGATATTATTCGCTGTGAAGTTTACTGGTTCTTTCTTTTTTTATACAAAGTATCATTTTATGTGACATAAAAGAATAATAGAAAGCAAGAGTAAGAAAAACCTTGTTTTCAAATCTGTCACAGTTATATTCTCTTTTTATTTTATGTATATATCAAATACGAGATGGAATCAAGTGCTTTTTCCCTATTTCAACTTTTCTTGTGCTAATGGTAAAGAGATATCACATCAACTAGTTATAAGTGTTGTGTGTCTTGACTCTGTTCTGGATAAGTTTTGGAGTTTAAAAAGGATTTCCTGGTTGCTTTCAGATTTCGTGGATGGAGAAGTTTGTGCGTAGAGGAACTGAAATAACTGCTCCTGTACCGATGACTCCATCAAAAACGACTGGGCTTGGAGGGTTTGAAGTTCCCTCATCCAGAGGTAGTGCTCTAAGATCTGATGCCAGTGCTTTAAATGTTGGTGTTCTCCATTTTGTGCCCACACTGGAGGTGTTCCCATTACTGGCTGATCCAAAGACGTAAGTGGCATGTCCCTGAGTAATGTATTGAGCTTGTACATATATCTCCTGGTTTGCCGCTTGTTCATGATTTTGGAGATTTTATGTTCGTGTGTTTAATTGATTTGTTTTACCCCAGGTATGAGCCTAACACGATTGATCTATCAGATCAAGGCGAACGAGAGTGAGTGATAAGTCGATGCTGATCTTCCAAAACAGTGGTTTTATTTGGTGAAAATCACTTTTTCTTAAATTGTTTATTTTGTTTTGGTGTATAGGTACTGGCTCAAAGTTTTGTCCGAGCATTTGCCAGACCTCGTTGATACGGTAACTGTTAAAGTTAATACATAGGATTTCTATTCCACTTTCAGTTATGTTTCTTTTTGGTGGTGTAGATTCTTTATGGCCTGGTACTTACTATTATTCTGTGGACATGATTATAGGCTGTGGCAAGTGAAGGAGGAACTGAGGATGCGAAAAGGCGGGGTGATGCTTTTGCTCGTGCCTTTTCTGCTCATTTGGCAAGGTTTGGTTCATTACAACAGATTCCTCTCTGTCCAGTCAAGCCTGTGCAATTTTGACCACAATCTATCAAGCAGAAAATTCATAGCGCTTCAAAAAAGTTTGTTTTGTGTGTGCTTTTGCCTTTCACTGACATATTTTTTTTGTTGTAGATTAATGGAGGAGCCAGCTGCATATGGAAAGCTAGGGCTAGCAAATCTTTTGGAACTTAGGGAAGAATGCTTAAGGGAATTCCAGTTTGTTGATGCCTATAGAAGCATCAAGCAAAGGTAAAACATATTCTTATCTCTCTCCTACTTTGAGTTTCTCTTATGCCCTCTCTTTCTTTAAAATTGATAGGGAGAACGAGGCATCACTTGCTGTTTTACCTGATTTACTTGAAGAGCTTGATTCGATGAGCGAGGTCTGTGATCTTTAACCTTCCTCTCTCTGTAGGTTTTTGGTTTGCTACTTAACGTTTTAGTGCTATACATGAGACAACTTTTCTCACTTGTTGTTTTGAATTGTGCTCGGATTTTTCAGGAGGCAAGGTTGCTTACACTTATAGAAGGTGTTCTTGCTGCAAATATATTTGACTGGGGATCTCGAGCATGTGTGGATCTATATCACAAAGGAACCATTATTGAAATATACAGAATGAGCCGCAACAAGATGCAGAGACCGTGGAGGGTGAGAGACAAGACCACATTTTTTTCGCTGAGGTTACTGTTTGTTAACTGTTAATTTGAAGCTGGAAATCTTTTTTGATCCGTAAAATCAGGTAGATGATTTTGATGCTTTTAAAGAAAGAATGCTTGGATCTGGAGGTAAGCAGCCTCATCGACATAAAAGAGCATTACTTTTTGTTGATAACTCGGGCGCAGACGTCATTCTTGGGATGCTTCCTCTTGCCCGAGAGTTTCTCCGCCGTGGGACTGAAGTATGTATTTTCTCTCTAGCTCTTCCTATAGTAACCTACTCTTCACAAAATCGAATGTACAGGCCAAATGGTTTCATTGTGAAACTAGTTGAGGAAACACTAAACAGAATTTTATTAAAATTCTCCAGGTTGTTCTAGTGGCGAACTCTCTTCCTGCTCTTAACGACGTGACCGCTATGGAACTCCCTGATATAGTCGCTGGGGCTGCTAAGGTTTTACCGGTTTAACTTTCAATATTATGCAGTGGTTATAATGTTCTTTCATGTAACTAACTCTTTTGTTCGGTCTTTACTCTTGAAGCACTGTGACATCTTGAGGAGAGCGGCAGAAATGGGAGGCTTACTTGTGGATGCGATGGTAAATCCGGGGGATGGATCAAAGAAGGATTCAACGTCAGCACCATTGATGGTTGTTGAAAATGGATGTGGAAGTCCTTGCATTGACCTGAGACAAGTCAGCTCTGAGCTTGCAGCCGCTGCGAAAGACGCTGATCTTGTATCTACAAAACCTTCTCTGTTTTTACCTGACATAAACTTCAAACACACAAAAATAGAGAAGCTTTGTTCATTATTTGATGTTTAATGATATTGCAGGTTGTCTTGGAAGGTATGGGAAGAGCACTTCACACCAACTTCAACGCTCAATTCAAATGCGAGGCTCTCAAGGTTTTAACCTCAGAGAATTCCAAATCTAGAATTGTTATTGAAACTTTTGACTGAAACCTTTCTCTTCCTTTTTGGCAGCTAGCAATGGTGAAAAATCAGAGATTGGCTGAGAAGTTGATAAAAGGAAACATTTATGATTGTGTATGCAGATACGAGCCTCCCTCTCTTTAACAATGTAATGTATCATTTCTTCATCCTTTAGACTACTTTGCCTCAATAGCTTATTTGCTCACTGTTGTATACAGATTAAGCATTCGGCATATGTATTTTTTTTATTTAGACTAAACTTTTACTGTATAAAATTGTATTTGAATAAATCAAAATCGCTTAAGGAACAAAAACGTATTAGTCTGAAATTTTCGCTAGCAATTTCTCAACCATGATTCTCTGCTGAGTCCCACTTAGAGATTCCGAGTTCATCATAGCATTGGCCACGATAATGACTGTACGTGGAGCAGCCGAATTTACCCAAACTCTGCCATTTAAGCCCACAGCTATCTCGAATGAGAGTTTCTTTCCAAGAGCCTCGATGACCGGGCACGTTGGTGAACTCAACAGCCTACAAGAGATGAGAAAGTTAAATTTTTAAGTCAAAAGAAGATAGATAAAGTATAAGAGAGACAGTTTTATGAGGAAGTATGTCTCACATTCTTGATAGACCAGTTGAAGTTTCAAACATGAAACCATCTCTTAAGGGTCCAAATAATGCAGCTTTCCCACTTGCTAATACATTACAAGAGACGATTAGTTTTAAGAGCATTTAGAGTACGCAAGGAAAAGCAGCATTGTTTAGCCTCCAAAGCTTTTGACTTACCGTCGGTACAAGACAGCTCCGGATTCATTCCTGTGTTTGTCTTGACAACCCGAAGATAAAGCAGAGTGCCTACCTGTTTAGTACACAACAATTTGAACATTCCGGAAAACAAGTAATTCATAGAGAATGTCATATTACAAATGAGAATTTAAGAGAGCTTCCTGATTCATCAGAATATTAAGAGAACTTGCCTCAAACTTGGGAATATTTCTTCGAGTTCCTCCTTCGAATGCAAGAACTGGCAAAAGCGCTAATTGAGGTCCTTTTATGTCCACCCAAAAATTCTGCAATGCCATGATGAGTAAAAGAAACAATTCAATACTAACTACTTAACTAGAGTGATTTTAGTTCACGAGCCAAGCAAGCTTAAACTGCAGCTGAGAATTTAAAAGTCAGTTAAAATTTGTTTGTCCAATAATGGTATCAGTTTGCTTCTGATTTTAGACCCTAACTTCAATACTCCCCACCTATTTTATTTACTGATCCAAGACCCTCAACAAACAAGTTCCAACTTTTTTGGCGCAGAGGCATGAGGATTGAAGTCACAGAGATGACCAATCTAAGAGGGATCCAAAAAAAAAAACAAGAATCTATACAAGCAAATGAGCAATGATGTTAAAGGACTTACATCTGTCTTAGAATCTACCACAATTCCAAGAACATGATCCTCAGGGCGGGGTATGTACTGCAAAAAAGCCATAATAACAGAGTCAACAACAAAAAGAATGAGACTTACATAGATAATCAACAAAATAGAATCGTACTAGAGTTTTCGAAACTAAAACAGCAGATGAGTGGTAACTTGTCTTATCAAGCCAGATGTATATGATCAATAACTAGGGGGGAAACTAGCAAGAATTCTCCACAAAAGCATTAAATCGTCAAAATGCTACAAAAGAAAAATCTTCATGATGCAATTGTGCCAGGTTATTTGTTAGATTTCCACTCATGATTAATCAATTGGACCTTGAATCAGAGAAGATGACACAGAGTAATAATCCACAAGAAGCTCAATAGATAAGCTACCAGAAAGGCAAGATTGATTCATCTCATAATCAAATATAGTAGTAAGAGCACTGAGCTCACCCGTTTATGAGAACTTTCGACCCAATACTTATTAGGCTTGCAATAACTTAATTTGCCAGCTCTCATGGCAGAGATAGCATCATTATCCTGAAATAAGCCAAAACAAACAAACACAAGTCAATCTCCAATTCCTTTGAGTTGCAACAGTATCTCACAAATCAAGTGCCCACTGGAACAATTGTTAAGATTCAGACAACACACAAAAAAGAGAAGAAGATGAAACCTGACGAAGGCCACTGCCGAGCTTGATTGTCTGGTTAGTCATGTTTGACAAATCAAAAACAACATCCCCTGGAACCTGAAAAAGTGAAAGACCAATGTTTTATTGTAACCAAATCGAACCGAAATCATTAAAAAAGCCAACTTTTTAGAGAAATACGGACCACAATCTGATCTATGAGGCTTGTGGGAGAGACAGAAACTTTGGTAGCCATGAGTGAGGTGGGTTTTGGAGACAAGAACCCTAAAACCTCTGTTAAAGCTTGTTCCTTGACGACGATGGGAACCCGGTTCCGAAAGCAGAGTCTCTTCTTTTTAATTAAAAGCAAAACTAAACCAAAACTATACCGAACCAGTTACTATTATGATTTGGGTTTTTACTTAAACCGGAAAACTAGAAAAAAATCTGAGAAACCAAATTAATTACCAAACCAAAATGATATTTTTTATTAATACATGAATAGTTTCAAGCAGAACATCTCTTAGTGACTGTGATTTTAAGACCATGTTTCATTGACAATATAAAACCAAGAGCTGGCACAATCTTCTGCCCTTGGAGAACCTTAATGTCGTAGTTTCGTAATATCTCCACTGCCACTATCTTCATTTGAGTCATAGCTAAATGCTTACCTAGACAAGTTCTTGGACCGGCATTAAACGATAAGAACTTGTAGGAAGGCTCATGTTTTATGCCTCCGTTCTCAGTAATCCATCTCTCTGGCTTGAATTGCGATGCGTCTTCTCCCCAAACCGCTCGCATCCTCCCCAATGCATAAAGACAGATGATAATTTTAGAGTTCGCATTGACTTTATGCCCACTTGGAAGCACATCTGATTTGATTGGAGACTTGCGTCCGAAGGAAACTGGTGGGTATAGTCTCATTGCTTCACACAACGCACCATGTAAATACACCAACTTATCCCAATTCTCTTGGCCATTTCCGGTTCTTGATAGATCTGTGTTGATGATCTCTTGACGAATCTTGGCTACCACTTGTGGATTTTCAGAGAGAAGCCAGAAGAACCAAGAGAGAGCGGTGGCTGTTGTGTCTCTTCCCGCTAGAATGAAAGCTAAGATATTGTCTCTAAGGAATTTATCGTCACTCGGATTCAAGAGATTGTACTTGGTTGTATCTATCTTTATGATGGAAGTTAAAAGATCCTCACTTTCTCCATTGGAAACCCCTTGTGATCTTTTAATCTCTTCTCTCTTGGCTGATATGTATTTGGCACACACACGGTCAAAAGTTGCATTAGCTTCAATCAGCTTCTTCTCTTGTCCGAATCTCATCCAGTTTTGCAGCTTCCACAAGAATCTTGGTTTAACATGCCTATAAAGAATCGCTTCTCCAACATCGTCGAGAGCTTTAGCAAATTCATCTTCAGGCATTTTAATGGAGAGAGATCTAGGATCAGAACCAGTTACAAGGATGCAGATTGTATCGAAAGTGAACCTCCCGAACACGCCTTGCAGGTCAAGAGTTGTTCCTTCTTCTGCAAAATGATTAAGAAGGGGAACAAGCCCGTCCTTGAGTTTACTTGTCATGGTACTCATTGAAAACCTTTGAAACTCTTGAGTATGGAGAATGGCTTGATAAGACTTCCTCATATTCTTCCATAGCTCCGAGTCCGTGGTGATGAAACTGTCTCCTAAAACATCAAAAACATCTTGGAACTCCGGTCCTTTGATGTAATTTGAGAAACTTGAGCTCATTATATGATGAATGTTAGCTGGATCAACTGTGATCAACATATCCATTCCAGCGAACCGCGGTCCTTTGAATGGAAACGTCAAGTCAGAGGTTTCGAGAATCTTAACGCTGTAGTCATAGATCCGGTGGAGCGCCTTAAGCAGAGCGGGGAGCATCCGGAGAACCGGCCAGTTCCTACGGAACCGGCCATGAGGTTTCTTGAAGAGAAAGTAATGGAGGATGAGAAAGCAAAGGGTGGCTACGGAAACTTGAAGTAAGCTTATTGAAGCCATTGGAGTAAGGCAAGTGATAACACACACTTTGCTGGCACAATGAGAACTGGATTTATAAGCACACACTTCAGGCCGGGCACAACCGCACAAGTAAGGAGATGATGTTTAAATACACTAAATTTCGTTATATGCACAAAACTAAAAGGCACGATTAATGCATGATGCATGTATCATCAAATTAGAAACTAGTATTAAATTGCCATTGGCACCTAACTTTTTTATTTTTGTGATAATACACCTAACTTTTTCAATAATTTGAGAACTGTTATTATTGCCCCTTTGTAACTTTATCAACTAAGTAAAGTTTATTGAAGCCATTAGAGAATGAGCTGGATTCACGCACATAGACTTCTGAGATGTGCTCTATGAGCGCTGAAGGAAATGTCATTAACTTCTTCATCTCTGTCCAAAGATGATAAAAGGTTTTTAGCATTCAATACTCTCTACCTAGTTTCATTCTTCTTCCCTCAAAATTCCTTGCTGTAACGAAATTTCTGAATTCAATAGAGAAGAAGCCATATTATGCTTTCGTTGATAGCGATTCTATACTTTCTCTTAAACCTGTAAGAAGTTCAAGAAAGTGGTGAGAACGAAACATTCTTTATACTTGAGGACAATGATGATCAATTGACACATTTTTTATAAACTAAACACTTACTGTTCCAACTTTGTTTGCAAGAACAGAGTTCAGAACACAAGAAAGGCTCAATATATGCAACAAAGGATAATGAAAGACAATTATACAACAAACATACTCAATACACATCTTTTTGCCTTATGTACTCTCAAAAGGGGTGGTGTCACATGTGTGTCTATATATCGATTACACATCACTTAGCTTCAACTAATTTGCTTCTCCAAGAGACCAACCGTTCTGTATTATAAAGCGACCAGTCCTTTGATAAAAGAAAAAAATGGCAGTCTATTCTCAGGTCAAAGCGACTATTATTACCTATCTCTTCAATGTTTCTGTTGATGCTTCATCTTTCTCATAACTATTTTCCTCATTCACATCTTCGCTGGTCTTAAAGTCTTTTTGGAGAGCACGAAGCATTGCAGAGTTCACCTGTTTTCTCAATTTCGCATTCTCAACAAAGATGTTTGCCAGTATCTTCCTCAGCTCGTCCTCCACAATTCTTGTTTCAGTATCCATGCTGAGAGATTTATCGATGTCTTGAGCAGCAGCATTTTCATCAAACCCAGAAAGTAGCTGAGCCTGAAAATGGTCTAAATCGTTAAAACTTGTAAAATGCACATCATAACAGTGTTTTACAGCAATGCTTCGTTAGTTCAGCGGAAACCTAACTATCCTTCCTACACTAACAAATCACTTCATCCTGATGCACATATCAAGACGCAGTGAAAAGTAACTCTTATTAGAGGAAACCTTGGATGTACTAAATTGGAAAACTTTGGATTTCAAATGGAGATAAAGCAGAGATGCAGCAATACCTCCTCAATCTGATCATCAGATATTGACAGTAAACGCAAAGCGTCTGATACTGTAGTTGAGTCCTCGACGAAGTTACCGTTTCCATCCATTGATAAATTCAAATTGTACTCTTTGAGCCGGTCGTGGAGAATTCTGCAGTCACTAAGCAGCTTCTTTCTAGCCGCAACTGTGTTCTCTAGTAGTTTTCGTTCCTCTTGGAGGAGTTTCTGAAGTTTAACATGTTCCAGTCTCAGTTGTGTTGTATCTTACATGCATAATAAAGATCCACAAACCCATGGTGCTGCCAAACAAGAAGATATATATAATACTATACCCAGAAATTACCTCGGCATTAGTTTTCTCTGTCAAAGAGTGGGTTAGCTCTTTTTCTAGTTCCACATGAGAACGCCTCAGAGATTTGACCTCTTTGACAAGAACTTTAATATCTGCTTTTGATTTTGCCTCTAATTCTTCATATCGCCTAGAGAGGTCTTCTAGTTGTTGCTTTCTGGCATCCAACTCTTTCGACAAAACATGTTTCTCAGAAATAGTTGACTGTACAGTGGGTTCTGCATGTGAGCTCCCATCCTATTGTAATAATTTGTATCAGTGTGCTTCTCTAGAAGAGGGAAATTATGTACGATCTATGCGAAGCAGTTTGGTTGCGAAACTAATTTTAAGATATGGAACTATCACAAATCATACCTCTCTCGATTTTAACTTCAATTCCATCTCGTAAGATTTTTGCCTAAGTTCTTCCATATCCCACTGCATCTGATTAAATCTTTCCCTCTCGCTCATAATAGCTTGCTCCAAGTTCTCTTTGCTTCTCTGCTTAGTAGTTTCAAGTTCCCCTTCTAGATCATTAACCTGAGCAGTAAAACCAACATTACAACACTACCATTCGCTCTAAAGAAAAAAAGGATAAGATATAGATGTTTAGAACCAAAAATGAGAAAGAAAAAAAGAAGAAAAAATCGGAATTCATGATAACTTTTTTTATTGTACCTTTTTGTTCAGGTAATCTTTCACAGCTATCTCTTGATTTAGTCTTGCAATAAGATCCTCCATATCTGTTTTTGCATTGACAAGTCTCTCATTTGTGGCTAACAGAATCCTGTTCAATTTATTACGCAGCTCCAGTGGAAGAACTATTTGTGCACTACCCTGCCTCTCCGGGTTACAAACAAGCCCAGTTCCAAGCGATACACCAGGACCTCGGCGTAGATCCAGGTGGCTATCACTGCTTGAACTTAGGAGACCAGATGTTGATGTCTCACCGGTGTGTAGAGCAAATCCTTCAGCACTCTCAGCAGAAAGCTTTCTGTCATGCATTACTGAGTGAGCTGATGATTCTGGTTCAGAGAGAAGTCGTGAACCATTGTTAGCAGGAAATACGCCTTTCGAAGCATTTCCGTTATACACATCCTTCCCCAGGATATTATTGACGTATCTTGAGCGGATTTTATGTTTGGGAAAGTCTTCAAGTTGCTCTAAAATCGTTTCGCTCATTGAAAGCCCCTCGTCAATGTTGGACATGCTAAAGTTAACGAGCTTCTCTATTGGATTTGTTAAATCTTCATCCAGAGTTAGATCTTCCGTACCAATTTCAGAAATATCATCCTGTCCTAAACTTGGTGATCCAACCTCAGATGTTTCATAAGCAGTATCACTGCCATAGTCAGATGTGAGAGAACTGCCACCAGCATGAAACAAGCTCAAACTTGGGTGAACCATCGGCGACGAACTTGTGCTACTTCTATCATTATTGGCATCAGAAGCATTCTGATCTACATCTTGGCATGCTGAAAAGCTATATCATGTTAGACTCTGATCACACATTACAGCATTGACCAATGCACGGTTTAAGTGGATACTGTAATAGCTCATACCAGACCTAGCAGCAGCTTCTAGTTCAAGAAAGGATGCAACTACGACACTTCTTGCTAATTCTATATCAGATAATAGCTTTGTTATCCACTCCTCAAGAGAGCACCTTCTCTGCAACAAGATCAAAGCTATCACTTGTGAAACAAATAGTTTGCACGAATAATTGTAACATTATTGTTGGGACATGACTTTCCGTATATTAATACACCTGAAATCTGCATAATTAGTACTTGATCTTGGTTGGGCAAGATTTGGAGGAAGGGAAAAAATAGCACTAAATAGAAAAAATATTGAGAGTAACAGCAGTTACACAAGTGACCTCATTCAGTAAGCCTCAGGAAACAAATGCATACCTCTTCTAACACTGCTCTGCTTTTCATACGCAACAGCCCTTTGGGAGGAGCTGATGGAAAACTTTTTCTAGGAAATGTTCTTTTAAGCTGTAAGGAAAAATGAATGTGCATATGCCGTCAACCACATTGCATTTAAATCATTAAGAACAAACGGAGAGTTGGATCAGCCTATATTCAGGAAGAACAAATTCTTACATCTGTTAATAGCTTTAAGAAATCATTAAATCTTCTCAACACTCCTCGCATTGTGGTAACACCTTCAGGGGATTGCACACTTACCTGAACCCTGTAAAACTGTTCCTCTAAAACGTTATATATGTAAGCAAGTTCAACTATATATTGGAATAACATATGACATTCACAACAATAAAACTCTTCAGCTGCAAAAAAAAAGGCACACTCCGCTAGATAATTTAGGTAGTCCCGGAACACAAATATATCATTTTTCATGTTGAAGTTTATTGATCCACAGACGTTCAAGGTATGGTTCGACATAAAAAGTTCAGCTAAATTTGCTACACGACAAGAAACAGTGGAAGTTATGCCCTTGCAAGAGATAAACACTGAAGAATTAAATATATATACCACAACAGGATCTGAATTTCTTGATTTTGGAAGGACAATCCACGAGGGTATTGTAACGCAATAACTCCAACCAGTTCGAGGGTCATGAGGCCAAACAGTATCTCTACCATTCTGCAGAAAAGAAGATAAAAATCTCAATGCCTTGAACTCTCCAACTTGTACATAAATGGAATGCAATTGAGTAGAATGATACTTCCTAGTTTGCAGCTATCCAAAGCGCATAAACAAAGATTTAGCTACCCATGATGTTCAACGACAGATAAACTAACAATTCAATAGAGAGCAAAAACAGAATTCACCAATTGTACGAAATAGCTTCGGCTAACCGTTAGGAATCTAATGTCTTATGTAGTGAGTTCTAACATTGGACTAGCTGGTAACTACAATAGCTATCCCCATAGCTTGGGACTCATAACAAAGACATCCACATTTATCTCAAGTCCCAAAAGAATAAAGCAAGGCAAGTGAAGAATTCGAGCACGGCACTCCAACGATAAACGTAATTAAGTACAATAAAGTTTGAATTTTGGCAACATAAGAACTCACCCATTTGCGCGGTGGAGGACTCCAATCCATTCCCAAAGGAAGCGGCGATGTTCCGTCATGCCTGTGCTTGGGCGGACTCCGTCTCTGCATCATCTCCACCAAACTCTACCTATCTTTCTCTCCCCAGCTCTCTGGAATCCGAATCTGATATTCCGATCAGAATCAGTAGGAGACGCGATCGAGCACTAATTTCCCGATCGAGAAACCACAAATTAAGAAATCTGAGCAAAAAGTAAGCAAAGCGTAGGGTTTATGAAGATCGTCGTGAGAGGACACAGATGGAGGCAAAAGAAGGACCAGATGGCGTCTCTCTGGGTCTTTTCTTCCTCTGGGTTGAATTCCCACAGACCACGGCGATTAACGGCGGTGTTGTGACGTCTACTTTAACGGAAAAGCCGAGAGGAGACAACACGTGATTTGACGGAGGCGCGAAGCTTACCGTGTATATATGTGTATATATGAGATTCGGTTTGGGTCATGAACCACGTTTTGGTTTAGAGTTGGGAATTGGGATTTTATCTATTGTACATTTTGTTTGATCAAAAAAAAAAAAATTATATTGTAAGGCTATCATCTGGCTATGTTTGGTTTATTAGGCTCAGCTCATTGGATGTCAATTTCATTTTTCTGCCATTAACTTTGCTTTTTTCTTTTTTTCTTCTCCAAAAGTATATTCATCATATCTTATTCAAAACCGAAACCCAATTTAGACCGAAAATTTTCCAAACCAAAAGGATATGTACCGCTTTTTGGTTTTGTTTGGTATCAGATTTCAAAACAAAAAAAAAAACTGATTTAATTTAAAATATTTTACCAAGACTAAATATTTAATTTCGCAAAATTTTACTCTTTAAAATTACATCGTAATTGAGAAATTATTAGATCTCTTTGCTCAGATTTCTGTTACAGTAAAAACTGTTTTAAACCAAAAAAATTTCTTTGTATTTATAACTAGATCATCACCCGTACTACAGTACGGGTTGAATTTCATTTATTACAAAATTTATATATTATATAGTTATAGAATAAAATCGTGATATATTATAATAGTAAGTAAAAAATATTAATTTTTTATGTCAGTCCATATATATAATATTAGAATGAATATATTTTTTTTTCCTGTAATCCTCAATTATGGATATATTTTTAAAAGATATGAGAACGGAAATTAATATTATTTTCAAAAAAAATAATATTGTTTGAACAATGAGTTAATTTATGTTAACAACCACAAAATGAGAGTGCATATAATTTAGTTAGATCAAAAATCAAAATATCATAAATGAATCGCATCTAAAACGTAGATTATTTTGAATTAGTTAGTTAGCTATTATTTTGAATTAATTTAGAAAATTATTTTTTCAAATTCTAATTCATTGGTTGTTGAAATAGAGATTTGTTTGACCTAATTACGGAATTTACCAATTATTCACATAATCGAATATGTTATGAACATATATTTGGTATATAATAATACCAAATTCGATCCATGTGTGGAGTCTATATTTTCATTTTACAATCCCTATGAAAATATTGTGGTACAATCTATTATTCATTATTTCCAAAATTGCTTGCAGAATTAAATTTTTAAATATTTAGAAGTGTCAAACCTTATTTAACTCATCTCATCATAAAATCTTAAAATGTCGTCTATTATAAGGATCATAACTTTCTATCATATAATACATTACTTTTAACCCGCCGCCTACTATAAATATATTAAACATATCTTTTTAGAAAATTAAATTAGTATTTATAATTTTTTTATCTTTTTAATCTATTAAATATTTATGATATTCTTTAATATATTAAATTAAACTTTTTTTAAATGTTCCAAATTAAAATCTTTAAAATTTTTATTGTAGTATGTAAAATTATGAATTTAAATATATATATATATATATATGAAATTAAATATAAATATTCAAATAGTTATAAGGATCATAACTCATTTCTTCATATAATACATTATATTGAACCCGCCGCCTATTATAAATATTTGTTTCAAAAAATCAAATTAGAATATTTATATTTCTTAACTTTTTGATCTATTAAGTATTGATGATATTAAAAAAGGAATATATTACTCAAATATGAATTTTTGACCCGTTAAATTTGTTTTTTCATACATTGAACAATTTATATTCGTTTTTAAAAATTCAAATATTTGTATATGCGGAAAAAATTACTTTTTTTTTATTATGTAGATGATATAATAATTTATTTATTTTATTGAAATAGAATAATATAAAGATGAGAGGTGAAGTATAATGATTAATAACAAATTAATGTGATAAGTTAGATATCAAATCTTATATGTTCATTTTGATTGGTCATTCTTTAAAAAAAAATTAATAATAGATTTTCGTTTTTATAATTAAATTAAATTAATTAAATTGCATAAAATAGTATTTGACTTGTTTATCCTTAATGAATTGAATTAATTTACTCTATAAAATTTTATTTCTAATGGCATTTTTAAGTAAATTTTTACAAAAGGGAAGGTTAGTTAAGGGTATCTTATAAAGTGTACTCCCCAAATAATAGTATAGGATATTTGTTTCAAAAAATCAAATTAGAATATTTATATTTCTTAACTTTTTGATCTATTAAGTATTGATGATATTAAAAAAGGAATATATTACTCAAATATGAATTTTTGACCCGTTAAATTTGTTTTTTCATACATTGAACAATTTATATTCGTTTTTAAAAATTCAAATATTTGTATATGCGGAAAAAAATTACTTTTTTTTATTATGTAGATGATATAATAATTTATTTATTTTATTGAAATAGAATAATATAAAGATGAGAGGTGAAGTATAATGATTAATAACAAATTAATGTGATAAGTTAGATATCAAATCTTATATGTTCATTTTGATTGGTCATTCTTTAAAAAAAAATTAATAATAGATTTTCGTTTTTATAATTAAATTAAATTAATTAAATTGCATAAAATAGTATTTGACTTGTTTATCCTTAATGAATTGAATTAATTTACTCTATAAAATTTTATTTCTAATGGCATTTTTAAGTAAATTTTTACAAAAGGGAAGGTTAGTTAAGGGTATCTTATAAAGTGTACTCCCCAAATAATAGTATAGGATTTTAATATCAAACTAATTTAGCTTTAACCCTTAATAAAACTTTTTTAAGAAAAATAGACGGTTAAATATTTTTGATACTGAAACAAACTGTTTTCTTTTCATATTTACTTATAAATCAGTTTGGTAATATTTTTTACAAAAAATTTCATTCTGATCCTTATAATAATAGTAATTTAAAAAAAAAAATCAACGTAGCTATCCGAAATTAAATATTTTTAATCAGCCGGAGGCGAAAAGGTCTCTAGCTCCAGCTAAACTCCAAGGGGAAAGAGGAAAGAGGAGAGAGAGAGATTCAATTATATGCAGAAGAAAGAGCTAATTGGTTCTCTCTCTCTCTCTCTCTCTCTCTGTCTCTGATTGATTGATCCAGCGATTCGTCTGGCTGGCTCGGTTTCCGCGGGAAAACCTTCTTCGTTGACCTTACACGAGTTTTGTTGATTCGGCAAGGGGATCGACGACGAAGATGGCGATTCTGTACGCACTCGTGGCTCGTGGCACGGTGGTTCTTTCTGAGTTCACCGCCACGTCTACGAATGCTAGCACCATCGCCAAACAGATCCTCGAGAAGGTTCCTGGAAACAACGACAGCAACGTTTCCTACTCTCAGGATCGTTACGTCTTCCACGTTAAACGCACCGATGGTCTCACCGTTCTCTGTATGGCCGAAGAAACCGCCGGAAGTACGTCCTCCTATCTCCCCTTCTTTTACTTTTGCCCCTCTATGTTTTCGATTTGCTCTGAAATTACTATTTTCCTGAATCTTGAGCTGGTTTTTATGGCTAATTATGAGCAAGTTTCGATCTTTGGTGACAGTGGAATTCAAAAGTCTAATCCTTTTTTGCTCTGAATGATCACTCTGTTGTTGATTTCGAAACCTTTTTGTCTTATATCATGATGTATGTGAGTATGTCATATGTGAATGAATTTAATCTTTGTGGACATAACATCAACACAATTTTATCCGAGAAGCTGTGCATTAGAGAGATGTGGATGTCTTCTAACTCAAAAGTCAAAACTTTTATATGTCAGGGAGAATTCCTTTTGCCTTTCTGGAGGATATTCACCAGAGATTCGTACGGACTTATGGCAGGGCTGTTCATACAGCACAAGCTTATGCTATGAATGAGGAATTCTCTAGAGTTCTCAGTCAGCAGATTGAGTATTACTCTAATGATCCTAATGCCGATAGGATTAATCGTATTAAGGGTGAAATGAATCAGGTGTGATGAGTTTCTCTTACAAGTTCAATCTGATTGTGAATTTGTATAGAAACTTGGTTCTGACTCTTGGCGTCACTGTTTGACAATACTTCTCGGTTTTTCTTTTCTGTTTTGGACAGGTGCGGGGCGTCATGATTGAGAACATTGACAAAGTTTTAGATAGAGGTGAACGTTTGGAGCTTCTTGTCGATAAAACCGCCAATATGCAGGGGAATACATTCCGCTTCAGAAAGCAAGCTCGTCGTTTTAGAAGCAACGTCTGGTGGAGAAATTGCAAGCTCACGTATGTTTCCTAAAACCTTTAACATGTTTTGTAGGTTGTCCATGAAATTGAACAATTTGCAGTATTAGTGATTGCAAGACTGTATATTTAAACTAGTTTCTGGCAAGTGAAGTGCTTTAATCACCACCAAGTTCCACATTTGTAATGTCAAGTATCAAGTGAGAATTTTTCAATAATCGAACATCGTTTCTTAACCCTTGTTTGTGTCTTGCAGGGTCCTCTTAATACTACTACTACTGGTGATCATATACATCGCAGTGGCCTTTCTCTGCCACGGACCTACTCTACCATCTTGCATTTAAGTGCATCTGTCCCTCAAGGAATCCATCCCGATTCTGCGTGTTGCCACAACTTTTTTTCTCCTCATCTGATTGTAAACATTCTGTTTCCTCGAGCTTTTTAAAAAAGCTTATGTTTTCAACTCACGTATATGAAGAAGTATACTTATTTATAGAGCAATGTAAAAGCTCATTGCTTTGCAAAGTGTGTGAATCTTTGTTGTCATCATGTTCTATAAATTACATACATAGTGGAGTCGTGAACAGGCTTGTCTTTTTTTTTGATATGTTCATACAACTCTTTGAATCTTCATGTTCTTTGTTTATGTGACTTCCTCTCTCGTTTATCCACACCAACTTCTGAAGTCGGCAGTTGAATGACCCTACAAATTCTTGTCATTTTACAGTTTGAAGCCATTTGTTGATCATAATCGAATGTAAAATATTAGAAAAGAAAGATAGGAGAACAAGATACTACAAGTGTCAAAATCGTTGTCCCAAAATAAAATATGGGTATCATCACTAGTTAAGGCCAGACGCATATCATTCACCAACTTGACATCTTGTCATGCCACCTAATAATAGCTATATAAATAAGTTGTATTAGGTGTGGATTATATATCTTGGAATAATATACGTTTAAGACTTTAAAAGGATTTAACCTTTTATTTATACAATAGCAACATATTAAGATAAAATTTTGTTTTTTTTTAATCAACATCCTGATTACTAATTAAAAAGATGGAATGTACCCCAATGGGCCCAATCCCCAATATACGTGAGCAAAATACTAAAATGTTTTGTTGAACAAAAAAAAACTAGAATGTTTACTGTTTTTACAAATTTCTGACGTCAAAAAAACGTGGACTTTACGGTTTAAATATCGTTGCAGAAAAAGAAGAAAAGAAAAAGACGGCTAGATTACGCCTCCAAAAATTCTACAGTCCAATTAAAGTCATCACAAAATAATATTTATTAAAAACATGATTATTTACTTTCCTTACAAAAAAAAAAAAAAAAAAGTGTTTTATTTTTCCTTGTCTAACGCTTTCCCTCTGCGTCCCCGTTCCTTCCCTCGCGGTTACTCCTCCGTTTTATGTTTTTTCTGAGATGGTCAATTTTCTCGTCATCTCTGAATTTTCCCTTTTCCTCTTCTTCACTCCACCGCCTTCATCTTCCTGATCTAATTCAATCTCCTTCCTAGCTCAAAGATTCAAATTTGAAGTCAATTTACACGAGCAGATCTCTGCACTCTAACTCCTGGATCTTCTTCATTTCTGGGTTTCAATTTAGAGTTTTTATTTAATGGGTTGGAGATACAAAGCTGGTCTCTTCTTGATTGGCACTGTTGTTATCATATGGGTCACCTCTGCTGAAGTCACTCAGGTACTGATTCATTGTCTCTTTAATTCTTCCTTTTTCCGTTTAAAGCTTTCATCTTTTGAGGTTATGAATGTTTAATTTGGATCCAATTCCATTAGGCTTGTTTTCAATCCTGGTCTTCGAGCTTTAAATTATCGGTTTGAGTTTGATTCTATATTAAGAATCGATGAATCAAATGGGAAATGCAAATTCAGATCTCTGTTTAAACGTTGGATAATTTATTGAATGATTTGACTTCAATTTGACCAGGATATCTTTACAGCCTATAAGCAGCCATTTGCAGTCACATATCTTGGAGCTTCTCTTATGATTGTTTACCTTCCCGTTGCATTCCTCAAAGACTGGCTTTGTCGATATTTAGATCGACGCTCTTCCAAATCCAGTAAAGTTCCCGCTTTGACTGATGAGTCTTCTGTTGGTTCTCCGTTGAGGCACAAAATCATTGAAATGGGACTTCAAGGGACTATAACTAAGAAAGATAGTGAGGAACACCTTTCCTCACATGAAGAAGATGAGAGACCCTTGATCGGTAAAGTTAGAGAAGAAGTGCAGACTCTGAAACATCGGAAAGAGATCACGACTAAGCAGATTGCAATGTACGGGCTTTACCTCGCACCAATTTGGTTTGTAACAGAGGTGAGTTTTTGTTGATATTTGTATAGTTTTGATGGTGCCTGAAAGTGTCCTCTTTTAACCCTTGGTAATGATACTTGTTTGCTACTTTTTGATGATACAGTATCTGTCCAATGCTGCTCTTGCTCGTACAAGTGTGGCAAGCACCACTGTATTGTCTTCAACCTCGGGACTGTTTACTCTTTTCATTGGTGTATTTTTGGGCCAAGATACTTTAAACTTGTCAAAAGTAGTTGCTGTATTTGTCAGCATGGCTGGGGTGGTCATGACGACGCTCGGGAAAACTTGGGCTGCTGATGAGTCGCAATTAAATTCTTCACTGTAAGTTTTTCATTCTAACCCGTTCACCATGCATCTTTTTCTGATATGTATTCAAAAGCTAACCCTGGACTGCATTTTAGATTGATAGTTCAATTTGTCTCATTCTCATAGAATTTCTTGATTACATGAGTTTTCGAATTTCATCAACCATATTCTTTTAACGTACAGTTGATATTTGTGTTTAGCAACGGGGAACGGTCCCTTATGGGAGATCTTTTTGGGCTTCTCTCTGCGGTCTCTTATGGACTATTTACAGGTTAGAAATGATTTGTATTATATGATCATCCTTCAATGATTTAGAGATTTAGTGTGTTGGGGAGGATAATAACCTTGTGGCCTGTACCCTTCTGATATTGACAAACAGTGCTTCTTAAGAAGTTTGCCGGTGAAGAAGGAGAAGGGGTTGATGTGCAAAAGTTGTTTGGATACATAGGATTGTTCACACTTGTTGCTCTCTGGTGGCTTGGTATACTAATATCTCTCATTCAATTTTACAAGTCTATCATCCGAGAAACATAGCATATGAGACACGGAAATGTTGTCTCTTATTCAAAAGTTTGGTTTTTTGGTTGTTTGTTTCAGTGTGGCCGTTGACAGCATTAGGCATCGAACCCAAGTTTACCATACCACACTCTGTGAAAGTTGATGAAGTTGTCTTGGCCAACGGTTTCGTTGGAAGTGTCCTCTCTGACTATTTTTGGTATGTTTCAATGATTTTAGGTTTCAGCTATTACAAGATAAAGTGTACCCAACAATCAATGTTGATATTGATAGCTACAAGTCTGTAGTTAATTGCTTGGCTAGATCCTAGAAAGAGGTGTGTAATTGTTTAGAAAATAACTGGGCTGTTTTTCGTACTTTTGCAACCAAAGGGCACTTTCTGTGGTGTGGACAACTCCGTTAGTAGCAACACTGGGCATGTCTCTCACAATTCCGCTTGCGATGGTTGCTGACATGATGATCCATGGTCGTCATTATTCAGCCATTTACATTCTTGGCTCTACTCAGGTAACTTAAAACTCATATTCTATCAACACCCAGCGAATGAGTAACTTTCCTGATGCTCAAGAATTAGCGTTTGGTTTTTATTTTCAGGTGTTTGCTGGATTCGTAATAGCTAACATATCGGATTTGTTCTCAAAGAAGCTTGGTTTGTAGCACATATGATTCATTTTTGTTTGTTTGTTTGTGGTATTTCTGGGTAGAAAATGTGTCCTAGAAGATGATTCTTGGTTTGAACTGAAAGCTAAAAGGGATTTTCCCTGTTTAATGGATGAAAGAAAGATAAGAATGTGATTACAAGTTTTTGATTCCCATCTCCGGAAAAGAAAGTGCAAACTAGAGAGTTGTTGAGCAAAGATGAGTGATAAATAAATATCAGAGATTGTGCATATAAGATGAAACCGAACTAATAACCTTATTGACACACAGATGAAAGAATTTTTTGATCTTTAAAACTCCATCAACCAATAACCTTATTGACAGAGATGAAAGAACTTCTTATGCTAATGTGTATTTTAAAAAAACAATTAAAAGCCAATAATCGATATTCACGTTTGGTTTAGCGCGAACCTTCTATCTGAATCAGAAGGTTTAGTTCGGATTGTTCTGTTTTCTTCCTCATCTCCTGAAATCGAACGATTATATATATAAAAAAACTCGTCGTTTGGCTTTCGAGGATCTCCGGACGACGACCATGGCGCCGATTCTCAGATCCACTTCCCTTTTCGCTTTGATCGTCTGCCAGATTTCTCTCATCTTCTTATTTGCTTCCACTCTTCCGATCTCATCTGGGTAATCAATCCTCTATAGAGCTTTAATTTTCATTCAATCGTTGCTTTTCGTAGCTGCTATATCTTTTTAGCATTACCCTCTAAGCCCTTTTTCGTGTTTTGGGTTTGATAATTTGTGCAACGTTGATTTGATCTACTTGCTTGACGAATTTACTACTTAAGCTTATACATCCGAGGATATTTGTGCAATATACGAATTTACTGTCTTTGAATTCAGATGTTCAATTCATTCTTTCCTTTTCTTATCTGTTTGATTTTTTTCAGGTCTGAGTCTGAGGATAGTTACACAATCACGGGTAGAGTAAGGATCCCAGCAAGTAGGTTTCAGCCTTTTACCTTTTCTTTCTTTGCCTCATAGTTTTCTCTCGATAGCTCAGTTTGCTATGTTTTTGTTGGTTTATCTGAAACCTCCGTTTCATGGCATTGTTCTAAGGAAAAATACAATTATCTACAACTTATTTCTATTAGTGAATCTGTGATTTTCAATAGCAGATTTGTAGATGTTATTAGTTCTAGCTGTTGTGCAACTTCCACTATGGGTGTGTTTGCTCTTTGAAATTAGTATGTCTTGTGATATTGATGTATATTCGTGGCTTAGCTAGTGTCAGCAAGTGAGAATCTAGGGTATGTATTAGTAATTCGATGTATGAACTTTCTATGTAGTATGCCATCTCTATAAGTCGACTGGCTAAAAGCAGTGTTTGCTTAAGAATATTAGCATATACGTTCTGATATATTCAATTATGTTTTTAAATAAATGTATGGTTTCTATCATCATTGTTTTTGAGTGCTTAAGAATTATTGGCAATGTGATTTAATTGTTTGAGTAGTGTTTTTTGGACAATGTTTTTTCTGTCACTATTGTCTCTTGAGTGCTTCATATTATATCTAATTACATGATACTTCAACCACCATCTCGTATCCATTATGTAATAGCCTCACTACTCTTTTACTGCCAACTTATCTGAAAGTTATTATGGCAGGCACCGTGATTGGTCATGCAGCTAAATTCTCAAATATCAAAGTTATACTCAATGGTGGGCAGCATGTTACTTTCCTCAGGCCGGATGGATACTTTACCTTGTATCCTACTATTCCTTCTTCAAATATTATGTTCCTTTAGTTATATACTCACGATATCTACTAATTGGTTTCTTACTCATCTTTCATATATGTCATCTCACATCTGTAGCTTTTGGTGTAAATGTTTTTAGATATAGTTGAAAAAACTTGACACCGTATTTTCTTGTGAGAACAATAGTATCAGTATGTTTAATCTTCGTTTTCCTTTACTTCTCTAATTTCAAAGCCACAAAGTGCCAGCTGGGACTCATCTGATTGAAGTTTATGCAATGGGCTACTTCTTCTCCCCAGTAAGATCTTTTAGTTGAAATATTCTATTGTTTCCTGAACTACATCTATTTTAAGAACTCGCTTCACATTCTTGAATCAAATATTTTAAATTAGGTGCGAGTTGATGTTAGTGCTCGGCATCGTGGAAAGGTTCAAGCAACACTAACAGAAACCAGGAGGAGTCTTACTGAGCTGGTCTTGGAGCCACTGCGGGCAGAGCAATACTACGAGGTGAATACTTCATACTGTATCTTCTTCTATTTTGTATGTGTTAGTTTTAGCTATATGCATCTTCCTCCTGTTTTCTGATTGATCATGTACTATTTGCAGATGCGAGAACCTTTCTCTGTAATGTCAATTGTGAAAAGTCCAATGGGTCTTATGGTGGGATTCATGGTCGTTGTCGTGTTCTTAATGCCTAAGTTGATGGAAAACATAGGTACACTTCTTTAAACTCTTCACTTGTACCCATGTATTGATAATGTTCATCATTAAACCAATTTGTGGGTCTCGCTCTCTCTAGTAGCTATCAATGCGACAGTAATCAACCTAAGCAGTTCACAATGTACCTAATCTGCCGAGGAATTTACCATTGATTTGCTTTATATATGGATAATCTCTTTTCACAATTGCTTAAATCTCTTCAAGCTATTGTTGACTTGAAACCTAGCAAAACAGATTTTAATGGTTTGCTGAGAATTGTTGGTATGTGTGATAAACAGATCCAGAGGAAATGAAGAGCGCTCAAGAGCAGATGAGAAGCCAAGGAGTGCCTTCACTCACTAGCTTGTTACCCGCTAGCCGCTAAGCGTTAACCAGCAGTCCAAGACACAGGGGTTTTCACTTGTACCAGTTAAAAAATTGCCAGGATAGACTTGGAAGAAAACAGCACCAGCAAATTCCTCAAGCGATCTAACATTGGGTTTACAAAGTTGGTTAGTGTAGAGACTGTTATTGTGCAGAGACCTCTCAGACTGACCTAAAGTGGGATTTTTATTTTTAGTTTATTGATGGTGAATGTTTTGCCCTCTTTTTTTTTTTTGGTATGGAATGTCATAAAATCCTTTAAGAAAGATACACGAATTCTAAAATAAAATTACATGTTTCACAATTTTTATAAAACGTTCAGTGTGTATATGTATTGTTTAGTAATTCCTAAATTTTAAACAAGAAAACAAAATTGGTCTATTACTGAGCATTTTTTTGAAGTAAAAGAATAGCTTCGTGAATATGAGCCCGAAAACTGCTGAGTGAATCAGAGTGTTTTGAAACTGTTCTTGTCACCTGAAATCGGAATCATGTCGGGATAACCGACGACCACAAAGAAACGCTTCCCTTCGCAGTCGAGCAATAAAAAAAGTAATAATTCGAACAAGGAAACATATCTATATCATCTGTTACTTGTTAGATTTGCTTTTCCTTGTTCACTTTCTCGATTTTGAATCTGAGAATTTGTCTGCCTCCGATCGCTCTCCCTCTCGCCGTGGATTGAGATGGAGAGCTTACCAACGACGGTCTCAGCGAAATCAGACCGGCGAGGTAGGCCTTCTAAGTCTCAGAACACCTCCAAGCCCTCTCTTATCTTGGCCTTCTTCTCCTGTCTAGCTTGGCTCTACGTCGCTGGCCGGTACGTCCCCTTTTTCTCCATTTCCGACTGAATTCCTGTGAGTATTCAAATCTCATTGATTCTAGATTTGTTCTTCGGTCGGAATTGAATTGTTTAGAGTTTTGAAGATCGTGATGGTGATGGAACATTGTTTTCATAGTTGTTGATAGATCTCGCAGATGCTACATTCTTCCGTTTTTTCTACATTTTTTCACAGATTTGTTACCAGTCTAGATTTCTATAATTTCAGATATAACTGTATTGCAATGTGTATTTTGGGTTTGAGTTCCATTACAGTAATCTACCAATCCCAGGCTCAAACTCGATCACTGGATCGGTATAAATTGATCCTGATCTCTAATATGGTGTTGTTCTTACGTTTAGGTTGTGGCAAGATGCACAGTACAGAGCAGCACTCAATACTGTGCTTAAGAAGAATTATGATCAGGTTGGTCTTTCTTGTGCCTCTCTTGAATAGAAGAAACCAGTATTCATTCAAACGGGTCACTTTCACTAATCAAATGTTTTGTCTTTTCATCATGTTCTGTGGAGTATATAGAGGCCTAAGGTTCTTACGGTGGAGGACAAGCTGGTAGTCCTTGGATGCAAGTAAGCTGGATTTTTTTCTTGTAACATGTTTTTCTGTTCTGCATGTACTAATACACAATGTAACTGTTTTATAGAGATCTTGAGAGGAGAATTGTTGAAACTGAAATGGAGTTGGCACAGGCAAAGAGTCAAGGCTATCTTAAAAACCAGAAAAGTGTCTCTTCTTCAGGGAAGAAAATGCTTGCTGTTATTGGAGTTTACACAGGTTTTGGAAGTCATTTGAAGCGCAATAAATTTAGAGGCTCTTGGATGCCACGAGGTAGAATTATCACCCTGCTTTGTTTGGTCATCCAACAATGTTTTCTTAAAAAATTTGGTTCAACAAATAAGTTTTCTTTTATGGAATTTTCTTCTCTTTAGATGATGCTCTGAAAAAACTTGAGGAAAGAGGAGTTGTCATACGCTTTGTGATTGGTCGGAGGTTTTCCTACTCACTTTTAGTCTTCATTTCTTTAGAATTTTAAAGTTTTTCATGGTCTAATGTTAATGCTTTATAAATTTCCAGTGCTAACCGAGGTGATAGCCTAGATAGGAAAATTGACGAAGAAAATCGTGCAACTAAAGACTTTTTGATTCTTGTAAGTAAGGATAACTCTTTTGCTTCTTTTCATTGCCTGCTTATTTGAATTTATTCTCACGAATGTGGCTTCCAATATGCATTTTTCTCTCAAAATATGATGGATTATTAGGAGAATCACGAGGAAGCCCAAGAAGAGTTACCAAAGAAAGTGAAGTTCTTCTACAGTGCTGCTGTTCAGAATTGGGATGCAGAGTTTTATGTCAAAGTTGATGACAACGTTGACCTAGATCTTGGTAATACTTCCTCTTTCATGTCTTTGTCTTGCAAAGCTATGTTTGGTCCAATCAGTGTATCAACGATGTCTTTGAGTGACAAATGTTTTCTGTCTAACAGAGGGGATGATTGGGCTTCTTGAAAGCCGTCGTGGTCAAGATGGTGCTTACATTGGGTGCATGAAATCTGGAGATGTGATTACTGAAGAGTTCGTATATTCTCAACTATCTTCATTTCACATAATTGAGACTTCCTAGCTGGGACAATTTCCCAAAAGTTTCATAATTAACATTCTCATTCTCATATTCTATGGATTGTTTCTTGGTATTCAGGGGAAGTCAATGGTATGAGCCTGAGTGGTGGAAATTTGGGGACGACAAATCGTAAGTGTCTTATACCTCATAAGCCTTCTAGTTTATGTCAAGCCTTTGTGACCTTCGTTGTGTGTACTCAGTTTTTTTGTTCGATTTATTTAGGTATTTCCGTCATGCAACTGGTTCGCTGGTAATACTCTCCAAGAATCTGGCTCAGTATGTCAATATTAACAGGTTAGGTTTCACAATTTCGCAGAAGATTGAGTCAGATGAAGAGTATATATGTCAAACAAAGCTTGGTTCATAATCATTGTATATTTTCTGCCACGGTGTATATATATAAATGCAGTGGATTGTTGAAGACATATGCGTTTGATGATACCACCATTGGATCATGGATGATTGGCGTCCAGGCAACATATATAGACGACAATCGCCTTTGCTGCAGCAGCACAAGACAAGGTGTGAATACTACTCTCTCACAGAAACTGTTAACATGGTTAACTGAAGAATATTTTGGTTTTGCGATATTAATATTAGAACACGAATCATTGTCTTAGCAGCTTCTTGTTAAATTTATAACCAATGTAAATATGTTCACTTCGCAGAAAAAGTGTGTTCCATGGCATGATCAATGCATAGCTGATCCTCTTGTCCCAGAGCAAAGACGGCGGTTTCTCATTGCATTCATGGTGCTCCGATACTCTTTTGAGGCAAATTCTTGGACCGGATACTGAATTTATGATTAGTTTTGTTAGAATGGGAGTATGATTAGGCCATTCATTACAGTTTATGATTAGGGCATGCATATCCCTTGAGCTTTGGAGTAAGAAAATGGGGGAATGGTATAGTTGTGAATGAAGTATAATTTTTCCTTTGGTATCACTTCACCATCATTTGTCCATCCATTCTAGCTCAATCTCTGGCAAGGTTTCATGTTCGAACCTTAAGTTTGCATTTTTGGTGATGGTTTTTAAAAATGTGTTAGTTAATGGGACAAAAGAAAATCGACACTTCGGACCAATACTATATATGAAGAAAAATAAAAGACATTATGCCTAATTAGCTTTGATAATTGATATCGCTGACCAAAAAAAAAAAGGTTTTTGATTTTGGAAGTATTTAACAAGTTCTTGAATTAGTGTTACCGAAAGAAGGTAAGGAAACTAGAGAGAAAACAATTACATTGTAAAAAATACTTATTGAGAATTTTGAGATATTTTACAAGTTATTAAAGTACATCTTTTTATTTGTTGACCGTCTTAAAGCACATCTTATCTGTCTCCAGTAAATTCATTTTTTGGCATTGCGGTCAAAGAATTAGCTTCGACCTTTTTATCAAAACAAAGACAATAATCTTAAACTTTTTATTATTTTCCATACTAAAGGTTTTTCGAAAAGTGAAATAAATCAGTAGATTCTTTATTTTAATTAACTTCCTATAACTGGTAAGAAAAAAAATGTCATAACTATCCCAAAACTTTTCTATTATATAAATTAACCCCAAACGCCTCCCCTACAAATATCCAACATCACATTCGAGCACCCATACTCTCGTAGTGACTACTTTTTCCAAATTTCGTCTTTGATAAAACTCGAAAGATCAAACAATGGCATCAAACGCTTGCAAACTCCTTTGCCTTGTTCTCTTCTTCGCATTCGTTAACCAAGGTATACTTTATATAAAACAATTATATCATAGTTTTCAATTTGCGTATATATTCTTTGTCTTATTATCAAATTTCGTATCCCCAAATCATCTATATGATCAGTGAACACTATAACCTTGTAGTCTCTATATACATTGGATTAAAGCTTAACGTTATATTTAGAACATATCCACATTATGTAATTTAATTAATATTTTATTTTCTTGTTATTAGTTATTACATAACCGAAAATAAAAATTTGTTTTTTCTTGGAAATATGGAAGGGTATGGAGATTGTCATCTAAATTACCTATCTGTGAAACAATCGAAGACCGGAAAATTGGTTCAGAACAAACCAGAGTGGGAAGTGAGAGTAACAAACCCTTGCAAATGCAAATTCCAGTACACAACGTTGTCATGTGTCGGTTTCCAATCGGTTACACCCGTCGCTACCTCGTTGTTGTCGAAATCCGGTGACTTGTGTCTCCTCAACGCCGGTAAATTCATCTTTCCACACGTGGATTTCGTTTTCAAATACGTTTGGGACACGAGCTTCGACCTCAAGGTTATCGACGGCGTAATCGTTTGTCCTTAAATTTTCTAGCCGAATTGTTTCGGTTTAATTCGGTTTTGGTTCATGTTAGGTAGGTCACATGAAACTGATGATATTTACTCAAATGTTGTCCCAAACATTAGCTTAAGGATTAATAAAGATGTTTGCTTCAGTATGAGTTCACATTATGTTGGCCAAATGAAAAATATAAAGCTTGACCTAATATAATAAATTTGTTCAAAAAATAATTTGATGTTAAATGTCTGCTTTAAGTGATAGAAAAAGATAAAATATAAGAAAATTGTGATTTTTACAAATTATATGAGAGAAATAAATTAAAAATAATGAAAATATCATATCAAAAAAAAAAACTGGCCGTGAAGTGACCTTAGTCTAGTGGCAGATGATAAGTCCACTGATGGACAGGCACCATCACACCAGGGATCGAGTCCCGCTCCTTACAATTTGTAGGGATTAGGCTAATGGGCCGGCCAGTTGTGGCCCAAAGTTGACAAAAAAAAAAAAAAAAAAAAAAAACTGGCCACATTACAAAAGAATAGAGCACTTACAATTGATTAATTAAAAATAATCAATGTTTAAAAACAAAAGATATGTATCAACTTGAGAGATAACATGTGGTAATTCCTCATAGACTCTTTTTTTCTTTTGTTCACAACTTCCTTAGATTAATTAAACATGGATTCTTGTTAGTTTTTTTTTTTAAAGTATCATAAAAGATAGACCCAATGCCTCCCTATATATACTAGAATCACAAAACTCATATTTACAACATTTTCTAAAATCCCTAATAGATTATCCAAAGATCAGACAATGGCAACAAACGTCGCTTGGAAATTCCTTTGCCTCGTTCTCTTCTTTGCCTTTGTCACCCAAGGTATATATATGTTATATATCAGTGAATATTTTATTCATATTATTTTCACCTAATTTTGTTAATTATAAACAATAATTTTATTTTTCTTTGGAATAAGGGTATGGGGATGATTTTTATTCTCTCAAGAGCCTATTTGTGAGACAATCGAAGACCGGAAAAATGGTTGATAACAAACCGGAGTGGGAAGTGAAAGTGCTGAATTCTAGTCCCTGCTCTTTCGGTCAGACAAAGTTGTCTTGTGTCGGTTTCCAATCGGTCACACCCATCGACAGTAAGGTGGTATCTAAATCCGGTGACACGTGTCTCCTCGCCGACGGCGGCTATATCCATGATTTCAGTTTCAAATACGTATGGGACACAAGCTTCGACCTCAAGGTCATATACGGCGAAATCGGTTGCTCTTAAACTCGAAATGATCTGCTATTGCTTCATGTTATTTTAGTTACTTTGGCATATGTAGTTGGTGATTTTTTGCTTAAAAAAATTGTCCATTTCATTTGCTTGAGATTAATAAAGATTAATAAGTATTTTTCAAAAAAAAGTTTGCTATTTAATTGCATGAGATGAAAAAGAACATTGCAGTGTATTTCACTTTTTTCATGCACATTGCACAAGTTGGAGACTAAAGAAAACAAAATGAACCAGAAATTGAATATAACCAAGAATTAGAACCGGGTAGTAAAACTTGAGAAAACATCCGAACGTTACGTGATCATCGACATGTTAGCAAAGAGAGAAAACACCTCCCAATAGTGTAAAACTCATTTAAGAAGAAATTGAATTCTTGGAGAAAAAGATTAGTAATACATGTATTAATATTAAGAAAATAAGTCTTTAAAACGGTTTCAATAAAAGAAAGAATAATATTTTCTGTGTATAATTAATGTTTATATTAAATTAAGTGTTAAAAATTAATATTTTGGAGCTGGGTTTTAATATTTCGGATTTTAAAATTTACTTTTTTAGATTTGGGATTTCAATTTTAAATTGAGGATTGAAATTTATATTATATTAGTATTAACTTATTATTGAATTATACATTAATTTCTTAGTCTCATACTAAGTAATGAAGTAAATACGCTGTGAAATGGTGTAGGAAAATTGTGATTCTTACAAATTACATGAAAGAAATAAATTAAAAAATATTTAAAATATCAAAAAAAAAGACCACATTACAAAAGAATAGAGCACTTACAATTGATTAATTAAAAATAATCAATGTTTAAAAACAAAAGATATGCATCAACTTGAGAGATAAAATGTGGCAATTTCTCATAGATTCTTTATTTTATTTTTCACAACTTCCTTATATTAATTAAACATAGATTATTATTATTAGATTTTTAAAAAAATCAATACAATAAAAACAGCAGAAGTTTCTCCAGTGCTGACACCTCAGCTTTTTGAAGTGTTCTGGAGGTGACACCTCAGTTAAAATCAATACCCAATCAGAACATTTCAAATAATACAGCTCATGTTTTTCTTCCAATAACATCATTCTATTTTTCCACCTCACTATCTTTCAAGTTTAGATCCAACAAAAGTAAAAGCCCACTTAATAACCCACTTAGTTGATAAAAAAAAACTAAAAAACATCTTTCCAGCCCAATTCTCTTTCCAGCCCAAATTCTGCAATGATATGTTCTCTAAGATGTTAGCATTTTAATATTTCGGGTTAGAGATTTGTGTAAATGAGAAGTGGGAAAATGATCGGAGGAAAATAAAAACTTTGTAAGTAATATATAAGTAAGAAAGAGAAATGTAGCATGTGTAGGAATGAGCTTATATATATACATATATAGCTACACATTGATTGGTCGTCCTCTATATGTTCTATAATATTTGACCAAAAATAAAATTGAGCAGCGTTGCACCCAACCCACGTTGAAGCTCGCAATGATATACCAAAACGCTGAGGCTATGGAGGATTACTGGCCGAAAACGCTGCACCCAACCCACGTTGAAGCTCGCAATTTGGGTTTGTGACTTGGTCCGTCATGGCCAAAAACGCCACCGTGGATGTTAGATTGGCGATCGAGGAAGTACGGCGGAGCAATCTGTGTTTGCTTGGTCGAAAGCCAAGTGGCGAGATTGCATTGGTGATTAAGGAGAACAGTAAATGCGCAGAGCTTAAACCTATCGGAAGTTTGTTGGTTTTGCCGGAATCATCGACGAGAGCTTCGGTTTTGGTGATTCAGCAGACAGCAGTACAACGACACCGGAACAGCTCCGGTCTGGCTTTAGCTGGGACGGATAAAGACTCTAAATGAATCAGTGGCTAACGAGTACGCTACGGTTAGGTTCAGGGGAATGGTTTACCATAGGTAGTGATAAATTGGTTAACGACTACGGTTTAATCAAATAACTGGACTGTGTTCTCACTGTATCATCTTTTTATATTAACTGGATTGACTACAAAATATTTTTCTTTTGAAAATAAATGGTTAAATTTGTTGTTGATATTACTATATTAGGTTTACGGTGAAAGGCTAAATACTCCCAAATTGACATTGAATTGATTGTACAAGGAAAAAATGCATGGTTGATCATAATCATGGATCTATAAAAAAATATTTGTCCTTCGTATCTATATAATTTTTAGTAGTTAATAACAAACTACACCTCTTAAAAGTTAATATTTAAAGAATTTCATTAATCCATTATATCAGAACTATGCCTAATAAAATTTAGAGCTATGAAGTATTAATATTAAAATAATATTTTTATTGGGCTATACAATATAACGAACACAAATACACAAAAAAAAAACTCTGGCGTAACTAATTGTAAAAAACAATATCTTAAGAAATAAAAAAGATAGTTAATATTTTTAGTACGAATCAAATTATGGTTACGTATCATGAATATCTTTAATAGAAATAATTTAGGTTTTTGAAATATAGTAGTCACTGACAAATACTTACATATAGGACAATATAAAGACAAATTTAACATTTGTAAAACATTATACATATACTAAAAACATAAAATAAAAATAATTAAATGCAGAGATTGACTATAAGGTACATTTCTTTTGTAAAAATATTATATAAAAGGTATTTGTTAATATATAGATATATAATAGAATAATAAAATAAAAATTACTAAAACATGAACAAAAGTAAAATACCAAATTCGAGAAACCTTTTAAATTTCTACATATTATTACTTATATTAGAACAAAATTAATTTACAAACAAAGATTCCACGGTGTAGCAACAATTATTTATAGTTTTTTTGGTCGCTTCTATGTATCGCTCTGACTTGTAGACGGACATGGTTTATATCTCTTGCTATGAGCTTACAAAACATGGGTGAAAAAGCTGGTGTTGCTTTCACATTTTGCGGAGATTTACATTTTGAATTGGGATGAAAAGAACAAAACTTTTGAGGTTTGTTTGAATTGCTATTGTTGTTTTCAATCATCCTTGTTTAATTTTTGCTATATGTTTTTTTTTTATTCTTGGAGTCATCCTTATTATGATATTAAAGTGATTAACTTTACAAAATCCAAGAACAAGTATAATTTGAAGAAGGATTTTATTTTATATTAAAAATTATGGTATACATAAATTATGAAGTTATCATTTTAACTAATTATTGTGATTTAATGGTTAATTTTTTTTTAAAAATGAAAGACTATGTTAAATATTTTCAATGCTATTCAAATTATGTGTGTGTACTATGAATAACTTTAATAGAAAAAGTCTATGGTTTTTAAATTATAATAGTCGATGATAAATATATACATATATTACAATATATATATAAACCAAACATTTATAAGAAAATACTTATATTAAACTTCTACCAATCATACTCGTATTACAAAATTAATAGGTTGCTTCCCACAAGATTGTGTTTCGATACCAAATCAATTTCTCCGTTTTAAATGAAGGTGATCTCACGTTGGATCAAACGCTTGTTCTACTCTGTTTCAAGAACACTTAATGGTAGATATAAGTTCAGAGAAAGACAAGAAGAAATTTGCGATTCCAATGCTCTTTTCTCTTATAATCTCTTACATCTTGGGAGGTAAACAAGACTTTATGATCGTCTGCTTAACCTGGATTAGGACAATTGCAGTGTTGCATAATTAATATAATTTTGAGCTTAGCTAAAAAAAGTAACTTTGAACGATGTGTGAAACATATGAAACATATTCACCTTGGTAATAATGAAAGTAAAGTAAATAAAGTAACATCCAATAGCGAGGAAGTATATGTGTTTTACATATTTAAATGATTTTGTTAGAATTCTCTCTATGAGTTTAATTACAAAATTTACAATCCTTATCTTTCTTCATTGGTTTAGTTTGCATCATAAGAGAACTATCTCATTGAAAATATACGCTATTAACTTTATGATAAATTAGTTTATGAACCACATCCTTAAATGATAATTAAGTCATGTTAATACATTCACTATGTTTGATTTAATTGTGATTACAAATAATATGATTTAATTATTATAAATCATATTTATATTAAATAAAAAATTTTAAAAAATACCCCGCAGCGTAGCGCGGGTTTCGACCTAGTTATTATAAAAGATAGACCCAATGCCTCCGTATAAATACTAGAATTACAATTGAAACTCATATTTACAACATTTTCTAAAATCTCTAAAGATAATCCAAAGATCAGACAATGGCAACAAACGCTTGCAAGTTCCTTTACCTCGTTCTCTTAGTCGCCTTTGTCACCCAAGGTATATCTATATCTATGAATATTTTATTCAAATTATTTCACCTAATTTTGTTAATTATAAACAATAATTTTATTTTTCTTTGGAATAAGGGTATGGGGATGATTTTTATTCTCTCAAGAGCCTATTTGTGAGACAATCGAAGACCGGAAAAATGGTTAATAACAAACCGGAGTGGGAAGTGAAAGTGCTGAATTCTAGTCCCTGCTATTTCACTGATACAAAGTTGTCTTGTGTCGGTTTCCAATCGGTTACACCCATCGACAGTAAGGTGATATCAAAATCCGGTGACACGTGTCTCCTCGCCAACGGTGTCCCTATCCATGATTTCAGTTTCAAATACGTATGGGACACAAGCTTCGACCTCAACGTCATCGACGGCCAAATCGCTTGCTCTTAAACTCGAAATGATCTGCTATTGCTTCATGTTATTTCAGTTACTTTGGCATATGTAGTTGATGAATTTTTTTCTTTAAAAAAAATTGTCCATTTCATTTGCTTGACATAAATAAAGATTAATAAGTTTTTGTCGAAAAAACAAATTTGCGATTTAATTGCATGAGATAAAAAAGAACATTGCATGCAGTGTATTTCACTTTTTTCTATCACAAGTTGGAGACTGAAGAAAACAAAATGAACCAGAAATTGATTATAACCAAGAATTATAACCAAGTAATAAAAACTTGAGAAATCATATGGGTTTTTGGATATTAGATTCAAATACTATAGATGCAAACACACAAACGTTACGTGATCATCTTCATGTTAGCAAAGAGAGAGAACACCTCCCAATAGTGTAAAACTCATTTGAGAAGAAAATCAGTTCTTACAGAAAAGATTAGTAATAGATTAATGGGTTAATATTTAAAACGGTTTAAATCAAAGAAATAAGAAATTCAGTATTTTTGGGTTTAATTTTTATATTAAGTGTTAAAAATGGAGTAATGTTTTGGAGCTGGGCTTTAATATTCCTTTTTCCGGCTAAATTATGTTTCTCTATTTTTGTGAAACCAAGAAACGTATCTAGATAATTAAGACAGCAAGAGATGATTAAACATATGCGATGGATATATAAACTCATCTCTAGTTCTCCATCACTAAAAAAACACTAATAACAAAACCAATGGCGTTTGCTCTTAAATGTTTTGTTGTTTTTCTTCTTCTCTCTATGGTTTCTCAAGGTAATGTAATCGAAACTCGAACAACCTTTTAGTATGTTGTTTCATGCCTTTTGGTGAATAATCTCAATTTTCAATCATCATCTATTCATCTTGGAGTGTCTAATCCATTTTCAATTAGGACTCATGAGTTTGATCTTTGAATTATATATGAATATATAATCCGCTCAGACTAATTTTTTTAGCAAATTTTGTTTGATCGATTTATTTTCCTTTCAGTTTGATTTCAGTAACGTTTATTTTATATTTGGTTTTCAGAACGTTTTTTTTTTTGTTCGGATACCAATTATAAAGGATATCCATGCATCAATGTTATTATCTTCGTAAGTTACAAAACTAATAAAAAGGAGAATAATGAAACAATAACCGACAGGACTGTGCCGCTGTACTTTTGGTAAGATCCGGATCGGAGCGGTGAGGACAGGGAGAGAAATCGCCGGACAGCCGGAGTGGAAAGTGACGGTAACCAACACGTGCAATTGTTTTCAGAAGCACGTGACTCTGTCTTGCGGAGGGTTTGCTCCTGCGAAGCCTGTCAAGCCATGGCTGCTTCAGCCACAAGGAAACACGTGTCTTCTGATTAAAGGAGCATCTTTGCCAGCTGGCTCCACCGCTCAGTTCACTTACGCCGGCCAGCCTTACATCTTCAGACCCGTTGGTTCCAAGGTCGACCCAAGTTGCAAGAATTGATTTTTTTTTTTGCTGTTACAGCTTCTTTAAAACATTTGTGGGTAAGGTTATCAGAATTCTTGTAACTCAAGGAAGAAACGTTTTAATTTCTTATTCTCCAAGAAACTGAATTATGACTCCTTGTGTGAAACAGAAATGTTAGAAGATTAAGCATGATTAACAGAGGAATTACGTTTGATATCATTTCATTTTCTTCCTCTTCATGTCTTCCACGTCCTCTTCCTCTTCTTCACTTTCGTCCTCTACGTCTTCAGAATCATCTTCAGTTCTATTGGCTTCAGCTTCATCTTCTGCATCCTCTTTTTCTTCCTCACCTCTTTGATCATATTAGAATGTCCCACACAGGGCCGGCTCAAGATATTCGTGGGCCCTTGGACAAATAAAAATGTTTAGGTTAATAAATACAAATTTTCTAGACTATTAGGAATAAATAATATTTTTTGGACCCCTAAACTTAACATTTTTCAAAACATAGGCCCTCTAATTAGTAAAAAATTTTGCTGAAAATTTATGGACCCCTGGGCCCACGCCCCATTGCCCTCCCTCTTAAGCCGGCACTGGTCCCACATTGCTTGGGATTAAGATCTTTGGGTAGTATATAAAGGATGTGACAATCCTTAACTCTTAAGCTAGCTTTTGGGTTAAGTTAGGCCACATTCCTAATATGGTATCAGAGCCCAAGGTTGGCCCAACAAGCAAATTCCCACAAAAATGGTTTCCCACCTATGTGGCCCATATAAGTGGCATGTCTTGTTGTATTTCCGAGATGTTGGGCTTGGGCTGTTTCCCGTTGGACCATTTCCCACCCACATCTCGAGGAGGCCTATTAGAATGTCCCACATTGCTTGGGATTAAGATCTTTAGGTAGTATATAAAGGATGTGACAATCCTTAACTCTTGAGCTAGCTTTTGGGTTAAGTTATGCCACATTCCTAATAGATCATCTTCAATTTGCCCCCTCGCGTTCTTCGTTGTCTTCAATCTTAATTCATCATCTTCATAGCCTTCGCTTGGTTCTTTATTCTCATCTTTAACTTTATTCAAAGAATGGACTGTAGTGACTAGTGATTGTGAAACCAGTTGGTCAATGTATGATCAGTGAAATTATATTAAGTTTTTTTCAGGGTCTTGTGTGAACTCATATCTTGATTGAATTTAATTTAGCATTTAGGGAAGGAAAAATATATGCTTTTCTTAGAAATACAATTTTAATATTTACAAAAAAATTAATATGACTTTTTTTTCTTAAATATCCTCAAATTTTTACCAGTCATCCATTAAATTTGTCACCATACGTATTCTCCAAATTTTACTTAAATCATTTAAATCTTTGAAATCCTTTTATATTCCTAAAATTAGAATATATCCAAATAAATACAAATGATATATTCAATATTGTTTCTTCTTTCCTTTTCTTCTTTTGTTAAGTAGGATATTATGTTTATATATATATTCCTATGAAGTAAAGAATCGTATCTATATATTAATTAAGGCAGCAAGAGATAATCAATGAATATAAATTAGAGACAGGTTTCTCATTCTCTGTCTAACTAAAGACACAAACAATGGCGTTTGCTCTTAAATATTTTGTTGTTTTTTTTCTTTTGTCTATGGTTTCTCAAGGTAATTTAATCGAATCTCTAACGTTTTGTATGTATACCTGAAGTTTCATGCCTTTCTTTTGCTGCATCTATATAAAATCTCAATTGTCAATCATCAGATTTTGGAGTGTCTCTAATTTCAGTTTTCTATTAAACTCGGTTTGATTTTCGATTATTTATGAAAGGTATAATCTGAATGATACTCTTATATGTAATAAATTTTTCGTTTTCTTATAGTAGGATTAAAATACCATTGCAAAATGCATCCATGTTTCAATTATTGTTCTTTTACTAATTAATAAAAGGAGCATGAAACAATAACCCACAGGAATGTGCCGCTGCACTTTCGGCGACATCCAGATCGGGACGGTAAGGACCGGGAGAGAAATCGCCGGACAAGCGGAGTGGAAAGTGACTGTAATCAACACGTGCAAGTGTCTTCAGAAGCACGTGACTCTGTCTTGCGGAGGGTTTGCTCCTGTGAAGCGTGTCGAGCCATGGCTACTGCTCCCACAGGGAAACACGTGTCTTCTGATCAAAGGAGAGGCTTTGCCAGCTGGCGCCTCTGCTGAGTTCAGTTACGCCGGCGAGCCTTACATCTTCAGACCCATAGGTTCGACCGTCGATCCAAGCTGCAAGAATTTGCTGTTATAAAGCTTCTAGATACATTCTTCTATCCAAAAAAAAAAACCTCAAAAATCAGACTATCTGGTTTCTTGTGTTTCAAGTAAACAGAAGTTTTCTTATTGTCCAAGAAACTGAGTTATGATTCCTTTTGTGAAACATGAGTTCCAGACATTAATGTTACAAGATTAAGCATCCAGAGAGGAATAATGAATCTAAGAAGGACAAAACAAACTTATCGTTAATCATAATTATTACCGATATTGAGTGGCACAAGTGTGACATAAAAACTAAACATTCCGTTTGTGTAAAGTTCAATAAAAAACCTCTCATGCGAAGTATTTGTCTGGAAGTAAATTATAAAGCCATTTGGGAGGAATAAAAATTTAATAATAATTAAAAAAAAAAAAAAAAATTATAAAGCCATGACTTGAGATGAAAACAGAGAGCACCTTTCAATGAGCAAAGCAACACCAGGAAGCCTAAATAGGTCTTTCATATGCACATTCTAGTTTATATCAGTACAAAGATTGAAGATTCTATAAAATTTGATGCAACTTGTGAACTCATTTTGTGTTTTCGGGGACAGGCAACACATATGGCCCTTTTTGGTATTAGTTCTCGAGTGACATACGTTACCAGATCCATATTGGGCCTGCAGCAATTTAGGCCTTATAAGCCTAATTGGTTTGAAATCGTGCACTAGCCGGTAAAAGTCTTTTTTAACGGTGAACATATGCTCGACAAAATAAAAACGCTATCTGTTTTCTTTTTGTTAAAAGGCTTTAAAAACGCAATCTTTTCCGCTCTAAAGCTAAACCAATAAGACCATAGTTGACACAATCAAATCTTTTTATGTTACAATTCACACATTGCATTGACTAAATCATACGTTTTTTTTTTTTGAATTTTAATTTTTAAACAAAGGAACATTTATTATGTATTTTTAATTAAATCATACATTTCGCAATCACACCTATTAAGAAAAAGAAAAAGAAAAAAACTCTAATCATTTTGTTTGTCGGAAAAAACTCTAATAATTTATGTAGCTAGCTAAGCAACTCTTTAATAATTAAAAGTTTATGATTTTCCATCTTTCCAGCAAAACAAAACCAAAGACTTTTCTTCGTCTTTCCGAATACAATATTGTTTGCTAATTTGAACAGACAATGTTGTTTTTATATTAAGGAATTTTCTGAAACATTATTATTTTAATTTGTGGATTAGGGTTCACTCCACCTATACAGATAGAGTCGTGTCGTGAAGCTTCTCTGGCATTTCCACCAAACCATTTTTTGTACGGAAACATTTCTTCTCCTTCTCACGATCGGTCAATAACTTGCTGCTCATAACAATTTCGATTCCTCTGTTTCATCATTTGAACTTCGATTTAAGGGTTCTTGAATTCTCGAATAAAAATCTCACCTTTAAATGGGAAAGCCGACGGCGAAGAAGAAAAATCCGGAGACGCCAAAAGATGCTTCCGGCGGCGGCGGCGGAGGAGGCAAGTCAGGGAAAACTTACCATCGTTCTACTTCGAGGGCATTTGACGAAGATATGGAGATTTTCATTAGCAGAGCACTTGAGCTCAAGGAAGAAGGTAACAAGCTGTTCCAGAAACGCGACCACGAAGGTGCGATGCTGAGTTTCGACAAAGCCTTGAAGCTCTTGCCTAAGGATCATATCGATGTAGCTTATCTAAGAACGAGTATGGCTTCTTGTTATATGCAAATGGGATTAGGTGAGTATCCGAATGCGATTAGCGAATGTAATTTGGCTCTTGAAGCTTCTCCTAGGTACAGTAAGGCTTTAGTGAGACGTTCTCGTTGTTACGAGGCTTTGAATAAGTTAGATTACGCGTTTAGGGATGCTCGTATTGTTTTGAATATGGAGCCGGAAAATGTGTCTGCAAATGAAATCTTTGATAGGGTGAAGAAGGTGTTGGTGGATAAAGGTGTTGATGTGGATGAAATGGAGAAGAACTTTGTTGATGTGCAGCCTGTTGGCGCTGCTCGTTTGAAGAAGATTGTTAAGGAGAGGTTGAGGAAGAATAAGAAGAAGAAGAAGAAGAGTGGTGGGAAGGATGAGGAACTGAAGAGCAACAACAGAGGTGTTGTTGAGAGTCCAAAGGTTGTTGTTGACAAGGGAGACGAAGCAGAGAGCAAAAATAAGCCGAAGGAGGAAAAGAGCGATAAGTCTGAGATTGATGGAAAGGTTGGTGGCAATAGAGAAGAAAAGAAAACAAGTTTTAAGGGTGATAAAGGACAGAAAAAGAAAAGTGGTAGTAAGAAGGCAGGAGAAGAGAGGAAGGTGGAGGATAAGGTCGTTGTTATGGACAAAGAGGTCATTGCTTCCGAGATTGTTGAAGGAGGAGGAAGCACAAAAGGAGGGGCAACGGTTACTAGGACTGTCAAGTTGGTACATGGAGATGATATAAGGTGGGCACAATTGCCGTTGGATTCTACTGTTAGACTTGTAAGAGATGTAATCAGGGATCGGTTTCCTGCTTTAAGGGGTTTCCTCATTAAATATAGGGATACTGAAGGTGACTTGGTAACCATTACCACAACAGATGAGCTGAGGCTAGCTGCTTCTACTCATGATAAACTTGGCTCCCTTAGATTATATATAGCAGAAGTTAACCCCGACCAAGAACCAACCTATGATGGCATGAACAATACTGAATCAACTGACAAGGTTGCTAAGAGATTGAGCAGCCTTGCGGACAATGGAAGTGTCGGAGAATACGTGGAATCTGACAAAGCATCTGCGTGCTTTGAAAACTGGATTTTCCAGTTTGCGCAATTGTTCAAGAACCATGTTGGGTTTGATTCTGATTCGTACTTGGACCTTCATGACCTTGGGATGAAGCTGTATACGGAAGCAATGGAGGATGCTGTCACTGGTGAAGATGCGCAGGAACTCTTTGAAATCGCTGCTGATAAGTTCCAAGAAATGGGTGCACTAGCTTTGTTTAACTGGGGTAACGTCCACATGTCCAAGGCAAGGAAGCAGGTCTGTTTACCCGAGGATGCCTCGAGAGAAGCTATAATAGAAGCAGTTGAGGCTGCATTTGTGTGGACACGGAACGAGTACAACAAAGCTGCAGAGAAATATGAAGAAGCGATTAAGGTTAAACCTGATTTTTACGAAGCTCTTCTAGCACTTGGGCAAGAGCAGTTTGAACAGGCAAAGCTTTGCTGGTATCATGCACTCAAAAGCAAGGTAGACCTAGAAAGTGAGGCTTCCCAAGAGGTCCTGAAGCTCTATAACAAAGCTGAAGATAGTATGGAGAGGGGTATGCAGATCTGGGAAGAGATGGAAGAATGTCGTCTAAATGGAATCTCCAAGTTAGATAAACATAAAAACATGTTGCGGAAGTTGGAGTTGGATGAATTGTTTAGCGAAGCTTCAGAAGAAGAAACTGTGGAGCAGACAGCTAATATGAGTTCTCAGATTAACCTCTTGTGGGGTTCGTTGTTATATGAACGGTCTATTGTGGAGTACAAGCTTGGACTACCAACATGGGATGAATGTTTAGAGGTTGCAGTGGAGAAATTTGAACTAGCTGGAGCTTCTGCAACTGATATAGCTGTGATGATAAAGAATCATTGTTCAAGCGAGAGTGCACTTGAAGGTAATCAATTCTTGGCAAGAATACCAAACTCTGGAGAAGTTACAACCCAATGGTTTTCTGTTAATTTTCTTTTTGCTATGCTGATACGGGTGTGAAATAACAATCTTGTAACAACGCAGGTATGGGATTCAAGATTGATGAAATAGTGCAGGCATGGAATGAGATGTATGATGCCAAGAGATGGCAGATGGGTGTCCCATCTTTCCGGCTAGAACCGATGTTCCGCAGACGAGCCCCGAAACTGCATGATATCTTAGAGAATGTATTTTCAGGGCCTGCTTGACGGAATATTCTTCTCATATACACATAAAAATATCATTTTGTGTATCACTAGGTAAGTAGTCACTCATTTCCGCTTCACATAATCCTGAAAATATGGCAGTCAATAATAATAGTCTTGGGTTGTTAGATTGTCATTGGTTGAATGCTATCATTCTTGTTGTGGAGCATGAATTAGGGATATTAGTTAGATTTATTGCCTTTGAGGTAAAACCATTTGATGAGATTGTTTGCCTCTGGTCTCAAAGATTTCCCTAGAATCGTGATAAGTTATATTATCCTTTGCAATTCTGTATTTGTCCAGTGTTTAATGGCTCTTGTTTGATGGGAGGCTTATCTTTTGTATATACTATTGCAGGTACCTTGTTTATTTGGGAGTGGTGTGCATTATTTCTCCTCTCTATTGGTATGTTTTGTTATTTTTCCAAAGGAATATTTTTTTGGGATATACTCTTGGCCTCTGCGGTTTTGATGTGGTGGCTGAGACATTGGGATTCAGTGCAGAGAAGAAGGTTAGATGGTGCTAATTCTCTTCTCTTCAGATTGATACAAAAATATTGGTTATTTGTTGTTCTTTCTTTTGTTTGGTTTACACCATAGCTCTGTAATCTTTGTTGTTTATTGTTAAGTTGGATTAGCTTCTATGAAATTCGTGATTGTTGTGTGCATGTCTCCGTCACTTTAAAGAAAATCCAGACTCTTTTTCATTTCTTCATAAAGCTAAATACTGTACAGTATATTTTGACCTAATCTCTAAAACTCAATATACAAACGATTTCATGAGCATTTGTCTCTCTCGATTTCTATCTATAGGTTAAAGAGCTTTTCTTTGACTTCGTAGTCTCACATCCCTGACAACTAAATCGAGATTCACTTGTATAGAAGGACAAGAATTAGGAATCAGGAAGTAACAATCTCTTTAAAATTATAGAAAACTTTTGTCAGAAAATTTTGACCATACAGAACATAAGAGAAATTTGAAACTTAGTAATGTAGCATACTAGCATCACATAATGATATCGTTTCATTCTGCAAGAAGAGAAATTTGTGTTGAGAAAGAACAAAAGATTGATTTTAATAACTCAATTACCATTTGTTATGCAATTACCATTTACCATTAGATAACAAAAAAAGGTTCATAGGCCCATCAAACTATACACACATTTATTCAGATTTCTTTCTTACAAAGCAAGCGTGGAGTAATCATCGATCTCTGGGCTCACTCGTATGAACCCAAGAGCCCCAAAAAATAGTCTTCGAGTTTCATCGGTAAGCCCCAAAGAGAACGTTGTTCTTCACGATCAGGAACAGTTCTTAGAACCATTCCATCCATCTGAGAAGTACCGAGACAGTCCCTTGGCAATTGGCTGTGCCATGTCCCTCTCTCTTCGATGCAGAACCCGCAAAAACTCATCCACACTCAAATTCCCATCTCGATTTGAGTCAAACACATGAAACGCAATCTCTATCACATTGTCTGACAATGTTACTCCACATACCTGAGAGGCAGCTCGTTTGAAATCTCTCATTGTAAGTAAACCATTAGCTTTGCCATAAGCAAAAAGCGCTAGAGAAAATGGTCCAAGTTTACTACGTAGCTCATCAAACTGTTTAAATTCCTTCAGTGAGATACGCATGTCCCGGAGATGCGGGTGTTCAGTCAAACTCTCCACTCGATCAAGCAGCTTGCTCAAATGGCTTGCATCAGCCGCTGCCACCATCGACAATGCAAAATCTTTGGCTGATATACTTCCTCTTTGTTTATAGTCATAATGTCCAAACTCCAGCCTCAGCATCTATAAACAACATAAGATCATTCTCTTTCTGCCTGAGCATCTAGGAGTCACACGAGGAAGGAGATATATCAACGGGTTTAAGAGTTACTTACCTCTTCAGTTAGATCTTTCATAAACTTAGTGAATTTATCGTGTTTGAGTTTTTGACTGCCATCTTTTCCAAAGAAGTATTCTACCAAGCCTCCATCCTCGACCGAGCCGGTCATATGTAATCCTGTTCGAAGGCCATCTCTGTGGCCAATTCCTTGTCGATGCTGAGATCGCATCAGACTCATCACTGTCTTAAACTCTTCTTTGTCAATCTCCCTAAAATAAATCATTCATCAGAACCATCTAGAGGAAATATAAGTTACAAAGGATAGAAGCACTGACCAGATTTTTTTACATGATTCAGCGTAAACTCAAAAAGAGACTCCACTGATTCCCACAACCCGTCCGTTTGGAGGATCACAATATGGGAATACGGACCAGAAAAAAAGTTACCAATAGCATGATTTATCTATGTACATATTTGAACGACTACTCACCCGTTGTTGTCAGTATCAAACATTTTGAAAGCCACAGCGAAGCTTGATTCAGGAATGCTGAGTAATGTCACAAAGAATATATACCTGTTCCCAAACAAAAACACCAAGTACTTGAATTCTCCAAAAGAAGAAAATATAAAAGGCGGAAAATAAGTAAAATTATTTGGTTTCAGTAACTCACTCTTTGAAGGATATAAGGCCATCATTATCAACATCAAACAGCATGAAGAACTCGGAAGGAGAGCATCTAAGTTCACCGGGATTTCTCTCTCCAGTCAAATATCCTTCTCTTACTAGATGAGATTCTGATGGAGGAAACACCGGGACAATTGCCCTCATCAAATCTGCTGGTTTCATTAGTATTTCTCCTTTATCTGTTCGAATAGATGCAAAGTACTCGAAAACCTATACCATTAAGAACAAAGCAAACAAATTATTTAAAAAAGGCTATGAACAAATCTTATCAACCAGATCAAATGAACAAAGATAATCATACGAATTCATAACAATATCTAAACAGAAACAGAGAATTCATAATCAATCAATTACAACCATCGAAATAGAAATCCTTGGTATTCAAATGCACCTTTTCAGGAGGACTTTGTAATCTCAAACGCTTCTCGTAATTGAAGAAGATCTTCCTTCTATACGCATCTGTTTTCAAAACCCACACAAAATTAGTTCATTGAGAGAAAAACAAAAATCAATGAAAAAAAAAACGAAGAAGGATCACCGAACCTCCGAAGATGAATCCAGAGCTGTAACCAGGCAACGACAATTTCGGAAGAAACGACCTCGGTTCCAGATCGCCGACTTTTACACCACAAACAGAAGGCGATGAACTATCAGCGAATGACAATAAATTACTCCCACCAAACAAACCAGAGATCGAATCAGAAGAACCAGAGGACCAATACAGAAACCCTAAGGCGGATCCAGCTGTAATCCCGGAGATCCATTTAGCAAGAGAGTCCCCAGAGACGGTACGCTTCAACGGATCGGCGCCGGAAAGAAGAGCCGCAGAAGGAGAAGATTCTGGTAAGGAAGATGAGCTGCCGTGGATCCTGAGTCGTTGGATGAGAAGGAAGGATCGGTCAACGGACGGTAGAGATGATACTGATCTGTAGTGAGATAAGGCGGGCATAATGAATGATCCTCTCTCTTATTTTTCGCAGATTCTTTTGACAACTAACCTTCCTTTAAAGGTTTATTTATAAAAGGATTTATCCAACCAACGACGAAAAACGCGTTTGTTTCTGTTTACTGTTGTAACCAAACACGACATCGTTTTAAAGATTTGAATCCTTTAGATTCGGAACCTTTATCTTTTAGATTGCCTCTATATAGTACTCCCTCTGTCCCATTTTATTAGATGTTTGGACTAAAAGCACAAATATTAAGAAACAATAAATGTTTTCTCATTTATGAAAATTCAACCAATAGAAGAAGATACTACATAATTAAAAACTATTAAAAACCATTAAACTAATATAATTCATACATTGAAAGTAGAGAAAATCTTATATAATGGAACAAATGAAAAGGCCTAAAACATCTTATATATTGGGACAGAGGGAGTATATAACAAGTCAAATTTTAGACTTGCATGCAAATATAAAAATCTAAATTTCGTATCTCATTTCTTGGTGGGGAAGCATAAATAGTTAAAAACATGATTTATAATCTTAAGTGTATATAATACAACAACGTGAAGCTGATCAGAACAAATTTCCTTTTTGTTTTGCCTAATACTATTCTCTCTCTAAAAAGCAGCCTGAGAAAAACATAATAGTGTTCATTGCTCAACGGCTATGTTTCTTAATGGTGGGGAATCGATCTGCCCATCGAGAGTATCCTGTTCCATAATCATACAAGCACAATCAGAGGAAGACTAAAACTTCTTGTGTTTATCGATTTAGAAAGTAAAGAGAAGCCGAGCAAAAAAGTGAGTGTAAAATGAGAGAGAGAGATGTTGAAACCAAACCTGCTTTTATGATTTCAAGAAGATCTGCGGTATCAGACATATCCTGCAATGTTATGCGGCAGTTAACTAAGCAGCAATTCTCTCTACCAATAAAATGAAATTGGAACAAGGACAAGTCACAAGATTATTATACCTGGCCACATGAGGACAAGCTTCTTGCAATGAGCCAGGCCAAACTATCCAAGGAGCTTCTGTTGAAATTAGGTTGTTTGAGTAAAGCATCTTCTGATGTGAAATCAAAGATCAGAGAGCAGATGCTTGCAGCCATCATCACTACCGAATTGTCATTACTCCGATCTGTGACAAAAAGAACAAAGAAATTGACATATTAAACATGGTCTTCGATATCTGTCAAGAAATTAGTAGGCAGATCAGCAGAAGCAATAAAAATCATTTTTACCTGCCCAATATGCCAAAGCTTTCAATAGACTGGAAAATGTTGAAATTTCCGGCGTCAAGCTTATTTGTTCCCTCTGCTCTCAACATTTAAAACGTGTAGTCATTATAGGGATTAGCAATTGGCAAAATGTAATCTGGTCCTATCTTAGGGAAGAGAGTACCTTCAAAAGGATATTCATGATTGTATCACAAGCCAAGAATATGCTTCCATCCTCAACAGTCTCACCACAGCGCTCAATCAATTTTATTAAGCATTCAACGACCTGTATTGAAAAATCAGGCAACTCCTTATAAGATTATATACATGATAAACACCCACTTGAAACACATTTTGGTCAAGCATACTGAAAGATAAAGGAAAACTGTAAATCAGATTTGTTCAAACATAATGTCATCGGTATAAAGAAGGTATAAACCCGAGTAACTCACAGCTATATCGCCTCTTGAATAGGCCAAGAGTTTACATCCTTCTGCATTCATTGTTATTTGGCAAAGCAATGGGAGCAAGAAGCAAGTAGACAAAAACGGTCTGTCAAAACAAAATTGTTCAGACCAAGTTATCCTGGGAGGCATGACGCAAACAAGCTTTGTAAAAGAACCAAATTTTCAAGGCAGGATGCTTCCAAACCTGGATTCATCTTCACCCTCCACTGAAAGCATATAATCCAGAAGATCCTGGACCTGCTCTTTGCATGCAACAGGAGTTTCAGCAAGATAGCTGTTGAAAACAACAAAAAAGTTCAGTCACCGCCAAAGTGGTAAGGATACAATCCATTTCCTTCCATAAGGGGTATTAGTTAGTTTACACAAATTATCATGAAAAAACGATGATACATAAAGACAATTGGTAAATATTTTAAACAAAAACAAATAGAAAGAGAGATTTAAGAAGAAACAAAAAGAGTGATTATCTGTACCTTCCAATCACTCGCACAGATGCAAGAAGGTCATTTCCTTTCTTATTTCCATGATCCTGTATGAAACAGAATTAACATGAAAAACATTTTCAACACAAAAAGACACTCCTAAGGAGTTTGATGTTATCAAATATGTATAGTACCTTTGCATCTTTGAGATACTCGAGCACCACTCCTACTGTCTCATTAAGTATTTTAATCACCTTTTGGAAGACAGCTTCGTCAGTTAGAGTCCCTACAAAGATCAATTCATAAATTCTAATTCGTTCATGTAGGAAAATGGCTGACATGCATTAAGCCAAGCGTAAATATTTATACACTGTTTTTATCAGCGGAGTTAATAGATATTTGAGCAATAACAACTAAAAGCTCTTATGATGTTCATATAATACTGATTTTAGAAATAACATAGAATAACAGAAAGGTGAAAGAAAAGGGATCGAATAGGATAGTCCTGACTACTGATAGTAGATGGGAAACATTAATAAAACATGATTAAGATCTATGTTATACCTTCATTTTCACCAACAGATGATATATATTTGATGATCTTTTCTACCAGTGAAAACACGATGGGTAGATAACGTTGCTTCAAGAGAATGTCTTCAGCAGTTGAATCATTCTTAGGAGCTTCATACTTCTTGTAAGCGAGATCATTTAACAATACAGAAATTTCAACATGTGATGACTCTAATACCAACAGAAGACACCTACAAAAGAAATCAGAATGATGTTTAATCTTTATGTCACTATGAAAATGTAGGTTAAGTGAGAGTGTAATACAAAGATGTTTTATTTACCTATCAGCTGGAAGATCAACATTGGGCAATTTTACCCGGCCGATAAGCCACTTTTCACCCAATATTGACATCATATTCTCAGCCAGAATCAACGCATGAAGCTTTTCAGAAGGTGCTACACATGAAGAAGACAGGTTTCGTAAGTATCTTGAAAGCTTCAATAGCATAAAGGATGTAAGTAAGCACTGTATCAATAGCATATGACCCCAAATTATCTACAAGTCTGTGCTTTTTGTGAAGTACAGATCATGGATACTATTCTGTCATATGTGAAAACAAGAGAGGATTGTTGGCATATAACAAGTAGATGAAATTAAGGGCTGGCAAGAAAAGAATGTCATTTCCAGTGCCCAAAACAAACTACTAATAGATCTCTTTTACTCACCCACACGGTTCTGCAGAATTGCCACAACACCCGTGCGCATATAGTCTGCCCAATTGTTGTCTGGCATGGAACGCAGAGGTTCATGAAGAAGTGCCTAGGCATAAAGAAATTATATGAGAGACATATAAAAAGATAAGTACACAAAACAAAGATGTAGAGCTTCTACAATGGAAACATAACATGCATATGAAATAACATCAAGACAATGAAATACCAGTAACCAGCATGACAACTGTATTTATCCAAGTAAAAGAAAATAAAACTTTAATTTTTCCAATTGTAATGGATAGAAAAATTCAAAAATTTAGCTGCCTTAAATTCACATATATCATGCTAGTACCTACAGCTACTTTTCCGGAGGACGTCAAGAAATAGAAAACTCACAGAATACTCAGACGAGAAGACTGCAGACAGTAGATGGAGTGCTTCAAACTTCAGGGCATTATGCAACACCGCAAACTGCCGTGCAACAGCAGCAACCTGAATACATAAAATAACATTGCGTTTGGATTCCAACTTCAGCACTGCAGCTTTAGTAAATTATTGCAAAAAGAAAACAAAAATGACCAAGTAAGTAGACTCACCACCAAAGACAGTTCTAAGAAGCGTTCAATATTCATACTCTCACCATCAAGCTTACTAACCAATAACTGCAGAATCTTTATAGCAACCTCCATGGCATGTGAACCTGAATAACATGTCTTACATTAGCTCTCAGTGAGAAACTATTATCAAATCCATCTACCTTTTTGATACCAAATATAATCAACCCCCCATCAGAAACTTATTGTTAATCAAAATAGCATTCACTGGAATCTAACGTGCATTATATATACACAACAAAACAATGTAAAACAAATGAATAAGTATTACCATCAGGTAAATCAGATATTTGTGGAGCTATCACTCTCAAGCCTCCAGAGTTAATCAAAGTCATGACACCAGCTTCAGAAGCCGTGGACACCAAATACAGAAGCTCATAGCAATCTTCGAGCATGTTTGTAGTTATTCTGAAATTCCAAAAGCCAATTTCCTAACTTTAGGCAATCATACTGTGCAAAAGTGAAAAAGACACAGAAGCAAAGCTTGAGAAAAAACTTCATGGAAAATCACAGATGCAAGAATCAGGTGATCTAACATACCCTTTGGACATTATTTCGAGAATAAGGGGAATTCTGGAGACCATATCTACTGAAGAAGCTATCTCCGGAACACGGCAGAGTGCAGCAAGAACAGTAACAGATAGCTGCAGATACACATCACGATTTTCAACTCCATCGCCACTGCCAGTACCTGCCAAACAAAATAGCGAAACCAGTCAGAGCAGCAAACTTTAGTATCTCAACTAAAAATTCACACTTTGTAGAAACCTCAAAATTGGTATTAGTTTACTAAGGGAAACAAGACAATAATCAATAATTCGGGGTTTTATTTACCGGTTCGGAGAAGACGGTCGAGAAAGTGAGTACCAACGGCTTCGTAGACCTTGTTGAGGGAAACGATGTCATCGTTCTTGCAGAATTTGGTGACGAGAAGTAGACCGGCGAGCCTCTGCTCGTCTCTCTCCCCTTTCAATAGCTTAAGGCAATCGTCAAGCGACGGAGATCGTTCCTCCTGTGGTGCTGCCATAATCACCCAACTCAAAGAGTAACAAAAGTACGAAGTCGAGAGAAATTAAAACAAAAGCCGTTCGTTCGAGAAGCTGAAGGAAGAAGAAAGAAGTCATTAAGTGCGTTTATAATTTGGGCCAATACCAATGGGCTTTGTTAATGTTACATGTGAAATCATTTAAACTTAACGAAATTGACCTAAACACCCCCACTAAAAAAACTCAAACCAAAATTATCGACATTATAAAAGACTGAACCGAGTAACATCATACACTTGTTCTGTAATACTACAGTTAGTACATTTCAAGCTAGTTTAATTATGATAAATATTTTGCTTGATACATTACAGACGAACATATTGACACTTTACAAGAAAAAGCCCACACTTGATTAAGCGTTCGTTACAAGACGCAAACCACAACAAAACAGATCACTTCCAAAAACTACTATTACGCGGGGCGATACAAACAACAATTCGGACTCCAGGATCCGGTTTTATAGGCTAACCGGTATCACCTATACAAATCAAACTCTGTACGAGCATACAACCTGATGGGTTTCTTTCATATACGGTTCCCTTGAATTCACATGGCAAAGAACCATCCTCTAGTTAGCCGCTATGTCACCTACGATTTCCCGGTCCTGAGTTTGGTTACAAAAGAAGATCTTGACCGGGTTGGTTTAATGAAATTGCGCAATGGGAAAAAGAGAACAGCTCTTGTTTTACCGTTTACGTTTGTTCTTGGTGAGAGTAGATGACGTCGAAGAGTTGCTGTTCCAGTTTCTTTTCCTCTGGTTGATGAACCAATTGTTGATCTGTTTCAACTGCAAACCGGTTTCTTGAACCAGTTTTGCCTTATCTTCCTCCTGCAATTCCAAAACCAAATCAAGAATCAAAACCTGCTCTTGACAGTGTCGTAACAAAACTTCTCGGCCGAGGTTTTTACAGTTGGGTATGGCCATTTCGAGTGAGTTCGCCACCACTCTTTGAGTACAGAAGTCGTATCTCCCGGCAACTTTCCCGCCCTTCTCTTCCTCATTATCTCTTCTCTTATGTCCACAATCTTCTCTTTGAAACCCTACAGGGAAAGAAAAAAAAACTGAGCAACATGATTTAACAATGTGTTTTGTTAAGTTTGATCGAGCAATTACCTGTTTAAGCTCATGCTTCAGTTCTTTCTTCACACGTTCCATCAAAGATCTCTCTCTCTCAGTTGGAACAAGAGGACCAAACCCCATCAAGCAATCTGAACCGTCCAAACTTCCATCAAACATGTTAACCTCGCTCTCTACTTGATTATCATCTTCATCTTCTGACATTGTCTTACCATTACTTTCACTTGGAGAAACTCCTACAAACCAGAACAAAGACAGAGCGATAAAATCAAGACACACATAAAGCGAGAAGACAAAAAAGAAGAAAGAATGATTTGGGAAGTTACCAGTTAGGGATTGCAGTGATTGCTCGATCTCCCAACAAGCCGTAATGGCTTCCATTGCATGGACACAAACGTGGTGTTGGAGTTGTTCTTTAAACGAACATAACAAGACAACATAATGTGACTGCATCATCATAATCAAAGGTAAGATTCCAATCCACAAGACATACAAACAGAACGTTACAAAAAAGGATTATGTTTTCTTTCTCTTGGACAAAAGACATGCAAAGCCCTTTTTAGTAAGAAGGAGAGAAAGTGACAAACTATTAGCCATCAAGAAAAAAGCTTTATCCAACAAATACAAGTTAACCAAAAAAGTAGAAGCAAAGATGATATCAATTTCAAGACTCGAGAAGCAGGAACAATGAACCACACAAAAATATGAATTTGCTACTCATATAAATAAAGAGAATTCAATGGTTGAATCGTTCACAGTTCAAAACATTCAAAGTTTGCAATTGCATGAACCCTATGCAAAATTGGAACTGAAACATACCATGAAATGATCAAGTTCCTTATTATCCACAACCACACCAAGAGTGGAGTATTTCGCGGCGACGGTATGCAACTGACTGAGCTGAGCATCGATCCTCGGAATCTGGTCAACGGGAGTCGCAACCCTAAGGCAAGCCACGTGAGCCGCAAGAAGCTGCTCATACATCGGATGTCTCAAAATCGCCGCCTTATAGCTAGCGCTCCGCCAATCTTCACCTCCAACAACACCGAGTATCGTTTCACCATCGGCGTTGACTCCATCGATAACTTCAGAACGAACTTCTCCAGTATTTTGCATCTCCGTATGAAAGGAGAGCCACCGTGGGTTTGTATCAGCGACGGAATTGTCTCCGTTGCGGTGCGGAGGAGCGAGATCGGAATCCGCAGTGGTTAGGGTGGTAGGGAGGTTGAGGAAACTGGCGGTGACAAGCGAAGGTGTTTCAGAGAAGTGACGCTGCGACGGCGGTTGCTGTGATTGATCGGCGAAGTGTCGGAGAGGAAGGTCTTCTTGTGGAGGAAGGAGGTGGGAGCTGTTAAACGACATTGTTGTCCTGCGTTTTGGGGATCGGAGAAGAGAGATATCTGTTTTTTTCTCTTTCCCCTAGTTATCTCTCTGAAGACCAACAAGTGTGTTTTTTAATTAATCTTGATTTTTATGTTTTTTTTTGGACTCTACTTCTATCTCTTTCTTTAATGTCAACAATAAAGCTGTAACCAAATTGAAACATAAAAGAATTCAACCAAATAACAAAACACTGAAATTCTGTAAATCATAAGTTTGGTGAGCACTGATTGGTTACAAAACTTTTGTTATAGAGTGTAATTTTCTGTCATGGTAAATTTTATTTTAAAATTGATAAAATTTCAGGGATATTTCATTTTTCCACTGGGAATTAACTCTTTTGGATATTTTACTTTATATACTATTTTTTTAATTTATAAATAATCAATTAGGAAAAAATGACAAGGATGATTTTTTACTTAGAAGAATGATAAGTATAATTACCACTAAACTCATTTGTGGATATTTCTAAGACCCAATGATTTTTTTCCTTTTTACATTAAAGAATGCCAATTTTTTTTATCTCTATAAACAACAGGCTTGGGATCCATGAAAAGGACTAATTAACAAGTTGATAACAATTAACAAGTTGGCATTTTTTCTCAATTTTTTTGGGCATTTAAAAACGAATCTTTTAATCCATGAACACGCCGACAACCCACCAATAGCATTACACCTCCCAAGTTTATATTAAGAAAATTCAAATTAAATAGTAGAAAACTAATTTCCAAAGAGATTGATAGATCTCTCTTGTCTTGGATTAGTTGAGCGGAAACTAGGGTTTTAATATAATAATCTATGGAAAATAATGAAGAAGAAAAAGTTTGGAACATAAAAGTCTATTAGTTGTCCTACTTTTTCCTCTTAGCAACAATTTTCAACAAAAGCTTTTAAATCAGTACAAAAAATGAAAAATATACTCATTCAGTTTTGTTTATTTATTTGATGTTTAAGATTTTTGTACATCGATTAAATAATTATTTAGTTCTGTTTTTTTTTATTAAAACATTATTTATTATCAACCTAAACACCATTCAACTAATAGTAAAACAATCATCAAAACTAATAAAACTCTAATAAAAAAAAACTAATTAATTTTGAATTTGAAAGTTGCTAACATCATCTATTTAAAAAAAAATACAGTAAAGAACCTAATTTCCACCTTCTTCCTAAAAAATCAAGAAGTAATTGAGCGTTTTACCCCAAAAAAGAAGGAAACAGGAAACAAGAATGTGACGGGAGAGATTCATTACACCTCTTATTACATTCACTTTTCTTAGTTGAATTCTCTAGCTCACCCTTCTTCACTCCACTGTAATTAGATCGCAAATCTTGAGATAGGCCATTTTAGCTAGTTCCGTACAATATCTCGTCCTCGGATGGTGCCATGTTGAGATCAGGGAGGCAGAAGAAACTCCCCTGATTTTGCGAGTCACCCGTTTTGCAAGATTTTGATTCCTGTAGCCGCTCGAGTTGTGATTTACGAATCAGATCAACCGGTTTCTTGTTCATGACACGACCAGAGTTTAAGTCAAGCTGAAACAAGAAAACACAAGAGTAGATTTTGATTAAGATATAACCAGCAAAGAGAAATCAAGCTGAATACTGTAAAGATGGTTAGGGTCTTAGGGAGAATCAAAATTTTACCTTAATCCTCTTCAACTTTTGGTTCCTAAGGTTTTGTTCATCGAATGTTGCTCGGAGACTTGCAATCTCCTGTGGAAAAATATTAGATTTTTAAGAATATAATGCAAACGTAGGAGAAACCATAATGATAAAACAGAGACTAGCAAGGAAAAATCTACCTTTTCAAGGTCAAGTCTCTCTTTCAACTTCAAGTTCTCTTCATTTTTAAGCTCAGAAGATGACTGCCAAATATTAAAAAACAAACCCTCAGCTCAATAAAATTCGAATTATGGAGTGTATACTTGAGAAATTCAAGAAAGAGAGTCTCTATATATATACCTTCCTTTTCTTCAATCTCTTGGAGAAAGAACTGGTGATTTCGTTTGTGGGAAAAACCTGCACAATAACGCATTTGATTAGTAAACTATTAAATGCTGACGATAACGACAACTGTTATACTTTTTATAATCAAAACCCAAAGATCTTATTTTAACATACCAAGTAAAGTTTCTTTTCCCACAAAAGAAATTTCAAACAAAAGTAAAAAAATATATATATCAAAGAAACCAAATAGAGCATAAAATTAAAAAATCTCAAATATAATTGGAAAGAATTTTTATAGAGAGGATTTGATGCCACATCATGATTATTCCGTGTCATGGGCATTGTCATCTATCGTCATCACTCTTTTAAGATCACGTGATCCCCAATCTCTCCGACAAGATCATTCATTTTACTCGTTTCAACTTTCAACCCACTAAACGCTACCGTTTTGAACCTCAAAACGTTCAGCAAAACGCGCACGTTTGACCAACTAGCTGTACTATCTCCATAATCTAAAGGAGCTTTTATTATTCCTAAAGACAAATTAAAGTTTGACCGGTCCCTAATTACCTACATCTAACCGGCCACGCTAGATCCGGTTCAATGCGTACCGAAGAGATTGGTTAACCTCCAGATTTATTAAACAGAGAAAAACCGGTCTCTGATTAAGCTTGTTATGGACGATTAGCAGAGTTTTTTAATTACCAAAAGTGAGAAGGAAAAAAGGAAATTAAGCTTAAAGAGGCTTTGACTTTTTGGAGATAGATGAAATTAACCTAGAAGCAGGATGGCTCCGGCGGATGATTTAATCGGCGAAACACGGCGGAGGAATATTTTTTCCGGTGGATTCGGTAGTAGTTGAAGAAAAAAGACTAAAATACGGTCTAGTGAGAATCGAACGTAGGTATTGAAGTGAGCGAGAGATGACGTCAGGCTAAATTTTAGAATCGTGGATTTTGGGGAAAAAATGAAGAAATACAGAGAGACGGCCACGGATCTTCTCAATTACGAACACACGACGGTCGGCGAAATCCGGATTTATCGGCCAGATCGGATTCGGAAAATCCAGCTAGATGACGAATTCGCCATCTCTCCGCAGCTACCGGATTCGTAATTGAGAGGAAGAAGATAGAGATAGGGAGAGAAGACTAAATCGAGACGCAAAAGGTGAAAATCACGATAGGGAAAGAGAAAGTACCTTAGATCCGGATCCTGTAGATGTAGAGCAGCTAGCTTGACGACTGGTATCTTCGAATCCATCGGCGGTTACGGCGGAAGGAGATGCAGAGCCGCCACCACTTCCAGATCCGCCGCTCCAGGAGAGCGGAGTCTTCGGACTGGCTCTAACGGAATCCACATCTTTCTTCAACGAAACGAGAACGCCTCCGCCGCCGCCGCCGCCAAATCTTGAGGACCGAGACCGTCGTTGACGGATTCCCCACCGTAGCGGAGGCAGATTCAGCGCCGGATTATCCGACACTACCGTTCCGGCATGCTTGAGCCGTAAAAGAAGCTCAACCACCAAATCGTCGTCAGTCATAGCCACCGCCACCCAATCATCCTTGACCGGAATCTTAGACGACGTAACCTTCTTCATCGATGCTTACACTAATCAAATCTGCAGCTCCCGTAGAAAAAGGGAATCAGATACAGAAGAGAAGCTGCGAAAGAGAGAGAAAGAGAAGTTACAGAAGAGAGATAATGACGAAGGAAAAGAGAGAGAGAAGAAGGAGTTGAAATATCGAAATAGAGGAGAAAAAGATAGATGGGATGGTGTTATATACGAGGCTCTCTCTAAATTATTCCTCTCTTTTTTTTCTTCCTTTTCTCATTTTTTTTTTCTTGTTCTTTTCGAAAAAATAAAATTGATTATTGTTTTCCATTTTAATGTCGATGCGAAAACGCAAGATCGGGTCTGTGGCTGGATGGATTGCAGATTTGGATTTAATTTTTTTTCCTCAATGTTTTATGATGACAAAAAAAAATGTGGGACCCAAAAACTGAGTTGTGTGGGGAAAGGGTATGTGAAAAATATGTAAAGATTCCCCAAATTAAAATTCTTTTGAATGTTGTGAAATTAGGAAAATGCTGGAAAAAAAGAATAAAATATTAAGTATGCAAAATTACTTTAGGGTTCGTCTTCTTTGTTTTGCTTCTTTCCCTTGTTAGGTAGAAAATCTTCCTTTGCTCTCTCATCAATTATGTTCTTGGAGTATTAATTTCATTAACTACATTTTTATTAATTGCAAAGGAAACAACAAAAAAAAAAAACTGACGTGGCTCAATGGATTTGCTGAGTCTATAAAATTGATTCACCATTTAACACGTCATGCTTCACCAATGAACAATTGACGACTGTGAAACACCGCCGTTAATAGACAAGGCAACTTGCTACATTGTAGTAGATGAGTAAAAAGAGTTTCTGTCATCAATGATAATATATCTTGCCTTATGTTTCTTTTATAGAAGAATCTCCGAATGCAGATTAGTACTAAGACCATCTCCAATGGTTTTCCCTATTTTTACCTCTAAAATAAAGGAACTCTATAATAAAGGTGAGTTTTACTCCAACCCACTATATTTTCACCTCTAAAACAGAGATCTCTATTTTTTCCTCTATAAAATAGAGGAACTCTATTTTTTCCTCTATAAATAGAGGCAAATATAGCAATCTCTATTTTAGAGGAAAAAATAGAGGTGGATTGGAGCATATTTGCCTCTAAAATAGAGGTAAATATAGCGATGGGTTGGAGATGCTCTAAGAATTCAACCCCAGCTGTCCAACTTTGAATAGAAATACATGGGCCTTAAATCGGGCTAAGGTGGGCTGTCTAATTGTGAGAGAACATATCTTACAACTTGGACCAACCAAGTGGCATATATGAAATTCAGAGAATGAGGAAGATATATCCCCTTAACAATAATCACATCCATTGCTATTAAACTCATAAAGATGATAATTGAGATCACACAATATCAAGTTATCAACTTAGAGAAAGTCACTTTCAACTTCAGAGATCAAATTGGCATTTAGAGTAGTTAATACGTTGGACTACAGATTATATTAATTTGTCAATGTCTTTGCGTGTGACAGACCTATCAAAGCTGTCTCTATTATATCGGGAAACATCTGTGCAAGTTCTTTCTTTGTGTGCGCTATTCCTCGTAGTAGATTAAGTTTGATATTGCAGAAATACATTTACTAGTCACAGATTCAATCATTTTTCAAGGTATTACTCGATGAATCATTTGCATAAACCCATTATTGTTCATTCGTTTCTTGTTTTATTGTGTCAATCTTATTTCATCTCATTATGTATCAAATGTCCAAATCCTGAAGAAAACAGACTTTCAAAGCCAAGATAAATAAAACTTAAATTCGATAATATTAAAGATAGAGAAGTACAGAGAATTGTAGTACCAAGGATTACATGGAAACCTTAAGCTTCATCTAACCAGTAAATACATCTCTTAACTTTGACTTAACCTAGACGACACGGAAACAAACGAAGAACCTTCAGGAACAACAGAAAGAGACCCAAATGAAAAAGAAACCCCAAATAAAACTTAAACTTAAAGATAGAAGAAATACAGAGAATCGCAATACCGAAGAAGATTACATCGAAACCTAAACATCATCTTACCAGTAGACACATCCCTATAACTTGTCTTACGACCTACTAATTCACTCAGACACAAACGAAATGACAAAGACACAAAGTACGAACCTACGATTTACCCAGAGAACCTGACGATTAAGCAGAATTTAAAAACCCAAAGATACAGAGAAAGAAACGAAAACTAGTAAAAGTCTATGCACATATACTCCTACACAAACACTAAACCCTAAGAAGAGAAACTAAGACCTGTTAAGAAGATATTTCGATCTTGCCCCTTGAAAAAATAAGGGAAGATTCGAAACGGTTCATAACGAAGATGTGTGTTTCTTCATCTTCTAGATTCATCGTCTGGAGATTATATTTTTCTTGTAGATCTCCGGTTTTTAGGCGGATTCTGACGATCGGGAAATGGAATTGTAACACTTTAGTAACCAGTTGGATCATCGGAGATTTTAAAAATCTAAGACGATCGGCGACAGACACCGTCAGGCGATGTCTAGGCGAAGGATCCTGATGAGATCATTGGTTGCCTTCTTCGTGAAAAAGGCAGGAAGCGGGACATCGCTGGGAGGCGGAGAGGTCATGGTCACAGGACCGGCGTAAAACGGTGCTGATTTCAATTTGCGGCCAGATAAACGGATCTGACTCGGAATCAAACCCGGATCTGGTCCAATCCGACGAGTAGATCCCAGATCTGACTTTTCAACAACCAGATCTGAAGTCTCCTTGGGGATTTCTTCGCCGCGCTTCAGGATTCTCACCTGGCTAACGACTACGGTATTGCTAGGACTCTTCTTGACGGTTCCTTTTGGAACGAAAGCAGAGACGGCCGCACGAGGAGGAGGAAGCGGCGGTGCTACAGGAGGAGGAGAAGGAGAAGATCTGGTGGATTGATTACGAGGAGGACTACGGCGTGTACGGTTGTTGGAAACCGGCTTCTTCTGCCTGTTGGGACATGCGCTTGGATTGCGATGGTGTTTCATGTGAGAGAAAGGATCTTTCAAGCAATCTTGAGGATTTAGAACGGCGACGCCCATGGCTAATTGAGAGAGGCAGATTTGGTTCGAGGAAGAAGATGCTGAAGAAATTTGTTAAATTATTGTCTCAAGAAAGGCTCGAAAATGGAAATAGATAAATTAGGAAGAAGGAAAATGAATAAATGAGGAAGTGGGCGAAGACTAGTTTTATACACGATTAATTTGCTTCAGCGTGCCCAGAACCAGCCTATAGACGGTTTCTTAACCAACTCTCGGCTTCTTGTTTGTGAACTACACGCGCTTAGTTGTTTTCTTCCTTTTTTGTTTTTTCTTTAGCTTTATTTTTCCTTTAACTTTAATATTTACTTTCCTTGATATGTTAATCAATGGATCAATACTATATAGTTGTGTAATAAGATATATGGCACATAAATTCTGTATTCTTTTCTTTTTTATTCTCATCATATATGTATGTTTTCATTTAATAATAGAACTTTACATTTTTGATTTATTGTTATCTACAATATACCAATACTAGGCCAATAATGATTCAAAAAAATAAAAGTAGAAAAAATTAGTGATATTTTTTTATATGTTATTTATGATTATCTACATATACATTTTTACAGGGGATTTTTGCATAAAGTCTTTTGGATCCGGGTTTGACCCGGTTTTAGTCTATTCGGATCTTGGATAAGCAATTTTAGGGATGTTGTCTTAAAACCACATTAATTCTTAAATAACACCTAAATTGGAAATATATTATATATATCTAAACTAACCATATTTGTTATTTACCTTAACTACTCCAACCATAATTATTTAACTATTTATTTCTATATAGAAAGAATATGTGATTAAAATAAATATTTTGTAAAATATTGATTTGGGAAAAATTGTTCTTACGAAAATAATTTGTTTTGTTATAAAAATTAATATTTGTTATTTGTAATTAAATTACATAAATAATAATAATAATTTGTCTACACCATCAAATGAAAATAGTTAGTTATTTTATTTTTTTATTTAATATTACGTAATTTAAAAAAAAAATTCAACAATATAATGTCAATGGGTTTAATTCTAAAGATTTGAAAATATTAAAAAGATACTAACCAAAAATTATCTATCCTAATTTGTTTCTAACAATTTGGACACAAATCTTTCAAATCTTTCAAATCTTTCAAATCTTTAATGTGATCACATTTGTTACTAAAATCTCGATTATATTCCTAAAATCTTGAGAAGATCTTCCTTTAAATCCGCAAATTATAATTTTTGAATAAAATAAACTAACAATACGAATATTCCTAATATATTCGAGTACTAATAATCCTTATTATAGTATATTCCTTATCTAAATACTAAATCTTTTATTTTTAATTCTAATCAAAATTTATGAAATCGGAAATCAATCATGATTTCTTAAACATCCTTAAATTTCGAAATAATCAACAATTCGAATATGCTGAAAAATCATAACGAAATATCTTTATTTACTTAAATGTTTTAGTAATCGTTATAGCAAAAAAATCAATTCCAGCGCTATTGGTTCTTTAAACTTTTTGATTTACATAGATATTTTGTATTCCATAATTAACTCATTAAAATCTTTGATTTAAATAACTACAATGTGAAAATTAGTATATGTAATAAATATAACATATAATATTTACGAGATTTTCATATACTTGATCCCCAACCCAAATTGGCGAATATATTATTCCTCATAAAATATCTTTAAAAGATTTTTTTTGTTTCGTTTAGATATTATTCAACAAACTTCCTAAAAAAAATGGAAATATCTTTAATTAGCTTTCCTCATTCATAAATCCCACCATGCATATAGACGTTATTCAGTTGATAATACAAAATCGAATATATTAGGAATCAAATATTTAATTTTCGAATATTTGCAAAATTGTTTTAATTTGTAGGTCAAACCTAAACTTCTCGAGTACTTTTCATTCATCTATATAAAGAAGATCTTTTCAACCATTGATCCACAATACTAAACGTTTTCGTAATAGAGATTTATATGGCTTCTTTTAAACAATGTTCTTAGTACATTTTATATTTCACGTTTGTTTTCTTTTAAAAAATTAATTGTCACCTACTTTTCTTATGTTGCAGCTTTCGATTTTAAGATCTTTGGAAACTATGGACATCATCAACTCCGTCTCCAAAGAAACTATCAAATAAGGTATGCATTAAAAGGTTAGTTAGTCCTTCTTCTTATCTTCAGATACGAATTTTTTAATGTCCAGTATTTTTTTACATTTTCAGAATTTCATGTTTCCTCATAATGTTTGTAAATGATTTTCTTTTATAGGCTAACATAACAAGTCCATTCTATTAATTCATTTTCTTTAACGTAAAAAGGAAATGAATTTGTTAATAAAATAAAGTTCTTATTCTTGGTTAGTATTATTCTAATGTTATGTATTTTAATTGTTTTTATGATATATACTTTTACAAAAACCTGTGGATCCGAGTTTTGGTTGGTAAGTGTAATTTTTCTAATCTTTTAAAACCTTTTATAACAATTACATGTTTTATATGGTTAAAAATCACATCATATATATTTTATTTTCTTATCCAATGTATTTCATGTTTAATGTTTTCTAATACTTTTTTATATATATTTTGGTTTTGACTAATTTTATATATAAGTTCTTAATTTAATCTATTAAAGTTTCCAAAGAAAACATTTTAAATATAAGTTCTTAATTTAATCTATTAACCTTTATTAAAAGTAAAATATTATAATTATTTAAACTTTTTAAAAAATTTAATTTTATAAAACGTTTTAAATATTTATAATATTAGGAATTTTCTAAAGTTTCAAATATTAAATAGTTGAATTTTATAATAATTTGTAAGAAATTTAAACATTATAAATATTTACAAAAGATACGGGACGGTATATTACGGGTGAAATCCTAGATATAACAATCAAAATACTATTATGAATTTTGGGTCGATATTAAATGAAGTTTCAAATATTAGAAATATTTGAATTTTATTGGAAAATGACAAAATGATGTAGATTTCACGGGACAGAGTTATATGGTCGGACGGGTTTGTGGTCGATATTAATACAGTATGATATACTACGGGTAAAATCCTATAATTAACAATCAAAATATAACTATACAATCTTAAACGCTAAACAAAACTAAACAAATAATATTAACAAAACAACTAAAACTTCAAATTTTAAATCTTTAGTTATAAATATCGTCATACAGTGTACCATACATTTAAATCAAACAAAACAATAGCATATATCTATAGATCATCTTAAAAAAAAATTTTTATTATTATTTAATAAAATTATAGACCCGCGGTGTACCGCGGGTTAATATCTAGTTGATTACAATTTCAAAGATAAATTGTCAAAATATAAGGCCAAAGATTTAAATTTAAACCTAATATCTATAAGGTTGAAAATTATGCAAATCTACGAAAATTTGAAAGCATTAGATTGCTTTTTAAAACAAATAATTTGAAGATGACATATGGTTATCCCAAAGTAGTACTTCTTATTACACTGAGGATAACTTCAATATTTTGAAATCAACAGTAAATTATTGCCAGGAATAAGAAATGGTATGTCACCCACTACACAAAAATGAAGTCACATCAAAGGTTATTGTGCAAATTGTAAGACCATCTGCATTGGGGGATCACCCCCCGATCTAAACATTATTTAAATCTAAAAAAATGGGTTAATGGGCTTAAGATCAGAAACTGGGCTCTTGACCTGGATCTGTTCTTGTGGGTGTTGCGGGGTGACGTGGCATTTGGGCATTGGTTGGAATATTCAACATATTTGGAATAAATTTGGATAATAAACTATGTATTAATTAGATAAAATATTTTTGTGCTTTTATTAAGTAATATGTTTGTTTGTTTATTGTTATTTATATTTTTAATGTTTTTTCATAAATATTTAGTATTGTATTTTCACTTTTATTTTCAGTTTTTCATAAATTTGGCATTTGCAATTTATATGTTATTTTAAAATGTTTTAATAATTGTAAAATCTTAATTTAATTTAGATTATTATATTATTAAGTCTTAAGATCGTACACATGTTCTCCACTAATCAACTTCTAAACAAAAGATCTAAACACATGATCTTACATTATTTTAACATTATATTCTCTATAAGAACACCCTCACATGATCCCCCATTGATGATGCCCTAAGTGTTTGTAATTGTTGTCTGTTGACAAACAAAATGATTTCACATTAAATAATTAAGCCAAGTTGTCAATAATAATACGAAATAATTGAATTAAAAAAGCTACTTTGCCGAACAGTATCCAAGCAAAAAATCCTCCATTAGGCGAATTTGTCGCTTTCATGATCACACGTTAAACATTAATAAAACTCCATTGGGCATAATATATCTCACCCTTTGAGTAAACTTTACATTATTCTCATACATTGTACCTCCATAATTAACAGTATGATATTTAAACGCAAACATAAATTTTGTATTTATGTATATAGAGAGCTAAGCTGATATCAGATTAACAAGAGGTAAAAGACTCTTAAACATTGAGAAACCGATAAAACATTTTTTTTTTTATTACCGATGAAACATATGGTAAAGAGAAACAAAAGAACCCAAAGATCCTAACGATATGTCAATAAACATATTGATTGATACGTGATTGCAAATATGTAACAGGTTCATATAATCCAAATCATATATAAGTGCTTTCTAATTAAAGGAAAAAGATATTCTTAAGGTGGAGTAGAATATATGTGTTGAAAAAAAAAAAAGAATATATGTGTTGGGGGAATAGGTAAATGACAACAACTTTTGAAAGAAGTGGTCGACCACAATAATAATTATTTTATTAATATTTTTTAATTAGGTGTAATAATAAATGTGAAAGAGGCGCGACCTACCAAAAAAAAAAAAAAAAAAAATGTGAAAGAGGCGCGTGAGAAAGAAGTGGTTTCTAGGGTTATCAATGAGAGAGGAGGAACCCACGACGACCCTTACCAAAACCTCAGCTTACGCGTTTCTGGGTCCCACTCTCTCTCTCTCTCTGTCTCATCTTCTTCTCCCTTCCATTATTAACGTATCCTTTACAAACAAACCCTTCGTATTCCTAACTATTTACTCTATTGCCACGCCACTCGTCTATCTTCTTTGACCACGAATATTTCTCAAGCTTGTTTTACTCTTTGATCTTCTGAGATTTTTTTCTCTTCTTTCTTTTCAACCAATATTAAATTACTAATAATACGAATTATTAGTATGTCATTAAAATATTAAATTGATGCTTTGATGCCCTCATTGCATATATTTTCAAATTTCACTACTGAAAAGTACATTATGTTCATATAAATAGTGTAAATATATAATTTTCTGGGTTACTATTTCTTGATCTTATTATGTAAAATTCTGAATCTAAGGAGGGCATTTCTGTTAATTTTCTTACAATATGGATTGTATTATTCATAAATTGAAACCAAGAAGGAAATTGGGACAAAAAAAACGCCTAGTTTGGTTTTGGGAAGAGGTGGGGGCATTAGGTAATAAAAATCATAAAAATTGAGATGAAATAAGGCAGAGTCCACGTGTTTGAGGACAAAATAATCAATCATAAAAAGACACGTGTAATTTGACGATAGGAATGGCGTGATATTGCTATGTTAGGGAATCAGTCAATCGAGCCGACTCAATCAACTTTTGCCGGCCAAAAAAAACAATTTGGAAAGTATTGATGCTCTTATTTAATTATTTACTTCGTTTGGGGTCTATTCCAAGATTTTTTATAAGATGGGGGATTGGTGAGAAGCCCACAGAGAAATCAGAATTCAGACCCGAACAAAACTAGTTGACCTCAGGTCCTAACTGCTTTGATAAGTTATCAAAATTTGACAATATAGAAGTAACAAAGACATAAAAGAAGCAACAAACATGCTTCTTCATCTAAATTCATATAATTTTCTGACTCAAATTCTGATCGAAAACTACTACTGTATTATCGCAAATATTTAGAACTAGAGACAAATTGCAACGCAAAATCTGGATATATAAATGGTTGTATAGTTTTAGGACTTAGTTGAGTGATAACTTATAATATGTCTTGGCTCTATTTTTAGGAGTCAGTTGAGTGATAAGTGACAACTCTTATTATTACAGTAACATGCTCAACACTTTTTAACATCGACCAAGTCATAGCCGATTTATTTGCTTCCATGTAACTGATTGTTGTATTTAACACCTTGGCCATAAGCTTATCACCAAAATCAAAATAATAGGATCTCGCCTAACTAATTTACCCTAATTTAAGAAAATCATAAATTGCATAAACAACCTTCATAATAATTGTCTAAATATGAATTTGAAGCATAATCCGGGCAGTGATAAGCTCCACCTCCAGAATCGATTCTCTTCTTGGAAGCTTCATCGATTTTCATATTTGGGTAAATATCACGTTAGTTTTCCTATGTATGTTCAAAAACCTCATCAAATCTCTCTGTCTCTCTCTCTCTCTCTCTCAAGCCTCACCACCACACACCAAACCAAACCAAAAAAAAAAAAGGAAACTACAAATTCCTCATTTCTTTGGTCGACAATTGGCAGAATGGTCGCAACCATTTCACCAATTTGGGACGAAACCGAAGAAGTTTTTGTATAAATAAAGAAACACATACCACTAACGAATACTCATGGAGGATTCCAAAGCTGTTTAGTTTACAGGATCATGAGCTCCATTTGTTGTGTCTTTCTCATGTTCTTGTGCGGCTGAGGACGAACCATGCTCCGTGCTTACCATATCACTGCTTTGCTGTTCTCCTGCCGTATTGGAAATAGCCTTTTGTTTCAGATATGCTTCCAGAGGAAAAGCTGCAGCTTGGAGAAGCCTCATCATGCTTACTCGGGAAGCCCCCGGGTCTGAGTTTAAGTCAATGTTTTCCCCTGCGGCTGGTTCAACCGCTGCTGGAATGCTCTCCACTTCTGTCTCGTCCCTGCACTCTGACTGTGACTGCGCCTGCTGGCTTGCCTGTCCCGCCTCTCCCCTGTTCCGCTTCCGCAGCATGAGCGTTCTGAATCTTCTCTTCACTGCCTCGCACACAGTACAAGTGCATGACGGCTTGTGTTTGCCTTTTCCGCTCGGTGGTTGGCTGCAGACGATGCACGAACACCCTGCCCGGTGTCTTGGGTGCTTGGTCGTGGCTGCCACCGTGATTTCCCCCTGTTCACCGGTAGTGGTGATGCCTGCATTTCCTAAAGTATCCAGAGCAGATGCCTCCTGCGACTGGTTTAGCTTTTCGTTTGATGATGCCAGTCTCCTCCTTTTGAACTCTGTTGAGACGAAACTTTAGTTTCTATGTAAAGAAGTTTCTAATTATACAGACCAATAATAGCTGCGGATCATACCTTTGCTCTGCCGGACAAGTGTATCCTGTTCTCTAGGAGAGAGCTCATCAGGTGCGGAACATGAAGACCTGACGATACAAACAGCAACTCAAATTATTCAGATGGCCAGTCTCAGTGAGTCAAAAATCTATAATTATCCCATGTGTAGTCGAAATATATTGTATCAGTGGTAACTAGTCTAGGTTAAGCACATGAACATGCAACCTCGTGTACCTGCCAGGATCCAAGAGATTATCAGAGCACGACCACTTTGGTGGAAGAAGAATATCCACAGGCAGCCGTCGCCATTTCCCACAAGCATCACACTGCACCCATTGCTCTTGTTCCCTGAGAATTCAAGGATCACATATCAGAACCAAAATAATCAGATGTTCATTAGTTCAAATCTTTTGATCATTCCAAGTGTGGTTAACTCTTCTGATCTTATCATTACATAGTACATGAGGCCTCACCCTGTTTGACGTGACACAAAAAGGGTCCTCTTCCCGAAAACTGGTGGTTCCTGGGTAGCAGCAAATACATGATTTCAGAAAAAACAGTGAAAAGATCCCAGCTGTTTTTGATAACTAAACAAGTAAACAGCAACTCACGTCATATTCTTCAAAATCCTGATTTTCCAGCGTAAAGATGCTGGGTTTGGCGGATTGGGGCGGCCGCAACAGTTCCTGTGCCTCCTCCCAAGTTATTTTCAGTTCCAGAACATCTACGCTATCAATGAGCAGACGCTTGCTCTTAGTCCCAATGTTCCGAACCCGTTTCCTAGCAGAAGTTAGGGATGACTGAAGAAATAAGTTATCCTTTGCCATGTCCTCAGACTTCTCTAGTTTAGACCAATTGATGTCACCACATCCCGGATTCAAGCTGTTGGAAAACATGTTTAGATTGGGTTCACTGCTTCCCTTGAACATCTGAAGAACCACAGAAAAATATTTCACTGAAAGCATCAGTACGAGAGCACCAGAAAGGATTCTTTAATTCAATACTTCACATCACAGTGGACAACTCTCTGCTTATTATGCATTTACCTGTGTCGCTGTAGAGTTTGTCGCTTTACGGTATCCCATTACGAGTTTTCCTTCAGGTTCTGTACGGCTGAATGTAACTGCAGAGAACATGGCAAATCCAAGACATCAGACCTAATAGAAAAGTACCGTTCATCTCTTCTTGGAATGTATTTCACTGTCCTCATCGAACACAACACATGATCAAAACGCTTTAATGCCAATGTTTCATTTAACCGTACCAGGGTGGGTTCATCAACATGCTATGAGTGTAGTTAATGAAACAAAAGGATTTGAAAAGTACCAGTGTCACCAGCTTGCAACTGCATGGACTGTATGCAAGGAGTCACACCCTCCAAAACGTACATCCTGCTGTTATTATTAGGCCAAAACCTGAACTGGAACACCCATTCTTTCCCTTTTATGTCTTGTATCTTTAACGGGAGACCCTCGGGTAGAGAGATAGGGGGGAAATATGCCTACATACATGCATAGAAGGTTATAGCTGATATCTGGCATTTAGATAGCTATAGTTTGGGAATATCAAATAAGCGTACAGAGAAACAAGTTACCTCTGCACATGCTTTCGGAAGAACCAGTCGACCAATACGACCCGCATCGCTTGCACTCAGAACTTTTTCAAAGAGTGGTATAATTTTGGAATTTGAGCTAGGAAAATAAACAGTTAAGGACTCCTTAGCACAGAACAATAGTGCATAATGGTAGAATAAAAACAGAAACACGATATTATAACATACAGATGAGGATACTGTCCAGATAATTGCAGCAGCTCTTGGTCAGTAATCCTAGGCCAATAACGGGGAAGCAATTGGGTCTTCCCGCGACCTTCTGGAGGAGGCCGAGCGACATGAATCTGTGACACCAGGCTCCCACTAGGCTCCATGCCAGCAGCAATGGGAGCTGAATTTGCAGGTTTTGGAAGCAGCTGCCTGGACCGAGGGGCCAGTTGGAAAATCGAATTAGTCTTACTTCTGTCATCAACAGCAGCATCATGAAATGGGCTTGTCATAAGCGTAGGTCCAAGTGAAATGCTCAAGTTTGGCTGTGCAGATAATTCCTGCAATTCTTTCCTTTCAGCTTTGTGTCTAATAGCATCTAGTCTGGAAGGAAGCAGCAATTCTTCTTGTTTCATTTGAAGAGAAGATTGAGTGGGGTCGATTCTTTGAAAGTGAAGCAAGTGCTTGAGATTTGTCCTCTCGAGAACACTTCCTACATGCTCTGCTGAAGCAAATGAGGGGAAGTCCCTACCGTTAGATATATGGCTCGCATTCATCTGTAAGAGAGATTACATGAGTATAGTGCCAGAGAAACCAAGGCCAAGGAAGCATCCCTTGCAAGAAGTTGATTCAAGGAGAGGAAATAGTCTTACAGAAAATAGTCCGGATTTCTTGGCGCAACTTATACAGGTAACACCGCCATTCTCTAGAAGCTCCATCATAAATCTAGAAGCAATGCATCCACAGTGAAGACGCTGAAAAAACACAAATACGTATTAAGAAAAACAATTGAAATATGTTGAGTGCAAAAACACGTGTAAGCTATGGATTTTCGTCACCTTGTCACATGAATTACACTCTCTCCAACCAGATTCCTCGGCATGGAACACTTCACAGAAAATGGATTGCTCGTATGCAGACCTATCACAAACCAACATTCCCAGAAATTACTAATAAGTAATCGGTGAAATATAGATTCCCTTCAAGTATCCACTCTTGTTCTAATTGTAAGCAAACCCATAGCACTAATCAATCGCAGAAGTGTTGCGAATATCAAATTGGTCGCAAAAGTATTCAAATTAGACACAAGAGTGAAGGCCCTTACCCACACTTATCGCAGAGAGAGGCTAAATCACCGGATCGCATAGGCCAGCCTTTTTTCCACTCACCCGACGTAGAGGCTGCTCCGCACAGTGCGTTCATGCAAACCTTTATTGACTCCATAATTGACCAATTGAGCGGCTCGATTCAATTGTCAATAACTTCAAATGAAGGAAGAGCCTTATCGTATTCTCCGCACGATGGTGCTTTAAGCCACCGCAAACTTCCTCTTTAATAAAGGCACAAGTATTAAAAATATGCAATGATTAAGAAAACTAATTGGTATCAGAAAAGTTAAACACTTACCAGAAAAGACAGAAGAAGATGACAATTATATTGTCGAGAAACTCAATATGCTTCTTCTGTGAAAGACTATATACAAATAAAAACATATAAGATTACGAGATATAAAGAAGATAACGGTTATAAAGTAATCAGAATCTGTAAATGAAATTACAACCACATGAATGGTTAAGGACATTTGATATTGGTATCTAAAGAGAAGATATAATTTGCATCCTAAGGGAAAAAAAACGAAATTAAAGTTCACAAGCGACAAGAAAATCAACGGACCTTTCGAAGAAACTTGTCCAAAAAAGAGAAACTACGAGTCACTTCCATCTCCTCAGTTTTTAACCAAACAAATTCTAGTCTTTGACGTGTCCAAACGAAAGAGCTCAGTGGTGCAGTGGAGATGGAGCCTCTTAAACAATTGTGTCACTGTGATAAAACCTTTATACGATATAAGTCCACACCATCGAAAAATTGATTGATGAATTTATGGAAGTCCAAGAAGTCTACAATAGTGATAATGAGAATGACGTCTCGACTGTGAAAAAGGAAAAATTGATTCTGTAGACAAAACTAAGTGCAAACCTTATAGACCCTTCTCAAACTATTCAATTGAAAGGAAATGATCCACCACCTATCTGAACTTTAGTAGGCTAACAACAATTCCACTACTTAGACACAATTTCAAGGAAGATATCATTCTTATTAAACCGCTAAAGAATCCACAAACTTGCAAGTCCTCAACACCTAGAATCTGAGGATACTCGTAACTTTCAATGCTATTAAAAGAAGGAATATACACTTGAAGTAAAAAACTGTAATAATCAGCTACATTAAGTACCAAGTAACTAAATGTAAAACCGCTAAATAATCCACAAACTTGCAAGTCATCAAGATCTAGAATCTGAGGATACGCATAACTATTAATGCTATTAAAAGAAGAATATACACTTGAAGAAACAAATGTAATAAGCAGCTACATTAAGTAACAAGTAACTAAATGTAATACCTTAACAGAGATGACAGAAATGTATGCAGGTTTGTCTCCAGCAAAAGGAGAATATATTTAGCTGCAATTGGAAAATATAAACATTAGGTGAATAACATGATATATTTAGCTGCAATTGGAAATTCATAAAGAACCAAGGAAGACACTTTCTTAAGAAGCAATAACATGATATATAAATCGAACTAGTTTCACTTTTCTTCAAATCTTTTAACTTTGGTTGACCCAAAAAACCACTGATTTTTTTCAGTTTCGACGAAAATCCAATTCAATTGAATATGAAGAAGAAGAAAAGACCGAGTACGTCGAGAATTTCCAAGTAAAACTTACGAAACTTTGTAAATCTACGCACATCAAAAACACTGATATAATGATGTAAAGGTTCAATTTTTAGAATCCTAATCCCGAAATCTACGGTCTTTGAACAAAACCATGCATTCTAGAAAACAAATTTCTGAACACTAACGATCGAGCAAGTAAATTTATCAGAGCATAATCACCGGAGAGAGTTAACCCTTACCTCGTTCTGTATATGGAGACGATTGATTCGATCGGAAAAGAAGGTACAGTATTTGACGGAGAAGTGAAGTTAAACCAAGTCAAAAGTCGTTGTCTTTATGTCGACCAAGTGAAGAAGAAGATTTGAGGCAGTTCAATCGAGCGGATCCTCAATTGCAGCAATAAGAAGTTGTAGCAAAGAGATTTCGAAATAACGAAGAGGTTGTTGAATTGGTTTCTAAATAAAGAAGGAGAAGAAGACACAAATGACTTAGAGAGAAATCTCCATTACCAACAACAACAAAGGGCTCGTGGAGAAGACAACAAATCTGGAGCGTTAGATTAAATTTTTTTTTTCTTTTCTGAAACACAAAGAAACTGCTGACGTCAGCCTGACCTAAAACCCAGTTTGCTGTATTTATTTATTTATTATGGATGAGGGAATAATGTAAAGTTTACTCAAAGTGTGACATTTATTAGAGTATAATATATTAATTAAAAAGTACGCAAAAGGTCATCTCTGTTTCGACCTCACCTTAGGTTTGCTTCTAGATTTATATACGTCTAAATTAGTATTTTGATTTCGACAATAATAATTACTTATTTAAGCTTTGATTTTGAGAATGATGAAGTGGTTTGGACGTTTGGTTTCTAGGGTTATGAGAGAGGAACCCACGATGACTCTTACCAACACATCAGCTGCTAGGTCATACTCTCCACCTATCTCATCTTTTTATTATTAAATTAACACATCCCTTAAAAAGTTCAAACTTACATGTCATATTTCGACCTTAATTAGTTATATATACTTTCTATTGCATAGACCAGTCTCGAAGATGGACACATAAGTGGTTCACGGCTTCACAACGTTCTCTACAACGTATGCATGTTATTTCCGCTGTTGGTCTCCGATTTCCCACCCATGAAACATAGGTTTTTATTTAGACTTTGGAGTCCGATTATATATAGACGCAAGACCAACTCTTTACTTTTGTTGGTTCAATTTAGTGGTTTTTGCAGCTCAAAAATGTAGCCCAAATAATCAGGATAATGGATGGACCGGAAGATTGGTTTGATGGGCCGTTTTGAAGCAAAATCATCCATCTTCTTGGAAAAGATCACTTAGCATATAATATATACTTGAAAAGTTGAAAGTTTGTTGCAAATGAAAAATAGTTGGAAAAGATTTTGGACCGTTACAAGTCTTATCCGATCCGATTGGTAAAGTCTTTAAATCAGTTCATGGGTTGATCAGTTTCATTGAAACTAGGCATAGATTGGTCCTTTCTCTTTATTAAATACTCGACTCCTCCCTTCTACATGTCAATCTCAATTCTGTACATACCATTCATTGTAGCAATCACTGTACGTACATGTTAATGTATATGAACAATAATATGAATTGGGTAAAACAAGATATATATATATATATATATATATATATATTGATTGACAATAGTGAATTCATAACTATCAAATTTAGAGAGAAAGAGAGTTTGTATATCTCCCTTTTGCTATATATGAGTGATGTGAGAACCAATTGTTTGTTTATAGAGAAATATTAAATATCTTTCTGTTTATCGTACGAAGTTACCTACAGTATATTGATAAGACTGGAAATGCCTCGTTGATATAAAAACATCTTCGGTTGCAAAATAAATAAAAGAAAGATGGGATAAAAGTAATGATAGTTAGGTAATTGGATTAGCATGGTTGGTAGGCTAAACCATAGTTAATCTAATCGTTATTACATCCTCACCTACTTTGCATAGTCATTAAATTTGCATCCACGAATACGTACTAATATAGTTTCGCATAAAATACTCGTGCAATCTTATGAATATTGCTTGATTTATTTGAGAAAAAATCTTGTATGCAATTATTGGTCTATAACTTAGTTATAACCAGGCCATTTGTCTATATGAACACTTTGACACATTGGTTAACTCAGAGATTAAAAGTCTAAAATGTAAAATGCATGTAAATAATTCTACTTTTTAAAACTTTGACGTAATTATTATTAAAAACAACGAATTCGTATTCTAGTTATCAATTGTCTCTCTTAAATAATCTAGTATGTATTTTCTATAGTCTTATATAGATGAGTAAATCACCTTTTAAAAAAGTTATTAGATTTTTTGTTAAATTTTATGGATTCTAACTCAAAACTAATTAGCAACAAATGTTATAAATATGTAATTGCGTGAAATAAAAAGATGATTTCAAATGTTGTTCATATGTACTAGAACTCCAAGCATTAACACTTGAACTAACATTTTGGAATTACATCGCATCGTTTAATTGGATCCAAAAGGTTTCAACTTCTAGTTCTCTTATTAGTTTTTGTTTCCTCTTTTTTGTTGTCTATTTTTTCTCACATGTTCTAGCTTCTTCGAAGCCAGCTTGAGTAGCCTAATAAACTTGCGTCACATGAGAACATTTCTCAAATGGAACATTCAGACATTTACACTCCCATATTTTGCATCATGTTATTTGCTATATTAGTCTAATATTGTTGCCTTCCGGATTTCGCATGTGAAATACTCCTCGTTGTATCTAGGAACCATCAGTGTGTATTATTATAAGCATACAATAGTAGTTGACAAAATAAAAAGAACTATTATCACACACTAATTCTACATTTGCCAAAGCCTTTCTTTCACAACCGTCGTTGTGTTTAGTTTGCTACTATTACTTTATGATAGTGCCGTTGATTTTCCTAAAAGTAAAAGAGTTTTTGTTTATTTATTAAAGGGACGCTTACTAATTGCAAATGCTGCATAGAATTAGTTAGATCCCGTTCTCGCGAATCCTAAGATGATTATTTGCTACAATTATATAGGAAGAAGATATTTTATTGATAACATAATTGACCCAAAAGAAAAAACAAAACGGAGTCTTCTTATTTCTGTCGGTTTGACACAATTGGTCAACTTTGCTGTCAGTAAAGTAAACTCTTCGAGTTACAAAGACATATTTTAACTTTGACCACTCTAAATTTAATTTTTAAGAAGTTATAGTAGTGTGGCCCAATGTAAATGATGAGTAATAATAATAGTAAGTTACAAATTCTTTTTTAAACAAAATGTTCTGATTTAAAATATAAGAATTCATGCAATGATCCCCTTGAACTGTTTTTGGTTAGTAAAGAATTTAATATTTTTTGTTCACTATCACCTTCAAACCCTCTCACATGTTGATTTGATGATAAAGAAGTTAGAAAGAATAATTTCGACTTTTAAAAAACCACTTTATGCTTCCCTCCTTTATGCAGACAAGAAAAAAGGAAACAAATTTCATGAAAGAGATCTCCATTAGAGAGAGAGATAAATCTTGGAAGAACAATCTCACATTCTCACTCTGCTCTTATAAAATCTCTCTCTCTTTCACCATTAAAAATCCCAAAGAGTCTGGAGAGTGAATCAAAATCGGAAGTATTGTTAGAGAAATGAGAAAGATTCTTCATCTTCTTATTTTTAAGGTCTCTGTTCTTGAATTCATCATTAGTGTTTCTGCTTTTACCTCACCTGCTTCACAGCCTTCTCTTTCTCCTGTTTACACTTCCATGGCTTCCTTCTCTCCAGGTATCTCTCTCTTTCTCTATCCATGCTAATGTTTTTTTTTTTGTTTGTGTTTTCGTAAACCAATGAAAATCTGATTTTTAATTATAAACGTAAATGCTATTTTTGAGCTGCTTAGTGAGTGGATTGCCTATCTTCTACGTATCTTCTTATCAGTTATTCAAATGGATTAGCAATTATCAAAATTCCTTCTCATCTAGATCCGTTTGGGATAATCAAGAACTAAGTTTGATTCAGGAATTTGATACAGTGAGAAGATTAGCTGAAGGGAAATCTCATGATCTTTTCTTGTTTGCTTTCTGATTTCAGGGATCCAAATGGGTAAAAGCCAAGAACACAAGTTAGATGCACACAAGAAACTTCTAATCGCTCTCATAATCACCTCATCTTCTCTAGGACTAATACTTCTATCTTGTTTATGCTTTTGGGTTTATTGGTCTAAGAAATCTCCCAATAACACCAAGAACTCAGGTAATAATCATCTTAAAATCAAGAATGAGAAATCTGCAAAATTTTACATTTGTAACAAGATTCTGTATTTGGATTCGAAACTCATTGATCCTAATGGTTTATCAGTTTCTTCATTGTTCTCTCTGTTTTGATATCTAAATGGTTTTATATGGAAGACGGTGAGAGTGGGATATCATTATCCAAGAAGGGTTTTGTGCAGTCCTTCGATTACAAGACACTAGAGAAAGCAACAGGCGGTTTCAAAGACGGTAATCTTGTAGGACGAGGCGGATTCGGAGATGTTTACAAGGCCAGTTTAGGCAACAACACTCTAGCAGCAGTCAAAAAGATCGAAAACATTAGTCAAGAAGCAAAACGAGAGTTTCAGGTACCAAAGAATAGCCAAGTCCTAATCAGTTTTATATTTTTCCGGATTCTTGAGTCTATTCAAGAATCTGATTCTGTCATCTGGATCTCAGAACGAAGTTGATTTGTTGAGCAAGATTCACCACCCGAACATCATCTCATTGTTTGGATATGGAAATGAAATCAGTTCGAGTTTTATCGTCTATGAGCTGATGGAAAATGGATCCTTGGATGCACTGTTACACGGTAAAAGAAAAACTCGAAATATCTTCTTCTACCTTCTCATCATCTTGTCATAGATCATGAGTTAAATTAATACTATTGTATAACGGAGATAAAACAAATCATGTGACCACATGAAATAAATAATTTTTGTTCTATAAAATTTATTGTTTGCATCATTAATGGTTAAGGACCTTCTCGGGGATCGGCTTTAACATGGCACATGCGGATGAAGATTGCTCTTGATACAGCAAGGTACACTCAAGTGCCTCACATTTAACAACCCTCTCTACCGGTTAGTTAATTTCGGTTTAGGTAAACCGTTTTCTTTTGTTGGTTTGGGAACAGAGCTGTTGAGTATCTCCACGAGCGTTGTCGTCCTCCGGTTATCCACAGAGATATTAAATCGTCAAATATTCTCCTTGATTCTTCCTTCAACGCTAAGGTAAATAACTTAAATCAATGATGATGATTCTGTTCTGAATTTGTATCCTAGACTAAACCATAAACTTGGACCAAACCAAACCAGAGCTATCCGAACAAGAGTTGTGTAGTTAAATCTTGATTCTCGTTTCGTTGATTCAAGAATCATTTGATTTATTTGTCTTTGCTTCAACAAACAATCCAAAACATGAATCTGTTTTTGTCCCATCTCTAACGATACAACATTCAGATTTCGGATTTCGGTCTTGCGGTAATGGTGGGGACTCACGGCAAGAACAACATTAAACTATCAGGGACACTTGGTTATGTTGCTCCAGAATATCTCCTAGATGGTAAAATATTCACATTCCCCTCTATTTTGGTCGACTTTGACTCGTTGTCATGTCATTAGAGTCATAGCACATAGTTTGATAGTCATAATCATGTGACCCCATAACATTAAGTTTCTTTCATTACGTCTAAAACTGTTGTTCTAAATCAAATCATTTTGTGTGTTGATGTAATATTTCAACTAATCACATAAGAATCATTATTTGATTAGAGATGGTAGTTGTTGGGTCGCTAAACCTGTTTATTGAGTTTACTTGTTTCATTGAAACATTTTTATGTCATTTGTATGTTCCACAGGAAAATTGACCGATAAGAGTGATGTTTACGCGTTTGGGGTGGTTCTACTTGAACTTTTGCTAGGAAGACGGCCGGTTGAGAAATTGAGTTCGGTTCAGTGCCAATCTCTTGTCACTTGGGTAAGTCCGGTTTGTGTTGACGTTATTGCCATTAGTACATGATTCATGTAAGCATTGGTTAATGAGTGTACCGTTTCGAAAACTTTGCAGGCAATGCCTCAACTTACAGATAGATCAAAGCTTCCGAAAATCGTGGATCCGGTTATCAAAGATACAATGGATCATAAGCACTTATACCAGGTTTGCATCATTTTTTCTTTGGTATATGCTTACAAACCCCATTGATTGCATTATCTTCAGTTAAATCATAAATCAAACGGGAAATGATTTTTGTTCAGGTAGCAGCGGTGGCAGTGCTTTGCGTACAACCAGAACCGAGTTATCGACCGTTGATAACCGATGTTCTTCACTCGCTTGTTCCATTGGTTCCGGTAGAGCTAGGAGGGACTCTCCGGTTAATACCATCATCCTCCTAAAGAAAATAATTTTTTGCTTCTTTTTTTAATTTTACAGTTTAGTCTCTGATTGCTTGAGTAATTTAATTTGGGGGTAAAAGTTTGTGAGGTCAAAAGTTCCCAAGGGGTATTCACTTCTCATTATTGTATTTGTAAATTGATTATATAAATTATGTTATCATTTTTCTTACACCAAGTAAATATCCAATATTTAACAAATACTATCTCTTTCAATTGTTGCATCAACCACTAATCAGTAATCAGTATCCATAATCCATCCACTCTTAGAACTTTCTTTGTAGGCCTATAGAATTTTAAAACATAAGCCAATGACTAATTTACCCCTATCAAGACAAGCCTAGAACAACATCGTAGACATCGTCGTGTCTCTCTCTCGGTGAATCCTTGATCTTTTCTTCACTCTCTCGACCTGATCGTTTTCGAAACCGCACGATTCTAACCAATTCCAGGTGACAAATCAGCTCCGGTAAAATACTCATAAGTCTCGTAATTCTGAACCTCGTTTGATCATCTTTTTGTGGATCACATCGTCACATCACTGTCTTAATTTGAAATTTGTTTATCCTCGTACTAGTTCACTGATTTGAGATCTGTGCAGCTTAATCATGGCTTCGTCAATGTTATCTCTCGGTTCAACTTCTCTATTACCGCGCGACATTAACAAGGTACTGTTCGCGCTCTATCGAGTAAATGATAGAATCGGCTTTGCAATGAATTACGCATCAGTTTATTCAAAATCCTGCTTTTCTTTTCGATTAAACTTGAACAGGATAAGCTAAAGCTTGGAACTTCCGGTTCGAGCCCATTCCTAAAAGCAAAGGTATTGTCTTTACTTTGTTATTTCTCGAATCTAAACGAAATGAACAATTTTGAATGACGTTTTAGAGCTAGAGGATCTATGAGATATTGTTATTAGTCTAAAAAGTGTAGCTTGTATCTGAAAATTTGGGCTTTGGTTTCAGTCTTTTAGCAGAGTGACTATGACAGTTGCAGTCAAGCCTTCTCGTTTCGAGAGTATAACTATGGCTCCACCAGACCCTATTCTTGGAGTCAGTGAAGCATTCAAAGCTGACACTAACGAGATGAAACTCAATCTTGGTGTCGGGGCTTATCGTACTGAGGAACTCCAGCCTTATGTGCTTAATGTTGTTAAAAAGGTTGGAACTTGTCACTGTTGTTAATCCCGTATAGCTCCTTCCATGTGTGTTCTTTCTTGATTTTGTCAGATTACTGATTTGCGTTGACAGATTAAGTGATAGTTAATCTCATTACTTTTCGTTTATAGGCGGAGAATTTGATGTTGGAGAGAGGAGATAACAAAGAGGTAACTTAGTTTATTTGAAATTGTGTGCAAGCGATTACCTCATCAGAATTTCACTAAATTTTACCTCACATGGATGGAAACTGCAGTATCTTCCAATTGAGGGGTTGGCAGCATTTAACAAGGCTACTGCCGAGTTGCTATTTGGAGCTGGTCATCCTGTTATTAAGGAACAAAGAGTATGTCTGGATCTTGTGTTCATCATGTTATTGAAATGTTGTCTCATGATGTTCCTGTTTCCGAGCTAATTCATCTGCATTGTCTCTAAATCATCAGGTGGCTACAATTCAGGGTCTTTCGGGAACAGGTTCACTGCGATTAGCTGCGGCTCTTATAGAGCGTTATTTTCCTGGAGCAAAAGTTGTGATATCATCACCAACCTGGGGTATTGCTTTGACCACAAACTTTTTTTGGGTTATTTCGCGTTCATATTAAACCGCCTGTATGTACTGACAAACTACCACTTCAGGTAATCACAAGAATATCTTCAATGATGCCAAAGTTCCGTGGTCCGAATACCGGTACTATGATCCAAAAACAATTGGTTTGGACTTTGAGGGAATGATAGCAGATATAAAGGTTTGTTTGTCCCTGAACTACATTATTGCTTTATCTATGCAGCAAGCCAGCAACAAACTGAATTTCATTTATGTGATGCCAAATTGAGTACTTGTTTGCAATTCTACTGTCCGGGTGGGAGAATAGCAGAGAAACTCTGATTGATCATGATGGTTTTTTCTTGACTTTCTGTTATGTAAATTGTACAGGAAGCTCCAGAAGGATCTTTCATTTTGCTTCACGGATGTGCTCACAACCCAACAGGAATTGACCCTACCCCAGAACAGTGGGTGAAAATTGCTGATGTCATTCAGGAAAAGAACCACATCCCATTTTTCGATGTTGCATACCAGGTATCCGATTCCTACAATTCTTAATATCGTGCTTCCGAGAGAAGTAAGTGAAACCATATTATGTAATGCTACATGCACCTATTTTCCAGGGCTTTGCTAGTGGAAGCCTTGATGAAGATGCAGCATCTGTGAGATTATTTGCTGAGCGTGGAATGGAGTTTTTTGTTGCTCAGTCATATAGTAAAAATTTAGGTCTTTATGCAGAAAGAATTGGGGCAATCAATGTTGTGTGCTCATCAGCTGATGCTGCTACAAGGTAAAACTTACTCTGAATTTTCTTATCGTGAGCCTATTGCAAGTGATCCTGGAGTCTCAGTTTCTATCTTTACCGTCAAGAACCATATCTAGCTACAGGGTTTATGGAACCTTTACTGGTAACACCACTTTCTTTCAGGGTCAAGAGCCAATTGAAAAGGATTGCTCGGCCTATGTACTCGAACCCACCAGTTCATGGGGCGAGAATTGTGGCAAATGTCGTGGGTGATGCAACTATGTTCAGTGAATGGAAAGCAGAGATGGAAATGATGGCAGGAAGAATAAAGACGGTGAGACAAGAGTTGTATGATAGCCTCGTTTCAAAAGACAAGAGCGGGAAGGACTGGTCCTTCATTCTGAAGCAAATTGGCATGTTCTCTTTCACGGGGCTAAACAAAGCTCAGGTATGCTCAAAATGTGAATACTACTCAGATATCTTTGGCTTTGTTTTAGACTTGGGGTTTGAAGTTTGTGTTTGTTTTTCTTTTGGTAACGAGCAGAGCGATAACATGACGAACAAATGGCATGTGTACATGACTAAAGACGGGAGGATATCATTGGCCGGATTGTCTCTGGCGAAATGCGAGTACCTTGCTGATGCAATCATCGACTCATACCATAACGTAAGCTGAGCTTCCATCTCAGTAGATGACAATAAGAAACAAAGTTTTATATACCCTTTTAGCTTCTTCTTGATCTTTGATTGAAACCAGATGGCTAAAGTAATAAGCTAGCTCACACTATGATTGCTAGACAATTTTCAAGGAATCTTTTGATTTTGATCGTGCTTGACAGGCCTTGTTGTATTGGGAGACTCCCATCGAGTTATAGAAGAAATTTACGATTGTATTTATACAATTTCACAATGAGAATTGCTCCGAGGAGTGACGACAGAAATTATCAGATTGTGTACGGTGTTGCCATCCTTCTAATATCATTATACATTTCCACATTTCTGCTATAAGAAGCAGAGACTAACTATTACATTATCAGAGCAAATCGAAATAAAAAACTGGTATAATTAATAACAAGAAATTCTTCTAAAGCTTCTACGCAAGTAAGGGGTACCATGGAACACACTTACCAGAATTCAGACACAAGTCTATAACTGAGATGATTAAACTCTATCCAGGTTCTAAGTTGTGACATGGAGGATACTTCGATAGTCAACATTCAACAATTCAACATCACACAAATTTTAACAAACAACTCTTAATACGAATAAAAGTTTGATAACATCAATCATAACAGAGTAAAAGTCTTACAGGAATATGAAAATGTCATAACTTAAAACAAAAAAAAGACTTGAGGAAATGCTAAACCAAACAGATAAAAGAAGACTCTTTAAGAAGAAGGCTTATCACTTAGAATCCGAGCTTGGTTCTACGCCAGTGCCTGCGCTTGGCATTGTACCTGAAACCCAAACAATGAAATCGTTTTCAGAAACTAAATTGATCCACTAAGACAACTACATATTTCTTCAATTTGATAGATCCGGACTAGACAAATGGAAAAGCAAAAGCCAAATTAGACGAACCTGATGGTGTTGTCGGTACGAAGACGAATCCAGTGGGGAATAGGCCTGTTCTGTCTCATCTTCTTCGCCAGCTTCTTCTTGATCATAAACGACTTGTGCGACGGCTGTTAAAATTTCATTTTTCCAAACAGAAATCAAAATCACTAACAATCAAACTCTTTAATCAATTCAAACAGGCGAAACCAACGAACGATTGAAACAAAGATGAAAATTTGCGAGCGAGAGAGAGAGACTTACCATTTTGAAGTCGTGAGATTCGCAGCTGCTCAGCGAGGCAAAAAATACGAAGTAGAGGCGACCAACCTTTTTAACAAGTTAAACGATGAAACCCTAGTCAAGTCTTCTTCATTGGGCTTTTTATGTGATACCATAATTTTCAAGGCTTCATGTTTCGGCCTAAGGCCCAAATTCAATTTTTATAGGTCACGTTCCCAAGTTCGACAGTCCTACAGTCAATATTTCTTACGACGAAATTTTACTGTTGTAAGATTTTGGTAGAACCAAATGTCGCAGTGGCTCTTAATGATTACAAGTGTTGGTACTTGCTGCTCGTAGAGACGTGGTTGATCCTAGACCTAGAGCAAGCTTTATTGCTCACATGTCCGTGACGATGACACATATTTTCCATCATGTCTAAGAAACAAATAGATGTTCTTTTCTAATTACTTTGCCAGATTACAAAACATTATTTTGTCATGATCGTGTTTGAACTCAATCAATGTGAGTTATTCTCTTCGTTCTTTGAGATAATTGTGATGATATCACTGATTATGATATCTGTAGCCTCTATAAAACACACACTACTACTTGCAATGGTACATTCACTACATTGCGTGCTAATAGATTCGTGCAAGCTGACAAGGAATTCGTGTCTTTATAAAAGCATATCTCTGGCTTCAGCACTTACATCAGCTGACCAATTCTAGTTTCAAACATCATTTTTAGTCTCTTAAGATACTTGAGATATAGTTTCTATGTAAGTTGTTGTCTGCTTATTTTGCCTGCAACTGTTGGTAGTGTCACTTCTTCACCGCCTGGTGCTTTTAAGCAGTGCCATGTCATGGAAAATTGTGAAACCAAAGATAATTTTGACACATTAAGATACTACAATTATATATATTCATAAGACAAATGTTTAGTTTTTATTGACCAAGTGATGTCCCAATAGGACTTACAGAGCCAAGATAGAGCATACAGCCTGTATGAAAGTGAGAAGGAGAAGAAGTAAAGCTGCAAAAACAGAAGCAACTGACCAAGGATTGTGGAAGTAGTCACGTCTCAGAATTGCCTTCCACCTGTTCCATGGTGTGTTGCAGTAAGCTTCAAGGTTCTCAGAGAGTGTCGAAAAGTAGAATCTTCTGTCATAGATAACCTCTTTGCTGATGCTATTGAACAACTTTGAAACATCTACTGAGTTCCCCAGATGGTTCACGATGATCCCACTGCGGATAAGCAAGTCAGCATCTGTAGGGGATTTAATGAAGCAACCGAGCAGCGTGGTGTAGTGGAGGAAGTTCTTATTTGAGCAATGACATTGTTCATACACAATGATGTTTCTGTAAAGGGTTTCCGTGAGATCATCGACGACAATGGTTGGAATCTTCAGTACTCCATCAGCAAAACTAATGTCAAGTAAACAACTACTGGTCTCTGCTGGCTTGAACCTAACACCAGCAGTGTGAAGCTCTGTTGCTTCAGGTGCATTGTCCACTTTCAATGTAGTGTATTCCAATCTAATTGGAAGCTGTGGCAGATAACAAGACCTCAGAAGATCAACAAAATGTTCTGGCTCTGAAATAAACTTCTCATCATCAATGCGGCTCAAGAAATAACTGAAGTGGCGTTGCGCGAGCTGTATGATTGAAGGTGTTCCTTGTTGGTAGTATATAAACAAGAGAAGAAATATCTCCTTTACAACGAAAAAGGGTAACTGATTTTCGATCAAAATCATGTCACGGCACACGTCAGTGATCATCATTGAATTGCCAAATACGCGATCTTTCTCGCCTCTAAGCCGAGGATAATGAGACCTCAAAAGAAGTTCAACAAGGAAGCTACCATCTACAACTAACATCTCAACAAACTCATCGCTGTTAAGTTTCACATCTACTGCGTAACAGCTGCGAGCATTTTGTTCCCAAGTCCTAGCAACTCTAACAAGGTCCTCTAGACTAGAATTTGTTCTAGGGATAAAACTCTGCAAATACCTGTATTTATGATCTTCCATAGCTTGAAGCTCTTCTTTACCACGATGTAGCGGGCCAAAAGACACAAGCCGAGGCGTATATGCATCAGGATTGAGTCTGCGGAGCTTATTAGGTACCTTGTATATACAGCATTTGGTTGAAAGAGAAGACAAAAAGTCTAACTTTGCTTTGATGGAATCTACAAGGGCGTCACCTTCATTCTGATTCATCCTCTCATATGCAAAGCAAAGCACGTCTAGAGAGAAAGAAGAAAAAGATTCTCCGGAGGTAAACGCGCACCACAGAGGTATTAGAAAGTCAACGTTTCACACACATTCTTTTGGACTTTGGAAGGAAAAAACAAAGAAACACGCTTGAAGAGATCTCAACCCCAAAAATATCAACCATGGGTCCAAGAAGTACTGCTAAACTTTGTATACTTTAATCTTGAAATAGGAATTTTAAATAAGTCGAAGGAAAGCTTTCAAAAGATAATTTGGTGAGGTTGGACAAACTTAGCATTTTTTAGTTTTTTTTACATCAGGTTGGATATTTAATAAGCTGATGTCGCTGTGTTTTCCATTTAATCCAACCGTTCTATCAAAATTGTGAACCAGTCGAGTCAAGAATTCATCTTGGTCTAGCACACCAGGGAAAAACAAAAAAGCATAATACACAGGCAAAAAATCACTCCATTTGCCTAAAAATCGCCAGCTTCTGCAGATGACTTGCAATGCAGATGGATTTCTTCTATCGGTGGAATTGTACTTACTCACGAAAGAGACCTATACGACATTGCCCTTCACTGCAGAAGCTGGGATTAGGTTACGAGATCCCAAGAATGAAACCAAGATTTTGCATAAGCTATCAGACGCTACTTTTATCAAAAAAAAGTAAGCCCTCAGATTTGAAATATTCATCAATAAGATATCAGACACTACTTTTAACCATTAAAATTTTATCAGTCATCACAGGGCAGACAAGAGTGTTAAGTAAAACAAAGATAACATATAAGAGAATTGAAGTTATAAAAGCCTTAGCTGAATGAATCCCTCAGAATTGATTAGTAATCAAGGTATAATCAGTCACTACTTTTAACATTTTTTTTCTTCATATCATTCATCATTGGGATGCAGCTAAGACAGTGTGCATTAATATGCTTCAAATCAAGCAAAAACAAGAACTCACCAAACTTACAAATGTCAAACAACGGATCGTTAGAAGAAAACAAAGAACAGATTAAATCCCTCAGAGCTGAAATTTCATCAAAAGATATCAGTCACTACTTTTAACATTTTTTTTAATAATCAGTCATCATTGGGATTTCCATAACGCTCCAAATCGAAAACAAGAACCTTTAAACCTAATTCTAAGAAATAACCAAAATCTGAGCTTAAGGACTGACAAAAGCATCCACTTAAGTCGTATCGAATCAAAACGGCAGAGACAATAGTTTTAATTACATAAAACTAGAACGGTAATGAAATAAAAATCAACACTTTCGAGTTTTTGAAGGCAAAAGAGATTGGAATCTTAAAACAAAAAGGGAGAAATAGAAGCGAGCTTATGTATGTGAGCTTAATCACATAGAAACGGTGAATTAGGGTTCTAGGGGGAATTAGTTGTTGCTGCGGCAGAGTACACTTTGATAGGTATTTATAGTGAGTGGTTTTGAATAGGTCAAAACTAGGGTTAATGCCATTTCCAGGTTCTGTAATAAAAATAAAATAAATATCATTAATTTTTATTTTTTTAACAAAAACTTTCTTGTGGAAATTTGGGACTAGAGCTAAATCCAAAATATTGAGCTATTTTACTTCGATTTGCTGATATTCAAACAATTAATTGGTACAATTTTCAAAACTTTACATCAATACATAACAAACAAAATACAAATGTTGAATTCACTCTATTTAGTATTTACAGATATTCATGATTTGTCCTATACGTACATTAAAACCAAACGGATTAAAAATGGAGGATATTAATATAACTTGAGAACAAAGCACAAGCACCACCCTCGCATTCATAAACATGTATAATTAGCTCAAACAATGAAAATTAATCACGTCTTGACGCTTACGTTGGAGGCTTCTGATCTTGAGCTCCAGATGCAACACAAGGAACTCGAGGTCTCATTGGACAAGATGGAGAAGAAGAAAGAGGAGGATTACCCGTTGATTTTGATCTGTTATGTGTAGGATTATTATCTAATCTTGAATTTGAAGAAGACGAAGATAAAGGACCTGATCGGCTTCTCGCTTTCTTCTTCTTTCTCTTCTTCTTACTTTCCCCTTCCAAGAGCTTCCCATCTTTTCCTACCCGCTTCACTTTAGCCTCGTTCAAGCAAGCCGGCAACACACAGTTGCAGAGGAATCCTTAAGGTTCATAAGAAACCAATGTACATTACTTATTTGATCCCCTGAAACATTCTGATTCATTATATTGATGAGCAAGTTTGGAATACCTAAGCGAGCAAGACGGTTGACCCAACTAGGGATTGATTTCTGAGTTAGTTTCAAACAAACATGGTTGCAGAAATGGTTGCAGTTCCTTGTGATGAGATGGTATTTGTTTCCCTGATACTCTTCTGATAATTTCTCCATAAAGGTTCTAACTTCTTTAGCCCTCATCTCTGTTTCACCCACAAGAATCGATTTCCTGAATGTGAAACCAGGACACTTCTTTGGCTCAACTTCAAAAATTCCCGAGCTCGAATGCTCGTGTGCCCCGTATCCATATTCAACCCCATGAACTACAAACAATGAATAGCAAAAACAAGAAAGAACATTCAATATCAGATTTTCCGATTAACAACAAGTTATGGAGTAATTGATTCATTGTTAAAACCAAGCAAACAACGCCCACAAAACTCTACACTTAAGTTCTTATCATCAAAACACATTTAGTCTCTAAGTCGATTCCAGGAGGACCAAAAGTCAATTCTACTCTTAACAATATCTAATTTCATCCATCAAGCAAACTTTGCAATCAACCCAAACCCAGCAAACAATACAGAGAATGGATTAATCATCTTTTCTCAGCGACATTCCCCATAATTGACCAATCAATGTTACAATCCAACAAAATTGACCAAAGCATTGACCTTTATCCCCTAATATTGTCTCATGTCTCTCGGCAACCCAAGAACAATCAAACCCAGAATCGAGAGAAAACGATTTACCTTCAAGACCAGAGTGATAGATCCCAATTCCGAGCCAGTAACCATAAACATTCATTGGGGTAAGATCGTAAACATTCAGATAAACCGGAACCAAACCAGATTTCTTCTTCCGCCTCACCGAGACGTTTCGACAAAACATCTCTCTTTTCACGGCTCAATGCATCGCACAAAAAAAAAAAAGATCAAGAGGTTTCGAGCAACGGAGAATCGGATGCTCGACGTGAAATTAGAATGGTTTGATTGGGAAATTGTGAAGAGCGAATTTTCAAGGGTTCGTCTTCGTCAGTTTCTTCTTCCCCTCGCTCTCGGGGTTTCCTGGGAAATTGGATGCCTAAAATGATTATTTACTTCCGTTTCTGTTTTTTTCTTTTTTTTTTCTCTTTTTCCCAAAATATTCCGCTTCTGTTAATTTACATTTTTATTTGTTTATAATTAAAAAAATGCAGTAAGATTAAGAACAATCTGATTAATGAAATAAAGACAAGATAATTCTTTATAACTGCATACATTTATTTTAAAGCGGAAAACAACAAACATAGGTTTTATTAAATAAAATAATTAAAAAAAAAACAAATCAAAGTGCACCTTGGATAATCATATTGAAGTCATATGTTTCTGGAACAGTGATCACATAAAAAGCTCTCCCTTAAGACGTGGACTGATCAGAACCTCAAGAGGCGTAGCTTTAGGAATGGTTAAGCCAGGGCTCTCACTCATATCAACAGGCATATCCATAACAGTTTTCACTTCAAATGAATGAAGGAAACGAGCAAGACCTAAATGAAGCACTTGCATGGCCAATGAAGCGCCTGGGCATGATCTTCTTCCCGAACCAAATGGCATCAGCTCAAAGTTTTGTCCTCTAACATCAAACTCTTTTGCTTCTCCTGTTATAAACCTCTCTGGTCGAAATTCGTTTGGTTCCGTATACACTTTCGGATCTCTTTGGATTTTCCATACATTCACTAACATTCTTGTGCCGCAAGGAACGTTGTAACCAGCGACCGTGCAATCTTCCATCGCCTCTCGATGGCCTAACAGAGGACCAGCTGGATACAATCTCAATGTTTCTTTGATAATCGCTTGAAGATACACTAGATTTTCTATGTCTGAATCCTCGACGTTCCTGTCTCTGCCGACGTGGATGTCTATCTCTTCTTGTGCTTTCTTTAACATTTCTTTATTGTTTAGAAGAAGAGAAATGGCCCATGTAAGGGTTGCTGGTGAAGTCTCAGTTCCTCCAAGAATCACTGCCTGATTATTCAATTTATTATCATTATATGACAAATATCATCTAATCATGAACATTGGCCACATCACATTTTAGGTTGCAAGTGATTTCTTAAAAATTTAATATGTTCCAATTACGTCTTTCCACCTATCATATCTAGTTAAAACTTGTTTATATAACCAACTTTATATTTTAGAAAGCAATAATTTTTGGTTCAAATCCAAGTTAATTTGGTTAGGAATTATATCTTAGTTCATCTAAAAAACATCAAGATTTGTGTAGATAAATATGTACCAGGCAGGTAGATTTGATGCTAGTATTTGCATCATATTGAAGATGCGAGAGTTTGCCTTGTTCCGCAAGCGATAACATAACGTCGATGAAGTCTGAATCATTATGTTTCGTTCCAGAAACCTTGCGTTGTTGTCGATGGTTTTCAATCCATCTTTCAAGGATCACATCTAATTCTATTCCTGTTTGCTTCATCTCCTTCTCATGTCCTTGCAAATCAAACCACCCTAGTTTGGGAAAAGCATCGGACACGGTGAATATACCGACGAGGTGAAAGAATTTTGCGACGCCCTTTCTGCATTGCCTTGCCTCTTCGGTATCTTCCGAGGATAAAGAGCCGCCGCCTCCAAAGTATCGCTTTCCGGCCACCATTCTCACCATCATGTTCAGAGAGATGTCCTCTAACCAGCTCTGTAGATCAACCATTACTGGTTCTGAACCACCTTTCTTGACCCACAAGGAATACAAATCTTTCATACCTGCATGAGACAATATCTCATATCGTATCACAATTAAGAATATCGATAATTATTGTTATATATACGTTTAGACATGTTTTTTTTTTAATTACCCATTGCGATCTCAGAAACACGAACGTGCTTGAGCATCTGAAGCCGCCGGTTAGAAAGTAGCTCGATGGTTGCGATTTTACGCATCTCGCGCCAGAAAGCGCCATAAGGCGCAAACCCGAAAACAGCAAAATTGTAACCCATGTGCTTTGCGGCTGCAGACAGAGGACGTGAAGCCAAGGCTTTGTCGTTCACAGTAAAACATTCTTTAGCCACCTCAAAACTGCTCACAACAAATGTTTCACTGCTCCCGAGTCGTAGCGACATGGCTGGACCATAGTTGTCAGCCATTTTTCCCAAGGTTCGGTAAAGAAGCTGTTCCTTGCCACTGAGAAGGTGAAGATGACCGATGATGGGCCATGCACCACTTGGTGCAGGAGCTTTCACATGTTTTGGTTTCTTTGATTTCTTAAAAAGAGCGATAAAAACAAAAACAAGGATTGGAACAAATAAAGAAAAGAGGGAAGTATTCATAATGTTTTGAAAATGCAAAAGAGATATGTGTGTTTGGTGATTTCTTTTTTTGAATGATTCAATAGTATCGTATGTCTCTTTATATATACACGTACACATACGATCGGTTCAACACCATGTAAGCAAGTCGTCAAAAGGCGCGGGTGACAAATTGGATTTGTCAAAAAAAAAATCGAAAATTACTGACGAGTATAAGTAGTCGGAACATTTTTAAAAATAAAATGGCCGAACTTTTTTGAACATTTCTGAATGATTTCGACCATTTATCTTGACCAACTTAATCTACTTGGGTTTAGAAATATTATAATTTTATATTCAAAATATTGAAACTTAGATATGATTTTATAATAATGAATTCTTAATAATATCTAAAATAAAAGTAAATGTCTTAAAACATAGAAAATCTAAATTAAAACACAAATAATTAAAAATACACTATTATCCATCACCATAATTTACTCTTGTCAAGCTGCCTCGACAAAACGGGCACGACTGTGACCGTGCAAGCTTGTTTCATACAACGATTACTGTAACTTAAAAAGGCTGATGAGTAGTGAAGAAACTGAGAATTCTTCAAGCCATACCTTGATGAGCAATTTCATCAACGATTTCTTTTGAGTCATCTTTGCCTCTAAAACTGCTTCCGAAGATACTTCACTCAAGAACGAATCGGGTGATCCTTGCACCAGTTCATTGTTAATCGACAGGAGACGACAGTCGTTTGTTTTCAACATCATAAGGATTACACGTGGAAATCTTCTGAGAAGCTCTGATATTTCGGAGAAATACTGTGATGCATACATATGTAGCTCTGATACATCTTCTTTGTTGCCGCCACTTAATGATCCACATGTGTTCTTTTTACAAAGATCTGGTCGAACAATCAAATTGGCGTCTTGTTGGTAACACAATGAACAAACCCATGTTTAAACATCATCTCCGCAAAATCTTGACTCACCTACAAGACGTGCTAACATCAATTCTACATATAGAACTAGCTAGATCAAACGCTAGGTATACAATTGTTACTATCTTTAAGTCAGTGAATGGTCGAACAATTAATTAGTGTACAGTTTAAGTCATTGAAGATAGAGAAACTGGAAGATCGAGGGATTTTGTATTTGTCAACTTCAATAATGAGAGTGCAGAGTGCTTTAACTGTGTCCGTAACAGAGATGGACATAATGGTTTGTATTGATTTTTTCAGTCAATATATCTTTTAATGGTAATTGTTTCTGTTTAATGTTCTGGTTTGATTGCTGACAATTTTTTATTTTTCATTTAAATTTGAAAATAAATTTTCTGATGTTGGGGTTCTTTAGTTTGTTTCCTATTCACTCGATCCATTTTCTCTACTTCAACATGGATTCTTATAGTTGGTTGTTTCGTTCAGTGATTTTATATGTGGTATAAAATTTTCTTGGTTTTACCCGGAAGGGATGAAGAGGAAAAAACAAATAGCGTACCACAAGCACATACATCTTGAATACCGTACCACATGCACATAAAACAAATTTCGCCTGCTCCGAGTTCAGTGAAAGGCAAGCGTTCTCTCTGCGCAGCCGCCGCCGCCGCCGCATTCGAATGTAGGCAATTCATTTGATTGCTTTTTTTTTTCTTTTTAATACTGACAGTTTTTGGAAATAAAATAACTCTTAAGAATGTTTTATTGGAATGTTTAGTAAGTTTCTCATATGCTTGCAGGTTTGGTTTTTGAGAGATCATATCTGCACTAATCTTTTTTGTTTAAATTTATTATTTTCGATAAGAGTAATTGAATAACCTTTCTTGAAGATGTATTAGAATAAAAAAAAAAAAAGAAGATGTGTTAGACTAAAATGTACATTCCGAAACGAATATATTATTTAAACGGGAATGACTATAAGATGGAAAATTCTTGACGACTATGGGACTTGAAGGATTTCCTGTTTCGAAATAGATATCTACTTTCTCTCCCTTTTTTATGTAGTTGTCTTTACTGATAAATGATAACAAAAACAAATCTGATCATTCGTTTTGTCTAAACCGAATTAAAACCAAACAGAATATGAGAGTGGGTTGAGTTCGAAATATGAATATTATACTAAAACGTACCCCGCACAAATGTGAGGTCCGAATTTAGTTTATTTTAAATAGGAAAACAACAAACGTAGGTTTTATAAAAAAAAAAACACACACACACATCAAAATGCACCTTCAATAACCGTATTGAAGTTGTATGCTTCTGGAATAGTTAATCACACAAAAAGCTCTTCCTTAAGACGTGGACTGATCAGAACCTCAAGAGGCGTAGCTTTAGGAATGGTTAAGCCAGGGCTCTCACTCATGTCAACAGGCAGATCCAATACAGTTTTCGCTTCAAAAGAATGAAGGAAACGAGCAAGACCTAAATGAAGCACTTGCATGGCCAATGAAGAGCCTGGGCATGATCTTCTTCCTGAACCAAATGGCATCAGCTCAAAGTTTTGCCCTCTCACATCAAACTCTTTTGCTTCTCCTGTTATAAACCTCTCTGGTCTAAACTCGTTTGGTTCTGTATACACTTTCGGATCTCTTTGGATTTTCCATACGTTCACTTTTAGTCTTGTGCCGCAAGGAACGTTGTAACCTGCGACTGTGCAATCTTCCATCGCCTCTCGAGGGCCTAACAGAGGACCAGCTGGATACAATCTCAATGTTTCTTTGATAATCGCTTGAAGATACACCAAATTCTCTATGTCTGAATCTTCGACGTTCTTGTCTGTGCCAACGTGGAGGTCTATCTCATCTTGCGCTTTCTTTAACATTTCTTTGTTGTTAAGAAGAAGAGAAATGGCCCATGTGAGAGTTGATGCTGAAGTGTCAATTCCTCCAAGAATCAGTGCATGAGAGCATGTGCAGTGGGAGGTTCTCTCAAAGTCTCTCAAAATATATTATTATAATATAGATAAATTAGTTTAATTGTAAAATTAAATTTTAAGTAATAAAGTTTTTTAAAAACCAATTGCATGTTGCCATGTGTGACATGAGTCTCTCAAGAGGTTCTCAAAAGTTCTCATATGAGAACCCATGTTCATGTCTCTCTCTTACTTTTTATTATTTTCATTTTTTATATTTTTGAGAACACTTGTGAGAACCTCCCACTGCACATGTTCTGATATAAAATTTATTTATCATTAAAAGAGACAAATATCATCTAATCATAATTCGCCACATCACATTTCAGGTTGTAAGTGATTTCTTAAGATTAAATATGATCTAGTTTCGTATTCCCACCTAACATCTAGTTAAAACTTGTTTATATAACCAACTTTATATTTTAGAAAACAATAATTTTTGGGTTAAAATCCTAATTTGGTTAGGTATTTAATTATATCTAGCTCATCTAAAAAACATCAAGATTTGTGTAGATAAAGGTATACCAGGCAGGTAGATTTGATGCTAGTATTTGCATCATATTGAAGATGCGAGAGTTTGCCTTGTTCTGCAAGCGACAACATAACGTCGATGAAGTCTGAATCATTCTCTTTCGTTCCTGAAAGTTTGCGTTGTTGTCGATGGTTTTCAATCCATCTTTCAAGGATCACATCTAATTCGCTTCCCGTTTGCTTCATCTCCTTCTCATGTCCTTGCAAATCAAACCACCCTAGTCTAGGAAAAGCATCGGACACAGTGAATATACCGATGAGATGAAAGAACTTTGCGATGGCCTTTTTGCATTGCATTGCCTCTTCTGTATCCTCCGAGGATTGTGAGCCACCGCCTCCAAAATATCGTTTTCCGGCCACCATTCTCACGATCATGTTCAGAGTCATGTCCTCTAACCAGCTCTTTAGATCAACCATTACTGGTTCTGAACCACCTTTCTTGACCCACAAGGAATACAAATCTTTCACACCTGCATGTGACAATATCTCATCGTATCACAATTAAAAATATCGATAATTATTGTTATATATAAGTTTAGACATGTTTTTTTTTTCTTAAATTACCCATTGAGATCTCAGAAACACGAACGTGCTTGAGCATCTGAAGCCGCCGGTTAGAAAGTAGCTCGATGGTTGCGATTTTACGCATCTCACGCCAGAAAGCGCTATAAGGCGCAAACCCGAAAACAGCAAAATTGTAACCCATGTGCTTTGCGGCTGCAGTCATAGGACGTGAAGCCAAGGCTTTGTCGTTCACAGTAAAACAATCTTTAGCCACCTCAAAACTGCTCACCACAAATGCTTCACTGCTCCCAAGTCGTAGCGACATGGCTGGACCGTAGTGGTCAGCCATTTTTCCCAAGGTTCGGTAGAGAAGCTGTTCCTTGCCACCGAGAAGGTGAAGATGGCCAATGATGGGCCATGCACCACTTGGTGCAGGAGCTTTTACATGGTTTGGTTTCTTTGATTTCTTAAAAAGAGCGATAAAAACGAAAACCAGGATCGGAACAAATAAAGAAAAGAGGGAAGTATTCATAGTGTTTTGAAAGTGCAAAAGAGATGTGTGTTTGGTGATTTCTTGTTTTGAATGATTGAAGAGTATCGTCTGCCTCTCTATATATATACACACACACATATGATCGGTTCAACACCATGTAAGCATGAGACATACACCTACCTATGATCAAAACAAGGGCCCAAACTTGTATTTTAATTAATGCATGGCACGAATAAGAATTTAGGCAATGAATAAAAAGAGCAGTAAGGAAACTATTTTTTTTTAATTAATTAATGACATGAGCAAGTATTTATGCATTGAAACAAAAGAGTACTAAGAAACAAAATTTAATAAAATTTTGATTACTATTCTCAATTTTAGATCCAAGATTTTTATTGTTGTAATTATTAGTTACATATTGTTTAACTTTATTTATCGGGTATGTTTTTATAATTCTCGTTGGAGTCTGGATGATGTGTTTGATCATAATCTTGCAAGATCCATGCATATATATATAAGCTTCTCTTATTCTATCATTACACATTTATTGTATACAAGCAATGAATTTGGGTTTTCGAGTTAATTAATGCATTATTTGTTGTTTCACTAGTGAAGTGCAGAGCCTGACCAACGTCACCAATATTAGACTTTTAGAGTTAAGTCAACGTAATTGTTTTGTAAGAAATCTAGAACTCAATTATTTATTGATTCATGAATTTGTTCGATCTATGCATTGGTCGGACCTGCCTTGGACTTCGCCTGGTGGTGACTTTCAACTTGTATAAATCAATTTAAAAAACTTGCATAATATTGTTGAATACATAACATAACTAAGACGGACTGGATTCGGAATCCTGCGTGCTTGGAGTAAACCATTCATGCGGTATATAAAAACAAACATTATTTATCAAAATTATCAAAAAAAAAAAAAAGATTAATAATCAGAAGAAGTGACTTGTATGCATGAACCAAACCCAACCAGTCCAAGAAGTGAAACCCACCGGTTCCGAGACAACTACCATCTAAAAGATTGCTAAAACCATTGTGATAAAAAAAACTTAAAAACAATTTTTTTTTTCACGGAAGCCCATTAAGTGTTTGTATTGGACTATTGGACATCCAAAAAGGCCCACAAGGAGCTCTGCTCTTTTCAGTTCAATTCCAATTTAGAGAAAACCTCGGAAGAGCCCTAACGTCGGCGACGAACATCCATGGCTCTTCTGCTCCGTACTCTTCAAAAATCACGCATTTCTCCTTCTCATTCATCAAGAACCCTAATTTCTTGGGTTCGATGTAAATCCATGTTACCAAATCCCCGATCACGAGACATCACCACCTCGACAGCTAAATCACCCTTCCAGTCCAACATCCTTCGGATCATAAGAAACGAGATCGAGTATCAATCCGATTATGCTCCTCCACATCAGGTATTATCTTATTTCGTTAATAAATCACTACCCAGACCTTAAAGCCTGAATCTTTCAGCTGGAATCCGATGTTTTTGCTAGTTTTAGATTTCGGATTTGTGTAATTGTTATCTACGAAAGGAAGTATTCGATAATTCAATTGTTCTGTTGATGAGGGAGACATTAACAAAGACAAGAATCACTGTATTTGAATCAATTTGTTCATCAAGAATTTGACTTTATTTGTTCAAGATTCAAGCAAATGGTAAGAGAAGAGATGCTGATGAGTTTTTTTTTCACTTTAAAACTATAATGCAGCCAGCGACTGAATTCAAATCGTTCTCTGTCGAGGATTGTCCTGGTGAACAATGCATTGTGATGAAAGGGAAGTTTGGAGAAGATGAGAATATCAAAATGGAAGCAACTATGTTTGACGGGTTTATGACTGTTCCAAGAACCGGTTTAGATGCTTCAGGGCGCGATGTCCGTCTTCACATTAGCTTGCTTGTCGACATTTCCAAGGTTGACGGAAGTGAAGAGATCGAGTTCCTTTGCTCCGTCTGGCCTAACCGTATTGAAATTCAAAAGCTTTACAAGCTTAGACGCAACAAAATCACTGGTCAGCCTTACCTGGGACCAAATTTCGGGTATAAATCTCTCTGCTTTCTTCAGTCACTTACATGTAGAGTGAAGCATTTAACTAGTCTTGAATTTGTTGATACAATTACAGGAAATTGTCTACTTTAATGCAACTACTGAAGCTCGTGCTCCTTGTTTCTTTGCAGGAATTTGAAGTATGATTTTCAGACAGCGATCCGGGAGTTTTTACGAGTAAGAGGAATCGACTCAGAGCTTTGTTTTTTCTTGCATGAATATATGATGAATAAGGATAGGATTGAACTCATTCAATGGTTGAGAAAGCTAAATTCATTCATCGCACAATAAACACGAAATTTTTATGACGTTTTCACATCTTCTGATTACACTGTTATCACTTAAAAGTAGAAATACTGGCTTTAGTTACTTTTACCTATATAGGTGCATTACACATTGGTGCTGCCTTTGACTGCTTGTCTGAAACAAAATCTAGAATTGGGCCTTAGATGAATAATAATAAATTAATAATAAACAATAAAACTTGGGCCCAACCCTCCACCGGGATGGTGAATATTGAATAACATGTCTTTTGGTTTGGTTTAAATAAATCTGAATACATAATTATCTCTATAAAGAATTCCGCGGAATGTGTGTGACAGTGTGAGCTTAAGAAAAAAAAGTTAGAATCTTGACAAAAGTTCGATCAATTGAAACGAACAGAAGGTGCATGATGAAACTAATCATATTCAGCACCATCCATCGTTCATAGCTAACTGTTGGAAGTTAATAATTACTTAATAATGGTTGATCCATATGAAATAGTAACTACTATGTTCTGGCGTTCTAGGTTGACTTTAAAATATTCATAGTTTTATTTAGATGTGGAAAATCTAATAAGAGTAATAGAGTAGGAAGTGATTAGGAAGCAACCGAACAAGAAGCATATTTCATGACCGGTGTGGTTAGCCCTTGTGGGAGACAAGATTACCTCACCTTTTGGCTCATTTTTATTTTCCTCATCCATTTTGTTGTTACTTATTTTCTTTCTTTGTATTATTAAGTTTTATAAGCATCTATCTCTTTAATTATTTTTCTTAAAATTAAACATGACACCAAAGTGTTGCTGTTAGGACATCTTCTTTTCTCATACATGTGTGTATAATATATGAGACTATGAGCCAATGACAGTAGCTAATGACAAGTGACTTCCAATAACTTCACTTATTAAGAAGTAGAATCTTTACGGATTTGGTGCATAACATGGATCTTCTAGAATACCCATATTTCTTTAATCTCTCTAATGTCATCTGAAACTATTTAACACATACAAATTTTTTTGGAAGAGCTGATTATGATAATGATTTGTATTCGAAAGTTGTCTTTTATTTTCCAATGCATTGCATCGAACATATGTTGATGTTCTTTTCTAAAAGTAAAATCTTGATCTGTATTCTTTTTATTCTAGGTTTATCAAGGCATTGTCACAAGACAATTAAGATACAACTTTTATATTAATTTTCTTTAGAAACTAAATAGATTACTTTAGGTTTGTAAAAGGTTCTTAAAAATTTAGGCTAGATTCATAAGTCATTTAGGATCTCTTTCTAGATCTTGCAAAAAATTTTAGTAAACCTTATGCTGGTGGTACTTTTGAAATTTTAAAACTTTTGATTCTAATTTGGAAAACAAAACTAATTGATACCCTATAAATTTAAATTAATAAAACCGATGCATAATTGTAATATTTTTTTTTTTGTTAAGAAGCTAGCCAAAACATATTATTGATCTGAATTAGCTATTTTATATAAGAAAAGGAGAGGCACTGAAATGAACACGCTGCGTGGTCAATCCAAGAAATCATACAAAATACAAAATACAAAATTAGATTAATAAACTATAATAAAATCATTGGGATCTTATTTTGCATCCACCGAGCTTGTAGGGTGAGGATGTGGATGGAACTCAACTCCAAGAAATTCTTACTTTTTTTATTTTATGATTTTTATCTTTTCAAAGTTATATAAATATAATTTACTAAATTTAAACGGGCATTCAAATAAATAAATATTAAATTTGTAGTTAACAACTAAATTCAATGAATAATACAATGATGAAACATAAGCGTCCATCCTTTTTCTACGTAAACATTTTTTTTTCCTAATATACTGTAAGCATGTTAACTTGTGACAGCAATTTTCTTTGTTGACTTCAAAGTTTAATTCGAGCGTACGATACATTGGCTGGTGATAAGTATCGTGCTAAGAGTTTAATTGGTTGACTTCAATGTTTTATAAACATGGTGAACCATTATAACATGTGTTTCTTCATTATAATCCTAAAATTAATCTCATATGGTAAGAGTGTAATATTATCCAAGTAATGATGTACATTTTAAAAGTCTTTCTGACGTTAAAAAAATAGTCTGTCTCAGGTTTGAATAATATCGACATTAGCCATTATTGGTCGTTGTTTATTATGGGATACTTAATTTGCTAAATCTTTCTGAACCTGTACGAGATAAGCGAAAAAGCCATGAACCACGGTCACGCGTGTCTCGCACTTCCCAACCTTCACCATGCATGCTCTCACTAAAGCCTGTCTTTTTTTTCCTTTACATATTTTAAAATCATAATACCATAATTTGCACTAACTACTATGGTAAACCCGTTTATGTTATACTCAATTTTTTTTTTTTTTTTTTTTGATATACTCAACTTAGTTGTCAATTTAATCCGTAAGACATAGATTTAGGAAAGAATTCAATTATTTTTGAAGTTATGGTAATAACTCAAATTCTATTTCCTGCCTTGAATAATACTTAGTACAATATCAAAAACAAATCTCTTAACTTAATTACATGATATGCAGAATCATCTACGTAAACACTTTCTCATTTTTATCCATTTTAAAATATTTCTAATCCTCTTGCCTTTTCAATTAATTATCACTAAACAAAAAATATTATTCCCACAGTCAAAAGAAGCCAAACCGATTAAAAAAAGTGGCGCGTGAATATCACGCTTAAATGACCGATCGGTTCCACTGAATTTTCTCAGAGATTCTCTTCTGAAAATGTTTTTTGTTTTTTTTTATGTCAAAAGAAAAAACGAAAAAACTTTGCCAGAAATGATAAAAAATTTGGAAAAGAAAATTCCATAAATGAGTTAATTGGGCAGTCTTGAAGATCATCACAGTTTTTTCAGAAACCAACGATATATAGGCTTAGATTCTCTTTTGCCATCTTCCTCCTTTTGCTCTGCCAGAAAACTTTTGTCTCTCTCTCTAGTAATAATATCCTAACGTTGTGTGTTACTCTGTTCTTCTACTTCAATTCCTAATCCCTGACGACGATGACTATGGAACAAGAAATTGAAGTCTTGGACCAGTTTCCGGTGGGGATGAGAGTTCTTGCTGTTGACGATGACCAGACTTGTCTCCGTATTCTCCAGACTTTGCTTCATCGCTGCCAATACCATGGTTTGGTTCCTTCTTACTCTCCTTGTTTTTTTTTTTTTTACCAATTTCTTGATGTTTTCTAGATTTTGGATTTGGCTACAAAATTTAGCCTCAGATTCGTTTCTTGTCATAAGACCATAAGTCGATTCCTCTCTAGATTATATGTTTTTAAAGACGAGCTTAAAGAATCAATTAAGATTATTTAGCTAGATTCACTCTCTGCATATTTTTTTTACTTTTAAAAATCCATGCTTCAGATTTTATTGCTTAACATGTGTTTCAAAGCTCATTGGTTCTTGCTTTTGAGGTCGTTGGATTTGAAACAGTCTCTTGTTCTGTAAAAATTGAGACTTTGGGGAATTCTTACATATTTGATTGCTCCACTTGTGTCACAGAGCTCATTGGTTCTTACTTTACTTTTTTTGAATGAGTAAAAACTGAGACTTTGTGGTTAATTGTAACTATTATAATGTGCAGTTACAACAACGAACCAGGCACAGACCGCATTGGAGTTGTTGAGGGAGAACAAGAACAAATTTGATCTCGTTATTAGCGATGTTGACATGCCAGACATGGATGGTTTCAAGCTGCTTGAGCTTGTTGGTCTTGAAATGGACTTACCTGTCATAAGTATGAAGCTTTCCTTGTTCTTGTTCGTTTGATTCCATCGAGCTTTTCATAGTTCCTAGAGAAAGTTTTGATCTTTAGACCGACTTGACTACGTGATTTTTTAATATGATGATTGATTCTTGCAGTGTTATCTGCGCACAGCGATCCAAAGTATGTGATGAAAGGAGTTAAGCACGGTGCCTGCGACTATCTGCTTAAGCCGGTTCGAATTGAGGAGCTCAAGAACATATGGCAACACGTGGTGAGAAAGAGCAAACTTAAGAAGAACAAGAGCAGTGTGAGTAATGGTGCAGCAAATTCTGATAAAGCAAACAGAAAACGTAAAGAACAGTATGAAGAGGAGGAAGAGGAAGAAAGAGGGAATGAAAACGATGATCCAACGGCACAAAAGAAACCTCGTGTTCTTTGGACGCATGAGCTGCACAACAAATTCCTAGCAGCTGTTGATCATTTGGGAGTTGAGAGTAATGTTTCTTGATCTCTCTACCTCTAGTTTTCAATTAGCTGTGAGTCATGTTCTGATTTAAGTATTGATGATGCAGAAGCTGTACCAAAAAAGATTCTTGATCTGATGAATGTTGACAAACTCACTAGAGAAAATGTTGCAAGCCACCTTCAGGTGAGAGTTAGACTGTTAGAGTATGATTCTTTTGATTTGGTTTGTTAGTGTTAATATTATTCCGTTAAAGACAATTGCAATGTGTTTTGGTTGCAGAAATTCCGCGTTGCTTTGAAAAAGATGTCTGATGAAGCCAATCAACAAGCTACCAGGGCGGCCATTGAGTCACAGTTGATGCAAATGAGTTCTCACAAAGGACTTGGCGGCTTCTACCACCACCGTGGAATACCTGTTGGATCCGGTCAGTTTCATGGTGGAGCCACAATGATGAGACATTACCCTTCAAATAGGAATCTTGGTCGTCTAAATTCCTTTGCAGGAGAAATGTTCCAACCAGTCTCATCATCGTTTCCTCGTAACCACAATAATGGAGGAAACACACTTCAGGGATTGCCACTTCCGCAACTAGAAGAGCTGCAGATCAACAACAACATCAACAAGGCTTTTCCAAGCTTTACCTCACAACAAAACTCTATAATGGTTGCTCCCAATAATCTCTTACTTCTCGAGGGTCACCCGCAGTCATCATCGCCAGGATTTTCTCCTCACTTCGAGATGAACAAGCGTCAAGAACATTGGTCAAACACTGTATTGTCAACCAACATTCCACAGAGTGATGTTCATTCAAAACCTGACAACTTGGAATGGAATGCGTTCTGCGACTCAGCCAGTCCGCTAATAAACCAAAACCTGGATACAAATACGACATCTTTCTGCAGAAACACGGATTTCAGATCCACAAATGCTGCACAAACAGACTTCTTTTATCCATTACAGATGAATCAGCAGCCTACAAACAACTCAGGTCCAATGACAGAAGCTCAACTGTTTAGAAGTAGCAATCCAAACGAAGGTTTACTCATGGGACAACAGAAGCTACAGAGTGGTTTCATGGCTTCTGATGCTGGTTCCTTAGATGATATAGTCAACTCCTTAATGACACAGGTATAAAATAAAACCATTTCCTTTGCTTCCTTTTTCACTTGAAGATTTCTGAAGATTGTCTCTTTGAATGCAACAGGAACAGAGCCAATCTGAATTCTCAGAAGGTGATTGGGATTTGGATGGTTTAGCTCACTCTGAACATGCCTATGAGAAACCCTATTTTCCCTTTTCCTTGTCAGCTTGAGAAACTGTTTTATTCAGACACAATCAATTATTATTATCTTTTGGTTCTGTCTCTTCTCTCTTCTTTGTAATGAAACTGTAAGCTCTTGTTTTACATCTTCCCCAATGATTTGAGCAACTTTGGAAGATCCAAAATCCATAAATAAAATTCAAAGTGCCCTCTCTCTTTGCTACTAATGTTAAGATGTCTTGAAGAGGATGGCAAAGTCTTGGTGTCTAACAGTCTAAGTACAAAATAAAGTTAAAATCTAAGTAGTACAAATCATTGTACTACCAGCCTAAATCGGCCCCATATGCCCAATAACCTTGGCTTAGGTGTCAACCACCAACATTGGCGACCTTAAGACAAAAGTCTACAAAGAAACATATAACTTTATAATTATTTATCCAGAAATGCAGGAAGCAAATAAAGCCTATCACGAAAAATAAAAGTGAAAACGACAAATACAAAGCAGAGAGATGTCATTAAATTATACATCATCATAACCCAATTACAATAAAGTGTCTTTATCGCACACGCATGCATATAGAGGAGCCATCATCATATTCATACTATATACTAACACAAAATAAGTAAGTTACAAACATTCTACTCATTTGATTAATTATCACCAGCTAATATATTAGCAATCAAGGAAATGATTTGTAAAATCATTAAGATCTCGTGGGTCCAAACCAATCCTCACAAGAACACCTTTAGCATCTTTAGGGTTCTTCATGAAATAAGCAACTTGTGGCACCGGTGGACACAATGGTGCCACGTAATCCGCTGGCTCGCCGCCGTTGCCAAAGCCAACATTGTGAAATGGCATTTTTGTCCAGTCGGAGATTAGGGTTAGCTCTTTGAGAGGAGGGAGATTTCCGTCATTACTTTGATCACTACCTCCAAGTGCTTCCATGTAAGAGTTGATGTAATCTTGGTCAACTGACTTCTTGGCTTCTCTGATCTTGTTGACTATTGACTCGAGTGTTAGTTCTTCGAGTAATTCTCTGGTGGTGGAAGCCACCGAGGCAAGCACGTAGGCGTTGCCGGAAAAACCTTCTGGCAGCGGCGACTCCGTCCTCTTCCTTATGTCCACCGCGAATTGTAAACACACCATGGCGTCTCTCCTCAACCCTAAAGCCCTTGTTCTTGCCTGCAAAATTATATAATACGATTAATATTAATGTTTCTTACTTTCTTGTAATTTTTTAATTCGTACTATAAATTTTAAAAATATTCATCATAAAATGTTTTGAAAATTTTAAAACGCAAACCTAAAGGAGGGTCACAAGAACCCTTCTAGTGATTAGTGAAAAGTGAAAGCAGCAATTTGTAAAATAAATTTATTGAAATTACCTTCCACAAATGAGCAGCAAGAAACTCGAAGGAGGTGCACAAGAGCCCTTCTAGTGATTTCTTCATCATGCTTTCTATCGCTTCTCCATTAAGCTCGAACGTTTTGATCACAAAACCAGAGTCGAGCAATTCAAAATTACGGTTTTGCTCCTGATGGGTCATCATCGCCTGTTTGATCAACTGGTACAAATGACAAATGGCTGCAGCATTGGTTACTCGGATAGCGTCCCGGTTCAACAGTAGATTTCCTCGATCATGAACCGGTTTGATGACCAGATTATCCTTTTTACTAGTAATCTTGGCATTGGAATATTTGTTGTGAATGTGAGAGTTGAAAGCCCACGCGTGAATGAATTCGTAAGCTGAGATTCCATCAAATAGTGAGTGGCTTGTACCGATTCCTATTGAGTAACCTCCACATGCAAATCTTGTCACCTACATTTATTATACATCGATATATCATCAAATAATTTTAGGCGTTTCATATCTTTTTTGAAAAAATATATTAAAATGCTCTTTTATAAATTTAGTGATTCTTACAAATAATCACTTTAGCTTAGCATACACATAAATTAAAAATCCATCCAATCTTTAATTATAGTAAAAGTATATTATATCTTTTTAAAAAAATATAATTTCATTTATATGGACGTAGATATTTGCGTGTAAAGGTTTGCTAGAATGTATGTATGTTCTAATTTGAATTTGATCTCAAAATTCCTTATTATATGTTAACTCAGCTAATGAAATGTTTGTGCTTAGGCTTAATCCAACTGGCCAGGAATCGTATTGATGAAAACTTTAGACATCTAGATCTAGTGAGGTACACGTATATAATTAAATCTTGATATATATATACATAGTAACATAGAATACTAACATTTTTACAGGTAATAATTCACAATTCTTGAGAAAAGAATTTTACCTGAGCAACAACAAGAGGCATCACAGAGAAATCACCATCAAAGGAAGGCTTGTAAACCAAATTCTCATATAACTCATTGTACTGAGTCAAATCACCAATCTCGGACAACTTGACACCTGTCGCCACCGCCTCCACCATGACTGCCCCACCATCATTACACCGGATGTTAAGCTTGCAGCCACCTCCGTCCAAACTCAGTCTCCCTGCCGCGGGATACCACACAGACAAAGTCTCCTCCAGCCCGAGTTTCAGGTCGGAGAAGACGGAGTCAAAGTCACGACTTGTGGTATTCTTGTAGAAGAAGACCGAGTACATGAGTAAAGGACATTGACGGTCCAAATTGGAGAGAGTGATTAGTTTCTTCTTGTCATGGTTTTGAAACCTTGGATATACATTAAGCTTTTGGATTATATCGATACGTGTAGCCATTAACATGTGCATGTGTTTAAGAGTAGAATGTAAAATGTGGGTGTGTGTGAATGTAATAAGTAAGATGTGTAATGCCTATATATATACGAGAAGATACACTAAAGGAGCTTAATCTTATGCCAAGGAGCCACTCTATGTGTCTCTTGAGATAGTTATGGGGGTTTATTTTTATTTTTATTAATAATCTAATTTTCATGGAAGTGCTCTATACTTGAGGATGATTAGTTTCAACACTACTTATCTTTTCCTTACTATTGGTCGTGTTTTATCATTTTGTTATTTAAATTCGAATACAAATGATTGTAAAGATACCTCCGTTTTGCATATTTTATGCTATTGTGATATAGAAAAGCAAAAGCCTATAATGTGCTCTTTGGCATAGGCTTTAAATTAGGTTCACACACACATGAATTTATTTTGAAATATTAGGAGACAAAAAACATGATACAAGAAGAGTTTTTACTTTTTATTTTCTTTATGTGTTCATTAAGCTAAATTTTCTGAAGAAAACAAGTCTAGTATAGAAGTAATACATATATTTTGGTTGATAATGCGGTGTGAATATATCCTAAGTATAATCTGTCTAACACTTGCACAATGTGTCAATTGCTAGGTGAAATGAAAAGACTGTACACAATCATACAAACCCTACGACCTCCATCACGGGGATGCTATCTTCCCTAAGACCTTATCATGAACTTTTTTTTTTCTTTTAAAACTTATTACATCAAAGGTCAAATATAACTATTGTTGCAGATAAAAAGCAACTACAGTTGTCTTCATTATAGCCTCGTGTTGTTTCAACACAATATATGCGTTTACGTACATGAAAAAAAAATTACGAAACAAGTCACATCTTTAGTACTGTAAATATTACTACAACATGTAAATGCAGACGCCAAACTCAAACCAAAGAAACCTTCCGTTTATTTTTAGTGTTCATCATGTTTATAATTAGTAGTTCACATACACACAGAAAATAAAATCTCGTTACGGACCAAAAACCAAACAATTTAAGGAGAAAGGACACTAATCAATAATTGCCTCTAAATATTTATTACTCCACTATCTTTGATTATTCGGCCACATAAAGAAAATTAAAAATAAAAGTTCCCATTCGTAAGAAGGAAGCCTGAATTTAGGAAGCATCACAGCCTGGCTTGTCCCTTCGGTGTATATCACTTTGAAACATACATATGTATATCCAACTATCTTTACCGTATATACACGAAACGTACGGACTGAAATGCGTAAAACACGTGTATGCATGTATATAGCTGTATATGAGAATTAGTCTTATACATTGAATTCAAGAAGCTACTATGTGCATCTATACAGATTTAGATCATTATTAACTACTCCATTTAAATTGTATATGCAAAGTAAAATTTGTATATGTATAATGTATTATAGGTATAATAGTATATTTTACTCTAAGATGAGTAAATGTATAAAAGAGTAAAAGTGGAAAAGAGTGGAGAAGTAGGTATATGTTTGGGAGTTGGAGTAAGCGTGGATTTAAAGCCTCTCTTTTGTCTCCTCTTTCCCACCATTTTCCCTGTTTTCTGCAGCTCCTCTCTTTTCCTCTTTTCTCTTTTTGTATTTCCCATTTCTATTTATTTTGTTTCTTAATTTGATTACTATATCTTTATCAAAGCGAAGACTACAAAAATAAATGCGATCAAATCCAACCTAAATGATATGGTTAGGGAATGTTCTTTCCATGTATATCTAAATTAGAGAAATCAATACGTTATATAACTATACATACAGTATGTGTCTTGGGTTTTGGGAGAGCTCAAAAGACATTTATTTGGTTCACTTAAAAGAAGATGATCATCAACCATGAAATCTTTTTAAAACAAAAGACATGAAATGATTAGTTTTGGCATTAACAAAGATATCAGTGGCAAAACTTTTTCTTTGAGCTCGATGGTGTTTGGATTTATTTCAAGTTGTGTGTGCATATTTGATCAAGAGTAGTAGTTTCAATCTAGTTCAACTATACTTATCCAATGAAAAAACACGATAATCATAATTTCAGTTTCAATCTATTGCTAAACATATCCAGAGTATAGATCTGGTTCTATTTTGGTCATATGTCAGCTTTATACTTGAGAAACTATAAAGAGACAAATATGATTAAAAGATACTCTGCAACTCAAGAACTGATAAATCAAACTAGATTGTTCCAAGATAAATGTATGCAAACAAATTCAGCAAAAGGTAACTTAATTTAGCACATCTCTGCTAAATAGAGAAAAGTAATTAAAATTCAGCCAACTCCCAAACAGTAATGAAAGAAGTAACAATGATTCTTGATGTATGAATCAATCCAACACAATAACGTTATCCGCTGCATCCATCTCAACATCATGATCTGTCCCGGCGCTTCTGGAATGACTCCCCTTCAGCATTCGAGTCAGCGGTTGATTATTGAAATATGTCTGGAATGACTCCCTTGAGTTCTCATTAACTCTCTGGAAATGTGCGGAGAGAGAGATAAGTTAAAATGTGTTCTTAATGTAACTATATATCAACGAAAATAGAAAGGTGTTTACCTGATTGTATGGTTGAGCCACTTCAACCCTAGCTTGCTTGTTGTTAACGGCAGCTGCAGAAATTTCTTCTGGAACTGCAAGATTAAAACGTCCCTGTTAGAACCAAAATCTGAAGAAATCTATCCATTTGGAACTGTAGAATCTTATCACGACACATACTGATGGGATCATTCTTAGGCAGTCCATCAGGCATTTCTTTGTCCGCATCTACAAAGCTTGTTCCCGCTGTATCCGTCACCTTTGTTCCTGCTTTTGCTTGTTGCTTCTCTATATTTTCCTGCAACCAAAAATCTATAGAGATGAACAAATGTAGCAAGTAACAAGTGAAGACAAAAAATGATTAATAATAGTGAGTCGTCAGCACAAAAACGTTACGTACTGCGTACTCTTGCATCAGCGCGGCTTCCAGAACCGTAACCCGTCTTCTCACTTTGTCACTTAATTTTCCCCGAATAATCTTTATTAGACCTTTGTCAACAGCAGCATTATTATTCTCCGCCATACCAGTTTCGTTAATCAGACTACTGTCTGTTTGTTCACCACCAGACAAACTTTTGTAAGGGAAAGGGTAGCCCCAACGTCTGCAGAGAGCCTCTTCGACCGGCCTGAATTCTTCATCATCAATGATTTTCAGCCATGATCCATGCCCATGCCTACATTTTATAAAGTTTTCACAAGGTTAAAACAACATAGGAGCAAGCGAGTGAAAACATTGCATGTAAGGATCATCTTTGAAGGGTTCTTACTTGAAGACACCACGGACCAGTATCTTGTCATATTCGATTTTCTGCCAAAATGTTTGTTTTGACTGGAACGATCGGTAGATGTGGGCAGGGGAAACATCTTTTGTAGGATTGTCTTCTAAATACTTACACTGTCGTCACATCAAAAACTTAGTATTAAGCTCAAACAAACAATAGCGGCACAAACACAATTTTATATCAAACAAGAAGCTTATAGAAACCACAGACCAAAAGTGAAAAGATTAAAAAAGATTTGGAAGTCATGGTAAATATTTATATATGAAGCAGAAATAACCAAGTGTTGTTATACCTTCTCCTTAAATAGCGAAAGAAGAGCAATCCTGACACGTACATCGTCAGGTTTGTCATTTTCTATAGGGACTCCATCTGCAGAAATCATAAGATACCAATAAAAAAAACAATTGATTTATGTAAAAAGGGCAACAAACAAATGAAAAGAGATAAGTTATAAATCACCAGAAAACGTTTGAGAACTATCTCCAATATCTTCGGACATATGCTTGAGAAAGAGTAATCCATAACTAAGAAACAAACAAGAAGTAGTTAGTGAAAAAAATATTGGTTCTTTGCAAAGAACAAATGATAAGAGAAGAGCATAAATACGCTTTTATCTCGTCAAAGGTCTTGAACTTGAAGCGAGGAATGAAAGGAATAAACTTCTTCCAATCATTGTTGTCAAGTCCGTACCTACAAAATTTGTTTTGAAGATACTGAGGATACAATTCTGATGTTTTAATTTGAGAGACACCAGTGCACTGTGCACAAATTTAGACGACATTATTTTTCTCTATGAGACCTTATCAGAAAGAAGATATACCTCATAAACGTATACGAAAATCTTTTCCTTTCATCTTTGTCAAAACCCAGCACCTTGAGAGATTCCCCTTCGCCTTCCATCAAAGGTCTTGGCCCTGAGTGACCTTACAGAAAAAAGATTAAAAAAAAGTTAAGCATTGACATCCTTTTGACACCAATGATGTCTCAATGATATATTGGGAAATATATGTTATAATTAAAGAATAGTACGGCGAGCCCTTTTTCTGTAAGGCTTTGTAACCGTCCTTGGCTTTCTCTTTCGAGCTGCTTTAACAACAGTTGGCTCGGCGTCATCTGCTTCCTCCTTCTCATCAGAGGTCACTTCTAAACCACCAAGATAATCTTCCTCCTTCCCATCAGAGGTCACTTCTAAACCATCAAGATCATCTTCTTCAACATACATCACCTAATAAAATTAACAAGAAGAGGAATAAGAACATCTTTGCTAAAGGATATGAAACGATTCTGGAGAGGTTGGAACAAGAAGAGTATACCAGCTGCTTGCCGTTTCGCTTCCTCTTTGCAAGAGCATTGAGCTCCTCGGCTTGTTGCACTTCATATTTGTCTTTTAGCAACTCTTCCCAATGACTTGTTCTATCTGAAGATTTGTTTTCTATAGCTTGTGCCTCCTCTGATGCTGCAGTTACTCCTTGTGCCTCCTTTAATGCTGCAGCCTCATTTCATTTATATACCCAAAACTGGCCACCTAATATATATACAGGACATAACATCAAAAAGAGAAATTATGTATGGAATTTATGCCACTAAATATCAATATATAACTTAATTCCAGGAAACAAAAAGGTGTATATATATGCATGCACACAAGATGATTTTGTGGCACAACCATGTAATTAATTATATATTACTCTCTCAACACTTTATCACTTATTCGAAGGAGATTTATCTGAACAAAGACATACCTGGTTACTCCCGACTGTTCTTTCAACTTGTTGTTGAACAAAGTCTTCATCGAAATCGTCTTCTGTATTAACTGGATCTGGCCCGGTTCGTAGACGAAGCCAGCTTTGCACCCAATTAGCCATTTCTCTGCATGAAAAAACCACAACAATATTTTCGGTCAGTAAATTCATAAATATTTAGATAAATCGTATAACAATAATCTACCTTAAAAAAATGAAAAAAACAAGAGGATCAAGTGCAACGAAATATTTTAGAAAATCTAAGACGAAGGAGGAGCGTATACGAAATGAAGCAAATGCAAAAGGAGCTAAAACGCAAGAGGGTCCTTCTTATCTTACGGATACGACTAAGACGTCTATTTATGATTTTATATAGAGAGAGGGAGTGGTCATATGATCTTTTTAATTTTGTTTATGGAGATAACTCTACCTTTTTTGCCAATCTCAGTGTAAAGATGAATTAATTTGTAACCAGAAGGGGGTGCCGGATGCTGTTGTGGTTGTCACAAATTTATAGAAGTGAGTATTAGTGGTTTTGTGAATGGCAAGGGTAACGAAAACCGTTAAGATTTCGCGGCAATTTGATATGTCAATGAGAAGTTCGGTAATGATGTAAGTTAAATTATTAAAGTACCAACAGTGAATAACAAATTGTAAATATCATAAAACAAAAAGGTTATTTTATTTATAAAAAAAGTTGATGTGATTTATTAAGTTCCTTGACACTGGTCAACCTATACATTTATATTTACATTTACATTTAAAGTAACATTAATAATATACATATTTGGGAAAGAAATAATTTAAAGTTTTTTTAATTAAGATTCATTTCTGAATGGGTTGACCAAAAAAAAAAAGATTAATTATATCGTTAGTATCTAAAGATAATTGTCTGAAAACAATAAATGAAACTATAATAAAAAAAATCTATTAATATGGAAGAAGCATTCAAAATGGAAAGTATGAAAAAGGTATAAAAGAAGAAGGAAAAAAGAGTAGATTCATTGATTCAGATTTTTTGAAAAAAATTAACATTATCTTGACCACAAACAAAATTAGTCGTCCGTTCAAATTGGAAAGAGATTTGCTTGTGACCAATAGTATGAAGATGGTTTACTTAGTTTTCCAATACTTTAGAGACAAGTGGCCCAAACTTTGTCTTTGTTAGATTTTTTAAGAGGTCAACGTTTTAATTATGGATATTGACATATTATTAACTAATAAAGTATGTATGACTGGCAAATTAAGTGAAACAGTTATTGTGGTGTGGCCCTGATTTAAACTAAAATTAAGAAGAAAAAAAAAACTATATATGTAACGTTGGTGCGGTTCATGTGTGACCGTGTTGTAATTATATTCACTAGATTACAGTTCTTATCAAAATGTCACAAAATTTTAACATTTGTCGATGAACTAGAGTTTTTCTTATCTTAATTTAAGAAATTTAGTAACAAAATATATCCTAATTAATTTGATTTTTTCTATTAAAAATTATTATTTTTGATTTTTAACAGGCTAGCAAAAACAAATGTACAAATTAACAAGAACACAAAACAAATCTACAAAATATAAATTAACAAGAAGACAATAGAAGGCCCAACTAGGGAAGAGAAGCCCATCCTGATGAAACTGAAGCATTTCCCATGGCTTCTAGAGTCTTCAAGGTTGAGCAACGAGTTAGTAAATCATTGAGCCGAAAGTAGGAGATTAGTGCGAGAACCACTGTTGGATCATTGTCGATGATTGAATAGGATTCTGTTATCACAAGCTAGAGATTTTACTAGTTAAATTGAAACTTTTACTAAACAGAGTATAAGATCTGGTTCTATTTTGGTTCATATACGCTTTATACTTAAGAAACTATAAAGAGACAAATATGATTAAAAGATACTCTGCAACTCAAGAACTGATAGCAATTATATTAGGTTGTTCCAAGATAAATATGCAAACAAATTCAGTAAAAGGTAACTTAATTTAGCCCATCTCTGCTAAATTGAGAAAAGTAATTAAAATTCAGCCAACTCCCAAACAGTAATGAAAGAAGTAACAATGATGCTTGATGTATGAATCAATCCAACACAATGACGTTATCCGCTGCATCCATCTTAACATCATCTTCCTTCACAATGCTTCGTTCTTCAACCAAGTCCTTCATCTCAACATCTTGATCTGTCCCGGCGCTTAAGCTCCTACTTATTCTTTCATTGATACGTTTCAGAGGTATAACGCTCTCCCTCAGCATTCGAGTCAGCGGTTGAATATTTAAATATGTCTCGAATGACATCCCTGAGTTCACATAATTAACACTCTGGAAATGTGTGGAGACAGAGAGAGATATGATGTTAATATGGGTTCTTAATGTAACTACCCGCGAAAAGAGAAAAGTGTTACCTGATTGTATGGTTGAGCCACTTCAACCCTAGTTTGCTTGTTGTTTACGGCAGCTGCAGAAATTTCTTCTGAAACTGCAAGATGAAAACTTCTCAGTTAGAACCAAAATCTGAAGAAATCTATCCATTTGTAACTGTAGAAACGTATCACGACACATACTGATGGGATCATTCTTAGGCAGTTCATCAAGCATTTCTTTGTCTGCAGCTACAAAGCTCGGTCCCGCTGTATCGATCACCTTTCTTCTAGCTTCTGCTTGTTCCTTATGTACATTTTCCTGCAACCAAGTATCAATATAGATGAACAATGTAGTAGTAACATGAGAAGACAAAAGATTGACATTAGTGAGTCGGCACAAAATGTTACGTACTGTGTACTCATACTTGATCGCATCCTCCATCTTCTTAAACCGTTTTCCCACATGGTCGCGAATTCTTTTAAGAGAATTTTCAGCATTTGTGTAAGGTAAAGGGATATTCAGGTCTTTGCAGGCAACCTCTTGGAACCCTATCTCTTCGTCTTCAACGATGGCCGTCCAGTTTCCATATCCATGCCTATATTTTTACCAAGTTTCAAGAATGGAAGCAACATGCATGTGAGCAAACAAACAAGAGAGAAAAATTCAAGTAAGGATATCTTTGAAAGGTTCTTAGTTCTTACTTGGCAACAGCAGGAATCAATATCCTATCATGTTCTTCCTTAGAAAATGCTCCACTTCTCAAATTGTACTTTCTGATGCTGTAGTCACGGAAAACGGGTGCTGTCGGATGGTCCTCCAAAAATTGACACTGTCACATCAAACATTGAGAAGTGAGCTCAAACAAACAGGAGCGGACCACAGGCAAAAGCCAAAAATGTTTTTAAAAAGCTAGGAAAGAATGCAATGAATCTTCTCAAGTTTTGGTTCAACACAAGTTATGACCACGGTTACTAGTGCTAATAACTAACTGTTTAAATTCTATCGACACTGGAAAATGGTAGGCTTACCTTCTCCTTTAATAGCATCATAAAAGTCATGCTCATTAGTAGCTCGTCACTTCTTATCCCTTCTTTCGGAACTCCATCTGCAGAGACCATTGCGGTAATAACTTAAAAATAGGATAACAGAAATAAGCAAATGGATATATCTAAACAGAAAAATACCTGAGAAAGTTGTAGAATTATTGTTAGAGTTTTCGGCAATGTGTTGCAAAAACAATATTCCATACCTAAGAAACAACAAATTTAACAAGTGTTAATGAAAAACTATTGGTTTTTGTAAAGCAGCTGGAAATAAGAGCATAAGTGGCTTAAATCATTACTTATTTATCTCGTCAAAGGTCTTCATATGTAAGGGATGAATAAACTCCTTCCAATCAAAGTCTCCAGCTCCATACCTACAAAAGTTGCTTTGAGACACTTAGATACACTATGATGCTTTGAGAGACGACATTATTATTTTCATTTTTTGTGAAGAAGACCTTATTAGAAAGAAGATATACCTCTTAAACGTACGTAAAAAGATTTCCCTTTCAGCCCTGTTAAAACCTAGCACCTCGAAAGATTTCCCTTCGCCTTCTATCAAAGGTAACTCCGATTTATCTTACAACAAAAAAATATTATCGTCAATGCTATATTTGGAAAATTATAGTACCGCGATTCCTTTTTCTGTAAGGCTTTGTAACCGTCCTCGGCTTTCTCTGTCGAGCTGCTTTAACAACAGTTGGCTCGGCGTCATCTGCTTCCTCCTTCTCATCAGAGATCACTTCTAAATCATCAAGATAATCATCCTCCTTCTCATCAGAGTTCCCTTCTAAACCATCAAGATCATCTTCTTCAGCATACATCACCTAATAAAATTAGCAAAAAGATGAATAAGAACATCTTTGCTAAAGGATATGAAACGATTCTAAAGAGGTTGGATCAAGAAGAGTATACCTGCTTGCCATTTCGCTTCCTCTTTCCAAGAGCATTGAGCTCCTCGGCTTGTTGCACTTCATATTTGTCTTTTAGCAACTCTTTCCAATGACTTGTTCTATCTGAAGATTTGTTTTCTATAGCTTGTGCCTCCTCTGATGCTGCAGCCTCATTGTCATCTATATACTTAAAAGTGGCCACCTAATATATATACAGCACATAACATCAAAAAGAGAAATTATATTTGGGGTTAATGCCACTAAATATATGTATCAGTATATAACTTAATTGCAGGGGAACAAAAAAGATGTGTATGCATGCACAAAACAAGATAATTTTTATAGCAGATCCATGTAATTATTACTCTCTCAACACTTCTTCACATATTCGAAGGAAATTTATATGAACCTTAAGCAACTGATCAATAACCACTCATCCAGAAGAAACAAAAAAAAAACTAGTAAACAGAGAAAGAGAAAGAAGAAAACCTTGAAATTCTTTAAGAAACCATTATCCTCCTCATCATCCAGTGAGACCTCCTTAGCATCTACATGATCACGGTCAAGCAACCTGCAGAAGAAAAGGTGGATATAAATCATGAGCATTCCATGAAATGCCTTGAGCTACTAAAGTAGAATCACTAAGAAAGTGAAAACAAAGAAAGCAAAAGAATATCTTACTTTTCAATAGCAGCATCATCATAATGGATTTTTCCAGACTTCCCTGCTTCATCATTCTCTTCAGAGAAAAGCTCCTTAGAACCATATTTGATGATGTCATCTAACTCGTCCTAAATTACAGGGAAAGAAACAGTCATTAAACCTTGTCGCAGTAAGAACCAATAAGCATGTAAACAATAAATTCATACCTGCCGAAGATTTGGGTTTTCCATATTCCCCACTACGAGATGCTCTAGAAGCATCTTCTTCTTAGTAATCTCCACTATCCGTTCTTCCACCGTACCTCGGTGAATCAGCCGGTAAATCATGACCTACAGAAGAAAATATAGGCTTAATCAGTGACATGGAAAAAGAATGAAATAGCAAGTCGATGATACCACATTGACGCCATGAAAAAATAACCTTATTTGTTTGGCCAAGACGATGAGCTCTAGCCATAGCCTGGAGATCAGCATGAGGATTCCAATCACTACAATAAAACCAGTGAAAAACATGTCAATAAATACATCAAAACCATCTTCCATGCCTCTACAATATATTTCTGCTATTAACTTAGAAGATCCAAAAAAAACACTTTATTTTGGAAACATATTTCCAACAAAGCTTTTTATCATTTCATCAAACAGATATTGGAACTCAAACCTGTCATAAATGATGACTGTATCAGCTGTTGCAAGGTTTATTCCTATTCCACCAGCTCTTGTAGTGAGCAAAAAACAGAACCGGTTAGAGTTTTCTGCATTAAACCGATCTATGCGTGCTTGCCTCTCAGCTCCACCGACCTTTCCATCAATCCGTTCATAATTCCAACTCTGAAAAATGAAAAGAACTTTCCTTAACTGCATAATAAGCAAGATATAAAAGAAAGTATATAGCCAAGTAGCTCTGGTAATCACTATGTTACTGTTCCTTGCGTCTCAAGATATATAAAAAAAGTAAACTTTTGAGTGGAAGGAAAAGATTTGTATCGCAAGACATTTGCATAGCAACAATACCAACTGAACAAGTAAATAGGTCGACGACACATAGATATAGCAAATTAGGCTACCTTGAAACTGCAGTAATCTTCGAAAAGGTCAAGCGTGAGTTGGAATTGTGAATAGATTAGCACTCTGTGCCCCTGCTCTTTGAGTTTGACCATCATTTTGTCTAACAATTGCAACTTTCCAGAAGCTTCCAAGAGTTTTCTTTAGAACAATTAATAAAAGTTCAAGCAAAAGTCAGCACAAAAAACTCAACAAAATACTAAAAAGGGAATCAATACGTCAAGATTTGTGATGAAATGTTACGTAAAAGCTTCATTTGCGTCTTCAAGTCTTGGCTCAACGTCTTTTAACAGATACGGATGAGAGCAAATTTTGCGTAATTCCATTAGCACGTTAGATATCTGAAACATTTTAACCAACACAATTATCCTACCAAATACAATCTAAAAGGTTCCCAAACCAAAATGATATCCACAAAACTTACTTTAGCACCTCGTTTCTTTGTCAAGACTTGATAATTATTGGTAATAACAGCTTTGTACACTTCTTTTTGCTGGCTGCTCAGATCAACACGCAAAATGAGCTCCTTCTTTGGGGGCATCTTATCCTTGAGCACGTCTTTCTTTAACCCTGAAATAACAAAACCAAGATTCACCATGGTCACTTGGTGAGAGACTTCAAACGAAAACTTTTTAGTAAGATTTTTGGTTAATACTTCTGAGCAGATGCGGAGCCAACATTTGGTGGAGTCTTGAAATCTGCTTCTCTTGATTTATATCCTTAAACTCCTCTTGAAAGTTCTCCATACTCGCAAACTGCAAGCACGGAAAAGAAAACAATTAAAGCAAGCTGTGCTAATATAATGACTATTTTTAGTGGATATACTATACTTATTTTATATGTCATATCTTCTGGCTAACCTTGGCCGCATCAAGAAAATGCATGAGAACGAAAAGTTCATTCAAGTTGTTCTGAAAAAAACACCAAATACTTATTAGTGATACAAAAGAATTGACAATATAATAAATATAGTACTATTTCAGAGATCATAACTAATTAGGTTAGCTTTAATGTAGGATAGAATAAACAGATTGTTCATCGGGAAAGTCAAAGAACCAAAAATCGAACCTGAAGTGGTGTTCCGGTCAACAGAACACGATGCTTACTCGTAAACTGATTCAATGAAGAGTATAGCTTTGAATCCTTATTTTTCAACCGATGGCCTTCATCAACAATCTAACCAAGAAAAATGATATATATACTATAAGCAAAATATGAGATATAGAAGAAAGACATAAAAACTATAGTATCATTCAGATAATAAATACCATGCACGTCCACTTGATTGGTTTCAGAACTGATGTGTCTTGGTTAATCATCTCATACGACGTGAGGAGGACATCAAACTTAATTTTACGCCATTTAGGGAAGTAGAACTCATGTTTCCAAATAACATCACGTGCTTCCGAAGTCCCAGTGTACATAACCTGCATTATCATAAGATGAAAACATTAATAAAAAAACTAACACCAGATACGTAATGTGTACGAAACAGGACACATACCACATTCATAAGTGGTGCCCAGGTGGCAAATTCCCTCTCCCAGTTACGGAGGGTTGAGAGAGGAGCAACAACTAGATGAGGAGATAAGTTTTCCTCGAACAAAGAAGCCAAGAAGGCAATGCTCTGAATAGTTTTGCCTGTAGCAACACAAAACCAATCTTATTTTACACAAATGATAAAAACAAAGCCTATGAATATATTCTTGAAGACGTACCTAGTCCCATTTCATCCGCAAGGATTACATTGGTTCCCTTGGACCATGAATGCTTTAAGAAATTCAGCCCTTCGAGCTGGTATGTATGCAATGTGCCTTAAAAACATAGAGCTAAGGGTAAGTACATCATAACAGTATACAGAAACTGTATAATAATAAGTTCAAGTAGTCTAATAAAATACCTGTAAGAAATTCAGGAGTATGATCAAACTCTTTGAATTCCTTTGGATTTCTCTTGTATCCGACATATTTATCTCTACGAGAGCGAGAGTTTATATCCTTAAACCTTTGAACTTCGTTCGGGAACTTTGAGATGACAGATTCTGATTCCCAGTAACTTTCTTCATAAGAAAGTTCTTTGTACTTAACTAGATACTCCTTAAAATCACCTCTTCCCCTACATATATCATCAGAAATAAAAACCCCATAATTGTCAAAACGAGATCCATCAAGTGTCACAATTTTCTATAAACACATGTATTAAAAAAAACAAAGGAAAAGACTTCAGTCACTTAACCGGCAAGCAATAATCCGGTCAACAGTTGTCCACTCAGGACGAATGGCAATATACTCATCTCCGTTCTCAGCGATGAATTTGTCCTTGTCAGCGTTAAATTTGTCCACCCTTGATTTTAATTTTAAACGAGGATGGGACTTGTAAGCCTTCTCGAATTCCTGCTCGGGCACCCTATGATTGGAAAAGGTAAATATACATCACTTGTTATCAGATAAGATTATCAGACAAGAGAAGCAACAAAAACTCCAAGAACATAACAATTGACATGTTTAATTAAATACAACTTGGCTATGATCTTACCAAGAGCAGTGCAGGTACGATTTTCCCTTCCACTTCACAAAATATTGTTTCACAAAAACTTGGGTTGGTGTCCCGTTGTCAGAAGAATCCGGATCGTTAGATGCAGTAGGACGCAATTCACGGTCCAAAATTGCTTCAACCTCGCCAAGAGGACAAACCTGGATCATATAATTATAGGTCACTGCATATCAAACCCAGGTAAATGTTTCACAATTACACAAAGACAGACCTCTTCTTTACTTCCGACTGTTTCTTCGAGAACAAAGTCTTCATCCATATCGTCTTCTGATGTGTAAACGGGTTTTGGCCCCGTTCGTGGACGTAACCTGCTGTGCACCAAACTAGCCATTTCTCTGCATGAAAACACCACAACAATGTTTTTTTGGTCAATAAATTCATTAAATTTTTAGATAAATCGTAACAATAATTGATCTACCTTAAAGAGTGAAAAGAAATATCTCAGAAAATCTAAGACGAAGGAGGAGCATACGAAATGAAAGAGAGCTAAAACGCAAGAGGGTGGTTCTTCCGGATACGATATTATATATAGAGAGAGGGAGTGGTCATTATTCTTTATTTATTTTTACTTTTGTTTTATGGAGATAACACTACCTTTTTTGCCAATTTCAGTGTAAAGATAAATTAATTTGTAACTGGGATGTGGATGCGGTTGTGGTTGTGGTTGTGGCTGTGGTTGCCTGAAATTTTTAGAAGTGAGTACTAAAAGTTTTTGTGAATAGGAAGGTAGCTAAAACCGTTAAGATTTCGCGGGAACTTTGAAATTTCAACGAGAAGTTCGGTAATGATATAAAGTAAAATTATCAAAATAACCATACATTAAAGAATCAAATATGTAAATATCATATAAAAAAGTTATTTTATTTTATTATAAAAAATTGATGTGATTTATTAAGTTTTCTTGACACTAGTCAAACTATAAATTTATATTTTACATGTCCATTTATGTAACGTAATTAAATATATATTACATATTTAGGGAAGAAAATAATTTAAAGTTTTTTATGTAAGATTAGTTGTCTGAATTGGTTGACCAAAAAGAATTCCACCGAAGGATTTAATTATATCGTTAATATCTAAAGATATGTGTGAAAACAAACAAATGAAACTAGAATAAAAATCTATCTATTCAATATAATGCGATTTGTTTCTATATAAGCAGAACATGTATTTAACAGGCATGCAAAATGGAAAGTATGAAAAAGGTTATAAAAGAAGAAGGAAATAAAGAGTAGATTCATGCACTTTAATTCTTAAAAAAAATATTAGCATTATCTTGACCACAAAACCAAATTAGTCGTGCGTTACAAATTGGAAAGAGATTTGCTTGTGACCAATAGTATGAAGATGGTTTACTTAGTTTTCCAATACTTTAAAGACAAATGGCGCATACTTTGTCTTTGTTAGATTTTTAAGAGGTCCACATTTCAATTATGGATATAGATATATATTATTAACTAATAAAGTGTATGCATGACTGGCAAATTAAGTGAAACGGTTATTGTGGTGTGGCCCTGATTTAAACCAAAATTAAGAAGAAGAAAACAAAAGTATACATGTCATACAACGTTGGTGCGCTTCATGTGTGCCACGTGTTGTAATTAAGTTTACTAGATTACGATTCTTATCAAAAACGTCACAAAATTTTAACATTTGTCGATGAATTGTATTTTGAAAATCTGAATTTAAGAAATTTTAGTAATAAAATATTTCCTAAATAATTTGATTATTTTCTATGTTAAGATTATTATTTTCGATTTTTTTCTAAATGTATTTTTTATATCTTTTTTTACTTTTCAAAAATATAAATTAACAGGCTGGCAACAAAAATAACAAGTACAGATTGTATATCATTATGGCCATATTGTATAGCATTTTATGGGGGAAAAATAAAAATGAAAAATTCGTTAGCTTAGAATAAATTAAAATACATTTCATAATAGAGTGATATATACAACAAGTTTGTCATTTCTTATTTTCTGCTGACCTTTTTTTAGCTAAACATATAGTTTTAAATAATTTCATTTGGTTCTTATGTCACATTTTAATAAATAATTTCATTTGGATTCAAGAAAACTTATGGAGACAGTTTTATTCTCGTCCAATCTTGAGATTCATATATATTTCGAGATATGTCATAGTTAGAAATTGTTTTTATTTGGTTATATCTCTGAGAATCCTTGATCAGTTTCGCTCCAATTGATAAACGTTTTTTACAAAGCTTTATATATATTTAAGTTAAAAGTAAGAGCAAAAGCTTTCATAGCTCAGTTGGTTAGAGCACCCGTTTAGTAAGCGGGAGGTCTTGAGTTCAACTCTCAATGAAAGCATTTTTTTGTTATTTTAAAATTAAAATTCCCTATTTATAACCCAGTCTAATCTTTCAATGACACACAACGAACCGGGCTGGCCATGAAAAAATTCGAATCCTACAACAAAACTCTTAGAGCATCCGCAGTGGTGTATCCTTGCGTGGGGTGTATTTATTTTAAAATACAGAAATAATGCAAAAGTTGTCTTTCTCTTCACACCCGGGTGTAAGTTTACACTCGGGTGTAAGACACTCTATCTCTCTCTTTCTTTCTCTTTCTTTTCTCTCTCACTTTAAATTATAATAATAAAAGAAATCTTACACTCCTCCCTCACACTTACACCACTGCGGATGGTCTTAGAGCATGTGTGCTGTGTGCAGTGCATAAAGACATTGAAAGTCTCTCGAATTTATTCGAAATATTCACCGAAATGTTTCAATCTTAAGTTGGGTTTGCAATGCAGGTTTTGGGAGTGGTTCGCAAAAAGAGAAGGATGTTTCTCTTTATGCTTGGGCCTGTGGCCTTTCTGGGCTTTGAAAGACCTTGTAAGTTGACGTAAAAACACGCATATCATTTGGAGGATTTTAAAAAAAAAAATACTCACCCAAATGTTTTTGGTGATAATGGGCTGAGTGCGCGTAGTGCGTACCAATAGAACTGTAGACGAAGGTTTGAGACTTGAGATAGTGATGTGACCAAACAACACACAACAGTTAAATCATTCTCAAATACTTCCAATGGATGTCCACTGTGAAGCATGAAATTTGCATTATTATTATTATTATTTTATTGAAAACAAGTTATTTTAGGTGTTTATTGAATAAATTTTGTAGAACCATCCTAAAAATAACCAAACCTTACTAAGAATAAAATAATGCACAAACATTTCCAAAGGGTTCTAAATCTCTTAGAATTTTTTTTATGAAATCAATCGTAGAAGAGTCTAAACATTTTTTGAAAAAAAAATTAAAAATGTTTTTACGGTGGTTTATTGTAAATGTTATAGAGAGAGTTATGGAGTTCTTATAAAAAAAAAACATTCTTTAAATTAATTTTTTTTGATAAAAATACTAAAGAAAAAGCCTCAATAGTAGTAGCAATTTACTGATTTAGTATCAAAATGATGGGACTTGTGTAGAACTGTAGAAGCTTCCCTGACACATTTGTAAATTTTGAACGGTTGAAATCAATGTTGGCCTCATTCACCCTTCTCTTGTACTTTCAAATAATTTTTCATAAACGATATCAATTTTTAAAATCGTCAATATACATAGAAAACGAACATAAAGAATTGACTTAAAATAATTGATAGAATAGCCTATCCGCGAGTTATTATAAGCCTGCATCCAAACACGGTCTTAGATTCTTTGATAAATCAATAAGTAAATTTATTTTCTTTTCTTTATAAAAAGAAGTAATCAACAGTCAACATTCGCTCTGTTTTCGCTTCCAAATAAACAAACAAATAAATATAATTCTTTCTTATAAATCTTTCGCACTCTCTCTTTGCTTGCTGGTGGTGCAAATGTAGGTTAAGCTTAAAAGAACTGATCGGAGATTAACAACAATGGCTAAATGTCACCGGAATAACATCGGATCTCTTATTCTTGACCGTGCTCCTTCCACTTCTTCTTCTTCTACTTCCGGCAACCATTTCCGTCTCTGGAGCACTTTCTCTAGATCCACATTCCGCAGAAAGATCGTCGACGCCGTCAGTTGCGGCGGTAGCTCACGTTACCGTCACGAGCTCCGGGAAGAGGACGATGAAGGAAGTTACGTGACGGTGACGGCGAAGTCAACAGTCGCATCGAAGGATGCAAAAGCCAACACGATCGGCGCGGCGTTGAACGGCGTAGCGTTCGAGGAGAAATCGAAGAAATCAGAGAAGCTTTGTGATCTGTTGAATCTAGCTGAGGTTGAAGCTGATGTTGAGACGAAGAAGAAAGAAGAAGCTCTTGAGGTGTTGAAGCGCGTGGTCAGAGAGTTACAATCAGCTGCGGCGGCGCGTGGAGATAACGATGACGGCGAAGACTGTCGGAAGAAATTAACGGCGGCGAGTGAGGTACGGTTGTTGGCGAAGGAAGACTCGGAGGCGAGAGTGACGTTGGCGATGCTCGGTGCGATTCCGCCGTTAGTTAGTATGATCGACGACTCGAGAATCGTCGAAGCTCAGATTGCTTCGCTCTATGCTCTGCTCAATCTTGGGATTGGTAACGACACGTAAGTCTCACTTCCATTACAAGATTTTAACCTGACATGAAATTTTATTTGCCATTGTTTTTGTTTGTTTGTTTTGGCCAAATAATTTCTGTGTTTGTCTTTGGATTCGTTCGTTAAGTCACTTTCCATGCCTTTTTTTTCCTGAAGTGATTATGAAGTATAGAACAATGTGCATAACTTGAAGCATTTATTTCAATCTTTTATCCATTTTAGACCTTCCCTGATTTTGCAGGAACAAAGCAGCCATTGTTAAAGCAGGTGCTGTTCACAAAATGCTGAAGCTAATTGAGTCTCCAAACACTCCTGATCAAGAAATTGCAGAGGCTGTGGTTGCCAATTTTCTTGGATTAAGCGCTTTAGATTCAAACAAACCGATCATTGGTTCTTCGGGAGCCATAATCTTCCTGGTGAAAACTCTTCAGAATTTGGATGAAACAAGCAGCTCACAAGCGAGAGAAGACGCCTTGAGAGCTCTCTACAATCTGTCAATCTATCAACCAAATGTGTCATTCATACTCGAAACGGATTTGATCACGTATCTCTTGAACACATTGGGAGATATGGAGGTGAGTGAGAGGATTCTCGCTATCTTGAGCAATCTAGTGGCTGTCCCAGAAGGAAGAAAAGCAATCAGTTTAGTGTGTGACGCATTCCCGGTTTTAGTCGATGTACTGAACTGGACCGACTCACCCGGATGCCAAGAAAAGGCGACTTACATTCTAATGTTGATGGCTCACAAGGGATACGGAGATCGACAAGCGATGATTGAGGCGGGAGTCGAATCAGCGTTGCTCGAATTAACCCTTTTAGGAAGTGCATTGGCGCAAAAGAGAGCCTCAAGGATATTAGAGTGTCTTAGAGTAGACAAAGGGAAGCAAGTCTTGGATAGTACCGGATCATGCGGAGCCTTATCCGCACCGATCTATGGGACCAGAGACAACGGTTTGGACCACGAGGAAAACGATTTGATGATGAGCGAAGAGAGGAAAGCCGTGAAGCAGTTAGTGCAACAGAGTTTACAGAGCAATATGAAGAGAATCGTGAAGAGAGCTAATTTGCCACAAGACTTTGTTCCTTCAGAGCATTTCAAGTCACTAAGTTTGAGCTCCACTTCAAAGAGCCTCCCCTTTTGAAAAATGTAAGTCTTCATCGTTAGACACATTGCTAATTAATTAGATTAAATTAAGTAGATTTGTCAGTCGCATAGATAAGTTTGTTAACTTTCTTCCCACGGCTTTATTGATTTGATGCTCTGTCTCTCACTCACTGACAATGGCATCAAAATGTAAATTTGGGTGAGATTAGAGGGCATTAACTTAGGCTCCGAATGGAGAAAGCGTATCGGGCGGAGCGGATCAAGCGGTTCAAACGTATCAAGCAGAACAAAAGCGGATCAAGCAGATCTAGCGTTACAAGTGCGGATCAAGCGGTTCGAACGCTTTAAAATATGTGTTGAATGGTGAAAGCGGATCAAAAAGTGCGGATGAAATATTTATATTATAAAAACATTAATTTTAAATAAAATATTTTACATAAACTATACATATTCAAAATTATGTTAAAATTATAGTAATTCAATGTACAAATATTTATATAATAACAATAATATTATTCAGTTTTTAGATCCAAATTTTATATATACCGCTTATGAAAGCAAAATTGGATAATGAAACGTAACGATAACTTAGCTAATTGGTTATATATATGATTAGAGTTGGGATAATAAACCGAACCAAAATAATAGAACCAAACTGAGATTTTGGTTGTTCGGTTCGGTTTCGGTTATGGGTCATTAGCCGATCGACAATTGGAGAAATTTAGTTCGGTTCGGTTCTCGGTTAACTACTTTTTTTTAATAACCGGAATAGCGGTGGTACAAAACAATAGACCAGTTTTCGTTAATAGTTGAACTTACCGACGAACTGAATTACTCGAGTTTCGGCAAAATTTTCAAAACTCAAAGAAACTGAAAAACTGAACTAACCGAAGGAACCGAAGTCCCGTGACTATATATGGTGATCAGACCCAAAATCCATAAATCTAGTAAATTTTTATAGTATTAAATTGCTAGAATCAATAACTAAATTTGAATACATGATTATCCAAATTTTAGTAATTCATTATCCAAAATTTAATGTCAAAAAGTAAAAGAAAATTAATTAAAGTTTATATAAATAAAAATAAAACATCTCAATATGCAGATGAACCACTTGATCCTCTCCTTATTACTCGTGGATCAAATGATCTGCTTTTATTGAACTAGGTGCGGTTCAAAATACTGTTATTGATTTGTTTATTATTTTTAGTTTAGAAACGCAAAGTAAAAATAACAAAGGTTGAATGGAAACATAATTAGCGTTTCTCACACTTTGACAAATCACCCACTATTTATACGCTTCCCATTCAAGCCCTTAGAGCATCTCCAATGGGAGAGAGCCCCCTATGGGTTCTCTCCCATTGTTTAATATAAATTTTGTAAAATTTAAAGTTGAAAATATTTTTAAGAGTTTTTCAATTTTTCTTCCTCCAATGGTAGGGTTCTCTTAAGAATAAATCATTTAAATTTTTGAAAAACAAGAAGTGGTGTGTATTTGTAAAACAAGAAGAAGTGTTGTTTGTGTCTTTGTAAAACAAGACAAAATGTTGTGTCTTTGTAAAACAAGAAGTATTGTTTGTGTCTTTGTAAAACAAGAATAATTGTTGTATTTTGATATAACAAGAAGAAGTGTTGTATCACAATATAATTAGATTTGGTATATTTTCTTGTCTTGAATACCTCATCCGAAAATTGTGATGCATGTCTTTAAAAATTTCAGTATGTTTGAAGTAGTGGTATCATACAAAAATCAGAAATTGGCATTCAATTATGCCATACGTTACCTTCTTTAATATATTTTCATATTAATAAACCTCTCAACCTCCACTTCTCATCCATCACACAATCCTCAAAACAAAAGAAACAAACCCAAAAACAGAGCAATCTCAGAGAGATGAAGCTGCTCTCTTCACCATGCAACTAACCAGCGCCTCAGTTGAGTTCTTGGACATCATGCTGCATGAAAGAATCATATGTATCCCAACCAAACGACTTTGTCAGCGCCAATGTCGTTACACTGAAGCTTGTAAAACAAACTCTGAAGCGCCAATGGGATACTAGCTGTAGGTGCATCATTTTCAGTCGTTGGCAATTTCGCATGTGATACACAGCCTACAAGCATGGGTGCATTATTCAGATGTCTTTTTCTAGAATTTAGTGAACTCATGATTAAGCAAATATAAAAAGGAAACAAGACATGCATCCAACCGTTCTGATGTAAGGTATGTGGTATAAAGTCTGCAGGAGAGAATTCGTGTAACAGGTAGCACCTTGGTTTTTTTAGTCCAGCAAAACCAGTCCACCAACACAACCATAAAGTGAAAAAAGAAACTATAGTATGACAAACGTATAACTATTGATAAAACAAATAAATCTCGACAACTCTAAGGTAATTACCCTAATATATGATTCTGACTTTTATCTCACTTGCATAAGTAACAAAACATCTACGAATATTAATCCAAGTCTTTTGATTGAGATTATCGGCAGTCTAAGAAGTTAAGACAAGTATAGCTCTAACTTACAAGTTCTATCAATCAATTGATTTAGCAACTTAAGCCACTATAATCTTAGCAAATCTAAATCAATATGAAAACTCAGGTCTTTTCATTGCAGATGCAGATTCAAATCAATCTCAAACAATATTTAAAAGTCTCTGTTCAGAAGTCAGAGGAATTGCAAAACAGAGAGTCAAATCAACCAATGGATTCTGTTCGAGAGAACCTGTAAATCGAAGTGGGCTTGGCACAATGGATCTCTGAATCTCTCTCTCTTTCTCTGATGAACCCTAAAAATTGATGCAGAGAAAATAAATGAAATTGATTGGAAAGATGATGACTCCGGCGTCATGAACTCTCAGATACCACGATTACACACGTTATTTTACTCCCATTCATCGGAATCGGAGAAATCGGAGGTTTGATCGCCATCGCCGGAGAGAGAAAGTCGGGAGTCGTTACTGAAGAGAGAAATAGAACACACGCGTTTTTTTTCTGTTAAAAATCATCATCCAATCAAATGTTGCCACGTGTACGGCTCTCTCTGATTCTCAAATCTCTCTCAAGAGAACTGGTTCTCTGGTTATTTAGCATTTTTGATTTATTTTAATTGTACTTAAACAAGAGAACTCTACAAATTTGATGAGAGAACCTCCCATTGGAGGTGCTCTTAGTCTCTCACATGCACTTCACCAGTTTTTTAGTCTTCCTCGAGACCCCACCCACATAGCCCGAATCTTAAAATTACCATATTGCCCATCTTCCTTAACTAAAGTGTCGGTCATTTTCTTCCTTTGAAGTATGGCTTGGTCCACTCTTGCTTTTGCTTTTATTGTTTGTATTTAATTTTATATTTATGTCTCTGTAAAATATATTTCCAAATAGTAGAGTTTTGGAATCTTTTGATAGATTATTTTATGGTTGTTTTTTGAATATAAAAGGGTGTATATGCCTGAATAAACAATGTGGCGGCGTGGTGTAAATTGGATCTGTCGATCTAACTACATTTTTGTTTGTTATTCTTTTGTTTTGTAGCGAAAATTTTACTCAAATTCATTTATAATGGATATAAAATAATCAAGCATCACGTCTTGCAGGTGTCATCATGATTCATGAAGCATTTCTACAAAAATAATAGAGAGAAAGACACATATGAGCTGATTTAACAAGAGGAGATAAAAACAAGAAGAGTGTTGTTGCTTCGGTAGATCTCATCGGCTTCTGAGGTATGCGACAAATGTGCTCAGACACAATCTAATATAATGCATAGTACTCAAGGTACGATGTGTCGTTGTGTTGTTTGTTCATGTGGAGTTACCTTTTTTTTTGGTTGGGTTATTGGTTTTGTTAAAAGTAAAAAAGGCAATTGGTCTACTAGGCTTAGTGTGAAAAGTATGTTATAAAGTTATGAACTTTGTTAGCTTTTACTTTTACCAATTTTATCAGCTTTTTAACTATTATTATATGGTGTAAATATCTTTTTCCTCGCTTTATTTTGGCTTATGAGTGACTGAGTGAGTTCTCATCCTTAAAAAACTTGAGTAAGTTTATATTTTTCTCTTTTGTTAAAAATGTAATGCTTATCATCGATGTGTACTTTGTAAAAACCCTACAAGTTTTTAAGGATGGTCCAAATTTGAAATAGTACACGTCTAAAATAATTAACAACATAAATGAAAGGTGGGAGAGGCATGTGGGAGTGTGAGTGCTTTCATTAAAGACAGTCTACTTTACTTAAGTTTAGATATGATTTAATGTTATGGAGAACACTCTTCTTTGGCTACTAAAAGCTGCACTAGCTGTCTATGAATATCGACAACATTCTTATCTATAGTAGGTAGTTTTGTCAAGTCGAGTAATCTGAATTTTACATATTAGTATAATCCTTTTCTAATAATACGATCTGATATTTAAATATCACATTGTATAACGTAAAAGAGAATTTCAAAAGAAAATGAAACAACGAAGACTCTTCTCCGATGAATACAGGAATGCGGAAGATCGAGATTATGCTCTGATACCATAATAAACTCCGGTGTACCGGAAGTTCATGATCGGAGAAAGAGAGATTGAAGAAGCGTAACAAACTTTCTTATTCACCTCAAAGTATTGTTACAACCAACTTAACTAAAAATGTAAACACACTTAAGCTTATATACACAAGATTAATTAGAGTATTAAACCGGACTCACTAAACCCGTATATACCGAAGTTAACCAGTCCATATATCCTCAATATATCCTCTTTCTTTCTTTTTGGGTTAAATATCTGTCCTCTTTTACTTTATAGTTTAAACATGATACACAATACCTGGCAATTTGACTATTTCTAAATGACTGATTAGTAATAGAGAGGCCTAAAATTCTCTCATTCACACTGTTAGAGAGTGATTCGATATGAAACGCGTATAAGTCTCTGTAACTACTTAAACTTGTCGCTGTCTTCTTCCGTGGGAATGCATGCGAACTCAAACAATTCCCCAACAAGAGTCGTCTTCGCTCTTCACCTACACCGACGACGCCTACTACCTACACCGACACCTATTATCAGTGCTTTTATCATTTCAACATTGTTGTTTATAATTTGGTATAAGAAGTAATGTGTTTTCTTTTTCTTAACAGAAAATATGCTTAGAGGAGTTTCCTCTAAGATCTTACTAGAAAATATCTATTAAAAAAAAAAAAATTGATGACAACATTTAACGTCTTTTTTTCTTGCGATCAAGTGATGTACTTTCTGACTTCTGAGTGAAGAATACCTGTGCGAATTGCGACGAGTGCGAAGACCTACCTACTAAATTATCACTATTTTTATATTCATGGTTTGCATACAAACCTTCTTCTGGGCTTCACGACGATGCCAGTGAATCTGATTTGGGCATACCTTTTGACTAATCCATTTAGTCTAACATATGGGTTTCTGAGCAGCCTAGCTATTGGGCTGACACGCTTGAGGCCCACAATATGTGTAACCAACCAAGTGTTACTTAGCTAGAGACATGAGAGACAACAGGTAAATAATAAACTGGAGGCCCTCAATATGTGTGTAGTGTTAGTGTTAATCCTTTTATAATAATAAACTGTACATACGATAACAATGACTATAGTATATAGTGTTAGTCTTACAAAATTCAAAACTTATTTATCTGTTTTTGTAAAATATGCTTAAGGGAAAATTTTGATATTTTTTTAAACAGCGTAATATATTTTTCTTTCTTTTATCCAGTTTAAAGTCGTAGAATCTTATATATGATTTCATGTTAAAGCTATATGAATCGTCATTCAATCTGTTAATGACAGATTTAATAATCTATGTTTCTTTTTTCTTTTTTTTTTAGAATTCTATCTACACTTCCAACATTGGATTGGTTTGAAACATCCAAATATACCTCTTATCAAAAACAATCTAATCTATGTATGTACATATATATAGAATCGTAAAAAGTAAATAGTGACAAAATCTTATTAAAATTGAATCCTACCAAATTCTATTATTTTTAAATATGTTAACTACAAATTTAAAAATATAAAAAAAAAATTAACAATATATATATATATATATATATTTATTTATTTTTGAAGATTTGATCCTATACTCATTTTGCCTTTTTCATATGCTTCATGTGAGCTTTTATATTTGGTTGATAACAAAGCAAATAATAATACTCAGAAAATATATAAAAATCGGATTTGAAAGCAAATAATGAGCTAACCTGAGTTTATAATCTTAAGTGAAATCCAAACCAAAGGAAAAAAATCGCAAAATACTGGATTCCCTTGATTTTTGGATTCCATTTTTTCAAAAAAGAGAAAATAAATGAAGAAACACATCTCGTCAAATAGACGACCAACTCATAAATTGCCGTACACCAAAAATTAAATACTTCCCAATTTTTTTTTAAAGATTATATATTTCTTTTTAACGGCGTTTGAGGGCTCTCCTATTTTTCTTTACTTTTTTTTTTCTTTTGTTTTTCTGTAAACTGTTAAGATTGAGAGAGAGAGAGAGAACACAGAAAAAAAAAAAAGAGAGCGGAGAGGAAAAAACCCTAGCGTGTTGTTCAGTGACTTTGGGGGGAAAATTTGTCCTAGTTTCTTCGCAAAATCCGTCTTCTCATCTCTTTCCATTTGTGGAATCGATGGAAGCTTTAGGTTTTTCATGCTGAGAAGTCTGTATTTTCGAATCTAGGGTTTGTGGAGAGATCTATTCAATTGTAGATACGCAATAGCGAAACGAGAGAGAAGATAAGGAGAAGGAGTCATGTCGGATTCTGATAAAGAGCTCGAGAATCAGATTCTTGAAGCTGGAGAAAAGCTTATTGACCCACCTTCCTCACTCGATGAGCTTCTTTCTTTCCTTGACGTGAGCTCTCATCTCCTTCACCATTCGCTTTTCTTTGTTTGTGATTTCTTTTGGTGTTCTTCTTCGGATTCGTGGCAATGCTAAGTCTGTGCATGTGTTTACTGCCGATTTCTGGATTTATTGCTCTGCATCTTTGTCTCTTTATACTGTTTCCTTCGTTTTTTGCTCTGTGAATCTACTCAATGCTATTATTCCTGCATTTTAGATCTTGGTTACGGTTGTTTCTCAGTTTTTGGTAGAATCTAGATAATACTCCTTCAATCTGCGTTGTTAAAAGCATGTATGTGGTGGGGATTTTGTGGTTTTGGAGTTAATGAGTTTGATGATTTTATGCTTTTTGCTGCAGAAACTTTTCGTATCCCTGTCGGAGGTTGAACAGTCACCTCCCGACTCAATGCAGAATGCACTCTCTCCATTGATGAAAGGATTAGTCGGTGGGAAACTCTTCAAGCACTCGGATGTCGATGTGAAGGTTGCAGTCGCTGCCTGCATCAGTGAGATTACAAGAATAACTGCTCCGGATGCTCCTTATGATGATGACCAGATGAAGGTATGTAATTGTTTGGTATTTTTTCTGAAGGGAATGGGCATTATACCGGTTGGTTACTGACTCTTTTCATCTATTCATGCGCAGGAAGTATTCAAGTTGATTGTATCATCATTTGAAGATCTAGTTGACAAATCTAGTCGTTCTTATACCAAAAGGATCTCAATTCTTGAAACTGTGGCTAAGGTCAGATCATGTGTTGTGATGTTGGATCTTGAGTGTGATGCGCTTCTTATTGAGATGTTCCAGCATTTCCTGAAGGCTATAAGGTACACGCTAATATATCTATTATGCTAGAATTAAACTCAATTTTTTTTTCAACTTGTAATGTAATGTCCAGAAAATACACATACATGGAATTGTCTACTTGTTTATTTCCCTGTTGTTTCTTTAATTCCTTGTGTCACGTTTGATTAATGGATGCTGTTGTTCTCATTTGATATCATTTTCCATGGACTATTATGTGCTACTTTACTTTATGCACTCGCAATATAGTTCACAACTAGTCTATTGCGTGTTGCTTATGTTTGCTTGTACAACATCCAATAATAATGTTTGTCTGATGTTGAATTTGTTTACCCTTTCAGGGACCATCATTCAGCGAATGTATTCTCGTCTATGGAGAACATAATGACCCTTGTTTTAGAAGAAAGCGAGGAGATACCTTCAGAGATGCTTTCACCATTTCTACATTATGTTAAAAAGGATGATGAGGTAAGACATGGGTGGTCTACTAATTTTATATCAGCAACCAATGCTATTTTCTTAACTCTTTCAACTTATCATCAGATTTCCCAAATATCACGGAGGTTGGCAGAACAAGTTCTCAGTAACTGTGCTAGCAAGCTCAAAACTTATCTGACTGAAGCAGTGAAATCGTCGGGTGTCCCTTTGGATAAGTATGGTAACATAGTGGCTTCGATATGTGAAGGGACATTCAGTGCTTTGCAACAGGACCAAGTTGTTGCAAATGAAAAAGAAGTAAGCCCTTATTTCTCACCTTGTTTACTGCCCCACTGCCTCAATTCTTGGTGATTATGCAGGTCTTCCAGTTACATTAACTCTTATACTGTTATTCCATTTTTTTTCCTCTGCAGGATAGCGAAGGTCATATAACAAGGGAAGCGGAAGTAGAGGTGTGTTTTTCTTTCTCTTAAATGAACCCCTGAAATTTGTTAATCTGTAGGAAAAGGATAGATGCCTTTCTTTTTTTCGCTTGTGTAGAATGTTAATTGATTTTTATGTTCCAATCAAAACATGATAAACAGAAGGCAGCAGAAATTTCTACCCCTGAGCGAACTGATGCACCTAAGGATGAATCTGGTAAGTCTGGAGTTAGCAATGGTGTCGTGCAACAGAATGATTCTTCGGTTGATACTGATTCCACAAAGAAGCAAGACGATACGAGTGCCAAAGATGAGCTGCAACAACTTGATAATCCTAGAAACACTGACTTTGATAATACTACTGAAGAGAAGCCTGATGCTGAACATCAAATTGAGGAAAAAGAAAACCAATCCAGTTCTGTCAAACAGGGTGATTCATCAAAAAATTCAGATATCAAAGAGGAGACTGAACCTGCAGAACACCTGGACAGCAAGGATGATTCATCTGTTAACGCAGCCACTTCTTCTGAGAATGAAAAGAATATAAGTGTGCAGGCTTTACCATCTACGACATCAGCAGATGAAACTAACAATGTCAGTTCTCCATCAAAGGCCGAGGATCTTCTTGAGCAAAGCCGCCCTAAGAAGACTGCAAACCAGAAGAAAAAGGAGAGCTCGACAAAGGAAGTCAAACCTTCTGCTTCTATTGCTACCGAAGAAGTTTCTGAAGAACCAAACACATCTGAACCTCACGTGACAAAAAAGTCTGGAAAGAAGGTTGCTTCGTCAAGTAAAACAAAGTCTACTGTTCCTCCTTCAAAGAAAAGCACATCTGAGACAAAAGTAGCCAAGCAGTCAGAGAAAAAGGTAGCTGGGAGTGATCATGCACAAGAATCCACAAAGCCAAAAGAGGAAAAGAAAAAACCAGGACGTGGGAAAGCGATTGATGAGGAGTCATTACACACTTCATCTGGTGATAATGAAAAAGTGAGTAGTTCCCTGACCTGTATTGATTTGAATACATATCTGACTTCCCTACCCTTGTCCTCTTACCGATATACTTGAATTGTGTTTTCAGCCAGCTGTTTCCTCTGGAAAGCTAGCCTCAAAATCAAAGAAAGAAGCAAAGCAAACGGTAGAAGAAAGTCCTAATACAAACACAAAGAGAAAACGAAGTTTAGACCAAGGGAAGGTATGTTTTCTTCATTTCACCAATTGCCATTTGCTGTAGTAACTGTGCATGGGAGCAGCTCTTATTCTCTTCAAGTTGAAGAAATTTTCTCTTAAACGTGTATCCTTTAGTTGTACTGGTTTCATGTGCTCTGTACGAGTTTTTCTTTTTGTATACTTTTTCATACCGAATCAATTCCTTGGCAGGCATCTGAAAACCTTGGTGAAAGTTTAGTTGGATCGAGGGTCAAAGTCTGGTGGCCTATGGATCAAGCGTAAGCATTTTGTATTTTCTTCTTAGGAATTATATTTGATTAAGGCAATTTTTATTTCCTCTGTTCTGTACTTCTATGTGTGTTCCTTTAGACAGCAGAATCTGGACTAACACTTGTTGTAATTTTTTGTTTTCCACGCTTGCAAATGAGTAATGTGTTTTTTACCGCAGGTACTATAAAGGTGAGGTCACTTCATATGATGCTGCTAAGAAAAGACATATGGTAAGCCAATTTTATATGTCTCCTCGATTATTTGGTTTGCCTGATTTATTTGTGGTCGACCATTAGCCTTTTGAATGTTCTCCTAAGCTATACATATTTGTTTCAGGCTATTCTATGGTATTCTAATTATTGTATGCTGTTGCCATGTTCGTTTGCAGGTTATCTACGATGATGGAGATCAAGAAATCTTGAATCTTAAGACTCAGAAGTGGAGTCCTCTGGATGAATCAGACTTGTCACAGGTGGGGGGCATTATGTTTCATCCATCTCTGGCTTTTTTTACTCTTCGCATTTCTGTAACTTACACTTTTTGTCATCAGGATGAAGAAGCTGCTGATCAGACCGGTCAAGATGAAGAAGCCTCTACAGCGTACGTGTTACTTCTCTAGTTTCGTTATTTATGTGACACTGGAAGGAATAGCTAGATGTGATGATCTGTTGTAAATGAGATTAATTTTTGCCATTCTTGTGATGAACAAGCTTAGTATATTTTTCATGCAGGCCCCTGAGGAAGAAAGCTAAGACAGGCAAGCAATCAAAGATGGACAACTCATCAGCTAAAAAGTATTTGAAACTGAAAGCAAATAGTTAACAAGTGTTGAAGTCTCTAAAAGAATGCTCTACTAATAAGTGATATTGTGCTTCTGATGTATTCAGGGGTGGTGGAGCTGGATCAAGCAAGTCTAAAGCTGCTCCTGCTTCCAAGTCCAGCAAGAAGTCCCAGGATGACAAAACAGCGAGCAAATCAAAGGATTCAAAGGAAGCTGGCAGAGAAGAAGAGGAGAGCTCTGAGGAGGAGAGCGAGGAAGAGGAAACTCCCAAAACTGTTGGTAAATCAGGAAGCAGCAAGTCAAAGAAAGATATAAGCAGCGTATCGAAAGCTGGAAAATCCAAAGCTTCATCCAAGAAAAAGGAAGAGCCCTCCAAGACAACAACTTCTTCAAAATCCAAGTCGGGACCTGTGAAATCTGTACCGGCCAAAAGCAAGACAGGAAAGGGTAAAGCAAAATCTGCTTCCAAGGCCAAGGAGAGCGATTCGGAGTCAGAATCTGAAGAGACACTCAAGGAGCCAGAAACAGGGACTAAAGGGAAATCAGGCAAGTCACAGGGGAGTCAGGCAAAGTCTGGTAAGAAGAGGAAGCGATGAGTCTCTGGCCTTGGGAAAGAAGGAGGCTTGTGCTCTTTTCTCTTTTAAATTATGGTTTATGTAATTTAAGGTGGAAAGCTAAGCGTGTGGTGGCCGTGAAATTGAACGTCGTCTTGAGCAGTAGAAGTGTAGAATTGTTTTAAAGACAAGAAGCCTAGTAGTATTGCTTTTTTTATTTACTTAGGATTGATTTGTAGTGTTAAGGTGGATGCATAAGCGTGGTGGCTTTGGTTATTTTGATTTTATTTTTTGACCACGTTTTTCTGTCATCTCTCTCTTTGGAGTCTTTTTAGCAGAGGAGAATAATCTGGGTAGATAAAAAGGAAACACATTCCGACTACATTATTAGCCTGTTATCTTCCTAAATCATTATCATTTAAATTTGGCTATAGTATTTATGATGAGCTATGTAAATGATGCTATTTGACAAAAAAAGTCGTTTGATTGTTTTCTAATGTATGTCCACCAATACTGGGTAAATTGGCAAAGTTCTCCTCTAGTAACTTCAAGAAAAATGCTACGTTACAAATAATTTTTTTTGGAGATGTTAATGTACCAAACATCTTCAAAATATGGGGCAAAGTAAAAACTCTTTGTGACTGGGAGTTGTGTAGTCTTCTTGCATACTCAGAGACATTTTCCTATTTTATAGTATTTCTTGTTTAATACTAGGATTTGTTTCTAAATGAAACAAAGACTTTTATTACGAATAAAAGTGGTTTACGAAATGCTCGGAGATTCCTCAAAGGATACCCCATGTTTACTTCCCATATTTAAGGAATATTCCATTTACATTAGCCATACTACATAGGATTTAAAACCTTTAAATTTATCAACGAGCCTTGCAATAAGGATCTTAGACCAGTAGATCTGAGGTCTAAGATGGGGTTTTATAGTATTGTTTTGCGCATAAAGTTGCAAGTTATACATATTCCTCATTTTTTCAGGAAAAGAAAAAGTAACAAACTAAGAGAAGTTTAATTAAAACAAGATCTAGACATTAACAAACGGAAAAGAAACATTATTGTTATGCGTATAAAAAATTAGATGTAATACATTGGTGAATGGGATAACATGTGGTCCATGATCCCATATTCTCATTTCTCCCTTTTTATAGGCCGAGAGGAGGAAATATGAGTAAATTGCAAACACACGATTCGTTTACCAAAAACCTAAATAGAAAAAAATGATTTGCGCTCTTTGAACTGTTTTTATCCAAAAATAAATATATTTAAGAAATCTCTTTTCATTTGTATTTGGGTAGACTACTAGACTCCTGAGCAAATATCTTTTTTTCTTCTAATATACGTGATCTGCTTCGTTTTCGGTTTAGTATTTTTTTAATAATATATTATATGAAGCTAACCGTATTCGATGTTTTGATAGATACTATAATCATAATTTTAAATTTTCAAAACATATAAAAAAGTTCGATCATAATTATCTTCTAATATTTATTTCAAAATCTGTATAGTAACTTTTAATATAAAATGTTAATAGTTTTCTAATTATCAAGATAAATTTTCTTTAGATAGAAATGCTTTGTAATAAATAACCTATTTCTATAAAGTTTACGATAATTCTATAAAAAAAGTTTACGATAAACTTATATATTTTAATTACTATACAAGCATGAATTAGCCGGATTAATAATTAGGATAGATAGTATATGGCACTTCAAATTAGTCCGAGTTATGTTTTTCTCTGTCATCGGGAAGTAATGAATCTGGACAGTCTTAGGTCAACAAACACACAAAAGTTGTTGCCCTTTTCAGCCTTCACGCGGTTTTTTAAAATATGTTTTTTCCCTTCACAATTTTTTTACTTATTTCTTTAACATCACACAGTGCATAATATACAAACTCATAAAAAGAAACTATATAACACTTTTTAATATATGTGTTAATTACATTATTCTGCAAAGAAAATCATCATTATGAAATTTAACTCGTCATTTTAATTTTTTTTATTAGTAATATATATACGAATACTTTGAAAATAAAAGCAGTGCCCTGAATGGATTACACAGGGGGAAGGTCCACATTAATGGTGTTACAAGATCAGCATAAGGATTCTCTAACCATTTTCTTAGAATAAAATCTTGTTGTGCGAGTGTATATGTTTTGGGGGATCTATCTTTGTATGATATTATTTTTATTTTTTTTTGCTTTATGAGTGGAGTATCATTTTAGGTGGAAATAGCAAAAAGGGCAAAGTCTGGGTGAAACTGGTGGTAAATACATCGTCGATCTGACATTTTATCTTGTTTGTGTTTTGTAAGATCACAAAAGATGAGAACTCAACCTATGAAATAATATTTCTGAAGCAATGTGATTATTTTCGAAGTAATGTGTGATCTTTTTACAAGATTAGAAGATCGACTTATAAGTGTCATCAACATGTTATGTGATCAATTGGTAACTTTTAAACTATCATGGTTTAGTAAATCAATTAGAAAGAGTTAAAACACCAAATAGTTATAATTTGGTTTTATCAATTGAATAAGTCAATTCTATTTATTCTGTTAATTGTGTTTGTTTGCAGTACTAGTAGAAGTCTTTGATTAAGATTTTTTGTTTTTGTTTCTGACCAATAATAAATTGAAATCATTATAATAATAAGAAGAGTTGAGTCCCAAAAAATAATATTTTACCACTCTCATCGTGAAAGACCAAAATTCATTCTCAAAATTCAAGATCTTTTTTTAAGGCTTGTCGTTGCCGTTTATAGGTTATGAGATTGACCACTATAAACTGCAACGGTACTGTTGAATCCAATCCGTTCCATTCAAATGTCTCACTCTTCAGACATCTGTCACATTGCATGTAAGAGGGAGAGAGAGAAGAAACAGACAAAAGCCCAAAAAAAAAAACAGAGATAAGACTATTCTTGAAGAGAGTGAGAGACAGAGAGAGATAAGGTTTTTTGTTTCCTTCTTTAACAGATTCTTCCTCTCTTCTCCTCTCCTCTTAATAATCTAATCCCTCCCCGAATATCTCTCTGCCTTTTGTTCTTTCTTTTCTGGTAATTTATTTATTTTTCCATTCGATTTGGTCAAAACCCTAGATTTGTTTTCCAAAAGCATATCTTAAAATGAAGGACAACTTTCCTCTTCTCCTTCGATTATAAATACTCTCTCTGGTTTAACCTAAAAGCCTCAGATCTAACTCAACACATTCAAAGTCTGCCTCCTTTTCAATCTTTTTTCTTCTCTTCAATCTCTAATCTCAGAAATTGTTTCTGTAAGGTAAAGGTGATTATGAGTGATGAGTGATGAGTGAGTTTTGGGACAAATTTAAAGAGAAACGCATAGAAACTGACAGAAGAGAGTGAGCACACAAAGGCACTTTGCATGTTCGATGCATTTGCTTCTCTTGCGTGCTCACTGCTCTATCTGTCAGATTCCGGCTCCGATTCAGTCCCGTTCACGTTTTCTTCTTCTAATTGTGTTCCAATCTCTCACTCCCTCTCACACTTTCTCTCTCATGTGTTCTTCATCTCTCCAAGGTAAATTAAATACGATCTGATGGTATATGTATGAAGATAGATTGTTCTTATTTGCTGCCATTGATTTGGTTTCCAATTGCATGCGAGTTTGCTTTTTGTGTTTTCCTTTGTTGAACTTTATATTTTATGAGATCATTAGCATCGAAAGCTTAATCTATGAGTTTAAGGCGTGGTTAAGTGAGATTAATATGGGACCATTAACGTTAACCTAGTTTTACTTAGGCTGGTCCTAACTCTTTTGAATCCTTTATAATATTATATGGTTATCTTTTCCTTTATCTAGTTTCTCATTAGCCCTTTTAATCTGTGATTTATAGTCTTGGTCTCTTCATAAATATCTGTGGATATTATTTGTTTCATATGATCATATCTATGTGTATAGTCATGGATCTTGCCATAGTACTGTTCATGATCTTCGAATTGCTGTACAGATTATTTATATTGCATGCTCATACGTTTTGATTCCATTTATGTAGTTATGTTTCTATTTTAGTCTATCACATATAGTTTAATGTGTTTTGTACTTCTTATAGATGGTATCTAGTTTATATATCATTGATCCACGTGATCACGTTGTGAATCTTGTGAGAATATTCTCGTGGGTTTGTGTCTTGATTTAAGAAATGTTCTTTGGGTTTGTTTCTTGATTTGAGAACATGTTCTTTGCATGTACTCAAAACGACGTTTTAATTAGGCATTATTTCGATTTTTGTTGTTGTTTTTTTACCAAAATCTTCAGTAATTTGAACATGTAAGAAATTTTTGGATCCAGGCAGTGATTTGTAGATCCATTTGCGAAGAAGGATCAAAACAATCCTGTATCATGATTAAGGAATTTTCAGTATATGACTGCTTTATATATGTTTCATGTCTAGATTGTGAAGGATATTAAAATTTGATTTGTGTCACTTATACCTTTTTTCTCTACGCCAAAACATCTCAAAATATATTTCAATTTTAATTCATATATGGTAGGGATGAAATGTTATCTTGGGGTTTTCTTCTGGGGATGAGGTAATAAATATTCTACAAACCAATAGAAACCTCTAACATTCATGGTGTCTCTTGTATTGCTAGATGTCTCTTGTCATGCGTTTGTGTTGTTCTTCATACTGATTTGTTTTCTCCTTTGTTCCCATGTTTTCATTGTTTACAAACCAAAGAAGCCAATGTGAGACGCAAACTTATGTTCTTGCTATAATCTACAACAGTTAGTTTTAAATTTCTTCAAGAGAAAGATAGTGCTTTCTTGATGCTTGTGAAATGAGTTACCTTTAACCGTTCATCGATAATCCTCAAACGGCATGTGTAGAAGAACGATATGTAAGGTACAATTTCTCACGTTATTCTAAAGTTAGTGTGATAGAAAATGTCTCATGATACTAAAATAATCATTTGAAATCAATATGGTTTGCAGGACTCCTATGTATACTTGCATCACATTAATGCTTTGTTAAAGTTAGAAGAATCACATGGAGCATTTTTGGTGAGCTAGGAAGACGGATCAAAGAGGCTCAAGTTTTTCAAAGGTATTAGATCTTCCCCATTTTGATATTTATTCTCGCGTCTTGATCGGAGGGATATATTATGTTATGTGCGGGCTTGTGTTATTGATCGCCTTTTTTGATATATTTGTTTACTGTTTCAGGTTTGGATTATCTAAGTTATATCGATCTTTTGGTAGCTGCCCCATTCAAATTGTTCATGCGAAGTCAAAGAGATCAATATTACAGGGCTTAGCCTAACCTATTTGTAATATTCTGTGATACTGATTAAGTGCTTTAATTTGATATGTTATATTGATTTCCTCATGTTCCACATATATGTGATTTTTGTAGTTTAGAGTCGGTTATTAAACATTGTTTAACTAATTATGAGGTGATAGTAGAAACTGAATAGGATTGTTGTTCTGCAAGTCCACTGCAGATATACGTACTATGATAATTTATTGGTATATGTAATTGGAATTTGAATCCCAGAATTATCCAAGATTAAGGAATTGAAGTATTACCAATAGTCCAATACAAATAAAATTTTGAATTCTTTAATACTTCTTCCTTTCGCGGGGAAAAAACATTTCCTAGTTATGATTGATTATATGCATTGCAGATCTTAGAGAGTGTAGATTTTATCAATCCTAGTTTTGTAGTTAAGTATACATGAGAAAATTTTTTGACCTGGTGAAAAATACTCCACTCTAAAACTCCATTAGTATTAGAAATCCATGTGAGTTTCTGAGGAAGTAGTTTGCTGTACTCTATCTACTCGATCGGCCATTTCAACAATACAAAGTCAAATTAGTTGTAATCAATCAAGTGGAGGATAAGAAAGCGAAGAATTCAAAACATGTAATTTACATATTGAATTGCTCCTTCAAAACTTAAAACCATAGAAAATGTCTTCTCCTCGTATAACAAGTCTGACTTTGTCTTATGAATTAATTGATGTTTTTAGAGGCTTATACAGATGAATAATCCCAAATCAGCATTGTTTAATTTCCCGGCTTCAATTGATTAGTTCATGTGGCGAATCAGAGACCTATATACTTTTTTTCCTGAGTAATCAAGTTAATGATGTCACTCTCTGGAGTTTTAACAGAGGTTCTATTGAAATTTAAAAATTCAGAAATCAAAGCCCAAATTTAATTTTTGATAATAGCCCAACATATATTAAAAAACCTAAAAGAGCCAATAATTGACCAGAGAGACTCAACCGATAATTGAGAAACCATTGGTCAGTCGTACTAACCGTTTTATCCACTTTATTGCTGTAGCCGAAAAGTGGGTCTAGAAAGAAGAAACAAAAGCCGGTTTAGGGCTGAGACATATCACGGAACGTGTTTAAAAAATAATTTGTGGTAATCTACCATTTAAATTAATTAACCAGATATCATTAGGGACATATTATTATGGTTGCACTTCAAAAATACTAGTATAGATTAGGAAAACAATTTTATCGCAAGTTGACTATAATATCCTTTGAATTGGAGTGTAATGTCATGCTGTTCTGTAAAAGTTGTAGTTCTGTTTTGTCAAATACATTTTGATAAAATTTTAGCTTAACTTTCTCAAGTTTATCATTGACGGGTCTTTCTAATGTTAAAAATTTTGAGATGATGGAGACAATTATAAAGGTAAAATAGAAGAATTTATTCTTTAAAACAATAAAGACCGTGATAGTATATAAAGTCTTACAAAGAACTTTTGCAGATTTATTTTCTGAAAGAAAACATGGAGGAGACGAGCGAGAGTCTTGCCTGGTTAGAGAAATACGAGATCCAAGAATTTCCGTTGATCAGACTCGGAGAGACATCGACCATCGATGACGACGTGGAAATCATATTCAAACCACGAGACGACACAGCGGTGAGTTATCAACGCCTGATGTTGAGTTTTGACGAAGATTTGCTTTATAGGAGACGCGCGCTCGCAACCGCCTTTAATTCCTTCGTCTGTCCGGTCGTTAAACCGATCAAACCAGTGATCCTCGTCAACTGTTTCCACTCAGATTTTGTGGACCTCCGAGAAGATCTTTTTCTCGGAGAAGTTTGTGAAGAGCAACGGACATCTCTTAATAATAATAAGACTCGAAAGATACGAGACCCTCCTCCTCGAGTATCTCGTCGATCCTCACAGGTATCTAGACCGATTTATCTCCGCCATAGATTTCTCCCACAGTCAAGGAAACAATATTCTTCTTCTCGACGCCAACGTTAATCTTATAATTACGCGCACTCATTTCAAATTTATCCACGAATATGTTTGTGTGTGTGTGTGTGTGTTGTAAATATCCTAATATATAATCGGATGTTTATGAAGTCCGAAATAAGCCTAAAGGCACTGGTGTGATATGTTTATATGATGGAATGGTTATTGAACAAATTATGCGATCATATATATAATTTTATTTCCGTTACAGAAAGAAAGGGTTTACATGTTCATCTCAATTTCTGGTATACCAACAATAAATAACCTGGAAATTTGTACCACTTGCCGGTTGATGAACTAGCAATTGTATCTCTTTCTCTCTATTTATCCACATATGCCAACATTAAATTTAAGCCGCAAGCAACTTCTGGATGTCCTTCTGCCAAACGAAAAAAATATTAGTAGTAAAATACTACGACGACTCACTCAACATTCCGCCGTGTCACATGGAAAAATTAATGTGATCGATATATCAAATTACTTTATATATGTATTTTATATATGTTAGAAATGTTACCAATTGAAAGATTCTCTATGTACATTAGAATAGTCCAACTGGTGTGGTTTACGACATGAACCATGGACCAAACCGGAAACGACATAAACCATGGATCCAGTTATTCAGATTGAATAGAGAGTTTTGAATTGGTACCTCGATTTGGAAAGGAGAAGTCGTGGGAGGGTATCTCTCGACAACTTTGCTCTTCTTATCAACCAAGAATTTCTCAAAGTTCCATTTGATGATATCACCAAGAAAACCACCAGCATTAGATTTCAAGAACTTGTAGATTGGAGCTGTGCTTGGTCCATTGACATCAACCTGAAGAACACAACTTATCAAAATTAAAAGATCTCTCTCTCAAACCTCCAAAATGAGAGTTCTGTTTCCCTTTTTCTTTTTCTACATACCTTGTCGAATATAGGGAACTCCGCTTTGAATCGGGTGCAAGCAAATTGCTTGATCTCAGGGTTTGAACCGGGTTCTTGACCTCCAAATTGATTGCAAGGGAAAGCTAGAATCTCAAATCCTAAAATATAGACGCACAATAAATGATGAGAAGGTCACAATCAATGTGTTATAACCTTAATTAAATTAGATATTAAAAAGCTTACTATAAAAAGCTCACCTTGGTTCTTGTATTTTTCGTACAGATGAGAAAGCTCCGAGTAATTTGATGATGTCAAACCACTGACACGGATATTAAAAAAAAAAAAAAAACTTCTTTTAAATTTCAGATGCAAAATCTAATTATCAAATAGAAGAATTCGAAGAAACAATAAAACAATGATCACCATCTTGAAGCGACGTTAACGATCAACAGAGGTTTTCCTTTGAATTTGTCCAGAGAAACATCATTCCCATCTATGTCCTGTCCCAGTCATTATTATAAAATAAAACACAATTATGTCTCAACTCTCCAAGTCTAGGTTTTACCGTTTTCAAGCTCTCACATGTACTACATAATCCAGTGAAATTAAGAAAAATCATATTTTGATGGCAGAGCAAATTCTTCCATTTCGATAGGATTAGAAGCTAACGAAGAAACAAAAACCTAAGTTTCTTCTTCAGATAAATAACGAAAGAGAAACATACCTTACAGTGAAATCGTGAACAGTCTTCTCTGCAGCAGCTCTTGCATAAACACCAACATTTCTGGATTTGACTAGATAATTATGATTATTCGACGATTTCAGGGAAACCCCATTACCCAGATTCCGAGTTTTTGATGGTCCCGTGGAGAATCTCAATGAAGGGACGAGAAAAGCCGAAGAATTCGGAGGTGGGTTTGCAGCGAAACCATTGAAGACAGTAGAGAATGATGCGTAAGAGGAAGCCATATAGAAGCAGAATCTCTCTACAAAGAGTTTTTTTTCGTTCTACTATTTATTTATACAAAATTGTTACACGTTCTAAGGAAAAGTGAGAGCTAATTATAAAAAAATAACGCTTAGCATCATCATTTAATTTATATCATGCTTCATTAAGAATGTTTTGAAAATATATCGACAAGTTTTTTTGAAAATAAATACGGTCACCAATTCATGCGGTCACAGTATAAACACGTTTTCGATATTATATTCACAAATTTTTGAAAATAAATAAATGGTATTTGCTGAATGAAATGGAAAAGGAGCAAAAGCTATGGATTTGCTGAAGACTAGTCAAAGCTTATCAAGAACAAAGTTCCAAATATACGATATTTTGTAAGTGCTTATTAGTAGTATCCTTTAGTAGTTGTTGTTCACGATGGAACCACCAATTTATTTTTCCTATTTGATATCCTCAAAATTAAACTAAATGGTTGATAATACGATGGTCATTTCTAAAAAGGATATTTAACCTATGACACAAGAGAACTAACTATTTATACTAACCACTACACCTTTGATATAGAAGCATGAAATTGGTTGAAGAATAGGAAACCAGACGGAGAAAGGTAAACTTGTTAGGGGCTAGATCAAAAGGTGGTCCATAGCCTAACTCTAGTTTGATGACCTTAGTTAGTTGTTAAACAGTGGTACAGCTGGTCTGGCTAATTGTAAACTGATTTAGGCCGTGTATATGAGGCCAATAATGGTTTTGATTTGGTAGTAGAGTAATACTCCCTCCGTATTTTAATAATTGTCGTTTTAGAATTTTTATTTTTTTGAATTGGATGTCGTTTTCAAATTTCTATGCAAAATTTATTACTTTTTAATGTTTTATGACATCATAAAATATTAAAAAGTAAGAAATTTTGCATTGAAATTTGAAAACGACATCTAATTTTTAAAAAAATAAAATCCTAAAACGACAATTATTAAAATACGGAGGGAGTATATGTAGTGCGTCAAATCTAGCAAAAGATCGCAACCTTGCCGTGGTGGAAGATAGTAGTCGTGTGTCTTCTTCTTATGTGGTTGCATTTATTGCTTGCACATGTCTCCTTGGACCTTCTGTGTGAGGGAAAAATAGTAAGTTACCGTTCATACAACGGAAATTTCAGGAAACTTTGACATGATTATAATGCAAAATATATAGCCATCAATATACAACATCTATAGTCTTACTATCTTGTTTTATCCAGTAACTTTTAGATTATTTAATGAAGACACAAGACATCTGTGTTTTTTTTTTTTTTTTTTTAAACAATACATGACATGTGTGTTGAGATATCAATCTAATCCATAAAATTTTGAAACCTATAATACTGGCTGGATTTTGACATTGGAGTTCTGATTTATACACTTTTAAAAGAATACAGCTAATTAAGGCCAATCCAAATGATCTAACAAATCATAAAGAGTCAAGTAATACATTATTGTATTAGTGTAAGTAAAAATAGTGTGTTGTGGTGGCAAGTAAGGAGAAAAGAAACAAACTCTCAAGAACTTTCGTTGTTTTTCTAAGGCAAAACAAAAACAGACTTTTTCTCTTCTTTTTTTGTCCTTGGGGCTACAATCTGAATTTGATCCAAAATCAAAACGTTCTTCTTCCTCTAATCAAGATTGTCTCCTACCAAAGGTCTTGCCTTTCTCCGGCCAGATATGTGAGAAAACCAAGCTTCTCCAACAACTTCATCACCTACTTCCTTTTGATTCATCGAATTCTTCATATTCAAATCTTGGTATGTTTAAAACTCTAATCGATTTAGTCCTCTCTCTTTTACTTTTGCTTTCTGTTTGTAGATTGATTGCTTAAATAGCTCTAAAAGATTAAGATCACAGGGTCGGTCCATTGTCAAAATTCTCTTTTGATTTTTCATCTTTTAGCTCAGAAATTGTATCTTCTTTTAAAATTCTGATAGATTTATGTAATCAAGAATAGTTTCTTATTTTGATTCATGAAGAATGTCTAATCTTTCGTTGCAGAGAAAGAGATGGGTATATATCTAAGTACTCCAAAAACAGAGAAGTTCTCAGAAGATGGCGAAAATGATAAACTCAGATATGGTTTATCCTCTATGCAAGGTTGGCGTGCATCCATGGAAGATGCGGTGAGTGAATATCAAAAAAGTTAAAACCTTTCTTTTTCTTTTTTTTGCAGATTATGTTTCCTAATTGATTCAAACAATGGTTTTTTTGAACTTTGGTAGCATGCTGCAATTCTTGATCTCGATGATAACACTTCCTTCTTGGGTGTCTATGATGGTCATGGAGGTAAAATAAAGAAACATTTGTCTTTTTGGTGAATTTCCGGCTTTAAACTTGTATTTAGAGCTTGTAGACTGATATAGCTGAACCTTTTTTGGTGATTCTTGTTCTTGTTGTACATGGAATCTCAAATGATTTTGGCTAGTGCTGTAGGTAAAGTTGTTTCAAAGTTCTGCGCCAAGTATCTACATCAGCAGGTTCTCAGTAATGAGGCATATGCAGCTGGAGACGTAGGAACTTCTCTTCAAAAAGCATTTTTCAGGTAAAGTTTACAGCAAAAAAGAGTCTATTTTTGTTTGAAGTTCTGTATTGAAGTGTTTTCTCTTGTCCCTGTGGTTATTGTAGAATGGATGAGATGATGCAAGGACAAAGAGGATGGCGAGAGTTAGCAGTACTCGGTGACAAAATCAATAAGTTCAGCGGGATGATTGAAGGGCTTATATGGTCACCAAGAAGCGGGGACAACGCTAATAAACCTGATGCTTGGGCGTTTGAGGAAGTAAGTCTTCCCTACCTGCATATTGCTCTCAGTCTCACTGCTTCTATCACTAAGCAAAAGTAAAGTTAGATCTAAGACTTGTGCATTCCTTGTCAAAACAGGGTCCTCATTCTGATTTTGCTGGGCCTAATTCTGGGAGCACGGCATGCGTAGCTGTTATTAGAGACAAGCAGCTATTTGTTGCAAATGCAGGTGACTCACGTTGTGTGATATCCAGAAAGAATCAGGTAAAATACCATTTTGTAGGCATTTTGAAGTGTTTGATTTAGACTTTTTGGCGTCTTTAATTTTTTGTTATAACGTGTGTCCCTGTCTACAGGCTTACAATCTTTCTAGAGATCACAAACCAGATCTTGAAGCTGAGAAAGAAAGGATATTGAAAGCTGGTGGCTTTATACATGCAGGACGAGTCAATGGAAGCTTAAATCTATCACGAGCTATCGGTAACCTCTTCTTCACACAATGCAACTTGTATAGTTTGTTTACATGCAATGTCTGACTGGAGCAACTCTTTGTCTCTTTACAGGTGACATGGAATTCAAGCAGAATAAATTTTTGTCATTTGAAAAGCAAATAGTTACCGCCAGTCCAGATGTAAACACTGTAAGTTGTCTAATACCACTTCTCTTTTTCCTGAAACATCCATCTTTTATAACAATTATAGTTTTTCTCTTCAGGTTGAACTCTGCGATGATGATGATTTCCTTGTTCTTGCCTGCGATGGAATTTGGTAAAATTCAATTTGAAAAAGTTTTGATATTTTTTCTCCAAACAAGTTCATTTGTTGATAGTGCTATTGATACACCTGTCTTGGTTCATCTCATATCTGCAGGGATTGCATGACAAGCCAACAACTCGTTGATTTCATACATGAACAATTGAATTCAGTAAGCTAACTTGATTTTTCTTCCTTTGGATTACAGTTCTTTTTCCAGTCTATCCTTTTCTGGATTCTACAGGTTCTTTCTTTTGATTGGTAACATTCAGGAGACCAAACTCTCGGTGGTATGTGAAAAAGTTCTCGATAGATGTCTGGCTCCAAACACCGCAGGTGGTGAAGGCTGTGATAACATGACCATGATCTTGGTTCAATTCAAGAAGCCTATTCAGTCTACGGAACCTACTACATCAGAAACCGAACTAAAACTGGAACCAAGCCAGGCCGAAGCAAACCACGATGAGCCGAGCTCATCAAACTAGCCCCATCCTCAGAAGAGTCACGGAAGATCCCATCTAGATCTAGTATTTTGGTTCATATTGTAAATCATTTTGAAAGACAGTTATAAATCACAACTTGACGTTTCTGGGAATTTCAGTATTCCACCATTTCCTCCGCGTGCAGACTTTTGTCTCACGTGCTCCCATAATGCAGAAGGAATAATTGATGTGAAAATGTTGTTGGCCTTAAAGAACATATCATCATTATGTAAATAAACAAAACAATGAGACATTTACACAACGTTATGTTTTGTACACTTCACATGGACATAAAGCTCTACTGTGTATTAGCTGTGTAAAATGTCAAGCTCTATTGGGGAGCTGTTCGTATGTTCCTGTGTTGGGGCTAAAACCACCGGTCACCATAGTCTGATACACAGCATAAGCGTGCTCAGGTTTTCCAGACAAACTGTATCCGCGGATCAGAGCGTTAAATGTAAAAACATTCGGTTCAAGACCCGCTCTTTGTATCTCATTGTAAATTTTCCCAGCTTCTTCCACCATTCCGGCAATACCCAGATTTAAAATCAAGGAGTTGTAAGTGTAGAGATCAGGGGTGATTCCTCTGCTATTCTTCATCTCGTTGAAAAGCACAAGAGCTTCTTCAAGTCTATGAGATTTCCCGAGTCCGTTGATAATGAGATTGTAACATACTACATCGGGATTGAGGCCTGATTCCTTCAGCTCCCTGAAGTAATGCAAGCCTTCATCCACTCTTCCGACCATACAAAGGCAATCTACTAGAACCGAGTAAGTCTTGAGATCCGGTCTTACTCCTTCCTTGACCATCCTTTTGAACAACGCACACGCTGCATCAGCCTCACCCGCTTTTCCAAACCCGTTAATGAGAATGTTATAGATAGCACAGTTTGGCCTGCAACCGTAGTCCAACATTCCTTCAAAGAGTTGTTTTGCTTCATATAATCTTCCTGACTTAGAGAGGCCATCGATAAGGGGACCATACGTGCAGGCAGTTGGGGAGAAGTCTCGATCACTCATAAGGTCGTAGTATAAATCAAGAGCATCGTCCACATTTCCTGCCTTCACAAGCCCGGAGATGACAATGTTATGAGTTATTGTGTTTGGTTCGCACTCATGGGCAGACATCTCTTTGTATAGCTCAAACAGTTCGTCGATTTTTCCTGATTTTCCATAAGCATCAAGCAAGAAGTTGTAGGTAGCCACATCTGGGATGCAACCAGTGCTCTTCACCTGTAGGAACACGTCCTGTGCTATTTCAATCATATCAGCTTCAAGAAGCCCGCCGATTAGCAGATTATAGGTCGGAAGTTTGGGTTGGACACCAAGATCTTTTGTGAATTTCTCGAATAAAGTTCGAGCACCTGAGGCGTTATTATGTTTAAAAGAATATCTGATTATTGGCACCAGGATCGAGTCACCATCTCGACAAATCCCATTAGCTACCAATCTCTCAGAAAATGAAACGGCGTTGTCTATTCCAGCTTCAGCCAATATAGAGCCCATCAAGTCTTCCCAGAAAAGATTGGCCGGTTGGTCTGCACAGCTGTAAAGAAAGTTGGCGATGATTTTGTAAGCATCTTCGATTAAACCAGCCTTGACAACACCTGGGAGAAGAGTGCAGAGGGTAACAAAATCAGGGTACACCAGTTTCTTCATCTGGTGGAAGAAACACATTGCGTCTTTGACTTGACCATTCTTCACCAAACCAAAGATAATCGTATTATAAGTAAAAACATCTGGGACACAACCCATGTCCATCATCTTGAACAACATCTTCAAGGCTAGAGTCACCTCGTCATTTTTGCAAAGACAATCAAAGAGAGTGTTGAAAGTTATTGTGTTAGGTGGACAACCTTTCTGCACCATCCCCTCGAACAACTCAATGGCCTCTTGAATTTTTCCATTTTTGCCTAAACCTGCGAGCAATGTGTTGTAAGTCACAACTGTAGGCTTGAGCTTCATTTCCTTCATTCTCATAAACATCTTCCACGCCTCATCTACTCTATCAGCTTTGTAAAGTGTATTGATCAAAGAATTAACAACAATAACATCAGGTTCACAACAGTTCTCCACCATCTCAGAAAGCAGCTTTATGGCTTCATCTATCTGCCCAACCTTACTGTAGCACTTCATCATCATGTTATAGGTTACTGAATCAGGGACCAGCCCTATGTCTTTCAAGCCATAGAAGATTTGCTTCGCTTCTCGGTCCCTTCCCGCTTTTGCTAGACTGTAGAGAGATGCATTACAGGCTACAATGTTCGGAGCTATTCCTTTGGTTTTCATCTTCTCAAAAGTCTCAAGAGCACTGACGGAATCTCCAGACTTTCCATAGTAATCAATGAATACTATGTACGTATAAGCAGTGGGCTTCACGCCCAGAGACTCCATATTACCAAAAAGTTCAAGTGCATCATCCAACCTGTGAACTCTTAGAAGACCGCAAATCAATGTGTTGTATGTATGTAGGTTCGGTAAGATACCTTGGTCCCTCATCACATCCAATGTAGCAAATGCTTCACCAAAATTCCCAGCTTTGCACAGAGCATCCACGAGAATGGTAAAGGTCACAACGTCAGGTACATGACCATCCTTCTCCATTTCACTCCAAAACTGCTTCACTGAATCCAGATCTCTGTTATCACTAAACCTGTCCAGCAAAGTAATGTAAGTTACACGATCCGGTTTGTGTCTTCCTGTTTTCATCTTTTCGAAAACCTCCTTAGCACAATCGAGCTTCCTAGCGGTACACAGAGCATCAATAAGAACAGTGTAAGTAACTACATCAGGTCCACATCCTTCATCATCCATTCGCTTCAGTATTTCATATGCTTCACTAATCTTTCCCGCCCTACCAAGCACCCGAATACATATCGTAAACGTGTAGACATTCGGCTTTAATCCCAAAGTCTCCATCTCTTTAAGTAAACCCATCACAGATTCAATATCCCTTCTTTTTCCCAACCCTACCATAAGTGAAGAGTAAGTCTGCAAACTAGGCCTAAAACCTTCCAAGATCATTCTTCTATAAACCTCCATTGCCTCTGTGCAAAACCTAGACTTAAGCAGAAGATGAATAAACCCATTGTATGAATATGCATTCAACACAAAACCAAATTCTCTCATCTTCCGAAGTGCATAAGGCGCTTGCCGCAATCCACCTTTCACAGAAAGACTCTTGAAGATAGTCAAGTAAGTATTAGTATCCCTCTTTATGATTCTCTTCTGCATCAAATCAAACACATAAGCCATTTCCTCAATTTTGCCATCAACCCTCAAAGCTTCAAGCATGTAGTTGCAAGTCTCAGTAGTGTGAACTAAATTCGAATTCCCAGCCACTGATTTGAAATAAGAAAACGAAGAATCAGTATCAGGAAACGACATTAAAACCCTCGTTACTTCACTCGATGACAAATCAGGTTTTGAGCTCTTTCTTATCATAGAACCCGAAAAGTCAGAACTTTTCATGGATACTAAACTACATCTCATACTCTTCATTCTCCAGTGTTTCTTCCGAGACCCAATCTTCAAAGCGTGGAACTTTAATCCTCCAGTAACCAAATTATCGCGTCTCCAACAACAATTTGCTTTGCTGTTACTAATCAGACAAGCATCACCGACTGTAATATCACCACAAAGACTCGTAGAGCAGAGTAACGCGACCATTTTCGAGATAAGTCAAGCAAGCAAAACAATTCCCCGGCAAAATTGAAACGAAACAGAGATTAACGATGATGATTCATCACATTTCAAGTGGCGAAGATGTAACTAACAGAACACAAGGACGTGATGAATAGTTATGAGCATTTTGATTCGTCTCCGTTCACCGGCAAAAAAGAACGCGACGGAGTTGATTTCGGTGAACCGGAGATTTCCGAAGAAAGAATTTTCGAAGCAGAATAAAAAAACTTGCCGAGAGGATAAAATCAGTGACTCGCTCCACTCGATCCTCACCGTTTTGCTTCCCTCCCAAAATATCTTCTGGCCCAATTAAGGCCCATTTGTATAGGCCTCTTTTTAACGATAGTCCAGGTTTCTCTTTGTGTGTACTGTTTACAAATTCTTTTTTTGTTTTTTTTGTTTGTTTGTTTTGGTGTTGCTAAAGTGATATTTTTTTGGTAGTAATAATATTCAAACTTTTTTGAATAATAACTGATTTTAATTTAGTTTTTTGGGGTACTAATTCAAAATTCTCATTCAGTTTTTTTTTTCTTGATTGTTGATAGATCCAACTAATTTATCTAGAAGTGAACAAGAGGAAGAACAATTTCAATGAAATAATAAATTTAATATAGTAAATAACAAAGATTCTACTTCATATTCGAAAATTAATAAATAGAATTAAGAGTTTAAGACTAAATTTCTCTTTTAAAAGAAGAAGGCCCATAATCCAAGAACAAGGCCAAATACGACACTGAATCCGCCGGTGAGCTTAGCGGCATCACTAGTAGGCGCTACGGCGGGACCGTCGAACTCAGATGGCGAAGGAGCTGGAGAGAAAGCAGAGTTACGAGGAGTGATGACGACTAGGCGTAGCTTCTGACCCTTTTGACAATGACCCTCTGTTCCACTGATGAAGTAGACCGGACCGGCTTGGTCTAGCTTCACCTTTGTGTTCCCGTCGGTGTAGCTGGCTTTAGGGCTAGTGGTGTTGCATTTCTCGTAAGCCTCTCGTGTCACTTGCAGAACCGAGTCTTTACCAGCTTCGTACCTGAAAACTGAAATAAACATATGACAATGTCAGAAACAGAGTATATGTATTGAAGATTACACAACAATGTCCAAGTCTAATTGAAAAAAAGAAGTTAAAAATTGAGGATTTACCGATAAAGTCGCCGACTTTGAAGCGAGCCTTTTGAGCCCATTCGTTGAAAGAGAAAGAAGAGGAAGGAGGGATCTTCCAGTCACCGGATTTTCCTCCAACGGTAACCTCATTTGCATCCACGGACAAGAAGAAGAAGAAAGAAATGCAGAGGAAAATGGTAACTAGAAGAGAAGAAGAAGCCATTGATTATAAATTAATCACTTTCTGTACTGAATTCAAAACCTCGAAAGTATTAGAGTGTGTAATGTGTTTTAGTGTGTTATAGATGAAGAGTGTGAGTGGATTTTGTGTGGTTTTTATAGAGGTAGAGGACTTGGAAACTAGCCGTTTAGGAAAGCGAAAATTAAAAGGAAAAAAAGGGTAAATGTTAATGTATCCGTTGGGAGATATTAAAGGTAACGTAACGGTTAGGATTGAGACAAAACCTGAACTCTGATAGAGAAAGTGATTTCACGGTCTTCTAGGAAGACTGGTCAAGCTAAGCTGTTTCTGTTTGTTTTTCTTTTTCACTTTTTGTACTTTACTTTTTGTTTGCTAGTGGAATTGGGTTTTGATAAAGTTGGGCCTTCAAGTTGATAAAAGATGAATAAAAGACATATCGCCTAAAAGGCCCATAAGAAGCAGAAGACAAAAAACTTCCAACGTTGCGCATTTTGATGATAATTTAAAAATCAAACCCGATTTGGCACCTGGCCTAGTTATCATTCTAAGGCATGACACCTGCCTAATATGTTTATTATAGAAAACAAAGAGAATCAGCTAGGTGTCCCTTATTGAACACATTAACAAACTCAAACGTCACTACGTGTCTTCATGCCTCTTACCATCTCCAAAACCCTATAGCTAAAACGAAGCTGTTTCTTCTATGGTTTAGTATAGTACCAACTCACAAGCTACAAAAAATAATATTGAAGAAAGCATAAGCATGGCTGGAGAAGATGACTGGAGGAAAACAGCAGATACGACAAAGATGAGCTCGGAGGGAGTGAAAGCCGCCGGTGTTGAGTCATCAAAGAGGCCACCAGGTAGTAATCCAGGTGGTGTTCTTCACCAACGCCGTAACTTGCCATACAGTTACACCACGATGGCTCTAGCCGGATTAGCTATCTCTGGTGCCATCATGTACACTGTAATGTATGCTAAGAAAAAGCCGGAAGCTACTGCCACTGATGTAGCTAAGGCTGCCACAGGGACGGCTAAACCCGAAGATACACATCCAAGAAAGTAAAATTTCAAGTGAAGAATTAAAGGGTTTATCTTCTTCTTTTTTTGCTTTTGTATTTTTTTGGTAAAACTTTTTCTTTAAAAGAGGGATGCAACACCAGGACTTCCCGGGAGGTCACCCATCCTAGTACTACTCTCGCCCAAGCACGCTTAACTGCGGAGTTCTGATGGGATCCGGTGCATTAGTGCTGGTATGATCGCATCCTGCTTTTGTATTTTTGTTCTTGCTTCATGCTCAATGTTCTTGTTGGAACCCTTTTTTTTCTTGTAATAAAATAACATAACGAGTTCAAGAATAGATTATACCAACTACTAGAGAAAGCAGAAAAATAAAATGGGAGGGATATATAGAACATATATTGTGTTTTTAGAAAGGTCAGCACGATATCAAGTTTACCGAGTGAAGACATAATTTACAATGTGTAATAGTTTTACAAGTCTTATGAAAGATTATTTTCCGATTTGGGAAGACTACTATTTTGCAGATCCTTTTAAATAAGTTATTTTTAGTTGTGCCATGCTTTGGGGATGGTGATCGTTTAATTTATAAGTCTTTTGAATGCATGCGTATAGTTTAGATCACCGAATCCTCCTCTTACATTTCTCTTGTCATGTAGCTTATAAAAAAATAGGGCCATTAATGTGGGCTTGAGAGTTGTGTATTTGGGCCATATCCTAAAAGATGTATAGTGCACATAATCATCATGCATGGCATTCAAAGATTCCAATCAGGTTTTGCAATCTTGAGTTTGATTACGTTTTCTAAAAATGAAACAGTTTTAAATATTTCGAACAGTTTGTGTTTATTTTGAATTGTCGTCTTAGTCATGTGGGCGACTTTGATTATTTACTGTCAAATAAAAACTTTAAGAAAAGAAACAGTAGTTTTTTAGTCAACTACAAAATTATGGCTAGTTGATTCTATGAGACAATTGGTGATTCGCATGTCTTTGAAAACGTTGATTGGCATAAAATAAGATCGTAATTCGTAACGTTAGAATATGAAAAAAATTAGGTGAGTCCACTTAATGGCCCAAAAAAGTAAGTGTATAGAAATAGGCTGTTAATGGGAATTTTCATAAAGCTGAAGCTTCTAAGGGAGCAATTGCTGAAGCCTATTTTTCAGATTTGTTTAAGTCTGTTGATCATGGCAACTTTCAGGATATTTTTGGTGATTTTCCTCCAACAGTTACTGCAGGGATGAATGCTGTGCTTATTGCTGATGTCTCCAAGAAGGAAATTAAAGAAGCTGTTTTTTCTGTTAGAAGTTCTAGTGCTCCAGGTGCTGACGGGTTTACAGGATTTTTCTTTCAGAAGTATTGGAGCATTATAGGTGATCAGGTAACCTCAGAGGTTCAGCATTTCTTTTTGACTGGTTCTATGCCTAAGGAGTGGAATTATACTCAACTCTGTCTCTTGCCAAAAAAAGGAAAAGCTGAGCAAATGTCAGATTTGAGACCGATCAGTTTGTGTTCTGTTCTTTACAAGGTAATCTCTAAAATCTTGGTAAAGAGGCTTCAACCGTTTCTGGATGTGTTAGTGGCTCCTAATCAATCGGCTTTTGTGTCTGAGAGATTGATTTCGGATAACATTTTAATAGCTCATGAAGTGGTGCATGGGTTGAGGACTCATAATCAGATCTCTAAGGAGTTTATTGCTATTAAGTCTGATATGTCCAAGGCATATGATAGGGTAGAATGGGGCTACCTCAAGGCTTTGCTGGAAGCGCTTGGTTTTCATCACAGATGGGTACAGTGGATCATGGAGGCTGTGTCGACTGTGACGTTCTCTGTCTTAATAAATGATCAAGCTTTTGGTCTGATTACTCCTTCTAGAGGTTTGAGACAAGGTGACCCCTTGTCACCCTTTCTGTTTGTGCTTTGTACCGAAGGTCTGACTCACCTTATGAACAAAGCTGAAAGACAAGGACTCATCAGTGGCATTCAGTTCTCGCCTGATGGACCAGCAATACACCATCTATTGTTTGCTGACGACAGCTTGTTTATGTGTAAGGCTGATCTGCAGGAAGTGGAGACTATCAAGAAGATTTTCCAAGTGTATGGAAATGCTACTGGTCAAAGGATCAACTATGATAAGTCTTCTATCACTTTTGGTGCCAAAGTGGATGAGCAGAGTAAAGAGGAGATTCAAAGAGACCTGGGAATTTTTAATGAAGGAGGTGCAGGTTCGTACTTGGGTTTACCTGAATGTTTCAGCGGGTCTAAAATCCAACTCTTGGACTACATCAAAGATAGACTTAAATCAAGGTTGTCTGGTTGGTTTGCTAGAACCTTATCTTTAGGGGGAAAAGAGATTTTGCTAAAGGCTGTAGCTCTTGCTATGCCGGTATATGCTATGTCTTGTTTCAGATTGACAAAGACAACTTGTGCAAATCTTACAAGCGCTATGGCAGATTTTTGGTGGAGTGCGGTGGAGCATAGAAGGAAAGTCCATTGGATTAGCTGGGAAAAGTTATGTCTTGGAAAAAAGCAGGGAGGACTTGGCTTCAGGGATATTGAAACTTTTAACCAAGCTTTGTTGGCCAAACAGGCCTGGAGGTTGCTTCAAAACCCTTCTTCCTTGTTTGCTAGATTCTTCAAGAGTCGTTACTTCATTGATGAGGATTTCTTGGAGGCTGACATTGGTGTTAGACCATCATTTGCTTGGAGAAGCATTCTTCATGGTAGAGAGTTGCTGGTAAAGGGTTTGAGAAAAGAAGTGGGCAATGGTAAGTCCCTTAGTGTTTGGATGGATTCTTGGGTATATGACAATGTTCCGAGAATTCCTTTGATGAAACATTTCACAGTTAACTTGGATTTGAAGGTGGCTGACCTTATTGATGTTGAAGCTAGAAATTGGAATAGGGCAGTCCTTGATGATTTGTTTTATCCAATTGATGTGGAGATTATTACAAGACACAAGCCTGTGATTAGTATGGACGATTTTTGGTGTTGGGTCCATGCTAAAACTGGAGAGTATTCTGTTAAATCCGGGTATTGGTTAGCTTTTCAAGTTAATAAGCCGGATGTAATTACACAGGCTGAGGTTCAACCATCGACTAATTTGTTGAAAGAGAGAGTTTGGTCCATTGATACGTCTCCAAAGATTAAAATGTTCATGTGGAGAGCTCTTAGTGCAGCCTTGCCGGTGGCTGACCAGATAAATCACAGGGGAATGAGTGCTGAATCTGATTGTCTGATTTGTGGGGAAGATGGTGAATCTATTAACCATGTATTATTCACTTGTGCTGTGGCTAGGCAGATCTGGGCTCTTTCTGGAGTTCCTAATCCAGAGAATGGGTTTAGTAAAGGATCTCTTTTTGCTAATTTTCAGTTCCTGCTTGACACAAAAAATATGTCAAGAGTTAACAGACAAATCAGTAACTTATGTCCTTGGATCCTGTGGAGATTGTGGAAAAACAGGAATAAATTTTGCTTTGAAGGATCACGTTTCTGTCCTTTGGACTCTATGGTGAAGATAAGGGAGGACTGTGATGAATGGTTTGATGCTAAAATCCAGCCTGTGGAGGAAGATAATGCAGCAGCCTGTGTTGTGCCAAGGAACCTTCTGATTTGGGAACCGCCGCCGGTGGATTGGGTGAAGTGTAACATTGGTGCTGCGTGGTCATCTAAGAAGAGGATTGCGGGCTGTTCCTGGGTTGTTAGAGATGCAACAGGGCAGGTGATGTTACATAGTAGGAGAGCTTTTGGAGGGTTACATAACAGAAGAGATGTCATGTTTCAAAGTTTGGTATGGGCTATGGATTGTATGCATAGTCATAAGCTGAATAGAGTGGTTTTTGCTACTGAAGCGAGTGATTTGGTAAATGCCTTTCAAAGACCAAGAGCTTGGCCTTCTTTCAGTTATCAAATTTCGGAAATTCATCTTTTTTTGGAAAAGATTTTGGAGTGGAGATTGATGGAGGAAAAAGCTTCAGCGAATAGAGGAGCTTCTCTCATTGCTCAGAGTATTGTTCGTGAGGATAGAATGCAGTCTTATGTGGCAGTTGGTCACCCTCGTTGGCTACAACACGTTTTTGAGGAGGAGAGAATTTCATCTTAATTGCTGGGTTGGTCCCTGTTTCTCTCTGGTTTCTGGTCTTTGTTGTAGGTCATTTTTTGGTGAATGGTATATCTTCTTCTTACCATTCTCGTCCACTATCCTGTTTTGTTTGTACACAGGTTGTGTGATGTCAGTTTGTATTTCCTATCAATATAATCAATCCATTCAGTGAAAAAAAAAAAAAAAAGGTAGAAACACTCATGTGTTGCTTTATGAGCATAAAACCTGGACGACAATCTTTTATTTTCTCCTCACCAACTGCACACATTTTAATTATATCAATCAACATTCTCGTCTTTAAATTAAGTTGATCCCCATTTTATAAATACATTACAGATATATACACTATTTTGTGGACAAAAAAGAACAAATGAGGTATACGTACGTTATTTTTTATTTGTATAATAGGGTTTGTGTACTTATTCCTCACACCCATATGATAACAATTCTCATTTGGCACATACAGCTTACTATTACCAAATTCACACCACTATTACAAAACATCCAATTTAGTCTAGTCCATATTGGTGGAGTCTTCTATCATTTTATTTCATGATGTTCAAGAAGAAAACAATAAGATAAAGATAGACCTGAAAACGACCAAAGTTTTTTTTTTTTTTTTTTTTTTTTTTTAAACGACCAAAGTTATTCCACGGAAACTATTTGTACATTCCAAATCATTCAAATAAGTTTTATATGAAGAAAACTAAAGGGTAAAAACTTATCGACGAAAAAAACTTGAATTTAGTCTACTTATAAAAGGGTAAAAAGTTAGAAAAAAAAAAAGAAAAAAAGGAGGAAATTATATAGAAATTTATGAAGAAAGGAGCAAAAAGGAAGAGTTCTAGCACAAGGTTGCAATTATGGAGGTTTGGACCCATAGTCAGTGTTCACCATCATTTGTTTATGATGCCTTATGCTCACGCCTGTCTATAATTATATTTCTATTATTTTTCAACATTAAACCTTTACTATTAGTCGTTTGACGACGTATAAACATTCTCATCTCAACGACAAAACAATAAAAAGCATTATCATCTCAAAATTGAAATTTGGTTTCGCTTGTATTAGTATATTCTCCACGGTTTGATTAAATGTGAGGTTTCCGGATAATTGTCTTATACTATTCACTAATAGTAATCCTTTGTGTTATAGACATATGCCATGCTTTTATGTTTACTATAACATAAAAACAGAAATGCAATACTATATACTATGTTTAAGATAGGAATGTTTCTATATTAAATATAATCTACTTAATTGAATACAGTATATTCCATCATTTCTCTGTTTAGGGTACATATTCATTTGATACCATTTATTACGTATAAAATTATGTCATTTGCAGTCTTCCAGTCAATTTATTTTTGTTATTTGATGTATTCTTTATTTCCACGATTTAAGCATTGATTTGAAACTTTAATCTTAGTTTACATGGAGATTTTTACTGAATCGAACTTGAGGGGATGTGATAGAAGCATGTATGATCTTCAGACCTAGGAAGATTGTGTTAATACCTATTATGTGGTTGAGTCAAACAACTGATGACCAATTTATAATCAGAAATTTCTGATTTTGTATAGAAAGAATTTCCACTCAGCCACACCCATTACATTTTAGTGTATTTCTGTTCGGTTATTACCATTTTTATCCAAAGCTCGAAAAAACATAAAAATAAAGAAAAAAGTGTGCAACGAAGAAATCTCAAAGTAAATGAAAGAAGGATTATAACATGGGGAGTGCATTAAATATGGATGCAGTGTATGTAATGTAAAAGAGGTAGACTGTATAAATATAAATAATGCAACCATAATAATGGAGCTTCGTCTAGTCTTTTCTCATAAACCACATGCCATTGCTTTTTCTTCTGTGCTTTCAACGTCTCACCTATGCATCTATATATTGTAGATATCATCCAATGAGGAAATATGTTTTAATTACACTTCTAATAATAATACTCCTTAGACCCCATATGATAATGTCCGTACGTGCAACTCTTTTGGCTACGTGTATGATGGCGAGGACGCTTATCTTCTTTTGCGAGACTGAATCATTATCCAAAGAGTTTTTTTTTTCGTATTGTGTAGTGATGACTGTGAGTTCTTGCTTCTTAATATAGGTTTTGAAGTCTGTGTAAGTGTAACCATGCATGTAATCTGCAGCATGCAAGTAAATAATACATCAATTAACAAATTTTGTAGCGGGAAGAATAATTAGTCTGCCATGATTTAGGTTCAAAAACATTATATATGGATTAAAATCCTAAGATTTTTTTGATAAAATTGAAGAATATAGCATGGTCAATCAAGTGTCGTAATCGGTCATAGTCATGGTGCTTGGTGCATTAACTTATATGCTATACTATATGTTTACGCACTTTAGATTCAAACAACGGATCAGACCTCGTTTCCATATCTATATAGCCTTGTAATTCAATGTTCATGTTTGGATTATTTTGGTAATATTGAAACCAATGTTTCAGGTATTAGGGTTGGGCCACGTAAGTATTTGAGCATAGTTTAACAAAAACGAAAGAAAGTATTTGAGCATTAAGGATACGATATTTTTAATATTTGTGTATTTGAGACCATATATATCTAATTTTATTATCTGGAACGAGCTGTTTTCTGAATCAAGTATTTTGGAAGAAGAAAAGATAACATGAAGAATAGTGAAATAAAACAATTTAGGCTTTGAATGGTTAGACCATATGATGCGGACTAGACACTGCATACCAATATTTTAGTATGCAAAACATCAGATTGTAGTATGGAGCAGACAATTGTATGTTGGTATGGAGTTTGTGATGGTATGGAGCTTTTGGGGAGTAGACTGAAAAATGCGGACTAGCAGTGAATTTATGATGGTATGGAGTTGTATGCTCAAGTGCATACTAGTATGAAGATTTTTAGTCTGCAATAATGCATACTAGTATGCAATAGTGAATGGTAAATTAAGTGCATACTAGTCTGATTTTAGTCTGGTCTGCAGCATACTAAACAACCATTGAAAGCCTTATTCTTTAGTTGATGTTTGTCGCAGTCACATGTATTCAACCAACTCAAAGACTTTAGATAACGGATCATATAACGAGTTACATGACCGGCATATAAAGGATAAGTCAAATTAACATATGTACTTATCTTTTTAGCGAAGACGCAGAGACACATCAATTAGTTACCATTGAAATAATTAAGCCACTAGGAAGCATGCATGCTTGTCAACCTTCATTTACTACTTAGTCTACTTAGCTTTGGGACCAATATACATTACATCTCCATATATTACGCTGCGACTCTTACGATACGTGTTTCGTGTTCATATTTATATAATTGAGCAATTAATCACGTGGAAACAGCTACGGCACGTAAGGAAAATTGACATGCAGACCCCACCAAATTACATACTCCGATAAAAATGGCTAAAAACATTAAAACCTTGTAAACCAAATCGGGTCCGTTCTAGATCTTGACTACGCCATTTTTGTTAATGTCTCGAATAAAATTGAAACCACAAGTAGCAGATCACCTTACCCTCTCTTTAAGAGAAAACAAACAAATTAACACACATGTTTTGATGATTTGACTGTTTGTATTACTCCAATTTAGTTGACAATTAATAAATTGTATATTAACTTGTTTTGCATAATCCAAAAGCGAATAATAAGTATCCACTATATCCATATGGTTTAGCAACAATCTTTAATTAGATTATTATTCTGACCGACTGAGTATACTGTAGCTCGTTGTGAACACTACGATTATTTTAATTAGGGATATATTTTGGTGAGACACGAGATATTCATGGGTATGAAAATTATTCATAGTGACATCAAAAGGAGAAACTTTACATGAAGCTTCTTTTCAGACAAAATGACGTTCATAAAAAATTAAGACATTTGCTTTTCAAAAAATTAAATCTAATATACAATTATCAGAGTCATCTCAACTATTTAGAAGTATATATATATATAGTTGTTGTTTTGTTTTGTCGATGCCGAGTTATTTTCATCTATTATCTATGACGACAATGCAATATGAGTGTGATTCCTCTTATTAGTATTGTTTATATTTTCGTTACACAATTATTGACTTGTTTGATATTTCTAGTATTAGTATAGTAGCAGATCTATATATAAAGAGTCCATGACATTTTTGCATGCAAAGTCAATGTTAGGAATTGCAAAATGTGACCGACTCGTGAGCATCTAGAATAACGGAAACAAAAGTCAAAGTGTCTCTCTCTCGGCAAGCGGGTTCCGTTGGGACGGACTACAAAGACTGTAACGGCGCGTCAATTTCACACACCAACTACAAAGAAGAGAGCTAAAGGAAAACACTAATTACACGTGTCGAGTTTTCATTTGTTGAGTAACGGAACTAAAGTAAACGGAGAAGGGAATGAGTCAAAGCAAGTAAGGTGGTGCAGCTACAATATATTTTTGTTAAGAGATTTTACAATTATCTACTATATAACAAAAAATTATGTTTTGGGAAAATTAATCTAGTTTTTGGAGTCAAACAAAAAACAGGCTATGACTCAGTTAGCCAATGTACTTACTTATGTAGTGTTAGGAATATTATCATCATATGTGTACTTACTTACCTTTCTCATTGATGTATAGAAGAAGATACATAGGGGGGTCAAATAAATACACGAAGAGCTGTACAATGCTATAGACTATAGAGTAATTGGAGAGATTTCTAATTTTCAGAGAAAAGAAAGTACTACATACTAAATAGTATTATTATGATAATATACATGTACACACATAAACTTAAGACGTAAAGAATAAATGGAAGTGATTAAAGAAAGGGATAATTAATAAAAACAGTTGTTAATTAGTAACATTCAAACAACTTAGCTGGCTAATTTAGAATATTTGCAAGCTAGATTCCCACTCTCTTTTTCTCTTGCTCCCTTCAATTTTTTCTCCTTTTCCTTTATATAAAAAGAAATAAATACATATAATTTTGTACGAGAGTAAAGGATTTTAGTAGGAGAGACAAGTTCGTCAGAGCGAAAATAAATCATCATCATTCCTCATCCCTTCCCGAAGCTGCTCTAAGGAAAGAGATCCACTATTACTACTATACACAAATCCGAATAAATAACTAAAAAAACTTTCATTGAGATTTGAGCCAAACAGAGAAGAAGAAGAAGTAGAAGAAGAGGAAAAGAGAAGAGGATCAGTCCCCGCTTTAAAAGCATTGGCGGCGTCTGATTTCATCATCTCGCTCTCTCTCTCTCTCTTTAATTCTCTCAAAGACAAAGCCTTTTTCTCTCTCTATATATATCTCTCTCTTACGCCATTTGGGTTATTGCTTTTCTCTGTGTGTGTGAGTGATTATGATGATGGGATTATCTTTCTAAAGCTTTTTTATTTTCCTGGAAAGTTAAGAGAATTAAAAAGAAAAGTAGTATACAACTTTATGCCTAGTTCTTCTCTTCTCTGTTGGAGTTGAGAGACCAATAAATGCTGTTAGTAATGGTTAGTTGAGATGGGAGGAAAAAGATCCCGTAGTCCGAGGAGTGTTTGGTTTCTTGCAAAAGGATAGTGAGGCAAAACATGGGTTTGGTTTCTCTTGTCTCCTTTCATTCATCCCTTTTCCATTAATGGTCTCTCCCCTCTTCCAACACTCCAAAACAAACATTTTTTGCCTTTTCTCTTCTTCTCACTTCTGCGGTTCTGGTTTCATTTGATCTCTTTTAAAAGAGAGAGAGAGTAAAAGCTCAAAGCTAGCTTCTTCTAAGTCAAACAAAAGTGTCTTCTTTTTGGTAAAGAAGACGAAGAAAGATGAAGTTCATGAAGCTAGGGTCTAAGCCTGATACATTTGAATCTGATGGCAAATTCGTCAAGTAAGCATAATTTTGTTTGTTTTTTTCTCTTCCTTTTTTTTTTATAGTTTTGATTGGTCAAATGAAACTTCTACTGTTTTGTTCTCTGTGTTTTTGTTCTCTTCTCTTCTCTTTTCTATTCATTTTTCTCCACATGTGTTGCCTCTGTCTAGTTCTTGTAGGGATTTTAGAAACATATGTCCCCTCTTCTCTTGGTTTCTATCTTTTTGAACAGAAGCTGTTAAAAACAGATTCTGTGACTTCCCTGCGGAATTTTCATTTGCTCTGTCTATGTGAACAAAGATAGCTAAACTTGGTTAAGAATTGCTTAAACTCGGTTACTTGCCACTTAAAAAAATACTCTGGTTTTGATGTTAGAGATTAAAAACCAGGATAAGTTTTTCATCATCATGACCATTATTGTGATTGGTTTCACTCATCATTTTTTTTTTTGCGGGAAATACCACAAAGTTAAAAGCTAGAAAAGTTACAAGAAATGGGTATATGAGTTTCAGGAGTGGTCCATTTATTAGATGATCTGTCTCTGTTTATGTGTTGTTGTTTTGTGGTCCTGATTTGTAAGAGCAAAGAGTGGAAAGCTAAAGGGAATGATGATTATGAGTTTTCTTCTAATTTAGAAAGTGAAGAATCTCTCTTTACTTTTGTTACTTGTGCCTTGTTTCTCTAAATATCTAAGACATCTCTTCCAAGTTTTAACATCTGGATATTCTAAACTAGGCTAAGAATCTTGTTTCCTTTGTCTTGTTTTGTAAGTGAATATAATAAAAAAAAAATTGGATTTTTTAGGCAAGGTTCGGACTTTTGTTATGTTGGTGAGAGTTAAACTTGATGAATATGCATGTGCTTATGGTTTTGAATGTAAACATAACATCTGAAATGTTTAAGAAAGTAGTACTGACTAATTAATATGTAAGAGTCCTCGTATAGCTGATTGTATTCTTAGTCTCAATATTTAGTCTGATCATTGATTTCTTCCTCGCAGGTACGCTGTTTCGGATCTTGACAGCGATGTTACTATTCATGTTGGCGAGGTCACATTTCACCTCCATAAGGTACATTTTGGTAATGCTAATAACAGAAGTAGTTACTGATGGATTCTTAAGTGGTACCATTGTAATAGAATTTAATGTTGTATTTTCAGTTCCCGCTGCTATCGAAGAGCAATCGGATGCAGCGCCTGGTTTTTGAGGCGAGTGAGGAAGAAACCAATGAGATCACTATACTTGACATGCCAGGAGGACACAAAGCGTTTGAGATATGTGCTAAGTTTTGCTATGGGATGACTGTTACGCTCAATGCTTACAACATAACCGCTGTGCGATGTGCAGCTGAGTATCTTGAAATGACTGAAGATGCTGATCGCGGTAACCTCATATACAAGATCGAGGTTTTCCTCAACTCAGGCATATTCAGAAGCTGGAAAGACTCTATCATTGTGCTTCAGACAACAAGATCTCTTCTTCCTTGGTCAGAAGATCTGAAGCTTGTTGGTAGATGCATAGATTCTGTTTCAGCTAAGATTTTGGTGAACCCTGAGACTATCACTTGGTCTTATACACACAACAGGAAGTTATCTGGACCCGATAAGATAGTCGAGTATCATCGTGAGAAGAGAGAAGAGAATGTGATACCGAAAGATTGGTGGGTGGAAGATGTATGTGAGCTCGAGATTGATATGTTCAAGAGGGTGATGAGTGTTGTGAAATCGAGTGGAAGGATGAACAATGGCGTAATTGCTGAAGCTCTTAGATACTATGTTGCAAGGTGGTTGCCAGAATCTATGGAGTCTTTGACATCAGAAGCTTCTTCAAACAAAGATCTCGTTGAGACTGTTGTTTTCTTGTTGCCGAGGGTAAACAGAGCGATGAGCTACTCTTCTTGCAGCTTCTTGCTAAAACTCCTTAAAGTTTCGATCTTGGTTGGAGCTGATGAGAAAGTGAGAGAAGATTTGGTTGAGAACGTGAGCTTGAAGCTTCATGAAGCGTCCGTGAAAGATTTGCTGATCCATGAAGTCGAATTAGTTCATCGGATTGTGGAACAGTTCACGGCGGATGAGAAACGTGTATCTGAAGATGATCGGTACAAGGAGTTCGTTTTGGGAAATGGAATTTTGTTGAGTGTAGGAAGATTGATTGACGCTTATCTCGCTCTTAACTCTGATCTTACACTCACTAGCTTTATTGAGTTATCAGAGTTAGTCCCGGAATCAGCTAGGCCGATACACGACGGTCTCTACAAAGCCATTGACACTTTCATGAAGGTAAAACAGAGTTTTGGTCAGAGTTTCTTGTTTCTCTGAAAAGAAAATTCTTGTAAATTATGAAGTTGGTTTTTGTAGGAACATCCGGAACTAACAAAATCCGAAAAGAAGAGGCTTTGCGGGTTAATGGACGTGAGGAAACTTACAAATGAAGCATCAACGCACGCTGCACAGAACGAGCGACTTCCGCTGCGAGTGGTGGTGCAAGTTCTCTACTTTGAGCAGCTCCGAGCAAATCACAGCCCCGTCGCGTCTGTTGCAGCTTCGTCACACTCGCCGGTTGAGAAGACTGAGGAGAACAAAGGAGAAGAAGCTACGAAGAAGGTGGAGCTGAGCAAGAAAAGCAGAGGAAGCAAGAGCACGAGGAGTGGTGGTGGAGCACAGCTGATGCCGTCGAGGTCAAGGAGGATCTTTGAGAAGATATGGCCGGGGAAAGTAGAGAGTAGCAACAAGAGCTCTGAGGTTTCGTCTGGAAGCTCACAAAGTCCGCCGGCCAAGTCTTCCAGCTCGTCGTCCCGGCGCCGCAGACATTCGATATCGTGAATCCATATGGAGAAACATAATTTGTAAAGAGAAGCTATTATTATGGTTGTAACTTATTATAAGTGATCTTAGGATTTGTGGTAGTTAAACTAAAACTGATGAAGTTGTGTTCTGCGTTTCTTTAATCGTAAAGATTTGTTAACTGTTTCAATACATTACTAATGTCTGATTTTGTTGTCGTTAATTTTAAGCGATTAGTGAAAGTGATGGACGACATGTTTTGTTGTTTGTTTATCAATCATTGTTCATTAGTCATCAAAATATTCCACATTAGCGCGACTAAAAACCAGATGTTCGACCTTTTAGTGCGACTATTGACTAAGTTATAATCTATTGGGCCTTATGGACTCAATATGGAGCCCATAACTGATAATACGTTGAGACGTTCAATTTCGATTGTGGAAATGATCTGACGGCTAGGAATCGCCGGCGGCCATAACTTGAGAGGCAAAACCCAAAACCCTCGGAAACCCAGAGGCGTCTTCTCGACGCGGAGATCAACAGAGAGAGATGCAAACAGTGAAAGCTTTGAGGAGAGTGAGTGAACCCTTACAATGGGTTCGGTCTGTTTCTTATGGAAGAAGCTTTTCTGCTCTCCCAAACTATTCCGCCTCAGATGCCGATATCGAAGACCAGGTATTTTTTTTAAAAAAAATCTTCTTCTGCTTCTTCTTAGTTTGGATCTTCCTGAAATGTGCTTGATCTGATAGTTTATTTGTGGAACTTGTAAACAATTTAATGGTAACTGGAGATCTCATCACTTGATTTTTGCTGTAATTGAAGGTTCTTGTGGAAGGAAAAGCTAAATCAAGAGCTGCCATTCTCAATAACCCATCTTCTCTCAATGCTCTTTCTGCGCCTATGGTATCGTGTTCACCAGAGTAGTCTTTTTGGATTGAGAAGTCTGATTTCTTGAGCTCATTTAGTTTTTTTAGTTATGCTTCAAAAACTTTTGCCTTCCTAGGTTGGTCGGTTAAAGAGGCTATACGAATCATGGGAAGAGAACCCAGCTATTTCCTTTGTTTTGATGAAGGTATGCTACTCTTTAGCTTCATTTACTAGATTCATTGCTGCTGCTTGTGTCCTTCTGATGCATGGTTATACCACAATCTCCTTCGATTAAGCTACTGTTTTTATTTTTTCTCAAGGGTAGCGGCAAAACTTTCTGCTCTGGTGCAGATGTCCTGCCTCTTTATCATTCGATCAGTGAAGGTCCATATTAGTTTCCATTGTTAAAATACTTGGAAAGTTTTTGTGAGCCTAAAGTCTCTTTCACCAGAGTTAATCTGGTGAAGTTACTGAGAGGCATTACTGATGATTGCCACTTTTTTGTTTGCACAGGAAATACTGAAGAATCTAAACTCTTTTTCGAGAACTTGTACAAGTTTGTATACCTCCAAGGAACATATTTAAAACCAAATGTAAGATTCCTAGACTTTTTTCCGATGCTATTTGTTAATACTTAATACCAGATGGGATTGGTTCGTATGACCATGTGTGACTAGAAAGAGCTAAACCTGCTTATTTGCTTCCACTCGATAATCTATGAAACTGATTTTGTAGATAAAAGGCAAGTGTTTGAAATATTTTGAACTTTAATTCCTGCTCTTATACATCAAGAGTTTTGTGTTACTGCAGATAGCTATAATGGATGGTGTGACCATGGGTTGTGGTGGTGGAATTTCACTTCCAGGGATGTTTCGTGTGGCTACAGATAAAACTGTATGTGGCTCGCTTTATTATTAGAAATCACTGATTTTTACTTTGAGTGGACGCTGTAATAAAAGAAAAAGTCTGTGACTACATAAGATCCTACAGTCTCTTAAGAAAAGAAGTTAAATTTCTTAGCCATTTTCTCTGTATTTTAAATATCCTGTTGCCTTATTCAATTATCAGTAGCCCATTTCCTTTGTGTGAGGCTGTTTCTTTTCTTGTACATTGTAAGTTTTAGTGGTGAAGATGTTTTGAACAACTGTGCGTATGCAGGTGTTGGCCCATCCAGAGGTCCAAATTGGTTTTCATCCTGATGCAGGAGCTTCCTATTACCTTTCACGGCTTCCTGGTTATTTAGGTAAACTTGACCTCAGATCCATATTATATGCATATATTTATAGTAAAATGATGGTCAAATTTTAGATTTGAATGTGATTGGCATACAGATACTTAACTGCAATGTTTTGGTGTTTCTGAAGCAGTTTTTGTGTTTTCTTGTTCAGGGGAATACTTGGCTCTAACGGGGCAGAAACTTAATGGTGTCGAAATGATAGCATGTGGCCTTGCCACCCACTATTGCTTAAACGCGGTTTGATGCAGTTTTCTTACCTTGTCTCATGTTTTCTTCTTTCCTCTTAAGCACATTCCTTATATAAGTTGTTATGGCAGAGACTTCCATTGATTGAAGAGAGGATTGGTAAACTGTTGACCGATGATCCTGCTGTCATTGAGGATTCTCTTGCTCAATATGGTGATCTTGTTTACCCTGACAGTAGCAGTGTACTGCACAAGTAAATCTTTTACCTTTTCTCCATATCTTCAAATCTCTTTGAATATCCCACAATCATGTAACCCAATATTCTTTGGTCAGGATTGAGATGATTGATAAATATTTTGGGCTTGATACCGTTGAAGAAATCATTGACGCTATGGTAAGAGATTTTTGCCTAGCATAGGCATGATACCTTTCAATTTTGAGGACTTTGGATCGACTTGGCTTGAGTGTTTTGTCAAGTTCTAAGCTTTTATGTTAACCCGTGGCTCAGGAAAATGAGGCTGCTAATTCGTGCAGTGAATGGTGCAAGAAAACTCTCAAACAGATCAAAGAAGCTTCACCTTTGAGCTTAAAGATTACTTTGCAATCTGTAAGTCCTTTTAGTTTCTTCTTCTCCTTTTTGTCATAATGGATTTCATTTTCCTGACTCTGGCGGTTTCTTCTCTTCTCAGATACGAGAAGGTAGATTCCAAACCCTTGATCAATGTCTCACACGTGAATATCGTATATCTATTTGTGGAGTCTCAAAGACAGTCTCTGGTGACTTTTGCGAGGTAAAATATATCACTAATTTCTCAATTAATGCATCATTTTTTGCATATATTGAAAATGTTTTCTGTTGATAGGGTATTAGAGCCCGTTTGGTGGATAAAGACTTTGCTCCAAAGGTGCATACAAACATATCAGACTCAAAATTAGACGTTTGCAACTCCTTTTGCTTATGTTCATGTTCCAGGTTTTACGTTCTGATTTGTGGTTTGTTAATATTTGCAGTGGGATCCTCCACGCCTAGAAGATGTGAGCAAAGACATGGTGGATTGCTACTTCTCGCCAGCCGCAGAGCTCGATGATTCAGATTCTGAGTTGAAGCTGCCAACAGCTCAACGAGAGCCTTACTTCTGAGGAAAAATCTACTGATGACACTCATTACTTGCAATAAAGAATTCCACCGATCTATGCGCAAATGAGATCTCTGCAATGACATTTTGCTGTCAAACTCTGTTTATCTTCTTAATAGGAGTGTCAAGTTTTCAACTGTCCTGTGATAATTGTAGTTTCTTCGTTTTCTGTGAGAGGATTCCATTATAATGTTGAAAGGCCAAAGTGTAGAATTTAGAAGAAGCTTGATTGGATAAAGATTCAGTGCAATTCCTACCGTGGATAGTGATTTTCAAGTGGTATGTATAACATTGCACCAAACAGGGACAGTGGCAACTAGTTTAACTAAAAGTAAACTTCACACAACTGCTTAAGAACTCTTCAGACAAACACTGTAACAAAAAATCTAAACTCTTCCACTTAAAGGATTTTCATCTAGAAAAACTGGTGCGGGAGGATTGATTACTTTGACGCGTTTCAAACACAGTTGGGCTGGAGCTTGAACCTGGCCTAGGGATTTGATTAGGATCAATTCTTGAGGGTCCAGGAACAAAGGCACCAGGTTGGCCCATGGCATTGGCTATGTTGGTAAAGATGTTTTGTTTTTTTTTTTTATTATCCCACAGATTATATGAGACATTATTGTTTTCAGACATTACTGTCTCTTATATATTTAGGATCCAAACAATAATGTCTCTTACTCAGGGATCACCCACAAAAATAAGCTCATAATGGATGCACGGCTCTCCCTCTCCAGTTTGACCAAGGCCCTTGAGTCTAATGACGTGACTAATATCAACCTGGAGATCAAAAAGTTCAAACACTTCTCCTCAGCAATAAATATTTTTTTTTTTTTTGTAAAAGCAATAAATAAATTTTTGATTTTAAAGCATGTCTTTTCAAGCATAATTCAAAAAAAAAAACATGAATCAAGAGTTATTGTAATTGATTAATAGCCAATTATTTATACTTCACACTGTAGTTTATTTAAAATTGTTTGATGAAAATTAATACGGAGAGAAAATAATTACGATAACTAACATATTTATCTTCTTTTCCTAAACTTATGTATTTATAAACCGGCAGATTATAAGTCATTAAGATTTTTTAATGTACTTTTGGTTTATTTATTTTTTTGGTAAGTATGTACTTTTGGTTTATTAATAGTATATTTTCTTTGATTGTTGTCTTTGACCTAGTGCAAATTTAAAACAAAATTTTTAAATAATTGGCTATTAATCGATTATTAATAATTGATTAGGAAGTAGAGAATAACCGCCAGAGCTGATGAGTAAGAAAAAAATTAAAAAAGTCAGGTGGGATACTCAACATCATTTAGAACAGAAGAGAACGCATATGTCATTGCGGTGAAGTGGTTATACGTTCATGGAACAGAAGAAAACCTCACGAAAGAGCTTTTGACGTGACTGACATAAACATACTGCGTGTGATACTTGATCGAGCTCTTACGAATCGTTTGCCTCCCAATATTCTATTGGCTTCTTCAGATTCTGACTTTATTGTACCATTGAAGATATTGAGACGCCACGAGTATACTCTTATGTTAGCTTCTGATAAGCGGGCAAGTATCCATTTAAGAAATCAGGTAATGTATGTGTGGAATTGGGATGGGATGTACAAAGAAGAAAGATCTCCAGCAGTTACAAATCCTTTCAATCTTCGTTGGCAGGCACGTTTGAAGCAGCCAAGAGACTGAGAAGACAAGAGACTTAGATCCTTTAGTGAGACTGAGAATACAAGAGACTTAGATCCTTTTGTTTAGAATTAGACCTTTATGATCTTTTCGGTTAGAGAAATACTTTTGTTTGAGATGAGGTAGAAATGGTGTTCGAGCCTCTCTCTCTCTCTCTATATATATATATATATATATATATATATTTATGAATTGTACTGAGCTTACTAATGTTTGCATAATTAGTAAACCCTTCAAAGCAAGAAACTCATCTTTGAATCAAATTTTTAGTCACTGATTGTTTTCATTATGAAACTGCGAGGAATAGCACTAGACATTATGGTGGTAATGGGATTCATCAAATCCAACCATCTCTGGTTTGGGGTGGAACAAATCCAGGAAGCTATTCAGAATGTGTTGGTATGTCTTGAGATGGTTTTTCTTAGCTGCGCGGTTCAGAAGCATGCTAATCATTTGTTACTCATGTTTGATGTTGATTTTTTCTTCTTGTGGAGGCATTATAGTATTTTCTCGCTTCTGCATCATGTCTTGTCTCTGGAGGATCAGACTAATATTTGTCATTATTTCCAGGTATAGCATACAACCTCTCAACATAATTTCTTTTAGACGACATCGAAAGCGTTGACAAAGGCTAATGTTCCTATGGATTCACTAATCACCATAAATCTTTCCTAATTCTATTGTAGCCTTGTTTTTTTTTTTTTTTTTGCCTTGGCTACTCTTTTGGTAGGTACTACTCTTTTCAGTCTTTTGTAAAGCCTAATTTTCATGTATAACGATATTAAACAAAAAAAAGAAAAAAGAACACAACAGTTGTTTAGTTTGGTTCGTGTTGCTCAATGTGGCCCAATAAAGCCTATAAATAAGTTGCTCAATGTGGCCCAACGAAAACCCGATAAATAATTAGCAAAACGGAAAAACAGAACAGTTGTTTAGTTTGGTTCGTGTTTCAAGATTGGCGATGTGGAATCTAGGATCCTATGTTGCTAAAGTACGTAATCGAGACCGATTCTTCAATCAATTAATCTACCTTTCATAATGGTTTTGGATTTTTGTATTGATTTTTTTTTTCCTTACTTCGCAGAGTATGTTTGGCTAATTCTCCTCGACCATGAAACGTGTATGGGTGAAAGAGGTCAGCCAGAAAAAAAACCAGTGTTTCTACAGCCCTGTGCCTCGCAGTTATTGTCGGTTACGATCACCGTGGTATGTGGATATGAATTTTAAAAACAAACAAAAAAATATTTCAACTTTCCATAAATAAAATTTCTTTTTGCCTGAGAATTCTTCCAGCGGAGGAGGAGTTGAGAAAGCTGAGAGAACAACTTCATAAAGTACAAACGGAATGTTGTAACATGTTGACTGAATGGCTTGTAGCTCTATAAAAAAGGCTGGTGATGCTAAAAAAGATGAGGTAATCTCTTAGTTTTATAACTTGTGTGTGTGTGTCCCATTAATTGTGCTAATATCAATTCGTATCCGGGAACCAAATGTCTGAATTTCAGGTTAGATAGGTGAATATAAGTTGATAGGATTTGCTGATCTAAATGTGAATTCGGTTCGGTTTGGTTGTTTGATGGTTCCAAATGTTACAGTATTGGTTAAATCACTCCTGTCTGTGTTTCAGGTGACGATGCTTGCTAGGTTGGCTAGAAACTGAAACAGGAGGGGAAGACCTGGTTTCTTCCGGTTCATCGGTTTCACTGGTCTTCCTTTAGATATTTTTCACTTATGTTCTTGATTGAGTGCCTACAAGGACAGTCGATGTGATATTCATTCATCAGTCAACGAGAGGCTTACTTCAAGGAAAAATCTACTGATGATACTAATTACCTGCACTGCAATAAAGAATTCCACCGGTCTATGCGCAAATGAGATCCTGCAATGACATTTTGCTGCCAAACTCTGTTTATCTTCTTAATAGAAGTGTCAAGTTTTTAACTGTGCTGTGATATTTTGTTTACTCATCTTCTATGAGAGGATTCCATTATAATGTTGAAAGGCCAGAGTGTAGAATTTTAGAAGAAGCTTGATTGGATACAGATACAGTGCAATTCCTACACCTGGATACTGATTTTCAGGTGGTAATGGTATGTATAACACTGCATCAAACAGAGACAGCCGCAACTAGTTTAACTAAAAGTAAACTTCACACAAATGCTTAAGAACTCTTCAGACAAAACGCTGTAACAGCAAATCTAGACTCTTCCACTTAAGGATTTTCATCTAGAAAAACTGGTGCGGTGTTTCGAACATGTTTCATAAGATCTTGGAACAGATCGTTCTGAACATGTGGAAGAGTCTGGGTTGCACCATTCTAGTCCAGACCGAGAAGATTCAGGAACACGCTGGGCAAGCAGGCGGGCTGCGTCTTTCCACCATAAAACCTCGGTTTCTTTCTCTTGTAGTCTGCGTTCAACACGATTCAGAGCAGTCTCAAGCTTCACTAACTCTTCTTGTTGCCTTGTCTCCAGTAGTTCATGCAGCTTTTTCTCTAGTTCGTACGGACACACTCCATATCTTTCATCTGACACCACCATCTCTGGTATATGACTCTTCGTGACCTCATTGTCCTACAAACACCCAAAGAATGACAAGTCTGAGAATCAAGAGCCTGTTTCATAATTGCTTAAACTGTTGAAAGCCAACGTAAGAAGGTAAAGGTTTACTTTAAGTTTGCATTGTCTCTGAATCTGATGCTTTGTATGTCTATCCTCTGCTTTTTCATCCAGAGGTAACCTACCTACCTCAGCCTGGAGTTTTGAGTGGCAGTCTGTTCCTCGATGATGATCCTCCGGTTTTGAGACCTCGAATTCGGTGTACTCCTCTTGAAGAACACTCGAAGATGACTCTTGGAAAATGGATGACGCCAAATTCGAGAATTCTTGAGGAGAAAACTGGTAACCGCTTGCTTCATTTGAAGACATAGAAGGATTTACCTGTAGTTCTTTCTTGTGTAATTCTTCTTTTGCATTAAGAAGAAACATCTCCATTTGCATTCGCAGGTTTGTCATCTTATCAAGCTCGGTTTTACTTGCAACAACAAGATAGAACAAAAAAGAACCAATTCCCATTTCCAAAGGTGCTTCTCTGCTTTGTGACTCTGCACAAAGAAAAACCAAGTATAAGTCTAAACATAACCTAACCAAAGACAAGTCCTGAGAAATCAAATCCCTTTAATGTTTCTGGCAAAAAAAATACAAGCTTCTCACCAAATGTATTAGCCTCCGGCTCTCTACTCTGGTTCAGGCGTTTCGTCGAACACCTTATGGGCGCTAATTGGTACCTTCTGGTATCATCTTCTTGTTGCTCCCCTGCATCTCTCTTCCCTTTGGAACTTCTCAACCCAGAAAGCCACCGACCCACGACCCTCCGAGGGGTATAACACTCCACGACAGTGCACCCATCTCCCCTTCTCCGCCGCGAGCCTTCCATTAAAAACCAAGAGAAAACAGAAAACGAATAATCATGGGTCTTTGGGTTTGGAACAAGAGAGGAGATTTAAAAGGAAGAAGGCTACGTAGGAGGGACCAAGATCGGATAGACATTGATAATGGTGGGACGGAGTCGTAACAGAGAGCGATGAACAGATGGGGAGAGGAAATTAATGAGAATCACGAGACTTGCAGAGAGAGAGAGACAGAGAGTTTATGGAGGGAAACTTTGATTTTTCTTATTTGAATTTTTGCGGGAATCTTTCTTCAATCAATGTAATACCAACTTAATTAATTTACTTTGTAACACATTATTAAAGAACCACTAACAAAACTTTCATGTCCACTTCTTATTTATTTTCTCAAATGACTCCAAATTTCTAATAAATGAAAGAGACAATTGTGATTGAATATTTATTGTGACCCTTTTTTAAAACACAGCATTTAATTCATATGTTTCTTCGGGACAAAAATTTCATATATTCAGACGACTCAATGTTCATCTAACCAGTTATACTACTATTAACATTTAAAGTTTCTCGAATACTTTTATGATTTTTTCATCTACTTATTATATTTATATACATCTTTTATCTCCTAATCGAAAGATACAATTCAAAAAAGAAGAACCCCGAATTCTAAACAAAAACATTCACTGAAACGTTCATGTTCTGGATTGCTCCATTAACCTCCCAGATATAGCAGCAGCAAGAGCAGCAGTAAATTTTGAATCTTTTGTTAACGATGATGCCATTTGTTGAATCAGAACCTCTTGCATCGTATTCCTTTCGTTCTTCTCCAAAGCTAATAAGCTATGACCACCATTAACCAGATCCAAAGTCACTGTGCTTGACCTACCCTGGCTTGTAGCATCCCCTTCAGAAGCGTTTGGACCCAAGTGATTATGCGTTCCTTCGTATGTTGCTACCAGTAACGATGGATCCTCTGCGCTGCGTTGTACCTGAACATCAATACCACTGATCATTAGACAGCTGAAGAAGCAAGCAGAGATAAACGATTACAACAAATGAAGCTCAATGTGTGTTAATTACCTTCTTTTTTACTGGACAAGACGGTGCAAACGAGCATCTAAAGTAAGCTCTAGGTGATGGGTTGTCTCTTGTAACCTTTTGTCCGTATTTCCTCCATTGAAATCCATCTTTTACTGTCTGCAAAATAACACTCTGCTTAGTCATATGCCTCTATGCAATTTCAAACAAAGTTTTTCTACAAACACATGTCTCTTTAATCAAAAGATTCACAGCCAAAATCCCTTACCAAGCTTGTGTCCGATGTTTCAGTAGGCACGTAGACTGTGGAAACCTTTGCTTTGTTGAAGCTATCAGTGACTGGTCTTTTACACGAAAGAAGCTGATTTTTCTGCTCGTGTTGCTGTTGCTGTTGCTGATGATCTTCGTTGCTGGAGCTGTTCTCAGTTTTTCCACTACTGAGTCCAATAGGAAAGCCTAAGAAGTCATCCGGGTCTTGTTTCCTTTTCTTTATCGGTTTGTCGGTCTGATCGATTTCAGGGCTCTGTCGACTCTGAAGCTTCTCCAAATGATTATGTAGTGCGTTGTAGCTCTCATAGACTCTAGCTAACATCTCTGTTAGCTTCTTGTTCTCTGAATTGACTCTGTTTAGCTCCTCTCGTAACTCACTTGCGCTCTGTTCATTACCACCATAAAGATCAAATTACTAAAAAAGATTCTTCCTTTTTGTTCCAAACAAATTGATTATGTAAAGTTTCAGACTTTATACTACATCATCACCGATTCATTTCGATCACAGTGATGAATTATACTACAAGAATCGAAAGTATGAAGTCGAAGGTATTGCACACCAAGTGTTCGACGAAAGAACTAACCTCGTCTTGCTCCAACCATTTCCTTTTTAAATGAGTAGAAGCCGAAACTGAGACTTCCTTCTTCTGAAATATGAAAAGTTGAAAGGAACCCATGATTAATGACCACAATCCCAGTTCATAGAAATTGAAGGGATACAAAAAAAATCAACTTAGATTTCGGAAAAATGGATCAGACGAAATCCGGACTCACCGGAAGTTTTGCGGGGAAAGGATTGGTGTTGAGATCGAGAGAGATGTCGAGAAACGAAGAACCATCCATAAAATAAATCTTTTAAGTTATCTTAAGATACAGACCAAAGGACTGGTTGGTGCGTAGAGACTAAGTCTTAATTTGCTTTCTTCGGTCACAAGTTGGTCCGAGTGAATGAGATTCCCCAGAGACAAATGGTTTTATTTATACTAAAACTACAAGGACAAAGACAAGAAATAATTAATAAATTAGGTGTTGCGCAGAAATTAAAGTTTATTTAATAGTAAAAACTAGTATAATTATAATTTATAACAGACATAATATTAATATATAGATTTATCAGTGTGAGATTTAAAAAAAAATTATCAGTATGGGAAAAATAAGATTCGTAAAAAATAATTTTAGCTTGAGGTCAAAATTTAAGTTTTATAAATTATATAGTGTTATATAACAAATGATGACATAACAGAGTTTTTATCATGGTTAATGAAAGTCTTATAAAAGAGCTTTAACCACATTGAAATATCAGTGGTAAATTTTATTAATTATTTAGTGATTAAAATAAGAAAGTTTTTTATAAGAAATGATGTAAGTACGATCGGAATAAAGAAAGAGGTTTTGAGATATGGTAGGAAGGAAAGTCGTTGGAAAGTGAAGATAAAATATAAAAGCTGTCTTCTATAAAGTCCAGAAGACATTAAAGACTTTGGGAAAAAAGAAGAAAAAGCACAACAAGACATAGAAAGCTGTCTATTAAATCACAGTGATTGGCTAAAAATATGGGATTGTGTAAAACATTCTGAATTAAGTTATCTATCGTATGTAGTTTCGTATGTATGGGTTGAATTTACTGTCGTAATCATTTTTTTTTGTAATCATCTCTGTAGTACATGTTAAAAAAAAAAAACTAGATCGTTCATTATGGATAGAATTACATTATACGATGAAGGGGACACATATCGTTTCTAGCAGATTATATAGATATATATAGGTGATTATCATAGACATGTTTCCCAAAATAAAATCAACAATATATCCACATTTAGAAATTTGAAAAGTTTTTTGCAACTATTTGACAGAAAATAGGTTGTATATATACCAAACTTTAAACTAATTATATAAAGAAAATTTCAATATTGCAAGTTTTTAAACTATTCAATAGTTCAAAATTTATGTATATTAATCTAATTAAACACTAGAAAATTATTTTTTTATAATTGCAGTATTTAAAATATAAAGATTAAATTTTAATATTTTTATTGTATGTTAAGTGGTACAATTACAAATGAATTACAATTAAAGTTTTATTGGAGGATAAGCGAGCTAAGCCAACATTAAAGCAACGATTTATTATTTCTTGATAGGACACCAAATTTTTTTATTTCTTACCTAAATTTTTTTAACATATTTTCAACTACAAAAAGAACTACATTACTGTTGGGACTACTATTTCATCTTCTTTTTTTTGATAAAAATGAAAAAAAAAAAAAACATAACTACTATTTCTATCGGTGAAAGGTAAATAAATCTCTTACTTTGTTATATATGAATAGTGACTGTTAGGTGGTACAAGAAATTACAAGAAATCTCAAATACCGTCCAAAGACTTGAAACGTTCAATTTTTAAGTCTCGATCCAAAACCAACTAGAAATAAATGATAAAAATTAGTTATGCAACTTATAAAAACAAACAAAAAAGAAGCAAGTAGAAGAAAGATCAGAAGAATCAATAATTTCGGCGGGGCAGTGTCCCATGCTGAAGAAAAATTTGGACGTCATTCATAAATTCAATACCGTGGATCCGTGTTTCCTTTATATCCTCTTCAATTTAACAATTTTATTTTTTAATTTGTCCACCAGATCCATAACAATTACGAACTTTCCCTTGACTTGCTTGACCATTGACTGTGATTTGTAGGTCGGCAATTCTTTTTCTATTATATCATTCTCTTACTATTTGATAAATAATTCATTGATTGATATTTTACTGTGCAATAGGTTTTTTTGTTTGTTTGTTAAAGTATTATTCTTTTGTACAATACTTATAGAAAATGTGTTAAATTGAGTTGTATATAGTATTTAACATCGTTAACCGTGTGATATTATATAACACGCAACAACTAAGATTCTTTTTTAAAAATACTTCTTATATTTTACTATATAAGATGTTTTAGAAATATTATTTTAATAAAATATTCTGCAGAATTTTATACAAATTTATATATTGTTATAACTTGTAAATATTTATATTCTACATTTTTTTTTAATAATTGAATGCATTTTTAGATTGACTAAAAATAATATTTAAAAAGACAAATTATTTACTTTAAATATATATTTGTCTTTTGAAATAGAATGAGTACTTTAACAACAGAATATAATGTACCAAATTACTAATTACTACTTTTTAATTTGAGAGAATTTTTTGGGAAAGCGACCAATCATAGTGCATGATAAATCTAAGTCGGTAAAAAAAAACTTTCTAATCAAAGAAGGGTAAACTAAAATATAAATATTAGCCGACAAAAAAAATGATAAATAAATTGAGAGAGTGAAACAAAAAACGTGGAAAATTTTGGGGAGAGAAAGACAAAGAGGGTGAGCCCACACGGGAAAAGGGCAACAAAATCTTGACCGGACTCGACCGCGACTTCCAACTTGAGAGAAGCTTTTATTATTAGGATGATGCAATGGTGTGAACAAGTTGCCACCTTGGGCGGCTCCGACACCGACCTCTTTTTTTCTTGTCACTTTTTTTTGTTTGTTTGTTCAAAGTTGTGAATTTAGTGTCATCTTAATTATTCCCTTTATTTCAAGCACAAGGATACAAATGCTAACCACTATTCCATGAAGATTTACAAAGATCGATTGTTCGATAAGATTCTTAAGAGCATGTTTACTCATGAACCAAAATGAGTATCATTAACAGTTTTTTATTATTGTTTCATGAGTTGAAACCCAAAATGAGTATCAATAGACTCACCCCAATGATACTTTTAATCCAAATATCAACCCAAAATATATTTTTTTTATTATTATTCATGGGATGATACCCACAAAAGAATCATGAGTAAACATGCTCTGAATCTAGTAGTTAATATGAGTTTTGATCATTATATTCAAAAAAAAAAAAATATGAGTTTTGATTTTATTGATGTAAGTTGACAATTTTGATTAAGACGGAATCATATAGTAGAATTACTTAAACTTGTTATCAAACTATTTGAGTTTTTTTTTACCGGACCAACCTGTTTTCAAATAAATTCAGGATTTAGTCTGATTCTCATTGAAGTCTTGACTTCGGGTATATTCGCTTAAGCTAGGTACTCTATGCGGTTTTTGCTCTTCAATACATAAATTCCACTTCAAAGAAAAAGCTTTATGCGATCTCTATGAATCGAATCAACTTGAAAGATCCAAATCATAATATATTTTTAAATACAAAATATAAATTGTTCAAACAAGAGACTTTTGATATCCTTTCCAAAATATGTATATAATATAAAACAAAACGTTTTTATACCACTGGAAAATTTGATTTAATAATAGAAAGCAACATGATCAGTTTTCGAAAGAAAAAAAGTGTGATTATTTTTTATGAACGGTAAAAATAAAATAGCACTATGACATTTTAAAGCATGAAAGTGATATAGCGTATAGTATAAGTTAAGGCAATTATCGTCCAATTTTTCTGGTGGGGGAAGAATTTTTAGTTGTTGAAAACAGAAATTCAGATGTTAGGAGGAGATATCAATGCCTATGATGAAACATTCACCTAAAGTTGGACAATAAATATAGGTGTTTGAGTCCAATTCTGAGGAAATGTATGTTCTTGGGTACGCTTTCTTATGCCCCTTGCTAAAAAAAAAGAGGTCGAAATACATTGTGGAAATGAACAAACAATCATTCTAAGTGTGGAAAGAATTTTGAGAGATTCGGATGCTGGGAACTATATTATTGCGGAAAGCTCTCTTTGTACCCTTTCTTTTTTTTTTTTTCCCCCGAAAACCATTAAAATTTGCGAAAAATCAGATTAATCTATGTGATATGTAAAAAACTAGATTTCCCTACTACGTAAAATGTCTGTATAGCTACGGAAAATTAATAATGAGGATTCGTAAGTGGAATGATTTGTTCCCTGATGTAGACCAAATAAAAAAATTTCATCACTAGAAGTTTGATATTGAAATTTGGACCCAAACTTTTTACACCACATTGATCATAGGTGAAGTGATATAGATCGCTGACAGTTGACGAATAACAAAATTAAGATAATGGTCAAGCTGGATATAGTTAACAAGAGATGAATAACAATAATATTATTAGTGAAGAAATTAGTTAGGGATCATGGAAAAGTTACTTAAACAAATATATCATGGTTGGAATTTGGGAAAATCAGAAAGTTTTAGTTTAATGATCCTAGGTGGAGTGATAAGTCTTATCATAAGACCTTATAAGACGACCATATATCTTTCTGAGTCATCGTGTAAAACTCTCCCTCATGGCGTGGATAAGATGACGTCATCACGATCAGCATCATGATCGTGCAATAATCACCTTACGATTTTATATTTGTCTCTTTTGTTTATCTGGAAGTTGTACGCTAGCTCCTTGAATAATTCAACGAAGAAAGATTATTTGAATAATTTCATACCGCCTGAAATCACAATAGAGGTTTTTGTTTTCTCATTTGTATATCTCTTCATATCGGAGATTATATTAAACATATTTCTGATCATGAAAATTATTATTTATTTTCTTCAAATTTAATCATGAACTCGTATCTGCAAAAACTATTCATATAACCAGTTAAATTACTAGCTTTACTTGGTCAATTTCTAAATTTTGGATAACTATTTAAATGTGTTATGATAGATAATAGATTTAATTGTACCAAAAAAAAAAAAAAAAAAAAAAAAAAGATAATAGATTTAGGTAAAATGTTTACGTAAATTTAAAATTTTAAAAGGCTTCAGCCGAAAGAGTATATATAATGCACAAAACATTATTTTAATCAAAAAAATGATTATGACAAAAAAATATATTTTGAACTATAATATATACAATGCTGGTAATTAATTAGTGTGTACCAAACAATGTTGCTTGACTACAAAACTTCTACAGCGTCACCATTTTAAATGAATATATATATATATATATATATCGATATATTTCTATACAGTATCTTTAAGAAAGACTTAAGTTGATGATGAGTCAAGCTAATTTAAAAGCTAAAACCAAAAGGAATAATCTATCTGTTAGAGATTTTGAGAACTAATAGAAAATGGACCAAAGCTTTTTTTTTTTTTTTTTTTTTTTTTTTTTTTTTTTTGACCAAAGCTATTTGTTTGTAAGTAAAAGTAAAAACTATAGACTAGTTGCTCAAGTCATGCGACAATCTAGCCAAACATATTATTCCATGCATGTTCTCTTTCTTAATGGTGATATACATTCATGATTCATCAGCCTCGTTACGTAAGTAGTCATACGTCATCGTTTGTGCATCACCTATCATTCATCAGCCTCGTTAAAAGGTTTACTTGTCAAATTTTAAAATGACTTTGAGTGGAATTATTGTTAAAAAAAAAAGTCAGGATTTTAAATTGTGGTCTCAATTAGGACCAGAGCTTTATACCAACTTTGAAAAAAGCAAGACTCGGATTTTGATAATCTAAAACTTGAAAAAATCGGATATTTCCATGTTTTAGATTTTATTTAATGTTTGCTTAATAGAAAATTCTGATTAACCCGACTATACCTTTTCGATAAACATTAGTATATGTGAACATTACAAAGTTTTTCTCAGTTCTAAGGGCGATAATAAAATACAATCTTTGGACTTGTGGTGGTTTAAGGAGACAATCATAAACTAAGCCAATATCTCTATTTTGGTAATCAACCCTCAAGAACCAGACCGAACAAAAACAAACCGAAACGGCCTCTATTTTGGTTTCAAATTCTCAAACCAAATATATCCCAAAATAAAATTCTCTCTGAAACAAAGCTCTGATACAAATCCACCTCAATCTATAGCCAAATGAATATTTCAATATCCACCTTTCAAATTCGAAGTCACATCATAACTATGCTTACAAAATTCACTACCAAAACCACCAAAGTAAATAGAAATAGAGAAGAGTATTTCACCTATCGGTTCCTAGTTTCAATCTCTTCCACCTCCTGCTCTGCCTTGAAGCTTTGCGAGTAATGATAAGAGTCTTCTTTAGTTTTGTGGTCTTTTAGTTTCCACTTTTGTATTGGTAAAACTCTAACATCTCTTCTTCTACGGGATGAGTCTCGCCTACTATCACAAGACAATGCAACGGTGCTCCAAAATCAACACTCTCAAGTTGCTTCATCGTCCCTGCGACTATCGTCTGGTCCTCAGAGCCAAGCCGTGCAAAGCCCACACACTGTGTGTCTTCACCATAAACAGAATCTCCATGCTTTTGCTCAACTTCTAGAAGCTGCTCAATCGCTGTATTAACACTCATATACCTGGGAGGTTCATACTGTTTCTTCCCTCCTCTGCAGAGAGATTCAAAAGTAGGCTCCTTCACTCGGATATCTAGCAAACAGAGAGTGTGAAGTCCAAGAGAGCGGTTCTTCTTGATCTTCTCATAAAAGCTATCGGGTCTCCAAGTCTCGGTGAAGAACGGGATCGAAACAGTCTCTCCATAATGGTAAAGCTGCAATCCACAAATCCCAACAGCATTCATCACCGATGCATTGTGCACTACCTCTACTTTTACACCGAGCGTCTTAGCTCGAACAACAAGATCACTGTGTGTTGTAGCTCTGCAAAATGCATTTCCAACAAAACAACATAAATCCCAATCTAAATTGTATCGTATCTAACTAGCTACATTAGCTATAAATTGAATACCAAGACAGTACGAAAAAGCTCGAATAACGAACCCGAAAGGATCACCAACTACGAGAAAAGCGACATCATTATGAATGGCTTCTTCAATCATATCACCAGCCTTTTCTTCCACCATTTCTCTATCAGCAAGTATAATTGGTTTCCCATAAAACTTTTCCTGAGAAACAATCCCAGAGGAGCTTTAATCAGAAAATTGTGAAAGTAGTCAAATCTAAATCAACGAGGCTTTGAGAGTGCTTACTAGATTGGAAAGACCATCAGCAGAGAGACCAAAGGACAAAAGAGAAGTGTAAGCTTCCATGTATACTTTCTGAGATTTCTTAACAGCCTCGAGTCCTCTCAAGGTTATATCTTTTTCATCTCCTAAACCTAACCCTATAATATACAACATCTCTGCTACTACTCTTCTGCTTTCTCTGAAAACAGACAAAAACAAACCTTAAAACATGAATTAATCACTCAATCAGATAATCACATGAACGACCTACAAAATCAAAAGACAGAAGAACAACGACCAGCTGATGAACTTAAATCTAAGGAAAATCAACAAATCCATAGACGTGAAGGATCAAAAGATCGGATTTTTACCTGATGTATTGCTTGGACAAGGCTCTCACTCGATAAACCTCAGTGAGCGGCCGAGAAGAAGAAGGTCAAAACTCAAAACTCAAAACCCTTTTTTGTGTCTTTTTTCTTTCTTCTTGCTTTCTGTTTTTTTTTTAAGTCCCATGAAACACTGTCGTTTTCTGGAGATATTATAAATTACTCTAATTGGGAGTTTAATTAATTTATACTATTGTTAACAAAAAAGTGAATAATCTGCCCTGATTATTGCATTTAGGGCAAAAAAATACAGTGATATTATTACACTCTTGTCTAAGAAAGGAGATTGAGTGATTGAATCAATAGAGTTACAATATACTATATAATTAGGCAGTGCAAGAGAGTTGAGGAAGACAATTTTTTTGACGGACAAGCTCGTGCATATCATGCACTATCTTGAACACTGCTTCTGGTCTAGCCAGCCTCAATGCATTCTGTGACATTATCTCCAGCTCTTTCGATGCCGGTCCAAACCAATCCGCTACAATTTTCGATATCTCTTTTGGTGATTTTGAGAATTTCCCACATCCGTTCTCCACCACGTACGGTACATTCCCTGCCTCCTGCGCTCACAATCAAAACCCCAAAAATTTGAAAACCTGAACCCAACATAAAAATGGGAAGTTTTTAGAGTGGAACTTACTTGACCAGCAATGTAACCGTTTAAGATTATCGGTAGCCCTCTTATCATAGCTTCAGCTATAGTGCCTGGACCAGCCTGCACAAGCCCAAGTCACAAACATAAATGAAGAAACCATCATTCAAAAGTCACTCTAGTTTCGGGTACAATAGAGATTAGGAATGTTCAATCCAGGTCTCCGCTTTAACAAAAGTGGAATCTACTATCAGATCGATTTACATGGTTTTGTTTTCGGCTTTTTTCGGTTTACCTTTGTTATGATGCAGTCACAGGCACCCATACATTCCTCCATTTTTGTTATAAACCCCTTGACCTGTAACATAAAGCAAACTGTTGCAGCGACTTACATCGAATGCCTAAGATGCAAATTTGGTTTTAACGGTCAGAAATGTAGAGTACCTGGACTGGGATTTTCCAATCTAATGAACTTAATTTGCTTTGGAGTTTCTTGTTCCGTCCACAGATTATAAGAACCTGACCTACTGCTTCACCAAGACTCTCATCATACAAAGCATCTGCAAGTGCTCTTGCTGTTGCCTCGATGGGACCCATCCCTTCTCCTCCACCCATTAACAACACAGCTGGAAGATTCTCATCCATCCCTAGCTCCCTTCTTAATTCAACCTGCGATTTTTTCGGAAAGATACTATTACATCTGGATAAGTCGGACACAGCAAAGAACAGCTAGGAAATTTCCCAAAACCGACCTTTGGGCGAACTGGTTTCACAAAGGAAGGTCGAACAGGAAGGCCATAAACTTTGATTTGTGATGTTTCAAGTCCAGCTTTTTGAGCCCTTTTTGCCACTTCTGTTGATGGGCAATAACATCTTGTCACAAGCTTATGAAACCTAAACATCAAAAGAAGCATTTGTGACTATATTTTAGAAAATAGCCCATAGAACCCTTAACTTGAATGATTTGATAAAATTACTAACCATGTGGGATGGCAAGTGCTCAAGTCTGTAATAACCGTGGTGAACACAATTTTCTTAAGCAAGCCTTTTGATCTTAGGACACGAAGTGGGACATGTTGCATCAATGGATGAACACTGATTATGATATCCGGTTGATATTTCATTAACCCTTGGGCGATTTCCCTGTAAGTTGTTAAAACAACGGTATCAGATTGGACAAGAAAAAGACATGAGAGAATTCTATAAGAGAAGCAACGACCAACTAAAGCTATTGGCTAAATTTGATGCCTCTCTCTCATAGAACTGTTTATCAATATCTTCTTATAGTAAAAGTTGGAATAGAAAAATGAATTATTCCAAACTATAGACCTTAATCCTCACCTGGCTATAAAAGTCGAAGTTGCAGCAAAATTAGATTGATGAATAACACGTGGAGCTGTACCATAATAAGTCATTTTCCACAGAGTTCCATGTTTCACCAGAAAATTATAGCTCCTCGGAAGCTGGTTGAACGGCCAGGGCGTATGATCTGTCCACAAATCCGTAATAAACACCTGCGCAAGCACTCTTAATGAACGGAACAAAATCAACAATGGCTCACACTACCTAAAGTACCAAAGATTTAGACTTTCAATGTATTTGGTTGAATATCCCAAGAACCAAATTTAATTCAAAGTTAGTTTCACACTCTTCAGTTGGAACATTCCAAAGCAACCAAGTGAATTAAAGGCAATGCTATATACCTAAATGAACCAAACATTTAAAAACTTATTTTCTCTAATTCAAGAACACTCTAAACCTCACTACAAGCATTAAATTGAATCTGAAGCTTCTAAGAACTCTAAAACTAAGAAGAAAGAATGGAGATTCTCCGAACATCTCATTGGTCTTAGCAGCCAAACAGACACTTCAATTTATAACGAAAACTTGTAAAAAGTCTCAAACTGGAATCCATCAATCAATGAAGACGAACCTGATACTCATCTCCAAACTCCTGGTTAAATGCAGCTTTAATGGCTTCCGCAGAAGCTCTGTGACCACCACCAGTATCACTCATCAAAATCAAAACTTTCTTCGGCCGATCAGCTTCAACACCATTCAACGGCAAGCCCTCCTCACCCAAAACCCCACCAGTCCCATCTTCCCTAATCCCATTCTCATCGCTCGATAATCCGACTCCTCCGACGGAGGCAAAGCTCTCCGGAACCACTTTATCGCAGTGAAACCTAATAAAGCTATTGAAATCGCTGATAAACCTACGCAGACTCGAACCAGCACTGCTCTTAGTGTTGAAGCTCAGAGAAGCTAGGGTTTTTCCCGTCCTTCGGGAGGGTAAAGTCCGGAAACCATTGAAGTACAAGGCATTGGACGATGAGAGAGCGTACCCATCTGAATTGGAACACGGAGATCGATTTCGAGAGGCAAAACCTCTGAGCCGTGGGAAGAAATCAAAGACCGGTGCCGCTGATTCCTGGGTTACCGTTGAAGGGTTTTGCATATTTGATAGAGAGAGAAGAGAGATTCAAATAGACATGAATGATGAAGCGCGTCGCGGGAGAGATTGCAACCACAAAGATAGGATTTTTAAGAGCAGAGTGGATGATGGATTCAGGACGATGACGATTGGAGTTTTGTTGTTTTTTTATGTAAGAAGAAGACAGTGCTTTTGGCTAAACCGAAAAACTTATCCGAATATTCTGTGGGCAATTTCTACCAAAATTCAGGTAACCAATCAACCAATTTATGTAAATGTAAATATCGTGTACTCATTAATAGCTTCCAAATAAAAGAATAAATAAAAGAATAAATAAATATATATATATATATATATATATATATATATTTATAGATTCTAATATCAAGTAAAAGCTTATAAACGGATGTCGGCATAATTATCGAATTAATACCAAATTTTTAGCACTTTATTTATCAGACATGGTTCTTTATCATAAAAGGCATTTGTTTTTGGTCCTTACATGAATGATATCACTACACCTCTAAAAATCTAAAGTAACAATGAGCGGAAATGTTCAAGTTTTTTTTGTATGTATTAATATGTTTATTTTGTTTTTGATGAAAGAGTGAAATATCATGAGTTTGTAAGTGGTTTTAACCAATTGATTATGAATAATGTTTTTATACACTAGATTCATATAGAGCTCAATTCTCTCTCTTTCATTTTTCAACCAATAGATTTTCCGCCTCTGATCCGAGCCACCCAAGCCACATGGTAGATAGCAGTGGCGGAGGCAGGGGTTTGATAGGGGGGTCAGTTGACCCCCATAAATTTTCAAAATCCATTATATGTCATTAGCAATAATTCTAATGACCCCAACTTATAATAAATTTTGACCCCAATACAAAATTAATGTTGCAACTTGAAAGAAAAAATAGTCTAAATATTTGAAAGTTGGATTCTCACTAAAATTTTAGACCCATAATTTACCTTAAATAAAAGAAATACTCACCTAATATTATTTCAGTTTTTACAAAACACCAAATAAAAAATATTAAAATTTTTAAAGTATTATCTTATATTAAAAAAAAAGATTTTGACCCCCATAACATAAATTTCTAGCTCCGCCACTGGTAGATAGTAGATACTAGTATATATTGTCTACACGAGTACATGGTTTCGTTGGTAAAATGATTCATTGAACACTTAAACAGCGATTCTTTTCTTTTCAAAACAATGATTCTTGTTTCTAAAAAAGAGTTATGACCCCGTTGACCAGGAAAAAAAATAGAAGATGAAAAGAGTTATAATTCGATTCAGACGTGTTATTGCAATAATTAAGATTTTTAAACTCGAGAGTCAACGTTGGCATTCTGATGCGCATGAAACACATGCTTCCAATTCTCTCAACTCGTTCCTCTTAACTTATACGAGTATAGTCTAGTATAGTATTTGAGGTACTTTTGTTTTGTTAAAGTATTTAAGAAACTTAGACATAATAAGTAAAATTTTAAAAAGGTTTATATTAGATTCATTAGAAAGGAGAAAAGTGGAAGGAACTCGTCGTGGAATAGAATTCGTTATTAGTAAGAGTACGACCGACCAAAGAACAAGAAAAAGGCACGCATGGTGTGAATGCTAAAAGATGGCGAGGCATGCCTTTCACATGCTTTAAATTCTAACACAAAACGTGTTTTAGCAGGAAACGACGACGAACCTGACCAAAATTATGAGCCAAATGATGATCTTCCCTATTTTAGATTTTAGAAAGGACTAAAATCAAAACTCGCGGTAAAACATGGAAAACGGTTAAATGTTTTAGTGGGCTCTTGGGCCCAATAAATGAATTGGGCCGAACCCGATTTAGCATTGCGCCGGTAACCTTCATAAACCGCCGTTGATTATTCTTCTTCATTCCGCGCCGCCGTCCCGCGTTTTTTTTATTCTTCTGTTCGAAACGACGTGGTTTAATAATTTATGAAAACGATGTCGTTGTTGTACTTCTCCTTATTCTCAATTTTGATTCTCAAAAACAAACCCTAAATCGGATGACAAAAAAAAAAAAAAAACAAACCCTAAATCCTCGCTTCTTCTCTGCTCTTACTCAATTCGCCTGACTCTTGGTACTTGCCCACTACTCGAATTCAAATTGATAGTTGAGCTCGTCGAATTGGTGAAACCCTAGAATAGTAGAATTCAGAGAGATGAAGATTGCTATTGAAGGTTGTATGCATGGAGACCTAGACAATGTGTATAAAACAATTCAACATCACGAACAGATTCACAACACTAAAGTCGATCTCCTCCTCTGCTGCGGCGATTTTCAGGTAATCATTAGTTTTTTTACCTGGATATTAAAATCCATTCGATTCTGCAACTTAATTCTGAAAAAATCGTTCTTGCTGGAATAAAATTAGGCTGTTAGAAATGAGAAAGACATGGATAGCCTTAACGTACCTAGAAAATACAGAGAGATGAAATCTTTCTGGAAATACTACTCCGGCCAAGCAGTTGCTCCCATTCCCACAATTTTCATTGGTGGGAATCACGAGGCTTCTAACTACTTATGGGAATTGTAAGTTTTCTACTACTTGAGTTAGGATTCTGAAGCTCAAAAATGTGTTCTTGATGGTTGCTTGTTGTTGTGCTATAGGTATTATGGGGGTTGGGCTGCCACCAATATTTACTTTTTGGGTTTTGCTGGAGTTGTCAAGTTTGGTAATGTGCGAATTGGAGGCCTTTCGGGTATCTACAATGAGCGGCATTACCGTTCAGGTTTGTTTTCTTGTTCATCTATCTAATAAAGTATCAATTTTTTAGCTTTGGAAATAGGGAAAAGCTTGGATTCTGAGTTAGTGTCTATAGTGGAAATGTTCAGATTAGGGAATTCTTTGTTTTGTTGTTGTTTGTCCATAAGTGAAATCAGTTGTTTCTTTTGAGTAGGACACTTTGAGCGGCCTCCATATAATGAGAGCACCATTAGATCGGTCTATCATGTCCGTGAGTATGATGTCCAGAAGTTGTTGCAACTTGAAGAGCCGCTTGATATATTTCTCTCACATGATTGGCCTGTTGGTATCACTGATTATGGAGACTCAGAATCACTTATGCGGCAAAAACCATACTTTCGTCAAGAGGTAAATCTGATCAATTTAGGAATATGATTCTACTTCTTCATTTTGGTTTTGAGATCTTTGCAGTTGATTTGACCAAAATTTATTACAGATCGAGGAAAAAACTCTTGGAAGTAAACCAGCGGCTCTACTGCTAGAAAAGCTAAAGCCTCGGTATTGGTTTTCAGCTCACTTACACTGCAAATTTGCTGCTGCTGTTCAACATGGGAATGATGGATCAGTGACAAAGTTTCTTGCCCTTGATAAATGCCTTCCAGGGAAAAAGTTTTTACAGGTTCGTTTTCCTTCCTGTCCACCATATGCTTTGTTCTTTTGAAACAAAAAGGATATCTTATAATTTCCTAGGATGTTCATTAGATTATTGAAATCGAATCAGAGCCTGGACCCTTTGAGGTCCTATACGATGAAGAGTGGCTGGCAATAACACGAAAGTTCAATTCTATTCTCCCGCTAACGAGGAGATACACAAACTTCAGGTATACCATCCCGAACAAGCTACCTACTAAGACATGTTTATATATCTTCCATTTATCTTTCTACCCATGGTCCCACTTACGTATTGTTTTGAGACAATAGCACTGCTGGAACTATACAAGAGAGCCGTGAGTGGGTGAGGAAGAAGCTAGAAGAAAGGCAATTTAAACCTTTTGAGTTCGCTAGGACAGTACCTGCATATAACCCATCACAACGTATATATGATTCCATTCCTGGTAAGTTAATAATGTAGTGGATATAAAGGATTTTGTCAAGTTGATGAATCATTGATGAGATTTATTAGGGCGTAAAGTATAAGTATAATCGATTGAAAGTGTTTTATTCTTGTGGAATTATGTAGAGATCCCACAAAATCCCCAGACGCTGTCTTTGTTAGAGCTCGTTGGTCTCCCATATCTCCTTGATTCATCACCGGTAACAGGGGAAAGAACCGAGATCCCTGCTTCACCGGCTCCATCAGGTATGACCATAGCTTTCTTTGTTGATGAGGACTTGGTTTGGGATTACCAGATACACATTCTGTGAAGTTGTTTCTGGACTCATTCTATCTGCCTTGTCATGGGACTGCATCAAAGCACCAATGACAGAGATGTTTAGTGCAGTGTCAAGAATCAAACATGTCTTGTTGTGTATTGCAGATCTTCCGACATATGATAGCGAAGAAATCCCAATTGATGACATTGATGAAATAGAAGAGATGGAAGAAGCAAAAGCGGATGACCCTACAAGAGACGAGGCATGAATATCTCCATTCCAGTGGTCAGAATTTATGTTCTTTTGCTAATATCTGACTGCTTAAGCGTCAAGCTGGAAAACAACCACATTAGTTGGGATTCTGTGATTAGAAAACCAGGTTTTTTCTACATTTTTAAAATCAGCATAAGTAATATTTGTGATATTAAAGATAAGTGAATCATAAATGTCTCGGAGAAATAAAAAAGAGTAGAAATTAATGTTCATCCATTAATCAAGAAAGTTGATCACTTTTTCTTCCAGAAGTTCTCTGGCATGCATTGGCTTGGGAAGTTACTCACCGACAAAACCCATAGATAAGTATGTCGGATTCACTTAAAACCATGGATGATGCTGGAAATGTTGGATTCAACAAAACACGACCATCTCTTACCAAAAAAAAAACAAAACACGACCATCAGTGATTCTTCATTGAATGCGTTGACTTAACTTCACCACCTCAACTATTTTTCAATCTCTGACACAAACATCAAATGCAAAATATGAAGTGAACAGTTATTACGACAACCTTCAATATTCTCATCTCTCTCCACTTCTATTTTCATTGTCACTTTACTTTTTGAGTCAAAAACACAGTGACAGGAAAAAATGGCGTCCTCTTACAGACTAAACTATTCCTCTCTTCTTCATCTCCTTCTGTTTCTTTCTAGTCTTCTCACTTCCTCCGCCAACCTCTCATTTAATTTCTACGCCGGTTCTTGTTCTGTAGCCGAGTTTTTAGTCAGAAACACCGTTAGATCAGCTACGTCCTCCGATCCAACGATCCCGGGGAAACTCCTCCGTCTCCTCTTCCACGACTGTTTCGTCCAGGTAAGACACACTCATTACGAATTACAAAGGAAAGTGAAACAATTTGGCTTGAGATTTGTTTGTTGTTGCAAGGGTTGTGATGCGTCAGTGTTGATACAAGGGAATGGCACAGAGAGAAGTGATCCCGGAAATGCCTCTCTTGGAGGATTCTCAGTCATAGACACAGCCAAGAATGCCATCGAGATTTTATGTCCGGCCACTGTTTCCTGCGCTGACATAGTCGCACTTGCTGCTAGAGACGCCGTTGAAGCTGTAACATTCACTTTACTTCAATCTACTGTATATTGCTCTAATCCGGTTTAACCAATCCCAACTGAACCGAAAGCATGAAATCGGAAAAACATAAACCAATTCTGTATCAATTTCGAATAGAAAAGAAAATAAACTGATTGAACCAAAGATAACCGGGCTTGGAGATACATAAACCGGTTATCCTTCTTAAGGTTTGAATGTTTACTTTTTTGGCGGGACAGGCAGGAGGACCGGTGGTTGAGATTCCGACAGGGAGGAGAGACGGGAAAGAATCGATGGCTGCAAACGTAAGACCAAACATCATCGACACAGATTTCACTCTCGATCAAATGATCGATGCCTTCTCTTCTAAAGGCTTGTCTATTCAAGATCTCGTTGTCCTCTCTGGTATCAATCAATGTTTCTAAAAGCTTTTTATCAATTTCACCCAAATGTTTTGCTAAATTCTAACAGAGTATGAAACAGAGTTTGCTTCAAGCCTACACGAATTGACTAAGCCGGATTGGTCATTTCAATTTACTCTTTGGTTAAGTCAATTCTTGTAGCAAACTCTGTTAAACTCCTCAGATTCTTCTTTTTTACTTGCATTTAGGAGCACACACGATTGGAGCATCACACTGTAACGCATTCAATGGAAGGTTTCAACGAGACTCGAAAGGAAACTTCGAGCTAATCGACGCGTCTCTCGACAACTCCTACGCAGAGACACTAATGAACAAATGTTCGTCCTCGGAATCCTCGTCATTGACAGTGAGCAACGATCCAGAGACATCTTCCATATTCGATAATCAGTACTATAGGAATCTTGAGACGCACAAGGGTTTGTTCCAGACGGATTCTGCTTTGATGGAGGATAATCGGACGAGGACGATGGTGGAGGAATTAGCGAGTGATGAGGAAAGTTTTTATCAGAGATGGAGTGAGTCGTTTGTGAAGCTGAGTATGGTTGGTGTGAAAGTTGGTGAAGATGGTGAGATAAGACGTTCTTGTTCTTCCATTAATTAAAAACATTTCTGCTTCTTAATTAATTTGACCCAATTTGGATAGTTCGTATGCAATGTTATCTCCCAATTTTTATTTGACTAGTTTTGGTACTTGAAAATCGTCTTTTAGTTGTCGAGACAAATCCTCTTTTCTAAAGTTGCGTGTAATATGGGAAACACATTTTAGATTTGGACGAGTCTTTGAATCCTAGAACGAGACGGAAACTTATATATGAAAAGATTAGCCAATATTATCGGCATCAGATTAGTTTTTCAATTTTGACAAACGAGTTATAATTTATAAGGAACAACAACTTTTAAAATTCTATATTTTATAAAAAAAACATGAGCAGCAAGAAAGTGAAAGAAATTATTTACAAGTGACTTTTGGGTTTGTGTAAAGGTTATTGTTGTATGATCGCTAAGCAGTAAGGAAAGGGTATGTAAATGTAATTATGTATAGTACAGATCAAGAAGAGGACGTGACATAAATCAAGGGTAGAGAACATCATCTGCAAAAAAAAAAACATCATCTGCATGTGACAGCCACGTGTCGAAATCCAGTGAGAAGGACGGTTGATTCATTCTAACTTGGGTTCACCGTAAAGTTGACAAACCCAAACAAAATAAAATAAAAAAGAAGGAATAATAATAATCTTCTTAGGCACACAATTAGGCCCACGAGATTTTCTCTTAGCTTATATAGAGATGACATAAATATATTTCTTTCTCTTATTACCACCTACTTATCCTAAAATTTAATCATTATTATTAATTACTAATAATGAAAAATAAAAATTAGATAATAATTGTATCCATAATTAATTGTCTACAAAATGGAGTATCAAATTTCAAAAGGTTAGCTGTTAGTTCGTCATATTAATTTCTCCAAGTTTGTCAAAATCGAAGACCACAGCGATTGCAGGATCCCTAAATATTGTCGGGGCGTTGAATCTTACAAATTTGCTAGTGTATATTCTCGTCAAATCTGTATCTTCCTTCTTCGTTCTTCTTCTTCTGGTACGCTCTGAATTCTCCCCCAATTTTTCGATCTGATCGTGCTCAATCCATTTCTATTTCCAATTATCTGCTCATTATATTGTGCTGTGGATAGTCGTTCTGGCTTTTATATTCAAGAAGGACTCGGTCTCGTCATTGGTTTTATATGTCTGTTGAGCATTTGGTGATTCTTGACATATTATTGTTTTCGACGTTGTTTAGGGTTTGATTGGCGGACGAAGGGAGCTGAATCAGAGCTTCAGAATTGAATTTGATCTTTGATTTTGTTCCGGTTAAGTCACGACGAGGCTTTGGTGTTTGGAGCATTTCTGAGGAATTATGGGATATCTGAATTCTGTTTTGTCATCTTCGAGCCAGGTTCACTCCGACGATGGACCTGTTAGCGGCGGCGGCCTCAGGTTCACTTTTCTCCTTCTCCCCAGCTTAAATTATTGTTATAGGATTAAGAATGTAACAAGAAATTATAGATATGTGTGGAATTCACATCTTTCTCTTAGGTGGATAGAGGAGTTTCTTACCTTTAGTAATGCCTCGTCTTGGTTGATTTCTTCTGCTAACTTTGGCGTTATACTTATCTTTGCTGGTGTGAGTTAGGGAGTTATTGTGCAAATTAATAACTCAATAATACATGTCTCTCCTCAAAAGTACAACTTGTTCTTCGAATATAAGTATGCAGTTTTAGATCTGTGATTATATGTTTAGGCATCGGCATCCTTCCTAGATATGTGACTGTTGCTGTCAAATTTCAAAAACATTCTAATGTGATGACTTTCATATACTTAATATGTACAGTCAGAACGGGAAGTTCAGCTATGGATATGCAAGCTCTCCCGGTAAAAGATCTTCAATGGAGGACTTCTATGAAACTAGGATTGATGGCGTTGATGGGGAAATTGTTGGTCTATTTGGAGTCTTTGATGGTATACATGTCTCTCTGATTACATGAACTAAATTATTGCCGACTATATCTTGCATGTGACAATTTCTAGTACTATTTTAAGTTTCTAGCATATGCAGAATTGTGTATCACTTTACATTATGTAGAAGTAGACAAATTACTCTCAAGTTATATAGTAATTCGAGATTTAGTAAGGTCTGGTTTCACTTGATTTATAAGAACCATAGTTCATTGATGTCTACTGATCAAATAGTAATCTTACGTGAATATGATATCGTCTTTACTTACTTTTTACATGTTAAGGTGCTCTAAAGAGGGCAATGTAGTGATATAGCTAATCTTTATTTCCAGGACATGGAGGTGCACGTGCAGCTGAATATGTGAAGCAAAATCTGTTCAGTAACCTTATCAGGCATCCAAAGTTCATATCTGATACCACAGCAGCCATAGGTTCTTTTCACTTTTAATCTTGTTAGCTAGATGATTCATTAAATAGACCCAGCAAGGTGCCGTAATTCATCCTTGTGATATTTTTCATTTGCTTGCAATCTCATTTCAGCTGATGCATACAACCAAACAGACTCAGAGTTCCTTAAATCAGAAAATAGTCAGAACAGAGATGCTGGTTCAACGGCGTCCACAGCCATCTTAGTTGGTGACCGTTTACTTGTTGCAAATGTCGGGGACTCTAGAGCTGTTATATGCAGAGGTGGCAATGGTAATGCTTGTTCTTTTTTTTTTTTATTACTTTCCTTTTTTTTTGAATTTGAATGGAGATTAGAAGACTCTTCTAAGTGATTTATACCAAATGCCCCTACTTAGAGGATTAGACATTGCATCCAGTTCGACCAAGTCATTAGGTGTTGATTATTAAGAGGTCCAAAGGGAAACATAAAATGATAGTTTGTCAAACAGTATATGCAGGTCTTCGAGTCATAACTTACCCCACATAGTTATTATCACATGATAGCCCTTGTACATGAAATTTGCAATAAGTAGCGCTGTTTTGTATGGTACTAATACAATTCTTTTGTCAAAGCTATTGCTGTATCCCGAGATCACAAGCCTGATCAAAGTGATGAGCGCCAAAGAATTGAGGATGCAGGAGGCTTTGTCATGTGGGCTGGTAAGGCAACATTTAATGGAAACTTCTCTTCTTATCTGTGTTTATTTCATTTTCTTAATTGGAATTATGCTAAAAGGAACATGGAGAGTTGGAGGAGTTCTTGCTGTTTCTCGTGCATTTGGCGATAGGTTGTTGAAGCAGTATGTTGTTGCTGATCCGGAGATACAGGTATTGACTTTGCGCTAAAATCTCCTCCCATATATAAAAATAACGGCACTTTGTTATTAACAATTTAACTTAACCTGCATTGGGTTTAAAATAAGGTAGCTAAGCAATTGACAGAGTGACTACTTTGTGTTACCTCATACCCACATTGTAGACTATTTTCTAGAATGGCACTTTACCAATCTCCATTCGTTCACTCATTAGCATATATGGAAATTTCAGGAGGAAAAAGTCGATAGCTCTCTCGAGTTTCTCATTCTTGCAAGTGATGGTCTCTGGGACGTTGTATCTAACGAGGTAGGACATGTCGTTTGATTTCTAAACTTCCCAATCCTCGGACTTGAAAACTCATCTCTGTTAAATTCTTATCCTCAGGAAGCCGTAGGCATGATCAAGGCGATAGAAGATCCCGAGGAAGGTGCAAAGAGACTGATGATGGAAGCTTACCAAAGAGGAAGTGCAGACAACATAACTTGTGTCGTAGTACGTTTCTTTTCAGACCAAGCAGGAGGAATAGGTTCCAGCAGCACCAGTATCCCAATCGATCATGGTATCATACCTGACCGAATCTCCGGTGACTCATCAACCTAGTTCTAACATTGGTAACGTTCATTCGGATTTCGTGATCTCAAAACAAGTGAATCTGGGAGATTATATATTGTTATAAAAAGGTCGAAGGTTTTCAAGAATATACAGACAAAACTCTTCACACGAACGTTTTTTTCTGTGTCGTGTATCTTTTGTTGTTGTTATACATTTGTTAAATTGGGCATGTAGCTAAACATAGAATAAATGTATTAGTACAAGTTCTGATTCATTCTACCTTCTGTATGCAAAATTTGTAGTTTCATGGATGCACCTGATTTTACAACATAAATATCCATCCATCAAAATTGTAAATGAATATGTGAAATTGTGAATGGCATTAACAAAAATATTAGTTAAAAGGTATACACTTATATAAAATACAAAATAGTAAAAGCAAAAGTTGCAACTGCACCTAACAACACCAGGCTAACCAATCCACCTGACTAAGATTCAACCTTAAAAACCTGATATTCTCTATTTCAGTCCCATTTTTTGACCCAACACAGCGAGCTGCTCAACAAGCTCAGATCCAGTAAGGATCTCTGTGGCTCCATATATAATGTTCTTAACCATCTCTTGTCGCTGCGAGAGCTCCTGCAAACTGCTATATTCGATGTAGTTACCTGCACCAATCATGAAAACTATGGCTTCTTTGAAAGGCCCCTTCACATAACTATTACCACTAGATCCTGACTTTGAAGCTCTCGGATCCAGCATGAGGTATGAATCGGTTTCTGGGTTTGGTTTTCCCTCAGTTAAGGCTTCAACTGTCCGCGCCACCGCCAGTTGCTGATCACTTGATAAGAGATTCTTGACCCCTGCAGTGACCGCGCTTATAGACTGACCATAAAGCTTCTCAGCCCAGTCAACAATGTTGCTTCTGCTTGCTGAGGCTGCCAAAGACACATTCAGCGACTTGATCTTTTTCACATACTGAAACGCTCTTGTATCGGCCTCAGCTTCACGCAATGCCGCTTCCACGGCTTCAACTTCAGCCTGGTTGATGGTTTCCAAGGAGATTAGGTACATGATGGCAAATCGTAACTTGTCCATTTTGGTACCCTTCCCTTTCAAAACAGATAGAAGCTCGCTCCTGTCTATGCTGCCTCTCACCATCATCTCATTCTCTTTCTTAGTGTATGCATCCAGAGATCGCTCCTTGATCTCTCCTAGCAGCGCAGTCGCAATGTTGGTGTGCTTGTCAATCACCTTCTTTCTCTCTGTCAACTCCGGAAGTGAGTTGACAGCATTCATCAGATGCTTGGTGTTCCCAATCAGATCAGCCCCATCAAACTCTGCACTCCCGTTTCCACCTCCAGTTCTCCTGTTAACCTCTTCCACGTCTTTTCTGTACTTATTCAACTGAGTTTCGATTTCTACAGCGACTTCAGGAAACTCTAAAGAACCATTTGCTGACCAGAACGGGTCTGAACTGTCTACAAATGTTTTCTTATCATCTTTTTGGCCAGGCAATTTCAAACTGTTGAGCTTTAGACCCAAAACATCATGAACAAGAGGCCTGTATCTGAAATCATGCTGAATCCCAACCGAGAGTTCAAAGTTTCTATCGAAAATACACAACAAAGGCCGCTGAAACGAACTAATGAAACCGCCTCTACCTTCGGTAAACAGATTGATCTTAGACAGAAGATGATCCCTAAGTTTCTGATCCAACGATGATGCAACCATCTCCGCTGGTCCACCACGAGGACATCGGATTACAGGCACCACACCAAGCGTTGCCAGTACACAGAACAGCCCATTAGCGACCTTTTCGATAATATCCTCGACCTCTCTATTTCCTGCTGATGGATCATTCAACTGAAGATAGATAGATTCCTGAGCCAAAGAAAACATGTTATCTTCCAAAGTAACAAACTCGAGATACTGATCATGCACCGTTGCAAGTCTCTCAGTGGAACCCGAATTCAGAGTCGCAGAAGCGAGAGTTTCGAGGAGCGGGCGAGGGATACGATACGAGAAATTCAGATGATAGGAATGGTAAAGAGATCTAGAAGCATCTGCAATGATTCTCTGGATGTTGGATTCAGTGGGTTGAAGAAAGTAGACAGCTGCAGCATCACCAACAGCTTCTCTCTTTTTGTTGATGGACAAGGGAAGTGTAACTCCTTGTTTACGAAGATCCTTCACTTGCATCAGAGGAGCGATAATCTTCTCACAGAAATCGTCGTAGATCAAGGCCTTGTAACATTCCTCGTTTGGATTCAATGGTTGATTCAGGTTCAGCATCCGGATTACACATTCTGCGATCGGACGAAATTAAAATGTACAACATCAATGATCAACCCCAAAAAAATGTAAAACGAAATCCGATATAATAATCACTAAAATTGAGACCATTAAACATATTAGATTCGAAGAGCAAAAGTTACCCATCTGTTTGTGGCGTAGATTGAGAGCCATGGTATGGTTCCAGGAATGTGTTAGGAAAAAAATCTTGAGTATCTATGATACCGACGAAGAAACGAAGCTCAATACAATTTTGAAGACGATGGTGTTACCGTAAATAAAATGTTTATGATAATCAACTGGGCTATTCCCATCAAGGCCCAGGCCCAAAAGAGGGAAAAAATGATCAATGATAACCAAAATCGGTATTGATGATTTTGACTCTGTTGCTGCTCTTCAAAAACTGACTCACCTCAAAAATAGCTAATTAATATGATCACTTTAGCTTCTCATAGTTAGTACATGTGTGACCGAATAATTACTTGTTTTTTCATACATCCCAGGCGAGTCCATCGATGTGGAAAAACATTTTGCCTACTGAAAACGAGGTATTGTATATTGTGGAATATATATAAGAAAACGTTAGTTGGGAAATGATAATACAAAGTGACTCAAGTTTAGATAGAGAAAGCAGAACTGCAGAACAAGAAGGAAATAAGGTGTATTTTAGTAATCCTTATCGGTTAGTATCGAGTTACAAATGCTCACAGGGGGTCGGTATTGAACTAGATATTATTGTCTATAATTGATAAGCTATCAACTCTTTGGACCAAGAATGCCAAACTAGCACTAGGGAAGATGATTACACACTCCTGCTTTGTGGTGAGAGATGATGTTAGCCACTCCCTGATTTCAAGGTATTACTCAACCTGAAGGAGAAGAAGCATATTATATGAGAGTTTTGCTGAACAAAAACTTTCTGGGATTATTTCTCATGCGCTTACCAGTCTAAGCCCTCGAAAAGTCCTTCGCCTTTCACAGCACATGTTTTGAAGATTGCCCATTGACGGCTCTTTATCTTGTGCAACTCCAAGGCCTCTGTCACAGCTGCATCGTCGAGTGCACCTGGTAGATCCTGTTATATCACATTACCAGAACTGTCATTACATATATGCAAAACCAAACAAATGTGGTACGGCTTCTTTCTATAACAGTGGCCTTGGTGAATTTATTATAACTTGGCGGTGAGGTAAACAGCTTGACATAGATAATACTAACCTGCTTGTTTGCAAATATAAGAACCATTGCACCTTTCAATTCCTCTTCCTGTAAATAGGTTCCAAAACACGAGTTAAGCCTCATTGATAAAAGCATTCTCAAGAGGCATAAATCAAAACTTCCACAAGAGCAGCTCTGAAATGATACACAAAAAAAAACTGTATAGCAAGTCATGATCGCCAGTTCCCTTCCTAAGATTCTCTAATTATGACTACACCACACCGGCTTTGGCTTTCCCCCTCAGGTACTAACCAGAGAGATCTCAAGTTTAGTGTCATCTACCACAAGGCTTTTTGACATTCTAAGAACATTGAGTAGCAACATTTATAGCGTCCAGAACAGTTTCTAAACAGAGCTGGTATTGTATACCCAGTAGAGCTACCACCACCGTGAAAGTGTAACCCTCATCTATCAAGAGAGTGATAAACCAATCACATCGGAAGAGAAAACTATAGCAGTAGTTTACCTCCAAAATTGCATGGAACTCCTCTTTCGCCACTCCAATTCTATCTGTATCACTCGAATCAACAACATAAATCACTGCTTGTGTATTTGGGAAATAGCATCTCCAATATGGCCTAATGCTCGTTTGTCCACCTGTTAACAAGAAAATTCTAGTTAATCATTCTCCAACGAATCAATTAAATATATCAAAGCAACTGTGGTAAATAGTGACCAAAGTAAGAATCTACAAAATTTGGTTGAGGTACAAAGAGTGCATGAAAATTATGCAAAGCAATCGACTACACATAGCTAAAACCACGAAAATATGTTGAGTAATTATCTTCCACGTAAATCCGGAACCCTTTCTCACCCATTTTTAAAATAAGAGTCCCATTATGTCACAGCTATTAATCAGTATAAGATCATTGACATCGTTTTACAATCTTTCCGTATACAAAACTCTAGTCTCTCAAGTGTCATTAGAGTTAGATCTGCTATCATGGGTTTATTCAATCACTTGCCCTTGAAATCTACTAGTCAACACTAAAGAAGACTAAGTGGATCTATAAATACACGCGTTGATCTAAGATCAATCTAATACTCATACAATGTGTCTTCCTTCTCTGTATAACAAAAACTGTTCTAACAATATATCAACTTCATTACTAAATTCAAATTAGGGAAACATACCTAAATCCCAGACCTGAAACTTGATATTGTTGTACTGTACTGTCTCGACGTTAAATCCAATAGCTGTAGATAGGGAACAACATGAAATCAAATCAGCTGCCTACGAAATGTCATCAGATTCAACAGCTCGAAGATCCGACTCATAATTAAATTCAATGAAACCAACAAAAATTGATGATTAAATCGAGAGAAACACATACTCGGAATCGTGGAGACTACCTCCCCCATTTGAAGCCGATCTGAAACACACAGAGACCACACAAAAATGCAACTCAACACACAAAAAAAACGTTGAATCGAAAATCATAGCTACTTAGATAATCAAAGTAATCACAAGTGCGTTTAGATTCAGAGAGAATGATTTACAGAGGATAGTGGTTTTTCCGGCATTGTCGAGGCCGAGGACGAGGATACGAGCTTCTTTGTTCCCAAACACGGAAGAGAACAACTTCGTGAACACGATTCCCATCTTCTTGTTTCTTCTGATCGGAATCAGATCATACGATCTAAGAAAGATTCGTCTCTTGGACCATTGAGCTCTCTTCACAGAGAGGAGAAGAGCAATGGAAGACGAAGAAATTAAATAATTCCGAAACACTCTGAATTAACTAGCGGTACACATATGGGCCTAAACTTATTATCTGAGCCCAGTAATATGTTGATAACCAACCAACATAACGATTCTCATTGCTTGGACTTTTTATCTAACTAGTCCACAATCATATCATATGAAAGGTTTTTTTTTTTTTTTATGTACACCAAAAAGAAACAAAGAGATTTATGATATTTGAAATTCACATCATATTTTAAATTGTGTATCGTCCAATAAAAATAAATACATTTTTTTTTTAATTCACAGTGTTCATATGTCTAACGCGGTCTAAATCGCATAGCTACTATAAAGTAAACAATTACAAAGTCGAGGAAAAAATTATAACGTACGGAAATATATACGATAAATGGTAATAATAAAGTTAAAATGAAAATAAATATACAAAAAAAGGAATAGAAAAGAAAAAGGAAACACCAAATGGAAGAGAATTTGTTTGGAAGTTTGTTTAATAGACGCGGCTACTCGACGTCTCGAAAGAGCTCAAAGGTGTGAAAAATGTCAAAAGAGAATCTAATGCTTTTTGTTATCTTATGATATAATCAACCCATCCACTATCTGAAACGTGTCCATATTTGACACACAGATTAGCGAAACTAGATACGCAAAAAAAAAAAGGATCATTATTGCTAATTGTTTTCTATTCTTAATCACTGTATTTGCTAAATCTTCTTATTAATGGAGAACAGGTCTGATGGAGAATATTAATTTGCTGAAAAATAAATATAATGGAGAATATTAATTTGCTGAAAAATAAATATAATGGAGAATAACAGTTTCCCATTTAAAAGATTTTCTAAACGTTAATTACAAATGCAAGCTCTCCAGATCCGTTGACTGGATATATTTGTGTAATTTATTAATAATCTAATATGTGCATGAGAATCAGACTGTTTTTTTTTTTTTTTTTTTGGAAACATCTTTGCAAGTCGAATAGTATTCTAAAAGATCTTTGTAATAATCTAAATTTTGAAAGATTTCGTAGTAGTAAACCTTTAGACTTAAAGTTTTGGAGAACGGCCGATATAAATAAAAAAAAATCGTGTGGAAGTGGAACTACTCTATCAATGATTTTTTCTTATAGCCTAATAGTAATTATGTTATAGTGATTTTTAAAGGACTAAGAAAAAAACTGTCGGCGATGTATGTTTTTGTTCATAAATCTAAGTTTTAGATGTATTGACCTAAAATTATATACATAGTCAACGTTTGTTTCTGATGATTTTCTTTCTTAAATTGCTTGTAAATACAGCAAATGTTTCTAAATTTTTTTACTAAGACTACACCTCATAAATCTCTTCGAATGAGGAAAACATATCTTGCCGAATTAAAACGGGAAAGAAAGCGAAAATTGGCGTATATGGATCAGACAGCTCTGCTGTCGACAGATTGAAGTACTTTTTGTTTTGACAGCCAACAGTTTGAAGTACATGCAAGGTTTTTTAAAAGTACAATTTTTGTGACTGTGTGTATTCAACCTAACCACCAGATGAAATTTCTGAATTAGCAGGTATTTCCACTCAAAAGTGTTAAAAGTTATTTAATCACTATATTAAGGTTGTAACAATATATTTTCGAAAATGTATGAATCCAAATAAATGTAGGAATTGGTTGGAACAATCGAATCCTAAATATATGGATGTACACACATGTCCACGTATGAAACCGCATTTACAATATTTTTTGGGTGAAGTGACTAAATAATATTTCCTCAAACTACAAAATTTTGGAATAAAAGGGTTTAATAGATCAAACGATAAACACTACAGAACAAGTAAAAACCCCCCAAAATTTTGCTCTCTAGTAAAATTTACATTCCTAGGAATCATGAGAAGGACAATTCCCCAGGAAACTCTCAAAAAGAAGAACAAAAAAAGACGTAAATTAAGAAGAACAAAAAAGTTAAAATATAAAAAAGGCTTAGTGACTTGTAGTTGTTGTTTCGTCGGTATCTTTCACTTTCTCTTCACCTTCTCTCATCTTCTCTTCCTCTTTGGCAACACTTTCCTCCTGAGAAATCACCATTTTACCCTCGTGACCACCACACGTACACTTTTTCATCGCCGGTGTTGCGAGATACCTCGGCAAATCTTCTCCGGCCATTATGACAAGAAACTTCTCCTCGTAAGCTCCATTCGCCGCCTTATCTCCAGACCGACTCTCTTTCTCTTCATCGACGTTCTGACCATCTCCTTCGCCGGAGGAAGACAGGCGCCAGTAAGAACAAGCGAGGATGAGAAGAGCAAAGGCGATTAGTCCAAGCATCGCCGCTAAACCGCCGAAGAGGTAGGGGACCGGCGAGTGCCACGGTGATTGCGGCGTCACTCCGTGGTGATTCACGGAGGTTGACGTTGCCACATCTCCAAACTTCGACTGTACGCTCAAGGGTCTCATTTTTGTTGTTGTTGTGCAATCTCTTTTGTTTCTCTCTGATTTATGTGTGTTTGGAGATAATTTCCTCTACTTTGTTTTTTTTTTAAGCTTGATGTGGAAAAAGGAAAGATGAGTAATTGAGTATGAAACAGAGGAGAAGGTAAAGAGATGTATTTATAGGTCTACGCAACTTGGGGACAAAGAAAGTGACGGTCATATTTAATTGATGGAATTTAGTGGAACCAACTCTTTTTTCTTAACCCTAGTGAACTCAACGTATTCATCTTTATTAAAGAAAATAACGTATTTATTTCTTCAAAACGCCCCACAGAATATAATTATTGCATTAAAATGTTTTACCCTACATGGTAATTTTTATGAATGGTTACATACATTTAAAAACAATCAAGACATTGACGATGCTTTTATACGCCATCACCATTTAGTGTCTCTAATAGCCTAATTTGATAACCATATTTTAAGCGGTGCGGTAAAATACTAAAATTGTACATAGTAAAAAAGCATTTGTATTAAATATATAACTTAGTGATTGAATATGATTTTGATTAGTAATATGAAGTTGGGAAAATTGATTGCAAGAATAAACAAAACTTACATACAAAAAATCTATATATAATAGCAATCAAATAAATACCATTTGCACATCTGAACGGTTGCGTCTTTTTATCGCAACCTTTCGTTTAAATCGGTTATTTTTTTACGGTTATTTTGGTTGCGTCTTTTTATCGTAATTTTCGTTTTAATCGGTTATTTTTTTACGGTTATAGCGTTTCCAATAAATACCATTTGTACATCTGAACGGTTGTGTTTTTTTACTGCAACCTTTCGTTTAAATATTTATGGTTGTTTTTCTTACAGTTATTTTTGTACGGTCATGTTGTTTTATTGAATTTCTTTTTACGTAAACCAATAAACTACATATAAAATTGGTTTATTTCATAGTTTACATATGGATATATTTTTAGTATTTAAACTAAAATTTATATTTTATGGATATATTTTTTAGAAAATTGCAATCCGAATATCTTCTGCGGTTGCTTCTTTTTATTGTACCTCTTCATAAACAGTTGCAAGCTTTTATTCGAATTATTGCAATATTTAGTTTATTTCACGAACAATTGCAACTTTTAGTTTATATCACAAACAATTGTAACATTTGATTTATATATTTAGTTTATTTCACGAAAGATTGCAACCTTTGATTTATTTTTTATTTTTTGTATTTCACGAACAATTGCAACCTTTGGTTTATTTTACAAATTGCTATAACATCTAATTATCTACCGTCGCGTCTCTCGGTTTATTTTTCATAAATTAATATTTTTAATTTTTAATTACCAAAATGCATTTAAATGAGATTGTAATCGTTTAATTGAACCGTTGAAACATTTGGTTTATTTGACCAATCATTGCAATTTTTGGTTTTGTTTAACGAACCATTGTAATCTTTAGTTTATTTGACGAACTTGACGAACCGCTACAACTTTTTATATATCGCAACATTTCATTTATTTTTTTTAAACTAAAAAAATTATTTTACGTTATGTTTTTTGAGAAAGTTGCAATCCGAGTAAATATTTTTTACGGTTGCATCTTTTTATCGTAATTTTTCATAAAATGATTGCAGCTGTTTAGTTGAACCATTGCAACATTTAGTTTATTTCACGAAAAATTGTAACTTTAAGTTTATTTTATAAATCGTTATAAAATTTAATCATCTACCATCGTTATTATTAATTTTCGTTTGATATTTTTTTTAACGATTTTTGAAATATTTTTCCCCGCGACATCGCGGGGGTCCGGAGTCCTAGTACTGTAAAAAGTTACAGACAAGTGAAATTGATTAAAACTCCTCCCTTGGGATTGTTAGTTAATTAAAATTTAATGTTGGCAAATAAAAAAAAAGGGACAGTGTTATGATTAATCGTTTCATTTCATATACAACAGAACTGGACAGCAAACCACTTTATATTTTTCATTCTTGAAAACATTAAAATACAGTGATTTAATTTGAGAGTTGAGATATACATAGTCCGTACCGTACAGATAGAGGCATATTTTGAAATCGATGTATTATCCATTTCACGTAGACATTTTAATATATGTATATATTATATCTTAGCAAAAAAAGATTCATATATTATAATGTAGCTAATCAGGACATAGTGAAAGAGCATTTTAGATTTGGGGTGTAGTGGAATATGACAATGTTTTCACGATAATAATAGCGAACAAAGATTATATGAAAGAGAGTGAAATTGTGGGTTAAAGTGCCAGCAATTTCATTTTGTTTTTCTTCCTCATTTCCAAAATTTCAATTGGCTTTGGTGCTTTTGACTTGACATATTTATATTAGTCTATCTCTCTTCTTTTCTTGCTCTCTAGCCAGGCTATGTGATGATTCCTTCTTCTTTTTTTGCATTATGAGATATGAATAAGATCATAAGATTATTTAAGATCTCATGTTGTTTATGTGGTTAAGCACCAGTCTTATAGATTGTTATGTGTAATTTGATGTCCGAATTCACTTTAGCTGTAGCTCTACTTTTAGTCCTGTAAAGTTTCTATTGCAGATGTTGCTTAATTATATGTTTATCAGTTGAATTTAGTATCTCTTTGTTTCACTGTGGAATTATCCAATATCCACGGTAAAATTGAAAAACTTGGTTTCCCTTTTTCCTTAGTTCTTCTTTAACTAATCTTTGCTTTTTGTTATTTTATTTTTATGTCACATACTTGATTACATAGTTTCCCACTTTTCTTTTTTCAGCCACAATTTTTTTTCCTCTTCTTAAGAATGTACGTTGCTTTATTTTATGCTTTCATCTTTTATGCTTTGTTTTTAGGGAAAATTAGGAATCTAGCATTTTTTAAAACTCGATTTGTTAAATAACATACTATAGAAAAATCGTTGATGTTTGTCTATTTGCTTTGGAATATTGGTGTGGAAGCTTTGGAACATTGGCGTAATAGTTTTGGAAATTTTGTATCGTTTACTTTGACAAAATAAACATTTGTAACGTTTAACTCATAAACTTTGGTCGAAAACAAAATGCATCATATAACAAATTAAAGCAAGAAGATGAGTATCGTGGGACTGGATTTAAAAGCAGAGATCCACGAGACCGCAACATATTTGATTTTTATGGTAAGTATTTTTCGGCAATCAGAAAAATGTGAGTTTTTTTTTTTTTTTTAAATCAAGATAGAGAGACATATAAAAATATAGTGTTATTAAAAAACAGAAATCAAAATCAAAACTGAGAATTTATTGTCATGGAAAGAATAATAGTTTTTTAATAAAAAAAAATATAGGTCCCATCCCGTATGAATATAGCGAGTTTCCGCATTGTTTAGAAAGAAAAAAATAGTGAGCACCAATTAAAACGAAAAAAGGTGTTTACCTCTTTTCTAAAACAGAATCAAAGTGTTTTACAAGAAAAAAAAAACAATTAAAAACACCAAGGGATAAGAAGGCCATGTTGTTCATTGGCAATCATTCCATTAATCACTATTAACATGAGAAAATAATATTGTATAATTTCGTTGTGTCCCACATTTCGTCAGCTTCCACTCGCACCTTTTAGCAGTAGAAGGTACGTTTTCATTCTGCACGGAGCCACGGACAATCACCGCGCTCGTCGTTTTGTATTTATCGTCACTTCTCGTATATTGATAGAATGAAACGTTCAAAAATCTGAATGGTTTAAACAAAATGATCTAAAAAATTGTTAGACTCTAGCCAAACATCAAATATCCTATACTGAATATTTATCTTTAATTTAGTACAAGTGTAAATCATAACCAAGAAAAGTTGGTCATATACTAAACCGATAGATGTTAGACCGTGGTGATCTAGGTTACAAATATTTGAAGTTGTGATTTCTCATATCAAACTTACGAGTTCACTAGTTAAAAGTACATTTAGTGATCCCTAAAGGGCATTTAATTTAGAAGAAGATTACAGAACTAAGACATATAAAATTTTGAAACATGTAACTTTGTTATTATATAAGCAATATCCATTTCGCTCGTTGCTTGCTTTACTAAAGGGCAAGTTTCGTATGAGGCAAGGCCACTTGGATATGAAATACTCCACAAACTTTATTCTATGCATATCAAATTTTTAATTATAAAATATAGCATGCCAATCTTTTTCCTAAAACAAATCTCCAATATTTAATTGCAATTTCGGTGGATAATCGGATTCCACTTTTGTACTTGAACGGCCAGTTCTTTCTTATTAGTAACTTTCATTCAATTTTTAAATTGTTTAAATACATTTCAACTATAACAGAAATTGTTGGCGAGAGGCAACCAATCACCAAAGAAAGCTCGTGTAGATTACATCCACATAAATATATAATTATTACATGTATTTCTGTTTATATTCCAACTTTATTATAAGTTAATTAATTGAGGATTAGCGACAAAATATATAATATAAAACTAGATGGGGAAAACATACTTAGTTATTTTATTAAGCAAAAGAACATATTCCCAACTTGAGTTTTTGGGGTGTTTGGTGACGTACAAACTTCTCTTCTTCTAGATAAGGAACTATGCACTACAAATTTTATAAACTATGCACCACAAATTTCTAAAGTCTGATTAAAAAGAGGAAGTGTAAAGCAAAAGTAGTAATTAACCCTACAACAACACATGAGTCACGACTTTCAGTTAACTACAATTATACAAAGATTACTTGATTAATTGGTTCTATCTTAACTAGTGTACTGTATGTTTGAAATCATCCATCAACAAACCATTTGATCGAAACAAAAAATCCCTCGAGCAAATTGAAGCCACTCTAATTTTATGTTTCGAACCTATACATTTGTATATGCTTATGAATATGATATCTCCTATTCAACTTAATAAAAATCTTAAACTTTTCACTACGATATATATCATATTTATATTTTACGATCCAAGAAAGATAATTTTTGACACTAGTTTTCTGTTCTGTGACACTTCAAAATATTATAAGTGTATAGCCATTTTTTTTTCCAAAAAATGAATACTATATACACACGATTTATTTGCAAAAAACACTACATACATAATTTCCCTTCTACCATTTTAGATTTGAAGTACTAGTTTGACTAGATTCTGTATTTTTTGTTTGTCTATCGGTCTTTTAATTTTCACTTGCTGGAGGTAAGTATTAAAGGAAAGTTACTAACTGAGATAATACAATTGTGCAAAATACAATGAAGAACTCAAAAGGATGGTTACGACTTACGATCAAAATCCTCTTTCAAAAAAAAAAAAGCATGGTTACGACGAAATCGACAAGTCGATATTCCATTTAGATCACATGAACATTGTTTCGTTAGAAATGCTCATTCGCCTCTTCTAAAGTAAACCGATTTGATAGGCCACCATGTTTTGCTTCTTCCTGATTTGATTTGATATTTTTTTTTACTATTTAAACAATCATTTTAGATTCTGTATTATTCCTAAGTAATATTAAACTTTAGTATACAATTTATAATAAAAATAATAAAAATAAAGAATATATAGGTTCTAATTTAATATCCATATCTTGATTAAAAGAATTAAAGAGAAGTTCAGATCAATCCATATAGCTTGTGCAGTTGTGCCTGTCCTAGCCTATAGCCAAAAATATTCTTATACGTGATTGAACAACCGTTTTTTGAAATCGTCAAATTAAATCAAACCTTTTTCCATGACAATGAGACTTGGATATAGTTTACATTAGATACTGATTGGCCCTTTTGATATAACTAGATAAATGAATAAATTGTCTCTTATTTTTGGTTTTATACGATTTTTATAGTTATTATCTTATAAATTTTTTAGAAAATGATCTTTAACAAAAGAAAAAACTTTTAGAAAATGATTTAAATCTAAATACATTATACATAACATATAGTGTCTTAGTCTCTTAGAAGGATATTTATGAGAAGATAGAGATTTATTTATCTGGTAGTTTCGTCTTATAGTGGATAGAAACCTACTAATGGAATCCACCATTAACCAAAATAACAAACAAATGGAATCCCGTGAGATGAAGTATCATCATATCTCTTTCTTATGGAGAGAATTAGTCCAATCCTTCTTCACTGAATTTACCCTCAAGTCTTTTTCTATATACTTTTCTTATATCTAAACTAATAAGACTATGAGTTGACAAAAGAGAAACAAAACCTGCTTTTGTTGGTCATTAAATATTCCGTCTAGATGATGGTGGATTTGAGTTAGTGCTCTCATTGTCATATTCTCTGTCTCCCATCATATAAAGTTCACTATATGCAGATTGTACAACACTATACACTAAAGTCACAATTTCAGATTTTATTGATTGACAATTTCGTTTTTATATTCTTAGATATTTTATTTTTGTTTTAATAACTCACAAACTTGATTTGATGGGAAGACCAAAAAAAAATAAAAAATCCTCTTGAGAAATTTGGGCCATATGTATTGAAGACTCCCTTAACTTTGGGCTATAGGTTAAATCAATAGGCCCATTAGTCCATCTCAAGAATCTTTCTCAACTCTTAAAATTCTGACCGGCGGAGATGGCTTTTTGAGTTGGACCAGTCGGAGTATTAGGGTTTGAACGGGGACTCACTAGTCGTCGACTTTCCGATCCTTTCTTCTCCCCGCCCAAAATCCGTCGAAACTTCTCTTCTTTAGCATTGATTTACCTCGTCTCAGCTCTCAATTCTCTCCCTTTTTCACGTTACTGCTTCGTTTAGGTTCGTATTTTCGCTTACTTCGTTGAGTTTCTCTATATCTCTGGTTTCGATTTCAGCTCAATTTTGTCTTTTATCGGTTGAATTTTCTCTTGGGTGGTATCGAATTTTCCTCATGAATGTTTCTTTATCAATATAAAACGGAGCCCTCTTATTGATATACTTCACATCAAATTCCAGTAAAACTGATAATAAGTTCTTGGTATTATTGAAGCTTCTAATTTGGGGTAGATACTAGTTCTAGACTAGCAATGTTGATTTCTCTGATCTGAATCTGATCTTTCAGCAAATTCAGAGGTTCTCTGTTAATGTTTCCGAAATTTGAAAAGCTTTTTTACTTACAGGTGTTGCTTCGTTTCAGTACTCTGGTGGTGGGAGAGATGAATCACGGCCAACAATCTGGCGAGGCAAAGCATGAAGATGATGCTGCTCTTACAGAGTTCCTTGCTTCTCTGATGGATTATACTCCTACTGTATACTTTCCCTTTGTACTATTTTCAACTTTTTTCTGGCTCTACAGTGATTGAAACTTGGATATTGATTAAGTTCTGGATTTGTTTTTCCTTTCAGATTCCTGATGATTTAGTGGAGCACTACTTGGCTAAGAGTGGATTTCAGTGCCCCGACGTACGATTGTAGGTATTTCCGACAGGTTATATTATATGTGATACTTACAATGAAAGAGCAGATAAGTTGCTATTGATTGGAATCATTGTTGGGTGTTAGAATGGTTTACCAGCAGTTAGATCAATGTCTTGGTTTGTCATGTGTTAGTATATATGGTTCAGAAATCTTGTAGTTTTAGTTGGGGTTTACTTCTGGGATATCATACTCTCCCATGTTGGATTTAGGTTTTGCCTTGTTTACATTCCTGTAAAATAGTATGATAACGAAGTCCATATTGGACTAGCACTGAAAAAGGTTGGCAATTTGAATGTAAACTTCAGAGTTCAGATTGAATGCGTAGAATAATGAGGGAATTCTTCTCTTTCTTTCGAATTGAGTGCTTAACAATGTTGTTTTTAGTTGTTGAGTTTTGTACTCCTGTCATAATCTTTTCCTGTATTATTGCCAATATGTTCTGATATTTTGTTTACTTGTTTGACAGGATAAGGCTAGTTGCTGTGGCTACTCAAAAGTTTGTTGCAGATGTTGCCAGTGACGCCCTTCAGTAAGTTTTCAATCTCTTCACCACAAATTGTCATATCCTTTCATATTTGACTTGTAATTGACAAAGAGAAGACGCTGCCCATTCTGAGTAGATGAGATGAAAAGATGTGTAAGCTAGATTTTCAGAAGCTTAAAGCATTGATATAAGCTCCTGAATAATACAAATTGTGAATTATACACAGGCATTGCAAGGCTAGACCAGCACCAGTTGTGAAAGACAAAAAACAGCAAAAGGTAACATCTGGCTCACTTTTTTTTTTTCTTTTTCTTCCTGTACAACAAATATGAATTGTCTTTATGTTTTTGATTATATCATGAATATGAATGTTTTCTTAACAGGATAAGCGTTTGATATTGACTATGGAAGATCTTTCAAAAGCTTTGCGTGAGGTAAATGCTTTTTCCTTTAAGTTCATGCTTCTGGTGGTGTTGACCCACAGACCTCCAAAGTATGAGAAGAAAATGTAGATGCCTCTTGTTTTTTTTACTTAAGCTGCAAATGAAGCATTGACCATTACTCTAAATACACATGGCATGAAACTAATTCAGTATCACAGAATCAACATAAAATGCTTAGAAACATGTCTTAGAGTTAGTCATTCTAATATTGTGCATTGCAGTAGTGTAGGTAGATAGGTAAGGGTTTACCATCTCGTCTTAATTAGTAGTGGAAAGCTAACTCATATGAGTAAAACTTGGTTTGGCAGTATGGTGTGAACGTGAAGCATCCAGAATATTTTGCTGATAGCCCTTCGACTGGAATGGATCCTGCGACAAGGGACGAATAGAAACCAGGAATTCTTCATCATCATCTTTGCCTAGTAAGGACGGCCATGTGTGTCAGATCCCTGATTCTCTGTTGTGTTTCATTTAAAAACAAAACACACTTGTCTTGCTAGTCATCAATTACTACATTACATGTATATTCCTTTATTGTTTGTTCTCGGGTGGTTCTACATCACTTATCCACCATTCTTGCAAGTCTCCAAGTCGTGATAATAAGATAAGTATCCAGCCTTCTGATTAACTGAATACTGTAGGATTGAACAACCACAAAAAGCGTTTTGTAGAAAAGCCAGAGCATAGTCAAAAGTATATTTCCATATAGCAATCATGAAACCAAGTACTTCTGATCTAACTTGAAACATTGCCACACTGTTGTATATTTAACCGTTAGATTATCCCCCTTTGTAACCGCGGGATCTCAATAACAAAAGTGATTTTTGGAATCTAGCAATTGAAAAAAGCTGTTCCTGTTTTTTTTTAACTTTATCATGAACCGAATATTCTTCACCTCAACCTTTCGTCAGCTTTTACAAAGCCTACTCCATATTAAAAAGACAACACATTGGTATTGTCAAAGACCACATTGGTATTGTCTTCATCCCAAAGAAAGTTGAAGATTCAGATTCTTGAGTTTTGTTTTCCTGAATTGTAAGAAATGGTGAATCCTCCACTTCAGTCTCCGACCAATCCGCATTTCTTCCAGCCACTTCTTCCCGGTTCCGAGACTCACCTCGTATGTACACACTCTCTCTCTCTCGCTCTGTTTCTGTCTATCTTTCAGAGTAGGTTTTGTTTTAAATGTTGTCTCTTGTTGGTTGCAGTCAATACCTGTTACATTCTTCTCAAAGCACATTGAAGGGAAAAACGAGCAGAAAACGGCGAGACTTATATCGGACGCTTCTGATAGAATTTGGCAAGTGAAAATGGATGGCCGGAGACTCACCCAAGGCTGGAAAGAGTTTGCAACAGCACATAATCTTCGAATCGGCGACATCATTATTTTCAAACACCAAGGGGACATGTTGTTTAGTGTGACACCTTTCGGTCCTAGTTGCTGTGAAATTCAGTACGTACAATGTCTCATCAAAAAGGAGGACGACAATGTCCATGACGATGAAGACGACATGGAGAATCAGCCAAACACTAGTAAGTTTGAGTTTTTTTCTTTTCTTATTGATTGCTTGAATCCAAGATCACCGACGATGATGATTATGTTTGTGGGAATCTTTATGATATATAGAAAAAAACTGTTTCTATGATTCAGGAAAGGGTTTAAGGAAGGAGAATAATCTGAAACTCAAAACAGAGACAGAATTATCATTATCATACGATTACTGTTTTGTAGCAAACGTCACTGCTTCAAACCTAAAATTTGACACAATGGTGAGTACTTTCTTACTTCACTCATCTTATCACATATAAAAATCATGTTCATGATGTATATATAACATACTTGTTGATATGTGTTGCAGAATCTTCCAAAGAAAGCTTCTAGCTCCAAAGCTTTGAACAAGAGATGTCACAAGATAATTTTAGTGAACAAAGAGGGAAACTCTTGGACATTGAATTTGAGATTTAGAGAATCAGAAGGAAGTTATTACATTAGAGGAGGCTGGAAAAGATTCTGTTCTGAAAACAGACAAAAAGAAGGAGATTTAATCACTTTTAATCTAGTTGGAGACGGGAGATCGACTCCAATGCTCTGTATCTGTCCAGAAGAAGCATGTTCGGAGCTAATGGGCATAGCGAGAGGGAAGAAAAAGACGAAGAAGCGTCGTATGTGGGTAGCTTCATCATCTTCAAGACAAAACAGCTTCGTCACACTCAGTCTCACAGCTTACAATATCAAATACTCCAAAATTGTAAGCTCGTGTGGTCTTGGATGGTTTCTGATTATGTTTTCTTGTTCTTCGACGGTTTTAACAAATCTTTGTGTATTTTGGTTTTGAAATCTTGTGCAGAATCTTCCGGTAGAATTCACAAAGATCAATGGCATTACCAGAAAGCACGAGAAGATAATTCTGATGGATAAACATGGTGTGAAGCGGTTAACGAGGTTGGTGCACGATGGACCAAACTATGGAAGAAGAGGATTGGGAAAAGGATGGAAACTTTTCTGTGAAGCTAATGATGTACTGAAGATAGGCGAGCCTTTTAAGTTGAAGCTGACTTGGGAAAATAATACTCCTCTGCTTAGGTTTTGCTCCAAGGTCAAGGAGGGACCAATCTATGTCTGAAAGTCTTGTTGCTTTTAATTGTCTTTGGAAGAACAGAGTAATTAACTAATGTCTCTAAATTTGATAGTTAATGCTTTATATAATGTTTAGTTAGATTGCTGAGTCCTATGAGACGAGGTTAACGAAGTCACTCATAAAAGTTATCGAAACTTTTCTGAAACATATTCTAGCCTATTCACGATGAAAAAGTAACGGTATCTGACAAAGATGAAACATTTTCGCAGCAGAGGTTAGGCTATAGTTTTTGGGTTTTGTTTCCTGCTGCCGCCATAGTATTGGCGAAATTTGTGAATTATCTCTTGAAGGATAACCCAGATCAAAGAAAGCTGCGAGGATTGTGGTTGTTGGGACCAACATTTTTTACATTGTTCATTTTACATTTTGTTGATATTAAACAAGAAACACACACTTGGATGAAAAGTAAATCTTTATTATACAAACAAGTAAAAAACCATTGAACAAAAACATTTATAGTTCATAATTTCCTCCCACGATATCAATTATTGCTTCTTTTTTCTTTTTCCTCTCTATTTGTGGAATTCGATAACAGAATATGTATAAGCAAGAGCACTGATTTCACATTTAAGAAACCCCGAAGCAGAGGCTAAAGCTTCAAACTGAGAAAAAGACCTCTCTTTACCACCCGAACATTGTGTTAACATCAACATGTCCATACCAAAGACGATGTTAGAGAAAAGGTCGTCACTCTTTGGTTCTGATGGTGTAACCATGTCTACTATTATCACTTTTCCCTTTTCCTGAAGACTCTTCCAACAGTTTCTTAGAATCTTTACACAATCTCTTCGTCGTTCCAGTCATGTAATATCCACTACCAACAATTTGTCCATCTTAGTTTGTAAATAGCTTAATCATAAATTATATGACTTTTTCATTCTAATGTAGTATATATTACTTACTTTCATGAAGATTGCATCTTCTTTTGGAACTCCTATAAACATATCTCCCGATACATGCTCCACTCCTATAACAGATTTTAGTAAGATATACAACAAAAATATTAAAACAATATTATTCAAGATAGTTGTCGAAAAGCACACTTCAATAAGAACTTGTCAAATTTATCAACTAGTACTGTTTGTACCTGGATAAAATGGAGCATTAGCTAATACCGTGGCTAAATCGAAATTGATACCCTTAATTTGAGGATACTTGGAAGTGACAAGATTTAGAATGGTGCCAAGTCCTCCTCCAATATCAACTAAAGTATTTACATCTTTGAATCCTTTGTAAACTTCGAAAATCTTCTTCATGATCATGGTAGAATTCTGACATTGCCTGGTTTAACATACCAGCGAATTGTTCGTCCAACCCAATGTATTCAAAGAGTCTCATGTCATGGGCAGAGCTGAATGCATCTTTTTCTTCTTGTAATATCACATCCTTCAGATGTGTCCTGTAACAAATCTTGAATTGTTCATTGAAATTTGAAAGTACGTATAGAGTACTTTTATCGCATACTACTATATATACTAGTTTAATAATTAAGAAGGTTATTAGCCGGTTTGATATAATTGAGGATCAACTACTAATTTGGCTGATTTGCAAATAATTAGGTACGTACCAAGTTTTGAAAAAGACTTGGCTTTGGAGCAACATGAATAGGGACGTGAGAGAACCCGACTTGACTCCACGGTTTAAGAAAAACGTGCAAACCGGTTCGGCTGCATATACCCTTTGGGTCTTTCCGGTTAGATCGTTTTCTCCCGTTTCAACTATACGACATTTCAAGATCGAGTGGCCGACGAGTAACCGTAACATACGGTCTAGCAAAATTGGCGCCTCTGGGTTGGTGGGTTTGGTAGGGAGACCAAAAGCTATCTCCGAAGACGAGAGCCATACGCCGTCGTCAATGGCAACAATCGTGTCGAGGACGCCAAGCTCCAAAGCAGCTTTGAAAACCATGGGAAAAGCCAATGAGTTCGTGATCCCCAACGCTTGCATTTGCAAGCTCATCATTTCTTCGTCAACTTTTTCTTGTTCTTAAGTTGGACCCGGTTTAGGGTAAGTGGTTAAGTACTCTTGATGATGGTTTGTCATTGTTGTCGTTGGTTAGAAAATAGAGAAAGATGGATAACAAAGGTAGAGATGGAAAGAAAGGATGGTTTCAACAGTTAAACTTAGTGCCATTTTATAGGGAGAAATCTCAAACTAAGTGTACCGGCTTTTGATTTGGACATTTGGTGACCCATGACTACGATTTTTGCCTAAAATTTTATATTCATGGGGATTAACGAAAGCATTATCTATATCAGTCTAAAATTCACCTTATGTCTCAAATTTTTATGCTGAAAATTTTCTAAATCTTGCTTGCATGCATCGATTAATATCAAATAAATTTATGTCAAAACTCAAATTTATGTCAAAACTCAAATTTATAACCAACAAAAATATAAGGCCAGGAATAATGTAAATCATGAAGACTTGAGAGCATGATTATTGGTAGTATCTTAGAAATATCTCTTAGCAATATTTAAGTAATATATGTGTAAAAGTGATTGTTAAGAGATAGTATTTTTGAGTTAAGATTTTTGTGTGATTAATGGTAGGCTCTTAACATGTGGTTCTTAGAAAGAAAAAAATTAACATAAAAATAAAATTTATAATTATAGAAAATTTAATAATAGTTGCAAACTAAAAAAATTAAAACATACATGAGATACAATTTATAACATAAATAACAGAAAGCATAAATGTTTTATACTTGAAATCTAAAAATAATCGGGATATGTAAAATTAGGCAGGGAGTAATCGGATTAGGCGAGAAGTAATCGGATTAGACGGAGAGTAATCGGGTAACTGATTTCTTTAGGGGATTAGTCATTAATCGAAGCGGATAGGGTGGGTCTAGCGATTAAGCGGGGAGTAATCGAGATAGGCGGGGATTTTTAGAACAGGGCTCTTAGCTAAGGAACGTTCCTTAGCTAAGGAACGTTTCTTAACATTAAAGCACAAAGTTGATTAAATTATATTGCATTAAATGTTAAGAAAAGCTTAAGATTTCTATAAGAGCTTGCTTTTAATCATGCTCTGACAAGGGATACAATGTGAACCATCATAAAGTGAAATCTTTAGCTGGACAACCCACGTGATAATCCACGAAGACGTACGTGGTTAGATTCTGAATAATAACCACATTTGGAGAAGTGCAAAAATACACTGTCGCTTTCACGCTTTGGCAAGTTCCTTCCGCTGGTTCTATACGTTTTGGATTTAGAACGGTAATGTGTACGCATTTTTTTTATTTAGTCAATGTTACTGTGTATGCACATGAATCCACAATCTTTTACATTTAGTTTTGTTAATTATAAACGCAAAACGCTAAAATGTATAAACAGCCGTTTGTATCTGTATTAGTGTGTATTTAAAAAAATATATTACGAGTAGTTGAAATGTTACATATTCCAAAAATATAAATGCACAAATTGCATTTGAAACAATTTGACTAATCTCGTGGATAGGTACAACCGTACAAGTCAACATTCATTGTAAATCTGGCGAGGAACTGGATGGACCACACGTAGAACTAACGATGGATACATGCACAAGTTGCAACGTAGAAGTTTGGGGATAAATATATTTATAGTGGGATATAACACAAAGGGGGTGGTGGCGCAGTTGGCTAGCGCGTAGGTCTCATAGCTATTGAGTGATCCTGAGGTCGAGAGTTCGAGCCTCTCTCACCCCATTTCTTTTTTTTCATTTCTCTCTTTATAAATAGCCGAAAATAAATTTACTTACATTTTTATTTCGAGTTTAAAATGTATCTTTAATTTAGAATATTTTGAAACTTGAAAGAAATTTAAGTCTTTCCCAATTCATTTATTGTGAACCAGAAAAAGTGGAGTAAAAGAAGAGGAAGCGGAGAGGTCTGAAGTCTGAACTCTGAAGAGACAACAATCTCTCTTTGTTTTTTTTTTCTGTTAATATATAGCCGAGAAAAGTGTTTGGGTTTGTTGAAGTGATCGCAAATGGCAAATGCATCACCGTTGTCTCGAACAAACCCACACTTCTTCCAGCCTCTGCTTCCAGGTTTCGATAGTCACCTTGTACGTTATCTCTCTGTCTATGTCTCTCTCTCAATCTATATATGAGAATATAGCCTCAATGCTCTGTTTATTTGTTGCAGAAGATTCCTGTGAAGTTCTTCTCCGATCACATCAAGGGAAAACACGAGGGAAAGACTGTAAATTTGAGATCAGATGCGTCAGAAAGAACATGGAAAGTGAAGATGGAGGGTAATAGACTCACTAAAGGTTGGAAAGAGTTCGTGGAGGCACATGAGCTTCGAGTTGGTGACTTTGTCGTCTTTAGACATGAAGGAGAAATGTTGTTCAATGTCACTGCTTTAGGACCTAGTTGCTGTGAGATTCAATACGCACAGCCTCGCCGCCATGAAGAAGACGAAGAGAGTAATGAAACTGGTATGATTCAATGCGCATCTACATTTATTGAGAGACTCTTTCTATGCTTGAAACGTTTCATTTTCTGATTCAGAAATATCTACAAGATCTGAGAAGGAAGTTGAGGAGAATGTGAAAACAGAATCTGATCAGTCTTCGCCTAATCTCAATTGTTTTAGCCGATCTGTGACAGCTTCAAACCTATCAAGAGATAGAGTGGTTAGCAAGATTAGCAGTTTATTTGTTATAATGTTTCGTTTTTATGAATTTAACCCCCAAATGGACTTTGATGACTGATGCAGGGTTTCCCCATAAATTTCGCAAAGCAAAATGGTTTGAACAAAGAAAGGCAAGAGATATTTTTGATGAACGAAGAAGGAAAGACGTGGGAATCAGAATTAAAGATCTGGGGGGATTGTCGACTTTCCATTGTTCGAGGTTGGACAAGTTTTTGCACTGCCAATAAACTAGAAGTTGGAGATTCTTGCACGTTTAGACTGCTCCAAAAAACGGCGGAAACGCCTGTGTTTCAGCTCTGCAGCCGTACAAATTCGGAGAGGAAAATCCATTCCGCGGAAGGTTGCATCGATGAAAAAACTGGAGGAAACCGGTTTGTGAAGTTAACTCCTACACTAAACAGTCTTCAACTTGGTAAACAGGTGACTTTTCAAAACCACAATCTCGGTTGTTTTCTTCAGTGCATTACTTTTTAATTCTGAATATCTTGCAGCATCTACCGGTAAGTTTCACGAGAGAGAACAGACTCATCAATCCGGGGAAGATAGTTCTGGTGGACAAAAACAGAGCTGAATGGTCGATGGAGCTTAAGGTTGACAAAAGTACTGGTTTGATGTATATAATTAGTGGCAATGGTTGGAAATATTTCTGTGCCGCCAATGAAATAAGCGCAGGGGAGTCTCTAATTTTGGAATTGATCCGAGGAGGTGTAGCTCCTTTGCTTAAGTTCAGCTCCAAGGTCAGTAAGAACGTCAAATAGCTTGCAGTCCACGTTTTAGGTTTTACTAAATTGAAGCTAAATCAAATAACGATTTGTATACAGATGGATCAACCACCATTTGAAGCAGAGGCTCAGGCACACAAGAGAGCTAGAGTCCAAAAATTGACCCAGGAGACTGAACCGAAGCTTGATATGAGAGAGAAGACAGCTGAAGATAGAGAACCCTCTCGAGCATCTAACAAATCCAGTGGTAATCAAGAAAACTTGCAGCATACGCAACCTTGCTCTGTCTCAAATCAGGTGGCTAAGGTGAAACAGAGCGTTGTAGATGCTTTAACTAGTATCAGACGTTTCCGGGCAGAGCTCGACACAACGGAACAGAAGCTAGAAATTTCATTGCAGGAAATCAACAACTTAGGTATGATTTGTACTCTGATATATTTTTATAGCAATCTTTACTTTTAGTTTCTGCTCTACTCAGTTTTCTAAAAATTCCATGATGGCACAGAGAGAGGAGAAGACAATGGGAATAAAACAACAACCTCAAGTAAACCCGGGGCAACCCTAGCAAAAGGTCTGCTAACATCAGAGAAGCAAAGTACTCTTCCACTTCCAACAAAAGATGGTCCTCCAATAGATATTGTATATCTCTTTGTAGTTCAGTCTTTATTCCTTGTTGACATTAATCTACCACTCTGAATTGCTGAGGTTGGTTTGTTGATCTTCTTCTCTAGAATCTCTCCTACAACATTTACACAGCCTTGAGGAAGCTTCGTGCAGATCTTGTTAGAGAAGCCCCTGATGGTGTCATGGCATATCATATATTCATGTAAGTCCGAAACGCCATTCCACCTCTCATCTTCCAAGTTCTGTACTTAATCTCTTTGTGGTGGCAGCAATTCAACGCTTCAGCAGATAAGCAGACAAATTCCGAGAACCAAAGAGGAACTCCTCCAAATCAATGGCCTTGGGCAGTAAGTAGTTTTTTTTGCTTTCAAAACCTCTACTACTTTTAATCACCAAACCAATGACGAAAAATCCAAGAGTATTTGATGATGGTTTGTATCTTTAAACTTTCTTCCAGGGCTAAAGTAAGTAAGTACGGTGATCGGTTGTTAGAAACAATAGAAACAACGGTGAACGAGTACTACGGAACCAAAAAGAAAGATCCCATCATCATTCATCAGTAACGGCAGTACCGATTCAGGGAAAAGGAGAAGAGACGATCAAGAACATTAGTCCAAACGTAGTAGCCGAGGATGATGATTTCGAAGTGAGCAACAAGCCAGACCTGCCAAAAAGAAAAAAAGTGAGAAACAAAACCGATGAGGTGCTTTGTGGTGAATATGTAGATGGAGATGGACAAGGCTTAGTCATGGTCATGGACTCATGGTCATAGAGAAGCTTGATTTTGATTTTTATTGTTAGGGCGGACTAATATTTTTATTTTCATAAAATTATCAGTTGACAACTTCGAATGGTTGGTTTTTTACTTTCGTATATGCACTACTGCTTTGGATATGATAAACAAAGAGTGGCTTTATCCATTCAAGATGCAACAAGTCAAATCCAAAATAAAATCAGTACATCTTTTTGGTATGTACATCTTTTTGTGTAATAAAGTTAGTCTTGCTATTGTTAGTCGAATTCTTTTTTTTTGATAACCCAGTATCCAGACCACACAGTGATCTGACTAGCCCACTGGGCCTAAGCCCGCGTCACAGGGATTTTTAAGCCTCCACTTAAGGGCCCCCTGATAAACTGGTGGTCTGGGGCGCCTGAGCAAGTCCGCAGGTAAATTCCCAGGTGGCCACAAGAGTGAGAGAGCGAAACTGCGTCTGGGGAGGATCGATCCCTGGCCTAGACCAACAGGGCGATCCTTCCAACCAAACGAGAACCACTCGCCCACCACCATGTGGTTTGTTAGTCGAATTCTAGCGGATCAATTGACTATAACACATTTCTTATCCAATCCTATAAATTAAATTTTTGTAAGTTGTTTTCTTAATAGATCTAGAAACCAAAAAAAAAATCACTTTATATTTTTTTTATATTATACGACATTTTTCATATGATTTTAGTTTTTGATAAGAGAAAAGTAAATTGCCAAAAAAGGAAATATTACAAGATAAGGACAAAAAACATAGTTGGAAAAAGGAAAACAACAAAAAACATAAAGGTCCAATCTTTGTAATTGCATTGGAGAGGCCCAACCCAACAACATTGAAGACACTGTCTTCTCTACTAAGTAACAAAATCAACGAAGCGGTAATACAAGAACAGACAAAAAAAAAAAAAAAAAAGTGAGTTCTTGAAATATATAAAAGACACACAAGAAACGAGAAGGAAGAAGAAGATCGATGATTTCAAGAAGCGAATTAGATGCATGAGGTTGGTTTTCCGTTGGATCTCTCTGTCTTCACTCGCCTCATAGCGACTCTATTCTTCCTCGCCGTTGGTGTCTTTTACTTTCTCAAAAACACCGCCGCTAAGTACTTCGACATCGGAGCCGCCGCCGCCGGAGGTTTCGACAGGGACTTCATGGCGGTTGATGCTGAGGATTGCTCTGTCTGTGGGAATTTTTCCACCAAGAAATGCTCCCGCTGCAAATCCGTTAGATATTGGTATGCCCTCAAATTCAATCTCTTTATTGGAATTATCTCGAGCTTGGGATATGTAATTTTTGTCAAAGTCTTGAGCTTTTCAATAGAAGAATCCTGGGTTTGGAAGTTGTTGCATAGATACTAATTTAGCTTACATGGGCTCAGATAGTTTGGATTATCTTGGATCACCTTGTGTTTTAAGTTGATTTAGTGCATTTTGGATATGTAATTCTTTCAAAGTCTTGAGCTTTTCAATAGAAGAATCATGGGTTTGGAAGTTGTTGCTAAGATACTTTTGTGAACTTAACTTTTATGAGCTCAGATAGTTTGGATTATCTTGGATCATCTTGTGTTTTAAAGTTGGTTTAGTGCATTTTTCTAATTTAAGTACCTTTGTCTGTATGGTCTGTTTACTATCAGCTCAGCTGAGTGCCAAAGGTCAGACTGGAGCTCGGGTCATCAAAGAAAGTGCAAAGATTATGGGATTGCTACATTAACACCATCTGCAAAGAATGGCTTAAGGTTCAGAGCTTCTCCGTTCGGGGATAGTTCTGCGTCTAATATTGCACTAGTTTCCGAACGGGGCCAAAACAAGAGTAGTCTCAAGCCAAGAGAAGTAACGTGTCTTCTTTTTCCTCAACTCCTGTTGACACTCTCTTGATAGAGTCATTCTGTTAATCTACTTTTACTTTGTTTTGCATCTTCTGCAGGTTCTTTTCCCATATGAAGAATTTGTTGAATATTTTAACTGGGACAATCCAGAATTGGCTCCATGTGGGCTCATGAATTGTGGAAATAGGTTTGTGTTCATCTACTTTCTAGTATTTCTTAAAAAAGCATCAGTTGAAGGAGTCGAGTTTTTTTTTTCTCCCTTGAATATGATCTTCTTTACTCATCTTTCAGTTGTTTCGCCAATGTGATTCTACAATGCCTTTCCTGGACACGTCCTCTTGTTGCATATCTGCTGGAGAAAGGTCACAAGAGAGAATGTAAAACTTCTTTCTTTTCATTTTTGCACTAATGCTTCAAAATCTTTCTGTATGCGCTTTAGCTTTGATTCTATGTTTTGTTTGACAGGTATGCGCAACGATTGGTGCTTCTTCTGTGAATTTCAAACCCATGTTGAGAGAGCTAGTCAAAGTCGGTTCCCTTTTTCACCAATGAACATTATTTCACGGTTAACTAATATTGGTGGAACTCTTGGGTATGGAAGACAGGAGGATGCTCATGAGTTCATGAGGTCAGTATTTCTTACTCATGAAAATAGCTAATTCCTAGTGGTTTTAGTCTGTGAATCTCCCAACTAATGGATTTATACAATTCACATACTGCAGGTATGCGATTGATATGATGCAGTCTGTTTGCCTTGACGAATTTGGTGGAGAAAAAATAGTGCCTCATCGTTCTCAAGAAACAACACTTATTCAGTATATATTTGGAGGTCTTCTCCAATCACAGGTGACACTTCCTGATCTCAATACCAGATCTCCATCAGTATTCTTGAATTTCCATAGTACATTAATGTAGCATATTTAGGTAAGCGAACAATAGATGAATTTCCATTCTCTAGAATTATTGGGATCTTAGGAAATTCCCTGTTATACATATTGTTTACTTGTCTTCTTTTTGAATGGTAGAATTCAACATGCTACTTCTTTTGTCTTTAGCTGGCTACTTGATTCCAGCTGATAAAAACGATCAAGATCCTTCCTTTGATAATTTTACATTAATTTCTACTGTTCCTCTCTCTCTCTCTGTGGGGAGCTTTTTCCCTGATTTGTTGCATTTTCAACTTTCCAGGTTCAGTGTACTGTTTGCAATCATGTTTCTGACCAATATGAAAATATGATGGATCTGATCGTTGAGATGCATGGGGATGCGGTGTCTTTGGAGGAATGTCTTGATCAATTTACAGCCGAAGAGTGGCTTCATGGAGATAACATGTACAAATGTGATAGGTATTTTAATTAAATCCAAAAAGATATGTTTCTTAAGCAGTTTGTTAGCTTATTAGTTGACAAATTGACTATGTTTCTTAAACCCGATAATATTTTATCTTTCCAGGTGTAGTGACTATGTAAAGGCATGTAAGCGTCTTACGATTCGGCGTGCTCCAAATATTCTTACTATTGCCTTAAAAAGATATCAGGTATTTGTGGCATTCCCCATACATTTGCTAAATTCTTCTGGGACTAGTTGACTATAATACGTGAAATTATGTACAGGGAGGAAGATACGGAAAACTGAACAAAAGAATAAGTTTTCCTGCGACATTGGATCTTAATCCTTACATGAGTGAAGGCGGAGATGGATCAGATGTATATAAACTCTATGCAGTGATTGTCCATTTAGACATGCTGAATGCTTCATTCTTCGGCCATTACATATGCTACATTAAGGACTTTTGCGGAAACTGGTATAGAATAGATGATTCCGAGGTAACACTCGTTTACTTTCCGCTCTTTTTGTTAGCATGAAATGTCGAGCGATCTTCTAACAGTAATCGAAAATACTCACAGATAGAAAGTGTTGAATTAGAAGATGTTCTTTCTCAAAGAGCTTATATGCTCCTCTACAGCAGGTAAGCTTTGCTCCTCCTGCCTTTTGTTGTTCAGCTCTCCGTGTAAATTTCATCTATAACCACAAGATTGAGGCTGTTTATTTCACCATTAAGAGTTCAGTAAATTGATTGTTTATGATGAAAATATAGACAGACTAATGTTGTTGAGCTAGTCAGTCTCTTATGTTTTTCTGATGTCATGCAGGATTCAAGCTCGGTCGTCATCATCATGTCTTAGATCAGAAGTTCAAGACGAGAAGAAAACAGAATCTTGCGTAAAAGAGTTAGTTGAGAGTTCAATGGTAGGAACTATTGAAAGCAGAAGCAGCACCCATGCGACCATTGAAGACCCTGAACGCGAGCAACCACCATCATCATCATCATCACCATCATCATCATCACCATCACCATCACCATCAGTACTGACCTCTGAATGTTGTAGTGAGGTTGAAAGGGTTGATACATTGGATTCTGAGTCAAACTCTTCAATTGATTACTCTGCAACAGATCATCAAGAGGATGTAGCAAATGGGAACAGAGATGCAGAGGTAAAATATCAGGCTGTCGATTGTTGTTGTTCAGACCCTACAACTTCAACTCCATTGGTTTGTGCAAAATCCAAACCTCCGGTGAGAGATATGGACACCAAGATGATCGACGCTCAATGATGTGGTATGTTACAACATTTGAAAATCAACAGAGGTTTTAGCTTACAAAGTTACAATAGTGATGCAGATACTATTACACAATGACTTATATGGTACAAAGGGTGATTATACATAGAATTTAAATGTTCTTACTGGTGAATTGCCAAATTGTTTTGCCATTCATGTGGCAGAATCATCTAGACCCATAAGTAGATAAATTTTTTGTTGACTTAAATAGACGCATTGACTCTTACCTAAATAGTTCATAACTAGACATTAGATTCATACCACATAGGTTATGAATTTACTAAAAAAGATCATACTTGTGAACAAGTGGGATGCAAATTAGGACATAACTTGAGCATAGGAAGAGTTGTTTTGTCTTCCCAAACCAACTCCAACACAAAAGATACGTATGCCTTAATTCCATTAGCCTTGATAAATTCTTTCAAACCTGAACCCAAACGCGTCTTTGTATTTCCCTTTTCCATGACTAAATTCACTGGCCACTCTACTCCATGCTTGTCCATCAGAGTTATCTTCTTCATCCCTATATGTTCCATTCCGTTAACCTTAATGAATTTCCTTGGAAGATACTGCACACAAAGGAGGCAATAAGCTTACACTATGTGTAAAGCATCGATAACCAAAACCCAAGGGAACAAAACTCTTCCTAGAGAGTTGTTTTATCTTACAAGTCTACAATCTTTGAGACCGGCTGGTGTGACGGTTAGTGTCACAAATCGGTTTTCACTTGATGAAGATGACGATGATGGAACTTTTTGCCTACTGTCACTAGATTCATCGTCTTTCTTTATTTTGTTGCAATCTTTAGTGGAAACACTCTTTAATTCTGCAGTGGAGAAACGAAGAAGAGGCGTTTTTGTGTTGTTGCTCTCTAGTTTAAACGTGACGGAACTTCCAGGTTTAAGCCCATTCTCATGGCAGAAACTTTTCCAGCCACCTCTCATGTAAAACGATCTACTTGAATCCCTATACTTCAGAATTAGAGTCCATGTTCTTGCTCCTTCATTCACCAGAACAATCTTGGTGGTTCCTTTATTCAGACCATCGGACCTAACAAACTTCCTTGGAAGAGACTGCAAAGTAAAAATTAAAAACATGAGTAACAATTTTCATTATTGCTCTCAAAAGGAATCAACAGTAGATCTGAAGTACCAACCAGTGTATCCACTCGTAGGTTCGAATCTGTTACACGTGCAACGAAACAAGACTTGTCTGATGAAAAAGACTTTGCTTCTGCTTCAGGATTCTCCTTCTTCACATGTTTCTTTCTCGGAAACTTTCCTATTTCTATTGAAAGTAGGAAAAGTTAGACCTTGTAGATATATTCCTCAAAACACCAAGAAATCAAGACTTATTTATACATTGACTTACCCATGTTATCTTTGTCTTCGTCTAGTGAAGACTCTAGTTCTGTTTTTAGACTCTGCTTCATCGACAAGTTTCCTGAATCACAACAAGAAAAAAGTTATAATCTTCAAACCAAAATGTGAATTCCAAGGGAAGTTAAAAACAGAACACAACTTACTAATGTTCTCCTGATTATTGCAAGACGTTACATATTGAATCTCACAGAAACTGGGTCCAAAACTCGTGACATGAAACACCAAAGATCCTTCGTGTCTGAAAACGATAACATCTCCAACTCGGTAATCATGCACGTTGGCGAACTCTTTCCAGCCCACTGTTAGTCTCCGATCTTCGATCTTAACTTGCCAAGTTTTCTCAGACGCGTCGGATCTTAGCTCCACTGTCTTTCCTTCCTTTCTTCCTTTAATGTGTACCGAAAAAAACTTCACAGGAATGTTCTGCAACAACATGCAAAAAGATTTTTAAAACGAAAACATCTCTCAAAGTAAGCTATATTTAATCGTAGAAGAGGGACAGAGACAGAGTACGAGGAAGGAGTCGAAGCCGGGAAGAAGAGGCTGGAAGAAATGTGGGTTTTTCGAAGCTTGAAAAACTTGATCCGCCATTGTTCAAAAGAGCTTCAAAGAAAACAAAACCCTCGATAACAAAACAAAGAACTGACTCAAGTCGAGTTTATGAGTGTCTTTTGGTAATCCTCTGCGCATGGCTCCTCTTATTAATGAGAGCTCCAGCTACCTGTTTTATTCTCTTTCATTAAATGAGTCACTACTTCTTGTTCTTTTTGGTAAAAGAAAATTAATTACCAAAAAAAGATTGGTGCTAAGTGCTAACATCTCGTTTACTGATTTGGTGGTATTCCTCCTTTTTCTTTGTTTTATATTTGGACAAATAATCTACATTTGTGGCTTTTGCATTAGCTGAGGCAGAGTATAGTCTGATAAAGGCTGATAATAGATAGAACTTATAAATTGTTCTTACTTGTTTCAAGACCCTTAGAGTAGGCATGACCACGGTTACGGTTATTGCGGTTACGGTTTATTAACCTCCGGTTACGGTTATAAAATTTCTCTAACCGTAACCTTAACCGTTATATATACGGTTAAAACGGTTACGGTTAAATACGGTTACGGTTACAACGGTTACGGTTAAATACGGTTACGGTTATTTAATTATTACGATACGGTTAATATCAAAGACAAAAACTTAGGTATTTTTAAGTTTTAGAATAAAAAATTTAATGATGATATATCAAATAATATATATTTTACAATATATAATATATGTAATTATGTACTTTAATATTTATAATTAATTAGCTATTTTGTTTTGTTAAGTAAACCAACGAATAACTAAATCAATGGTAATAATTATAATGATTGAGTTATTATTTTATTGACAATACGTATTCCAAACAATACTATAGAAAGGATGTTATGAGAATTAAGAAACGATTACAGGAGAAAATAATAACTTGTAAATTATTTATGATTTGATTTGTGGAAAATGAGTAGTGGACGAGTGGAGTGGTTTAAATTTAATAGTGGGGCGCATTGAACCATTTAAGCACTGTTTTAGTGAAATAATTATGTATTTTAGGTTTTAACTGCACGGTTAACTATACGGTTAACAGCACGGTTAACCGTACGGTTAACTAACGGTTTTGATACGTTTACGGTTAATTAACGGTTACGGTTAGTATATTTTTTAACCGTAACTAATTTATTTTTACGGTTAACGGTTACGGTTATTAACCGTTTTATACGGTTACGGTTCGGTTACGGTTGAGAAACGGTCCGGTTACGGTCCGAAATACGGTTACGGTTAGCTTTTGGTCATGCCTACCTTAGAGTAAATGTTGTTGACCTAAATAGACAAACATTTCACTGGATTCATATGGCATAGGTTATGACTTATGAGCTCACTAAAGCAGACCATACTTAGTAATAACTTGGGCTGCAAATTAGAGTCAAGTCTTGGTCTTGGAGCAGAATTTGAACATAGGAAGAGTTGTTGTCTCTTCCCAAACCAACTCAAACACCACAGATTCATATTCCTTAACGCCAATAGCATTGTAGAATTCTTTCAACCCTGAACCCAAAACCATCCTTGTATATCTGTTATCCATCAGTAAAGTCACTGGCCACTCTTCTCCACTCTTGTCCAATAGAGTTATCTTCTTCCCCCCTGCCTTCTCCATCTTGTTAGAACTAATAAACTTCCTCGAAAGATACTGCAGAAAAATTAGAATATATACTCTGTGCACTTCACAAAGCCTCAAATACCAAAAACAAGGGAATAAAACTTACAAGTCTGCCACAGCGGATACTGGCTGGTGTGACAGTTAGTGTCAGAAATCGTTTTTCACTAACTGAAGATGATGATTCTGCAGTGGAGAAACGAAGAAGAGGCGTTTTTGTGTTGTTGCTCTCTAGTTTAAACGTGACGGAATCTCCAGGTTTAAGCCCATTCCCAAGGCAGAAACTTCTCCAGCCACCCCTCATGTAAAACGATTTTCTTGAATCCGTAAACTTCAGAAGAAGCGTCCATGTCCTTGCTCCTTCATTCACCAGAACAATCTTGTTGGTTCCTTTATTCAGACCATCAGGCCTAACAAACTTCCTTGGAAGAGACTACAAAGTAAAAAATTTATACATGAGTAACAACTGTCATTATTGCTCTCAAAAGGAATCAACAGTAGATCTGAAGTACCAACCAGTGAATCCTTTCGTAGGTTCGAATCTGTTACATGTGCAACGAAACAAGACTGATCTGATGAAAAAGACTTTGCTTCTGTTTCAGGAATCCTCTTGTTCACATGTTTCTTTCTCAGAAGCTTTCCTGTTTTCACAAAAGTTGGACAAGTTAGCTAGAGCTTGTAGATGTTCTTGAAAAACCAACAAATCAAGAAGACTCATTTAAAGATTGACTTACCCATGTTATCATCTTCGTTGTCGTCGTCTAATGAGGGCCCTGCCTCTAGTTCTGTTTTAAGACTCTGTTCTATTGGCAAGTTTCCTGAATCACACCGAGTAAACGTTCTAATCTTCGAAACCAAAATGTGAATTCCATGGGAAGATAAAAACAGAACACAACTTACTTATGTCTTCCTGATCATCATCATGATTATCGTCGTCGTTGCAAGACTTTACATATTGAATCTCACAGCAACTGGGTCCCAATGCAGTGACATGAAACACCAAATCTCCTTCGTGTCTGAAAACAATGATATCGCCGACACGAAAATCATGTGCTGTAGCGAATTCTTTCCAGCCACCGGTGAGCCTCCGACTCCGGCCATGGATCTTCACTTCCCAAGTCGTATCTGAAGCGTCCGATCTCAAGTTCGCAGTCGTTTTTTCGTTGCTTCTTTCTACATGCTTGAGGAAGAAGGTTACAGGAATGTTCTGCAACAATAAGCGAAAGAGTTTTAAAACGAAATCACCTTTCTAAATAAGCTAATGATTGTAGAAGAAGGACAGAGACAGAGTACGAGGTAGGAGTCGAAGCCGGGAAGAAGAGGCTGGAAGAAATGTGGGCATGTCGTAGATTGAAGAACTGGATCCGCCATTGTTCAAAAGAGGTTCTAAGAAAAGAAAACATTAAAGAACAACAAAAATGACTCAAGTCTAAGTTAAAGATCAGTGTCTTTTCGTCTCTACTGGCTCCTCTTATTTATTAGAGCTCCAGCTACCTAATGAGTCACTCATTTATTTTCCAATAATGACTTTTTGTTCTCTTTCGTGAAGGAACATATGCATAGTATTTTACCAAAAAACAAAACATATGCATAGTGGCATAAAAGAAACTCTGCGTATAAGTTAACATTAACGACTTGTCAGACGGGTGCCATGTTTCCAAACCTGATTATTTATTTTATATTTGAACTAATAATCTAATATTCCTATGCACTAGCTGAGGTGGAGTCTATTTCTAGTGTGAGTTAGTTTAAAAAAGAATCTAAACATATAAGAGCATCATTATTGATGGACTCTTAACTTTTGCTCTTAACATTATTTAAAATTAAAATTTTGCTTTTTGAAAGCTAAGATACAAAGAGAATATCTTAACAAAAATGTTCTCCAATGGTTGGTTCTTAAGAAAAAAATTCAAATTTTTACAAAACAATATTTTCCAATACAAACATTCATACAACCAAACTCATACAAGCTTTGATATCTATCACTTTCACTAAACATGTCTCTTGCATGCTGCTTCTCTTCTTCTTCTCAATATCTCTTGACCAGAAGCTAATCTAACCCATTTGTAACCCCCAGTTTCCTGCTAAAAGATTTTAAATAATCAAGTAAGAATCCTTTCGTCGACAAAACCAAGTAACAAATACCACAGCAGCAACATAGTACACAATGCAGTAAATTGTTCCAGACGTACATAGATACATCCTTTGACAGCAGCCCGACGACAAAAGGCTTGTGTATGTTCTCCTTGTACATCATAAGAAAACTAAAATGCAAATCTTACTTGAAGAAGCCATGGGGTCTGCAGATTGTGGAGGTTGCATCATCTCCTTCCCATCTTTGCTTGAATGTTTATGCAAATAAGATAAAGAGACAATAATAAGAATGTTTCTTCAAATACATGACACTGCAACAAAACATAGAAAATATATCATCCAGAAGATACAAAGGTGAGAAAATAAAGCATAGATCCTCACATTTAGAAAGAGAACCAAGAGATTCAACACAAAACCATGTGAGGTTTTTGAGACACATAAAGACAATTGACAAAAAGATTCAAGCTTTAACACACAGCTCGCATTCAAACAGAGATTCAATTTGACAAAAAAACTATAAACTTTGGTTCTAACAAACCAACGAGGCATTAAACCAGAATGATTAAAGCTCATGGGTGTTGACTAACCTGAATAATTAACTGCACATCATTGATATCTAGACCACGAGCAGCAACATTTGTATCCCCAAATCCCGAAACCCTAATTTCACAATCCGATGAACGCTAATTTGTTAATACGCAAAATACATCAATTCAGACAACAAATGAGACATGCATACCTTGAATAATATAGAACTGAAACAGAGAATCCGATTTTGAATCGAAACTCGGAGATCTTGTGAACTTCTCTCCGATTTCGCAACCCCACCTCGCCGAATTCAACAACCGAACACGCCGTCGCCAACCGGAGTCGATAGAGATGATGGACTGACGGAAGAACGACGGCCGGAGTGGAGAAATCTCCGATGTGAATCGATTACCGGAAACCATCGGGATTTCTCCGATTTCTCCGTTTTCGCGAGAGAGAGAGAGAGAGAGAGAGAGAAAAAACAGAAGGAAAATGAAACGCGTGTGTTTTTTTGGCATTATATATTTCTGATATTACCCATTCACAACACGCCACGTGGACGTTTCTTAGTGTTTATTTTGTTCCTTAGCTAAGGAACGTTTGTTAGTATTAAAGGAGTATATGCATTAAATTTAGAGATAATTATAGAAACAGGCATTTTTGAGGAGTGAGATTCGGATTTAGGCATTAGAATAGTGAAAGGTACTACAGTACAGACAAACATCACTGTGTCTGACTATTTTGCCCTTACGCATAATGAACAAGAATTTGGGTTTCTTGTACTGATGCTATGTGATGACGTCAACCTTCTTTTTTTCTTTTGACTGAATATTTTTCTTTGTTTTTACTGTGTAATTTTCTTTGATATTATCGATTTGGTGTACATATAGTTGATTTTGTACATAAAATTCCTTTTGAGATTCAAGATACATGTAGCAACAAGCCACACAGAAATGTGGACATGACAATCAAATAATACACTTGATATAGCAAAAGAAATGATATCTAATGTGTCTGAGCAACAATGAACTCTGATCTTCTCTTGACAAATCCCTCCCCAATTATTCATCTCCTTCAATGCATAGCTTCACTACAAGCCTACAACGCTACTTAGTTGCCCAACCATTAGTCTGATAAAGGAGACTTCACCTTTATGAGCTGATCAACTGAATTTTCTTCTGGAAATAATGGTTCTAAAGAGAGAGGGGTGAAATTTCCAAAGCTTTGACCAGCAAGACCATCATCGCCATTGCCCAAGCATACATAGCAAACCCAGCAGGCTGCTAATTCAACCGTGTCACGGCACTTCTCCTCCAAAATTGTACTAAAATCGGTGAAAATTAGTCGTAAATTGGAGTGACGTACGAGATGAAAATGACAAGAGCAGAAGTAATCATTCAAACCAACTAAGTTGACAACTATTACATGGACCAGATGGTGGAGATATCTCAATTTTTTGTCCATCTAGGCCAAGAAGGTTGAATGAATCCAATGGAAATGAATTAAACGATGCAGTGATGTTCAAAACTATACCCTAAAGCCAAGACAGATGAGTAAACCCAAAGGAAATGAATTAAGCGTCGTGGTGGTGTTCAAAACTATACCCTAAAGCCAAGACAGATGACTAAACCCAAGGGAAATGAATTTAACTTTACAATGATATTCAAAACTAAACCCTAAATACAAGACAAATGAATGAATCCAAAGGGAAACCAATTAAACTCGTAGTGAAAATATGCGCATTGGCAAATATTATTCACATACCTTCGGACAAAGAATTCGATTCCTCAGCCATTGTTGAAATTGAAACAGTGAGGAAGACGAGTTAAGAGAGTGCATTACAGCAAAAAGGTTCAAGAAATTTCACAAACAAGTACCAACTGATTACGAAAATGGAGGTTGGTGATTCCAAACAAATAAGAAGTATATGTACTGCTCCATTTCCATGGTCAGAACAAAATCAAAGCACAAAATTAGCTTATTTACCTTCAATTGGAATCTTTGTTCGCCGATTGTGTCTCAGAAACTTCATATTTCTTGCTGAATTTGCGAGATAAGAATAATTCTCTAAGAAATTGGTCAGCGCGTTCGCGCATGTTAAGCGGCGATGACTTCACAAAACAAGGGGCTTCAAGCTTCCTCTTTGATTACCGCCTTCCCAAGACGGAACTATTGAACCCAGAAACGCTCCTCCCCATCCTAGTCTTCACCATCGGAAATGTGGGGAAATTAGCTCGAATTGATCTGCAAATCGGATCATTTGCTCTCCCAAAATACTCGGCTTCCTCGACACCATACGCAAACTATAAACTAGAAAAATAACAGATCTGTAAACTGAAAGCCAAAATCAAAGAGTGTTGAATTTGGTACAGATTTAAGGATGAAAGAGAGAAGAAGAGATTAGGAGTTTTTTTCTTTTTTCTTTCGAGTTGAAAACTGAAGCCTGCGCATAGAAGAGAATGAATGACGTCAACGAGAGGAGGGCAATTCGGTCAATTTGCTAGCTTTGGATGCCTAAATCGTGAAAGCATTTGGAAAGTGCCGAAAACCGAAAGGCAGTTGTGTTTTAATGCCTTTTTTTTTAAATAACTCTTAAATTTAATCAGTTTTATCCTAAGATTTCTCTAAGATTTACCTAAAATACTGCCTATAATGATGCTCTAACCGTTTTGTTAAAAGAATCTAAAAACTCATATTGAAGAAACCCTAAAACGATGTTAACCCTAAAACGAATGTGCTTTCTTGATCCCCCATTGTAGTTGTTTATTATTCCGAATATATTCCTCTGTTTCCTCCAAATATCTAGGAAATAAACAAGTAACAATTCAAAATCAAATGTGGTACAGAAGATGAAGATCATCCAGAGATGAGAGACTTTTGTATAATCACTGTTTTAACGATGGAGTTAGCTAGAAGTTTGGAGAGTGATCCAAAGTCCAATCTAACGCTCCATACATGCTTAGTTTATGTTTCAAATCATAACTTAGTCTTCGATTATCTGTAACAAAGCTTCCAGATTCTGTTCCCTTGTCTGGAGTTTAGCCCGAAACCGTCTGATACTAGTTAAGGTATCTTCAACGCTCTGTTTCACCTTAGCCACATTATCTAAGATAAAGCAAGATTGCGTTTGCTGAAACTTTCCTTGATCACCGGTAGACTTATTAAATGACCGAGTGCAACGAGAAGGTTCTCCTTCTTCAGCTATCTTCTGCCTCACGTCATGCTTCGATCTACTCCCCTGGCTCCATCTTTGGACTCGAGCTCTCTTATGTGACCGAGCCTCTACTCCAGCCTTTGGGCAGCTGCAGAGCCGAAACACGGGGATATTCGCGTTGTGGAGCAGTTTAAATGTACAAGAATCTCCAACTTCTAATTTATTTTCAGTGCAGAGACTTCTCCAACCTCCAGATATAAAAACCTGACCAGACTTATAACTTTTTACTTCTGATTCCCATGACTTTCCTTGTTCGTTCATCAAAACAATCTCATGCCTTCCTATGTTCAAACCATATCTCTTTGCGAAATCTCTGGGCATACCCTGCATCAGTCATCAAATTGCATTGGGGGATTATATACACTCAAACCTGCTTAAACTCTAAAATCAATATATGAAACATGATAACAACTAACTAACCACTGAATCTCTCGTTAGGTTTGAAGTGGTCACATATTGGCTAAAACATGTTAGATCATCTGATGAAAACTGATCAGGTTCTGTTTTCCCATTCTCCTCAATTTCTTTCTCCTTTCTTGAAGATGTCCCTGAATCAATCATATAACGGTTCACAAATAATAAAGAGTCTCAATAAACGTAAATATTCATTGAGAAATGAATGATTCTGTTATACCAATTTCATCACTCTCTTCGTCTTCATCGTGGGTACCAGACGGTGCGTATTGGACCTCACAGCAACTGGATCCTAAAGCAGTAACATGGAACAACATATCTCCTTTGTGTTTGAAGACGACGAAGTCACCGATTCGAAGATCATGTGCCTCAACGAAATCTTTCCAACCGTTGGTGAGTCTACGGCCATCCATCTTCACTTTCCACGTTATCTTCGAAGAATCTGATCTCAAAATTACAGTCTTTCCCTCGTGTTTCCCCTTGATATGCTTGGAGAAGAACTTCACAGGAATTTTCTGCAAACAAACGAATATAACTGGAGTCTATATGTTCAGAGAGACACAAACAGAGAGATTACTTACGATGTGGCTCTTGAAACCGGGAAGAAGAGGCTGGAAAAAGTGTGGGTTTTTCGGAGAGAAGAGTGATGGATTGTCCATTGCCGATCACTTCGAAAGATCCAAAGAGTGTTCTTGGGTTGGAAGATTCACAGAATGTTTGGAGCTTTTGAGGTGCTTTGGAAGAGGACTTTCTTTTCCTCTTTACTTTTACAATTTTACTTAATCCAATAATGCAAAAAGTGAAAAGATATTTTTTAGTTTTGCCTACTTCGAAGTCTTCTGACATGCACACTAATAAAAACAGAGAATACAGAGACTAAAATTACATAAATATTACCATAGAATAAAATAAAGTTTTAACTCAAGAGAAAAAAATCAAATCAATTTTTTTATGAAACTGTGTTGAAACTTTTTCTTCTGACCTACACAGTTCTACGAGAGTATTACATCAATCACATCAGAAGAAAAAAAAAAGCATTGCCGTTTAAGGCGTTTGTCTAGAAATATCTTTGTCAATAAATCAGTGTTTAATGACAATGAATAACGGAGTTCGGATTATAAACCTTACTATAACGCCATCGAAGAAGAAGCATTCGAAGAGACAAATTTCAGAGTACTTTTTATCTTTTACCAAAAAAAAAGTAAAAAAATTCGGAGAAGGTTTACTATAGCTGTTCAACAATGGCGGATCCACTGATTCCCTCCCCAACCAACAAAGCTTTCTTTGTCATAGATCTGTCTGGACAAAACTCTAACCCTGTACCTTCCCTCTCTCTATCTGATCACATATCTGTCTCTGTCTCTGTTACAATGTATCAATCGGTTCTGTTTTTCTTAATTGTTGTGGTTTCAGATGATTCCTGCTGAGTTCATTTCGAATCACTTCAAAGGGAAGATTCAGTCAACGAAAATGAAACTGACTTCTGACGTTTCAGACAGAACCTGGGAAGTGAAATTAGACGGCGAAAGATTCGCCGCCGGATGGAAAGATTTCTCCGTCTTCCACTCTGTTCGAGACGACGACCTTTTGAGTTTCCGGCACGACGGAGACATGTTCTTCCACGTCACACCCTTCGGACGCAGTTTCTCTCAGATACAGTATATCTCTTCTTCTACCTCTGACGATGAAGATGATGAACACACTGTTTTTGATGATGATGAAGACGACGATATCGATGTTGGAGATGATGATGACAATTCGATATCGGAAGAGGATTTATATTCAAAGAAAATTTCGTCGAAGAGGAGAGCGAGAATAGAAACAGAGTCTTCATCAGACAAATCTTATCTTCTTGCACACGTCACAGCTTCAAGCCTACGCCGAGATATTATGGTACTTCGCTTGACTCTTTAATTCAATTCTCATTATACTTTTTTCGCTACATTATATATAATAAGTTGTTATTTTGCAGTGTCTTTTAAGCAAATTTGCAAGGTCAAATGGTCTGAACAGGAGAGAGTGCGAGATTGATCTAATAGATGAACATGAAAAATCTTGGACTCTGCTTCTTAGACACAACAAAAAAACTGGTCAGGCGTTTATGCGTGGAGGATGGAGAAGTTTCTGTCGTAACAACGGGATCAAAGCCGGATCCTTCTGTAGGTTTAAGCTTGTCCAAAGTGGAATAAAACCTGTGCTACAGCTGTGTCCCAACGCCTCTAGCATTCCAGAAGGAAACTCTTCCAAAGCAAGCAAAAAACGGAATGTTTCTGAAAGTGGAGGTGATGAGATTGAATCTGAGGATTGCTCAGAGACTGTTCCAATGAATCAGAACAAGATTATGACATTTGATCTTAAACCTTACGTGTTCAGGTCATGTCAATTTGTAAGTTTTCAAGATCTTTGTTCAAGGGTTTTTTCAAGTCTTTTTGTGTTGTCATTCGCCTAAATGTGTTGAAAATGTACAGTTTCTTCCTGCATCGTTCGCAAGAGAGAACGGAATCGTGGAAGCAGGAGAGGTAATTGTATTGAACAAAGATGGCGTAGAGTGGAAGTCGCATCTAGTTAACGTCAAGGGACGCGATCGGTTTTACATTAAAGGTTGTCGAGATTTATTTGTAGCCAATGGCATAAAGAATGTTGGTGATCCCTTCACATTAGAGGTTATTCGAGGAGGAACATCTCCCATTCTCAAGATCTGTTCCAAGGTTAACACAAAATCAGTTACAGTCCTTGTTCTTGGCTTTTGCTATTGTGAAATCGTTGTGTTAAAACGAATTGTGTTCAGGTAAAGCAAGCAGCATCATTAGATGGCTATAAGGCTGCGGAGAGGAAACCCCGAATGACGGTTCAAGCACCACAGGCTGAAGAACAAACAGAGGATCGGGTCCAAAAGAGAGCTCGAGTTACTGAGGATGGAGGACCATCTCGCTGCACTAGGGCTGATCCAGGAAACTTGCAGGACAAGCAACCACTTCCACCTTGCTCAATCTCTGATCACGTTGAAAAGGTGAAACAGAGTATTGTGGATACTTTAACCGATGTAAGACGGTTTCAGTCGGAGCTCGAGGTAAAGGAACATAATCTAGAAGCTTCGCTGCAAGAAATTGATGCGTTAGGTATGAATCTGAATTACCATTGACTACTACTTTTAATTGTGTGTGTGGTTCATTTAGGTTTTAGATTTTTTAACAATGTAATGTTGGAAAAAACAGGGGAAAAGATAATGGTAATCAGCAAAATCTTCAACATTAGTCAAGTTTAATTCGGAGATGAAGACCAGGTACTTTTTGCAACGCTGGAGTTGGAGAATATTTCGGAACTTTTCCGTTTCCACATGTCTTAGATATTAATTATCCCACAGCCTTATCTCATTCACGTCTCCGTCAAGATAAAGTTACTGACATTTTCAGTATACATAATGAATGAAATCTTTTTTTGATAGCTCAAAATTCTATCGGTTGTTGCTACTTGCTATTTATTAATCGTTTACTTATGTTTATATTCTTTCACTGACTCCAAATTTGATATAATTTGAGAATGATACTATTTTGTGTACATTGATCACCATTCACCAACAATTACAACACCATGCGTTATTTTTAAAAAAAAAATTCTTTGGTAGAGACGCAAGCTGACTATAACTAAAGAAAATGAGCAAACTCTTTGAAGTTAAGAAATAAAGAAAGAAAAAAAAAACGAGTAAACTCTCTGAATAAGGTGACTAAAAAGTAAAAAAAGGACTCTATGCACAAGTTAAGTTAGATTCGTATCGCAGTGATTGAACTGTTTACTAAACGGGACATGTCTGTCTTGGAAATGATGGTAAGATAGACTTTGAATCTAACTGGATATTTTCTTTTTTTCGAACCGAATCAAACGGGCCATAACATTATCATTAAGTATTTGATTACGATATTTAATTAATGTTTAACAGAAAATAAAATTTTGGTTGAAGAATTAAATTTATGAAAATCATTAAGGCTATAGTGCCGTTGTCATTTATTATTGATAAGCAAAACGTAAAAGACGAGACAAAAAAGAAAAGAAAAAGAAGAGACAAATTTGGCTACAAAACCAAAAAATCAAGCGAATAAAAAAACCCATAAGACCTCAACAAATAACTTGAGCTCAACAATGGCGGATCCACTATCTTCTTCTCAATCCAACCGACCTTTCTTCGTCAGATCACTTGCTGGACACAACTCGAATCTAGTATTTACTCTCTCTATCATTCTCTCTCTCTCTCTCTCTCTCAACTTACCAAGAAAATCAAATTTAGTTGTCACTGTTGTTGCAGATAATTCCTGATGCGTTTTTCACGGCTCACTTGAAGGATAAAACTGGCTTAACGAAATTGAAACTGACTTCTGATGCTTCGGATAGAACCTGGGATGTGAAACTGAACGGCCGGAGATTCGCCGGCGGCTGGGATGATTTCTCCGCCGCACACTGTCTTCGAGACGACGACGTTTTGGTTTTCAGACTCGACGGGGAAATGGTTTTCCACGTCACACCTTCCGGACGCAGTTTCTCTCAGATACATACATCTTCGACTTCTAGCTCCGGTGACTACGACAATGATGATGATGATGATGATGATGAAACAGGGGACGATGATACAGATTCGAAGAACATTTCGTGGAAGAAGGAATCAAGATTTGAAGCAGAGTCTTCTTTATCGGAAAAATCTTGTCTTCTCGGCGTTACACCTTCCAATCTACGCCTAAATCGAGTGGTTACTACTTGGAATCAAACTCTTTTAGAGTTCTTGTCGTGAGTTATTTATATGTGCACATTGAAATTGTGTTTTGTTCTTTTTTGGCAGAGTTTCTCAAAATATTTTTCGAGAACAAATGGTTTGACCAAGAGACGGTGTGTGATTGATCTAATGAATCAAAATGGAAAATCATGGCCTCTGGATCTGCGACACAACAAAAAAACTGGTCAGGATTATATCCGTGGACGCTGGAAAAGTTTCTGTCGTGCAAATGAGCTTAACCCCGGATCGTTCTACCGGTTTAAACTTGTCCGGAATGGGACAAGGCCTTTGCTACGGTTGTGTTCTGAAGTTATTCCAGAAGGAAACTGTTCCAAAGTAAATGGAAAAGAGCATGTATCTGAAAAGTACAGCAGGGAAGGTGAGAGTGCTTCAATGAAGCAGAACAAGTTTCTATCAGTAACCTTTAAGCATTACATGATCCAGGCAGGACACCTTGTAAGTTTTCAACATCCTAGGTTTAGGGTTAATTTGATTATGCATGTTCTTGTGATACTTTATGAATGCTTTGAAACCCCTATGCAGCGTCTTCGGAGATCGTTTGTGAGGGAGAACGGGATCAAGGAGGCAGAAGAGATAATTCTAGTGGACAAAAATGGAGTAAAGTGGCCATCCTATGTAGTTTCTTCCAAACAACGAAGAGAGTTTTACATGGCACATGGTTGGCACAGCGTCTTCGGAGATCGTTTGTGAGGGAGAACGGGATCAAGGAGGCAGAAGAGATAATTCTAGTGGACAAAAATGGAGTAAAGTGGCCATCCTATGTAGTTTCTTCCAAACAACGAAGAGAGTTTTACATGGCACATGGTTGGAAAAGTTTTTGTGAAGCCAATAAGTTAAAGACGGGAGACACCTTCACGTTGGAGTTTGTTAGAGGAGAAGGCGCAACTCCTATGCTCAAGTTCTGCTCCAAGGCCAAGGTCAAGGTGAATAAACACCTTGTGATTCAAGTCACCTTTTTTGTTATAATGAACTATATTCAGCTGTTAAAATGAATTGTATTCAGATAGAACAAGAAGAGGCTCCAGAAGAGACGGAGACTCCGTCTCAAAAGAGAGCTCGAGTGTCTGCAGAAGTAGGACACTCTCGCCGCACTCAGGCACAAAACAAATCCAGTGATGATCCACAAATCTTGCAGCGCAAGCAACCACTTCAACCCTGCTCATTCTCTGACCAAGCGAAAAAGGTGAAACAGAGTATTGTAAATATTTTAACTGGTATAAAACGGTTTCGGTCAGAGCTCGAGATAAAGGAGCAGAGTTTAGAAGCTGCGCTGCTGGAAATCGACGCCTTAGGTATGATCAAAACGCTGAATGAACACTTGTTTTCTTTTACTATTTTGGGTCTTTGTTTCTAACATTTTAGTGTTGAAAATAAACAGGGGAGAAAGTATCGGAAATCAACAAAATCCTCAAGTAATCATCATGAGGAAATGGAACATGAACTTTTGCAAATCTTGTTTGTATCTGGAACTCGTTCAACAATCGAGACAAGTAGTTTCTTTAGTAAATGATATTAATATGATTTACGTGTTTGTGAAAATCGAAACTCGGTAATTCAGCTGATTTCTTAAAAGTCTTTGGACGTGAGATTGTTTAAAGGGATCAGTTTGATTTTTTAACGATAAGATATGTGCTTGTGGGAATGATTGATTGATTGGTATAGATAAGTGAATTGAGAGAATCCAAACAAAAAAAGTTAATTTTATTGACCAATCAAATTTCAACGGTGGCAGTGGTGGCCCCCACCTTACTACACATGCGTCCACTCTGTTTAGTGTTTACAATGTTCAACGCAAAGTCTCCATGCGAGCTTTAATGCATCTGTCGCTTTCAACGGGTTCGAGAAAGAACTTGCATGCCCTTGCATTAAAACATTTCTTTAATTCGAAAAGACAAAAATTTCAAGATCAAACTCACATATATCTGAGATTCTTAGTAGAGTTGTGGAGATTACTTTATTCAATAATGGATGATCCACTAATTTCCTCTCCAACCAACCAGCATTTCTTTGCCATAGTTCTTCATGGACACAAATCCAGTCCCGTAATTACTCTCTTCTATAAGTTTCTTTATGTTTCTCTCTGTTACAATTAATCACAAAAGTTTCTTTATGTTGTTGTGCTTGTGCAGATGATTCCTGCTGAGTTTTTTTCGACTCACGTAGAAGGTAAAAACCAGTCTACAAAACTGAAACTGACCTCGGACGCTTTGGATAGAACCTGGGAAGTGAAATTGAACGGCCGCAGATTCGCCGGCGGCTGGAAAAATTTCTCCACCGTACACTCTCTCCAAGACGACGACGTTTTGATTTTCAGGGAAATAGGGGACATGACCTTTCATGTCACAGCCTCCGGTCGCAGTTTCTGTAAGGTACAGTACATATCCTCTGCGGAGAATTGGGCTGAAGAAGATGATGCATGGAACGAGTATTCTGATTCCAAGAACATTGCGTCGAAGAAGAAGCCAAGAACAGAAGCAGAGTCTTCATCCAAAAATTCTTATCTTGTTGCGCATGTCACATCTTCAAACCTAAGCCGAGATAGATTGGTAAACTACTTACTTGACTCTTCTCTTTTTATAATTTGATGAGAGCATAGTCTCGTACCTTACACTAATTAGTATTAGTCGTTACGCTTTTGCAGTATCTTATTAAGGCTTTTGCGAGGGCAAATGGCCTGAACGAGAGATGCTGTGAGATTGAACTAATGAATCAACATGGAAAATCATGGACACTTGGTCTGAGATACAGTGCACCAAATGATCAGGCTAGTATTAGTGGAGGCTGGAGAGACTTCTGCTTAGTAAATGGGTTAGAAGCTAGATCTTTCTACAAGTTTAAGTTTGTCCATAACGGGGCAAGGCCTTTGCTACGGTTGTGTTCCGACACTATTCCAGAAGAAGACTGTTACAACGGAAACAGAAAAGATAATCTTTCAGAGAGGGCTTCAATGAAGCAGAGCAAGTTTTTGACAATGACCTTTAAGCCTTACATGCTCAAGTCAGGTCAACTTGTAAGTTTTTAATATCTTAGGTTTAGGGTTTAATTAAGCATTTTCATGTAATACTTTATGGATGATTTGAATCTTATGCAGCATCTTTCAAGACCCTTTGCAATAGAGAATGAAATTAAGGAAGCAGAAGATATAACTCTAGTGGACAAAAATGGAGGAAACTGGCCATCCTATGTAGCTTCTGGCGATGGTCGAGGAGGAAAGTATTATTTGGCAAAAGGTTGGAGAAGTTTTTGTGCAGCCAATAGGTTAAAGACGGGAGAGACCTTCACGTTGGAGTTTGTTCGAGGAGAAGGCACAACTCCAATGCTCAAGTTCTGCTCCAAGACCAAGGTAGAGGTGAACAATCAACTTGCGTATCAAGTCAACTTCTGTGTTAAAATGAGCTGTATTGAGATTTTTTAAATGAATTGTATTTTAGATAGAACAAGTACCATTAGATGAAGAAAGAGAGACTCAAGAAGAAACAGAGACTCGGATCGAAAAGAGAGCTCGAGTTTCTGCAGAAGGAGGATCTTCTCGCCGCAATCAGGCATCAAACAAACCCAAGGCTGATCCACAAAACTTGCAGCCTAGGCAACCACCTTGCTCAATCTCTGATCAAGTGCAAAAGGTGAAACAGATTATTGAGGACACTTTAACCGGGGTAAAGCGGATTCGGTCAGAGCTTGAAGTAAAGGAACAGAATTTAGAAGCTTCGATATTGGAAATTGATGCTTTAGGTATGATCTGAATAACCGATGAACACTTGTTTCTTTTGTACTAATTAGGTTCTCTGTGTCTAATATTTTAATGTTGGAAAAACAGGGGAGAAAGTGTTGGAAATCAACAAAATCCTCAAGTAATCATCAAGTTTAAAAGTGACTGAAGATCAGGAAATGGAACATGGACCCTTTTGCAAACTTTGTTTGTATCTGGAACTCGTTCAACAATCGAGACAAGTATTATCACTAGAGACAACATTTGATTCTTCTTTCTCTTCCTACAAACCAATTTATCCTTTAGTAGTGAGATATTGCAGACTAGATAATTTATGTGTTTGTGAAGATTGTCACTGCGTAATTAGGCTGATATCTAATGACAAGTCGTTTTGATCTATGGGTATATTTATGTTCTTTTTGCACTCATTAAGAACATTTCTCGAAATCTGTTTGTGATTTTATAAAAGGGATGATCAAAAGCTGGATGATTCTATTATTTATACAATCACTAGTAGTATCTCCATATGTGGTATGTTTAGGATAAATTTCACAATAATGTCCCATACCTGAACATTTCTTTAATTTTTCTTATTTTATGCATTTGTTTTGCTTAATTTTTTCCAAATTTTATACTAATAGCTATAACATATTGCATATTTTTTCTTATCTTTCGGTTGTGTATAATTCTTGTCAACTTATTCCTGATGTTGGACCAAACTTTGTGATATGTAATCCTGGTGCTGGAACGTTTATCACTTTACCTAAAGTCAATTCATTTGGTGTCAAGTTCTTCTTTGAGGATATGCCATCCCATTTTTGGGTTGGCGTGTTGCTATGACGGCCCCGATATTCTGATTTGCAACTCTATCACCGGGAAATATAAGGATTTACCTTCAATCATCACATCAAGGAAAAAAGAGCAAGTATTTGTCTGTTCGGGTTTTGACCCTAAAAGCGACAACTTCAAAGTAGTTGCGAAGTGTTCACAAAAGGAAAAGGCACAAGTATTTACTCTCGGAATTGATCAATCTTGGAGAGACATTGAGTGCGAGTTTAGCAATACCCCGACGAATAAATTAGGTATATGCATCAACGGCATAATCTTGCACAGGCCCGACCCACCCATAAAGCAGCCAAAACATTTGCTTTAGGCCCCAATATATAAGAAAGCTTTTAGGACCATATTATTAAAACACTTGCTTAGTCTGGTAGTTATGTATTCCGAACACCGATCTTGCATAATCTTCTATCAAGCTTCTTCATTCGTTCCGGGTCACTAATAAAATGGGCAGTCTCTACAACTTGCAAGTCTCAATTTGGATGTCTAATTTCATATGTTACTCGGGTAAAGTGTAATATTTTTTTTTTTTTTTTTTTTTTTTTTCTTTTCGCCAAGTGTAATATTTTATTTAAGTTAAATAAAATCTCTATTGGCCGAAAAGAAAATAATATATTAATCCATGTCAACGTGACATGCTGGAACATGCCACATCATCAAATTACCGTCGTTGCTTTTATTCGTCTTCTTCAGTGAGAAGTCCCATTGAAAATTTAATCCGGCGAATCTTGAAACCGGATGCTGGGTTTTTCATTTCGAGACGGCTGAAACTCTCGTAGTTAGGGTTTAGAGAGATCTTTCCTGAGTCATCATGATATCGGTTTCTGATAGAGAGCTTGAGGAAGCTGGAAGAAAGCTTCTTGACCCACCTTCTTCTGTTCATGAGATTCTTTCTCTTCTCGACGTGAGCTCAGATTCTTTCCCTTTGTGTTTTCTTCTTCGCGGTATAACTCTTACTCATCTTCTCCAGACGTTTGATTGCGACACTGTGCAAATGCTTTCTTCTTGTAATTCATAAAGCCTTGTCTTTTGTATTCAATCCGTTAAGAATGAATGAATCCATTCTTGAATAAATTTTTAGGCTTTAGAACTGCCCTGAGCTCTAATTGATGAAAGTCTGGGTTTTTTCGAAATGTTGTGAACGGGATTTTCTTTTATATCTCTTGAATTCATTTTCAAGTGTGCTGAGATTTTGGAGTTGTTGAGTTTAATGATCATTTAATTGTCTTTTCCTTCAGAAAGTTGAACACCTCATGTCAAAGATCGAACAGTCACCTCCTTGCCCAACAATGTGTGAACTTTATCCATTGATAGGAGCATTGGTCAGTCCTAAACTCTTCAAACATTCGGATGCTCATGTCAAACTTGCAGTTGCGGCTTGCATTTGTCAGATTACGTTCATAACTGCTCCAGATCTTACCTATGATGATGACCAGATGAAAGTATGTTGTTGTTTGGTAGTTCTATCTTAAGGAAAATGAGCAATGCGGGGTTGGTCACTTACTAGTTTCTTTGATTTACTCGCAGGAAGTATTCCAGTTAATTGTATCATCATTTGAACATCTGTCTGACATATATAGTCGATCCTACGCCAAGAGGTTATCAATCCTTGAAACTGTGCATGATGTCAAATTAAGCAGAGTGATGTTGAATCTTGAATGTGATGCACTTCTTGTTGAGATGTTCCAGCATTTCCTCAACGGTATAAGGTACAAGCTAATATTTTCTTCCTACTGGAAATGAAGTTTTATTTGTTGGTAGTGTAGTTTCGCAACTGGTCTATTGAGTGTTGCTTATGTTTGTTGTACAGCATCCATCAATGTACGTTTGAAAGTTGAATGATGATGAATTTATATTTCCTTTTCAGGGACCATCATCCTGCGAAAGTGTTTTCATCTATGGAGCACATTATGACCCTTGTTGTAGAAGAAAGCGATGATATACCTCCACAGTTGCTTTCACCAATTCTACATTATGTTAGAAAGGATGATAAGGTGATGCATGGATTTCTTCTTAATATTTTTTTTTTGGAACCCACTGCTCTTTTGTTAACTTCTTTCAACTTCGCAGCAGATTCCCCAAGTATCACGGAAGTTGGCAGAACAAGTTCTCATTAAATGTGCTAGCAAGCTCAAAACATATCTGGCTGACGTAGTGAAATCATCGGGCATCTCTCTAGATAAGTATAGTAATATAGTGGCTTCAATATGTGAAGGGACATTGAGTGCTTTGAAGCAGAACGGAGCTGTTGCTGATAAGAAAGAAGTAAAGTTTCTCGCCTGTTTTTGTATCAAATTGCCTTTATCGTTTTTACTTGCATCAAGTGTCTCCTATGGAGGAAGGTTGTTTCCGAAAACCAATGGTTATGAGAGTTTTCCAGTTTCATTTGCTCTTATACCGTTTTGCCACTTTGTGTCCTCTGCAGAACAGTCAAGGCCCAAGGGAAGTGGCAGTAAAGGCATGCTTCTTTCTCCTTGCAACCAGCATTGAAACACTGAAATTCGTCGATTTATAGAAAAAAGATAATGTCTCACTCTTTTATGTTAATTGTGATGCCATTTTCCAATCAGCAGGAGAAACAGACAGCAAGAAAAGTTTCTACGCGTGAGTAAACTTGTGTACCTAAGAGGAGACTGAACATGGAGCATTCTATAAATTCACTTCCTCATGATTCATCTGTAATGGCAGCTACTTCTTCTATGAATGAGAACGGACATGAGGCTCTGTCCCCGAGACGTGAAACAGAAGCTGGAGTAGGAGTACAAACTCAGGAAAGGAGAAACCGTGAGTTGGCTAAAAAAGAGGATACTGCACAAATTGAGACTTGGACACACAAGCGACCTCGAATGCTTATGGAGAAGACAACTGCAGAAGGAGAATTATCTTGCTGCACTCAGAAATCCAGTGCTGAGCCCGGAGATATGCGCAAGAAACTCCTTCAACCTTGCTCAGTCACACATCAGTTGGCTAAGGTGAAACAGAGCGTTGTAGACACTATAACCAGTGTAAGACAGTTTCGGTCTGAGCTTGAGACAAATGAGCAGAACATTATAGACAGTGTACGGCAGTTTCGGTCTGAGATCAAGAAAAAGGAAGATAATCTAGAAGTTTTGCTGCAGGAAATTAACGTCTTAGGTGTGTGATCTGGATGTTGATGAACACTTGTCTTTTGTTATGTGGTTTATATTGGTTCTAGGTCTCTGATAATCTGATGTTGGAACAAACAGGGGAGAAAATATCCGGAATCAACAAATTTATTCACTCATAATCAAGTTTGAAAGTGAGACGGAAAATCATGGGATTGGACCGGAGACTTTTGCTACCTGTTTTCTTTTGTATTTTGAACTTGTTCAACAATGGAGGGAAGTAGTTAGTTGACGAGAGAGAACTCCTTTTGTATAGCATTATCTCATTCAAGTCTAATGACAGTTGATTCTAATTCTCAAGCATAAAAAATGCCAAAAACCAAATAGCATCATCATTCATGCGTTTCACTGCCAAAACGTTTAAGCACCTAAGTAATTACTAATACAACAAAAGTTGTAACTCACAATGCATTACAAATATTACTAGTTTCTCAGCGATATAATGAAGTAGTCCAAATTGCTGATACAACCAAAGAACGCTCTTCCAAACTACAAACTTTCATTCAAGTGGAAAGTCTCTAAAACTTGCAAGTCTCAAATACAGAATAAACTAGTTTCGTGAAAAAAGACTCTTTGTTTCTTTTTTCCATCTTCAGTCTCACTTCAAACCAGATTATTGCTGAGGATTTTGCTGATTCCCCATATCCTCTCCCCTGTTTCATCATGATCACAACATTAGAAACCTAAGTCCAAAAATATTGGTTATCAAGAAAAAACAACTAGATCTTGATTCTGGAACGCACCTAAGGCTTCAATTGCTAGCAAAGAGGCTTGCAGATTCTGTTCACTTGTCTCAAGCTCAGTCCGACATTGTCTCACAGTGTTCAGAGTATCTACAATGCCCTGTTTCACATTAGCCACCTGATCTGAGACTGAGCAAGATCGCGGTAGCAAGCGCTGTAATTCTCTTGAAATGGTGTTGGTTCTGTTTGAAACCTGAGTGCGTCCTCTCTCCTCATCAACTTGATGCTCTGGTCCCTCTACTCCTACTCTTGGAGTCTTTTTCACATTCCTTGGCTGTGGATCAGTCTCACAAGCTCTCTTCTTACGAGTTCTTTTGTTTCCTTTTCCCTTGTATTCATGGTTTTCAATCTGAAAGAAACATTTGAGCATCTAAGTCTAACTAAGAAAGGCAAAATGTTTTGTCTTTACATAAAGTTGTGTTGTTGGTTCACCTTAGAGCAGAACTTAAACATAGGATTTGCTCCTTCCCACATCAGTTCCAGCTTGAATGAATCATTAACCTTCACTCCATTAGCTTCGCACATCTCTCTCCAACCTCTTCTCAAATAAAACCATTCACTTCCGCCTCGTCCAAGTCCTGTAATCTGTAGATAAGATGACCACTTTCTTCCATCTTGGTTCAGCAGAATTACCTCCCCAGCCTTGTTAATGTTATTCTTCCTCGTGAAACTCACTGGAAGTGACTGAACAAGATTCACTCAGTATCAAACGCTTAAACTCATGACGATATTCACAAAAAAAGTTCATGACAACGAGTTCTTGAACTTACTAGTTGCCCGGTAGTGTCACGGCTAGGTGTATACTTTACTATCAGAAATGGCGAAGGAGTCTTCTTCTCCTTTACCTTGGAAACTTCATCAAACGTCCTCTTCTCTTTACGGCCATTGCCAGATTCCTGTGGACACAACCAAAGCACAGGCCTTTCCCCATTTTGGAAAAGTTTAAACTTACATAACTCTCCTTGACTTAGCCCATTAACGCAGCAGAAATTTCCCCAGCCTTGTCTGATGTAAAACACACCACTTGAGATGTTTTTTGCAAGTTTCATTGTCCATCTTCTCCCTTGCTCATTTACTACATCGATCTCACATGTTTTTTGGTTCCCACCAAACAACAACGTAAAATTTCTAGAAAGATCCTGCCAAAACAACATCAACAAGTCACATCACTCAACAATATTATTATACTCATGAATGTTACAACAAAACTAAAATGGAGTTTAAGTAGTCACCAAACGATCATGAACGAGGCTGTAACGAGTGACACATGCTGTGATGAAACCAGAGTGGTCTGATGAAGAATCTGCTTCTTGTTTTTTATTCCTCTTCTCTGATATGTTCTCTGAATCACAACAATCTTCACTTACATAAGTCACAACCAACTAAGGTAAAACAAAACAGATACACATTATGTAACTTCATCAAACACCTTACCTAAATTATCCTCGCCCTCATCATCATCTTCGTCTTCTTCATAATCATCATCATCAACATCAACATCTTCATCATCAATGTAAGTATCCTCAGTATCAACGTGGCTAGAAGATGCTTTCTGTATGTCACCGGAAACAGATACATGAAAGACCTCGTCTCCATGATGTTTAAAAACCAAAACGTCACCGTCTCTGAATTTATGGTCGCCGGCGAACTCTTCCCAGCCGTCGGAGAGCCTACCGCCGTCCAATTTCACTTTCCGAAGTCTGTCGGACGCATCCGATTTGAGTAACACTTTCGTGTGATTCATTAAGAAGTCAGCATCAAGAGTCTGCAAAATAAAACAAAAAGAAAGAATTAGTTCTTGAAGATGACAAAGACAGTAACCTAACAAAAGATTAAAAAAGGAGAAACAGTTACGAGAAGTGGTTTGTCTCCGGTTTGAAATTTGTGCTGAAACAGAGAGAAATGTGGTGGATCTTCCATTGTTGAATACACTTGGAAAATCTCAGAGAGATCTGAATGAAACTCTGTTTTATCTTCCCTTGTTACTTGTTCCTAGAACATGATGACGTTTTCTTATCTTATAATTACGTTACAAAAAAAGGTAAACCGAATCTATTAAAATCGAAAAAGCTGACGTGAATCTTTCACATTGGTTAATGGAGTATGTGTACCCATCATCAAAAAAGTTGATGTGAATCTTTCACATTGGTTATTAGTACACCATAGCCACGGCACCATAGTAATTGTCCATGTAAACCATTAAACCAACCCATCACCTATGTTGACAAAGGTCTCCTATAGTAGAATAGGTTTTGATCAGCTATTTAAAAATTAGGTTTTAAGTGAAAACAGAAGCCTTTGGGCCTTTTGGGCCTAACGATTTGAGATGAGACGCAGCCAAGACAGTTTTATTAATGGACAGTAAAAAGACCACCCATTTTAAGACCAGAAGGTTAATGACTTTTGAGTGTTGACTTACTACTGTTTCGTCCAGTTTAATAATCCACTGGAAGAAGTTCGAAGCTCGCTTCAGAATTAAGATCCTCAATCCAAGGAAAAAAAAAAGAAACTGTAAATTTGAAATGAAAATCCAATAAACAAGTAATTTAATCGCTCTTTCCTCTCGAAATGCGTCTTGAATCCGCCAAGAAACCTGTTAAATTTTACAGATTTCTTTGATTTCACGTTGAATCCACCAATACTGAATATTCCAAAGATTTATAACTCAAATTACTCTGCTTTCCCATGGAGGTTCAAGCTGAAATGGAGGCTAGCTCGTCCATTAGGTACTACTCTACTCTCCTTCAAAATTTTTGATTTTGTTCCTGGGATGTTATTGATCGATTTAGGACGTAGGGGTAATAATTATTGGTTCAATGGATTTAAGTGCTTCTTAAAGTTTTGAATTTGGAAACTTTGAATTGCGGTTCTTCATCTGGGTAGATCTGGATCTCTAGAGAGTTATAGAGAATCAAAGCTATATAGACATCCAAGTGAAGCTTATTTACTGGTTTGTTCTATGATGCAGTTTAGTCGCAGCTGTTTCATATGGCATTGCTTCTATGGCAATGGTTTTTATTAACAAAGCTGTGATTATGCAGTATCCACATTCAATGACTGTTCTTACCCTTCAGGTACTGATATCCAAAATTCTCAAGTACTATATATCTACAGAGATTATTCACTTCCTGAAATTGCTGATTATGAATTTGGTCCCCTTTGCTTTGTATTAGCAATTGGTTACTTCTTTGCTTATACACTTTGGTAGACGAATGGGATACACAAGAGCTAAAGGAATCGACTTAGCCACTGCGAAAAAGCTTCTTCCGGTGTCGATCTTCTACAATGCTAATGTTGCATTTGCTCTTGCAAGCTTGAAAGGAGTAAATATTCCAATGTATATCGCCATTAAGAGACTCACTCCACTCGCTGTTTTGATTGCTGGGGTTTTGTTTGGTAAAGGCAAACCAACAACTCAGGTAGTTACCATTATAATGTTGATCTTTTTTATTGTGAATTTGTATAATGTTTCAAGCTCTGAATCTCTTATTTAAATTTCAGGTTGCTCTATCTGTACCACTGACGGCTGCAGGTTGTGTAATTGCAGCTCTTGGTGATTTTTCTTTTGATCTTTTCGGGTATGGTTTGGCTTTAACATCTGTCTTTTTCCAGGTTGGTTTCGTTGTTCTTTTCCTTCTCTTGAATCAATCTCCCGTTGTTAACCATACGAGTAAATGAATATTGTTTTCTCTTCATTGCTGCAGACCATGTACCTTGTGCTGGTGGAGAAGTCTGGTGCAGAAGACGGGCTTTCCTCTATCGAAATAATGTTCTATAACAGCTTCCTTTCCCTCCCATTTTTGTCCTTCCTCATCATAGTTACCGGCGAATTCCCAAACTCTCTATCACTATTACTTGCAAAGGTTAGAAACTTCATCATTCTAAGCTTTGCTCAGAAACTATTCTCTTAAAAGGTCAAACAATTTTTTCTCTTCTACAGTGTTCTTATTTGCCGTTCTTGGTGATTCTCGTGCTTTCACTGGTTATGGGCATTGTCCTCAACTTCACCATGTTTCTTTGCACCATTGTGAACTCTGCACTAACAACAACCATCGTTGGTGTTCTCAAAGGCGTTGGTTCCACTGTAAGTATAAACCCTCCCTCATTTGGCTCTGTTTGGAGAGGCAATCATTTACTTTTAGTCTTACTAATCTTTGCTTCCTTTTTAATCTCCTAGACGCTTGGTTTCGTCCTCTTGGGTGGTGTTGAAGTACATGCTTTGAACGTGTCCGGTTTAGTGGTCAACACAGCTGGTGGTGTGTGGTACTCATACGCCAAGTACCGACAGAAAAAGGCTAAACCGGCTAAGCTAATGTCTGATTTGGAAGCTCACAAGAAATGAAGATTTCGGTCCGGTTTGCCGGTTGGGTTTACACGTCAAATATGTCCTTGTTCAAAAAGTTATATCAGAACGAACCGATGTATTAGAGAGTTGAACCAAGAAAACCGGTTTAACGAGAAGCTTTCAACAATCACCGTGGCTTCAGATCTTATCTTCTCTGTTCGATTCTAAGTGAGATTTAATTTTGATATGAAACTTCATTGATCAGATTATTTCTTGTTTAAGTTAAGAAAGAAAAAAATCAATACCTATTTTTATATGTAGATGCAATCATTCAAAAGTAAAATAGTAAAGTTGTGGCTGTAGCATAACCATATTAAACATTAGACATGTGTTGTTGCAACAATCAACTATCAATAGTTGAAGAACACATGAAATGTTTGTTCTATTTAATGGTGGAAAGGTTTTTAAATGGTCTACTACTAATTAATACTTTGGATTAAGACATTCAGTGACAGAAAAAGACAGCACATAAGTCATTAGTGACCTCTGTTTAAGTCTTTAATTCGTTTCCATAAATCTACGGTTAGTGCATACGGATCATAATTCATAGTTTTGGTTTTTCTAATTGGTTTATCTAGTCCAATACTTAGACAAATCCGACAATATATGTACTCAAAATTGTAAACGTTTTTAGTTGGACTTAGAAATGTCAAACATGACTCATAATTCATAGCATTTATTAAGTTCATTTTCTTGGCGTGAAATTAGTAGTACATTCATTTATTCCATGATTTTTTTTGCTCAGAATATTCAAATTTAGAAAAGCAATGGATGCTAGTAACAAGAAAATTACATAACAATAGAAAACTTTAATCCATTAAATGAATTATTGAATGATTGAATCCACTAATTACAATTATTGAAATAAATATGGATAAAGTAGAGGGTGTAAAGCACTGTATGTAAAGAATATGATAACATAGTTCAAAGAATATCATAATTCAGAAAGTGATACTCATAACTAATAATCATTCACCAATACACAATCGATCATCTTAATATATACATGATTAATTTGGATTCATTTTAAAAGCACACTTAATAAAATATATCATGTCCAATAATCTGTGAATTATTACTGCATTAAAATTGTCATAGCTATGTATGTATTTAGGGCAGGACTGAGTATGAGTTGTTTTCTGTTTATATATGAGAGACTCACAAAAATGCCCCTTTTTCAATACCTCTTTTCAAAAATGCCCCGGCTGTCCATTTTTAAAAATACCCTTTTTTATGTACAAAATGACTAAATTACCCTTCTTTTAATAAAAGATATCACAAATATATAAGGAAATATAACAAAATTAGGTCCACAAAATACAAAATATTTTTTGGCGGGAAAAGTGATCCCGCAATTTTTCCCGCCAAAACACTTGTAAAAACTTGTAAAACCTTTAAAATACCTTGTAAAATTTTTTCCCGCCAAAAAATTTTCCCGCCAAAAAAAAATTTGCGGGAAAAGTGATTCCGCAATTTTTTTGGCGTTAAATTTTTGGCGGGAAAAATTTACAAGGTATTTTAAAGGTTTTTTACAGGGTATTTATAAGGTTTTACAATGTATTTTAAAAGGTTTTACAACGTATTTATAAAGTATTTATAAGATATTATAAGATTTTACAAGCTATTTTATAAGTTTTACAAGTTATAAGGTTTTACAAGTTATAAATACCTTATAAAACCTTATAAGTACCTTGTAAAACCTTTTAAAATACATTGTAAAACCTTACAAAACACTTGTAAATACTCTGTAAAACCTTTAAAATATCTTGTAAATTTTTCCCGCCAAAAAAATTTCGCCAAAAAAATTGCGGAATCACTTTTCCCGCAAAAAAAAAATTTTGGCGGGAAAAATTTTTACGGGAAAATTTTACAAGGTATTTTAAAGGTTTTTACAAGTGTTTTGGCGGGAAAATTGCGGGATCACTTTTACCGCCAAAAAATATTTTGTATTTTGTGGACCTAATTTTGTTTCAAATAAGGGTAAAATGGTCATTAAAAATTAAAAGAGGGCAAACAAATGGACTCTCAAAGGGGGCATTTTTGAAAAGAGGTATTGAAAAAAGGGCATTTTTAACAATTTCTCTTTATATATACTGGACATGTTCATTAAAAAATGATACTAATTCCGTAGTTTTTGGTCATTTATTACATTATAATACCCGATAATTATTAAAATCATACAGAATATATTCTAACTCTAACTTTAATGTACATGACGAATTTTTTAATTACTGGGCACCGATTGGTTTATGTAGATATCACAAGTAAAATAAAAATAAAAAGGTATTACAAAAATATTATTAACCTACAAAATTACTTATTTATAAGTCTTTTCTCTTTTAGCTTTTCCTCTTTTCTTAGTGTTTATATGATACTTTCGTGAAACGTTAGGTATTGTATAGTAAACTAAACCTTAAAAATGCCAACGAATATCCTTATCTTCTAGAGACATGTGTTATTATCAGCACCGACAAGTAACTCGCGTAACCTAGTTGGTTGAAACTTATGGAAAATTTAAATTGAAAATTTGAGATTATCCTTCTAATGAATCCTATACTTCCTTTTTTGTCAAATACTCTCTTTGTCAAAAACACACCACTAATTATCTTTTGTTTTACAAAATGACCAAAATTAGCGGCAATATATATTTTAAGTCAACACTTGACCAATTTTGATTGTTAGTGCACTTTGTCAACTAATCATCCCAAGGAAAAGAAAACATATCATCAACAAATTGTTTCCCTCCATAATTAATAGGGAATCTACAATCTGTATCCATAGAAGACTGATTAATTAGTTTGACCAATTGGTCACTGTATAAACATTTTTTAGACTTTTTTATCCCTTCCCCTTTTCTCCCCTCTTTTCTTCTTTATTTTGTTTCTTCGTTGGTATTAAATTTCCAGACAACACAAGAACATGAGAATAACAATGGCCACATAAAAAATCAAATCGAATCAAAGATGTTGAAATCAGAAGCTGGCCGGAAAAGAAAATCAGGAGTCGTGTGATTCACTAGTGACAGTGGTGGTTTACCAGACATAGATGCGATGAAGATGATTGGAGCTCCGGCCGCTTCTGTAGCTTATTTCCATAACCGACACACTCAATTCTAACCGTACGTCATCTAATTTCTGTTAGACGGCTATCATTTTGTCGAGACTTAGGGAAGACGATGGTGACGACGTGGTTTGATTCAGAGTTTAGATAGAAGGATTTTTCTTAGATCCAGTCCATCCACGGGTTCACTTACAATTTTCTAGTCTATCACAATTGATGTCAATCGGATTTTCAAAGTTTTGAAATCGATTCAACCAAAATTTTCTCGTAACAAAACATCTCATTTGGGAAAATGGTGAGAAACTTTGCTAAAGAAAACATTAGCCTGTTACAATTTTATTTACTGTAGTCTTATATCACCGTAAATGAAAAGTTAACACATAATTTATAAATTTATATTACGATACTATACTAGTTAACATGTTAATCAAATAGTTATCTACACAAATACTATATTACATGTAACTCATTATTTTTTCTATATGATAATATATGAGATAACACGATAAATATTAATTTATCACATAATTTATAAACTTATCGCGATACCATATGATTTAACACGATATGTTTATACACTTATTGATTATATATTTTGTTATCGTGTTAACTCAATAGATAATCATCTAACTCATATATTTTTTTACCAAATATTTGTTGAACAGTATTATTGGAATCTGATAAAAATCGTCGATAACTATTTTATTATATTGCTAAACAATTAGTTATATGCGGAGGGGTGATTTGGTCATTTTCCAAAACTGCAGAAGAGAGAGAATTAAATACATAATTATGCTTCCCAGATCTTACAATATCTATTCTTCTATGGTTTTATATTTTGTTCACCCTAATTAATATCCTAAACATATCATTTTATAGTTCACATGTATAATATATAATTGATTATAAAACTCAGAATATTGAGTGCATCCATTTGTTTTAACAGTAAGGCTTTGACTCATAAGTTTCTGATTATAACACATCCTTTTTCAAATAAGAGTACATATTTTTAAAGGTTTTTAATAATACTATATAACGAGTTAAAAGTTATCCTGATTAAAATTACTCAAACCATAAGCATTTTCATTATTATATTCTTGTCAAAAAAAACTCTAAAGTTGATTACACTTGATACAACAACAAAAAAGAAACAAAAAAGAATGGACAACAAAGAGAATTTGACTAAATGGATAAAATATAATTTGAAGAACATGGAACATGGCATGGGGAGCACGTAGGAGAAGCGGTGAGAGCAAAAGAGAGTGATTCACTTGAAACCGATTTGGTAGTATCTTTTCTTGTAAACATGTTCCAATCCAAGTAGTAGTTGTTGGTCACAAATACAAATTTGAATTTGTCTTCACCTCTAATTGCCAAACAACCATATGGTCCATGCATCAATGGATTTCCTCAATTTTTATTTGTTTAGAATATATAACAATCTTATTTTAAGAAAATACAAATATTTCTAGTGAAGATCCATGACATGACAAGTGCTGATGAAATGATCTTACAAGGAGTGATAAAAAGGGGATGAATTTTGCATGCTGAAGCAATCAAATAAGTAGCTGAAAGAGTAACACACATGAAAGTGTAAGAGACACATCTTATTACAACTTCTCTCACTGATACCTTTCTTCTCCCTCTCTCCTCCTCTGCCTTTGATTCTCTCTCTCTCTCTCTCTCTCTCTGAGTCACTACACTCTCTCACCAAGCCATCCTTCTCTCTGTCATTCTCTAAAAAAAGGTCCACTATAAATGAGCCTTGAGCTGTGGATGCTTCTCTGTCTGGTTTTTTAGAATAAATAAAAAATGGGTCTCTAGATTTCAGATTTCTGGGATCTGGATGTTTGATTAGTCTCTTCCATTATTAGTAGAGAAAGCTCACTCCTTTCACTCAAAGTTACTACCTTTTTGTTTTCCTGAAAATGGGTTTTGTTTAAAATCTCCCACTTTGAGATTTGGGTGTTTATTTGGGGATCCTTACCGCATTTAGAGATTTCAACTAGGTTTTTCGATTTCTCTACTTGTCAGAGGCTAAAGATGGCTCCAAGGTTGGATTTTTCAGATTGGTGGGCGAAGGACACGAGGAAAGGAACACCAGTTGTGGTGAAAATGGAGAATCCTAATTACTCTGTTGTTGAAATCGACGGTCCAGATTCAGCTTTTAGACCTGTGGAGAAGAGCAGAGGCAAGAACGCTAAGCAAGTCACTTGGGTTTTGCTTCTCAAAGCTCATAGAGCTGTTGGATGTCTCACTTGGCTCGCCACTGTCTTTTGGTCTCTCCTTGGTGCCATCAAGAAACGGCTTAGTTTCACTCACCCACTTGGCTCTGAGAAATTAGGCAGAGACAGATGGCTTTTCACTGCCATCAAGCTCTTCTTAGCTGTTTCCTTACTGATTCTCGGGTTTGAGATTGTTGCTTATTTTAGAGGATGGCATTACTTTCAAAGTCCTAACCTTCACATCCCCACTAGCACACTTGAGATCCAGAGCCTGCTTCATCTTGTGTATGTTGGTTGGTTAACCCTTAGAGCTGATTATATCGCTCCTCCTATCAAAGCTCTCTCCACGTTTTGTATTGTGCTGTTCCTTATACAGTCCGTAGATCGTTTGATACTTTGCTTGGGTTGTTTTTGGATCAAGTATAAGAAAATTAAGCCGAGATTTGATGAGGAACCGTTCCGTAATGATGATGCTGAGGGATCTGGATTTGAGTATCCAATGGTTCTTGTTCAGATACCAATGTGCAATGAGAGAGAGGTATGCTCATTCAACTTGGGTATATCCAAGAAAGTATTGATCTTTCTCCTGCTTTATATCCTTTTTGGTATCAATTTTATCTCTCAATGTGATAAGCTTTAGTCTGCTTCTTGTTCAGGTGTATGAGCAATCTATATCTGCTGTGTGTCAACTTGACTGGCCGAAAGATCGAATACTGGTTCAGGTTCTCGATGATTCGAACGATGAAAGCATCCAACAGTTAATTAAAGCTGAGGTTGCCAAATGGAGCCAAAAGGGAGTCAACATAATCTACAGGCATCGCTTGGTTAGAACTGGGTATAAAGCTGGTAACCTCAAGTCAGCAATGAGCTGTGATTACGTGGAAGCATACGAGTATGTTGCAATATTTGATGCCGATTTCCAACCTACTCCGGATTTCCTTAAACTAACAGTTCCACATTTCAAGGTTGGTATTAGCATTGGTTTCAATTTTCTATCATTGACAAGTGGAGAGAGAGAGATTGCTAACATGTTAGAAATGTGGTTTATCTTCAGGATAACCCAGAGTTGGGTCTAGTTCAAGCTAGATGGACATTTGTGAACAAAGACGAGAACTTGTTGACCCGTCTTCAGAACATCAATCTGTGTTTTCACTTTGAGGTGGAGCAGCAAGTGAACGGCGTGTTCTTGAACTTCTTTGGTTTCAATGGAACAGCTGGAGTTTGGAGAATTAAAGCCCTCGAGGAATCTGGTGGTTGGCTTGAAAGGACCACTGTGGAGGATATGGACATAGCAGTCCGCGCTCATCTTCATGGATGGAAGTTCATATATCTTAATGATGTCAAGGTACTACTCTTTATCGATTGTTTCTAAAAAACCCTTATTTATGTAACCAAATGAATTAAAGTGGACTGAAAAAAATCTATAGGTCCTTTGCGAAGTTCCTGAGTCCTACGAAGCATATAAGAAGCAGCAACACCGTTGGCATTCGGGACCTATGCAGCTTTTCCGCTTGTGTCTTGGTTCAATCTTGACCTCTAAGGTAGTGGACAGCTATTTTCTTCTTTTAAGTTCAACTTTTTGTTAATCATCGTGTTAATGACTTCTTCTGTTTCTCATTTGTTCTTCTTGCAGATAGCGATATGGAAGAAGGCGAATCTGATACTTCTCTTCTTTCTTCTTAGGAAACTCATACTTCCTTTCTACTCCTTCACGTTGTTCTGCATAATCCTTCCACTCACCATGTTTGTTCCAGAAGCTGAGCTCCCTGTTTGGGTCATCTGCTACATACCGGTTTTCATGTCTTTCCTCAACCTTCTTCCATCTCCAAAATCGTTTCCTTTCATTGTTCCTTATCTCTTGTTCGAGAACACAATGTCTGTCACCAAGTTCAACGCGATGGTGTCTGGATTATTCCAATTGGGTAGCTCTTACGAGTGGATTGTCACAAAGAAAGCTGGAAGATCATCCGAGTCAGATCTTTTATCTATCACCGAGAAAGAGACACCAAACAAGAAAAGTCAATTGCTTAGGGGAGTTTCCGACAGCGAGCTTTTGGAGCTGAACCAACTTGAAGAACAGAAACATGCGGTTTCAAAGAAACCCGTCAAGAAAACCAACAAGATATACCACAAAGAGCTCGCATTGGCCTTTCTTTTGCTCACTGCAGCGCTTAGGAGTCTCTTGGCAGCTCAAGGAGTGCATTTCTACTTCCTGTTATTCCAAGGTGTCACCTTTCTTCTTGTGGGCCTCGATCTCATAGGCGAGCAGATGAGCTGAGAAAACCTGAAAGAAGCTTCATAACACGGGTCAATAAATCAGTGAGTCTGATTCCCCACTTCCTCTATGTTCAGTGGTATCCTCTGTAATGAGATTGTTGGAACCATAGTGGTAGGCATTAATTGATTTTCCGTTTTGTTTGTTTGTTATGTTTGTTTGATTCCTCCATTGTTAGGGATAGAGTGTGTGAGCCAGAGATTCATACATGTATACAATATTTGTAAAGTTGGAACATGTTGTTGGCAGTTAAAAGAGCCTCTGTCTTGGAACTAATTCAAGAACCATGTCAAATCAACTGCGGAGAATTTAAAGCCCAACCTTTGTGGAAAGAGATTGTAACTGTACATAACTGACATGAACCAGTTTTCTGACTAAACTGAAACAAGAAAAAGAGTAATATTTATAGTTTTCTCTAATGATCTTAGGACATTCTCATCTTAGTGTCGGTGAAAAGTGTAGAAACGTGGAGCAAAAAAAGTGTCGGCAGAGGAAGTGGAATGAGGAGAAGCATAAAGTGTATTGCAGAAAAAAGCAGAGAGGTTTACGTCACATAACAATCAATTCAATGATGTGTAAGTGAAGAATGGGACCAAACAGATTTTAATTTGGTGGGTTTGTTGATGATTCTGGGACCGAACTAGGATCATGATCTTGTCTCTCTTGCTTTTCTAGGCTTTTTATTGTTGTCATGCCAACACACACAATGTCCTCGCGTCTACTTTGTAATTTGGGATTTCTAGTTGCGGAAACGAAACAATAGAGCTAGTTGCGGAAACGAAACCATAGAGCTAGTTACTCCAAACCAGATTATATATTCATTCTTCATCTTAGGCAATTAATTACATTTCCTTCACCTTTATAAAAAAGTGAACAATTTCATAACTCTTTCACTGAAATTAACACAAGCACCAAATGGGAGCGACTGATACCCATTTAGTCATTTACAAATCCTTGGCTTGCCTCTATAAACCGTGAAATGCACAAAAATCTTTCCAAGGACAAGAATGTGCATGCTAAACACTATCACATAGCTACAATTATGCTAAACCTAATGCACAACATTCCGACCAGACAAGAGGTGCTTCTAAATGATGCAGCTCAAGTTCATGCAAAGAAGGTAACATCACAGCTGATGAAGTTTTCAAGCATCAGAGCATCTCTAGGGTCGAAGATGAAGCAGAAGCAAAGCCTTGTAGAGATCCACAATTAAATGAAGCAGAAGAGTAGAGAAGCAAGTAGAAAAACAATGAAGCAGGCCGAGCAACTAAATGAAGATGATGTAGGGATCCACAACCGTGGTTTAACTTTTCCCATAGCAGGCCGAGCAACTAATGAAGATGATTCATAGCAGAAGAGTAGAGAAGCAAGTAGATAAACAATGAAGTAGGCCGAGTAACTAAGGAAGATGCTTCATATGAGAAGAGTAGAGAAGCAAGTAGATAAGTAATGAAGCAGTAGTAGTAGTAGTAGTAGACCCGAAGAAACCTCGACACAGTGGAAAAAGACAAGAAACGCTTAGGCATTTAGCAGAATTTCCAATCAAATATTATGTCTTTAAGAAACTAGGGTACGAATCAAGTGTTCTTTTACCTATTGGTAGATACACAACTACGTACGCTTCATATCCAAAAGCAAAAGTACCAAGCTTTATCCAATCCAGCAGACCTAAAACATGTTCTCTTACTGAAATTCATAGATGATAGTAACTTTCCTTAGGCCCTCTCTTCTTCTCTTCCACAGTATCTTCCCACAAACTCGTTTTCTTGCAAAAACACTCAGCTCCTGCTTCTGCGTCTATCTTTCAGTCCATTTCTGCAGAAACAAGAACAAAATTTGAATTAGCATCTGAAGATGCACGTGAAGAAAATGAAAATGTTTATCTCTAAGAACAATAACCAAAATCTAAACACTGATAATGATATAGAGACTTGGGAAAAGATGTTTACCCATTGGCATACGGCACTTCCTCACGTGCTCTGTCCTCACGTGCTCTGTATGGAGGTGGTGACCTACTGTAGCTGCGACCACGGGCAGGAGGAGGAGAAGGACTGCGGCGCCTTGGAGGAGGGGGAGATCTTGCACGAGGGCTGTAACTCCTGAAGCAATAAAACGACAAGTTTAATTAATCCGTTCAGATAAGCTACTAAGGTAACAAAATAAAAAGCACCACTGACCTCCGTCCATAGCTTGGGCTTCTTCTGTATCTTGCAGGACTGCGACTACGGCTCCTGCTGCGACGCCTCCCAGTGCCACCACGGTTACGGCATTCACGTGCGAAATGACCAGTCTCACCGCATTCATAGCATTTCAAATCAGAACCACCACGGCCGCCGCCGCCACCTCCACGGTCACCACCACGACCGCCACCACCACGCTCACCTCGGTTGTGTGACTGTTCAACTCTCCAGCCATTCTTGCCTATCCATTATCACAAGATTCATATCGAATAATAAGTTTCAGGTCGCAAGTAATTGGAAACCTCAAAGTATCCCCTTTTAAACATCCCATTACATTTATTTTGTCATCTAAATGAAAACATCAACTTCTAAAGAGAATAAAACAAAGTTGAAAGAATAAGAATGTATTACCATCTACATCACGGATGGCGTCACGGGCATCCCTAGGATCTTCGAAATCTAGAAAAGCGTAACCAGGTGGTCTACGAGCAACCCAAACACTGCACATTACAAATCAACATTAAAGAGATGCAAAAATTGATACTTTTTAACATCAAAAGTGACAAAAATTGTAGCACGAACTGATTGGTTGGATTTGATTCTTACCTCCTGATAACTCCAAAGGTACGGAACTCATCCTCAAGTTCACGCTCAGTAACTCGCGGGTCCAAATTTCCGACGTACACACGCGACATGTCTTCTGTAACCTGTCAATGGCACGCACAACAAACAAGGGTCAACATAGCAGAATTATAAATCTTTTCTAGCAAAACAGTCGAAAGGATTTGAATTGATCGGTATTGAAACATTAGAAACACAAGAAATCTGTCGATCAAGGTATACACAGTCACTAGATTCACCAAGTGACCCGATCAAATTTGAACAGATCGGATCAAGTATAAACGTTACCACAATTAAGAGTGAGAAGAGAGAAAGAAACTTGGCGCGACCTACCTCGTGGGAAGAGCTGAAAGCACCCAAGCGAAAAAACGAAAGGCGTTTTTTTTTGTGTTTAGCTTGTCGTGAAGAAATTAGGGTTTCTGAATCTGAAATTGATGAAGTACTTTCCCCACGGTTTTTTGTAAGCGCATCAACTTCAAATGGTAAAGCCCAAAATTTAATAAAATATACGGTTTGGGCCTATATTTGATATTCTTATTGGGCTCAATACTGACCTTTTCAAAAAAAAAAAAATCAATAATATGCCGGTGAGTCAGTGTTATCTTCTCTCTCTGTTAGTTTGGTAAATGTAATAATTTTGTGTGTCCATTTTGCTTTGTACTTTTTTGAAACGAATGAGGAGGAAAAAAGAAAAAAAAATAGAACTTAAAGTCTCTAGTTAATCACTTTCATTCTACAGCTACTAAATAAACTTCCTTTCTTATTCGTTTGTAAAGCCAAGCAGTTTGTGATTTGGATCAATAAAAATGCTGAAACCACAATTTGCTTGGTTAATAAAATCTAAACAATGAATAAAAAAAAACATAATGTTGGAGACAACACACCACTTTGATGAGCCCATGCTATAACCAGCTGTCAAGATATGATAAAAACACGTATTAAAGTTAGCAAATGAAGCTACTTGCTGCTACTTGTTTTCGGATGAAAACAAAAAAAAGAGTCAGAAATGAGCTTACGAAATTGGAAGTTTGGTTAGACCACGAAAGCAGCCAAAAGAGCATGCAATATCGCCCAGTATATCATTATCCCTAACCGTAACGCAGGTTGTCTCATGAGCGTCCGATCACAAGAGACCCTGAAAAGAAGAGTGATCGAGTTTCTTAGATAATAATTTAAGCATTTATAAATCGAATGACATCGATGGGATGGAAAGAGGCTGACCATAAACCATCGACCATGTTAGTGAGGGGTCTTGTGAATCTAGGGATGATTCTTGACGTAGAGAGTGATCTGAAACCATGAGCTAAAAAAGCAGAAAAAAAATACAAATGGGAATGTTACTAAGAGAATGTGTTAAAAGTACTAAATATTCAGAGACTAGTTTAGTTACCTTTATCATCATCTTCTTCTAAGCTACCGCTTTGATCAGTTTGATCTGCATCTATACTAATGGCGACTTGATCCATATTTCCCTTACGCAAACTCCGGACTTGAGATGGGATTGATGTTTTCGTCCACTTGTTTACCTGTGATACCCAAAAATAAAATAAACCCAAAATTAAAAAAATCGAACTCTTGAGGCATCTGGAACGGTGTAACTATCCAACAAGCTCAAAGCTTACCAGAGGTTCCACTTCAACGATCTCTGACGTTGAGCTTGTTGACATATTTGGTTGGGATTCTTTCTCTAGTAAGAATTTCTCAAGAGTTGCTTCTTTCTGTCTGAGCTCTGCCACTCTACTCCTCTCAGCTTCAAGCAACTCGTCCTTGCTTTGTCCAACCAACCGTAATTCGTCTATTTCAGATAGCATAGACGCTATCCTTTTCTCAAATGTCTCCATGTAGTGGTTTATATGACTGTGAGAATCAGTGGAAGGCGAATCTTCTATACCAAGTAGTGAAGCTATCGTGTCGAACAGAGACAGTACAGTTTCCATCTCTTCTGAATCTCTCTTAGTGCCCATCTGAGAAGCAGCAAGAGCCTCATTGGTGCACCTAGTGACTTCTTGTCTTAAGAAAGAAACCTCTGTATCCCGATCTTGCACTTGCTGTTGAAGTTTCTCTATTTCAGCGAGAAGATTTTCAGAGAGATGATGGAGCTCATCGAATTTATCCACAGTAATTGATAGCTTTTTGGAAATCTTCCCACGAGAAGCATCAGCTCTCTGCAAGTCTAGGTTCTTCTGTTGCACTTCCTGTTCTAATTCTGTAACTCTGAGTTTCAGATCCTCCATCTGAGACTCTTCCTCGTCAAGCGCTTGCATTAAGGCCTCAATTTCTGCAGTAAGCAATTTGTATCAGCTATATATGTGGCGGTGCGAAAACAAAAGGGTAAAAGAGAAAAACTGACCTAAGTCTTTCGCAGCTAGTAGATCACTAAGAGATGTGACCTTCTCCTGTAATTCTGAGTGTGACGCCTGCCCTGCTAGCAGCTCTTTTGCTCTCTCTTTCATAGAATCCCGTTCCCGCACCATAATACCCAGCTGGTCTTGCATATCACGCATCCGGGCACTTGCAGATTGAAGATCTTCCGCAAAGATTTTAGCACCAGCCTGGGCTTCCTTAACTTGACCCACAAGTTCATTGCACATCCTATCATTTTGGATGTCCTTTTCGTGTAACTCCCTTTGCAAATTGGCGATGATTACCTTCATCTCCTTTTCATTTCTCTCTACAGTCTCAGCGTTCGCAACAACAAGCTCCTTAATAGCTGACGATAGCCTATTTACCATGGACCTGACAGATTCCATGGACGAAAAATCCTCATCTACTTGGTGGAGACTCATATTAAAGTCGTCATTTCCAACAAGTTCAGCTTTACGCCTTTCGATTTCCACCAACACGCTAGAACATGCTCCATGAAGCAAGGCAATTCTTTCACCAAGAGCGGCAATTTCAGAGTCTGTTCCTGTTCCAATTGACTTGAAAAAGGTGTCGATACTGTTGGATACAATATTGACCTGGTCGTGCCATGTGGCCAAGTGCTTGCTTACATTCTCTTCGAGATGGCTAACACCAGCCACAAATTGATCAAGGTTTTGGGAGAGAGAACCACAAATTTCGGTTATGTTTCCACCACTTGATGTCTCATGCAAGTTAATGTTCGACCAAGTAGCACTCAAGCGTGCAAAGAAATCCTAAGCAGAAAGGGGGAAAACAATATTCAGAAACAGTCAGTGGCAGAAAAACCTTGAAAGTATACCATAATAAGCTGTTGAAATGATCTAAATACCTTGTCTACAAAATTCCCTGTACTGAGTTGAGGCAAGCCAGACAAATTAGTACCAGTTTGCTTCGCATATGATTCCATATTTGTCTTCAGATGATGCAGAAACTCCATATCCATGGTGAAAATATCAGCTAGGCAACTGTTGGTACCTGCGAGTATTTTCCTTAGAGAGTTCACACTGGTTCCACAAGACAGCAGTTGAGCATATAGCTTATTCTTTTCTTCGTTGCTGACTGCTGATAAATTTTCAAAACGAGATATGGCTTCAACTTTTGCAGCCTCCGCTGCATCCTTCTCTCTGGAAAGTTGCTGGATTTCATATGTAAATTTTGATAGATCCTCTTGCAGACTATCGTTTCTCTCCTGAACTTCGTTCAACTCAGCAAGTAGCAACTCAGCTGCTCTTCTAGATTTTCTCGACTCCTGCTCAGCAGAAAACACGGTTGTACCCATAGTTTGAAACAGTTGTGAGATCCGTTGAAGCTTCATGACTGGGTCATTCATGTCACCCTCAACACCAATATCAATGCTATTTAAAGCATTCAACGTCATGCTCAATGTACCACTTCTTTCCTGCAAAAGATATTCTGTTTCTTGCGAATGGATTTTCAACAATTGGCACTCAGACTCTAGGGATTCTACCCTCACAGAATAAGATTCCAACTCCCTAAATTTACTTTCATTTTCCAAGAGCTTTTCATCTCTGTTGATAATCTCCGATTTCAGGCGACCAAGCTCAGCGTTCATCTCTTCAATAGTTTGCTTCAGGCTATCCCTTTGCTGGACCAAAGCTTTCCCTTTCCTAACAGCTACATTTAACTTCTCCCTTGCAGAAGCTGACTTCTGCTCTTCTTGTTTAAGAAACTCCTGCAGTTCTATTATTTTCTTATCAAGTGCCTCATTTTCAGCAACCAAGGATTGTTGTTTTGCCATGTACAAATCTCTTTCTTCCCTTGTCAGCTTTTGAACATGCAGTGCCTGATCCAGATCTTTTGTTAGGGAAGCTACATCAGGTGTCTCTACGACTGCTATGTCTCTACTTGTTGCTTCAACTATATTAGAATCAGACAATTCAAAATGGTGCCCATGAGAAGTTGCTTCATGTGCACCCGATGGCTCTCCGCTTCTAACATCAGCATCTGATGGACGAGTTTCATAGACGTTGTCATTGGTTTCAAGTGGCAAACTAGATTTCACCAAATTCTTATAATAGTCTATCAGCTTTCTCAGTAGTCCATCCAAGTTCTCAGAATTACTTGCTAAAGCCAAATCCTGCAAGCCATCTTCCTGTATAACATCATTAATCATGTACCTCAAACTTAATAAGTCTCCTTCAATAGTCTGAAGATGTTCTTCATTCCCAAGTTTCTCAACCAAATTTTCATGCAAATCTTTAACTTGATTCTGCAGTTTCTCATTCTCAACTTCAAGGTGAATGCCCCTTGCAGAAAGACTTTCATGATCACCAATCAAACTTTCCAGTCTTTCAGAAAGATTCACCCTCTCACTAACACACGATTGTAGATTTGCCTCGACATCACTTACTTCCTTTCGTGAGACTTCCAAATCAGCAGTTAGTGATTGACAATAGACTTCAAGGTTATCAATCTTCTGTTGGAGATTATCCCTGTCATGTGTAGCCTCTGTAATTGTACTTGCAAGCCATTCAATCTTGTTTTCCACTTCCATGGACTGTAGCTGTGGAGGTATATCAATATTTTCTAGGATTTTTTCCCATCTCTGAACCAACGTATTCCTTTCCATCAAGGACTGCTCCAGCATTTCATTCTGTTCAGCCAATCCATAAAACTTCCCTTTGAGCTCCTCAAACTTGACCCTTAATTCATCCTCAGAACTTGTGTTAGTTTGTACATCCTCCCTCCAGGGCTCTGATAGAACAAATCCTGCACCTCCATCAGAACTCTTCTGATCCCAATCAGAGGGACGCATAGAGTTGCCGTTAGCTGATCTTGCTAACCACTCCACCTTTTCCAATATATCTCGAGCATGAAAATGCTCTGGGAGATCCAAATCTTCCAAA